GATGGATTGAAGTGGGTGAGCCAGTTGTGTCCTAATACCAGTGAACATGAAGAATCCAATGGAGTAACATAGAACAAAATGGAGTTGACATCACCAGAAGGAAAGTGGAGGGAAAGATCTACTTCTTGGGAAATGACAGCATTAGCATTTGTACTACCATCAAACAAGTGGAGTGGAATTGGTGGAGAAATGGAGGAAACAGGAACAGCATATTTTTTGATTATGGATGGGTCTACAAAACAATGAGAAGAGCCAGAATCAATCAATGCAGAAACAGTATCAACAGAATAATCAAGAAGAGTTACAGATGGAAGTAAAGAATTGGGACTAGAGGGAGCAGACACATTGAGTCAGATGTCTGGTCATGCACAGTTGGGATCAATGCTTCCTCCAGGCTGTGTGAGCTCCCTGGAGGAGTGGACTAATTTTTTGGCTCTGCCTTCTCCACAGGTGGAGGAGGCAGAGTTCCAGCCATAGCTGCACAGGTTTTGGCTGTGCAAGAGGTAGACTTGGGACAGTCCTTGGCAGAGTGGCCAGCCTCACCACAGAAGAGGCAGAGGTTGTTTTTCATCCTGCACTGTTGTTCAGCAGAGGTGAGTTTGCCATCCTTGCCCAGAAGATGGGCAATATTGGACTTGGATGTGTCAGACTTGGGCAGGTCTTTCTGTTTGCCCTTGCCCTTGGCATTGGACCTTGGAGTGGAGGTGGAGGATGACAATTTAGGCTTGTTGTCAGAGTTGGAGGACTGCAACTTGTTGGTGGTGGACTTGGTGGTGCACAAGACCTCTGCTTTATGCTCCCAGTAGTGTGCATCAATGGTCTGAGCGAGTTCACAGAGTTGTGCAAGGGTAGAACGTTTTCTGACACAAGTGATCTCATCCTTGATGTGGTCTGGAAGTCTGCTATAAAAGCAGTGGTGGAGTGCACTGACACTGCAGTCTTTGACCTGCAAAGCCCAGCAATTGACCTCCACAACATATTTAGTAATTCTAGAGCCATCCTTCATAGTAAGGTTCTTGAGTTGTTGGACAGCATCTGTGACGGCATCATGCAGACCAAAATTAGTTGTGAGCTCTTGTAAGAACTCATGATAATTGTCCATCCAGAGTGGATGGTCATAATTGTCAGGGTTTAGTAGGTCTGGCTTGAACCAAGCCAGAGCCATACCCTTAAGATAAGACTGAGTGAAGGTAACCTTCACCCTGTCAGAGCAGAATGTGTGAGGGTGGTCTTGAAAGTTTAGCTTGCATTGTACAAGGAACTTGCAGAGTTTCTTAGGGTTGGAGCCATCAAAGGTGTCAGGCTTGTGGACTTTAGTTTTTGGAGTGGAGTCCCCAGTGCACAAACTGGACCATGCAAGCACATGGACAGCTCTAGCAAGAGCTATGAGGGGATCCTCTGGTGGCTCAGCTGGGTCTTCAGGGATATCCCTGTCACCACTGCCCCCACCATCAGGATCACCATCAGGATAATCAGGGTCAGGGTTGGGTCCATCATCTTGGTTACAAGGAGATGGAGTATGGAAGTTTGTTGGATGGAGGTTGGAGCAACCAGCCTGTGAAGCACTTTTGCCTTCAGTGCAAGAGCAGTGTTGAGCAGAGAAGGATTTGAATTGTTCGACAATGGAAGGGAGTTGAAGTGGATTAGCTAGTGCTGTAGCAAGGTTCTCAGCAACCTCTCTGGGATTGAGCTTGAGTTCTCATAACAGTGTAAGTTTTTTGGGAGACAGAGAATGAGATTGTACAAGTGTGAGTATGAATATACTGTCAAGTCCAGGCCTACTCCAACCAACTCCAATGCTAGACAAGGTCTGGGGAGAGGTTCAGAAGCAAGTCTGACAGAAAGAGCAGAACTCTGACTGGCAGAGTGAAGTGAGGGTGTCAGGTTTAGTTCATGTGCTACCCCCTTGCATGATCTCAGCCCTCATATTTCAGAGGGAGGGTACAGATGGACAGTCAGAGGTAACTCCAACAGTCAGAAGACAGAGACAGAGGGAGTAGGAACTAGGTTGATATTTGTACTGAAGAACAGCAGAGTATGATACATGCTTTTATACTACTATGGAGGTGCAGTAATCAGAATCAGAACTCACATACAGAGACTCATAAAATTTCAAGTAAAACTTGCTAGATGATGAATGAAGGGTAGATGGAGGACACACAAATGGGTAACACAGAACATCCCAAAGAGGAAACAGTCCAGGCACTGGACCATGCAGTGTGCACACTGTGGAGTACCTGATCACACACTGTCAGGGAGAAGTCTGAAGGGTAGTCACATGACTCCTCAGAGAACAGCCCACATGGTCTGGTAGGAGAGCAGTACAAGTCCAACAGCAGTCAGAGTGGAGATGACTTGTAAACATCAGGGGATGGGCAGAGTTGGTGCAGAGTGAGCAAATGACTGGCAGAAAAGGGGTGCAGAGTGAGTGAGGACCTAGGACGAATGCACAATCATGACACATGTAGTGTCCATGGCTTGCCAACCTGACAGACTTTGTCCTTGATCTGGTCTGGGAGCCCAGAGTAGAAGTGATGGCACAGCACACCATCTCTGTAGCCCCAGACTTGTGAAGCAAGCCAGTTGAAGTTGACTACATACTTATTAATGTGCTGGTTGCCTTTCATATGCAAATGGTCAAGCTGACTTTTGGCATCAGTGACTGGGTCATGAGGGCCAAAGGTGGTGTATACCTCTAGGACAAACTCCCTCCAGGAGTCCATCCAGAGAGGCCAGTAATTGGGGTCCCTGACCCCAAGCAAGTCCAGCTCAAACCATTCAAGAGCCATGCCCTTGAGGTAAGACTGTGCAGATATGACCTTAGCATGGCTGGTCTTGGAAGTTGAGCTCACACTGAATGAGAAAAGCATGAAGCTTCTTGGGATCAGTACCATCAAAGGTATCTGGCTCACACAACTTGGTCCTGCTTGAAGACTCAGGGCTGGAGCAGGCATTGCAGGCAAGTAGCTTGATTGCTTCTGTGAGGTTGTCAAGGACTGTAATCATGGGCTCAGCATCTGGATCTGGGAAGTCTGGTTTGTCCTCTGGATCATTCTCATCCAGATTGTCATCACTGGGCCCATCATCACTGGGGCTATTGCCAGGGTCATCATCATAGGGTTGTTGTTGTCACTGTCATCTGGCCCACCATCCCCAGGATCATCATCATCAGGGATGGGGGTGGTGGGGCAACATTGGGTGGGAGTGTTGAAAGTCCAGGCTGAAAAGCCCCTGAAAGGACTAATGGGGTTGGGAGAGTGCCTAGTGGTACTTAAGGCAGCTAGTGCTGCCTTGGGGCAAGTCCCACTGGCTGAAGCTGATTCAGGGTTGGTGGCAGAATGGCCATGGGGAGGTTAAAAACAAGTTTTAGTAGCCATGATCTATTAGACCCACACAAGTGGTGAGTCTGAAATACTGTCAAGTTCATGATGTCCAGGTTTGAGGCCAGACCAGAGACCCAAGTGGGTGTGAGGCTGAGGGGTCAGGATCAGGGGGGAAGGCAGAGATACAGAGGGTGGACTGGCTGGACTTAGCAACTGAGGACACAGTGCTATTCCCTTGCATGGGTTTCAGTCCAAGTCTGAGGCTGAGGTGGGGTTATCAGAGTAAACTTAGTTGATTTCAGACTGAAGAGTACAAGCGAAGTATCTATGGGTTTATATACTAGAGACATACTATAGTACAGAGACCAGTAATACTGGTCTCACAAGGATTGCTAAGGTGATTGGTAAGAACAGTATTAGTAATGTATGACCAAGGTGACTGGAGACTGGGACAGGGTGGACTGGGGATGAGACTGGGCAAGGCTTCAACCAAAATGACATGCACTGCAAGGCAGTGCTTATCACACTAGACCTACTGGGGGTAAGGGGTTGGTGAGGCCAAGGCCAGACTGGATGATTGCAAGGCCAAGTCCAGCCAGGGTCAAGGCATGGTCATGACATAGTCACCTGGACTTAGCCCCTGTCATCCAGTCTTGAAGCCCAGTGTGGGGAGCAGGTATATGCTACCTAGCAAGAGGGTGTGGGCTCCAGCCTAGGGATAGGGTGAGTTCAACCCAAGGGGAGTCACTCTAGCTGTAGGAGGGTGGTAGGAGTGAATGTGACTGAGTCACACAAGTTGCTTGACCTGTAAACAAAAGTGCAATGGATTAAGGAGTGCACAAGCCTTGAGTCAGCTTAGGGACTGTTGGAACTATGCCTGTGACTCAGAAATAGGCAGGGGAAAGTGAAGGGATCATGTTGATACCATTATTCTGCTCACTCTCTCTGTTTCTAACTTGGGGGCTTCAAAGTTGTTATTTTTCTGTTGACAATGACAGGTATAAGTGTAGCTACATGCAGAGTATGTAACTACAAAGTAAGTGACATCAAAGGTGAAAAGATTGACAAGAAATGATGGGAATTGGGTGAGATCAACATAATAATGGCCATGAGGCCAGAATAGCATCAGCAATCAAAAGAGAGACTAATGTAAATGAAGCAAAAGGGATCCAAATGGAAGCAAATGAAAAGACAATGAGAGCAACAGCAACATGCTTACATAACTGACAGTGTGGACCCAAAGAGTGCAAGTGAGTGAGCACAGGTGGCCAGAACCCTGTCAAGCATCAGACTTTGTCACAACGGCTAGGGAGAGTGTTAGGAGGCAATGTGATGATGGGGAAAGTGAGTCAATAGAAGAGGACATAGTACTGGGTGACCTAGAGCACAGAGGGTGTCAAAGTTGCTTGAGAGGGGTCACATTTGTGTTGCTTTTCTTGCAAAGCCTATAGACACTTAGTAGACTCCCTATCAACACTACACTCATGCTCCTACAGTGTCTTGTACATAGACACAGCACCTCTCAGCTGGGCTTGGTTTTGATCACAAACATCCCAAATTAAAATTTTGATAGTAAACATGGTCTAATTAGTGTAAACCTGCATTTTGAAAAAATGCCCCTGATTACATAATCATTCACTTTTGGGGGGAAGAACCAAACAGTTAGACTGCAACACAATGCCACCTCCAATGAAGAGACAGAAGCAAGCAAAGCAGCAATGTACTTCTAGGTCAAGGTCCTTCCATAATGGTCTAGTGGAAGACTTACTGGAAATTACTATAGACCCAAACTATCAGCTGGACAGCCAAGATGCCAACTCAGATGATGTAGACTCTTCCACTGTTGGGGTCATGTCATTCAACCTCCTTGATTGTAACACAGAAGATGAGTTGGAGCAATGCTCTGATAAGTCAGACAGTGTTGACCTTGTTCATGTGGGTGGGAAAAGGAAGGGTGGCAATGATGAGGGGATTCTTGAAGAGTTTGAAGCTGAAGATGCCCCAGATTATGCAGATGAATGTGCCCACAAGGCAGTAGTATCTGCACCTCAGTTCTGGGCTGATATCATGAATTCTGTGAGTCTCAAAGCCATCAATCACATACCTTCAAGAATTAATTTGACAATGCTTGAATGCCTCATAGGGCAGCGAGGGCACCAAGCCTGCAAAACAGCCAAAGGCTGCTATTCCCACATACTCTGGAGCAGGAAGAATAACAACTTACCTGCATGAACATGATTTACAACACACTGCATGAAATAACAGTAAAATTACTTCATTCTTTCCATCTAAGCCTAAACAGATCACAAAGACCACACACTGCAGCAGTGCTGCCATGGCCACCCCACAGGCTCCTGAAGTTCCCAAGTCCCCCCCTGAACTGCACAGCAACTCAGACAAAAGCTGCATCTACCAAACCATGCTCCATAGATCCTGTGTTGGCTGCACAGCCAGTGCCCCCCACAGGCAATATACACACTGCTGAGGAACCTGCAGCTGCCTTTTTGGACATGACAGAAGACAACAGTGATGCAATCAAGTCCATCTCTGTTCTTGAAAGCACCAAACAGCTTATTATTGATGCAAAGAAATACAACTCATTTACCTTGTTGTTCTATCTGACTTCTCTTAAACAGTTCATGGAACTCTGGGAAAAGTATAAGCAAAACCCATGAATCAAAACCCTGATGGTCAAAGCCAGTCATGTTGTTGCTGTGTCAGTAGGAAAGGGACCATATGTGGCTCAAAAGATATGCACTTTGTACAGATATGTTGCATGCTATCATGCTCTGCCTCCCACCAACATTGGCAAGCATCATGCACATCCATCACTTTTGAACAATGAACACATTGCACAAGCAGTGCATCAATATCTGACAGTACTCAGTGATGGTGAAGTAAGTTGATCATATACATGACAAATGAACTTCCCTTACATATATTTGTTAGATCATACTGCTCCTGCTCATGAAGCAGGTCAATGACCATATCCTCTGATCACTGGGCCTTGACAGTGGAGGACAGAAAATATCAGAAGATACAGCATGCAGATGGCTGGCAAAACTTGGATATGAATTAAAGGAGGTTAAAAAGGGGATATATGTGGATGGACATGAGCAAGAAGATGTTGTTGCTTACCAGAAAGAATTCTTGATGAAATTGGGAGAAAATGAATGGTACAGTGGTTTGCTTGGCCTTGCAAAGCCATCATTGACAATGCATTAGGTTGTGCCACACATATACAGATGATGGCCCTGAAGCTGTGGAACCTCAGCTTGGACCAGGCAAAAAACTTCACATAACAGTAACACATGATGAAACCATTATCCTTGAAAATGAGCCCTGCCAACATGTCTATTTGCACAATGGAAGGATGCCCTTGTGAAAAAAGGTCCAAGGACATGCAATCCATGTTTCCAACTATATTGTGGAGCACACAGGATGACTGGCACTAACAGAAGAACAGACCCACAAGAACACCACATTGCCTGCAGACCATCAGCTTAAATTCACAGATGCTCATGAAATTATATACCCTGGGAAGAACTATGATGGATTTTGGACAAATGAGAAGCTCATGGAGCAAGTTCATTATACACTTATGATTGCAAACAAGAATTAAACTTACTAGTCTCATTAGGTGAAAAAAACAATACCAATCTTCAAACAGATGTATCCTGATGCTGTGGCTGAGTTCCTCTTTGATCAGTCATCAGCACATGGTGCCTTTGCAAAAGATGCACTGAATGCAAAAGAGATGAATGTTAAACCCAGTGGAAAGCAACAATTGATGCAAAATACCATTATCCCAATGGATAATCCACACCCTGAACTCTGTGGAAAGCCCCAAATGATGGTCTTTCCATCCAACCTCCAACTGAATCATCTGGACTTCAATCTATGTGGCCAGGCAAAAGGGATGCACCATGTTTTGGAGGAATGAGGCTTGATCACTTTGCTGCAAGCAGCAAATGGCAGGAAAGCCATTGGGGAGTGCCAGACCTGCAAACTCTCATGCAAAGCACAGGACCAGCTCCACCATGAGGCACAGGTTGCAGCCAAAGGGGGAGAGGAGTCAGGTGAGAGTTGTCTTGATGTCATGCAGGAGTCCTTGTGGACAGATTGCTGCATGTGACAGATACTTGCAAGTCAGCAGGATTTTAAGGAAGAAAAGCCACTTATCCAGACTATCATTGAGGAGGCAGGCCATGAGTGTTGGTTTTTGCCTAAGTTTCATTGTGAGCTCAATCCCATTGAGATGTACTGGGGATGGACAAAAGTGTGTGAGTGTCAATTGAACAAACACAGTGATAAGTTCCTGAACTAATCAGCCACAACTCCACCACAAGCTTCTGCACTGCAGCTGATGGCACATTTCCAACTGCAAAACACCTCATTCCTGAGATTCTCGATGATTGCCTAGTGAAGACAATCTGTGCATTCTTTGGCAAAAGCTGGCACTACATGGATGCTTACAGGTATGAAACACATCATTGAAATCATCCCTACATACTCAATCTATGTATCAACAGAAAGGGTCTCAATGCAAGACAAGCTGAATTTGTGGTCAAAAAATATAAGTTGCACCACCACTGTGGACCTGCTCTAATGATGAGCATTGGCATGTTGCTTGATTGATCATGCTGTATGGAGTTGGTGGGCTGGCTTGCCAATTCAACTCTGACATCCATATATGGTAACTCTGACTACCTCCACTTCAAGTTCACTTTTGGGGGAGTTCAACCATCTTAAAGTTGGAATTTTGAACTTTCATTCAGATAGCCCCCAAGCCCTAGCATTCTATGTTATATCTGTATAGTTAAAACACTACTCTGAAGATTATTGAAAGTGTAGATACAATTTTGTTATTTACTATTGTTGAGTTGCCTATTTTGAGTGCAAGACACTGTAGTGTAGGGAGATCCCTCTCCCCACACCAGTCACCTGAGGGTAAACCCATACTTCACAGCAAGTTTGATGTGCACAAGCCTGTCCAAGAGCCTGTATCCATCACAGAAGTCACTTATGTCATTGAAATAACTTTGAAGGTCCTCAGAGTGCCCAGAGAAGCTCGGAGCTTTGGGAGAGCCTCAACATGGAATTTTAAGGCCAAGCATGATGTCAGGGGGGAATATGGGTGTGAATACTTGATATGCAAACGTGTGTGAGCAAGAAAATGCGAAAAGGGACCAATGCAACTGCAAAAACAAGACTGAGAGGCAAAACTTGCTAAACTGAGCCTGAAAAAGGCAAAAACAAAGCCAGGAACTGGAAAAATGAGTGTGAGAGGGTTGGGAAAGGGTGCCAGGCTAAGACAGAAGCCCCTCATGGTGGGCTCCAGATGTGAGGAAATATAATGAAAGGATTGAGGATGGAGTAGAAGAATCTGAGAGGGAGTGAGTAAGACCAAAGGGGCTCCTATAGCCTGAGCAAAGGAAAGTTTGGGTAGGGGACTGTCTAGGGCAGTCTGAGGCAGTCTTAAGCTGGTTCTCATCTTTGGGGGTAACTTGTCTATTAATGAAAACTTACAGTATGAACAAACCATAAGTAAGTGCTGACTAAGCATACAAAAAGCGAACTATACTACTCAAGTATAGTACCCACAACAGTAAGTAAAGAAACAATAAAACAAATAAAACAGAAATTAATACCCAATCCCATAGTAAGGAGATCTCTCTCCTTACAGTGATAGGGGGAGCTTTCAGGGGGGTGCAAACTGGTGAGTCAACAGACAGTACAGATGGCACAGGGCTGGGGTTGGGTTGGTCATGTTGACTGGGATTGGGAAGGCCAGTTAGAGCTGGGGTTACAGTTACAGGGGTTGTCAACAGGGTTGGCATTCCTCCTGTAGATGTCCAGAAAGTTAGCCTGCTCAGTACCCAATCAATCAATGGATTGTAGTGGGTGAGCCAGTCATGTCCAAGGACTATCTTACATTCAGAATCCAACAAGGCTAAAAACAGGGTTACTGGGGTGACACTGCTGGTCACAGACTGAACTGAAAGATCTACTGCTTGGGTAATAATGAAACTTGACAACCCATCAAAGAGCTGGAGTTGGATAGGGGGCATGGAGTAAAGGGTAAACAAGTGTTGATTGGCAAATTCTTTATCTATGAAACTATGTGTGGAACCAGAGTCCACCAGAGCATGGAACTAGGGCAAATCATGACTACAACAGAAACATAGGGAGTTAATGAGTTAGGATTAGAAAGAGTGGACATGTTGAGACAAGCCTCCATGAGTGCACAGCCAGAGTCAATGCAGCTCTCAGTCTGTGTGGAGTCTTGAGAGCTGCTACCTATTTTTTTGCCTCAGGGGCAGAGCCCAAGGTTGAGGACAGCACTGCCTCAGAGGTGGCCATAGTGTGAGCTTTGGCTTTCCCAGCTTTCTTGGGACACTTATCTGCAAAATGCCCAGTTCCCCCACAGAACATATAGAAGTTATTGTCTCTGCAGCACTTGTACTCACTCCTCCAGTGTCAGCTTGCTCAAGTCCAGCTTGGGTGAGTTAGAGCCAGTCTGACCAGCTGAGGTGGGTTTGGACAAAGACTGGCTACTGGAGTTGCTATTCCTGGAATTATTGCTGGTCTTGGATTTCTCTTGACCAGGCTTGGACTGGGTGTTGTGGCTGGGGTTGGGAGTTGACTTGTTACCAGAGGACAACCCCTGGTGCTTACTAGACTGCTGAACCTCCACCTTATGTTCCCAGTAGCATGTGTCAATCTCCTGGGCTAGGTGGCAAAGTTCATGGAGAGTTCTGGGTTTGCCAACCTGGCAGACCTCATCTTTGATATAATTGGGGAGACTGGTATAGAAGAAGTGGCACAGAGTGCCATCACTGTATCCCCAGACTTGTGAGGCTAGCTGGTTGAACTCAACTACATACTTGTTGACCCAGTGATTCTCTTTCATCTGGAGGCAGTCTAACTGGCTTTCAGCATCAGCCACCAGGTCATGCAGTCCAAAGGTAGTTTGGAGCTCTATGACAAACTCTTTCCACAGGTCCATCCAGTAAGGCCAGTCCTCTGGGTCTTCAGTCCTGTGTAAGTCTGGTTCAAATCATTTGAGAGCCATCCCTTTCAGGAATGACTGTGTGAAGGTGACCTTGGCTTGGTCACTTTGAAAGGCTTGGGGCCAGTCCCAGAAGTTGAGTTCACATTGGATAAGGAATGCATGCAGCTTCTTTGGGTCTGTCCCATCAAAGGTATCTGGTTTGTGCAGCTTGGTCCTAGAGGACAACTCAGAGCCAGTGCAGGCATTACATGTGAGAAGTTCTATGGCTTTGGCAAGGTTATCAAGCATGGTTACCCCAGGCTTGACATTGTCTTCTGGGAGAGGATCTTTGTCATCATTATCCAGGTCATCTCCCAGCTTGTCATTGCCAGGACCATCACCACTGAGGTCATTACCACTGGGATTATTGTCATCTGGTTCATCCAGGTCCAGTTCATCATCTGGATAGTTGGTGGGTATGGGAGGTTGATTAGGAGTGGGAGTGGTAGATTTGTGGGCTGAGAAGCCCCTGAAATCATTGACTTCACCAGGTGACCTTCTGGCTGTCCCTAAGGACACCAGGGCAGTGGCACAGCACAAGTCAATGGCTGAAGTGGATTCTGGGTTCATGGTAGCATGTACCTGAGCTGCTTGGGTTTGAGTCTGGGTAGGCATGCTGAAGGTGTATTGCTGAGGTTTAGACTGAAGGGTAGTGGCCCACACAAGTGTGAGTCTGAAATACTGTTAAGTCTGGTTTGTTGCCAGTCCAAAGCTGGTCCAGAGTCCAGTTGGGGGTCAGAGGGGAAACAAGGTACTAGAGTGCTTTGGACTATTTGGACTTAGCAACTGAGGAGCAGTGCTATCCCCTTGCATGGGCTGTAGTCTGGTCAAGAGACAGAAACAGGAGAAGACCAGGTTTGACAAGACTAGATTGATTTCAGACTGAGGCTAAACAGATCTTCCTATGGCTTAAATACTGAAGGTAAAGTAAGTGTAACATAGCACCAGAGACTGGTTGCACCAGTATAATGATGATTGGTAAACCAATTGGTAAGTACAATGTTACAAAGAATATTATCAAGCAAAGTAAGAACAAAGGGTTTACCAGGAACTGGGACAGGACTAGTGATGGGCTGTGTATCATGCCAGTCTGGTCTCAACTGAGTGAACAACTTGGTTGGGCACTGCCTTGCAGTGCCTCACAAGCTACCATGTTTTTGAGTTGAAGTGTCAAGGCCAGGACTGGGGTAGGGGTTGGACAAGACCAGTCAAGACTGGGGCAGGGCCAGTCTAGGGTAGTCTGGGCATGGTCATGACAGTTTTCCATATACCCTTCATTCATTGTCTAGGAAGTTTTCACTTGAAAATTTACAAGTCTCCATATGTCAGTTCTGATTCTGGTTGTTGCTCCTGCATAGAAGTATTGTATAAGCATGTACAGTACTCTGTTCTTCCTCAGTATGAATATCACCCAAGTTCCTACTCCATATCCTCTTTGTCTTCTCTCTGTCAGAGTTATCTCCAAACTTCTGTCTGGTCTCTATCTCTGAAATATGAGGGCTGAGACCATACAAAGGGGCAGTACATGAACTAAACCCAATGCCCTCACTCCATTCCACCTCTGCCTCAGCAGACTTCATCTCTGCCAAACCTCCACTAGTCAGTTCCATTCATCTATGTCAGACTTGCTTCTGTACCTCTCCCCAGACCCTGATCAACATCAGAATTGTTCAGAGTAGACCCAGACCTGACACCTCCAACTCACTCAAGTTACAATCCTGAAGGAATGGACCCTTGAGTAAATGTACATATATTACAATTACCAACTTATGTCAAAAGTTTACTGGTTGGAAACTTACAGTGAGAATCACTACTATGAATAGATCCTGAGGCTCATGGTTAGAAGACTTTCAGAAGTAGAATTATTCCATCAGGGTGTACATGCAATCTAACAGACCTAAAAGTGAAGATGTGGTAGGCCCTTGATGTAACCACAGCAAGTATGACTCAGGACAAAGAGGCACCTTGTCCATCTGGTTGGACGTGTGCTACGTTGTGTAATCAGCGGCTGTATTGCCTTTGCAGCGATTAGCCAAATTACAAACCTACTCGCTCGCCGCGACGGCCGCGGCCTCTCCCACGACCACGACTTTCATCCCCACGACCGTCACCGTCCGATCGCCCGCGGTACGCTGATAAATTAGTCAGTATGGATCCAGAGTGCTTACAAACAAGGAGTCACCCCTATCGCTGCCACGGGAACCACCCCGACCCCCTCGGTAAAAGCCACCCCTGTCACCACGGGAACCACCACGCATGCCACCACGGTCACCACGATGACTACGGCCACGGCCTCGACCGCCGCGGTTGGCGGGAGTGAATCCATCATCCTCATTTTGTGAGACAGTCTTAGGAGCGTCAATCCCACTCACAACTGCTGGAGTTGGGAGGTTTACTTCGGGTATAACAGTGTCCGATGACACAAGGCTGGCCTGAAGATTGGCGATAGAAGGTAGGCCTTCTTCTTCAGCTTCAGCCCAGTCAATAGGTTGCGTAGAGATAAGCTGTCAAGCTCAATCGTAAATCGGAACCAAATACAAGGACTAAAAACAAACCTCGGCCTCAGGAGGACTAGAAGTTCCATCATGTCCTAGATCGTATACGCCGTTCACTTCAGGAGTATCCATCTTATTCACCCATTCCGCATTCATATCGGAGGTCTCCAGTTCGCTCGCCTGGACGAAGCGGAAGCTGCTAGACACACTCAAAGTACCCGGGATACCAGACACTGGCCCGTCAGGAACATCGGTTGCAACAACTTCAGGAACATCGGTTGAAACAACTTCAGGTACAGGATCAAGAATAAGGGCTGGTTCCTGCTGCGCGGCAAGGAACAACTGCACGACATCGAATAGTCGAGCATCTGAATCCCAAAGCTTTAATTTGGGACATGTCCATAAACATCAACCTACACGTGACATTGTTGATCTCTCCTTCACCAGTCAGCAGACCAGAAATTGCGGCTTGCTTGACATCAGATTCTTCACCTACAAGGGTGTCACATGCCTCGAATATAGCTGATGCTTCGGCATCACCAAAATCTGGCAGGGACGGGAGAGGCTCGCCGGAAGAAAGGAAGGAGCGTAATCTAAGTAGAGTCAATATTGACGATATTCTGGACGTATACAGTGCCTGCAAAGTGCTTGTAAATTAACGCGGGCGCACATCACAGCAACATCAACAGCCCAGACCTGCGTTGTCGATACGGCTTGCGCTATTTTCTGCTCCTGAAGTCGCTCAAATTCCGCACGCTTAACAGCCAGCCCACGGGACGCTTCGGCCTCGTGAACCTGATGGGAACGATTCAGAAAACCGATACGAACGATAACTACTGCTTGGCCCACCTCCATCGCTTTCTTGATGTCCTCGAGCTCTCTTTGAACCGCTTCCAGTGAAGAAAGCGTCTTGATGCTTCGCTTTTGGTCATCATTGAGCTTGTCATAGTCGGTTGAAGCGTAACCTGCTATTCGCGACTAAGCAGATCACAAGTTCCAGCCCTCGTGTCTCAGTTCAATATCGAAGGAAAACGCACTATTTTCTTGTTGAGTGCTTTCATGCGCTTTTGCAAGAATTCCACGACGGGGCCAGGCCTCAAAAGGGCATCATCATTTGTGGCAGCCTCCGAGGCAGACCCAAACTCGATGATATCAAGATTCTCCCTTGTTTCACTATTTTCTGGGGCCTTGTCGAGAGGAGAAGTAGAAGTGGCATCTGGGAGGACGACAGAGCCTTCTGTGGGAGAGTCAGGCGTCTTGGTTTTGTTGGCCTTGCGCTTCTTCCTTCGGGACTTCGTCTGTGCCACGGAAGGGGGAGCACCAGGAACGATACGAGTGACGGGATTGGTATCAGCCATAGTGAAAAGTAAAAGCAACGACTCGAATTGCAGTCTTTCACAGTCGTGTTTGGATGAGCTTGAAAGGCGAGAAGGGGTCGCCTTGAAAATTACTGGAGACGAAGTTCACACGCCTGACTATACCAGCCGTTCTAATTACTTCGGAAAGCGGACAAACCCGGCTTCAAACTATCATAGGAAGGCAGAGACCAAGTCATATGGGATTTTGGGGCATGTATTACAATATTCATGTGGCTCATAGGTAGACTTCCAGCCTCCCAGCTGTACGAAGTGGATGAGGATCACGCACCATGCGCATGCTTCTGCTTCCCACTGCGGAGCTTCCGAACATAGAACTAAACAGTTGTCAGTCACTGATGCCAACGACGTCAAAGGCTTCATACCTCAAGTTCCTTGCCTTCGAGAATATAACCATCTGCACGGCCACACTGTCCTGGTCTACTGGAAATGCAAGCATACAGACGTCCCGCGACGAACTGCTGCTCCAAAAGGAGGTCTAACTTCGAATCTACTTCCAAATCAGGAAGACACGACGATGAACGACGGAAGCAACTGCACCCTTTCTGCGTTCCTCCAATTTACGTTGCAGATGGTTGGATCGTTTTGTGGGTTCCTCGCCAGAGGCAGTCGCCTGGGCTTTAGCACCCTTCTTCGTTACTGGCTGCGCGTACTGCGTAACAGAACACTCAACAATACCACCAAAAACGAGTGTGGAACGCCAACTCACGTGGGCCTCGTACCACTGCCGGAAGGGCGTCGCATCAACTTGGATAATCGCACCCTGTACCAAAGTATTCGTTCGGACCAATTCATTGTTTGAGGCATTGTAAACCTTCGAAGCATCAGATGCAAGTCCGTCAAGGCGCATTTGCCAAATTCTTACAACGCCGATAATCCTGGTCTTCCTCGTTGTATGTTCCGATGCCCATGCAAAGTTACCAGTGTCAAGACGTAGAGCGCGGAACTTGAAGTTCCCGCCGCGTACACGCACACGATGGATGCGCTTAGGGCCTAGCTTGGTGTTAGCAGGCTGCCGCCCAAGCTCGAACTTTCTCTTTTTGCGGTAATGCGCGCGTTGGGCCCCAGTCGCAGAACGCTTGTGCCGGGAAGAGCGAGAAATACCTGTCATATATTACCAGGATCATGATACCGATCGAAACGAATTGCTCAATAGTCACCTACCCATGTGGACGAGATTGGAGGATGAGGAAGTTAAGGTTTGCAAGATTTAAGCCTCTCGGACATTGCCGCTCGGTTGTTCCAGAATTCAAACTCCGTATCACTCTTGTCGTTCTTTGCCGTGAACGTTCTTTTGACAATCACAAGAGCGAGCTGTCAGTGCAGGTAAGCCAGATTGTCGACCTTGCGTTCAGGTGGTCTAGTGGCGACGCTGCCGGACTACAGCAAACTACGGCGAGCTGCTGGCAGACGATTTGGGGGTGGATGTTCTGAGTCAGTGACTGATACCTTTGCCTGCCAGGGCTGCCCAAGATGTCTCTCGTTCTCCCAGAACCCCACCAGCAATTCCAGGTTATTTGACTGCCTTTGCCAATCTCCACTGAGGGCTCATTCCGTTATGTAGCATATCCTCCGTCTGCTGAACACGAACGTCGATGGAAAGCGCAAGATTATGTATGCTCTAACCGAGATCAAGGGTGTCGGACGTCGCTATTCCAACTTGGTCTGCAAGAAAGCGGACGTTGACCTCACCAAACGGTGGGTTTTTTTTTCGCTCTTCCGGTAATAGGACTTTCACTGAGAGTTGTAGAGCTGGAGAACTTAATTCTGACGAACTGGAGCGTATCGTTACGATCATACAAAATCCTACTCAGTTCAAAATCCCGACGTGGTTTTTGAACAGGCAAAAAGACATAGTTGATGGAAAGAACTCTCAAATATTATCAAATGGAGTGGATTCCAAGCTTCGCGATGACCTTGAGCGATTGAAGAAAATCCGAGCCCACCGTGGGCTCAGACACGTTTGGGGCCTGCGGGTACGAGGCCAACACACGAAAACAACAGGTCAGTTCGATCACTCCCTTCTGGAGATGATTCAATGCTGAAACGGTTGCAAGGTCGTCGGGGAAAGACCGTTGGTGTGTCGAAGAAACGTGGTTAGGCACTACCATCGAATTATATTTGCTCCGTATCCTACTTCACATGAGTTTGATTGCAATCAAGTTTGTCTTCCGCAGTCGCTGTTCAGCTTTACCGTGTGACCCTAACTTTTCAAACGAAACACTCTTGCTCCAAGGGCGATTCTAATTAAGTGTCCTCTATGTGACATGCCAGTACACTGAGGCGAAAATAGACCAGCCGTCCTACATGCCCACTCAACTTATATAGATTCTAGACGCTGTTTAAGGAACGCTGGGCGGAAGGGAGTTAAGAATGAGGACGCACGCTGCAGGATGTTGTTGAGTTTGTTGACACGTGAAAACACACTGAGGTCTATGCTCTTGTCACCAAAGTCGACGACAAAGCCGCCTAACAGAGAGGGGTTGACCTTGAGAACGATGAGTGGGGAATTAGTCACATGGGAAACGTTCAACAGCTGACCTTATTCGTGACCTTGACAGACTTTGCCTGCTGCGCGGCCTGCGATTGCCTGAGAATGGTCTCGAGCTTGGTGGAAAGGTCTTTTGGTAATGGAGCTGCCGAAGTGACGAGGACTTCAAGTTCTCCCCTGTACTTGGCTACGAGTTCGTTGAAACCCTCGATGACCCCTGGAACTTGGGCAAGCCTGCCATTCTCAGCGAGGATGAAGAGAAGGTTCTTTGTGAGATCGGAGATGGGCTCCTTCTTAGGACCGGCACCCTCTGCCCGAGCAAGGATGGCGTCCAGGCCAAGTGCACGCTCCTTTGCTGAGAGTGTGGGGTTTGCAACGAAAGCCTTCAACTCGGGGACTTCGTTGACAGATTTGGAGACAGCGTTGAGTTCCGACTGAACTTTGGTGAGAACCTGGGGTGATTGTTTAAGAGCCGCAGAATAAATGGCGTTGGAGTACTTGAGGGCAATAGAAGAGGCGGCCCTGCGTCCACGACCCAGGACAACAGAAGTAGCAGACGTGCGGAACGCTGAGGACAACATGGCAGACAAGGTCGACTCGCCAGCTGAAACAATTTGCCCGCTTGGCCCGGCCTTACCCGTTGACAAATAAAGAAGTTAGTTCCCACGGGCATGTCCCCCTCGATCGCAAGACTCGACGTCGAGAAAGAAATTCCGAGTATGCTAGATCACTGATACATACTTAATTTGCTGCATTCTGGGCAAGGGATCGAGCACTAGTCGGGCCCTTCTCAGGGGTGTGCCTGGCGTTCTCCCACACCCTTTCATTCTATTACAAGGGCTTCGGCGCCATCTGAGCACCTTGTACGGATACCTCGCGTTTTCCAGCCAATAGCCCATCGTGTCTCGCAACGCACAGACCGAAGTCTTAGATGTCAGACATAGACCCCATCAGTAACCCTCTGCCTGAACTTCGGCCGTATCATGTCCTTGTCACTGGCTTTGGTGTCAGTATCCTCCGTCTGCATGGCGGATTTACGCCTCGCATCTCCTTTTCCTTTTCGTGCACTTCTCGACACTGACTGTCTTCGGGTATAGCCTTTTTCTCGCTACTCCGTCAATCCTTCGTGGCTGGCAGTCAATCCCCTGCACAATACAATATTGAAGGTCGACATACCATTGGAACCCGTCCCCCCGGTAGACCCGTCTCTCACCAACCTTGAGGCACCTCTCACCGCGAGTCGCGAAATCCGTATCACTGCTTGTCGAGGTGCCCGTCACCTACGATGCTGTACTATCCATCGTACCAGGTCTTCATGCTCGCCCACCCGTTCTGCCTCCCAGCTCGGATCCTCTCCTTCCCACTCCTTTTTCCCCTCTGGGGGGTTTCGATCTTTTCTTCCACGTCGGTGTTATTGGGAGAGGATCACTCAGAATGGAACGCGTCGGCCACAAGTTTGGCTACAACATGAAGGATGCTGCAGGCTCACTTGCTCCCATCGTTCGCGTATCAAGGGAGGAAGGAAACCAACCTCCTGTCGCACAAAACATGGACATATCGCACTTCAGAGATACTATAGACTACAACGTCCCATCTCCCGTGGACGGCAGCGAAACGCCGAAACGTGGCTTCGGGAAAGGCTACGAATTATTTGCAGAGGAAATATATACTGACGTAGACGTCGAAAAATTGGTGCACCATCTCAAGATCTGCGGGTTCGATGTAAGTTTTCTTTTTTTCCATGACTGTGATTCGACTCATGCACACTTCGTAACCCAGCAGATATACACATCGATGGACGCTGGTCACTACTTATGTGACTTTTTGTACTACTGTTCATTGGCAGAAAGCAAACGCTCCACAAAGAACGATAAATCCACACCGGCCTCTCAGGTCCTTTTCTTGCATTGTCCACCGGTGGGTTTGCCTCTGAGCACCGAGGAAGTGACAGAGGCCATTAGGAAGTCAATCATGTGGCTATGCAGGGCTCCTGCGCAATGAACGCTGGCTTGCTCTGTTTGTTATGTATCACCTTGTACCACGTCCACCGCCGGTTCCATTATCCGTCATAACTATCTACAGGGTATAATGTGCAATGCAACTTGTTGTCCAGGTAGCAGAGGTCCGTGCATTTGATAGAGTAAGCGCCGAACCTCGTCAGTAGAAACCTAGTTTACGATTGACCGTGAAGCGAACATCTTGATGTCATTTTATATAGCAAAGCCTAGTGATACTACATACATGTTATAGTAACAACCTCCGTCACCGCCACCGAATGATTCTCTCGATTGCACCCTACGTTATTCCAGTTCATTCTATCCGGGCCAGTCTATGGTAAATACTTAAAACAAACGATCGCCAGGCCAACCCGTTGTAGACAACATGACCACTTGGACCATTCGTCACCCTTGGTTAGACTCGTCCGCTTTCAAGCGCAGGATGCCCGATGATGAAGGTGACTTGGATGAACATTACCTGCTGTACGGTGGTCCTGCCAGTTCCCCCTTCAAGCGGAGGAAATGCCACTCCCTGGAGCATGGCTTCGCTTGTTTGACGCTCAACCAGACTGCTTCGCCCAGTTTCCCTTCGGCGACTAGCGCCGAGCAATACATGTCATGGGCTGGACTCGACGCCGCGACTGTATTCGATGTCGAGAACAAGCCAATGCATCTGGCGTGGTCAGTTCAAGACGTAGTTCTACCAGGCTCAATCGAAGAGCCCCCGTCACCCGACACTGACGTGGAGATGGATGTTGTGGACGACCGTGAGTTCCACCCTCCTTGTTCATGACATCCCGACGAAACCGTTACATAGCGCCCTGTGATGCTTCCCGCCCGGGTCCGACCATCTGCCAAGAGCCTACGATAGAAGTCAAGGAAATTGAAATCCCCTCTGCTGTCCTCGAACACTGGAAACAACAGGCAAAGTCTTCATCGATCATCCCTATTACCTCGCCAGGGACGAGCGTGGCATCATCTCAGGCGCTCGTGCTCTTTCGGCCGCTACGGCCACCGTCGCCAAATCAAAATTCTGAAGAGAGAGCTAGAACAGCACCCGCAACGTCCTCTGCACTAGTACAAAAGATGGATGTGCAGGAATAGACCTGCAAAGTTACTGTACTAGCAATTTCTTGTCTTGGTATACATTCAGGTTTCTTATGTCATAGCTCAAACGTCCATCTACGTCATACAAACCGCAAATCTACATACAACGACGACAGAAACATTGGTACGGAATCGGTCTGGGTCGGCGGGTGGCCGGCAGAAGGAAGAATAACAAGCTAGCTTCGCGAACTACAGAAGGCGGTCTGGGTGTGAACGCGATACCCCACCTGATGAACTCTGACCGGCGTCATCAGTGGGATATAAGCCGTCCGCAAAGTTTAGATGCCGGAGACGTGCGTGAGCATGCGGGTGGGGAACGTGGTGCATTGTAGATTGGAATGGAGCACGCAACACAGGGCTTGTGCCTTTCTGAGAGTGATGGGATTGATCGGGCAATATCGGGCTGGCCTGCGAATTGGCTGGCCGGGTAGAGACAGTGACAGAAAGTGGGCTCGGGCGGCTATCGGAGTAAGAGCGATGCGACGGGTTACTCTGCGAGAGTGCATGGTAGGAAGTGGTTGATTCCAATGCTCCGGAAGTTATATCGGCTGTAGGTAGCACTTGACCATAGGGATCGCGGTCGTGGATGAGCTGAGACTGTAAGTGATGGTGTGATACCGGGGCAATGGGTCGGTTTTCGCGCAAGGGTGGATCGACTGAGTTGACAAGGTCGTCCCGAGACTGCACGTCCTCGTGCTGCTCGGGGCACGGAGGGTCTTCAGCGTCATCCCTGCTTTCCTGAATGATGGCACCATTTAGGCAGGCAGCTTGCTGGGCTAGTTTCTGTGCGGCGATCTCCTCTGCTGTGAGAAATCGGCCACCGGGACCGCGGGGACGACGCATGGCGTGCTTGTGGCGGGACTCGTGGAGATAAGGCTGTAGGAGGAGAAACCGAAGTAAGATGGAGGAAGGGCATGAGCAAGACGAAGCCAACCTTTCTTTGCCTTGAGAGTCTGTGGACCTCTTCCAGCCTGGCCCTGGCTACACGACGTTTGAGGATGCGGAAGTACTGTTTGGCATTGACATAAAGGGGCTCCTCGTCGACCGGTGTGCTGTCATCTGGGTGGGGTTCGCCGGTGGACACAGCACTGTCGATGTCGTGAGGGGATATTTGGTGGGTGTGGACGTGGCGGAAGACGTCGGAGGTGTGAGCGGGCGATGACGGGCCAGGGGACGGGTCCCTGTAGATATTTTGGGGGTAAATCTGGCTGTGGGGTGGGTCCTGGTGTTGGAGCTGCTGGGCTTGGTTTTGGTAGTTGTGGAAGTGGAGATGGTGATGATAAGCGGGGGAGAGCAGCTGATCGACAGGATCGCCCATTGATTGGCTCCTCGCGTTCACTCAACAAACCCTCCCAGCACTCGGCGTGACACAGCACCTCGTAATGTCACGCTCACGTGCCTGCCATTTCAACCACGACCATGTCTGCACTGGTAAGCCGGCCTACTAGCTATCCGTGTGTCCTCCTCGTTGCTAACCATTAATCCTGTAGTGCAGCTCCCCCGCTGCTCTCAAGGCAGAGCTCGACCGAATTCGCAAAAAGGTCTCCCTGCCCGAATCGGAGGACTCCTGGGATGTCATAGCGGACGGTCTCTCTTCTTTGATCACTCTCTGTCACAACGGAGGGTGCGATCATGCGTCAGACATGGTATCCGCCATCCGCTCGCTCTCGAGACCTTTGAACAGTGCGATGAACTCGGAGCGTACTCGCCTGTCAGGCACCGCCGTTGACCTGGTGTCGGCGCTCGCCGTCGGCCTTGGCTCGTCGTTCGAGCCGCTCGTGTCACTCTTTGTGCCTACATTACTCGGGTTATGTGGCCGTACTAACAAGGTCTTCACATCCCGCGCGAAGAGCTGCATCCTCACCATCATCGAACACACACAGCTCCCGTCCATCTTGCACTATTTGGTCGACATGGCCGCTCAGAAGTCTGCCTTACATCGCTTGGCGGCGGCAGAGGCCGTATTGGCTTGCCTCAATTCCTTGAATCCTCCTGATCTTGAAAAGGAAACCCGGGCTCGTTTAGTGGAAGACTTCATCAGGGTAACAGCCCGCGACGCAAGTCCGGACGTTCGGAAAGCAAGCAAGCGAATCTTTGCAGCCTACAAAACTCTGATGCCCGCCAGAGTGGAAAAGTAAGCCCGTCCACTGTCCATTAACAGGTTTTGTTTCTCATGTGCTGCAAATCCAGTTTTGTTAATCCTCTCACCCCGACGGTCAAGAAGTACCTCGATATTCAATCCAATTCCAGGGGAAACCGTACTGTACCTTCGGTGAAAGACTCTCGTCCCAAGGCAACTGTAACAAAGCAGAAAGAGTCTTCTGCGCAGGCTAGAGGCTCTCGTCCCGTTGCTGCCCAAGCTGTAGCCCGCACATCTCGCACTCTTCACGTGCCCACTCGTCGGGACCCGATACGACCACCTTCTGTAACAGCTCAACGCGCACCGTCTGGCAGGCCTTTGGTAAATCCCGGACCCCAACGTCCCGTGACCAAACCTAACGCCGGGGCTGGTTGCAATGCACTATCAGATCCGCCGCATACGGGAGGCGCTAGAAGGGTTCCCCTTCCAACGACTACTGATGCAGGTCCCAGTAAGGGATCATCCACAACGGAAGCCCGTAAGCCCGTCCGTGGAATACGTTTGGCCACCACCGCACCAAAAGTAGCCAACACTGCTGCGGGGACTCAGTTGGTACAGCCCAGTTCGAAACCTGCAGCGAAGGGTATCCATCGAACGAAACAGGCACCCAGACCTCTTCCTCGTTCCCCAAGTCCGGTTGTTCCTGCGGCGGCAGTCCCCTTACCTCCATCTCCTGAGCCTACTGCCACCGCGGTACCACCGACACCTGTGCGCAGCCTGCAGCAGGATGATGCTGCAACGACCCCCACAGTTGAGCAGCAGACTGTCACTAAGACCTCGGCGGCACAGCCGACATTTCCATCACCTTCCAAGACGCCGATCACGACGCTTTTGGCTTCCATCCAGCGAGGTTTCCTATTTACGCCAGCATCGCCCTTATCCCCACCTCTCACGTACCTACCTGTTGCAAACGAAAGAACGAGGACAAATCAGCAGACTGAAGATGACGAGTGGCCTGCTTTGAATATGACACGACCCTTGCGTGGTTAACCTAGCTAGGATGTCACCGAGAACACCGTCAGGAGCCAAGCTGGAAAGTTGTAGATCTTAGATTATAATTGAATCGTATTTGCCTTCCTAGCAAACTGTATCTAGCGCTAATCGAGAGGATATCTTGGGCTACGAAACCTTGCATAAGACATATGCTGTCGTAGGATGACTTCTACACCAGTGAGAGTGAGCGAAGGTGTCTACTGTCTCGATCAATTAGCGCCACGACATCAGATCGAGAGCACGGAATGCACCTCCGAGCAACCCAGTGATGCTAATGACTGAGAGCCAGTCGGCCCTTCGCCAGCCGGCGTTGTAAAATCTTGCGTCCATTGGCTGTCTTTTTTCGAGCGAGAAAGCCATGTTTTCTCTTCCTACGCCGTTGTGAGGGCTGATACTCCGTCCCCCGCGACGCAAACCGTTGTTGGAAAGCGGGAAAGAGACTCGGATAAATTTTGGGAAGGGAGAAACCAGGCGGGCGTATGATCGGGACACGAGCGGCCACACTGGGTAGCACGGCTACGCGCAGGAGCGAGGACAGCAGACCCAGCACCATTAGTGCGTTGTGAGGGACTAAGTCAGAGATTGTGGTACTACGGTACAAACATGGTCCAACAGCGTCTGCCAATTTTTTCGCTCCTCCAACGACGTTAGCAAGGTGTGATCATGTCCCGATTTTTTAGACAACTAGGCGATTCCGATTCGGACACTGAGGAATCCGACGAGGAACTCCTCACCAGCGGGGATGAGGAACTCGCTCCTCCAAAACAGCCGCAGAAACCCTCCAAACCAACCGGAATGTCGCAATTCCTCCGCACAGCCGGAGGCGATTCCAGCTCGGACTCAGAGTCATCGTCTGACGAGGATGACAGCGACGACGACGATCTTGGAGGAGGGGGTGCAAAATCCGATGAGGAGGAAAGCGAAGACGAAGACGTCAAACGCACCATTAAAAGTACCAAAGACAAGCGTCTGGATGAAATCGAAGCGACCGGGAAGGCGATCGAGAATGCTCTCAAGATCAACGACTGGGCAGTCACTTCGGCTGGCATGTTCCTCCCATTTCAATGATATATTCGGTTGCTCACTCTGCGGATGTCAGAATTCGATAAATTGCTTCGCCTTGTCCAACGGCAGAGCAACGTAGCAGAGCCGATCCCCCCATTCTTCGTCAAGGCCCTTATCAACCTTGAGTCTTCCTTAAACACAGCCCTTGCAAAAGAAAAGGAAGCCAAGAAGAAAACGAACGCTGCGAACGCTCGAGCTCTGAACTCAATGAAGCAAAAAATCAAAAAAGCTCTAAAGGAATACGAAAAGGAAATTCACCAGTATCAGGCAGTACGCCATTTCTTTCCCCCTTCATATGGTTGCCCAACATTTCATCCAGGATCCGGATGCTTTTGAGCGCGAATTCACTGCACACACTCAACCGGCTGAAGCCGTGTCTATCAAAGCGAAGAAAGTTAAGAAAGCTACGATAGATGACGGTGGCGAAGACGAGCTTGAGGTTGATGATCACTTCACTGTTGTTGGAAAAGGTGGAAAGGCCATGCAGTTCACTGCTGATGCCATATTTAAGACCCTTAAAATCGTTAATGAGGCCCGTGGCAAGAAGGTTCGTCACTATACTCTTGCACAATCTATCCCTGACCGAATCGTAGAACACGGACCGAACTGAACAAATACGCATTCTGGAAAAACTTCTTGAGGTTGCTGTAACATCCTATCAGCGCCTCCGGGTCCTTTTGGCACTTGTGTCCTCGCGCTTTGACTTTAATTCCTCCATCGCTAACTATATGCCCATCGAATTGTGGCTGGCTGCTCAACGCGAAGTTGACCAATTAATTTCCATCGTTGCCCTGGACCCTTCCTATGTTGTCCAAGAGCACACGGTTGATTATGATGAGCTTCTGGAACGCTCCCCTGCTACTGAGCCAGAGGGTATCGTCCGCATAAGGGGTAGTATCATTAGTTTTGTCGATCGCCTCGATGATGAGTTCACCAAGAGCCTGCAAAACATCGATCCACATGGCACCGAATATGTCGACCGCCTGAAGGACGAAAAAGTTCTCTACCGGACGATCTGTCGGGCGCAGGCTTATTATGAGCACTCTGAGCAAGCGGAGCCCCTTGGGAGAGTTGTTGTGCGACGGCTGGAACACATCTACTGCAAGGTAAGCTCGGTAGAGATCTTTGCACTTCCTCCGAGTTCATGTCCCATCTAGCCTGACGCAGTGGTCGCTGCTCTCGAATCTTGTCTTACATCATCGGATGTACAACCGAGTGTGGTGCTCACTTCGACTCCGACAACGTCCAACCTCGTTCATCGCTTATGCGTCCATCTCTACAAAGCTGATAACTCGCTGCTGCGCACGAGAGCCATGTTGTCACATGTCTATCATCACGCTTTGCACAACGACTTCTATACTGCTCGCGATATGCTTCTTATGTCACATCTTCAGGAGTCTATTCATTCCGCTGACGTTGCCACTCAAATATTGTACAATCGCACAGTTGTTCAGTTGGGTCTCTGTGCGTTCCGATGTGGCTTGATAAAAGAAGCGCAGGCAACCCTTCAGGATATCTTCGCAACCCAGAGGGTCAAGGAACTCCTCGCTCAGGGTGTCCACCAACAACGTTATCAAGCGCAACTTACCCCCGAGCAAGAACGAGCTGAGCGATCCAGGCAACTTCCCTTCCATATGCACATCAACACTGAGCTGTTGGAGGCTGCATTCCTCGTTTCCAGCATGCTGGTGGAAATCCCCCTACTAGCGAGCATCGAGTCTGAAGAGCAGAAAAGGAAAATGATATCAAAACCATTCCGTCGGTTGCTGGATTTCGCGGACCGTCAAGTTTTCACTGGACCACCGGAGAGTACTCGGGATCATATTATGCAAGCCAGCAAAGCACTTCAGGATGGTGAATGGGAAAAATGTCGCGACCTTGTTCAGAACATCAAAATATGGAGTTTGATGCCTGAAGCAGCTTCTGTAAAAGAAATGTTGGCAAGGTAAGCATACATCGTCTTTAAGTCAATGCTCATATTCATCTCTGGATATGTAGTCGGATCCAAGAACAAGGTCTGCGTACGTACCTGTTCACATACGCCCCGTATTACAGCACTCTCTCGCTGTCGCTATTGTCTCGGTCGTTTTCGCTGCCCTTGCGGACAGTCACCTCCATTATTTCGAAGATGATTTGGAACGAGGAACTATCAGCTTCTTTGGACCAATCCACTGATACCGTTATCTTCCACCGCATCGAGCATTCTCGTCCTCAGCAACTCGCGCAACTCATTTCGGAAAAGATGAGCGCTTTGGTTGAACACAACGAGAAGACATTGGACAGCAAGTTTGGCGGTGGAGGCGGATGGGGCGACCGTGGTGACGTTAAGGGTGAAAAACGAGGAGAGCAAACCCAAGAACGCCGAGGAAACCGGACAAGAGGTGCTCTGCGAGGTAAGCCTCTTGAAATACTGTTGTGCATAAGGTACCTTAACCCACATATTTAGGAACTCGTGGCAGAGGCTCCAGGTTTGCGCAGGGTCTTGGGAACCAGATGGCAGAACTTTCCTCGCAACGGGCACACTGATGTTTAACTATCTATCGTTGGACTATGTATCATGGTACCCTATGTCATACAAGTTATACTGCGTACATGTGCGCATGTATGTATCTTCCAATGCATTCTCTGATCCCAATGATTTTGCAACTTCCTGTCCATCATACATTCCATAACATATCACATCCATCTCGAGAATTTTCCAGATAAATCAAAAAATGATGGGTATAATGGTTCTCCTCTGGCAATGGTGTATTAATGCTACATACGATAATGGTTTCATTCTAGAAAACATCCAATGAATGGGGACAGTGAGATGCAACGTGTCCGAAGCTCTCGCAGTCTACGCAAAAGCGTTCTGATGAGAAATCTCTTGTGGAAGCAGACCTGGAGGTGGAGGTATGTATTGGTGCACCGTCTCTCAAGAGATTGCACGTGAAGATGTCGTGGCCGGGGCGCTCGCAGATCTCGCATACGTCGCTTGATAATGAGCGGAATTCGTCCCCGCTACTTGCTACATCAGAGGAGATGGACAGCTTGCGCTGTGTCGCGCCGGGTTCGGCACTGCCCTGCTTCCTACTTCGGGACAGCTTCTCTTTCAGTTGTTCAATTTCTTGTTCGAGCTCGTCCTGCACCATGACCATGTCAGCCATCTATGTCCAGGTGCATCCCAGCAAACGTACTTCTCGGTATATCTAGCGAAAGTAACGTGGTGGTTAGCTAGCTGACGGAATATTCCAGCGTCACGCATAGTTACCTTGGACTCGACTAATGTTTCCAATTCACCGATTTCCTTATTCAACTAGACCAGAACTGCATCAGGTCAGGAGTTTGTGGAATTTGTTGCGAAGCGTACATCGTGCGTCACGCGAGCTGTCTTCATTTCGGCGTCTGCGAGCCGTTTGCGTAGTTGCTCAAGTTCACTCTGAAGGGCAGGAAGTTGGTAAGGTTCTCAAATGGGGTAGTGCCACCCACCTCATACCGGGTCTGCACGTCCCGTGAGATCCCTGATTGATCTTCAGAATCAAGGGCGGCTTCCTGACAGAGGAGAGTTCGTTCAACATTCTCTTCAAGGATCTTCATTTCCTGGAACCTGAAATGAGCGTCGCAGTGGGGGTACTTGGAAAATCATACTCGGCGCAATTGATCAGTCTCGGACATCAAAAGCCGGTTCTCCGATTCCAGGAGTTTATTCCGCTGCGTCACGGTCATTATTTCCTTCTGCAACTCTTGTACAATGTGTCTGCGATTGATTCTTCAACTTCCCCTTCTATATTGACATACGACAGTGCTTACTTTAGGCCCTTGATTTCTTCCGACTCGTGTTTAGACGTGTTACGCTTAGATGAGTCCGTTGAACCGTTTAAGGGGAATTCGCGAGTGAGCCTCTTTTGCAAGGTCTCCGCTTCTAGTGATTGTTCTTTCAATCGCTTCTTGAGGGAGAGTACCTCTGCACATTCATTTTCGTACTTCGAGTGCCACGTGGCTTCCTTTGATGAAATAAGTTGGAGAACATGAACAGAACATTACACACATACTTCGGACATAGCGCTGCCTGTTTGGGACATGGGTCGAGGATGATGGAGCACTTCCCCTAGGTCCTGGATATCTAGGTTGGATATGGCCGACATCTTCCGAGATGCATTGCTCTGGCCTTTGACTCCTGCATCCGCAGCCTTAAGGTTTACTTCAGTCCAACGGCCACTAGAAGAGCCTCGGAAGGAATGCTTACTGCGACATCCGACCGCAGAGTTTCTATCTCTGCTTGTGCATTCTCAAGGGCGAGGGTGCTTTCGCGTAGAGCCTCTTCTAATTCCTCCACACGGCACTTAACCAGCGTCTCAGACTTGAGAACTTGTTCGACAGTTTTGCGCCCCTCGTTCAATTCACTTCTCATAGCATCTTCTTTCTCCTTGAAACGCACAATCTTTTCTCGCATGTTTGCTTCCTCTCTTTCCGACGCTGCTCGGACATCTTCAAGGGTATCTTCCGCAGCAGAAAGTTTCTTCTGCAGGTGTTGTACTTGATCACGAAGGGTTTCATTGTCGATCTCGGCAGCAGTCGCACTGCGAGAATCAGCACCAGTCGAGAGTGGCGAACTTGCCTTCCTGACTTGCTCCTCTAGTGCCATGATTCGGTCTTCCAGTTCGTACCGCTTGCTATCCGCTGCACTCAGGCGCTCTTCATACAACGCAATTGTTTCCTAAATTGAGTCCATCAGTGACTGACAACGAAGAATAACTGTATTTACTTGGCCTGCTTGACGAAGTTCGTCAATCTGCCCACCTAGTTCCCTGCGTTCCATATCCAGTTCTGAAGACACCTTCTCCAAGCGGCCTTGAAGAAGCGTGATCTCGGCGTTCTTTGCTTTCAGCAGTGCATCGCTTTCATGCTCTGCGCCTTCTTTGTGTTGGATCGCTTCCTTTAGGCTTTTCACCAACGCTTCGTTCGTATCTAACTTTGCCTGTAAGTCGTTCATACGCGCCTCACTCTCCGCTTTAACCCTTTCCAACTCGGCTGTGGTCTGTGAGTGCGAGCGCTCCAGAGCTTCGCATTTTGAATCCTTCTCGCTGAACCTTCGTTCTAGACTACGGAGCTCCTTTTCCGTTTCTGCCATGGAGGAAAGGGCGGCATCGCGTTCTTTTTCCGCTGAGATCCGCTGCTGGGCTTCTGGGAGTAAGGAAGCAACGGTGTTTTGCAAGGAAACAACTTCCTGCTGCAAATTGTCCAAATTGGCATTCAATGTTGCTGTGTCTGCTTCGTGTGTAGGAAAGGAGACGTTGGAGGAAACCGAATTTAGGATAGATTTGGTGGTCGTAGAGTCCCCAGCTAAGCGTGGGCTTGCTTCACCTTGCAGAGATTGAGTAATGCTATTTAAAGGTGCAGACAAGTTATCGACCGATAGCCGGCCGTTCTGAATCGAAATGTCGTTGTAAGAATCAGGGGAGCTGGATCGCTGCGCTGGGGATTGGGGAGGAGGCATCGCAACAGCACTTGGGATACGTGGACGCGGGGTGTTTAGGGACGGTCTGTGCTTGACTCCAGCAGTAGATGCACCATCTATGGCGTTTGTATGTCCGGACGCAGCTCGGGCTTTAGGAGTAGTGCAGGTTAAAGCCGAGAGTCCTGGTTCGGAGTCGAGTGTACGGGTGGGTGAAGATGGAGGTCGGGGGGAAGATCCAGCTGAGAGAGATTCCTTCCCTGGTGACCGGGAACTCAGCTGTTTCGCTGTCAGGCCGACATACCGTGAAGCCCTGGAGCCCGATGTTATCTGAGTCTCGAAGTCAGGACGTAGAGTCGCCGAGGATTTCTGGGACTGCTTGAGCTTGCCCGCGGACGGGGTAAGACAGGGAGTGATTCGACTGTGCATTGCCATGTGGTTTTTCCTGTCTGCGTAAGGTGTGATTCCACTTATTGAATTCGAGGGAGTAACGCGACCGCTGCTTAGAGATATGGATGCCGAAGGAGTGATCCGTCCAGAAAAGGAGGGTGTGATTCGACCGCTGCGGGATGAAGCGACTGACGACGGCCTAAAAGTGAGGGCAACGGTCGGAGGGGACAATTTGGTGAAGGCTACGAAAACACCGCAGTTATTGGGACATGTAAAGTACCGTTTCCTAGAAGAATTCATCAGTTAGCACCACGATACGGGCGAGGGCAGCTGCGGGATGACTGACAATGCCCCTCTGACAAGGGAGTAGCCAACACCGATAACAAACTTACCCGTTGACGGATCCATCGTTTTTCCCTTTTCCTGCAAAGCCTCCGCTCAGCTCAACTCCAGCCCATAGGCCAGGCTTTCCGTCGATCTCGCCAATATACTTGAGAGTACCCTCATAACCTAACGACTCGATGCGGACACTCTCGCCAACTTCGAATGTTCGATTGGAACGACTAGCACTCCTCGACCAAGTGTCAGATTGACGGCTAGGAGGGCGGGCAGAAGGGGTTTTGGCCCTGGCAGGTATTACGCCAGGGATGGAGGCAGCGGAGGAAGGCCTTCCGGCAACAGAGCGCCTCCCGGAAAATAATGTTGTGCGCGAAGACGAGGAGGGTGAAGAACCATGGACTAAACTTGTTGAGCGGTGCTGCGAGGGGTCGTTGGCTCTAATTGCATCCGCCAGCGCGCGGGAGGCATAATCAGTGTCGGAGTCGTGTGTTGCGTGGATGTTGACGTTAGACGAGGAACGGAATCTGCCAGGGGTGGGTATCCCACTGGATTTTGCAGGCGGGGGTATCCCCGATACTCTTGGTTTTCCGGGGGTAGTCGACATCTCAATGATGTTGCCTGTGGGAGGCCTCCGAGGTGCAACACCCCGCTTTATAGGCTGACTAAGCAGCGTATGCTAGACGCCCATAACTGTGGGCTGAAACTTCGGTGCTGCACCCAAGCTTGCCACCGACATGACCGCCCGACGGAAGAAACAGCAGTTCGTCGACAAAAAGGTCACCGACTTCTTTGGCCGACAACCTTTGGGTCCGCAGCCGCCCTCGCAGAATGCGCCTTTGACGCGCTCTCCCCGAATGCCTCGAAGCGCGTCTGTACGGGCAACGAAACGCGAAGACGGCGTTGCAACTCAGACCGACCCAAGGCCTGCAGGTGAATCCACGACGCTGCTCTTCCCACACCATCACTAAACCTTTGTCGTTTTCCTCACCAGACACCGGTGCTCAACGTACAATGACGACACGCTCCGTTGCAAAACGAGTACATTCACCAGAAATCCTTCCGGTGCTTCACATGTCTCTGTACTGAGAAAGTCATCCTACAAGCGCACCAGGGTAGAAGAGGCGCCCCTCGAGCCAACGCGCCGGCCAGTTACCTCAACCTCACCCCCTGAAGAACGGACACCCGTGTCGTCTCCAGCCCCTAGCGAACAACTCATCCATACTAGTCAGTCAGACGAAATGGATCTTACTCTGTCAACACCCCTTCGACGAGATTCAGACCAAGTCAGAAAGGACATAGAGATGTGGAAGAAAGGTGCGGTCGCATCCTCCGCTTCTCCCAAGCGCCGCGAAACCGTGCGGGAGGACTCTCCCTTATCTCCTCTGACTTCCCTGGCCACCTCTCCAGTCCAAAATACCGAAACTCCCATCCAAACCCCTATATGCGCCTTTTCACCGTCTGACACAAGAGAACCGTCTTCTCCCCCGTTCCCCCCTACCCCCAAAGCGCTGGACCCGGATACTAAGGCTGCCAATCTTATCGCAGAAATTAAAGCCAGAGCTTTTGCTTCTGTCTGTCCCCCGAGTGGTGATGAAAAATTGTTGAAATATCGAGAACTCGACGACAGCGATGAGGACGACCTCCTTTCTCCTGTCTGCACAAGTAAAAGGTAGCTGAATGCTAGTTTCTTTACACCTTATGCATCACTAATGCCAGTCTTCGCTGCCGACAGAGCAGGAGGTGAACGAGATGTAGCTGCCCCACTTTTGACAAGTTTACGCTCTGCCTTGGAAAGATCGTCCCCTGACCTCCGTCGCAGTGTCGCCAGCCGTCCCTCCGAGTGGCCTTCACAGTCGCAACTGCCTAAGACATCTGGGAGGTTCCGCAAGACAGTTCCAATTCCACCTGGTAAAGATTCGTCCTCAAAGCGTAAGAAAGCTCCTAACCCCCTCGATGAACTTCTCCGGGAGAAGAGGGCTGCCGACAAGCAGGGTACAAGTTCCGCTGCTTTGCGTCTCGCCGAAAGTGCCATTAAGCAGATGCCTGACTTGCTCTCCTTGGACGACCATGAGATGAACTTCATGGACGAGGGGGCAGCAAGAAGAGCTGTTCAAAACGTTCAACACTTGAGCTCGCCTGGAGAGGAGGCCGATTCTGTAGACCTTGCTCTCGCATTCCAAAACACCAGTATCTTAGGGTCTGATGCCGGAGAAGCGATACAGAAGATTCTACACAGCGACAGAATCAATGAAGGGAAGGGCATGGCGGAAGCCGCCGAGAGAGGAAAGTCTTACGGAGTTCCGCTATGGAAACCATATTCCATCGAAGACATGGATATTGATCTGGCACCCACCTCAAGACCACCGTCTGGATACGCATCCCCCATTACCATGCTTCTCGACCAGTTGATTTGCAATGGAAGTATGTACTCTCTGCTTTCACCTATGTCTTGCTGATGTTTGTTTAGATGATGTACAGTTGGAGTTATTGCTCAACTCGGGCTTGCTCATCAACGTACCTTCTCAGGGGCTGCCCTCCGTACTGTCCTCACTGTTCACTAATGGTGCATTCTCTTTATCCATAGCTTTCTTAACGTATTACTTATGTTCCCGTAGGGCTTTGCTCTTCTACCCCCGTGGCTGATGCCACCTACAACGCCCTGCGCGACATATGTTCGCACCGCAAGAGCGAAGTCGTCTTTCCCTTCTCTACTGTGAAGATAGCACTTTTACAACTTGGTGCTTGTCCTTCCATTTTCGAGCAAGTTGGGTGGCAGGTCAATGATACTGCGCAAGATCGGTACTTCTCTCCGGAAACCCGCTCCAAGTTGTTAGTGCGATTCATCGCAACCATCGAGATGATGGCAAGGTAAATGGCTCCATTCAATGCCATTTCCACACCTAACCAGCTTACCTAGCTTGGCGGCTGTAATGCCGAGCGAGCTAGCAGATTTCGTTCTGTGCATAATTCTCTTGGCACTAGACCCCGTTACCCCCCACGCTCTCCACGTGCACCTAAATTCCGCAATGGATGCCATTTGCACCCGCAGTATGGGACACTCCACTGTAGTACGCTCTCTCATAAGTCTAGTCTGGCAACAATTGACTCACTTTTCCAGCTATGTTCTATCCATCAGAAAGTGTTAATTTTTGCCTCCAATCTCAACTCAGCGAATAAAGCTCGCCTGGTCTCGTTGTTTAGTAGTGGTGGCCCTCAAGCAAGACTTATCGGGCAATGGCTTGCGTACTGCTTGCTTATTCCAACAACAGCACCGCTGATGGTATGTACTGTTATATCACATATGCACAAAAACGAACTTTTCACCTTAGGATCAACTTCCTCCGCTTGAGCCGCTCATACACCTGCTCACCCCGCCTTCCGATTCCGGTCAATTATTTGATGTGGCTAACGAGAATACAGATTACGAAGATCTTGACCACTGTGTCGCAATCCTAGCTGTCGCACTCACTGATATCGCGCCGTACGTTCGAGAAGAACGATCTTTGGTGCGACAGCCTAGCATCGCATTGGACGAAGGTACTCCTAGCAATGCCAAAAAGTTCCACACGCCACTCGAGCGACTTCACTACGCCCTCGATGTTCTACGAGGCAAGATAGGTAAGTATATCGTCCGACATTGCAACGTTGTTACTCACCCATCTTCACACTGAAGTGGACACCCGAGCCGCCCATCTCGACCGCTCGAGGGTTAAAGCGACCATTCAACGCCTCGCGATGCGTATTTATTACGACCGCCTTGCGATCAAGGGAATGTCCTCATGTGGGCGGGCATCAACTCTTCAAAGCTGGTTTTCGCCTTCGCGCTGAAGGACTCCGTTCCATACATCTGCTGCTTAGTCTTCTTTATAATTGAGCGCGTATACGTCGACGACTCTAATCAATGTCACCTGCAGTAGCATACATCTTCTGGAGTATTACATAGAATACGTGAAGCAATGAACCTTTACTGGCATGAGTACCATCCAACCGCTACGTATCACGAACCACGGCTAGTAGTTGAAGTAGTTAGAGGCCTCGATAGCATCACGGATTTGAGCTTTTTCAACCAATCTGCAGCCTGCGTCACTTCCTCGACATTGCTCTGTGCGATACGTTCCAGGTACTCCTTGGCAAGCTCCAAATCACCGCCTGGAATTACCATTTGGTGGCGAGCCACATATATGCTTGATTTTGCATAGTCTTGAATTGGACGTCCTAGAATTGTTATGATACCTTAGCGCGAAAGAATTGGACAGCACAAAAAGGCGTACCCTCCGCGCGAGAAATGTCGACAACCCTCATGTGGTATGCTGCAGCTTCTGTAGGCTCTTCTAGCTCTTCATAAAGCTTGGCAAGCTTCAGGCATAACGTAGTCTCTTGTGAGCCTGCACTTAACAAGGCGCGTTTGAGGCACTCCACAGCGTCCCTCGTACTGGATAATTTTTTTTAGCGATATACGCTTGCAGAAACCCCACGACTCACCGCCCGATTTCCTCGTAACACGTGGCCTGGGCCTGCCACAGTCGGACATCGTATGGCCTACTCATTCCTCGTCAAGCTGACCTTCCGCAATGTTATCGAAGGCCACCCACCGAAGAGCCGTAGCTCGCTGGTAGTAGTGTAGTGCATACTGGTGCATGCTCAGAAGTTCGTAAGCCTGACCAAGGCCGTACCATGCTCGATAATCCTTCCTGCTGATATCTGCCACAACATGGAAGCGACACCAACAGTAACTCAGGGAGCCCCACGTACCCACGGCGCGTCGGTACGCTTCTATGGCAGCGTGCGAGTTCTTCATCTCTATGTATTCGTGACCCATCAAGGTCCATGCCGAGAGGTAAGTCCGATCGAGCTCGGTAGCACGCCTAAAGTATTTTACTGCCTTCTCGTGCTCGCCACGCAGAGAGTAGTGGTTTCCTAGAGAAACCAGCTCAGCTTTCCGTCGGCGCTGGTGTCAGGCGAGGTCCAGCTCACCGACCAAACAACAAACTTCGGGCCGGTCCTTATCCCGCTCAAGAAACTCGTGCGCAAGCCAGGTAAGTTTTAGTCGATTTTCTGTGACGTAGAGTATGTTGGAGTAGATGTCGATGTCGTCGACTCGATAGGGGTCTAAAGACAGTACGTTCTCGAACTGTTTTTCTGCTTGTCCAAAATCTAGAAAACGAGAACGACACGTTAGCCTTGCGTACAATAAAGGGGCAATGTTGACAACCATGTAGGTGGTAAAGGACACATGCGCGTAAACTCATCACCCAAGGGTTCCCCCGAAAATAGTCGTCGCCCAAAAGATGGTCACACAGAGCAAGCTCATTTTCCGTCGGGCTGTTGAGCTCGTTCATCGCTTTAACCTGAAACAATTGTACTAAAGGATGGCTGGCCGGAAATGGTAGAAGCGGAAGGAGAGATGCGAGCTGACAGAACCAAGCTTAGCGATGCTGATAAGCCACAAGTCAAGCAAATCCAACCTCCTGGGCATCTCCCACACATTGGCCTAACAAAGTCCACGCGGACCAATTCCACGGGTATCCACTAAGAGAAATGATTATGCTTTCCACTGCTTCTTCTCGCCTAGTTAAACGAGAAAGAAAGAGTCCTTTTCTGTTTATCAAGCGTTCGAGGTAGAATTCTGACCCATTGCCAGGAAAGACTCACAAAAATAATAGCCACGGATCGTTGGTATCCTTGACCAGCTCCAAGTGACCAAATAAACGTTGATTGAAAGGTATCGCTGGTTGATCGCGATCGCCTAAAGGCCAGGGTCAATTGCGCCTGCGACACGACCTCCTTTCCGGTTAACTAACTGAAATTCTTATACCAGTTCCTCTCAGTATTCCTTTCACCAATCTTCTTATGGTGTCACTTCCCGCTTGTTATTTTGAGGTGCAGTCACTTACCAAAAATTGGCAGTATACTGACAAGAACTGAGCCTTCGGACTCTTGCAACCTTGAAGGACATGTACCACTCTGCTAAACTCTTTAGATGAAAAAAACGCCTGAGCAGTAAGAAGAGCTGCTTCATCGGCTTGTTCTAGGTCCACTTCTTGTGATTGACAGGCAGACCTTTCGGACGTGGATATGGGCACATAGTGGGGCGCCTTGAGTGGAATGGAAAGACCGGTACCGACGGCTGGCGAGTCAACAACAAATGAAAGCGAAGGCTGTGGGGAGCGAGAGCGGGCAGGCGTTGAGGTTGAAAACGTGGTAGGGTGTTCACACAAAGCGCCCCGTTTATGTTGAGGTATCGAAAGATAGAGTTCGGATGACCTGGTGCGGACGAACAAACTCAACACGTTGCAACTGCTGCGAAGGACAGATCTACCATTTAGCTGCAACTGCAAGACCTCTGTCTGCACAATCTTTGATAGACCTGTGCAGCTCAGTTACCAGTCGCAAGTCCATGTACGGTTTCACTACACCCTGATGTACGTAGCCAGTCTATTAAGAACAGTGCCGACACAACGGTTCGCTTTAACGGGGTAAGTGTGACGGAAGACTATCTTGGAAATAGGCATTGGTCAGTGACTTCCAAGCTTCGAGAAATGCTACGAAGAAAACACCGGAACCTATCACCAAACACCTACTTTGCCTGGTGCCACTTTGGAGCGGCGTCCGAGATGAGACCTATCAAGGTTAAGCGTTAAGACAGGGTGGGAAGAAGTTCACACGCTCAGGCTGGATTGCCAAGAACGACTGTGAGTCTCCCATCCATATAGGTGCAGTCCGGGACTGATGTCGCGGGCCTCTTCATTTCTCTAGCCATGGCATGGAGCCATTTGATATTCGACACACTTTTGTGTTTCCTCCTTTCCAGATTTTTCCTGGTCATATACAGGTCCTTCCGCCGTTCAGAGCGCCCTATGCGGAGGGACACGGAAACATGTAGCTTAGCCATTTTCCTAGGTTCAGGTAAACCTGATCTTGCCGTTGGCAACCCTTCCCAAATCGCTACGGCCTTCTGATTTTCAGGTGGTCATACCGCTGAAGCTTCAATACTACTCTCGGCGTTAGATTTTTCCCGCTACAGTCCTCGGACTTACATAGTCAGCGAGGGTGATGAACTCAGCAGCCAAAAGGCTGTAGCCTTGGAACACCTCGAGAGTGCGAAGAACACGCCTTTTGACGTTAGCTAATGTCCGCCGACTGCGTGTAGACATTATTCTGATTTTTTTTTTTTGGCATTCTCAGGACGCGGCCGAGGGTCGGTTCAATTACAGGCTCATGAGAATACCTCGTGCTCGCTATGTTCACCAGCCTTTACTGTCTGCACCTTTCACAACGTTCAAGTGCTTCTTGGCTTGCGTACGTCTAGTTACGGTAGTTCCACTTTTCCAGAAGACCGCCCCTGGAAAACCGTTTGTGGATCTTCTGATCATGAATGGTCCCGGAACGTGCGTTCCGCTTTGTGCAGCCATAATGCTCAACCGAGTAAGTTATCGATTTCTATGCAGAATCGAAATTGCCTTTTTTTTCTAAACCTCGGCCCACAGCTGGTTGGATTGCCGACTCCCAGAATGGTGTTTGTTGAATCCTTTGCCCGTGTCCAAACCATTTCGCTTTCGGGAAGTATACTGTGCCGCATAGTCGATCGGTAAGCTCCATCAACTCAAAGCTGCGCCGTACTAATTTGTCGTCAGGTTTATTGTACAGTGGCCGGAGCAGATTGCGTTGACTGGTGGTCGCGGTGAATGCTACGGATGGCTTGTTTAGCCGCGGCAGTTCGACACTTCCTACAGTCTTATCAATATTATTATTTTCTCTCTGCTGGTGTTATTAGTACCATAAGGCTGTGTATATCGTCAGAGACTCCGGAAGTGTGGGGCGTGGAATGTCCGCCGAAGTTTCAGCCCCTGAACGCTTGGCATGAGTACCAACTCACGAGATAACGGCTATGGGGCCCGCAAAAGTTCTTGCACATCTTCATTGTGGAGGGTGTGAAATTTTGTTGTACGAAACCGGTTTGCATTTGTTCGGATCCGTTGTGCGACGACTCGATAGTCACTCACAACCAGGAGTATAGTCGACGACAGGTGCCTGGGGTTGTTCCACACAACTCGTAGTTATTATGTACCATGTTTAATTGGGTCCATACCAAGAAGCCGGAGTGGAAGAGCGTTCGACATGACATTCACAATTTGGAATAAGTATTCAGTAAGCTTTTACTTCCTCGTCCATCTGTCTTCTCCGCTGTGGGTACCCCTCCTTGAAGGACTGGCGCTACGGCCACGGCCACTCTCTCTCCTGCCGGGCTCCCACCCACCGCCTCCTCCCTGGTTCTTCGGAGGATTCAACCGCCTTTCTAGTTTCTGTCCGTGACGTAAGGACCGTACAAGCTCTGGAGATGCCAACCGTAGATGCATGAAATTACAAAATCCACCTCTGTTGCACTCGCCATTCTCATTTTGGCGGCAGCAGGCTTCACGAAAATCCGTGACCGGAGACAGCTCCGCATACAGCGGACGTCCTGGGAAATGGGTGAATATCGAAACGAGGGCGGAAGTCGCGGAGTTGCACCAATACGCCTACCTGCATACCATCGATCATTCAAATTGTCAACTGCAGCCTGTGCTTCCGTTTCCCATTCGTATCTAGCATAAACATTGCCGATGAGATGATCTCCGACATTGTCACAAACCTGCCGTGTGGATGAGGTTCATCTGCCTCTCACGAGCTCAAAGAAAATCACATACATGTAACTCCAACAAGTGTCCAAACTTGGACAATTCGCAGTATAAATCTTCGTAAACCGCGTCGAAACCCTCCTGTAACTCCTGCTCTGTGAGCTTGCATACTGGGTCATGAGCGGGGTTGTGATACACGTTCGGAAGGAGGATGGTTTGGGAGAAAGGAGGTCGAATATGTTTCCTGGAGCACCTATCACCATGCCTGCAAGCCCCAATCTATGAAGAGAAGAACATCGGCAGGTTAAGATGCACACATATCAAATCAGCTGACCAACCTTGTAGTAGAAAGAACAGTTGACTCGATCTTGTTCTGTACCAAAAATGTTGGCCTAGAGATACGTAAATACGTCTTTCCTTGAGAACGTAGAAAGAACGACCGCACGAGATGGGATGCCATGTTCACACGTTATGGATACCTCGTCAATGATGACGATGACGGGTGTTAGTGTGTTAGTGAACAAACGAAAATCACTGAATAAGCGCGTTACTGTCGTTGTGGCGCCCACGAGTTGTCGGAGTTTGAAAACTGGTGGCGATGGCCATCGCAATTGTCCAACTTACATAGAACGTGGCAAACTGTGTATACAGCACTGAGTACGGCTGACTTAGCTACATTGGTCTGTGGAAACCCAGGCGTGTGCTAAAGATCTCATCCCCGCGAATGGCTGCTTCTTCCGGCGATCTGTGAGCACTTACCGCGCCCTGGGCCGAAGTACTCTTTGCAGGTGCTGCCTCATTTCTGGCTTCGTGACACCGAGGGATCAGGGCCTTCCAAATTTGAGCATGACCGTGCACCGGCATGGTACACACGAGGATTTCTAAAGAGAAAGATGGATAACGCGCAGTCTCTTGGCCAGACTTTTAGGAGGCGTGGGGGGCCGAGATTCCGAGGCTGAGTGAGGTGAAACGAAGATGTTTGGAACTATGGCAGAAATCATCGTATCGTCTTTTTTGGGTAAGGTTAACTTCCTTTCCAATCCTGCTATCTCTAATTCCGAGTTTCACAGCGAACAGATCATAATGTTCTGTCTTCCAACACGGTGCAGCTCCCATCCCCCGTCCGCCGACTATGCTGCCGGGCCGTTAGGTGTGGCAGGCAAATTGAAGGACAGTCTGCAGTGCAAGGTTCAGCGATCGTGAGAGTGCAGAATTGGCACAACTTTACCATCCCACAGTATGATGACTAATGGTGGCCGTATTGTTGCTGTTTCCACTTGAATGACTGTAGCATAACTGAAAGTACCCACCTCGAAGACTCGAACTCACTTTTAGACTCTCGCTCAGCAAACGTAGGATCACCTGGGATGGCTCCACTAAGCACAATTTCGCACGAGTTAACGACGTTCACGGAGATTATGCCGCCGGCCCACCAAGCTTGATCCATATCACTGGTTGGGTGGTAGACCAGTACCGCTTTTTTCCGATCAATGATGATGCGCTGTCCCGTGAGGCTCGCCCATCAGAAGCGTGAATACTTACCGCGGACGTCACATTGCCATAGGTAGCTTAGTTCATTTTGCAACCCCCTGGGTCGGAAGGTCGGCGCATGCAGTATGCCACCGATTGCCGGACAATTGGGACTAAATCTCCCGGCTTACTGGATACATAGCCGTGTGGCTTTGTCCACTTTTGGATGATTGTTAGGAAGCAGGTAGTGAAATTGCTGTACAGCAGCGGTCGGGAAGGACAGCGCATGCGGTAGTATGTATGTAACCGATTCAGTCGGACATGGTACGCCACTCATCGTAAGCGAGATTATAGACCCCTAGAGTTGGGTCATTACGTAAGCTATATGACCCGTGTCACATTACTGCTGTAAACAATGTTTTCATTTTCATTATCGTGGCCACAAATGACCTCGGCGCCACAATGCCGCCCTGCGCTTGCAAGATCGCGACAGTAATGTCAAAAACATCGCTTGTTGCTGAGTGTCTGGCACATCTGTGATAGAACTGATTCCGGTTCGCATGTATATCTGCCCAGGGCTGAGTACAACACTCATTTAGTTGACAATCAAACCATTTCAAGTATGTATAGGCTGCAAGAAAAGAGAAACGACCTGCGGTTCAGCAGGGCATAAATAATGACAAGAAAATCGGGCACGTAAATCCATTCAAGATAGCTAATGTCATCGCAGATACTCAACCGTGTCGTGGAGGTTCCCAGGACATGAAAAAATCATCACCAGCAGAAGATGGGTCGGGAAGCGATGTGACTTCCCATGGCCGCAAGCCGTGCAATGATTGAGGGGGTACTGTTGACAACGATATCCTGGAAAGACAACCATTTATCGGAAAAGATGGCACAGTGCTGTGAACAAGTGCATTAGGAGAGGCACAGTCGCGCGAGGATGACTGTGCCTGTCCATTTGGAACAGTGGTCGTACTTGTGAGCGTGGTACTATGACAGACAGCTTGAATCAACATTTTCATAAGAGGTTATTAACTTACATAGCAAAACAGTCGAGGTCAACAATTTTTTGATTGAGTGAGCATCCCCCCATGCCTACTCGATGGTTGCTCGAATGGCTGAGCGCATCCGCCGCCTTCCTCAGCCAAAGAGAGAGTTCCAGTACTGCAGTATAGTTAGCAGTTTCGTTAAGACAGCCACAATGGCCAACCATAGCCTGGTTAGTATTGTTTGGTTTGGAGATGCAGTGTTCGCGATGTTGTCCATTTAATCCCAGACCGTCATCGTGGCTGGCCCAGCCAGCATATGTGGTAAAGATAGAGGCCAAATCTAAGTCGTGAGACAGTTGATGCTCCTCGTTGATAATGGTTTGTGACTGGGAGCACTCGTCCGTTGGTGTCATGGTGACTGATGACGTCGTACTGGGTGGTGAAGGAAGGCCAAAAATAAGAGCAGAGGTATCCGGGCAAGCCGCATGGGGAAGCGCAAAGCAATCTTTCTGGACGGGACACTCCCGGGTTGAAGATTCTCGCATTGACGCAGACTTCGCTTGCTCAGTCGTAACTGAGCCCTGGCGAGATTCCGTCTGAGAGCTTTCGGTCTGTATGGGCGACTGAGCCTGTGTGTGCCACTTGTCAACTTCTTCGCTCACGGTGGAAGCGTTCTGCGTCCAGCGAGGATGGGGCTTATTTTTCAGCTAGGCAGAAATGTTCAGAGCAGGCGAAAGCGCTAATAAAGAGCTGTATACCTCACGAATGACTCCTTCGAGCTCAGCGACTCGTTTGCGAAGCCGAGAACTTTCGTTTTGAGCATCGCTTCGTTGGCTTGGGTCATCAACCTCGTAGACACACAGACCTGTCTGGTAAGGAGATCATCTACATGATTTTGAAACACGCGAACCAAAGGTGGCATACAAGACCCAGTTGTGTACAGCGGCCACAGGGGCGTTTCCGGTCACACTGCAATCACTTAAAGAAGTTGTAGCGGTAGATATCATGAAGCACGCACCATGCGTTTGGACGAATGGCAGTTTATGCAAGACTGCGTGGTACGGTTTCTGCGACGCTTTCGATGATCCCCCTCTGGAATGGAGGCGGCATCTAAAGCATTCCGCTTCTTACGGATGGCTTTAAATTCGACCGACATAGTGGAAGAAGGCGTGGACAGTGTCACGCTGCTAGGGAGCCAGGGGGTTTAGGAAAAAGTAGTAATGAATCAGTCCATATATACCTGAATGGAAGTGGCGCAACCGATTTCTTGGCCACCTCGGAGAGTATGCACGCAAAATTGAAGGGGAGGAATGCGGCATTCAATTTTAGTCAGAAAATGAAAAGGGGGGGCGAATGGTTTTCATCTCAGCGCCCGTGCATTCCCATCAAACTAGAGTGTTCAGATCAGAACTCCAGAACGTGAGAGCCAAGCAACCAAGCCTCCCATTCTCGAAGCCGCAGCGCCAGTTGTCGTAAATATTGTACACCTGGATACCTCCTACCCGTTCTGGAAATGATCTCGGATTAACTCCACAACGATCCTAGAATACCATATATGGGAGACGATGTCGTCAGAACCTGGGAGCGTATTACAATGTGGTCATGGTCGGTAGTCGCACAGGCGAAGTCCCATCGCACGTGTCACAGCTGATAGTGAGCGATGACTGAGCGTACACTGTATCGGTCCTTCAGCGAAATATCTATGTAGTAGAGGATTAGGGGGTCACGCGTAGTGTTGATTTGGTTATCCGCGGGTGTTGCGGGGTAGGATCAACCTCACGCGTTATCACTCGCGGGAACTCTGCCGCTTATTTAGGACCGCAAAATGCATACATATCGATTGCATTCACTACTAACAATCATATGCCCGATAGGCTTTCAAAACGAAAACTCTGATCGACTTCGGGCTCCCGGTCCACCACCATTCCGTTTCTATTTGGGGTGGCACGCCTTACTAAGTCAACTGATGAAGGTATAGATTGTTATCAATCTTCCTATTTTTTTTCTCCACCTGAAAAAAGGAAAGCGTCGAACAACGCTGCATGATCCAGGCACTAGAATCACCTGCATTTGGGAGTCAACTCTGACACGATAGCACCTAGGCATTGGGCGAGACCTGTGAGTTGAACACCGAGGCTGGGAACTCAGCGTGACGGTAAGGTTTCAAATGATAAGGAGGCGTGGGAGTCAGGCGAAGGACTCCCTGAATTGTGGTCAAGGCCCAGCGATTTCGTACTTCGTTATGAAGGTATCAGAATTACGAGCTCTTGAGAATTAGGCAGATTGAGATCTTCCGTCCAAATTTCAATATAATCTAAGCATAACGCACGAAGCTGTATTCCACTTATAGCAATGGCATGGACTGGGGTAGATGCCAGTATTGCGGAGTGACTCTCGCTCAAATGATATCAGGGATGTATGAGTAGGGTCACCCGCTGATGAGCGAGTGACTATCGGTGTCAGTTTGCTGTTACATGAACTCACGTTATCATCCAAAATGGAAAGATAAGGCCCGTCGAGAGCCTGGTTTAAAAACAGATGCGAACTATTTTCAAACGAACGACGATGTGTCTCATGTTCTCAGTCAGATCCACCATGTGGACATGCATATCGAGGGGAACTGTGACCAACATGCAATTCTCTTTGCAAGGCTTGGGGCTTGGTATGCAAGCTCCTCAACAGACATGAAGGCCGAAGCTACCATCGGCTACACGGTCTTACCTTGGCTGACCTAGGCAAAAGACGGCGCAAGGTCAGCATAGCTTAAGGAGACTGTCCTAGTATGCCTGCTGTCAACGACAACTGGTGTTACTATATCAATGAAGGCACACAAGGCGACTCTATCAAGGATATGTTCTCACCCATAAACGTGCTTCAACAGATAGACCGAGTTTTGAAACGACTAGCGCAATGGGCACACAAAGGTTATGCGCCCAAGGGGTTCGAGCAAACAATCAAAGCGTGTACAAGTGATCCTATACCGGGATGAAGACATATCAGTCACATTAATTCTACTTTAGTTGACATGACTGCCCCCGCCGGCCACCATGCCCACAGGAAGTGTCGTTGTTACCACGGCCAAGCAAAGCAACGACCTGTCACGCGACAGAGTACCAAGACTAGATCTCATAGGTTCCATCCATTGGCCTGTTGACTTGGACTGCCCCATCCTTGTTGAGACGAAGAGCCCCATCCTGTGGAACTGCCACCGATTCCAACGTTCGGGCTAGTGCTACCAGCCCATGCGTTATGAGCAGGGCTCGTCCCCCAACCGCCTGCGTTTGTCGCCTGCCCAGGACTAGTCGTCCCCCAGTTTGTGGCGCTTCCTGTCTGAGCCGGGCTGGTACCCTCCCAGGTGGAGGGAACCCCCCACCCGGCCCTTGAAGGACTACCACTTCCAGCACGCGCTCCACTGTCCCATGTTCCACCCACCGGCGCCCATGCAGTTGTCTGCCCATTAATTCCAGTGTCCACAGCACCAGGCACGATGTCCATTTCAGCCGACGGCTTAAGAGCAAGAATGAGGTTTGCGAGTTTTGTCTGGAGTTCCGCTAGGCCCTATACGAAAACCCAGTCACCGAGTTACAATGGAGGCGGGTAAAGGGGATGTTCAGCCGTACCTTTAACATGACTTCTTGAGGACCAAGGCTCCCATCGGTTTCAACGTCTATGTAAAATTTGCGTGGCTTTGCGATGAAGTCAAACAGCTCGTCGTCCCTCGGAGGCTCTTCTTCTTTTGCGTTTTCGCTTAGCGGCCACTCTGTACGTTCGTCGGCTTCGTACCAATGTGTAGTGTGTCTTAGCTTGTTGTAAGGATCATACTCAAATGCGACTGCAGCACAGGGCGACCATTTTGCGTGTTCTTTTGCTATTCCCTGCAAATTATTACCTCACCCGCAAGAACCAGCGTAAGTGGAAAAAAGGCACCTTTTTAGCGACACAACGCAATCGCAACTCTTGACCCTTCCGCATTTTGCATATGAGGACCGGAGGGACAGAGGGGTCATCTCGAATAACAGTGAGGATACTTTTCATGGAATGCTGTAAACAGGGAGGACGCACTCTTCCCTACTGGGTTGCCAAAATCCTCGCCTCTCTTCGCAATTTCGTCTCCTTCTTGCACGTTATCAGCAGACCCAGAGTCTGTTGTAAATTCCACGACTTCAAGATGATTGCTTGTGACCTCCATGGTACGGTTGTCATTGCAGGCGACGTCTAATCGTAATTCGATTGCACAGTACTTGCATCCCGACAAGCACGTACAATCCTGGTCACAGGGTTGAACGTGAGGAAAAACCGCCTGGAACTTTAAACACACGTACTCGAGTGTAACGTATCCCTTCGTCACAGTTGGCGCTAACAAGAGGGACCATGCCAAGTCGGTGGGCAATAAATTCGTCCGGGAGGACTGTTGTATTGGAGTGAATCTCCACCATGTCGATTGCTAGGCTGCATAAACAAGAGACCTTGGGATAAAACTAACGCTAATGCGTACCAACGGTCGGAATGTCCGCCATGACAACTCTCCGTATGGAGTTTGCTAAGCTGTGGTCCGCGCAGCATATAATGGGTAAACAGACGATAGAAGCCCACAGAAGACGCACGCGAGATCAACATTCTCGAGAACAAAGTTCACTCGATCCTTTTTCAATTCGCGTATGCGTACGATTGGCTCTGTGTCTTCGTACTGCATGGTGCGAAGGCTGTTATTGGGTGCCAGTAGTTTACAGGAGTTACATGCTTATGAAATTTGTATGGGACCCCAGTCACCGCCAAGTGGCCTCAAAGCTTGCTTGTAACATGTTCTTGGTTCTTATCACGAACGCGGACGATCACCTTTCCCCATGTCTCCCGCCTTCCCAGCGCAAGCAGGCCCTCCATCGCATTTTCCAGCGAGTAGATCCTGGAGTAGATCACGGGCTTGACACGCCCAGAGGAAAACAACCTGCAAAGAAGGTATATTCAAGCACGCAATCAGGAAGTCACGGATAACGAGCTCCTCACCCAAGCAATGCATCCCATACTTCTGGAATCCGAGACGCCTCTTTCCCTAAACCACTGCTCTCAACCTCTGTAGTCATACAGGTGTAGCAGACACGTACGCTCATATAATCCCCAGTGCAGACCCATGATGGAAACATTCTTGAGTAGTACCAAATTCAGCGACAGCTGAAAACCAGTTTCTGAGTTTTCCTAAATGGAATTTTAAAGCATGTTTCTTCCACCTTTTCGATGTTACCAGATGCGAAGCCAATCACTAGCGCTCTTCCCTTGAAAGCTATGCACTTAAGAGAATCTAAAAAGACAGGTCATACATGAACCGAAACTAAAAAGTAGCCCATACCGACCTGCGATCCTTCCAACCGGGTCGAACACAACGTCCACTCCTTCTCCACCGGTAAATTGTAGCACTTGCTTTTGCCAACCAGGCTTCGAGTAATCCACAGTGTAATCGGCCGATCCAAGTTGCTTAAGGACGTCTAATTTTGGTGAAGATCCTGCAGCAGCAATAACTATAGCCCCAATAGCTGGAAAAAAATAATGAGACAAGTTGGAACGTGAAGTCGTAGATTCGTGAGCGTGTAAGCGTACCTTTGGCAATCTGAACTGCGGCGATGCCAACGCCACCCGCGGCGGCATTAACAAGGATAGTTTCGCCTGCGGAAACCGTCAGCTATCTATGCGAGACATACAAGGAACGATACTCGCCCGACTTCAGCTCTGCCCGACCTACGAGAGCTTCATAGCTGGTTGGCCATGTGATATACAGTCCTGGAAGGTTTTATCACGAGGCAACCTAACGGAAGGAGCGTTCTTGGGACGTACCAGCACCTTGGTCAAAACTGAGGTTGTCAGGAAGCATATTTGTCAACCTTCCATTTCGCGACTACTTTGTCTGCAAGAGACCCTTGGGCCATGCCAAAGACTCTATCCCCTGGACGGAATTTACAACCTTCCGGGATGGGAGAGTCAATTGCTACTCTCCCCGCAAACTCTGCCCCCAATGCAAAGGGGAATGGTGGCTTTACTTGATACTTTCCCTGAGATTGGAGAATCTGACTGGACAAGCGGTTGAATGCTTGGGAAAAGCAGTACATCAGGCTGGGTTGCTTACGTCGAAAAAGTTAAGCGCAGCAGAGTAGACATCCACAATAATCTCGTCTGCCTTGGGTGTGGGCACCGGCGCACCTGAAACAAGCGCCAACTCAGACGGGTGCACATTTCGATTCACCACGTACGCTCTCATTGCTTAGCACTGGGCTATGGAAAATGATAAGAAATGGTTGGGGGTCACGAGAGTTGGCGGCTGCTAGATAGCCAGTCACGACCTGCTGTGCCTCTTGGATAGTTTAAACGTTTGTTTTGCACCGGGGCTCGGCTTATGAAACAGCCGATGCACAGGACGCCACAGATCACTTCAAACATTCCAAGCAATCATCCATGAAAGTAATGCACGTGCGGTAAATACGGCTTGCAGTGGTTTACATGTATCATTCTAATTATGAGATTTTCATGCGAATCCAAAACCTTCACCACCCTCACTGATGGCCAGTAGCAGTTGCTGGCGCAACATTTCGTAGGAAGAATACTGCGGTAGGTCGATCTGGTTGAAGCCTAGTCACCACCAGTATCGGGAATCAGTACGAAAGATAGTACGATGGAGCGAAAGACATACACGTATGAGCTTGCGGTAATCGGTCGGGATCACCATAGGCGCGGTGTATTGAAAATCTTTGTACACCTTGGACACCTTGCAGCTCAGTGAAACCATTCAAAGGTACGCGCGAGGTTCCTGTTGCGAAACTCAACACTTTCGCTCTCTCTTCGCGATTAAAGGACTTCAGAGCCCTCCACCACCAGACTATAACAGGGTCTGAACTCGTGTAGCCATTATACTCCGTCGCAGCACGCCATTCGTCAACATCGATGTCAGGAGTCCCAGAGATGAGAAGTTCGAGTTCTTGTTCGTTAAACTACGACATTGTTCAGCACGGAAGGTGAACACCCGATACAAAGAAACTCACGATGGTGATGAGATCTTTCGGTATGATGTCGTAGAAGCCAGAAACGAGATTCTCGATCTGTTCGCTGATGGAAGGAGTAGAGGCGAAAATTAGCTGAGAGCTGAACAAATTCCCGTTTATTTTCTTGAGTGACATGGATCGACTCTCCACCCGGCTTCAGAGGGAAGATACGGTTCCTTCCAAACTATGAAGTGTAATGTCAGTAGCTAGCAAACGGATCAAATGTGGCAACAGTGACCTCATCCGCCTCTACACTGAAAGTGAGTTCTAATGGAGTGGGATCGTTTTCCAGGATCCAACACAGAGAATTGTAATACTCAGGGTCGACCCACTCCACGTCGCGGTGATCCACCGGCTTGCCGAGCAACTGCCTATACAGACTTTTCGCGAAGTACGCATCCAAAAGACGACCGTCGTAGATAGCCTTTCCAATGACCCTACCAACAAATTTGAAGAATGAAAGGTGTTCGGGGTTGACCCACGAGTTCTTATTGGGCTGATAGGTGAGTTTGTCGGCTGCGCATGGTTGGAACAGTGCGTAATTCGGATCGAACATTTGGCGTGCCAAAATTTGGAACCATTCTCTTGTGACACCACCGGCATCAACACCTTCTTCGTCGTAGAAGCGGACGCTGAGCTTCCCGTATTTGATCTGATCACCAGTCTTGCGTTGAAGGTACTGAAAGCTGTCCTCGAACACACGAGCCCGACGAACGTTGAGTTGTAATGTCCCATGATGCTCGCGGGAGTGAGGTCGACGGTGGAGCTGTTGCGTGAAATAATTGCGCTTGTTGTCAAAGTCAAGGACTCTGGGATTGTGAACCAGAAGCGAGAAGGATCCGCTCATCAATGAAGGATTATTGCGGACCATCACGTTAAGGATCTTTCTATGGGCATCAGTAAAGCTGACGAACAGCTCTTCCATCGTTTCGCTGGAAGATGCGGAAGACCTCGGTGATGCGGACGCTCGCAGTGCCCTGGCAATGATTCCGGTAGCAGACTTGGACCCAACGTATTTGCACACCACCATAAGGGCTTCGATCAAAGGTAGCAGGACCGTCGCAATATGCTCCAGGTCAGACTTGTCTTCAATGATAGCAAGACAATCGCCGAGGCGGCGCCACAGGGGAGTGAAACGGAACGAGTCATAAATAGTTTGGACCTTCTCTGAATCTCGATCCTTTTGCGTTTCGGTGGTGGGGCCGCTGGTGCGAGGTGTGTACATGTAATCAATTGTTTTGAGGACGCGTAAGAGCTTGGTTTGATCAGAGGATGGAGATGAGAATTTTGGCGCGATGGACGATGCAAGGACATCTTTATTTGGACTCTGAAGGGCAGCCCATAGGTCATTTAGGTCGAACAGGATATTTTGCCCACAATCTTGAGCTTTGGTCCTCAATTCCTGTGCGATTATATCTCGTGCATCTGGTATGTGGGATAAATTCTGGATGAGAGTAAGAGATTGCTGGAAGGTACGAGCGGAGCATTCTCCAACAGTGAGGATATTAACGATGAGGCGTAGGACGGAATGGGGAATTTGAGGGGGGGTTTGAAGCAATACCGCTTTGTCGGTTTGCTCACCAGGCGGGCGGTGTTCCTTGGTGGGGTTCTCCCCCGAGTCGACAACCGGCGTTATGCCATCCGTGCGATTTGCTGCTGCTTGAGGAATAATGGATGTGTCTGTCGACGAAGAAGGGACTGCAGGTGCTGCCGAAGTAGCAGTGTTGGAGACAGAGATACTAGAATCTCTCTTGTCTGACTTGAGACTAGTCAAGGGTTTTGTGACAGTGGACAGTAACGTGACAACAGAATCCACAATGGAAGCAGTTTTCAACAAAGATTGACGATCCAGCAATCCAAGCAAGAGAACGATAGGATAGTGTGTTTGAGGAGCTTGCTTTTCTTTGCCTTTGCCTTTCTTCGTCGAGAGCTTCTTCAGCCCGGCGGGCAACTCGTGTTCAGTCAAAAAGAAAAGCGATGAGACCTCGTTTGCACTGACGATGTAAGTCAGGGCTTCAAGGCTACGCTGGACCACCAAATCCGGCACCGAATCACTTTGGTTGGTTAGTGCGACCGAACTGCCTGGTTCCGGAGCGACTCTCTGCTTTTCAGCCGCCTTCGGCGTTGGCTGGGATGTCGCTTTCGGTGTGCGAGTTGTCATTTGAGAGAAACTTCTATCTACCGTTGCAAGGTCCCCTGGTCCGCTTTGCAATATATTGAGCAGGAGGTTAAAGAGCTCGGTTCTCGTCTTCGAGTTCTCGCAGATATTGACTAGCACCTTTAAGAGGAGATTCTTCTTCAAAATCTGTGGGAAAAAGAGGAGTCGAACAAGACTGGCTACCCCAGTTTTGTCGAGGAGCTGAATGGCATCTCGTGGTGGGGGTTGCTTGCGAGGCGGAACGTTCCGGGAAGATGCAGTCCGATGACCGTCTCGCGCCAGGTACTGATACCTACGAGCGGCTTGTGCCTCATCGCGATAAACGCCTGCTTCAGCGATCATGTAAGATGGTAGAGTCTGGAGCAGACCGTCGTCTGAATCCAGAAGAACGACTTGACGAAGCTGAGGGTCAAGACTAGCAATGAAGCTGGCAGGATCAATCTCTGCTGGAACTCCAGTATTGCTCGGTGCTTCCACCTGTGCCTCCCTGACCTGCTCCATACGTTCTTGTTGAATCAGTTCTGCTCGTATTTCCGGAGGTAAGGCGTCGAGAAATTCAGGGCTGATTTGAGAATCGGCAGGCCGCTCTACTCTTGCTGACCGTTGATCGCGGACGTGCTGGTTTATGACTTCTTCGCGGATGTCGTCAGGCAAGGCCTCAAGGAACGTCGGATCGATTCCCATATCGGTGATGTCAACTTCACTGCCATGGATCGTGATGGTGACTCTCTCCGGGGCCTGGGAGGGACCAGCAACAGGACTCAAAGTCTCCGTGTCAGCTTCCTCAGCCTCGGCAGAGGCAAACTCTGGGCGGTCCGAGCCTGTAACATCACGCATCTCGACATCTTCTGCAGGGACAGGTGTGGGTTCCGATTGCGACTCCTGGGGGACTTCTGAGTGGGTTTCGGCTTGCACCGTTGTCTGCTGAGCTTCGAGCTCCTTGGTTGCCTCCTCTTCTGCTTTAATCTCGGCTTGCAGTGTCTGCTCCTCCCTCTCCTTCGTCGCTGCGGCTTCGACAGCAGCCGGAAGCAATGCAAGTACAACGTGGTTGGCAAGTTGGCTGGCTCGGTCAGTAACGTGCTTGCCGTTGAGTATCTTAGCTTCTTCGTTCCACCTCTGTGATGTGGGAAGGGGATCCAAACCACGAACGTCGGTCCGATTATCACTTTGCCTAGGAGCACGCTCGAGCCTAACGCCAGGGATCACCAGGCGGTGCATTACTCCCGGCTCAAGGTTCACCCATGCACCCGGTGCCACATCTACGCGGATAGACTCACGAGTACCAGCGGCACGATGGACAACTTGCTGGAAGACTTGCACAGCATCTCCACCGATGATATCTTCGACCGACTGAATCAGTTCGGTTTGTAGGGAGTGATTGTTTCCGCGGTGGGGACGTCTAATGTTTCGAGAGAAGGATGTGGACGTGCGATTGTTTCCTGCAGATTCATCTAGAAGAAGTGGGTGGACTGTAGCTTCAGTAGGAGGAGGTGGAGCGTTTCGAGATCTGCCGAAAATCTGTAACTCGTCGGGTCCTATAACTCTTCAGTGATTGAGACAATGGAATGGATGAAAGACCACATACCAGCGCGATTCCTACGAGACAAAAAGAAGTTGCCATCCCTTCCATCCAGTTCTACTCCGTCCATTTCATACGCGTCGGCAAAGGTCAGGATATCTTCACCGGGCATTGGACCAACGTCACCTGCATCCATGATTTCGCCTCGGAACCTACTCGCACGATCAACTGGATTGTTTACGCCATAAAAAAGTATATTCGTACTCGTCATCATCAGACATGTCCGGTTCATCTTCTTGCTCTTCGTGCACCACGGGAATCGGCACTGTGGTTTCGTGAGCGACGTGGAACACATGGGGGAGTAAGAAATCGTACCACCGCCGTCCTCATCTTCGCCTTCTTCTCCAGCCTCCCCTTGTGGAATATCCCCATGTACATCCTACGGACACAAGTGAGGTTGAGCCTCTAACGGAGAAATCCAACCAACCTGCCAAATCATGTCCGCATCAAGTTCTTGGTCAGCGTCAGCATCACCACCGTCGTCACCCTCGTCGTCGTTCTCGATTAAACGATCCTCGCCATACTCCTCGTCCTCATCTTGCCAACTGTCTTCTCCATCATGGGACTCCTCGTCCTCCACGTCATCTGCTTCTCCTGAATCGTCATCATCGTCATCATCTGAAGGCGAAGTAGCCTCGCTATCCGTCTCATCGCCATATTCCATGTCGACGTCTCCTTCGTCTTCTTCTTCTCCTTCCTCCATTCCATTATCTGGAGGGTAATTCGCGTCATCCATCTCCTGGCCGGAATGAGTCACAGCAATCAGGTTCGATACAATACTTACGCCTCCGAACCTGTGGAACGACTGTGAGGAAAGGTTATCTAAATCCGCTGAGAAGGAACGTACATTCCCAACGCAGAATTACGATATAGATCTGGGGTCTCTTCACGGCCTGCGTCATCTTCTACGCCAATATCTTGCTCATCTTCTTCCCCGTCTGACGAATCTCCCGGTGTCTCTGCCTTTCCTTCGGCACCGCCTTTAGATTTGTCCGAAGCACGGCTCATCTTGATCGCAATCCGGGATCTATCAGCGTCAGTGAGGCATTTTACGGTTTCAGTATCAGGGTAACATACAAATTCTCCAACGGTCGGAGGATAGACGCAACTAGCCCACGGATATTAGGGAAATTGAGATCAACTTCTGAAAGAGCACTAGTCAATGTGGACACGAAGTTTTTCTCCAGCATGATCTTGGCAATGTGGGTGGCGCTCTCGTCTTGGGGTTTGCGACTACCGGGGTTGCAGCGCACCATCAGGAGGCGATTGCACAGATCTGCAAGGGCGAGCAGACGTCCATATCGCATATCCAATGATTCCGTGGCGGGCATTTCCTTGATGGCGCGGCTGACCGCCTCCAGTACAAATTTCCGTACTGATGCAAGATCTGGTGGTACGTCTTTCACGTCTGATCCCGAAGAACTGTCAACACACAGCGCCACAATCACTGACATAGCCCAACCACAGAGTGTGAGACGGGTTTTGGCGGCATCATTGAGTTGAGTTGATATCGTCCCATAAGTCAACAGCTCGGACAAGAAAAAGTGAAGGACAGCTGTCCTGTACTTTACTCCAGGCTCTTTTGAAGGAGTTTGTAGGCGTTTCTTGGGATTGTAGGACAAGAAAATGTTCTTGCAGGAGTCGTAGGAAAAGAGTAACTCGGTGAGACATTGCATGATGAAGCAAGAATAGAGGTAGCGTTGTTGGCTGGAAGTATCTTGGTCCGAGACCTGAGCTGTGCTTTCCGTCGATGCAACTTCATTCGTTGCTTCCATAGCTTCCTTAGTTGGGGGAAGCACAGACGTGTCGCCGGATGTGTTCGAAGCCGCCTTAGGGCACTTCATCAACTCGGCAACAAGGAAGTGGACCATTGATTCCAAAGCTTCGTTTGTCACAACTTGAGGGACATCAGGCGATGTAGAATCTACTTGCATTTCAACCTGCTTCGCGGAGTCGTCCTTCGGCAATGATGATTCACTAAGTGCATTGGACTTCAGCCCGATATGGTGGGAAATATCATAGGGTTGCTGAAGCTCGCAGACCGACGTTGTAATATCGATGAAAAGCCTAGGGTCCCTAAGTGCAGCTGCACTAGTGTTTCGTAGGTAGTTAGATGCTTCAATAACACGCGTGCGAGGTTGGGAGAAAAAGCGCTTGATCTCCTGACGCATGAGGTTGCGAAGCGAGTTAGGGTCTTCTGCGACATGTCGCAAGATGATGGCGATGTAGGAGTAGCTACTGGGCCCAGCGTGTCCTTGGAGGTGCTTGAATATTAATGGCAGACCCCCCCGCCTTGTAAATTCACAGGCGATCGAATGATCTCGAGTAAGCACGACCTGTAAACGCAAGGTCGCCAAGAATTCGTCGCGTGGTAGGCTGGACAGGCTAAGCAACCTGAACGAGAAATCAAGGAGAAGTGAGCGTGCTTCGGCATAAGCGGGCCCGACTTTCAGCTCCTGCAATTCTATCGGGTCACCTTCTTTTGGGAGCTTGATAGACGAGGGCTGGTCGCCGATGTTGAACAATGCTTCCGTGACTAGGAGGTGGGGAGCAAGCCACTTTGGGAGGTTGTGTTCGGGTTCGACGGTCGTGGAATTCGAGAGCAGTAGGGCGAGCAAACTATCCATCAAACCTCGCCCTAAAGCAGGTTCCAAGGACTGACATTCAGACAAGGCCAACGCCAATAACCTGCATCTTATGAAGAGCGGTTCTTCCTGAACATCATATGCACCAGGAGAGTACGCCTTAATGTCTTCGATCAGCGAACGTACGGAGTGTTCGCGAAGGTCCGCGGATGGCTGCACGAAAAGCTTGCTAACATCAAATATCAAAGAAGGGTGCTCATCAACCAGTACTAGTGCCCGGCTTGTGAGTTCGGTCCTGAGAGGTTCCCGAGCCGTATCCAGTTCTCGGCGAAGCTCCTCAAAGCTCTTAGTAGCTTCTGGAGTATTGACCAATTGTTCCTGAGCTGAGGGCTCATCTGCGTCCACTCCACTGTCCTGCATCGCAGAACCGTCATTCTCACCACCTTCTGTTGAAGAATGACCGCCGGCATCGGTAGATGTCGCTGCCTCGGCATACTGCGGTTCCGGTTCAGGAGGGAACAAGAACTGGTGCGACAGGAGTAATTCCGTGGCAGCATTGACATTGTTACGAGTACGAGCGAGTGCTCGCTCCACTGCCAAGCGTTGAAAGCCCATGTCAGTTAATTGGCGTATGCGGTTCTCATCCGGTCCAGTTGTCCGAATGTGGAACCCAGTACCAATGCCGATACCCGACCCAGGAATGCTTTCACCAGCGGTATCAGGCTTCGATTCCTCATTATCCCCAAACGTAAGTTCAAGGACGAGGTGGATGACAGACTTGACTAGTGTAAGCGGGGCCGTGCGTAGCCATGCGGATTCCCAGATGTTGCGAACAATGGGGATTACAGCAAGGCGAAGGGTAACGAGGAAGTGATGAGGTTCAAAATAGCCACGATCCGTATCTCTTCTGTCCCGAGTGGTCATCGCCATGGATTGCCCAGATTCGATCAAGGGTTTGGATGAGATGAGAGGACGCAGAAGATGTAATGCAACTTTCAAACCCCCATGTGCGCGCACTAATTCCTGGACCATCAACTCCGTACGGTCACTGGCCGCAACGCGCGTTACGCGTTCAACGGACTCCATCAACTTCTCGATTACTCCGAATATTGCCTCTAGCCCCTTCATTCGCTGGAAAGCAAGCAAAAGCACTGTGTGAAGAGTGCTCTGCATCGTGCGTTCTAACGTACGCGAAAGATAAATAGCAATATACGGCAAATAGTGAAAAGAGAACCTACCATCCACCAGAAGAGAGGTCATCATGCCCAACATCACGTTATAGTAATCGAGGCATCGCAGTGTATCGTCTGTTACAGAGTCAGGGTCCTGAATCTGATGTTACTTCGCATGACCTACTAGTAAGTTCTTGCTTTACATGACCGATCATAATCCCCGCTACGACATCTGCTGCACTTAATATCTGTTTCTTTTGTGCCATGTCGGGGTTACGCCTCGCGTAAAACAATTTCACAATGGCTAGAGGTACGTCAGGCGACAGTCTGTGGATGGGCATGATGCCGCACCTTGGAAGAAGGGAGCCAATGCGTTAGGGAGTCCATGAGTGAGGTGTTTGAGGGCCTTCGCATTCTTATCTTTGGCGGTCTCCTTGATTGGTCTAGCAGAGCCAGAAGAGCCACCTAAGGCAGAGTCTGACTGAACACCATTAGTAACAGTGGCACCCCCGCCGGCTTCTGGAAGAGAGATAGGCAGGTGATTAGGGGAGCTATCAAGAGGCGATGCTCCTCCGCTTATACCAAGTTCGATACCCTCCAAAGCGATATAGGCTTTGAAAAGGATGTTCTCCCAAACAAACGCGCGATGCAAGGAGCCCAAGTCGGTGACTACCTTTGGCGGGTCCGTCACTAACGTCTGTAACAGACCAATGGCAGAACGGCCGTGTGCGTAACCAGTTGTAGAGAAAACGTCCGCCATCAGAGTCACGCGTATGTGGAGTACGACCAAATTCCGGAAGCGTTGGTTGACTTCGAGGGATTGGTCACCTACCCGCGTATTATGAATACAGGTCCCCAGGGTTAAATCTGACTACCAGCTTACCGTTAAGCTTTAGCATGGGTGCTAACCTGGACTCGGGCCCTAGGGACTTCCAGAACTCCTCCGTCTGATGAAGAGACGTGTCAACGAGCTTCGAAAGGTAAGACAACGTGTCATTGGGTCCAATCTCAGCCATCGTTCGGATAACTTGAACCAGGGAATCAGATGCCACGCTGTTCGCGTAATCATATGGTAGACAAGGGAGTGCAGTGAGTCTACCGACACGATCGAGACCATCCGCAGTGTTAATGAAATCTCTGCAGTGCTGTGGATGCTGGAAAAGACCCTCCAAAAACTACAAAACTCTAAGGCAGGCTCCTGGTGAAAGATTAAGCACTTACTCTGCAAATAACATCGATGTACATGACAACGTTGTTGTCATGATCTGTCTGTGTTGTATCCTGTGTGAAATTATCTTCCTCCAAAAGCGATGCAGGGCCTTGAGGGGTTTCTGACTCAACACCCTCCATCACTACCGCCGTGCTCTCTTCGGCGGCCTGCACAGTAAGTAGTTCGTACCACTCTCTCTTATCTTCAGGGATGATAAATGCATTTCCTGCGTCTTCTATCTTGCTCAAAGTGGACTTGACGGCATCGAACACGGGTGTCTTCAATGAAGGATGGTGCCGAATAAGTTCATCGATAGAAGTACCAATCAGAACTGCGTTTTCCTTGTCGCGAAGGACCTTCAAATGACGTTCCGAAGTGAAGATAGAGAAAATGCCTGGAATGATGCTTGGGCGAGCCGTTAACTGGTCTTGGCCAGCTTGATTCAGACACAGAGCACCGATAGCGTTCGGAATGGCTTGAATAACCTAAAGCAAGGTCAAGTGGTGACTCTAGCATGGATGATCAAGACACTCACTTCAATAAAAGGTTCCAGCCCAGCCTCAATAACCTGGTAGAACACCTGCGGAAGTCCCGCCTCTTGAATTGTCGGAAGGCACGTTGGCTCGTTATGCACAAATGTCGCCATGATATTCATTGCTATTATAAATCAGTAACCTGACGTTAGTCCTAGGGACTCCGAACCTACCAAGCGGAAGCACACTGGGTCCAAATAAACCTCGGTACTCCATGATCTTCTTGACCGACTGCAACAATGACGAATCGATTAGCCCTCGAAGGCCCTCCGAAGTGCCCGAAGACTGCATCATTCGATGTATGGATCGAAGTGCATGTTTCAAGACTGCAGCGCGGGCCACGGGCAATTCACCGTAAGACCCGAATATTTCCCGAGAGCGGATCTCATTTCCATATATCGCGATATCGAAATCAACCTCGTGCTGTGGAGAATGAAAGATTAAATCATGCAAGCTTGGAGCGACCTGATCCCCACCTGTATTCTGTCCACAAGCGCGGCAACACCCCGCGCGTTGGAGAAAAGTTGAAAAGCATTGGAGTATCCGTAAACTACGTTGTCCACCAATTGCATGGCCTTCGATACCATCTGCAGTCTCTGTGCGAGCCGATTCTCGATGATCTGTACAAGCAAAGGTATTAAGCCAGCACCGACGACCATGTTGCCCCCGCCGGCGTGTTGAGCGACATATGTGATGAAAGCTAGTAAGGCTTCCACAAACGAGTTCGGCAGTTTAGACTCAGGGTCACCGACTTCAAGAATTGTCTTGCGGAGAAGGGCCATTAGTATGCCATGATTAACCCCAGCGTTCACGGCTGCTAAAACCTCTTGGATGCGGCTGCGATACCTCGCGATAGAATCTAACGCTGCGATTGCCGCAGATTGGACCTGTGTAGAAACGCCGCGATCGAGTTGTAAGAGTTCCGCGATATGCGTGGCCAAATCGGGTTCATATAGGAACAACGAAGAAGTCGCTTGACTTTCACTGTGGGTGTGGCAGTAGATAGCAGTTGACAGCAGTCGGACGATAACGAGCTTCTCCCGAACATCTTGGTTGCCAGTAACGAGGGCCTTCGCGGCCCGAATGCGACAGAGAACTTCAAACTTGTCATCGTTGGATAAAGGGTGGACTTCCAGTATGTCTGCCAGGAGCTTCATCACATCCGCGTTCGAGAGCGTCTCCTCGCTGACGTGTATGTTTACTGGACCAAGGTTGGGAGTTTGCGCTTTGCGAGCACTTGCGGAAGTTTCAGAACTTTCGCCCTCCGGCTTCTCTTCCTTCGTGCTGTTGTCAGTTTTGTAATACACAAAACTTACCTCGCGGACATCGCCAGGGAGAACATTGACTTTCGGCAGACCATGTGGACTGGCAAGGTCTACCAGGCTAATCCCATGTTCGTGCACATTGGGCCAGCGTTTGGAGAGCGAGAGTAACCGCGGTGTGGATATGCTCAGCACAACGGACACGGCTGGCTGAGCCGAGTACTGTTGCGCAGGGCGCAAAAGGAGATTGAGTGCCAATATCAAAATGTCAAGATCGGACGTGGCCATCAGGCTTGTTAGCCTCTGTGTACATTGCAATCAGGAACGGAGTGAGCCATGTTGAGTAACACTTGGAAAGGGCATACGCACATCATAGGAGTTGAAGGTTTTGCGATTGGTGGAGTTCTCCAAAAGCAGCCTCTCGAATCTTAGAATTTCAGAGAGAGACCGCTTTGTAGCTGGAGAAAATGGGTTTAATTGTAGCTTGTCTACGTCGTAATCACGTATGGCATCTGCCAGGATAGCATCGAATTTGTCGAGGACATTGACCCAAGCATTCAGGTCAGATCGTGGCCATTTCCACGAGTCGATTTTCACAAGTGCGTCTGCAACGTCGCCTTCAGGCGTGTTCGCAAGCTTTTCGATGAGCTCTGCCACTTGAGGATGCTATCGGTACCCGCATAGAATCAGCGATTCAAAGGCCCCCAGAGAGAAGGGTGGCATACCGGTTGGGCCGCCTTCCGAGATTTCTGCGAGATCTTCATGGTACCGCAGCCAAGGCGGAAACGTTATACTGTACGTTCGTCGATGCTGTATGTAATTCCTTCTGTGTGTTAGAGTCAAGAGTCACAGCGCTGAGCCCCACTTGACGGCGTGGCTGACGAGGCCAGGTTTATGTATATATCAAGCAAGTCATTCTCACGGATTATGTCAGCTTCATTACATCACGCGCCTTCTATATTCAACGCGACGCGCCCCAAAGTATGTAAATTGCTGCTCGTTTGCATCGGAAACTCAGCCAACCAGCAGGCAAAAACAGCATGGGAAAGAGAAAGACACAAGAAGAACAAAGTTCCAGTGGTGGGATGCCAAGTGATTCAGAACAGGAGACTCCTCCCAAAGCCACGAAGGTGTGTACCGCCCAGCCCAATCTCTCACAAGCGCGACAGTACCACCGTCGACCGCCAGACTGCTAAGAAACCTCGGGAATTTGTGCTCGAAAAGCCGCCCAAGACTACGAAGAAGCCCAAGATTGACATTGCAGAAGTAGACGAGGTGTGGCGTCCAATGAATCCGCGAATCCCCCACATTACCCCTAACCTCAAAATTCAGACTTCAACGGAAGGGACCACGTCGCACAAGGGCGTCAAAGCCCACACGAACTCTGAAGGGGACAACTATGTCGATTTGGGCAAGAAAAGGCGAGCGACAGTTCGCGTTTTCAAAGGTTGATACTTCCCATCGCTTCAAACTTTCGGAGCCTAACCGTAAGAAGGCAAGGTACTTGTTGATATCAGAGAATACTTCGGACCAGACGACGACGAGAAACCAGGGAAAAAAGGTATCTCACTCTCCCCGGAACAGGTTTGTTCTTCAGACTCTATCGAACGTATGTCTGCTCAGCTGACTCCAACATAGTGGGATGCGCTCAAGGGAAACATCGGCGTATTAGACTCGTTCATCGCTGCAAAGCAGAAGTAGTTGTATAGCTGTGACTACCATCTAACTCCTGTTCACAAACTATCGTAATCTCTTGGTTAATATGCAAGTGTGTCCCATTGTCAAGAGCCTGGTCAGTGATGCGCGTATATCCATGACGTTTTCGAGAAGCGTCAGAGTCGCGTAGCCTGTCGCATATTTCCTGTGTCCCGGCATGTACAAATAAACATGCCGAGAGTCTTGTTTTTAACAAAGAAACACTCACCACCAGCAAGAAAGCAAGCGGCGCAGGGAGCCAAACCATCCATACATCTGTAAACCATGTTGCTGGATGCGTCGATAGTCATCCTGCCAAACCGCAGCCATGCAGTACTTGGCAGTAATAAGGAATATTCGAGCCTATAACGTAACATTGGCTAATGCACTCCGAACAGTAGCCGTACGCTTACACTCGAATGCGTGGTGGCAAGTGCATGATCCAAACTCCTACCAGCGCGGGTGAGGATAACGTCAGGAGCGACAAGTTACTACTACTAACCTTGTCAAATCATTCAACTTTAAAACCATCACGACCCTTCGTGGTATCCTTCTGAGCACGTCAAGGACGGAAAGTAGTATTCCCTCATTACTGACGGCATTCCGGATAGCCTGCCCTTCCGCTTCTGAAAAAGGTGGTACGTCAATAATGCTCGACGCTCGATCGAATCCGCCACTGTTTGATTCATCTTGCCATGAACCTTCGAGTGCTACACGGCCTGTGGTCGAACTTCAGTTTTGTTAGGTAGTTGGTTACCTCTGCCGATTCCACACCTGTAATAGCTGCCTCAAACACCGGGTACTACTATATCGTCAACTTAACAACCCAAGATAGCACTAATCGACCCACCAAGTCCGGGGTAATGTTCCCAACCAACTCCGCATACTTTTTCCGATCCTCAAGCGTCTTAGGCGAGACCTTGGCAATTAGGGAGAGCCACCACTTGCTGTAGTTGATCCGAAGTTGGTCGTCCATATCAAAGTACAAACCGTGATCCAGCAAAACAATTTCAAAATTGTACGGCGAACGAGAGTCCCTCGTAGCCCTCCGAATAAGCAAATTGCCTGGGAACGATAGCATGAGAAAGCGCCACTTCCATTGCGTAGATGAGGTTACCAGGGTGTGGATCCTATTTTAACACGCAACATTAGCACCCACCACGCCACTTGGAACAGCTCGCTCACCGCATGGAACCAACCATCAACAAATACCATTCGTCCAAAAATCCTTGCTAACTCCAATGCTACCTTGTTATTATCGATTCCTTCCTTTCTCAAGAATGCCAAGTCGTCTACCCTTGCTCCCTGTATGTATTCCATGATTAGGACCCGTTTGGTGGCTGAGATCACCTCGGGTATGTACAATGATGTAGAGACATTTGCGAAATTAGCGGCTGCGCGCCGTGCGTTTTGTGCTTCATTAACGAAGTCCATTTCTTTGGGAAGATTTACTCTCATTTCTTCACCCAGCCACGTGAATTCGAACTCAGGAAACCAGCGCTTGACCCAACCTGAGGTCATGATGAGGACATGCTGTCAACGCCCCTGCTAAATTGTTACTCACCCAGAGTAACTGTGACCATTTCCATATCGATCTCACAAAACTCGGCAAGATTGGGATGCTGCAACTGAAAGTCGACTTTAGATCAACACTTCGGAAACCCTCGCGTGCTGTACACTCCAATTATATGGGACAAACCTTCACGGCAACCATTTTCCCTGACTCTCTATGTTTTCCTGTATGCACCTGCGCCAAGCTTGCGACCCCAATGGGTATGGGATCGAAATCCTCAAATAACTCGCTTATTGGTTTACCCATGTCCGAAAGGAAGAGCGCTTCAACATCCTCGTACGACGTAGGATCACACTTGTCTTGCAACGGTCGCATAGTGTTTCTCCATTCCTGAGGTAACACGATCCTTGCACCATACGTCGTCAGAACCGTATCCAGTGCAGAGAGACAACGTACAGAGAAGCCATGTGCTGGCCTAACTTGATGAAAACGCCTTCAAAGAAGAGATTGTAAGGATTCTCTTCGACGTCGACCACTACATACGTGGTGGACTCCTACTCACCTCCGTTAGCCAAGAGTGCCCTGAGCACCCTCCTGGCACTTCTGGTATGGCATTGCGAGTATCCTTGCACTTTCTCCGCTTCCGAGGCATAACTTCGTGCAAAAGTTAGCTTGTAGTCCACAACTCCCAAAACAGCGGCCACTGTAAACCGGATCGAAGATCATATTTTCACCTCATGAGCATCAACCCAGACTAAGAGACTAAGATATACCGCACCAGCAACTCTCGAGCACCGGACAACAGCCAGCAAAGAATGTCGGAACGGCTGATATTGTTCATACGCCACGTATCCGATCCCACCCAGCACTAGTATAGTTGCGGCAAAAGTTAGCCCAGGTTTGACTCCGGAGTGTCGCTCGGAAGCCTGGAGTCCAGCGGCTTGAGAAAAGTGCAGACGCGATGGTAACCGTTGGCGGAGGCGGAATCCATCTCCAGAGTGATGAAATAGTAGACGCGATGGGGGTGCCCAGCGACTGCGGGCCCCGGGCTTGTACAACATACCTGGAAAAGTCAGCTATGCCCTCTCCGACACGTACTGGCCGTGTCGATCCTGCTGTCCAGCGCACTGGCTCACTATAGTACCCTTTAAGGTTATTACCGGCGACCTGCCAAATTTGTGGTGGGCGGAATTGAATCCGCCTCCACGTGACTTTCTCACACTGTTCTAACAGACTTGGTGCACCGCTTCGACGCGTGAAGTCGTGTACGACCCCCGTGCAGGTTCACTAATATTGCAGCGTGAGTTTTCCACTTGGGGGTGGAGTTATTGTCAGGCAGATCCAAATCAGTTGCAGCCCCTGTGCTCGACAATCGGTAAGACTATCTGCCCTTCGATAGTTCGGATATCAGGGTATGGACTCCAGTACACGGTCCCACGGTTTTTGCAATTGTACCATCATCTAACCCTTCGTGTAATTGCAGGGCATACAATCGTCAGAAAAGAGTGTCCATATTCTACGACCACCGCCACCACACGAGTACGTGGCACTCTCCCCCAGCCACTGGTAGCTTGCTCGTGTGTCTATTAATTTATATAAATAATACTGTCCACGCACGAGAAACGCAACTGGTCCGATCAATCCTCGAAAAGTGGTTGAAATACCTGACAAACTGTCACCTCACAAGCCCCGGGTAACATATCTCGCACGTACCTTTCTTGCGCCGCAATTCCCCTCCTGCGTGGGGCCAAATTCATCTTCGAACAGCTCTAGACTGTCTCTTCCGCCGCTCTCTACTCGGATATCTTCGGTCTCTAGAGTTGCAGACACAGCCGAGTCAACTTCATCTCCTCCTTCGAGCATAACGTGTGGTCCTTTTTTCACGTAGTCGGCACCGAGCCTTAAGGATCCTATGATCCGTTTTTCTGTTTGGGGCAGCTGTGGGTCGTGTTGAGGGGCTGGGCATGGTGAACTGGGCTTCGGCGGAGGTGCAAGTTGTGAAGAGGAAGGATAAAAGAGCGGCTCGTGTGATCTATCGGAGGCGTTGGGACTTGGTGGACCGGCATTGTCACCTAGATCCATCTCCATGTTGTCGTAGTCGTAGTCACCGCTGTCATCAAACATGGGCTGAAATTCGTTCAGGGAGGGGTTTGGTTGCGTCAGGGGATTTCGTCCTGTCGTACATGACGGAAGCATAGTGTCGGAATTATCATCCGCCTTCGAAGCTGTTCGCGACGTTGTACTAGTGCTGCGACTACTACCCGCAGGAACAACATCCGACCTGAGAGCGGCTTTCGCAGGTTTTTTCATCTTCTCCACTCGGTGAGACTGAGAATAATCAACAGCTTGCCCATCCTCGGTGGGAATATCGGGACGCGCACGTTTGCGACCGTTTGATCCAGCGTTGGCAAGGTTATTTGCAGTTTTAGGCCCCTGTCCATCCGCGATAGTGCCTTGTATTTGGGAGGTAGAGATGACAAACAAACACTCAGATTCATCGCCTTCAACGCCAATGAAAAGCGGTGCTGCTGGATCCGTAAATCGGAGCTCTAGCGGTGAACTTGTGGCCTCCGCAAATGCTATAGTTGCCTACAAGCGTTGAACGTTCTTCGTGCAAGACAAAAAGGGTACTCATGGGACAACTCACGTTAAACTCCCGCAAGTGGAAGGCAATGGTGATCGGCAGGGAAAATACCTCGTACACGTCGAATTCATCCACACTTATGGTAAGTTCAGTGGCCAACTGAATTCGTCCTATGCACGTCCATAAAATCCCGCGGTATTATTCACGCGTTCTCCCTCACCTTTGGCGTCAAGAGAACACTCGAGACTCTTGACATCAACGTCTGTGGCCCCAAAGGTCCAGACGAGCTGAGGGTCACCTTTCGTGCCACGGCCATTTGGAAAATGCTCCGTGATATCTCTGATAGCTCTTGGCCCAATCATTAAGCGTGACTCGTTTTCTGAATCTGGAACACCAGGTGACAGGAGGGAGCTCGGTATTAAGAGAGGCAGTCTGTGTGTCTTCACGATACCTGCATAGGACGCGTAGCTTGACCTGGAAAGTTCAGGACGAGTGATGCTATGACATACCAAGCTTGCAGTAGAACCTAACAATGAGTCTGCTTTCCAGGGAATTCCGATCTTCACTAGGTTCTTCCTGGTCATCCTGCGTGGGGCCCTCCACAACTGACAATTCACAACGTTCTACCGTCTTCTCGATTGTCTTGTGCTTCAGAATCGAAAGAAAAGTCTACGAATACTCCGTTCGATGCACTGCAAGGGTGGCCCAGGCGGCAAAATATACCTTGGTGGGGATCTGTCCCTTAATATCTCCCTCGACAACAACACTCGGAGAGCTTTTGTCCCTGTTTGCACCATTCCCGACTCTGTATCTGGAGAAGAAGCGTTTGCTGTACTTGAATCGACAGTAGGCCGACAGTGAGGAGTTTGTTGTGCTTAATGACAGATACTCTGTGTCCGCATGAATGACGAGATCATCGCCGTATTTCGACAAGCAAGTAAGGGCTCTGGAAAAGGCTGTAGCTTGGTGAGCAGGTGGTATGACCTGTAAAGCTTCCACGTCGTACGTTTGAGTGCATTCGCACTGAGCGTTACTTGCATTGCGTCGTGCTAACGTTGTAGCTTAAAGGACCCTTAGAGTCATGTGATCACAAGGTAAGTACATAGTACGTCATAGTAAATAGTCAAAGGTAAACTTAGAGCCTGAATACTCTCATATCGTTACCACGTGGGCCTGCTCGTCCATAGCCCGCAGTGGACGTGATAGGCAACTAGCTCGGTGTCTGGCTGGCATCTTCAGCTGTTCCGGACAGATGCACCCGGTTAAACTTGCAATCGTTGGCGGAGGGCCGTCCGCATTCTATGTAGCTTCTCGTCTGCTTTCGCTTCTCCCTCGCAATGACTCAAGTTCATCCTTTATCCGTGTGCACATGTTCGACCGTGTGTGGGCCCCACATGGTCTAGTGCGCTACGGTGTTGCTCCGGATCATCCTGAAGTCAAGGCGAGTTCGTTGCGAGTTTTTTTATTTTACAATTCGATATTGATTGCACTAACAAGACTCCAGAACTGTACGCATAAATTCGATGCAACCGCACTTGATCCGCGATTCCGCTTCTTTGGGAACGTTAATATTGGCTGTAATGGGCCCTTCTCGATGCCCAGCCCACTCTCCATTCCCCTTTCTTCGCTCGTCTCGAATTATACCCACCTTCTCTTTGCTACTGGATGTCCACTTCCCGCACTCCATCCTGCTATACCGCCGTCACGCCATTGTATCCCGGCCCTTTCATTTGTTCACTGGTACACCCGACACCCTTCTCGGCCGCCTCCACCTGCCCTCGACAGTTTCACCCACCTTACGTTAATCGGGAACGGAAACGTATCACTCGACATTGCTCGTATTCTGCTTACCAACCCTTCCGTCCTAGAGAAGTATGACTTGCCGGAGCAGGTCCTCGATGTATTGTCCCGGTCGGCAATCAAGCACGTCTCAATCATCGGTAGACGGGGACCTCTTCAAGCTGCCTTTTCTAATAAAGAGCTCCGTGAATTGATGAATCTTCCTGAAGCGTCCATGGTACCGATTGACCCCTCTGTTCTCGTTCCACCAGACGGGGTTACACTTACGCGCCAGCAACGACGTACGTTAGAACTCCTGCAAAAGGGTTCGCAACAGGCTTCCGGTAAAACACCAAAATCATGGTCGCTTGAGTTTTACCGATCCCCAACAAGTCTTACCTCATCGAGCCCCGCCTCGCCAACTGATATGTCGCAACTGATTCTCGCGCACACACGGGTAGATCCTGTCACTGGACGTGCCGTACCTACTGGCGAAACGTCAACCCTATCCACCTCTGTAGTAGTCACATCCCTTGGTTTCCGTGCAGAACCCACCGCTACTTTCCTGGATCCATCTGTTAACCACCTTCGTACTCGGGCAGGCCGCATCCTTTCCGCCAGTGGCACTACCATTCCCAACGTATATGCTTCCGGGTGGGCCGCTAACGGGGCCAAGGGGGTTCTCGCATCAACAATGATGGATGCGTATGCCGTCGCGGACACTATTCTGTCTGATATCACACCTGGGCCGGAGAGAATACAAACGACGGCGGCGTCCGAATATTTTTCTAACGTGGACTCGGCGGACATAATGATGAATCCGCAGCCTCATCCTGAGAATCCTCCCAAGGAGGTCGTACAGGGTATTAATGACGGCACTGTCACACAGTACAAGGATTGGAGGGCAGTCGATGCAGAGGAGATACGAAGGGGTGAAGTACTTGGCAAAGAGCGAGAACGCATGAACTGGGAGGACGCTAAGGCGTTTCTTGCTTCCCATGGACGGGGGTAAAACTATTCTACATAGATGTTCTGGAGGACGGTAATCACAAGGAATGTTGAAACCTGACGATAGTCACCAACGACCAACTCCCTGGAAGTGACAAGTGTATGGAACTCTTAGATCCGGAGCTTCGACTTTGTATTCATACGGCGGAGACAGAAAATATTGCAATTCACAGGTCCATGATACATGTGTTCATCGATCGAGAAATGTAGGGCAGACTATAAAACCATGACAGATCCTTCTTGAATCAGACCTGCACTTCTCAATTGCCCTTCCGCCTCGTAATGACGAGACGACAATATAATCGTTCTCGGCGCATCACCAGAACCGGTACAGAGTAGAGGAGTAGAAAACTGTCCGGGCAGAAATTGGCCGTGGAAGGTGAAATTCTCAGCTTGGCCGTCTTATATACGCAGGTCGGCCAAATATGAGCAAACATCGCCGGCCCGAGACTGATTCAACGCCATGTAGGCAGACTAGTCTTCTCGATATATAATAGAATCGGAACCTATGTATTTTCTTTACTGCCGCGAGGAAAGTAAATGCCAATCTGGTTTCGTTCCTGCGAGCTAAGTAGGTATGTATATTGAATGTATGTACCCGAAAAGTACTCGACCCCCCCAATATGTCATATTGCTCACCGCTGAATGCACCCACCATGGGCAAGAATAAGAACCTTTCGCTACGTTCGAAGGGAAAACGGAGATATGACCGTCAACATACACGTGGCCGACTGCGCGAACATGGTGAGCAGGAGGAGGGCGAGGTTTCGTCCACCGCCCGTCGTCGTATCGACGTCCCCGTGGCGATGTGGGTTAGTTCGTCGTGTGAATACGTGAGTGGGTACAGCTGATGCTGCGTGGTTGTAGGATTTCGACCACTGCGACCCGCGACGATGTTCTGGGAAGAAACTTGCGAGACTTGGTTTGATCAGGGAACTCAAGATTGGGACCCGCTTTCGGGGCGTCGTTGTCTCGTGCGTTCGGTGATAAAGACTCGTTGCGACGCTGACTTCGTTCACTTGACTACGGCTGCGTAGACCAAAAGCAGTTACGGTCGTGAGCCCAGGTGACCGAGATATCATCGCAAAAGATGGTTTGGCGGTAGTCGAGTGCTCGTGGGCCAGGATCGACGACGTCCCATTTTCCAAGATCGCAAGCCCAAACGAACGATTGTGTGAGTGTGCACTAACAACTCTATGATGGGGATTCAGATATCCAAACTGCTATACTGTATTCTCATTACATAGTGCCATATCTCCTCGCTGCAAACCCGACCAATTACGGTAGACCTTGGCGTCTGAACTGCGTTGAAGCTCTATCGGCGGCATTTTATCTGACGGGGTTCGACGCACACGCAAATACGCTCATGGGAGAGTTCGGATGGAGTGAAGCATTTTGGAACATCAACAGGTATTTACCACGCGTGCGAGAAATGAAGCGCCGTCTGACTTGTCTTCGTGGGCAAGATCGTACCTGGAAAGATACAGGACGTGCCGTTCTTCAGAGGAGGTCGTTGCCATGCAAGATAACATTATCTCTGAGCTTGAGCAGGCGAGGAGAGAGAAAGGTTGGTGACCATGTCCTGCCAGGGAATGAGCTCACTCAACAAATGTGGTCAGAGATGGACACCGGAAGCATAGACGATTTCCTCACTTCCAACCCGAACCACGCGGCATGGACAGTCGAGACAGAAGAGGACGAAGAGGAGGAGGAGGAGGGGGAGGAGGGGGAGGAGGAGGAACAAGGATAGAATTGTACTATGAATAGGGGTCGTTGTGTCATCATGAATGCGACCAGCCCTAAAGCGAGCAGGTGGCTGTGCTGTGGGTCACGGGTCACGACCACGGATGCAAAGCAAAACCAAACACGAGAAAGTCAGAAAGAAAATGGACAACCTGCAAGCATCGTATTGTGTCCAGAACATCGCCCTCGACCACATCCAGCAAGCCGTGAAGGCCTCATCGTCCACCCAAACCAATGACCCGTCGCAAAAAGTGCAGGACTTACCCTCTGCTGGACCATCTACCATTCCCGCCTTACTGCCTCCTAAGGACTGCTCCGTAAATGCTATCTCTCGGTCAGAGCAGGAGCGACAGATCATCCAGCAAACTGCCGCTGGGTGCGTCGCGTGGTTTTGCCAGATCTATTCGTGAATTTTGTTTGACTGTCCAACACAACCAGTTTTGCTGCTTGTCTTGCCGCGGACCATGCTGCAGTCTTGCACCCTGATATCGATTCTCCCTTTGCCGACCATGCAGACGTCGTAAATAGGCTCCTTCCCTACCATATATTTCAGCAGCCCCAAGAGGACACACGCACGGTAGCGGCAAGTAGACCACCCAAGGGCAAGGAAAAGGCCAAATATGACGACATCCGCCTGGAGATCAAAGGTGGGTTTGGCGTCAGCCTTCAATCACTATACGTGTTCATTTCGGCGTGCGTTCAAGAGACCCGCTTTGTTTTGAATTGCCACCAACGGCTTAGAAAGCTACAGGAGCGTTTTAGACGAGCACAAGTGAAAGATGGTACAGTATGTGATGATACGTCGCGCTACCATATTACCTTGAGGCTGATCGCAAATTTCAGCGTGCTTCGCCTGACCCGCAGGCGTACACTCTCATACAGGCCATTCTGGAGGTTGAAAGAGCAGAAACGGCTGCCGTGAGTTCCGAGCTGCGGAGTGCACGGAATGAATTGGATGCCATCCAGAGGGAAAAACGTGCCGCGTCGCAGCCCACTGTGACCAAATTCCGGTCCACATATTACCCCCAGGGATCCGCTCCATCACAGTACTACCGATCGTATGCATACGCATATACTCAACCGTACAGCGCCAGTATTCCCGGCGCAACAACGTCTACATTTTGCACTACGCCTCCTGCCCGATCGACGACCGCTCCGGCGACGGCATCAGGTGCACCTAGTTACGTGTCGTCAGGCGGGGCCATACCAGTCCAATTACCCGTCACATCGCTTTCTGCTTTGCATGCCCTGGGTATCGTTCCCGTTCCAGCCGCCTCGCTACCACCTCCGGATCAGCCACAGCCAGCGGCGGTCCTAAAGGGATCGACGTCTAATGGAACGATGTTAAGCCTCGACATCAACGTGTCTCTATTGCAGTCGTCGCAAATGAGTGGGTTGGCGCTGTTGTTGAATTCATTGATGTCGAAAGGGGGGAGTTCCGGCCAGGCGAGCGCAGCAGCTGGCAGTTCGGGACAAGCCGCTGCTTCACAACCGCAAACTTAATTGCTGTAGAATATCAAGATACTCATGTATTGTCTGGCTAATCCGTAGGTAGATATTACGAACACACGAAACAGGGATCGTTGCAGGGACGTCTTCCACCTAAGAAAATGCACCGGATACACATCCCAACATAGTTAACCACCAAGCCCGGTACAATGCAACCCAGCCTTCCTCCTCAACTATCGTCTTGGCGCAATCGATCAAACCAGTGTATGGGGCTCGGTCTGTTCTCAGCCTGATCACTGAGATGAGCTGTTTGCATGGAGGTATTCGGCGAGTAGACCTACCCAATAACATCTTCGTTGGCTCCTGCATACTCTGTGGCATCCTCGTTTGCACCTGCATACTCTGTGACGCCTTCGGTGTCGCCGCCCTCTTGTGAGACGGAGTTATATTCTGCTGAGGCGTGATTCCTTTGTATCGCGAGTCGTATAGAGATAACCTCAAGCGGAGTAAGCACCGCGGTACTAGCGAGGGCCAGGACAAAAAACAGAGATAATCTCAGAAGGGATACGTCACGCCATCCAGCCTGTGCTGCTAGTTCGGGGAGGATCAGGTGACGGATGGACCGCAGAATGAGAATGACGTAGGAAATGTGCGCGACCTGGGCAGCGAGGAGGCCCGGAGTAAGGTAAATAATCCATGGGCGGCGGCGTTCTGTGGGGGTAAGTAGAATGCGGCACGAATATGCTGCGTTGAACCAAGGGAGCTTGTGGGGAGTTGTAATGGCCCTGAAAGTGAAGTTGAGGAGATACGTTAGATATGGGTAGAGGGTAAGCTTGCCTGTCTGTGATGACGGTTTGGGGTAGGGAAAGTAGCATCGCAAAGATACTGTAAAATAAAATTCCGAGGATGCCAGCGGAGGGGGCGGTGTATGGACGGTGACGGATACTGTTGTCATCCAGGAATACGATGAGGAAGGCGGTGATGATTAGAGAAGATATCAAGGTTGGCACTATGCGAGGGTGAGGTCACATCAATCAGCCCGAGCGAACGGTGGACGCACTGAGGCCCTTATAGAGGCCAGACCAGCCCTATGGATATGATGGGTACCTGACTAACAAGACTTGGGTGAGGAGACGTACTTCGATGTCATATACTCTCTTGAGCATGGCGAAGAAGGACGAGATGATTGGACCGGTGTGTGGTTGTACGTCGCCCTCGGGGTCGAGCTGGAGACCCTTGGGGTTGTAGTTAGCCCTGAAACGCACGATGGCGCCCGTGAGTGGAACAATGATGGCCAATGAAATGGCGAGGGACACTGTGAGCACGATCATGTCGAATAAGCCAAGCATGATGACACGACGACGACGAGAGGCACTGGGCTTGAGTGGTGCTTGTCTGCAGGAGTACTGCGCAGTGCGGGCCACGGCATCTGCCTTTGGATTGGACAAATGGCGTCTAAACAGAGCCCGCTCTGCTCTTGACTCCTGTACCACCACCATCTCCACCAAGCACTTGGTAGGTGGGTTTTTCTGAGTTGACTACCATTGCGATCGTCGCGATATACTACTTCTCTACCGTCATCGCGTTATATACCGTAGACGATGGCTGTTTTTGCCTTCTTTCTTTTCTTTTTTGCCTCACTTTTCACGGACGATGACCGTCAAACGTGTTCGTCTGGTGGGTTTGACGGGTTCAAGCCCAGCTATTTGTTTCGCCGGGATCTTCCGACTGCTAGTATTCGCTAATAAGCAGCATTAAATTGGGTACTTGTCTTGAAAATTGGAACAGCGGTATCTTCCCTCTTCAAATGATGCAGCCGTCGTCTGCTACATAGGTGCGCCAGTGTCTGATGGCTTGTGGGATTTTTTTTGACTGACGAGCAACCTCCACCGTTGCGGGCGTCATGCTTCAGACTCGACTTTTATTTGATTACTCTTCTAGTGTGATTCGTTCGCCGTCAATCGGCAGGCATCCAGTCTATTGGCCCTCGTCCTCCTATCCTGCAGTTGTGAGTCCGGGCTGGGCTGGTCGCCTATGCCAACACTATCGAAGGACGATCCGCCATCGCTTCCTATATGCTTTCTATCTTGTAACATGTGACCCTCTGGCCATGGATGTCGAAGCTTTCGCCCTCCATTCCTCCATGCTACCGGCTATGCAATGATTTAGGATGTGTATTTCGAAGGGTTCGTCTTTTACCGCTCGCCCATGCGAAATCATTCCTCCCCTTTCAGTAACACCGAGAGTTTCGAGATGCGCGCTGTGTTAACAACCCCCCCACCTGCTCTTTGTCAAAACCACCAAATTGTCTTTTCATCCTAATTCCCCACCGGTGATGCAAAGGTTGTCTACCTCCCAGTCCCTTGTTGCGCAACATTTTTGTCCACCATGACACTGAGAGTTTCCAGATACGCTCTATACTGCAAACAATATCCCCCGTTCTGTCGAAACTACTAAACCTTGCCTTCATCCCGGCCCAATGCAAAGGTTGTCTATTTTTCAGTTCCTTGTTGCACAACCTTTTTGCCCACCATGATACCGGGGGTTTCGCGATGCGCTCTATACCCCACCGACCTTTCACCCCAACTCCCGCTACCAGTAATGCAAAGGTTGTCTGCCTTTCGGTCTCTCGTTGCACAGTCTTTTTGTCCACCCATGACGCCGAAGGTTTCAGGATATGCCTTGTCGCGCCAGCAACCTTCCTGCACTGTCAAAACGACCAACCGTGCGTTCATCCCTAACCTGCTACCGATGTTGGAGGTTGTCTGCTTTTCTGTCCCTTGTTGTACACCCTTTTTGTCCACCATGACCTCATGTACAGTAGCTACAAGTAAAATATAAATTTTTCGTGCCACACTGCATTGACTCTCCGACGTCCTTATTGCTACGACCACCTTGGGCTCGTTGCACCCCCTCCTCGTCACCCTCAGACCGGGGCCGACACTCCACATCCCTTATATACCTGTTGGCGACATCGACCATGGCTACAGAGGGCGACGTTGAGACTAATAGAGTCAGTTTTCGTATGGGTTGCAACGTTTTTGTCTGTTTTCTCATTAGCGCCCGTTATCTTCGTCGTACCAGAAAGCTGCCCTAGACGGACTAAGGTTCCGCAAAACAACACGACAGGAACCGTCTGATGTTGGAAGTTTTCAGCCTGAGCTCAACACCATCCCAATGCGTTCTTTGCCAGCACAGTCGAGAGATGCTTCATCCACCTTTCGCTACCACCCACCTGCCACACCGTCCACCACCGCAACGGTACTCGTTCCCAACTCAAGCCCTCTCTCTGCAGACAACCACTACCAGCAGCCATCCTATCCACATCAACAGAGAAGCGCATACGAGTCGTCCTCTGCGCCAGGCCTCAGTCACTATTCCTCGTGGAATTTTGCAAACCAGCCCACCGCTCTCGATCCCCTGTCTTCCTCCAGCGGCTTCCTCAACGGCGGCCTGCCCGTCCCCGCTCACGCGTCTTTTACGCGTCATCAAGCAGGTGATACCCGGAGATTATCGGACGTTGATGGGTTTGCGGACGACGGTCCTCCTAGGAAGCGGATTAACCGTGGCGACCACCTCCAGTTGCCAGGTGAGCGCACGTCTGGGCAATCCAACGTGCTCGTGCCCGACTCCCCAGATATACAACGGCCTAGCTACAGACGGAAGGTAAACGCAGAGTCAGCTTCGTCAGATGACTCGTTACCGGATATTCGACATTCGTTGGGTACGCCTCCCCCAGGGAGGTCGCGCATCGTGCGAGGGCAGCGCCCTGGTTTCTCCGAAGTTACTGCGCAGAAGGAAATGACGCAGAGCAAGGATGCGTTCACCAAATTCAAAATATTGAATCCAGAGCGAGATCCCATGCTCGTGCAAGCCGCATGGGTGCAAGCTGGGGGAGATATCAAGAAGGCAACCGACCTGTTACACGATCCGTCATGGAAACCTCCGCCTCCCGTTCGTCGACAGAGTCCATCCATGCTAGTTTCTGACGTTCCCAACGAGACTGGTCGGGTGGCCGAAGTGGATGAAGCCACCAAGGCATCCCGCGCTGCTATGAAAGAGAAAGCAAAGAAATCGTCGATATATGCTAACAGAGTCGTCCTCGATATCACACCAACCACTCCCATAGCCTCAACTTCCTTTGTAGCCTCTCCCATGTCGCCATCTACTCCCCTGGTCAAACCTCCCCGACGGAGACGCTTGAACGCTGCGCTCATGTCAGATTCAGAGGAGTCAGATACTGATAGCCGCTCTTATTCGAAGCGACTGCCTGTTGAGAGGAGCGCGTTCGACTACTTCAATACAGCCAAATCGGATGCGCTTCAAGAGTTGACTGGTGCGTCCTCTATCCCCCTACTTACGTATCGTTCTCACCTTGCACCCCAGGTTGCACTCCAGAGCAAGCCGGGGTAATTGTGTCATTACGACCATTCTGCTCCGTCGATGACCTCATCATCAAACTTGGTCAGGGCAAAAAGAAGGCAGGACCAGCCGGCATTAGCCCTCGAATATTCGAAGATTGTCAAACGGTGCTGAGTGGCTATGGCGCTGTGGACAATGTACTTGAGAAGTGTGAACGCATTGGAGCGAGTTTGCGTGCTGCTATTGCTTCGTGGGGTTCCGAAGATGACGATAGGAAAGGCAAAGGCAAAGAAGACTTTACTCTGGGTGAAGTTGAGGATGGCTCATTGAGCTTACACTCGTTGGATGTGGTCAAGGGTAATGCATCGAAGCAATATATTGCAACGCAGCCGGCAATGCTGCCAGACGGAGTGACTCTAAAGGAATACCAGTTGTTGGGTGTCAACTGGCTATACCTCCTCTATATGAGAGAGTACAGTTGCATACTTGCAGATGAGATGGGTATGTAGTTATTTCTTCTTCCTGTTAGTGCTGGTTTATCGAGGAGACGTTTAGGTCTGGGTAAAACCATCCAAGTGATTAGCTTTTTCGCACATATGAAGGAGAGAGGAAACGTCGGCCCTCACCTTATTGTTGTACCGTATGTCTGGTACTTGGTTATCGTTCTGCTGTTTGCTCACCTCATGCCTCAGATCTTCTACACTGGAGAACTGGTGTAGAGAATTTGCACGTTTTGCACCATCTATATCCATCCAGACGTATTATGCCGGAAAAGAAGACCGTCCAGCACTTCGACAAACCCTTCTTGACACACAGCGCCGCCGTAGCAAGAATGGTACTGGCTGGGAGGTTCTCATCACCACGTATAATCTAGCACAAGGTGATGAGCGGGACCGCAAATTCTTCAGAAAAATGGAATGGGACGTAAGTTCCTGCACACTCACCAGCTCCAACCTTGTCAATTGAGTCTTCGTCTTCTCAGAGCATCGTTTTCGATGAGGGTCACGTCCTGAAGAACTTCCAGTCACAGCGGTACCAGGCACTGCTCAAGTTCGAGGCTAGATGGCGCCTCCTCCTTACCGGCACCCCACTGCAGAATAACTTACAGGAACTTGTGGTAGGTAGAATACCTGACATCTCTTCGGTAAACAACCCTTGACCTCTTATTAGTCTCTTCTTAACTTCATCTTACCCAATCTGCTTGGCGACGCCATGGACTCCCTGCGAGCCATATTCAAGACCAAAGGTGATGCCAAGGTCACCTTACTATCACAAGAGCGCGTATCGAGAGCAAAGAAGATGATGACACCCTTTGTCCTGCGACGACGAAAAGACCAGGTACTTCACGACCTCCCTCTGAAAGTGGAACGAGTAGAGTGGTGTGAGATGACGGATCTCCAACGATCTATTTACGAAGACGCGCTGCAGCGTTCCAGGAAGACCATTTTGGAGGTAGAGTCCAAAACACCGAGCACCTCAGGTGCTTCAACACCGAACTTAGCCGGGAAGCCTGCGAAGAAACCCAAAGGAACTCGCCCGAAGGACAAATATGCCGAGAACAGTTCCAATGTGCTCATGGATCTGCGGAAGGCGGCTTCGCACCCCATGCTCTTTAGAAAGCTCTTCACGGACCAAATTTTAACTTCAATGACGAAAATCTTGCTCAAGGAACCTGACTTTAAAAAACGAGGTGCCGTATTCGAGTATGTCAAGGAAGACATGGAGGTCATGACAGATGCCGAGTTGCAATTCTTCTGCCAAGGTTACAAGGTATAGAACTGTTTGTATCGAAGTGAGAACCTCTGCACTGACACCCGATCAGTCCACTCGCAAGTTCCTTCAAGACGAGACATGCTACCTCAACTCTGGCAAGGTTATGGTGTTGCTGAAGCTGCTAGAGGCATATACTGCTCAAAAACGCAAGGTTCTGATATTTTCTCAGGTCAGTTACTTGTGCCACACGTCGCATCATCTATTCTGAAACCCGTAGCTAGTTCACTCAAATCTTGGATATCCTTCAAGCTATCCTGAAGCTCAAAAATACCAAATATCTGATATTGACAGGATCAACCGCGGTAGACGTCCGACAATCACTAGTTGACGAATTCACTGAGGATGAATCGATACCTGTGTTTCTCTTGTCGACCAAGGCTGGGGGAATGGGGATTAATCTTACAGCTGCGAGCGTGGTCATCATGTGTGTCATGGTCATTGTTTTCATTTCCAGTTTTGATCGTTGACATCCCGCAGGTTTGACCAAGACTTTAATCCCCACAATGACCGGCAGGCTCAGGATCGTGCCTACCGCATTGGCCAAAAGCGTGATGTCGAGGTAGTAAAATTGATCACGCGGGGTACGATCGAGGAGGACATGTTACGTTTAGGCGAAACCAAGCTGGCACTGGACGAAGCTGTGGCTGGTGAGGGTGAGGACGGCGATGGTGACAAGGGGGAGAACACGCAAGAAAAGGAGATGAAGATGTCATTGATGAACGTACTGAGGAAACAGCTGGAGCAACAGGATGCTGTGGCGCCTCTACCTACTGCATAATCGGAGGTATCGAGCAGAGGGTAATGTGAGGGACATAGGGGCTAATTTTCCTGATAATGCTGTAATGTAGCTATACCATCGAGCATTTAGACATCCGGATCTATCCACGGACAAGTGAGGCACTTTGGTTTGTGGTGGGATTTTGCATTAGGCAAAGACAGATAAACCGCGAACCATGCGATCCACGCTGGCTCGGAAATACTCATTATCGATGCCCTGTTCCCTCGAGTCCATTGGAACAAGAGGGTTTCGAGCGACGTAGTCCACGAACGGCCCGCTGTAGATCTGCCGCAAGACGAACCGCAGGCCGTCGGTGGACGGATCACTCAACATAATAAATTTGTACCCCGACAGCGTCTCGTAGAGATGTAATTTGTATGTCGACGTGCGAAAACTCGTGAAGTGTTCATCTCTACATTGTGTATTTTAAAAAACAACATGACTTAGACCCCCCTGGCATTAAGAACAACGAGCAGCACACACCTCCCAGAAAGTTTTTTGATCATATTCCGTAGTGAAAGTATGACACCATAAACAAGCTTCGCCTCTTCGTCGAACGTGAGTGTGTTGAGCCCGGGTCTAACGGTTGCTGTTGGCGGTGCTGTGCCAGTTGAAGGGTCTTCGCCGATAGCAACGACAGCACCAGTGGTGGATACGAGAGTATTCCTTGGACTACTAAATGTCGAAGGAGCAGCAGTGGTGCCGCTATCAACCTGTCGTGGAGCAACAGCACGAGACACGGCCTTCAAAAGCCCTCCCTCCATGGCCGGCCTCGTCTGCTTGGTACGGTGCCAGTCATGATAATATACGCAGGCACAATGTCTGTGCGCAGAGATGATGAATCCAGTAGGAGCGGAAATCTCAGACGACGTACCTATCGAAAACGTAGAGACTATAGATCGTCATCTCCTAATACACCTTGTCGTACTACTCTGTTATCGTTGCAACTTCGTCACATTACATCATCGTCCCAGGGAGATACGAAACCTTCTAACACCACATGTACAACGCTGCCACGAAACCTCAAGGAACATCAAGCCATCGTGCCGGCAGTGACTAGTGATGATTGAGTATATCAGCTAATTTAGCAAACTACTGAGGCGCTATCCCAAGCCAGAGGCACTGGAAGAAACCCTGGAAATCAACCAACAGAATTCAGGTCGACGTGCAGTACTGCGGTGAGCCATCACGACTAGGTATTTCTATGGAGATGAGAGCAAACGGTTTCATGTTCTCTTCTGCTTCAACTGAGCGATGGGCAGCCGGTATACAGGCTGAGTGAAATATTCCCTTGTTCTTCCCCATCGTTCCTGATCTTCCCCGCTGTCGACTTGGACAGAGCTCCAACGAACTTCTGCTCCGATGTCGGACAAATGGCACTCCGACACCCGTGAATAAACATCATAAAAAAGAGCGTCTAAAGTAGAGAGTCAATCAATAGCACCGCGCAAGTTGCGTACAGACTTACTGGTTGCTCCGAGGCCATTAAAGAAACTATATCGCCCCTCAGAACCTGCCATCAGGTCGGGCAATAGCTTGAAAAACTTGTGAAGTTCTGCCCTGAGGTATGTAGTCAACTTTGAAATGCATGCCATCCAGCACCTCTCACCCTGGTAACCTTCCGCGAAAGTATCGTTATAGACAACATCAAATTTTCCGAGATCGCGGAATTCTTTGCTTTGAATGACGTTTTGCCACTTGCCTGCCATAACTTTGACCCCTGGCTTGTCATGCCACCCTCGCTCTCGCATGTGCGCCAGTACATCTGGGTGGGCTTCTATTATGACATGCAGGGAAGGAGGTTCGGATAGTTCTTGTAGTAATGTGTCGATCTGCTCGCGGGTTAGTGCAATATGAGGGACGGGTATGATGCGGAACCGTCTGTACTGACAATTCCAAGGCCAAATCCCACGTTAAGGATGCGAAGCCCCTCCTTCAACCTCGGGTGGTTGGAACATAACTCGTCCACAGTCTTGCACACTGAGCGCTACCATGTTCAGCTTGGTTCATGCGCTCAGATACAATGCAATCACTGACTGATCTCCCGCTCCCAACCCATCATGACACCGATCTCCGTGTCATCCTTGAACTTGAGAAGACAAATTTCTTGGCCATTTGCATCAGTGGTATATTGTAAACGCGAGGCAAGAAACTTGTCGTTTGATCCGGCTGCAGTATTGTCCTCACTGTCGATCACGAGCGTCGACGCAGATTGCACAAGTGATGAGCGCGAGGACAACACTGCAAGCAATAGCTCTGACACAAGTTCGGTCATTAACACGGCGATCATACGTAGACAGCCCATGTACCTGCGCGGATGCCCGCATCGCGGATAAGCTTGTAACACTCCTCATTATTCATGGATAGGGCAATATCACCCGCCGTGTTTCCAAGGTCGTCCACTGGTGGCAGCCCCGCGAGTGAATTCCATACACCAGAATCAGACCAATGTCCGACTTGCCTGCATTCCAGACTGCGCCTTCGGCCAGGAACATCTTTACCAGCTGCTCGCTCCCAACATACGCTGCGGCATGCAAAGGTGAGATACCTTCATTGTCCTGGAACCACAAAGGAGCGCCTGCGTCGATAAGATCCTGGATATTTGTGAGGGGTTCCTTTTCTAGTACAGCTTGGATCAACGTGGTGCCCAGTTCAGTCAGCGTGTTGATTTCTTCAATGTCTTCAGCAGAAACCTCGCTGCTGACTGGGTCTGCTTGCGAATCGTCAGGCATTTGGCTCTTGATACTACACCTGAAGAAAGATAGTGTAGCTTATTAAAGAGGGCCAGCGCCGGGACATGATGATCTCGGCAAAACGCTCAGATTAGATCAAACCATAAATAATATGACATTCGTATAAGACTGGCAATCAAGACGCTCAAATTTCTTCGCCCTTATCACTACGCCAATAGCCAACGTTCGATGCATGCACCGGACAGTTAAATAGTAGAACATGATCTCAATCATTTTGATCTCCGTTGCCATCGGATCCGTCATCCACAGGGAGTGTGATCATATCGTTCAAACTGGACCACAAACAGAAACAGTTAATGACATCATAAACATTCCGCCAAGTTAAGTGTCCGACTTACCAGTGGACGAACGGCCGGAGTGCTCGCACGACGCTCTTGAGCTGTTCAATGAAGTCTGAGCTCAAAACTTGTTCGTCCGTGAAGCTGGCAACAGTAATTCATACATATTATATGCAATCGATGTGACAGAACTTACGTCCGCGAGACCGCTAGTGATCGGCACTTTAAGAGATCGATATCCCTGTCATTGCACGAGTGAATTTCAACCATACACAGTGAACCTGCCCTCACTTATGGTGTTTGCTCACACCTTTTGGAGCTGTTTTTAATTCATCCTCGTGGCCAAACACACTTTGGCGCTTTCCGTCCGGATGAGGCCGTGGCTCCCCGAAGTTCGCAACGAATTCCGAGTTAGAAAGTATCTCACGAAGCCGAGCCGGTGAGTGCAGTATGTGATTCCTAATGTCCGGGGAAGGGACTGTGGGTATTTCGCAGGGCTATCAATGTGACAAACCTGATGGTTGACAGTTCATCTTTCCCGGGACACCACGCCCCGGCCGCAATTATGCTTTCGTCTCCCGGCTTGACTTAACAATTGTTAGCATACTCTTAATGTAGAAGGTGCCCGAGAATAACCTACTCGATCTGATTTTAGGATCCGTTAGACTCTAGCGGAGTACCGGAAACAACCAACATGGAAAGACTTACATATGGTCTGTATGGATGACAGTCAGTAGTGAGTAGGTAACCAGGGCTAGGACTAACAGAACGCAAAGATCCCCTTCCTCCCACTTCTTGAGAAGCTTGCGGACAGTCCCGTCTTGTACGGAGTCTTGTCGTTGCTGAAGCGTATCTGCGTCATAGTGTGAGCGTGTATACGTTGTGGCATTTGAAGCCTCACGTCACGGTAGATTCTATGAATTACGTCTTTCGGTGGCAGAGGAGGAATTTGCGGGTCGACGCTGACAAGCATTTCGCTGAAGGCTTCAATGAATTCCTTGAATTCCTTTTCACATCGCCTGTATACGGGTTCTGCTAGAGATGAGATGCGCTCGAAGACCCGGAAGCAGGATATATACCATGGAGTTTGAACCTGACTCAGGGGTTAAAACTTACTAAACCAGAGAAACTGGTAGGACTCTCACCACCCGCGTTCGTTGCAACTCGGGTTTCGCAATTGAGCCAGGAAGTCGAGAGTGTGCTGCGAAATTTGACCTTTGGGGCCTCCAAGAATCAAATATCAGCGACAAAATATCTAACGGACTTGCAGGGCACTCACCCCACCCCGTTTGAGGAGCTTGGACAACTTTGCCTACGACCTCTTGACCATCTTTGAGATCAATGTCCGTGACGTCTTCGGCTTCGGCTTCGTCTTCTGCCTGCGCTTTGCGCTTCTTTTTCGCTGGAGAACTGTGACCTCCTTTACGTTTTCCGCGCGAAGACGTTGATGCAATCCCTTTGGGCACCGCTTTGGTCGACTTAGAGGTGGCTCCGCGTGGACGCTTCTTTCCTCCTCCTTTGCAAGTGGGTTCATCGTCTAGAGCATCGCTGTCCAGCGACGTCTTGCTGGAGACGTCACTCTCATACCCTGAGCGTGCTTCATTGGTTTCTTGGACAAGGGGACGTGGTGATGGCATGTTGGTGGACGAGTCACGACACCCGCGTCGAGACGCGTAGCTAATGAGACTAATTAATACACGTCATAGTGGAGAAACCTTCACGGTGCCCATGATATAGTACAAGACGATCAAACGAATGTAGGAATGTCAATCATCTTCGTGAATTATAATTTTCTGTTCTGATGATATCAAGCGTGCCTCTGACGCTGCTTCGAGATTCGCGAAGACTGCTTCAACAACTTGTTGCTCAGCGTTCGCAAGCTCCTCATCCTCGTCACTCTCTTCCCCCGGTTTCCTGAATACTAATTCTGTCCCATTGACAATCCGACGCTTTTTGACAGGTGCTTCCGCGGTATCGTCCATTCCGCCGTGATCGTCACCGTCAGTGTTCTTTTCGGCCGACTTAGCCTTCATTCGTTCTTTCTTCTTCTGTCTTCTAGCACGATTCTTAGCAGTCTTAGCTTCAGCAAGCGCCTCTGCCTCTTTCCTCTTCTTTTCGAACTCGGCTTCTTCAGTCTCCTACATACAGCATCGTGTGTCAGAAAAGGTTGAGCGTTATGACATGCACATGATCACACCTTTCTTGTAGCTTCCTCCATTAGTTTCAGCCGTTCGTACTCTCGTCTACGACTAGCCTTATATACATGAAATTCGCCGCTTCCGGCTCCTGCGCTCGATCCTTGCACGTTCTTCATCATTTCCCTCGCCGCACGAATGGTTTTCTCCTTCGGTGGAGGTGGAATGTAAGCTGGTTTGCTCGGATCCTTGAGAAGCCGCTCAAGTTGAACGCGCTGATGATCAAGCGGGGTGACCGCATGACGCACGGTTTGGCCTGGCGCTGGAGATGCTGAATGTGAGTTGGGCGCGGGCGAGTTCGTCGCCGACATGGATAGTGCAGTAAAGACAATATAACAAACACAAGTAAACAAAGGTGTCCTTAACCACTGTGCCAACGTCTGACAGCTTTCGACATTTTGCAGCTTCCACAGCCTCCCTTTCGCTCAACCAAATGATTCAGGCCGTAGATCCGGTTGTACATGTGGTGTCCCACGAGTGTGGTGGGGTCAATTTCGCTGAGCCGAACCCAACTTGACATTATGGATCCCGTTCAAAGAGGGCGACCATTCCATATGCAGCAGCCGCTGCGGCCCCACCCACCATTAAGGTGCTGACTGCACCCCATATGTATCCTGCTACGTCATTACCGGCACCAGTAACCCGGGCCTTAATAGCGCCGAAGACAAGTAGGACAACTCCAGTGAGAATGCAGGAGTAAAGCAGAGCAACGTGGGCGCGGCTGATGAAGAAGTACGGGATCAGGGGGACAATGCCGCCGACCAGGTAACCGAGCCCAATTGTCATAGCAGAGAGGTAAAGTCTTCTGGTTGGTACTTCCTCTGTTAAAACAGCTGGTCAAATATATCGGAGACGGGTGGGAAGTCACCACATACTGAGTCCTTCACCAAATTTGAGTAAGAACGCAGTGAGCCCGACATCATCTTTCCACCTGAGTTGTTGTCGTTCTTCGTCTGCTGGACCTTCGGTCCCTTCGCATTCGGCCGCTTGCAAACTTTTAGTGACCGCCTGTGCAGTGGGCACGTCGACGCCAACCGGTCCTAGTATCGCGTAAACTTCTCTCTCCATTTCACCATCGCAACTACGTTGCACCCGACAGGAAATGTGCCGTTTTAAGAACCCGTAGTGATCTCTTTCGGCTTGCGATGCCAGGAAGCCACCGACGCCCATGGAGATAGCACCCGCGATAAGCTCTGCTATACCGCCAAGAACTACAAGTCTGGATTCTCCAAGGGACGAAAGACCGGCCGTGAGGGCAAAGGGGACGGTGAGACCATCAGACAGACCGATCACGCTAATAAAAATACTGAGAAGAGATAGTGGTCCAACAGCATGATAACCTACACGTCACGGACGATGTCCGGATCGACTAATGTGCGGTCGTCGTCATCCTTGAGGTCCTTGCAACATATGTCGCCTTGGCGGCCATGCCGACCGCACTTTGCATGGAGAGGTAAGGGTACTCCAGGATTTGCAGATTCTAGAGCCCATACTGGTGGTTTTGGAGGGTTGTTTGAATCCCTGTTGATGGAGATAGGCGCAACAAGTTCGCCATTCGTTTCTGAAGACATGGAGGCCAAACTGGGCCTCCTCCGAGCTGGCGCCTTTGGTGTAGATGATGAAGATCTACGCGATCCACATCAACATCTTGCTCATGCAACGATTCCTATTGGCTGGCCGAGGCTCCACTCTAGTCACCGCCTTCGGAATTCTCCGGAGACCCCAGTTCCACTTCATTTAACTGTGTAATCTGCTAGTAGTCACACACAAGCATGTGTCCGTAATGCTTTGAGCTACCCTAAGGAGTCTACCAGAAGAGAAAACTACACTACACAATGTATTGCGATGGACGAAAGATAGACGAGAGGGCAGAGAAACAACACTCATACGACTGAGGTGAGTCGTTAGCGGAGTCCGAGAAGATGCATAAGGGATAGACAACTCACGAAGTACTGCGTTCACGCAACCGTCATTCTCTGGATTGTTGGTAATTTGAGCATACTTCCCAAAAACCACCTTGCCACCCGTAGTAACCATCCCCAACTCAGATACGTTCACCTCTATCACAGTCCCTTTAGTTAGGACACCCAACTGGGTGTACATCGGTGATTGGGGATTTTTCTTGACACCCAATATTTGCAACTGGAAGGTCGCTTTCAGATCAGCTACAAAGAGTCAGTCAAACACGGAGTACAGGGTCCACATTGCACATCACGTACGATGCGTCACATTCGCTTTCTTGTATCGCAGCGCCATTGGTCGAATGAACCGTTCCATTTTCACCGGTTTACGTGTGAACCCTTCACCGACAAATGTAGCCTTCGTCACCATGCGCTTCCACGATTTACTCTTCTTCGTCCCCGTCTTCACTACTTTGAACATCTCATCTTCCGCAATACCCCGCACTTTCGGCAACGGCACAGAGTATTTTGCAGCCTTGTCTTTCCGCTTCTGCTTGATCGCAGATGACAGGGCCTTTGCATCCTTTTGTCCCTCACGATCAAGAAGGTATGCAGGCAGGGCACCATCCGGTACGGAGGATGAATCGGCTTGCTTCACATTGCGCTCGTCGTGGACTTTGAGAGTCTTCTTGAGCTGGACTTTTTCTCGGTGACGCTTAGCGTGAAGGAGTTTCGCCTTCAAGCCAAAGGTCTTTTGGGCAATTGCAGAGGATTTGTGAACCGCACGAGCTTCCTTTTTCCGCCTGTACAATGCCCTTTAGCGATTAATCGCTGTGTGCTGCATCAGGGCCACGCACTTTCGCTCATAGTAATCCAACCGTCTACCATGCCGTTTGATATGTTCCTCGATATATTCATTCTGGAAACAATTCCCTTAGATACTTGGGTGCACGTTCAGATGTCCTATCAGACTTACTTGCGGCTGAGGGAGTAAAAAACGGTGTTAACAACATGCGTTCCTTGAGTTCGCGATATGACTTACCATTGTAAACGGAGAGGAGGACTTCGGAGAATGCCGAATAAGGTCTGACACGTACACCGCAGCCGTCTTCCGCACGAAACGACGATGTGGCAGGACACTGCAAACCAATATGGCGTCGCGTCGACTTCACAAACTAACGTGCCGCTACAGTTTTACGCGGCAGAGTCATATCAAAGCCAGTTTTATCCCAGCTCCCGGTCGAGTTTGGAAGGCGCTGTGAGCACCGGAGGCGTCACTCCGTCTTATGGAGGCAGTATTCAACAGCCAGGTGGATGGTGGACTGCATTTGGTACCGGAGGATTTGAAGGGGAACCACCACTGCTGGAAGGTGCGAAGCAATCCAGACAAGGATTCCCACCGCGTTCATATTTTGGATGTTGCAGAGCTTGGCATCAACTTCTCCCATATACAAGCAAAATCAATGACCGTGCTGAACCCTCTGCAGCATGTAGATGAACGTATAATGGATGATGCAGACCTCGCTGGCCCTCTTCTCTTTTTCTTCTGCTTCGGTATGCTCCTACTATTGGTAAGCCTCGGTCACTATGGGTTCCTCTGATGATCCTCACATATGAGTAGTCTGGGAAGCCCCAATTCGGGTACATCTATGGCTTTGGGTTGCTCGGGTCTATTTCAATATACACACTCCTCAATCTCATGTCTGACAAGGGCATTGATGTTTACCGTGTTGTGTCTGTGCTGGGATACTGTCTGCTCCCCATGGTTGGGGTGGGTGCTGTTAGTGTTGTGGTAACATTGGAGTGCGTTCCGCTTCTCGATTTAATTCAAGAAGTTCTAATCACCGACCCCGCAGCGGTGTCCTCGGCTACATGCTTTCCATTCTTTCAATTATATGGTGCACATACGCTGCATCAGGAATCTTCGTCGCTGTGTTGCGCATGTCTGACCAACGTTTACTGGTTGCCTACCCCGTAGCATTGCTTTATGGATGCTTTGCACTTTTAAGCGTCTTTAATGTAGGGGCGGGTAGAGCAGGGGTTGGGAGGTAGATGACACCATGTCCTATTTCAACTTACTGCAGATACCGTGGAACGCCATTTCCTCCCACCCCACGCTCTTCAAATAGCCTATTATTTCTTCTACGGATCTTGCACCCCCAACAATATCTGAGGCAGGCAAGTCATTATCTCAGGTGCGCATATCCTACGATAGTAAAAGAGTATAGTATCCGAGTGCAAGTACCTGAACGTAAATAATAATACTTCAATGTGGTGTGTATGAATGAACTGTCTGCTTTCGGTAGCCACAAACAAGTCCCTGGGTTCTTAGACTAGCTTTCGCTCCCTCTCCATCCGCTCAGTCGGTAACTGCTTGCTGTAGAGGTTCAATAGCCCTTCCATAATCTTCTCCAATGGTGTCGTTGCATACTCGTGAACGTACTGTGGTAGAGAATCTTCTAGACTGAAGCCAGATTTCTTCATGAAGAAAGGATGCATCACGTCCGGAGTTGCCTCTCCCAGCTGCCGTAGAGTCAACTTTTGAATCCTCCTCTCGCGCGGCTCGTAGACGATAGCCATTGTAAGGGGAGATGAGGTGCTGACATTCGCCTCCTGAGACTGTGGAACTTGCTTGGTGGGGAGAGAAGACTCTGAGCTGGGCAATTGAAGCTTAGAAGGTTGAATTGAATGAGACGTAATCGTATCCCCGTCCGATTGTGCTGTATCGAGAGAATGTGCTTCGGGTATACTCCAATGCCCTTTCTTTCGTACCCCCGATGTGCTCGCAGCTGCACCTGTTTGGGTTTGCAGCTGAGCCATCTCCCGTGAAAGATTCTTCCGCAGCCCAGTTAGCCACGAGTACAGCGCGACATTCAAAGTTATGTAGATGTCCTCAGGTTTTCTGTCGGCTCGTCCCTGGAACGTACTGTAGAAGTCGTACAGAAGGCGTTTCGATAGTTCTCCACCGGGTTCCTCAGTTATCATGAGCATTCTCATAGATGGCAAGCCAACGATATTCGCTTCCGTGGGATTCTTGAAGAGCAGATCTACCCATGATCTATCACTGGAAACGGCAACTGAAGGTGGCAGGAACGGCTGAAGCTGACTAAATTTGGAGATGTTAAGTCTTGTGAACGACAAGTGTATTTCCCTGCGGGACGGTCGTCCGTCCACGACTGCCCGATGCAAGCTGGCTTGCACGTCCCGCCCGATAAATGATGCAAGTTCTACGTCTGCCATTGCTCGTGGGAAGCAAATGAGCCTCAAAGTTTCAAGGCGGAAACTCATTTGCTGGCGGATGACGTAGGACAATTCTACTTCAGCTTCCTTGAGCCGGTTTCTCGCAGACTGGAAGAAAGCAGAGGCAACTTCTGTCAGAGGGTTACTGGGTTTGGGGCTCTGCGTGGCGCGAAATGCTTCTGATTCTCGGCTTGCTGCTAGTCTTTGAGATGCGATGCTGGCTTTGAACCTGTTTGCATAGAGCATCAATTTAGGGAGGCTTGTGATTGTTGCCAACGCAGTGATCTCTTTCCCCTGAACGGTGAACGCCAAAAGAAGACGTCGATCTCCGTTTCCCAGCTCAGAGGTGAGACGACTCCAATCGTCGCGAATATCCACTTGGATTGGGTCCGCTCTAGACCCATTGTCAATGGAAAAATGCCACGCCATCAGTGAAAACTGACCTGTATACCAACAAACGCTGTTGCTCCGAGTCGAGTTCCGCGTTGAGGGCGCCACTCGTCATCGTAAGTTCCAGCAGCCGCGCCGTACGTGACTCACGTGACTCCCGCGTCAGGGAGTCCTCGCTCCTGCGGACCGTGTGGAAGATGCAATTAGGGACAACAATGTGACCAGAAACATTCCCTCTAGCTAGAATGGCAACATCTGCCACAGAGAGAGACACCTCAGAGCAGCTCTCGGAAAAACGCGTGCGAACAAGGGCTTCTTTAAGATCGAGAGTAATGAAACTGATTGATTGCCCGAGGTCGACAGTAACTTCTGTCCTGCGAATCGAAAGCACAACAGTTGTGGTGACGTCCTGTGTTCCAGCTGGACTGAGAGGCTGAGTCGACGGCGGAGCAGCGTACGGTTCTCCTGTATTGGAGCTTTGTTCCGAGATCAAAGGAATGCGGTCCAGCCAAACTGCTTTGAAGCATAGAATATCTTGCAGACGCGAAAAGCGTACACCTCCAGCGATGTCCGTGTTGACAAGGACAGATATCGAACCCTCCGGATTCCCTTCGCCATCCTCGACCTTGGTAAAGGTTAAGGAGAAGGCGAGATTGCGGGCTGCGAGGTTGACACAATCATCGCTAAGAAAGCCATGCTTAAGCCCCACTGTTAGACCATCCACAGATCCAGTAAAGGTCAACCTATGGGCTCCCGGGGAAACGTTCACAATAAAACCGCCACTTTCCCACCTGAGAGCCGCAATGACGTTTACGTCCGGCTGGCACGTGAGTTGCAAGGTCGATTTGTCAATGCGCAGTGAAAAGTTTATCTGCAAGCTAGATGTAGGAGAAAAATCCCCCGGAGGTGCAAAAGGCATAGATCCACGAGACGAGTCTCTGTATTCCGAAGTAAAGGATGCTCGCGTGTCCTGCAGACTGGAGCTCTTCCGTATCCGGGCTTGGACTTGATCGGTTATCTCAGTGACAAATGGTAATAAGTCGGGATGGAGTGTGTTTTGGCTCGAGTGAATCTTGCTTTTGAAGATCAGCATAGGCGCTGGCACAGACCCGGATGTGCCCGGGACATCAGCCAACGCTCGATACTCGATCCATGCCGACAAAACTGGCAGCTTGACCACCTCTATCTCCCTCGTTGAGGGGTAATTATCGTCGTCGTGATGACTGCCAAACACTGGGTAAGGCCGCTGGGATGGACTACGTATGCGAATTTGCCCGCTGTCGAATACAAGCGCTGTAAACATGTTTAGTGCCGGGAGCGCATTGGAATAACTTTCGGTCGGGGGACTCGTGCTGAACGACTCTGATGCCCGAGGAGCCATCCCCGTGCTGGCCAAGCGTTCCATCCTCTCCCGTCCGTGGCGATATACGTCAACCAAGGAGAATACGTAGTTTGCGATGGACGAATCAAGATCCAAAACGAATCCACTGACATTCCCAGCGATCCAGATATGCCGTTTAAAGCGTGAGGTATTGGAGCGTAGCTGAATCTTCATTTCGGGATAGCACAGGCGATTCTGGGTGGGGTAGCTCTCAGCAATGAAGTCCACCGGGATCCATTGCCTAAACCTTGAATACGTTTTTCAGCGCTATGCACGGGAGGGATAAGGAACTGTAATTACCGGTTTACAAATTGGAGAGATAATTCCTTCGTAGTCATCTGACCTACTTCGCCCCTCTGAGTATGGAACTTGATCCGACGCACGGAGAATAAGAAGGCGCGGACAGCAGAGCAGTCACAATTAGCCGACATTGGCAACTCCAAGCTCTGATCAAAGGACAGTGGAAATGCGACACCAATCCTCTCAATGTTTACGGTGATACTGTGTTTGCTCAACCACGAGGTGCCCTGTTCGAGATCCGGTTTCCGGCGCTGAACTTCGAAGGTCTTGAGAATGGTCCGAGTTTTCTCCTTGAAAGCTTCCAATTCTGCTGTCCTCTGACTTCTTCTGATGAAAAGCTCAGCCTAGAAATGTGTTAGTACATGGAATAAATTCGAGGAAAAGGTCTAAATACCCGGTGGTGATCAATGAAATCCCCAAGTTCGCTTATTGAACTCGGTTGCATGACAGCCTGGATCTTTGGAATGGACACATCTAGGCGATTGCCTTCGGCCGCGACGGAAACATCAATGATAATAAAAGCCGATTTATGGTTGCGATCGAAGGCATGCTCTGGTTTTGCTTCTCCGCTGCCAGGGGCTAGAGATAGTGCTATGTCCCGGAGGGCAATCTTCCACGCAGCGTAGCCACCTCTTTTGGTGATACCTCCAACCACATTCTCGCACTCCAAGTAAAATGTGGATGCGGGACCTTCCAGGCCAATTCTGAACCCTTTCAGGTTGACTTGAACGTTGTATCTACTAGGTTTCGATTCCGGCCTTGCGATCTCGGGGTCCATTGGTCGTGTTCGGCGGGTCTCCTCAATCAAGTCCATCAAATCTGTGAAATCTCGTCCAAACTTCTGCTGAACAACGAGCAAGGAATCCCAATGTGAAGGTTTCAGCTTCACGTTAGCGAACTCCAGGGCAGCTAGCAAATCCACATTATCCTTTCCCTGATGACCAGTCAACGCTAGAGCAGGCAAGACAACTTTAACGCGGGGAGCCTCTGTGCCATCATCCATGCTACGTGATTTGTAAGATACAGCCAGGGTTTGGGACTGCGCTTGAAGGCCAAATGTTCTCTGCCTCTTCGTTGTGGCATACGGTACAGATGCGACGAACGCTATGCTGTTTCGTACGGTCCAGGATAGCCAGGTCCCTCTCATGATTTGTAGGGTCACATTACAGGCACCAATAGTGCCGTTAAACAAGACGTTGGGGTCCTGATGCTTTTCTGCGTGCGAAGCTGGCAAATCTAAAGAGGTTTGGTTGCCCTTGATTTCGGATATCAGGCTTTCAGCTGCAATCCCAAATGCGGGTAGGAAGTCGGCCTTCCACTCTTCGATGAAGCGATATAGCCGAATGGCGCTACGGGGGACGCTGAGGATAATGTCGTCCAGCGAGAAGACAAGGCGCAAGGTATTTGATGTGCGATCGCTCCGTTGGATCACATTGAAGCTGCCCTTGACGAAAGTCAACGATGCAAGGGAACCGCGTTCGGGTGCGAGGACATTGGTATCGCCCTCCCTCGACTGAGCCCAGACATGGAGACTTCCGAAAGTGCAGATGTGATTCGTCGAGTCTATTCCAGCGTCTGAGCGTGTGAGGGCTGAAGAACATAGATCCAATGAAGACCCCCCTAGTTCGAAAATGATATTCTCCGCTGCTGCTCGTGCATCCAAATTACCAACCTGGACTAAAACGATGACATGAGACGGCACGAGGCTTGCTGAGGAACCACGATTGAAGCCCATATCATAATGTTTTCGCACTCGAACGATTCGCTGAGCAAAGTCGATCAAACGGGGAGAAACTACCAGAGAAATATTAGCGGCGGTAGCCACGATGCAACTCTGGCTGGTAAGAAGGCTGGTAGACGGGTCCTGGAGAAGTAAGTGCGCGGCTGCCTGCGAATCGGACCGATATTCCAGATACAGTGTTGTTGTAGCCAGATAACTCTGTGACGTGGGCGTATTCGACAGCACGGTGAAGCGCAGGGAACCAATCCTGCATGAGGCTGAAGTCATGGCCAATGCCATCTGTGGAGTGGTCGTTTTCTCCATTGGGTACATCATCTGCCCCAAGGAGGAATGGGTCAAATCGTCAACGTCTACCATGATATTCAAAAGACAAGTCCTGAGCAGGTCTTGATCGTCCATCTCGCCTGAGACTTCCTTGTTCGCCGGCAAGAGAGGTCCGCATAGCCGCAACACAGAACGCATATGGAAAAGAAATTTGAAGTGTGGATCTCTCCGTAACGCATCGGGAAGTCCTCGTTGGACCAAGAAAGATGGTTGCATGACGGAGAGCGGATCAACGACAGTACGTTCTTTAGCTCGTGAGAGAACTTGGCGAACAAGTGTGGGGAAGCAACTCGATAGAGCCAATTGCCAGTCTTCATAAGTCGCTGCTAGCCGCTCAAAATTTACCTTCGTGGCAAGCAGTAGAGCGACTACGTGCTCCGGATCCGACGGGCCAATCTGCGTCATCAGTTTTTCGCTGCAAATGACTAATCTTCCGCTTATATAGTTTGCTTGAATGCTGTCCGACGACAGAGAGTACTCTGGATGGGAAGCACTTGGCACACCAGACGGACTGCTAAGGCCAGCATAGAGCGCCTGGCAATCCAGTTGAAAATCGGCAGATCGATTCTGGGGAGCGCACTTGAAGAGCAGTCCGGTTAGGGAACAATATGCAGTGAGGTCAACACAGCCGTTGTCGGTGACAACACTCGAAGACGGCTGATCCAAGTTCGCTTTGCAATGAACTTGTTCTACGAGCTGAACATGCAAGGAGTGCAGGTTTACGTCGAACGAGGGTAACACAGAATCCGATGGTATGCCTGACTCGGTGAAGTTCCCCAGATGTTGACACATGAAGGTGTCCAACAGTAGCTCGTCACTGAGATTCTGTCGAGAACTGAGTAAATAGGCATTCACAGTGTAGAAAAGTCTTACATGGTGTTTGACTTCATCTCTGATGGTGGACACAAAGATAACAATAAGTGGAGTAATCAATATCTCAAATCCGTGAGTAGATTCCATGCGAATTGCTGAAATAGTGCTTGCAGCGGTGGGCGGAATTAAAGTACAGTGAAGCACTTTGCCCGAGGAATTTTTCGGTTTCTCAATACTAGTAGGTGGATTCTGCACCATGGTTAGCCCTTTTCCACCGAAGGGACTTCTGTACTCACATATACCAAGGCAAAAGGTGAACCATCGCGAGCAGAAAAGTTATTCAGACCACTTCCATCATAGCGCCTCGTAAAACGATGATAGCCCATGAGAGGTTCCTTCGACCGCCGCTGTGCTGTTCAAGAGTGAGTTGGCTTCTCATACTTATGGTCTTCCTCACCATCTACATCCAGCCAATCGCTCCCCGACGAAGTAGCGTCTGACATGTCTTCATTGTCCGACTCTTCATCAGAGATAGTCGACTCCGCGTCGTCACTCTGCGCTACCGCAGGTCGTAGGATTCGGTTTCTCCTACGAAATAAGAATTGCCCTCCCAAGATAACTCGCAATGCTTGACCACTTACGCTACTCGGGCATCACGACCCGCTTCCGAAATTTTCTCATCCTCGGATTCGGATAGGTGGCACAGGCGAGACCACCGAATGAAATGGCTAGAACCCACCTGCTCGTGGTCTTGGAGAGTAGAGGTTGGCGTACAGAACGAGGGAAGGCTAAGTTGAGGAAGATAAAGATCCTTCAAATGGTCGATAGGAGACAATAGAGGCCGCCTATAACCCGCTACGGTACGATAATTGCGGAAATGCTCGCGCACTTCCTTGACCTGACAGAGAAGATTATGGGCTCTTCGGGTGAGTGCATCCTGCGATTGTATAAAATCACTCTGCGCATGGCCGTTGGGGTTTGAAGAATAGATCTCAAGATAGCTGTTAAACTCCAGAAATGCAGCTTCTGACCATGATGTACGAGATGAGTCAGAAGTAATAAGTGCCTTGAGGTTAGCAAGAGGGAGCCTCAGAATGATCAATTTGCCGCATAATTGTCCCTGCAGGTCATTGGAATGGACGCTAAGCCCATGGGGCAAATACACATCGACGGCCGCAGAGCCTGCAAGTAAGGTAAGGTTGAGAGTCTTCACGGATAACTTGACGAACGTCACTGTCTACGTGTTAACAATCCGAACGCACTAACGTGAATGCCCCACGCACAATCAGGATCAGTTGGCAAGCCAAATTCGCCGGCGGGAGCATTCGGCGAGTCGACAAAGTTGATTCGGAAGACGTCCAGCACCGCCAGAGCTATGCGACTTTCGAGCACTGACAGCAGTGCCCTTACACTACCAAAACTAATTTCCCAGACGCACACATAGGTGCGTGTTCGTGGTGGCGGCCCAAACAGCCTATGCGTCGTAATATCGATCCCTATAGCCGTCCAACGTCGGGACTCATCCACTGTATGAAAACTCACCATCAATGATCAATGTTTTATCGGGGGAAGGACACTCGTGACGGAAGAATGCATCCTCCGGAAAGACTTCTAGGACGCAACCTTTTATTTCCCCAACGTTTAGAGACATGTCTGCCACGGAGTTACATCGGAGCAGTTCATTGTCCAAAGCCACATACGTACCCATGAAGTAGTCATGCAACCTGAAGTCGAGTTGAAGCTCGGAAAATCCCAGCAATAGGGAAGCACCGGCGTCATCAGTAGTTATCGCAGTATCACCGTACTTCTCGTATCCCGGGAGAGCTGCGGGGAGTAACAGGGTCCCATTGTGCAGCATAAGAGAGATAATGACTTGAAGAGGGTTCGACTGCGCGACGTCAATATTACATCAATAGATCTGAGATAACTGTACGCACTTGTCCGGGCCTGTATTTCTTCTCGATAGGGTCTCCGACTTCACCTTTCCTATGCTTATCCAAGTACTCAACGAGCGTCGAAAAATGAGTGAAAGATCCAAAGTAATTGTCGCGCAACACCAAAGTATACCTGACCACCCATCCCAGTGCTTTAAACGAGACACCTGTCAGCTGCATACGATGAGTAAGAGGCATAGGTAGATTCGGACGCAACCCACGAAAATATCAAGCTTAATTTGATCGACATGGTCAGAGCGCACCTCGCTCCAGCTGTTATATGAGGCCACCAGGCGAAAAGTACGCGCATGGAGCACCTGTTGCTCCTTACCCAGGTTATAAAGAGATTGGGTGTTCCACTTTGGCAACGACATCGAGACAGCTAAATTCGGTACGTCAACGGAAAGTGGAATTGTCGATCTTTCTGGGCGATATGTATTCGAAGGGATTGTCACTACACTGCTGCAATCGTGGGGCTCGGAGAGTGAAGATTGCTGAACGAGAATGAGATACATAACACAAGAGAGGCCAGCAGACTCACTGTTGTCATCCTTGACAAGTGGCTTATCGACGATATTCTGGTCATTTGCGTACAAGTTGAGGTCGAAGTGAAACAGGTCCACCTCGAAGACATAAACCGTCGGTATGAATTGGTACCACCCTGTCGGCGGCGCAGTTGTCCAATCCCGTAACAAATCCACAACCATATTGATGTGATCCCGCAGAGGAGAGATGACAGGCTGTCGTAACAAAACTGTGAAAGACCACTTGCGTTCTGCGTTCCATTGAATCGGTGCTGGAAGTGCTGCATGCACCTAGCCCTCGATTAGATACCAAGATAAATCGAGTGTTTCAATCCTTACCCGACATGATTCTGCAAAAATTATGCGGCTCTCGTTCAAGCTTGAATTAAGCTGCACCGTATCCAAGTGAACCTCCAGTCGTGACTCATAACCTTCGGGGCCGATAACCATTGGAATAGTATAACTGATGGACGAACTGTCCCCGGCAGTAAGATGGAGAAAGGCGGGTTCTCGTTTGTTGTGTTTCGGGCCTTGGGCCTGACCATCCCACTGCCAATCCTTGGAGCCCTCCCGGAAAGGCACAGTTAGCGATGTTTCTCCTCGAAGCTCGATGAAAACTTTCATTGCTGTCCAAATTCTCTTGTCTCCAGGCTTGAGGCGCTGCGAGACTTCTAGATTATGATAATTTGAAGGAAAGAATGTGCGTTGGAGGTGAACGCTGCGAGGTTATATAGAATTGAGTACTTCGAAGCTGTAGAGTTGAGATGATTACCGTTGCCGATCCGCCCATGGACCATACCGGATTACTCCGTTGTGGATAACCAAGTCGATACCCCATTGAGGGGGTAAGTCGCCGTTACCAATGTCGTAAGACTCAAGACCTATGCCTCCAGCACCAGTCACCTCGGCGGGTACCTCGCCAACGACATCAACATAGTACGATAGTTCCAGTGTGGGAGCTTCCACGATGCGTCGCTCGATGGCATACTCGAGTTTATTAATTTCAGCCCCAACAAATGCACATTCGTCGAAACCCTTCCACGGGTACTTTCTTGGAACAGAATGCTGGTGATTGTAGCCAGTACCAACGTGGGGAGAGTGACGGAACCATGGGTACAATTTCAGTGCCCTCCAGACCCTTGCGAACACCTCGTGAGATAAATATAGGAGTGGGATGCGGTCAGCATAGCTATAATGAATCTCAGATCGAACTCTGGATCCATGAATGGCGCCATACCTAGAAGACTCTGTTCGTACACGGATGTAATGTCCTATGTCAGGCATGGCTCCCTGATAGTCAGGGTTCTCAACGAGACGGATGACAGCACTCTGGAATCTCAGATTCAATAACTGTTTATAGAGGTCACATTTTGATCTAGCCTAGTGGAAGTTAGTATGACCTGTGCATGGAATATGAAAACACACACCGGCACGATCCCAAAGGTACCGTTAGTCCTGTGACATTCTGCGATCATTAGACTCGGAGTAGAGGGATTGCCGCAGGTTATGGAGAACTTGAAGGCCTCGATGGACACTGGTAGCAAAGCCTTCGGATCAACGTAGGGCATCTGGCGTTTAACCCAGTTCAGAGCAGCGTAGATAATCGGCGGAGCCTTTATGTTAGAAAAGACAGCGGGAGGATATAAGCCTTCCCACAATCCTTGCGTTACTAAAGCCTGTAAGTTGACAAAGTGGAGCGGCATACCTTCCAAAGCAGATGATCGAGAAAAAAGGCGTCGAGGTTCAGATAACTCCGAATTTGAAGATGTACCTGCTTGCATCTGCGAGATGATATGGTCATATGCTGCAGTTTTGTTGTACAGGAACCATTCAAAACCGTGAACGGAGATCTTGACACGACATGGAGGCAAAGTACGCGGCTGGTTAACTTAGACACACGAGTGTCAAACAGGTATACCGCGGAAAGTAACGCGGCCAAAGCTTACAATCCTCTCCTCCGACATGCTCTTGGTCCAAGTCGTCCTCTGTTGCGGTGGCACGTAGCCAGTACCTCCAAGTAATTTGAGCCTTCACAACACTGATGGTCTGGTTGCTTGAATGGTAGCGGAAGTCCTTGAGAAGGATTCTCCCAGCCAAGAGTGAGAAGTGAATGGATCCTGACGCAGGTACGTCAGCCAGCACGCCAGGTGTTCTACGGCGAATCCACTACTCGCCAATCTGCACCCATATGCTAGAACCTTGCTTGTCCCAACACCGTATTCTCAAGAATAGCCCAATGAGCGCTGCAAAGAATCGGTTCCAATAGAATGTATAAAGTATGGAGGCCACCAGCACGCAAATGCACGACACCAAAAGGTAGATGTTGAGCATGATGCTGGCAGTCAACCTGAAGAAAGCCTCGGTGGAGTGCCAGCAGCGGCTTCATACTTTAATGCAGTCAATTGGCTGACTAAGCACCCATACCCCTTGCCTTCGTCTTACTTCGATGCAGACTCAAAGTGACAAGGTGGCGACGCCGCTTAGACGTCTTGCAATTCACTCGACCACGACGTGCTCGGCGGAGGCGACTGCATATGGAAAATGCATCCTTTCTACGTACCTCGACGTCCGCAAGGACACCTGCAAGCAGGAATTCGAGAAATTCGGACAGTGTCTGCGTCAGGCTGTAGGTTCATAAAGACGTTTGACAAATTACAGCAAATTTTGACAGCCCCTTACTCTCAGATGAAGCGCAAATGGTAGTCTGACCGCTTCCCGAATGTTGGATATATGCATGTACAATGGCGGTCAGAACAAAATACACCAACGATCATCGAAGGTCCTCTATATCTAGCCCCCAGGCATTGTAGGGACCCCTGCTGTATCAGCCACCTCATTCACTTGGTCAGATTGAGATTGAACGCGTCGTCTCCCATCTTCCCGTCGCCTCATGATAGCCCGTAGATGAAGGGGTATGAACAAGGGTGTGGTATTTGGGAGTGGCAATATCGAATGTGCCTCGGATCTTTGGGGTGCTGGTTCACGTAGGCGACTGATAATGTGTCGTATATGAAGGTCTACGATCCACACTGGTTCATGGCGTCTGTGCTTCGGCATTTCTTCTTCCGAGGAGGACGTGGACGGTTGTGAGGCAGTTGCAGCCGTTGGTGCGGAAAGCGACGCGTCAGCGATCGCGGACGAGGAGGATGAGTGTAGAGATTTCTCGTAGGATATTGTTGTGAGGACCATCTGAAGGAGCACGATGAAGACGTCCAACAGCAGGAGGTGTAACTTGGAGGGTACATATCCTGCAAACATATATACTAAATTCCGAAGATATGCCATAGCCGACCCAATCATAACGCACCCATACCGACAAAGTCGAGCACGATGGCCCGGCCTTCTGCTGCACCATCTCTGACGTGTGACCAGAAACTTGGCAGGTTGGATAGACACAACAAGATGAACCAGGCGCGCAAGGACAACTTGGAGTCGGCCTCCCTGTAGTGGCTGAATATCCTGCAGAGCAATGGCAACAAGGCTGGCGCGAGAAAGAAAGAGAGGCAGTATAGCTGGAATATGAGATGGTCGAGCTGCATCACCACCCCATGTCAGTAAGTTGAGAGGTTGAGAGCACACTGGGCACTCACGGAGTCGATGATATTTTGTCTTTGGGCGTCATGGCGCCTGTGCATGACATCTAGTCAATCCAGTGTTGTGGTGCTTCTCTGCAAAGCGTTGCAGTGCTGAGAAGTTTGGCTCTGTTGCCACTCCTCTGCAACAGCAGCGTGCGCAGTCACGAACACAGAACAGTCATTACATTAGTTACACCTGGGCTACACTACGTAGAACGTCCAATTGGCAACAGCATCTGTCATTAAATGAATATACAGGTCCATCGAAAGAGCGTGGCTAGGGATTAATAGCAACGCCTCATGCCTTATCTAAGGGGGTGAGAACGTGGGGCGTATGTACGCCGCATGGTCCATGAGTGCTACATGTGCTGCCGTGGATAATTCCTCCGTGCACGGTGATGTTGGACATTCCTCTTCGTCGGGAGACAATGGCTCCCTGTTGCCGAGCACCTCGAGACCCGAAGGAGAAATCCCCGCGGAAGAGTCGCTACTCGGTCGGAGGGACAATGCCCGAATGCGTCGGGACCTGTCGGAAGAGAGGGTTTCCTGTGAAGGCTGTGGGCTGTATCCAGGAGGAAAAACCGATAAGCCACGTTCATACACGGGCACCAGCGAGTAAGCCGTCGGGGAATGCAAGCCGGTATCGAAGGCATGTTCCTCAGGGTCGTTTAAATCTACACGCGGAACCGCTGAGTATGAGGCATGAGCTCCGTCTCGTTGGAGTAGCTCGACGTCGTCAGATGTTTGCCGAGAATGCTTTGAGGAAGGGGTATGAAAGTAACTAAGATGCCGAGGGCGATCGCCTCGCTCTTGCACTTGGAGATCATATGCATACCGGGTGGCTACCACCGTTCCATCTTTAAGCAAGTCAGTTGAACTGGAAGAAAGAAACACGATGAAGACAGGGCGGCACGTACAGAGCTCGAGAAGTAATAAGATAGCAACAATAGCTATGAGCACATAGGTCGATATGCCCTTGAGTTGCGTGCAACTCGATTCCATCGACGTGCCTGCAAGCACAGATACGCAGTAGTCCACGAGCTGTTGGCGATTGCCCTTGCGAATGGTAACCAAAAAATACACGTCGACGATAACGTTGAGGATCGCATGTGCGTAAAGGACGTAGGTATACATCATAACGAGTGACTGCTTGCGTGCAACGACACCCACGAAGCTGTAGAAGGCGATGAGATGAGTATGGAGCGAATCGATGAGAATGTGGGTACCCGGCGATGGAAAGAAGGCACAGGATGGTCTCGACGACACCTGTCAGTATGAAAGCGACCCATTCGTTGGTCGTGAGTTGATACGAATCTGCTGAAGTATTTGAGGGGGAATAGGGCTGGCGAGCATAGTCCACATACGCGAAATCTCAAACCAGACGATGGCGGATATAACACCAGCAACGAGGAAAGTCGACAGTGTCATCAACACGAAGCCAACACGGATTGGTATGCAGCAAAAGAGTGAATCAGAGTGGAATATCCGTTCTTTCAGCCGGCTCGAGAGTGACATGGCGTGCAAAGAGGATCAAGAAGCGAAGGACAGTCGATAGGGACCTGCATTGCCAATATGTAGTAGTCCTCATGGTCAGTAGTAGTAGTGTTAGTAGTGCACTGAGTTTGAATGACCCAACCAAGTCGAAACCTTCACCCCATCATTTGACAATCATGAACAATGCAAATGAGTCGTCCATGGACTGTTGATGGACAAGACAAGCAACCTATTTGGACCCCTCAGGACGACCAAGTTTGTCGGGCGCAGTCAGAGCCGTATCAGACACTTCCAAAGTACACAGTCGGATATGTCTACTCTGCGGATATGCTTCTGCATTCCTCCCTGCATGGACACCCAGAACAACCAGAGCGCATAGCCCGAATACGCAAAGCCTTTCAGGACTCCAAATTACTTTCGAAAATGAAAGAGATTCGAATACGCCCTGTGTACCGCAACGAAGCGCTCCTCGTTCATAGCCAGGAACATTGGGACAAGGTACTCGCGATACAAGGTGAGCATTTAGCATTGCACGTCCGTCCATTCACCCCGCTTGTATCTCATCTCACGACTGTTGCGGTCCTAGCTATGACGCCACAAGATATCACTGACTCAGAGAGCTACTACGATTCCCTATCATTGTTCGTCATGAACGGCACCACTCGGGCAGCGAGGTTGAGTTGTGGAGGGGTCATAGAGGCATGTCTCAGCGTCGCGGAGGGTCGCCTGCAGAAAAGTTTTGCCATAGTACGACCTCCTGGACATCACGCCGAACCCGATGAACACATGGGCTTTTGCTTCTTTAATAATGTCGCTGTTGCAGCCAAGGTCGTTCAACTTCAGACGCAGATCAAGCGCATTTTGATATTAGATTGGTATGCTCTTACTTTCCGTCCACCCGAGCCCTCAGCTCACTCTCACAAGGGACGTACATCATGGTAAATTCACTCACTTACATCTCGTACACTTTGCGTACTTTTTCAGGAAACGGTACCCAGCGTGCCTTTAATGATGACCCATCCGTGTTGTACATTTCTTTACATCGCTACGAACGTGGTCAGTTCTATCCGTGCGGACCTTTCGGTGGTCTCGAGTCGTGTGGTGAAGGCCCTGGTCTCGGCTAGTGCGTCCATTAGACCGTGCTCTCAACAGCCTTCTGACATGTATCAGCTCTGTCAATATCCCATGGCCCACCCATGGCATGACAGATGCAGACTACATCCACGCCTTTCAACGGATCGTGATGCCCATAGCTCTGGAGTTCGCCCCAGAACTGGTTATCAGTATGTCATTCCGCTGGCATTGTTACCGCCAGACTTACAATACATCCTATAGTATCGGCAGGTTTTGATGCAGCCGAAGGAGATGATCTTGGCGAGTGCCATGTCACACCAGTAGGTTATGCTCATATGACGCACATGCTTTCGAGCCTGGCTGGTGGGAAACTCGTGGTAGCTCTGGAGGTTCAGTGGTTCTATTAGATTTCGGAATATCACTCATCCAGTCGCGGCCAGGGTGGTTACAACCTCGATTCTATATCGAATTCTGCTTTGGCTGTTGCTCAAACATTGCTCGGTGAGGCACCTCCGGAGTTGCCGCCGATGGTAGCTTCAGAAGCCGGTACGGAAACTGTGTGGCAGGTTGCATTGGAGCAGAGTAAATATTGGAAGTCTGTCAACCCGAAGGCTTGCGAGCCTCGCGAAGGTACCACTCCATGAGAACGATCTCTGATACCTGCTCAACGAACCTTGGCTAGATTTGGACGAAATTACCTTCTCAATACCAGGTGCGGACACTGTCTCTTGTGATTGGGTCTATTATCATGTCCCGCAGAAATCCTCAAGGGTCACCGGCAGCATTTCTTATATTCTCAATATCGTATGCTGCAGGTCCCGCTGATGCCTGCTTACGAGGAACGTTATGGATCTCAAGTAATGTGCACGTGCGTAACCGATCAAGGTTTTATTTGATGTGAATGTTTAACAAGATCCCAGAGATGATATGTTGGAAAACACGACAATCGTTATGTTCGTGCATGAATTGTGAGTGTATTCTCATAGGCCGACGGAAAGATACTTGAAGGAGTCAGCGGAAACCTTTGTGCCGAGCTGGATGGAATGCCCATGTGCGACGTCAATCTCGAGCATTCATACCTTGTACGTTCCCCGTGTATTCCATTTCTTGATGATCTCGAGTTTTGGGACGCCACTGCAGATCGATTTCTCTAAAGAACTTATCGCATGGGTCAGAAGTGAGGGGTACGCTCTCGTGGACGTCAACATGTTCCCGCGACCCTTCTCGACCACCCCCCTCCCCATAAATATGGTAGGGTGCAGGTTGATTGACAGAGTGGTGTTTAAACCTCTGATATCCACAGCGTTCGAAAAATAACATGGTAGAAAATCCTAGTAGAGACCTCTTGGTCTATCTTTGGGACAATTATATCCAGTGAGTCTTGGCATCCCCCTGGTTTCCGCGGTGCCTTAAGTGACTTTCGAGGCTCTCAAATGCACAACGCATCATTCTTATTGGGCATGGTCAGGGATGCCAAACCTTGATGGATCTGTTTCAGAAGAGGCGTGCGTGAAATCAGTGATACCACCTCTGAATTTTTTTGACATAGACTACTGGGACAGCCGCGAACATGATTAAATATGTGAATCTGGTTGTGCAAGTCGTTGGAACAGCAAAAATACCTCTGATACCAAAGGACTCCAACGAACTGAAAGCTTGGTACGCGAAGGTTAGATGAAAGTACTAACTGTAAGGCACACACCTAACTATGCACAGAACTCGATTGTTATTGTGCATCCTCAACATCCAGCGTTCGCACCGGACAACAAGATCCTCAAGCGACATGGACGTGTCATGAGGATTGGTATGCACGCACATTCTCTCTCCTTTCCTTGCTTACCATGTGGTTTAGATGAGGTGAAACCGATCAAAACTATGATAAAGGCCTTGCCTATGATCCGCGACTACATCAAGCAAACTCTGGTGCCGGTTGAGTAACCGCGCAGTGTTAAATATAAGCTACTCTCGTTGTGTAATACTGTTGTCTGCTATCTGCTCTGTGGTTATATCCACTCGAATAGGCCTCTGCGCGGTGAGATGATGCCGACAACCTTCGCTTCGAAGTCAAGAATAGTTCCACCGCGAGTCACAACCAGATCTCCTTGAGCAGAAGCACCCAGTAGCTTCTCAAGATTGGTGGAAGCGAGAGCGAGAGCCTGAGCTTCGGATATTTTACCGTCACTCTCAAGAGCCGCCTATGATATATTGAGCATGTTATGCGGAATAGATCCCCACGGAACGTACCCATGCAATGTCAAAGCGCGTGCTTCGAGCACTCCAAGGTTCCAAGATACCAATGCCGACCGTCACGCCATGGTCTAGCAAGGTGCTGATCGCACTGTCGTAAGTCAAGGGAGGGCCGGGAAGGCTACGGAAATTCCATGAGCATGTCTCGAAAACATCTCAAATTAGACTACCAACATGCGTCGACTCTGCCACTCTTCTGGGAATGGTCTTGAAGGCGACACGATTACACCAACGTTAGCCGCTGCAAGTTCTTTGGAGAGTATATGTGCCTCCGCTGCGCCTGAAATCGTCAATCTGATACTAGAACCCGTGTGGGTGTCGACTTCTGCTTTCAACTTGAGTAGAGTTGCAATAATGTCGGCGTTCTCCGCTTCAATGACAAGAGGAATTTTTCCCTATTTATGACCTCTCAGAACATACCTTGGTGATATCAACTGAAATGCTTCACCTTGGCAGCGAGGTTGAAGGGTGTTCCCTCATTGCTATGTAGCAAGAGATTGCGGAGGGCCGTAACTTGAGTGCTCACGCTAGGTGAACCTGACCACCGGTGACTGACACTAACATGAAGAGCAGCAACATCCTCAATAACAGCCCCGGCCTGCAGCCCGTGTGCAGCACTAGTTGAGAAAACGGTGCTTAACCCAGCGACAAGGCCTTTGGAGGTAGGAGCTGTCACGGCAGAAGTTACACCAGCACGGTAGGCAAGCCTGACAATGAAACATCAGATTCTGCAGGACGACGAAGAATGGAAAAGACGTACAGAGCATCGCGAGTGGCAAAAAGTAGCCCGTCAACAGCTCTGATAACTTCATCCCCCTCTAAAACATCGGGGATCTGGTGCGCCAGTGGATCGAGGACTACACCATCACGAGTCGACTTCTCACCGTGAATTTCTTCCAAGCCCAAAGGGGACCCGTATGACACCAGGGCCGGACTAGAAGACCGCTGTTTGGACAAGAGCACGGTGGAGAATGAGGCACTCACGAGATCGACCCGCCGTCCAAATCAGACCACTCCATTTCATTTGAGGTAATATGGTTGACACAGGCAGCGTGCGCGCCGTAGCACAACAGTTCTCCCGCTTTCACGATGGCTACACCACGACCGGCATCGGAAGCCGAGAATACCTGCTGGATTTCCGTGCCGATCTTGCTAAACACGCTTCCGACGTTGGTAAACACAATTACATTAGTCGTAGGTGAGGCAGTTGACAGGGGCGGGAGGCCGTCATATTTAACGGCTGCAGCGGCCTCCTTGTCAAAATTCGGTGTAGATGGAGCACTTTGGAGGGTCGATGGCTTCGCAGAAACGTATGGATTGTGTAGTTGAGAGATTCCATCTATCCAAACTTGTATAGGAGTCGCTCCGATGGCCAGTGGATGACTATCCCATATAACTATATCTGGGCGCCAGTAAATGATCGGCCAGTAATCATTGGATTCCACATGTCAGCTTACCTGCATCATAGCCTGCCAAACCATTAGACACTCTTCACCACTACCAAGGAGACACTAACCTTCACGGATGAAGCCGATACGGTGATCCAAGCCAAGAACCCTTGCTGGCACGGAAGTGATGGAAGAAAGAGCTAGATCGGGGGATAATCCATAATAATGGGCTTGCTGTGCCTCATACAGCAAGTAACGAGAATTCAATACCGGGTGATCGCTCTGAGATCGGTATTAAACGGAACAATCTACGGATGATGGCGTACGAACCTTCATTACTACATCGATGCCATTTTCAGCCAGGATACGTGGAGCAAATTCGGAACCTCTGTATGCCTCGCGCTTGTAACGAGCGTTAGTTGCGAACACGGCAATAGCTGGCGTGTTCCCTACACGCGTGAGACAGAGTAACATGTATAATCAGGATGAAGACCTACCATATGCCCGCTTTAATGTTTCTGGAACGAGATAGGCTTCATGGGCGTGGTGGAAGGCAGCCAGTGGAAATTGAAATTCGTTCGTAAGCTGAAATACTTAATGACCTTCTCCTGACAGGTCATCCACGGACTCACTCTAACAAAGTCATCTAAATCGACAGCCTCGTAGCAGTGGGTATGGACCTAAAGAGACCGCCGTTAGTACGTCTCCTACAAAAAGTTAGCCACCGACCTTCACTCTGCCTCGCAGGACATCAACCAAAGCCTCCAGTCGCAAATCTTCGGGGAAGTCTCCAAGGCCTTTCCACTGGTCAGTAACAACCTTCGCGCAGTAGTCATCTTGTTTCTCCTTAATCTTTCTAGCTTCATCGTATCTATAACGGAATCATAAGAGCGATGTAGGATAATAGTAAGGAAGCTGTCTGTACGCTTGACGGAAAGCCCAAAAAGTATCCATGCGAGTGTTACCGTAGACACGACCTATCAAACGGGAGCGTTAGTCACAGCGATTTCCCTCATCAGTGTACATACCTGGATTTTCCCCTGAGAATCACATGTTCAATCAAAGTCCTAATTGAAGGTGAATATCACATTAACTCACCACAAGCGTGCCTGCAAGAATAGTCAGACTATTTCTTCTTATCTGAAAAACGAGAGGATGACTAACTTCATCTGTCTCCAGCGGGGAGGCAGGCTTGGATCAAAACGGGTATCATTAATGATATAGGGTGGTTCGAGCAGCATAGATGATGGTGAGCGTTCAGCAGTGGGGCGGAGCTTGATGACGAAAGCTTGACCACCTTCGCAGAGATGAGGTTGGTCTGACAGAAATATTGTATTTACACACCGATGGCATTGGCTGAACCCGGTAAAACGTTGGCAGTAGTGACTCCTCCAGATATAGATAAACGGTATGCATCGTCATGTGTGTTCAATCCATCCAGACTGCGCAACCACGGTAAAATCGGACCTAGAATGACCATCATGTCGATGTTTCAGATGTTAGGATCACATAACAAAACAAGGGGGTGACCTTTAAGAGAATTGGTGTCACTAGCGCCAGCAAGGGACGGAGCGCTATCAACGCCTAGATGAGAATGCATATCAACGATCCTAGGAAGGAATCTTCATCAGTACTCTAGCGCTTTTGGACCGAGAGATGCATACCCAGGTGTCACCCAACTTCCACCCACGTCGACAGTGACAAGATGATTGTATCCATATAGCGATCCCTGGTCCGCCCGCCCCACGAACTTGATGATACCCTTATCCAAAAGGATATCAACACCGCGCAGTTCATATCCGGGGGAGTCTCCGGTCCAGACAGATGCATTGCGGAGCAGAGTTGGAGGTGTTCCCTCGACGAAGCGGTCTGACTGGGACCTCTGGTAGAAATCATCAGGTGGTCCTGGTTTTACACTGAGCATCTTGCATTTGTACAGCGCTTCTCGTGCGTGCGCAGGCAAGGAAGCAGATTCATCGTCAACGAAAACAGTACGAGAGATGGATCGTGACCATTGAGCCGCAACATAGACGCCACAAACGCAGAGTAAGCTGAGATACTTGAAATTCCAACGCGTTCGGGGCCGAAAGCGCGCGACCACAACTTCATTGTGGATCGGGAGCTTATCCATGTGGGTTGGACCACTAGCTATTAGTAGGGACGTAGCGTGGTGGGGCGTGGTATAGGACACCGGGGTAACTTCGGTTTGCAAGGAGTGGTTAGTAGAAAAAGCGAGATATTCGCTTCAACCACCGTTGCCGTTATGGACGTTTGTACTTTCATATCAACGTTCTCGCTCAAGCGCTTACCTTAGAGACTTTTCACATGGCCACCAAGACAAAGCCACCTGTCGTCCAGCCCGGCGCCGGCAACAACATTATCATAAACCCCAACCAGGTGAGCCTATCTTTTCTTGTATCCCAGGTTCACTGACTGCCAATAAAGCGTCTGAATCCAGTCCTCGAGTACATCCGCCATGTCGGGAAAGAGTTTGGTGATATTGTGCCCGACTACCACGTCGGTCGTACGACCTGCATCTTGTTCCTTAGGTGAGCGTCTCAACGTCTGTGTTGATTCGCTTCTATTCTCATCCTCCATGCTAGTCTGAAATACCATCGGTTGCACCCTGAGTATATACACACCCGTATAGCGAAGCTGGGGAAGTCGTACAATCTCAGGATACTGCTCATCATGTGTGACGTCGTTAGTATCGCAGTACACCATACTACTGTCACCCCCCCTCTTGACTGATTCCAAGACAGAGCATCAAGAATTGATTAGGGAGCTGACCAAGGAATTTACTGGTTCGATTCGTATTCACCGTGCGCTGACTTTCGTTTTAGGTTTGTCTCATCAATTCACTCACCATCGTTGTGGCATGGAGGTGGGCTCATTTTCACTTCTTCGACCTTGGCTGACAACGCTTTAGCAATGAAGAAGCTGGTCAATACATCGCGACGTTCAAACAATTTGAACACAAGCCTCCGGACTTGATTAAGGAACGCGCTGACAAGGATTATGACACCATCTTCCGAACTGCCCTCACCAGCATCAACAAGATCAACAGGACCGATGTTGCAACCTTGCGTACTTCCCTGGGTGTAAGTTCTGCGTTGATCGATACAGGTCGTTATCTTCATCTTTTCGGTGTAGACCTTTGCTGATATCGCGAAGGCCTCGTCTGATCGTCTGCAAAACTTGCCGGGATTTGGACAGGTGAAAGTGAAACGCATCAAAGAGGCGTTCGAAAAACCTTTTCACAACAAGACAACAAACGCAACACTCTCACTCAGTAACCGAGTCAATGTTCCGCTAAGCACGAATACCGCCAGTGTGGCACCAACGCGCTCACTGCCAAAGGAGAAAAACAAGGAAGTGCCCTCAGTAACCCCACGGTGCACTCGTAGTCCAGTTCGAGATGCCGAGCTCGGTTCGAGCATATCATCACCTTCCCCACTATCGGATATGCCCGACTTCACAAGAGAAACTATACCTCAACGTGGACGATCGCGCCCGGCTTCTCCTGTTTGGGACATCGAGCTAGATTTGAATGAGTCAGATGTATGAATGTTCGCCCGCGCTATCGATGAAGTTTTCAAGAGCTAGACAGTACTCACCAGGCTTGACGACGAGAGCATGTCCCAAAGACATCGTCGATACGCACCCATCCTCTGTGAAGCATTCGTTGTAGTGCGGTCCATAAACGACAGTAATAGCAGAGTTCCATCCGCACTGATTCCGTCTTCTCAAAGATGTATTGTCCGTACATGTTGTGGGGAGAGTAACAAACAAGATTAGGAGAGAGGGGTAGTCCAAACTACTCCAAAAGTCTGGAGCGCTGCATTGGCGCTAATCCTGACATTTGACTTAAAGGTCGGCCCTAAAGCACGTTGAATTATAAAATACCTCTCGGACTTTTACTTTCTGCCGCCCATCATCATATCTGATACTTTGCTTTTTGGTGTCTTCTCGTCTGCATTGATGTCAACGCTGCAGTCTTCGTCCATTTGAAGCTTGTAACACAACCATTAGTTCTGACGAATCATCGTACCGAATCCCTGCCGCTTCTCTTGGCTTGCCCTTTATTCACTACATCATTCTTCCTTCCGTGGATGGTGGCTAGGGGAAATGGGGCACATATAAACCCTACATTCTGATGCTGTGAACTGGACAGGGCATTAGTCTCATTCATATTGCTCCTCGTCTGCTCAAGCGCAGGGACATGTACTGGAAACCTGGAGATGGGACTGCATAATCCACTTGGAAGCACATCTTCGATATGAAGTGGGGTGCGAAGTTGATCATCGTTTATAGGAGTTGTACCATGATCCGTTTGTCATGTGCCCTACTTCAGTATCGATGCAATGTCAGGGACAGCATGGACTAATACAAGGCTTCGGAAGTAGAAGTCCAGGGCATCACAGGTAGGCAGTAGTCCGGGCAACAAATTCTTCATCAGTCACCGTACGTTCAATACACTTCGACAGCTGTTCTGCAAGACACACAGCCAGGACGTGTTTACACTGGAAGGTAATAAGGCCACTGGCTATATTTGGCGACAAAGATCTACCCACCATAAGATGCGAGTTGCTCACCAAGACTGCGAATGCGAAGGCGGGACATGTGCAGTAGCAGAACACCTTCGCAGAAAATCCCAGCTGCGGAAAAACAGTATAATAGGTGGAGGTTGAACCGAAAACCTCGTAGTGGCACCTTCCCCATGTGGTCTTGTATCGCAATACTATCCGCAACGTCAGCTCAGTGGATCAATAGACGGTCACTGGACGATGGATGCCTACCACGATCCCGGTCCACGGCGTCCAGCGCTGCGACAAGGGTGGTGTCGGGTATAAAAGCACGAAGTTTATCTATCCCTTCTTCGACTAACGTCGACAACTCCGGACTCAGCTCGTCAGCTCAGGGGTTTTGGTTTATAACTAGCTCACGATTATCCATGTCAATCGAGTTAATAATCGTCTGCACGATGTACCCAAAATGTAAAGCGGTTTCTGCCATCGCGGAAGGTTTGAGACCGTGTTACTGTAATTGCTCTGGAAGCGAGCCCCTGGGAGCCAGATGTAGATAGTTTAGTTTTTCCATAAAAACGAAACAGTTCCTTTATGACCCACACAACCAAGAAACACGGACTTACACATCGATGCCGCCGCGAGATTACCTCTTTGTCTTTGCCCAGGCACACGATGAGTTTCGTATACCCGAACTACAGTCGATCTCTGAACTGCATGGCTTCACCATCAGTTTCAGCCATTACACCGATCCGCTGGTACGCAAAGCAGCTGTAAAACGGCCATTCATGATCTTGGAATTGGAGGGAGACGCCCATGCAAAGCTTTTGGCCAGCAGGTGTATATTAATCAAGTATCAAATGGCAGTTTCGTTGAGGGAGAAGAGGGACGTTGACGACCGTCGTCCTACAGATCGATCTACGAGCTTTACGCACAAGGGTCAACGTATGATGAACTGCATGAGGCCAACAAAGGAGTTCGGACGCGCTGGGAACAGTACGTCTCGGACACGTCGTTCAAATTTACCGTCGTTGGATACAACCATGGCCTGTCCCAGCGCTGGCAACGCGACGTGATAGAGAGCTTCTCTTACATGGACTTTCTGGGTAAGATCGATATGAAGGATCCGGATATCGTCCTTGGATGCTTTGAGGAGTGTGCGTCGAACTTGATTCACCGGTCCTCACAATAACCTGTCTAAATACGCTCAGACGAGAATGATCGGCGCCCTGATGGCTCGCGTAACATCGACGGTGTCTTTCGTCAGGTGTATTTCGGCAGGTTGGTACGTTCCCTTGCCTCCTAAATCCTCGTGCAACTCAGCAAACCGTGCACAGGTTGTGAAGGGTACCGCGCGTTCATTAGTACGGACGTTTGACGTGAAGAAAAGGAATTACTTTGGGAACACGAGTATGGAGGCTGAGATATCGCTTCTGATGGCTAATCAAACCCAGGCGGGTGATACTCACCACCACCGGAATTTGTCTCATTTTTTTTTGGCTTTCAGGCTTCCCCAGGGAAGTTGATATATGACCCGTTTATTGGCACGGGCAGTATGGCCTATGTACACTCATTTCCTCATAATTCTAGTCATTTCTCTAAGACCTTTCATTTTTGCAGACCACTGCGTACTTTGGCGCATTTGTGTATGGTTCTGATATTGACGGTCGCCAAATGCGGGGCAAAGGTAATTCGATGTTTTTCCTTCCTCATTTGATCTCTATCTTTGTCGGCACATAGATAAAACCCAAGGCATCATCCGTGCGGCTGCACAGTATGATGTTGCTAGTCGCATCATGGATCTCTGCACCTTTGACGTGACACATAACCCCTGGCGCAGTGGCTGCCTTTTTGACGCTATCGTAACCGATCCACCGTGTAACGTGGTAACCACAGTGCTTGTGGTCTGTAACTTACCATAGCATATTTTATAGATGGTGTAAGGGCAGGGGCGAAGCGTCTTGGGCGAAAAAAGGTCCGCGAAGACCGACCGCCACCTCAGGTACCAAGGGCGTGAGTCCTCCGATACCTCGCATTTCATTTGCCTTTCACACCCTGACAGAAACCCTGACGAACCGTACATCCCACCAACAAAACCCTATGAGCTCTCTGCACTTGTTGTTGACCTCATCCTCCTCGCACGTTACCTGCTGAAACCCCACGGTCTCCTCGTATTCTTCCTTCCAACTGTTACAGACTCTTACGAGGAAGTGGACATCATATCGTCACTTTGCGAAGGCATGGAGCTGGTTGCAAATTCATTACAGGACTTTGGAACTTGGGGTCGGCGGGTAGGTCGTCCGCGAATGGTCTTGTCGCAAATCACGAGATTAGTTATATAGCTCATCACGATTCGAAAGATTGTCACGAACGATTATCCACCCCCAACTTTTGAAACTGTCGGTCCTTGTAGAGAGGGAGACGACCACACCCCTGCACACAAGGATTTCAGGGAAAAATATTTCCAAGGCTTCAAGGCAGTAGAGTGATTTGACATCAACTCACGCAGCTGCCCTTTACGGTTGCCTGTACAGCGAATGAATTATGGGTCGTCTTTGGCGGAGGGGGAATGCGATGTAGGGGTCTGCGTCACTGGACGGATCGCAGAGCAAACAACATGGTGAAGGTGGAGTACAGTACTTTATATACGAGTTAGCCAGATATTTCTAGGACATAGATTTTACGATACTTCAATGCTTGACTTTTGTGTCTCGTTAGCCTCTTGTCTTATCTGTAAATCGCCATTGCTGTACGCTCTTCCAATACACTTCTCAGACACATTTCCCTCACCACAATAGGTCATCCTTGTTGATGGCCGCGTCTGAGGGTCACCTGAAAGGACTTCAGAACGACCGGCCCCATCCTGCATACTGTTCGTGGTCTGAACCACCTTCGAAAGTGGCACGTCCGTCTTGTTAGACTGTCCGACTCGGCCTGAATCGGCAGTATCAGGGGCTGTGCCCGAAACCATGTCCTTTGACATGACCTCATCCATTTCACGCCGAGCCTGCTTAGCATGCAGGAAAAAGACGAATGAGCCGCATACCATGACTACACAGCCATGGAATATGAGTGCATCACGCATGTTGTAGGGTGGATCAGCGGTCGACGGAGCACGGAGGGCACCTTCCACTGGGAAGAGCGCGTCAGTAAACGGTACAGTGGTGCGTGCGTGCTACATATGCAAGGCAGTGACTTACCCAGGATTAGCACGATGCCGAATAGATTCCCGCTATTGAAAGTTACATCAGGAGTGGAAGAAGAGGTCAGCATACTTACCAACACCACAAAATAGCCGAACTGCCGTTTGCATTCCTTGTCAACTCGACCCCAAGTTCCAATGCCAGTGGCAGCATGGTCACACTGCAGCTCCCGATAACAACCATGAGAACAAACAGGGCTGGGGCGTTTTTTGGTATGACTGTGACACAACAGTCAGAAGAAGGCATCGGTCTGCGTTGTAAGCGAAACTGTTACTTACTGGCCCAGATCAGCGATAACCACGCCAAAGACACAATAGGAACAAGGATCCTCAGCGTTATTCCCATGACGTGCGTGAATACACGATCAAATAGTGGGGAAGTGATTATGGCTGCAATGATTCCCGACAGGAACAGCGTGGCACCCAGCAAGCCACATGTGGTATCTGAATAACCGACAGGTTCCTGAATGTGAATTGATCAAATGGAAAGAAGTCAAGACAGACTCTGAAATAGCTATGGCAAGGTACGTACGAACCACTGAGCTGATAATACGCTCAATGCATTAATCGCACCCTCTAAGCCGCCAAAGGCAAACATAACAATCGCAAAATCAATACGTTCGCGGCGCGACATGTGTGCCTCGTCGGAGACTGAAAGGCCTAGTATGGCACGGCACAAAGAGGTAAGAGATAATGGTTGCTTAGAGCCCGAGTAAGCTGTAAGGTAGTATCAGTATGGCCTGAGTGGTTTGGAAGTGAGGACACGGTCCCAGGCTTACTTGGGGGTGAAGGGGGAGAGTCGGAGATGAGAAATATAGCTGGAAGCGCTGCAGTGGATATAATCCCGAGTACAAGAATCTATCTCAATCAAGAGGGTGAGTAACCAAGCGATATTCTGAAATCCAGCAACTGCTTACCGACCTCCGGGGTGTGCTCATAAGAGGGGAGAGGAGCTGACCAAGTGCCGAACCAATTGGGTTGGCTAGACACCAGGATGTCAGTTGGGCTATGGGATGTATTAGTGAGCTTCGCCTACCGATAGCAATGGCCATCGTGGCAGTCGTCCGACCTCTGAGATCAAACCACCTCTCTGAAAACATTGGCGCGAGTACTTGGAATACTGGTTGCGAGATGGCGCCGAAGAACTATTGGTAGCATATCTCAGAGCATGAGAGGGCATTGGATAGAGGCGACCAACCTGACCGAAGAAGAGAAGAACATACGCAGATTGTGGAGACAACGAACGGATTGTGCCCGCATAGCGGACCCAGGCCGAGATGAGCAGCATGACTCCTCCCATTTCTGACTGGAAAAGAAAGAATATTGAGACAATGGGATAAACTGAACAAATGGGAAAATGCGCACGCATCGCCGTATACCGTAGCGGGTGGAGATGACGGGCACGATGAATGAAGCAGGAAGGTATACACAGAATGTTATGTTTCCCAGCCAGTTAACCTGAGCTAATGAGATATTAAACTCGTCAGCAGCTGAAGGAGACGACATCAGCCTGCGAAAATGGAGTGATTCCTGGAAGTGGGGCTCACTGTTGGTTGCAATCGGCCCGAACCATGACCACTGCAGCCCAGTGACGATTCCGAGTATAATCTGACAGAAAAATTCCGAAATGCAGTTGAGCCAGAACGAAGAACGAGACCAATAAATGAGACTGACGAAGCCTAACAACCCCGAGAATCGCTGTTTATAGAGTCTGTACTCCACAATATCTGGCACCTCTTGGACATTTTCGGTGTGGGCTACCGAGGTAACGGGTTCTTTTCCATCCAGACACCCAGCGCTTGACATGGTCCTTGGGGGTATCGGAGCGAGCAAGGAGGTACGACATGTTGGATGCTGTTTCATATACCGTACCCTGTAAGGTACACTCAGTAAGGCACACCGAAAAGTCGAAAGTGTCCATGACGTAATACCAACACTATTCGGCAACACCAGGTGTAACACGATGGCGGGCTACTCGTCTGTAGTACATGCGCGTAAAAACCATAGCATTGCATGCCTTCACAGGGGTCCACGTACGAAAGGATCCAACCAAAGAAACGAAGTCGAAAAAAAAACGGAGGCCTAGATTGACTGGAGATCGTGATGGGTGGCGTAACCCAGGGACAGTTCCCGAAAGCGTGCCAGGGGGGCATTTCATAGCGTTGGCTTGCCTCATTAGTATAATCGATGGCAGCCTCATAGAAGTCTGTTTCACCAAACTGACATCATGATGTGAGTCATAAACGATCAGCGCTCAGCATCCACACCTTATACAGATAGCATTAATAGACGTCTGGCCACCACACTAACATCATGATGTCACCAAACGATCGGCATCTACACCTATACAGATAGCCAAGGAGCAGGTGCGAGGGCATTGTACATGTACTTATACAAGCCTAGGGCCTAACCATGTCCAAGTATATGTAGGGCAACTCCCATGGGGCACTACGTCTCATTCCATGTTTCAGGCATACTAATGGGGGTTCACTTGAAACATGGCATGGGATACTGAATCCCTTCAGATCATCGGGTAAGACTGCCAGCGCGCAGGAATAGGTTGCACTTTAATTATCCCCAGACATATTTAAGTCGGCATTATGGAGGCTGGTATAAAATATCATCTATCAGCTATCCAGGTTTCGGACGCCGACATTTTTGTGTGACCACCTAGCATCTCGAAGTTCTGATTCACCACCACCCACGGCATGTCAGATTCACACAGAACCATGGCTTGACATTAAACTGGCCACAAATCACTTGGCTTTCTCAAGATAACCCGTTTCTCTTCTTATAGATGACGCCTGAAGAGTTATTTCCTTCTCTGCCTCGATCCTGCGTTATGATACTCCTAATCCGTGCCGACCGTTGCATGGAATCAAGCACCACATTGGCACTGGTATTCGATGATTTCATTCGCAGGTTATGCTCTCCCAACGTGACAACACGCACGAAACGCTTGTATTTATGCATATCATGTCGTGAAAACACGCATCAGCAGATACAATGTCGACCCCGCGAAGCGCTGATTTTTACAAGTTAAGTCAATAAAACTTACTTGAGAGCAGACCGCCTCCGCAAAGAATGGAAGAGGAACGGATGGGACTCACCACACTGTTGGTAATAGCTGCAAAGGCCAGAATGAACATGAGATAACCTTTGGTGCGAGATACCCCTGCGTTGGGATCAAACGTGCTTGAAGGAGATGATCCCGAGAGAATGAGCAAGAGAAGAATACCCTAGAATCTGGTGTTAGAGGATGGAGTAGGAAGCATGGATGCACGCACGTTCGATAGAACCCATGCCAGCAATACATTTGTCCGTACGTCAGCGTAGTAGTCCATCGCGGCCATCTCCCTTTCGCGCTCGTTCATTGCCTTCCGCTTGGGATAGATCTTCTTGTCCCCCATACTGCCTGTTTTACCGTCCTTCGCAACACGTCCTTTAAGGATACTCCCATCGGTGAATTTGGATGCGCGCAAGCCCTCCAGCGCCTCCTCGTATATCCCATTTGCATCTGCAGCTTCCGCGAGCATTTGAATGTCGACTTGAGAATGAGAGTCCTGCACTGCAGCACCGAGGTCTTTGTCAGGGACCGCATCTTGCTTGGTACCCCACGAAATCTACCAGACCTGTCAGCCTAATGGAAACTAATCATAATGACAGGGCACAAACATCGTGCAAATTCGAGAATGCATAACTTATTTCTCAAGGTTAGCCCATGAACCCTGCAGATAGGTAGAGAAATGGCCCACATGCTCAGTATACAAAGGTATGTTGGTGTCAATAGTAAGTAAGGTAAGAAGCTCGTCAGAATATGCCAGGGGTCGAACGCAAGGAGGCTACTGGTCACGTAGACTACAAAGAACGAGGTGAGTCTCATGGGAAGGAACCGACAGCATTACACACCTCCGTACGTGATGGCAACACTTAAAAGCACCAAGGCGCCTCCCACCTGCGAGGCTGCCGCGATCCCGCAGAACACGGAAGCGACCATTGAGTACACCATAAGCACTCCTAGGAAGACCGAGGCAAGCTTGTACTTCCGATGGGCACTGATTCACGCACGTGAGATTGTTGAACGATGGTATTCTTGTACGGTCTTACGCTTTCGGTTTGTTCCCCATGGACATCAAAAAACAAGCAATGATGATGGAGGCCAAGAAATACTGCGAAGTGCGCTCGTTTTGTCAGCGCTTGAGAAATATAGAATCCGAAATGCACCTGGACGACGGCATTAAAATACCGTATTGAGGGCATTCCGAATGACGGGTCCTCCAATGAAGAACTCAGGATTACCTAAGACCAACGCTCCTCAAGACCTGGAGGAATCAATATAGCAATCAAATCAAAACTTACAAAGAACAAGTAGAAGTTTCCCTAAACTCTTGTTGTGAATGAGTGATAAGTAAGAAATACGCAGACTTACAATTGCAAACCAGGAAAATACTAGATTTATGAGGCTATAAACGGTTTCGACCATCAGTGAGACTTTTCTAGATGTGCTATGCCCTGAGCGTAGAATTTGCCCGGCATGTGCAATGGCATAAACCGCAGCAAAGAACGAGCCATTAAGCCATCGACGACGCTGAGAAATAAACTCGGGAAGCGACTCAGGGACATCAGTTTCACCGATAGCTCCCTTCACGTATCTGAGGACCCTAAGAAACAACCAGTTAAAGATACGCATAGGTCACGACTTGAGCTAAATTATACCAGCTAGAGTTTGCCTTTGCTATCAGTTCAAAGCATAGTATGCGCTAATATTTACCGTCAATGTGATGCTAGCATACCAAGCACTTCATCAATACCCACATCTTCAGCGAGGTCTAGATTTGCTGTCAGAAGAGTAATGACTCAATTAACAGGGAACATACACATATTTGAGGTGAAAATGTCCGTGTCGCCACCATGAAGTACTTCGCCTTTAAAGTAGGAAGCCAACGGGCCTTGTCCATCTTTGCCATTTTGCAGCGCTATCCATCTGGAGGTACATAATGCAGGAGATGTCGATTGGACGGGCGACCACGTACCTGTAGGCAGAGAATGCTCCAGGCTGAGTGAAAATTAGTACCACTCTACATACCAATGTCATAAGAAAAGGGGCTCACCAGCACGCTGATGTACCCAAACATGCTCTCTGTGGGCTTGTCGAGTATATTACTGAGTTTGTACTCGAAATTCTGAGCGGCCACTTAGACGGGCACGCGCGTGATTCAAGGATAGAAGACAGTGCAGGAGAGTCGCTTACCCAACGGATTCAAAATATTTCGCCAGTTCTTTCCCTTGTATACAGCAATCTCGCCGCAGGCGCCTCCGACATTTGAGTTGACGTCGAATGTCTTCCATAATCTGTATATGCTATTGTTTCCAGGACGCGTACCAACGTCAAGTAGCACGCAGACGTTCGGCTACCACGGCAATTATAAGTGGTGTGTTTCTCATTCGTCCCAAAAAACTGACCTGCAACATGGGTGCAAAGGCGTTGAAGAACCACCGATGACTATTTATCTTCTTCTGGTTCTTCTCCTTCATGCAGAAGATTATTTGCGTGGGGACGATGCCCTTGTCGGGATACTTGAACTGGATGTTGGGATCCAGAGCAAAGGAAGTTGTGTACTCAAAAAGGTGCGCCGTCACTTCCTTGCCGTTTACCATATTCTTCATGTGATCTCCAGGTTGATACACGCCAAGAACAGTCAAGCAATCTAGTACTCGAGGATGAATTTTCTTGCGTCCATCAGCCACAATGCAAACCACGACCTGTGTGCGGCGGTCATCTCTTCAGAGCTTGAGTTTGTTGAACAATGCTCAAACCTTCTTCCACGCATCAGGGCCCCACGTTTGGGAGTGCTTGCGTGAACAAAGGTGTGCGATGTTGCGCATCACTCCATACATTGTCCTGCAAAACAAGACCTCGTCTTCCTACATCCTTTGGTCAAGAACTGCAGCGGAAGGATGCCTGTGCACTTACATTATACATAGTGATAACGATAAATAGTTCGGTGGTCCGACCACTTTCGTTCTGTCGCAGAAAGAACCTCTCTTTTTCAAAATTATCAGGGTCACAAGTGACCGCTGTGTATCGCGTTTGGACCATTTCTGGTTCTCCGCGGTAGGGAAGAACGAGCTTTGGCGGAACGTTGAGGTCTACAACGAGGTGACCGTTCGTGAGCTGGACCCGCTTCTTCTTTATCCGTCTGCGAATGCGACCAATCGGGGCCGGCCCAAAGTGACGCGTTTCGACAGGCGTTTCCGGCTCCGCCACGGGGGGTGTTTTCTCTGAAGCTTCCGTGTAATTGTCCTCATCTGGAACATCAGCGTATTGGGAGATATCGTACTCGTCATTGAGGTCGTTGTGAAGCTTTTCAGAATCGTAGACTTGGCCTCTGTGTCGGGAACAGCCAGTGGAGTGCAGGACGGTATTCCCAACTAACATGTAGTCTTCGTCATCCCCAAACGGGGTGGGCGAACGGGATTGAGGTGTACAGCGGTTAGCGCGGGCAGAGTTACCCGAAGCATAAGCTTCTGTGTCATGTCGGAAATGGTCCATAGGCCCGCTGTTTGGCGTCTGTGGTGTCCCACGAGGATACTGCGGATACAGTGTTTGGACTGAACCAAATGGCGTGCCCAAAAGTCTCTCGTGTGATCCACGAGACGGAGGCTGAGCGAACGAATGGTCGGCCGGGTATTGGTTGTGCTGCAGTTGAGTCTGAGAGTGCTGTGACAAGCGATATGAGTCGGAAAATGGGTCGTGATCATGAGCTGTGGACGACGGCGCGTAGTCGTCGTCGAGTTCGAGTGTTTCTCCTGTTACGATCGTTTGGAGGGGCTGCCCTGGTTGGTACCGTTCCGGGAGCGGTTTTGACTCGTCATACATCGCACTTGGGTCACAGTCCCTATAAACCTCGTCAGGGAACTATATAGGCATTTTGAGCGTGGTCGTACACATGCGCTGCATCAGACGGGTTATAGGAGTAGACTTGGTCAGTGCTCTGACTGGTATGCGAGTACGAAGAATTAGGCTGGGACCCTGGATGTGAACTTGTGAAGGCAGGCTGTTGCTCATTATAGTTTAGGTCTTCATGCATTTGATGGTGGTAGTCTGTTCCATTAGGCACGGGCTTTCTTTGAACCATTGCATTGAAATCCGGAGGTCGGGGCAGCAGTTTAGTTGTTCGACGTTGGTCGCACCGCGTGTGGACTTTTTTGCGCATCGCGTCTCGGTCACGTGCGTTATAAAGGTCATGTATCATTCCGAGGAGACCGATTGACCGCGGCGTTAAAGATTATGATGGTACAACTTACATTGGCCATCGTGCCACTCAAATCCGTACCAAGGGTACAGTGCAACTCCCAGGAAATTGCGACATAACAACCCTCAAGAGCTTCCATCCATCGATTAACATAGTTCAACTGTTACAGTCCTTATTGAGGTAAACGCTACCATCTCGCACGACTTCATCCCCAAGCGTCCTAATCCTCCCCGTCCTCAATAGTATACCTTGCAACTCGCCCCATGTCGTTCGAAAATGCGAATGTGCTGAATCATGGAACATAGTCTTCAATTGCACCGTCAATCCCTCCAACCGGTGCAACTTGGTGCTCCGGTCACGTTCGGAAATCAGTGACTGTGTGGAAAGATCTGGGGAAGGGGGACGGTCGCTTCTCCTTCCCTTATCAGTAGACTTCCCCGCGCCTCGTTGTGTCCCCCCTTCGTCGGTGCCTCTCATATCCTCCGTCGACTTTTCGGACTGACATGGCGGCCGGGGTCTAATTTTGGCAGCGGCAGACCGTAGAGGTGATGAATCCTCGAGGTTGAAGCTTTCGTTCACCTTCATCCTCTTTTTCGGAGGCAGAGGCTGCCCAGAGAGCCTGTGCTTCTTATGCACCCTCATGGGTGAAGTTTCTTCTTCTTCCTTCCTCGAGCGCAAGAAACTTGGGTTTTTCCAAATTTCGGGATCATGCGGCGGCGCGACAAAGTCAGGAGCCAGTAGCACATCAGAAGGTTCGTCTGCAAGCGCAACAGGTGGTGCCCTACTCTTGCTTCCTGGTGCAGGGGACAAAGCAGAAAAAAGGGAATGCATGGAAGTGGGCGACTGTGATCCCGCTACAACGCTACTGTTAGCAGCCACAGGTTCGGCCGGAGCTGGGGTGGAGAACAGGCCTTGACAAAATACGGCGTGTGTCTCTGTGCCATCTTCCAAAAGTTCACCTGAATCACGGACGGAGTGACTTTGCACTTCTTCCCCTGCTACAGGGGAATCCGATGTTGGTAGGCGAACATCAACTGTTCGTTCGCAAGGCTCTCGCTCAATTTCAAGCCGCAGCTCTGTCTTCGCTGTTAAGAATGGTAACGAAACAAGCGAGGTGCTCGAATGCAGTCGATCGTGAATTTGGTTGTCCTCGTCAACAAGCGCTTGGACGTTATGTGAAGTGTTCGGCTCGTCTGCAGACCCTTGAGCTTTTCCGTCCCCAATCTGACTAGAAATTAACGCTGAGGTCATCCGCGACACTCCCTCAGGCGGATTTGTATGGCTAAGCTCGCTTGCGGTTCTCGGTGTAGACGTCTCTCCAGGCTTGAATTCATTAGAAAGCGACGAACGGAAAGGAGGTACATGTGATTGAGATTGCGAATACGTTTGTGACATCGTGAGTGAGTGTGAGGCTTGAGAATATTGTGGCTGAGAGGATGTTGCTGCAGAAGGGTCGGAATTTGGTACTAATATCTGAGTCGGTCCTGAATGGTTAGGATCCCACATAGGAAGCACCTCCGGTGGTGGGACCTTGCGTTTCATGTTCTTGCGCGGATTGGTGGGAGATGAAGGAAAGGGGAAAGGGTTGTTCGATAACAGTGAAGGTGGAGACAGAAAATTGGGTGAAACTCCTCCGTTGCGTTGGGCAGGAGTACGAGGTTGAGGGGAATAGGGGCGTAAGCTACGATCATGTTCGATGGCTTCCTTAGTGGGCTTCTCTATCTCTAGATCGCTGTGAAGTTCATCGGTGCAAGTGTTCGTTGCGGCATCGTGAGGCGGCGAAGCACACGATTCCTCCCGTTGCATGGAGCTTCCGCGCTGGGATGGTGACCATGCGCTTGGAGTACCTTGGGGAACCAATGCTTTCGGTGATTCCGGTGAGAATGTACGAGGTACCAGCGGTATGGTGGAGGAGGCAGGCACTATGAGAAAAGTCAATTGATATGGGTGTACAAGTGGATCATCTCACCTTGCACGGGATCCGTGTCTACAACAGTTGGTCTAGCTTCTAGGTCTGTACGGGTGACCATTGAATATTGCAAACTAGGCGATAAACCGATATACACGACATACTTGCTGCTGCTGCTTCTTGTGTTGATTTATAGGCAAACTTCCATCGATCGACTTCATACACCTAAATTTACCGTTCATAACGAGTCATATTAGGATGAGACATCCGCAACTCACTCGCCACCGTTTTGAGTGCTCCCTTTTGAAATCGATCGGCTTGGACTGCAGAGGTATTGAATTCACACCACCCATCGCTGCCTTTGGAAGGACTGCTGCTGCTTCGAGTGCCTGAGCACCTTGCTGCTCGTGAGAAGTCAGCGAAGAAGGTCGTTGTGGAGGCAAGGCTTGCACTATCTCCGGCGCCTGCTGTTCTTGTTTTTCTAGTTTTAGTACATTTCTAAAACGAAATGTTGGTCAAGCGAAACTTCCAGCAAATAGTATACACGACTTGCCCACCACCACCGTCTTCGCGAAGACCCAGAACCCACTTCTTCACAGATGCATCAGACTCCACGTCTTTCGGGTCGCAGAACACATGACCGCCGAGCCCTACAAGCTTTACATTCCCGACGTCTAGGGCGATATGTGAGATCGGTGTGTTGCCTCTCTGGTTGGCACCAAGAGGTCGAGGGGCAAACATAGGCCGGAAGTTTTTGATAAACACAACGGCGAAGCGACAGTCAACGACCGCACGACCACATCGACTACGGGCTTAGTTGGACCCGTACACTTACACGTCGTGACGAGAACGTACATACCCACTGAAATCCTCGACAGCTTCCCTCGATATTCGAACAGGTATGCAGTGGGACTTGTCAGATACCCACGCCCAGATGTAGCTATCCTCGTGGAACGTCAAAAACTGGGGGGGCCATGGCTGAGTAACGCATTGAACCGACCGGGTCGAGAGCATACCTCGGTCACTTGAACTCTCTTCCGCTTGTCGTAGATGGGAGCGTTATAGAGCTGTCCTCCGTACTTCTCTGCAACATCAATGAGGTAGTCGCAAATCCACGGGTCAGGGATCGAGTCTGCCATGACCGCAGCGTCGTGGCTGCTGGCGTTGTACGGACCGCGTTCTGTCACGCGCCTACCGGAAGCGTGACACTACATCGATATGTGTGCATTACACTAGAACTACATAGGCGTACTACACAGCCTAATCTAACACGACGTACTTCCTTAGATGTTCTGGTATAGCATCAAACAGTCCCTTTGACTGCAACCACCTCTTTGAAAACAACCGGCTCTGATAGCGATACGCACCGTCACAAAGGACAGTGACCACACGGGATCCTTCGAAGGGGATTCAGTCAAGGTTGATTTATACAACTGATCGAACACATTGTTTACCCTTTCCAAGTTTCCGTGCAAGCTCGACAGCGGCTACCACGTTTAGCGCTGTACTCGCACCGACATACAGCCCTTCCGTGTCCAACAGTTCATATAGCATCGCTATCGACTGCTCATCTGGCACATGAAGCGCACCGTCCAACCCATCGATGAAAGTCCCCAAGTTCGCGGTGACACGCCCCTGACCAATACCTGGAATCACCGGTTAGCACGCTCATTATGATCCTTCCCCGGGTCGACAAGAACCAACCAACCTTCCGTGATTGAACTGCCCGTTCGCTCGACGAGCTTCCCGCCACTCGACACGTACGTGTACAAAACGCTGCCCTGGCGGGTCAGCCAGCCATATCTGTGTCTTTCCGTCGCTTTTCTCCTTCAGATATTTGCCGACGCCAGCCAGAGTACCACCAGTACCGGTGGAGCAGACAAAGCCATCCACCGTTCCTTCTGTTTGATCCCATATCTCCGGACCAGTCGTGACATAATGAGCGTAAGCATTTGCCGTGTTGTCAAATTGGTCTGTCCAAATCGCATTATCCAGTTTTTGCGCATACTCCTTTGCCTGATGGTTGTAGTTCCTCGGGTTCTCGTACGGCACCGCAGGTACTGGGTAAACCTCTGCCCCAAGCATGCGCAAAAGGTCAATCTTCTCCTGGCTCTAACGTTTCGTCGTCGGACACGTCAATAACAACGTTCCACCCAGAAATAGCCAAAACGCATTTCACCTGAGTATCCGGCATGAAAATCACGCATTTGTAACCCTTGGCTCTGCAGACATGCGCCAACCCAATGCCAGTATTACCTGCGGTACCCTCCACCACAGTTCCACCTGGTTTTATGCTGCAGGGGGGATCGTACATGAGCGAGGCCACCCTTCCTCATCGTAAGAATCGCTCACTGACAGACCCTTCTTCTCAGCATCAAGTACAATACCAACGGCTGCACGATCCTTGATACTTCCACCAGGATTTTGGAACTCGGCTTTGCCCAATATGCTGCACCCAGTCTGTTCCGACAGTGTCTTTAGGTAGATCTAGAGTAAATTGACGAGGTTATAGACCACGATGCCGTCGTCGAAAGTGATGCTTTACCAGAGGCGTGTTACCGACAGAGCCCGTGAAGCCCTCAACCGCTCCCATTGTGAAATTTCTAGCGGGTTGAGCTAGACTACGTCGCAAGACTGAGGAGAGCATCTAGAATGTGTCGTGGAAAGGTCGCCGACGCGGAAATACTAGCACCGGGTCGAGCACGACATTCGCACCTCATTATCATGTGTCCAGGCAAGTAGTATGTAAGCAGACTCGAGACATGCATTACTACGGAAAGTCGAGACGGGCATAGCATGGACAAGCTATCGTCATTCGCATGGGGCAGCACAACTCTTCCAATTAATGTATGTAAAGCTAAGAGGAGACCAATAGAGAAACGAATCGCGAACAGAAAAAGTCCTCGTACTTTTGAGCACGCGAAAAGGCAACAGAAACGAAGTAGATAGCGCAGGACAATACTGAACATGGGTGATAGATTGTCATACGTGGGAGGGGTCGTGCAGGCCATGAGTGGGAGATAACATAACGTGGGTATCGACGAGATAAAGATCTACTGTGGTAGATGGTGGGGAGATCATGGTATCACGAGGGACGTGTTCGTGCAGTGGGTTCATGGTTGTCGCTTCTTCACGTTCTGGTTCAACCATTGGAGGCCCTCAAAAAGGCCCTCGCCTGTCGTCGCACAGCTATAGATTTGATAAGCCACTGGGCTGACGATGGATCGGACTGTGAAACGTACCTTGGGTGCACGTACCACGAGCGGTCGCGCATGCGATGCAGACCAAGTTTTTCAGTAACTTCTGCGGGGGACATGGCTGCGACATATGTCTCAGATGGGAAAGTGTCAGGGTGAATGCACCATCCTGCTCACCTCCGGGAAGATCCTGCTTGTTCGCAAAGACAAGCAACAGGCACTCCTTCATCTCTCTGTCGCTCAATATACGATGTAGTTCTTGCTTCGCTTCATCGATCCTGTCCCTGTCTTGGCTGTCAACCACAAAGACAAGACCCTGAGTGCCGGTATAATAGTGCCTCCACAGTGGCCTGATCTTGTCCTGTCCCCCTACATCCCAAACATTGAACTTGACGTTCTTGTAGGTGACCGTCTCGACATTGAAACCAACTGTATTTTATAACTGTTACAAGTGAAGTCCTGCATCCACGCTGGAGACTAACCAGTGGGGATGGTGGTAACGGATTGGTTCAACTTAAGCTTGTATAGAATGGCTGGTGGACGATGTCAGACTACGTCTGGACTCTTGAGGAGAGGAAGAACCTACTTGTTTTCCCAGCGGCGTCAAGGCCAAGCATCAACAACCTCATTTCCTTGTTGCCGAAGAGCTTGCCTAGGAGGTGGTCAGTGCATGAAACGCAACCAAGGGCGTGGCAGACACGGACCCAAAGCCTTTGACAAGTTAGCTCCCATTGTGAATGTGAATGTTTCGAAGGTAAAGAACGACGAAGGCTGTTTAATGCCACAGCAAAACGGTTGAACACTTGATTGAAAAGAAAAAGAGCAGAGGCGCAGAGACAGGCGGTCCACGGCTCCACGCCCAAAAGGCAAACACCACCAGTCACGGACCCCGACCACTCCAGCCTGCCACACAATCTTTAATTACCGTACATACCGTACAATGCAAAACCCGCATGGCTGGGGTATAATATGTAAGTACTAAATGTAGCATGAGATCTCGTAGTGGTACACCGAATCAACTGGCAGCAGGCGACGAGACATGACTCTGGCTAAACACTTTCAGCCACCCCTCTCCCATATCTGACCGCAGCGCTTCAATGCGCGCACGATAAACTTGTCCTTCTCTTATCTGGTCCTGCATCATGTCTGGAAGTTCAAAGTCGGACAATGAGGGCCGATGCGAGAGCGGACTAGGGATGCGAGGTAATGTGGCCGACCGAGCCTCGTTGGGTAACGGCTGGCTATCCAAGTCAACTACACGTTTCACTGCCCTGCGCTTCCTCTGCCTGCCTCCTCCTCCACTCGGAACAGACGATGCTGTCCTTGAGGGCGACCCAACATCAAGTGCATCTGGAACGGTTGTGTCCTTGGATGTGCCTCCAAGGGGAATCATCAACGGCAACGATGCTCCCACTGTCCTGGTAGGGGACTATCTGCGCAGGTGGAAGTGGTGGAAGATTCATTTTCTCCATGAAGAGAGGGTGGGCTGCCGTCAAGAGTGATAGACTTTCCCTCCGTGTGGAACAGGTTAAAACACGCGACGCGATAGTTGTCCTCGATCTCTGTCAGGGGATTGCCTTCGATCCACACCTCGGCAATGTTGGGTAACGTTGCAAGCCTGCCTATTTCCGCACTCTCGTCAATTTGGTTAAAGCGGAGGTCAACCCTCTCCTAGCCCCATCAGCCGTTCCAGACCACAGATGGACTCGAGGCGATTCCTTGACAGGTTCATATGTAACACTTGACCGAGTTTGGTGTAAATGCCGAGTACGGAATCGATCATGTTGTCGGCGAGATTGAGGGAGACGAGGTTGTGCAAAACGGAGAGTCCGTGGGGAACAGAGACGAGGAGATTAGATGACAGATCCAGATGAGTAAGAGAGACGAGGTAAGGTAGTGGTTCGGTTGGTAAGAACGTCAGGGCGTTGTCTGCAAGCGAAAGGTATCTCAATAGACTCCATTTGTACGAGTTCAAAGCAGACCCCGGTGAGGGTAGTAGGGAGTACTCTGTGACAGGTGAACCTTCTTCGGGCACGGATGCAGGTAGTGGGGTACTCGGGAAGGAGCGTTGTCTGCGTGGTATCTGTCTCCTTCTGTCGTCCTTTGACGTACCGTCTCTGTGCGCCTGATCGTCCAGGACGGCACCGATGAAGATGTCTGACACGTCCTCCACCCCGCTGCGCTTGATTGTCAAACTGCACAGGCCATCTGCGAGTCTGTCCCAGCCGAGCAGTGTCCGTGGATCGACGTCGGTGCACTCAAGGGTCTGAAGGTTCTTGAACACATCGAGTGGGACGGCGTTGTGGCAGGGGGGGTCATCGGCGACCTCCTGGATGACCTTTGGGCCGGGAGCTCTGATGGACAGTGCGGGTAGCTTTGTGAAGCTGCTGTATATGTACGTGAGCTCCGAGTCAATAGTGTGTGGCTCGGCCTTTGTCCACCAACTCGCGCCGAGGGACAGACCTGAGACTGTGGTGAGAGTAGATCGCAATGACGTCAGTGAGAGCGTGTCAGACTTGTCTGAGGCGGGCCGGATGTCGATGTGAGTGTAGTGCATTGGTTTGGAGGGGTTGTCCACGGTGACATCCAGCGAGCCGACATCGAGGCCGATTGCTTCGAGGCGCATCAGGATGTAGAACAGATGGTGGGTGTCTACGGTGAACACGACGGGCCTGGTTGGTGATGGAGAGCCGCCTCCGCCGCCAGAGAACCATCCGACTGGATTGAGAGACAAGTAGCCTGCACTGTGTCTTCGCTGGGGGCGACGTCGACGAGCATAGCCAGCCTCGGCCAGTCCCTTGTCGTTGGCTCTGATAAACGCTGCGACTCTGCGCAGATATCCGTCGCCCGTCTCACGTTCCATGCCAGAGCCAACCTGCGAGGGCGTTGTGGTGTGCATGCACGGCGAGACCCCGGATACGCCGTATTACGTAATGGACATGGTCCTGATATCGCTGCTCCCCCATCTGCGCCGCCGACGACGACGACGACGATGAGGGTCACAATCAAGACACTTCAACAAAAGGTGTTCCATGTGCGTGACGCGCATTTGGATCCTGTGGTGCCTGCTCATATATCATGCAGATCGATGCGGATGAGACTGAGACGATTGGCAAACTGAAGGAGAAGATTCGGGACGCGCATGGCCACGATGTAAACACTCAGAAGATTATATACTCTGGTGGGCGCATATATCCCCCATCTCGGCGTGGAGGAGGTCTAATCTGATCGTCGCACAGGCAAGGTCCTCTTAGATGACAAGACTATCGCGTCTTGCGAGATTAAGGAGAAGGACTTCTTGGTGCTCATGGTGTCCAAAGTGATTACGATCCTCCCCTCTGTTCTGTGAGGTGGAGCTGACCGATCCCCATGTCAGCCCAAGCCAAACTTTTCCTCGCCTGGCCCCGCGGCCATGCCAGCAGCAGCGACAACTTCGGCACCCACCCCACCAGCGGCTGCGGCGACTTCTCCCTCCGCCCCAACGCCTCCAGCCTCTTCACCCGCTCCTGCCCCGGTCCCGGCCCCGGCCCCAGCCGCAGCCGCTGCCCCACCGTCAACGTCCCCTGCTTCGCCGCAACACGCCCAGTCGTTCCTGACTGGCGATGCCCTCCAGGCGGCCATAAGCAACATGGTGGAAATGGGCTTCCCGCGCGAACAAGTTTTGCGCGCGATGCGGGCAAGTTTCAATAATCCGGAGCGTGCGGTCGAATACCTGATGACGGTAAGGAGTCCGTTCTGTGAGAAACGCATACATTGACCCGACCGAATGGAACATAGGGTATACCGGATCATCTATTAGCAGAGACACCGTCGCAACCCCCGCAAGCCCAAGCCCAGACTCCGGCTCCACCTGCAGCTGCAGCTCCACCTCCACCGATTGCTGGCCAGACACCAGCTCCGGCTGCAAATCAGCCCCAAAACCTCTTTCAGGTGTGTGATGAACGTAGATGTTTTTGGTATGTCCGTCTCACCCTTTTTTTAGCTTGCTCAGCAGCAGCAGCAACAACAACCCGGTGGTGGTGGTGCTCGCCCGGGTGGTCTAGGTGCAGGTGCTCTGAGGGACCAATCCCAGATGGCTCAACTACGTGAGCTTATAGGGCAAAACCCCGCGCTGCTGCAGCCGTTGATTCAGCAGCTCGCGGCGTCTAACCCCCAGTTAGGCCAGATGCTGGCTTCGGACCCTGATGCACTTCTCCAGTTTCTCGGTGATCTCAGCGGTGGGGACGACCTAGAGGGAGGAGACTTGCCCCCTGGTGTACAGGTGGTCAACGTCACACCAGAGGAGCAGGCTGCCATTGAACGGGTGAGTGCAGTCCATAGCCTTTGGAGGCCTGGAGGGTGACTTGCTTGATTAGCTGATGGCGCTGGGTTTCACGCGGGAGCAAGCCGCGCAAGCATACTTCGCATGCGACAAGAACGAGGAGCTGGCAGCTAATTATCTGTTCGAGAACAGCTTTGACGACTGAGGGTAGTACATAATGCATAAAGCAGTGTATCGGTAGGGTAGTGGCCGTGGCTGGTCTGCATTCCGCGTGTGAAATAGTATTTGTGCGTTGGACCCGCGTGTTGTTGTTGCGTGTGTGGCTGGCGTTTTCGTCCTGTCCCCTCCTCCTCCCATCCACTCCCATACCCCCCCTTCCCCTTTCTCCCCACAAGAATACGAATACCCCAATACCACACATCTCATGGAGACCAGTACCCAATCACCAATTCTCGACAAACACCCACAGAGCGGGCCAAACGAAAACGGTGTCCCCAGCAGTCCACCCAGTGCGCAGGCGCACGAGCAATCTACCCCATCCTCGTCGGAACCCGACAGGGACGCCAATCCCAATGGGTCCCACACCGTCGTCTCCCCAGACGAGCGCGACAGTGCAAAGGCTGCCGACAAGGACAAGAGCTCGCTCGCAGCCACGACTACCACCCAGCCAAATGTCTCTCTATCCAACACGACGGGCACCAGCACCACTCGCAGATTTTCCCGCAAGCCAAAACCAAACCGTGTAGCCAAGTCTGCAACGCCGCACGCCGACTCTACCCTAGATAAAAGCCCTCCTGTACGTGCTCTCTCCAACGGGGAGAACAAGTCCAAGAGTGGCTCACCCATCAAGAAGGAATCCTTCATATCCAGGCTAGTCCGCAAGCTGGTTCCCTGCGTCGCTGTAAACGACCGTGCTCACGCCGTCGAAATCGAGCCTCCTAGTGGCTCTCGCATTCATACTGAACACGTGAATAGCGCGTCTAAACTTGCTGAGCCAGTGGGCACAAACGAAAAACAACAACTCGTCGGGGAGGAGCACGACGAGGAGAAGCGGGAGACAGTCGTTCTTCCACCGTCGCAGCCACCTTCAGACTCTGCACCATTGACAGGCGCTCAGGACAATGACGTATTTCCAACACCACCAACACCACCAAAGGCCGTCTTACCTCCCTCGGAGTCTAGTGCCGTCGCGCAACCTCCCGCTCCGGTTGCGGACATCTTCTCTCCTCCACCTGTCCCCCACTCGGATGTATCGCAACCAACGTCGAGCAGCTCCCACGTACACGCAGGTGATGTCACCCACTCGACGGCGACTGATTCCGACGCCAGCTTTACCGACGAAGAAGGTCATGCCGAGGAGGTCGACGAAGGTGATCCAATGGAGGAGGACGATGAGGACGCCCTTATCATGAACGGCGGTGCAGGCATACCCGTCGGACCGGTGAGTAAATCGGTGCCTCGAGGAGAATGCTCACCAACCTTTACCTATTTAGGACGGCAACCCACGTCCATTGTTACCCCCCATTGCACCCCAGCACGTGGGACGCAAGTGTCTCGTGCTCGACTTGGATGAAACCCTCGTCCACAGTAGCTTCAAGGTATCACGACATCATTCTTGAAACTGTCGCATTTCTGACATTTTCTGCAGTCCATACAACATGCGGATTACGTCGTGCCAGTGGAAATTGAATACCACTGGCATAACGTGTACGTTATCAAGCGTCCAGGCGTGGACAATTTCCTGAAGAGGATGGGTGAAATCTACGAAGTTGTGGTTTTCACTGCAAGTTTAAGCAAAGTGCGTGTTTTTCAGAATTTCCACTCGGAGCCAGCGTTGACGGATTTGACTGGCAGTACGCGGACCCAGTGTTGGACAAACTAGATGTCCATCGCGTCGTGTCTCATAGATTATTCCGGGAGAGTTGCTACAACCACAAAGGGAATTATGTCAAGGTGAGTGATCGGCGCAGTTGCGGTCTGGGCCATCAATACCGAACTCCTTCCAGGATCTTTCACAGCTCGGTCGCCCAATCTCCGATACCATTATCATCGATAATTCCCCAGCGTCGTACATTTTTCACCCGAACAATGCGGTGCCTGTCTCCTCATGGTTTAACGACCCTCATGATACGGAGCTTACGGATCTATGCCCGTTCCTTGCGGATCTCGGCGAGGTCCCGGATGTGCGTGGCGTGCTCGACGGCGGACTCTAGGCAAGTCGGTCGGGCGCGTGTTGGTACATTGGGGAGGAAGCTGGGGGCGCAGGCCCACCAGGCTGTACGCTCTTGAAGACGAACACTCTTACGGTCGTGTATGCACATGTGCTCCTGTCTTCGTTACAGGTCAATACCAAAACGCAATCATCTCTACTATCTGGACTCCTTTGATCGGACACAATAAATCCTAGTCTCTCTGCGTAACGCCCCGCTCGCTCCAAGTCTCGATCCTAATTTAAGCGCCCTTGGACCTGTACAACACGCACGCACAGGCACATGCGCCGTCTTGCCGAATAACCATCATTTAACACTTTCAACTTCGCCTTATCATCTGATATACCCGAGCACGCATTCCGCCAAGCATCGTTATCGTTTGTGTATCCATCATGCGCACATACAGCAGCATACCCCCATCCCCGCCTGCACAGTCGAAACGGACGCCTAATTTTGGAACCCTCCCTTGTTCGGACCCATCTATCATCCCCTTTGTGCTGGCCAAAACATACACGGACGACCCATATACTCATTTTCCTCATATCGGTTTTATACCTTACCCTTCGTTGACTCATGCTTATCGTGTTACAAAGCATTATGACCCCCATGCCTACGGACGCTTTAGCATATTATTGTGGTAAGGAAGAAAACTGTACGTATTCCGTGTATTGTGTCGGTCGGCAGACTCGGGACGCTGAAAGCTCGCTCCTTCCTCCTCCATCCATCACTTACTTTCTTCATAAACACCATCTTGAAATGCCTGGATGTCAAACTTCCTTTTATTCGTCGACGGTTCCTTGCGGTTCTCATTTTTATTTATTACTGTCTTGATACCTCTGTGGGTCTGATGGCGCTTTTTCTTTTTCTTTTTTTCCTTCTTCGAGGGCCTATTTCCTGTGCTTTATGCTTTGCTTCATGACCGTAACGACACCCCGAATATGATGTTCCTACGTACAATCTGCCATGCTATTGTGAAATAACTTGATATTCGTCACGTGTCGTGTGTTGCGCGTCGGACTTCTTTGACCGTGTTTGGTCCCTGTTGCGTTCATGCCACAGCCAGTGCAGCACTGACAAGAAGTTCAACAAGAACGGTCGACGAGGTAATAGTCATGATGAAAAAGGCGAAGGACGCGCAGCTTTTACCGGAGAAAGGTGGGGTGAAGGTCCGACGACCTATCAGGAAAAATCATCCGTGTTGTACTAATAGCCTGCTGACGGCTATTCACCACAGCTCCTGGCACAGATTCTAGGGCACCTTCTCGGGCTGCCTCCGCTTCTGGTATACAAAGTGATGATCGATACACTGTCCTCCTCAGGAAGATGGATGATCTTGAAAGGATCCATAGAGACGAAAAGAAACGCGTACGTGTCTTCTTTCTTCTTCAGAGGTCTCAAGGTGGACTTACAATAGTACATATATTACCAAGCATCAAGCAGAGTTCGACAGATACAAGTCGCAGATCGCGGCACTAACCAAGGACAAGACGGAACAGAGCGACCGCTTAGAAAAACTGAAGAAACAGAACGAAGCATACAACCTGCGCATACAGGAACTCAACAAAGTAAGTGCCGCCGGGCAGGCTGAACTTAAAGAGATACGGATCAAGCTGCGGATGTCAGAGCACGAGCGCGCTCAGCTGGCCGGGAAGCAAAGCGACGTGGGTGAAATGAGAAAGGCACTTCAGACTATGGAGTCCAAGCGGAAGGAGGACACAAGGGAACGAGATAAAAAGATTGCGGAGCTGGAGAGGGCCGTAGCGGCAGAGAGGAAGAAACGCGAGATGCTGGAGTCTTGCCTTCAAGATATCAAAGACAAGGCAGACGAGGAGGTAATAAAGCTACGTGGTGATGCGAAGCGGCTCCAGTCGCAGTTGGAAGCTACCCGGAAGGAAAGCCAACAAGCTATCTCTGATACCCACACGAAAGCTGCGAGTCGAGAAGAAGACCTGATGGACCAACTCGAACAATGCAAGGTAGCCCTCAGTCGCGTTGCCGAGCAATATGGTCATCTGGCATCCACGACAGTGCTTGCCAAGGACCACGAAGCATTGAAGATGGAGAACGTGGAGCTCAAGATGATGACATTGCGCCTCGAGCGTAAATTGGCGAATACTGAAGGTCAAGTTACCGAGCTCGCACACCTCATCCGTCAAACACAGGAGCAAAATACGTGTCTTCGGCAACAACTGGAGGAAACCGAAGACGAAGCATCGTTCTATGCGGATGCTCTCCGCGACTATATGCAATATTCTAGCCATCAGGACTCCACGCATACATTGCTCACAACGCTTGCGGGCGTCCACGCTGACATGTTGGAAAACAAGTTGAATGGGCTTGTTATCAACCTCCGAGACTGCAAGACTGCGAATGATTTGCACTCCATGCGCAATGAAGACCTGGAGCGTGCACTCGATGGGGAACGCGCCAAAAGCAAGACTTTGTCAGAAGAAGTGGGACGTCACCTTGCAGATCGCGTCGCGGCAGATACTTGCCTACAAAGACTGCGAGCAGAGTTGGCGGAAGCGAACCAAGCACTTGCTAAGGAACAGGTATCCCGAGCGAGTGCCCACCAGCAGGTCGACAAGCTGCAAGGGAGGGTTACCCAATTGGAGGAACATCTGAGGGATGAAGTATCCAGGCACAAGGACGCAGAAAATAGGGAGCGAGAAGCAGCGAAGAAACTCTCCGCGCAACTGAGTATGAGCAAGACTGCTGAAGAAGCACTCAACGCGGAGATCGAGCAGTGAGTTCTTCTCTGGCTGAAAACGGAGAATAGAGGTTGCTCAACGTCATTTTTCCAAGGTTGCACCTCGAGTTAGCAGACGCTGCTCGATATCAAGATGCATATTACAAATTGGTGGACGAGACAGAGGATCTACTAGCGAGGAACAACCTTGCAGAAGAGGAGGCTGACAGACTCAGCAAATTCAACGCCGAAATTCTCGGACATCACAATCCAGCTCAGCGGATTATGTACGTCGACCGGATCCGAAAAGAACTTGCAGACGCGAAACAGGTGGGAAAGATTCTCCGCTATAGTGTACCGCTTCGCATGGACTTCTCTAACTCGAGCTTGGTCAGAAACTTGTTGTATGCACCCGGGAACGGGATGCATATGTGGCGAATAACGATGACCTTCGCCACGAGCTTGGTTTGTACAAATCGTCGCTAGTCCCAGCAGAAATCAAGCCTCGCTCTCAGTTCACTCGGATCTCTCGAGCGCCGTTAACGACTCACAGTCTGAACGTCGAGAACTTGAAACCCGAAACCGGCTTTTGTACCAGTACCCCGCACCCAAACCAACGTGCTTTATTGGACCATATCATACCCAGTCCTGGAGACATGACATTGGACGAGCTAATGTAATTTACTTTTATAGTCAATTTTATCACCGTATATATGTTAATAGTATGCTTTCCGACCATGCTATGCATTATTGACGAACGGATCGCGCGACGCAGGTCTTCCGTTTCTCAAAGAAGGCGAGGCCCTGAACAGTTATGCAAGTCCGCTTCGCCGATGTTGCCATCAGTGCCCATTCTCCCGGGAATGAGGTCAAACTGTGCCTCATGGTACGGCACATCACCCCACTCAGCCAGTCTAACCAGTCACCTATCATCGATCACCACGGGGTGTTGACGCGGTGACGTTTGGCTCTCTTATCGAGACAAAGGCCTGCTCCTGAGAATTGAGCGCCTGTGTTTAGGGCGTAACAGGGCGCACAAGGCAAGGGTGGCGTGGGCATTTGGAGGGCAATAAAAAGCCAATGGTGGGTGTTACCCTAGACGACGGAGGGTTGGAAGAAACCGAAGCTGTCCTGTTGGCGGCCATCTTCACGTAAGCGTGATCAGGATGTGGATAGTGCTTTGGAGTAGGCCACCCATCTGCGACGATTGCGTGGGGTCAGTTCAGCGTGCCCGCCCGAGGTGACCTAGTCAGCCGTGGGGAGAAGGGGAACGTTTGGTGCTGCGCGGAGTGCAAGTTGTTTTCTTGGGGGGACACATCCGCCAGCGCGTGCCAGAAACTTTAGCCGGCACATAAGTCCTGATGAGATCATACAGCACCTCGTGTCGGTGTATTAAAACCGACAGCGAGTTGGTGGCAAGGCTGTAGCGAAGGCGGACCGGGGTTACCAACCAGCGAGAATTGTGTAAAACCACCGCCGCGTCACGGCGCCGGAAGACATTGTCGCGTCGCACCGTTCTCTAGACTGGATGGAATCGTAAGACCGGACACAGACGGTGTTTCGTATGAGATTCAGTGGTCTCTCCGCTTCCACATGCCGCCTCTGAGTGATGGATCCAGCTCTGCGTGCAGATGCCCCTTCGCCTGACTGTCCTGCCCAGTGCCACAGTGCTTGACCAACGAATGCCATGCTGTTGTAGACGATGACAAAGCTATGGGTTACATAAAACGTTCCGACCACGACCTTGTCAGCAATTCCAGCGGTTGCCCTCTCACCGTCACCAACCAGTCCTATGCGTGTTCCAGCCTTCGCTCAGCCTCGACAAGTTCGACCTCGACCTACCCACAAGAGTAGGGAAATAATATTATTGAGCGAGCGATCCGACAACTACGGGGGTCGTTGTAAGCAGGAACCACGGGAAGACGGTGAGTCATATCTTCCTGCCGCGTATACTTTAATATTTGCAAATCAAGGGAGAAAACAAAGTGAAGGAAGGAAGAAAGAGTCACAAGCGTCACACGCGGTAAACACGAAGCTATGACTACCCGTCGCTCTTAATTACAGGAGTTTCCTTCTTTTCGTCTTTTGGCGAGCTCTCCTGTGGCTGATGCTGCTGCTGCTGCTGCTGTGGTTGTTGTGGGTGCTGTTGAGCCGTCGGGGTTGGGGGTGTGGGAAGGATCGGGCCTTGACCGAGTTGGCCTAATTGGGCCTGCGCCTGACTTAAGGCGGCCCGCAGTGCAGCATTCTCGATGCGCAATTGGTCAACAAGCGTGCGGCACTCCTCCCATCTCCGATTTGCTTCATCGGCCGATGCAAGAGCAGCATCGAGTAGTTGCGAACGGGATTCCAGTGCTTTGACATGCCTGGAGGAAACGTGGTGAGAGGGTAATTCAAAGGCGAAGCGAAGAGCCGAGAACCCCAATTCCCGGACCGGAAGCGTGGACAAAAAAACGAGAGAACAAGGAAGAGGACAAGACTTACTGATCCCTTCTTTCTCTGAAGGCTCTCTGTGCCTTTCTATTCTGTTCCGCCCGCTTGCTCTGACTGAGCTGGCGACCCCCTGGACCGGCTTTTGGAGACTGTTCACCGGACTGATCAGGTGATGGGCCGTTGATGGACTGCTGTGATTGTTCGCCCTGAGGAGGGTGTGGGTGTTGCTGGGAGTACTCAGGGGGGGCATACTGGTAGATGGGTGGATGTGGAGGGTGGCCCATTCCGGGTGGCGGCATGAGAGCATGGGGAGGAGGGAGGATCTGTCCTAGATGCATTCCGGGAGGCGGTGGGGGAGGATGCTGCTGCTGAGGTGGGGGAGGATTGGCAGGAGTGGGAGGTGTTTTTCGTTTGCGGGTGTTTCGTGTAGCAGTGGGGGCGGAGGACGACTGAGCCGCGGACTGCTGCTGGGAGGGCTGGGACGAGGGCGGGTTTGCGGAGGACACGGGGTCATCGCGGAGACGCATGGCGGGGATTGCGTGCGAGGTGAGAGTGTCGGATGGCTGTTGCTGTTGCTGTTGCTGCTGCTGGTGTGGGTACTGCAACATGGTGCAGTGGGTGGTGCGTGTGTTGTGTCTTGTTTGGCCCGTGCTCGTCGTCGATCGATGCTGTGAGCAGTCGCGTTGAGGACGGACGGGAGGTGGAGGTCGGGGCGCGAGTCTTAGTCAGAAACGCCCTGCTTGTTGTCTCCTGTTTGGTCGACATGACTCAGCATGTGTTCTCTTATGTAATACGTGTTTCGTAGCCCCACGCGTCTCTCCGGACTGTTAGTGTGATGAAGTGGTACTTGGCCGCGTTCAACGCCGTGTCCGCAGTGGGGTGGGCCTACGTGCTCTTCCTCACAGCGAGTGCCCTCCTCAACGAGAGCTCCTACTCCTACTTACCCCTCCGCTTTCCCTGGTCGTTCACCCCCACAGCCGCAAATGACGTGTCCAGATATCTCGTCTCCCTCGTCGCCCCGTATGTGCCCCCAACCCACTCAGCATCCTGGTCTGTCCTTGCACCCGTCCAGTCTCTCGCCGCTCTCGAAGTGGTCCATGTCCTGCTCGGCCTCGTACGCTCCCCTCTCCCCACAACCGTCATCCAGGTCTCCTCTCGCCTCATCCTCGTATGGGGAATCGTAGCGCGCTTCCCCAGCACCCATATAAACCCGTTCTACACAACAATGCTCCTTGCGTGGTCCTTCACCGAAGTGATCCGTTACTCCTACTACGTCCTCTCCCTTGCAAGTGTACCGGTGCCTTACTGGCTGACCTGGCTCCGCTATACCACCTTTTATATCCTCTACCCGCTCGGCGCAGGAAGCGAGGCTCTCGTCATGCTGAGCACTATTCCAGAATGGAAACACGGCCGATACGCTAACTGGTCGCAGGAGGCTTGGGCCAAGGCCGCCATGGTACTCATTTGGATACCGGGTGAGGTTCTTCGATGCTGTCTTGCCATTCATTCCCACTCAACCCCTCCTGCTAGGTTTGTGCATCATGTACTTGCATATGATGCAGATGCGAAACAAGGTCCTTGGCAAAGGTAAAGGACAAAAGCTGGGCGAAAAGCCGAAGAATAGAGCCAAGGCGGAATGATCACGCGACGATGCCTTTCTTTGCTGTTCCCATGCAAGGTGCAAACCATGTTCGCCAATGATGTATACAAACTTTATACATGACCTGAGAAAATAACGGTGTATGAACATACCTACTCTACTGGCAAGGTGTGTTAGGAGGAATAGCGGGAATAAATGGAATTTGAAATTAGCCTACCAATCGGACCCACAAACTCATCGCAGAAACAATATTGGAACCGCCTTGAGTTTGATACAGTCGCGCATACCTAGCACGACTCGAAGCTCAGAGAAGAAGCTCGCCGCGATGCTTCCTACGCCATTTTGGCAAAAGTCGTCACAGGTTGGTCCTAACCATTATCATGCCCGGGTTGCCATTCTTCGCGTACGATGACAAGCGCTTTCACCGTGTTCTCGCTATATCCTTAGCTGTCAGTGTCCCCCGTCCGCCACCTGGCCTTGGGTCGATGGCAAGGATCGAATGTCAAAAGCAGCGATAGGACAAGTGAGAGCGGCATAACTTTCCTCTCTCCGACTATCCATCCTAGGTGTGGGTAGGCGAGTTAGCTCAGACTGGGTGATGCTCTTTGCACGTTCCACCCCTAGGTCCTCCTGAGTTGCGCGGAACCTGCTACTAGAATGCCCATTACCGGATTGATTGTCATCACGCAGCTTCGAGTCTTCGGCTTTTCCAAGTGGTCTGCAGTTTATGCAGGACAGCCACTACGGATTATGGACACCCTCTTGGAAAATCACCCTCTTAGATGCATGACCGGCAATAAGAGCTCACTAGTCGCCATGTAAATGTTCACTGTTTCTCAAGTGACGTTTCTACTGTTTGACTTCGTAATAGTCACTTTGCGTTGCTGTGTAAAACAACATCCACCTGTCCTGATCAGTGGGCGTGATGCCAGGTTTGAAAATCAATCGACATGAAATCTCGAGACGTAGTGCCTACTTTCCACGTACGACCTTTGCGCATACAAGTACAATTCGCAAAAAATTGTCTCCTAGAACATTAACAATGCTAGGGACAGATCACTTCAGAAATACTTCCGCAACCATGCAACACTGCTATCGAATGACCCCTTTTTGCCATCGAATTCTTGGGGGACAAGGGGATCTCCCCTGACCGCGAATCCGTGGGAGCACCCGGGCCAGCACTCGCGTTTATACCCGGGAGCGTACTTGCCGTCACCAAGGATGGCGTCGATTTGTTCTTGCTTTTGTACAGGCATCTCGACGTCTTTGTCGCCCATTTCAAGGAGGAGCGGCGCTTTGGCTTTCTGTACCAATGTCTAGATGCAAACCCGTCGTGGTGAGCAAGACCATGCGAAGAAAGAATTGGTAGAAAGAACATACCTCAAAGTCTGTCGGAATCACAAGCTGCGAAGGGTGGGAAACTATAACAACGTCTGCTACCCTATCGCACGCGAGATCGATCGCGTAACGACCTAAACAATACAGGTACTTGTTGGACGATCCCAAGGTAGTGCGAAGGACTATAAACTTACCGCCGAAACAGTAGCCAGTGACTGCAATCCTGGTCACACCCCGGTCTCTCAGCCCCTGCACCACCTTGTCGACGGGGGGACGGGTCACAGGAGGCAGGTGTTTTTGAACCCAAGCTTTCACCATGTCTGAGGTGAAGTTTGGGTTCTGGAGGGCCTGCGTGAGCGCTCAATTTCATGGATAGTTGTGGACTTACGTTCATAGCATACGGAGGCGCGGGGTCGCCATTCAAATAGTCAGGGGCAATTGTCTAGAGGTTCGCAACGAATGAGCCAATGAGACAAAGATTGCCAAAGTATATGTTACCAGGTAGCCTTTCTTTGCGAAGTCATCAACCAGTAACTATAGCGTCCCATTAGCATATGCCTAGCTGTAGGTTGGAGCAGAACCCGCACCAAGTTGTTCCTCAGCGTTAAGCCGAACATGTCCGTCAAGAGGATCAAGGCCTTCTTGGGGTCGTGTGTGGCAGGTTGGAGTGCCTACATAGCAACATACACCATTGATGTCCACCATTTTACCTTCCAAATTGCTAAGGCAAAAGGCACAGTACAATTATCTGTCACGCCTACCTTCGGGCGAACCCTGGTATTCATGTCCTAAAATTGGAAATAGACAGTCTATCAAGGAAGTGGGGAGGAAAACACTGCGTGAACTTGCCTGAGGCACAGCAGCTCATTTCGATGTGTGCGTTGATCTGAGGTTGTGATGAATTCTATAGACCGATGCCTTTAAATACGGAGGCGGGTTGCAGTCTGTTCGTTTCGGGTGCATGCCTTTGTCTGAACCGGTAGTTCGCTAGAACCGCTATTGGTTGTTGTTCTTTGAGGCTACTTATCTTCACTAAAGCGTTTCGAGTCTATTGTACTCAGTGATATCGGCATCGCCTCCGAGGCGAATTAAATCGGCGTGAGTCCTGTATCTTGATTCTGTATTGCCGACCGCTGCAGGTTTGGTAAGACCGAGCCGAGTACCTTCGGGGTGGGGAAGATGATGGCACCATTGCGCAGTCAATGCGGGGTACATCCTACATCCAGCTTGTTGCGAAACGAGAATAACGGCCTTACCCGAGGTGGTAGTTCTCTAGAACTATTATAGTTAGCGGCGATTTTCGCATCCGCATCATTGACGTCTCGAGTCCTACCGCGTGCATATGTATGAGGCCCGTATCTCAGTTCCCTGCCACCGCGGAAGAGGTTGTTGGTAAGGCTGGGGATATATTTCCTGCCGCAAAGGTCTATCGCACCCCGTTCTTTCGTGGGATGATTTTCAAGAAATAGAATCGTGCACGCATGGCCAACCGTCGAAAAGCGCAACACTTTGTGGGGCCTACCCCGCCGAAAAGCCACAACTTGATCGACCGAAATGAACCACAAAGATTGCTGAGCCAATTGTCTGGAGGCAATACATAATCGCTCCGCTTAAGTTCAACCAGTGAGGAGCGCAAAGCTCGCTTCAGACCCGAACTGCACTGACCGGTGGAAGAATGCCTACCTCGTGACTTCATCCCAGAACCAGAGACAAAATTTAGAACGGGCAATACGACGACTTGTCCAAATTCGCAGAGGCAAGATCAACCATTTCCCCTGTTCGTTGTCAACTTCAGTATTATCTTGGGGGCCAGTAAAATCCGCGGGTCCGAGACCAAACTGAAACTTGATTGATGCTTCCCCTACCTTGTCTTCGCCCCTAAGCCAGGCAGAGACATCTCGGTCCGGTTTTCAGTAAATCACTGCACGTGTGTGGAGTCCTGGAACTTCACGTAATCCATCAACTGTTTTAGAGCTTTCAAGAATACCGCTATTGCAAAATCAAAGTGGCGATTGTGAAGCCATGCAAAGGCAAGTCACCTGAACCGTACAGTTCATACGGGGCTGTATCAGTGTATCGTATCACTCTCGCTCCGCTAGATACGGGAACGAATCGGTAGCTGTGGGGATTGAACGCGAGTTATATATATATCATCCGTATTCAACCAATGAATTACCCACTTTTCAAAAGTAAAGTTGAGTTCTCGGGCAATTGTGTACAATAACAAAAACGTCTGGCCCCAAGCTACATTGATCTCGGACCACTCACCTTAGCGACAGTCCACTGTGGAGAAAAAGGTGCGGCTGGCTACCACTCACGGGAACCCCTGGCACACGGCCTAAGCGCAGCGCGTCTATAGTAAGGAAAACACCGTCATTGTAGACGTTACGTAGTACATTTAAACTTCTCCTATGTCGTGTAATCAGCAGCGTAAGCTGCCCAGGACACGAGAAGCAGTGCCGGAAGCCAGCTGCTGATCGTTACGCAGACGCCAAAACCTGCGGAAAGGGGCCGGCCAACTGGATCAGTAGCAGCGTACGACAAAACCCACTCAGCCTCTTTCTCCTCTAGTGTTCTCTCCTCCAACTGTAGTGCTCGAAGTTCTTCGTCAAGTTACTCCCTCTCTCTCGGCGAACTTCGACTGGTCGAGGATAGTCCGCTCTTCCGACTTGAGGCGCTCGATCTTGTGCTCCACTTCATTTATTGGCTTATCGTGTTCTTTCTTCTTTCTTGCTTCTTTGTCGAAAGCGGTGTAGCCGTCACGTTCCCTTTTCGTCTCGTCAAGCTTTCTCCGCAAAGAAGACAGCAGGCGTAAAGGATGATCGATATCAGTCCGGCTGGACGGTGAATTAAATAGGCGCATGGGATAGGGATGTCGGCGTTGGGTTCGTTCGGAGCGTGGAGGATGCAGAGCCGCCCTTTATCGTATGCTCAGGGTGATTGACGCTTTCAGGGTTGTTTGCGTGCCTCTATTCGGCTTTAGAACCAGACGTGACGGGTGTTGTGGAGTGGGCTGTTCGGCCTCGGATATGTGCTTCGCTCGTGGGGATAGTGAAGGCGGGAGAGATGTAACAATCGTGTCGTACTGGGAAGGGGAGAGCTAGAACTCAATGAGCCACGGAAGGATGAAGGAACGTACCACCTCACGGCCGACTTCTTTGCGCTGCCAACATACATAGTTCATCGTAATCCGAAACAATATACGTTTAGAACAAGCAACTTCGATGTTTTGGAGACGGTAAGACCTTGAACGAAACTGTTTCGAACCACAAGAAGCGATTTGTGCACCTGATGGTCACCGGCCTCATCCCTCATAAGAACACAGGTGCCTTTCTGGCTCTTACTGGTTGACCTGCTCGCTGTATGTACCACTTTTTACATCCTCTATCCGCTCGGCGCAGGAAGCGAGGATCTCGTCGCACCGAGCACTACTCCAGAATGGAGATACGGCCGATATGCTAACTGATCATGTTGGAAACTTGGGTCAAAGCCGCCATGGTACAAGATACGGGGTGATGTCTTCGGAGTCGTCTTGCCATGCCAAACAAGGTCCTCGACAGAGGCAAAGGACAAAAGCTGGTTGGAATGCCAAGGCGGAATGATCACGCAACTATGCCTTTCTTCACTGTTCTCATCCAAGGTGAAAATCATGTTCGCGATGGTATATACAAATTTTAAAATGTGATCCGAGAAAATAGTGGTGTATGAACAACCTACACTACTGGAAAGGTGTGTCGCAAGGAACAGTGGAAATATGGAATATAAAATTAGCCTACCAATCGAACCTACAGACTCATTGCAGAAGCAATGGGACCGCCTTGCTCCCAAAGTCTGGGCTTGGCGCGGATCTCAATGTTCTCGAAAGCAGGTACTCTGGGAGAGTTTGATACAGTCGCGCGTACCCAGCACGAGAAGCTCAAAAAAGAACGCAGACGCAGCTCGCCGCGATGCTTTTTGTGCCATTTTGGAGAAACTCATCACAGCTGCTTGACCATTATCATGGCCGGGTTGCAATTCTTTGCGTATGATGGCAAGCGCTTTCACCGTGTTCTTGCTATATCCTTTGCTGTCAGTGTCCCCATCTGTCTCCTGGCTTTGGGTCGATGGCAAGGGTCGAACGTCGAAAGCAGCGATAGGACAGGTGAGATCGGCATAACTTTCCTCTTCCTCACCCTCAACCCCAGGTGTCGATAAACGAGTCAGCTCAGACGGGGCGACGCTCCTCGCACGTTCCACCCCTAGGTCCTCTTGAGCTGTGGGGAAGTCGCCAGGAACGTCCATTTGGAAGTCATCCACCACTCCGGTCATATCGCCAAACTCGAAGCCACCACTATCGGGGGCAAGACTGGCACGCGGACCCAAGGCTTCACCAGGCACACCAACGCTAGGTGCCACGCTCGTATCGCGTCTGGCTTGTTCGACCTCTTCTTCGTCTTGTACGCTATCCTCCACCCTCGGTTTCTTCCTGCTGCCTTTTCCTGGAGATGTACCCCTCTTCTTAGATAGCGGCCCACTTCGTATCGGTCGCATAAATAAATCCGTCAATTCAGGCACCAGCCCCGGTGGGCCAACACAGAGGTACGTTCCCTCAGGAGTAACCTTGGTCGGCAGGAAATGTGCTAGAGGATCTTCTCGAATTTCCATGAGACGCATCACCATCGAGGAGCGAGGCAGGAACCGTTGTTCGGTCAGGATATCGCTAAGGTCTTGGACAACAGGGGGGCCGAAACCCCTTCCTCTCCTCGCCCCGCCTTTGTCTGTCAGTTCAATGACCGCATCGATAATTTGCTTCTTTTCTCGCGGCTTCCGCTTGACTTTGGTAGCCTCAACCTCAACATCTTCTCCGGGAAGAACCTCAGTCGCCGCACGCGGGGTAAGCTGCAAGTCAGGTGGCGGCGTTTGCGGAGGCTCGGTGAGCGGAGACGCTATAGAGACCTCAATACTACACGATGAGGACGGGAGCGGGCAGGAGCTTACACATCCGGGACGGCGACCGTGTTCGCATCCTCTCTGGTTCGCTCAACGGACCATCTCCGAAGTCCAGGCCTAGATCAACATCCATACCGCCAATATCCGGCCCGAAAGGCATGTCGATGTCTCTGTCCACGCTAAATCTGTACTCAGAAGCCGCCCTGCTAACATGAGAGAAAAAGTCATCCTTCTCTGTATCGCGACCCATCAAGGACTCCAGAGACTCTCTCGCACTCCGCGGGGTGGGTGCATCACGCCCGACTTCAACACTTCCGTTGGCGGCGCTAACTGGGCCATCACCAAAATCAAGCCCAAGATCGAGTTCACCGAAGTCTTGTGAACCTATGCCATCGGATGGGCCTAGATCGAATCCGTAGCCGGGGTCATCCAGATCGAGTTGGAATTCGTCGGCGGTCTGGAGAGTGATGTCAGCCTGTCGGGCGACGTGATGACCTTGTGGCTCAGCGATGCGATCTTCAAAGTCGATGTCCCTTTTGCGATAGAGTGTATAGGTCATACGTTACGTGTGGCTAACAAGAAACCCACCAGTTAATATCAGGAATGAGGACATCCAGGTCCAGGTTACCCCCCTGAAGGGTAATTGCGTTGCGATTCACAGCCAACTGTTCTTCAGTCATATCTACAACACCTGGGCGGAACGCCTGCATGCGGAATCTGCGCTCAGACCAAATGGGATATCAAACAGGGTGTGAGAGCATTTACCATTTTAATTTTCAAAAGCGCTTCATTGCAATCGTCAAGAAGATACTTAGCCTTCCTGCTGTAAATGCGGACAACACCAAGCAGGAGCTGTCCACTGAGACGGAGTGCCATCACTTCGACCTCTTGTCCCATAATAGCATCTGCCGTCGCGCGTTAGAGACACAGAAGACACCGTGGCCGCACGAGACCATAATACCCACCCGCAGCTTGTTCAATATCGGTCTGCAGCGTCTGTGTTTTGGAGAGTTTCCGCTCCATGTGTGCCGCGAGCCATACTTTCGCCAAAGGACCGCGACGCGATAGAATAGCCTCTGAGTAAAACTGCACGCGGCCGTTTTCACTATAGGCTGAAATACAAATGAAGTGTCATCCCTCACCATGTTGTACAGTCAGAATACAAGAAAAGATATCCAAGAAACACGCGACAGTCCCTCGCGGGCTGGTTAACTGTGATAGGATTGGTTGAACTGGGTAGTGGCATTAGGGACATCTTGTTTTGGCGTGTTTGCGATTACTACAATTGTGGTGCTTCCGGCTGGTGAGACAAAACAAAGCGTCCATGCTGGCTTCCTCATCTCGGGGTGTTCTCAAACACAGTTCGAGGCCGTATTTTACACACACGGTAGGAGACGCATGCTTCATAGGTCAAGGTGGGGCCATTTGTTTCGTTGGAAAAGCAAGCTTATTCCACCGCAGTCCATCGAAGTTTTACAAGGTGCCAGCAATATAGCACTACAGCATCCTCGAATATTAGACCCTGGGCTTTCCACCAAGACAGTACTTTTCGGGGGTCAGTTAGCCAGCTCGCACGGTGCCAGTACGAAGCTATCAGTCATGCGAAGGGAACGAGACGACTCATTCCGTGTCTTCGCCTCAGTGCGGGAAATGAAGAGGGAGCGCGTAAAGCCGGACCTCACTATTTACAATTCCCTGCTTGCATGCATCGCGGAGGAGGGTTTACCTTTGGAAGCGTGGGCTGTTATCGACGACATGATTGCCGTGGGCATTCTACCAGACCGCCAGTCATACCATCATGTTCTCCATGCGAGTATACAATTTCTAGCCCAGGCAGGCCTACGGCTTATCATCATGATCATTTTGCAGGCCTCTCGATGGTATCCTCTTGAAGCTACATGGGAAACTTTGGAAAAAATGGTCGACCGGGGTGTCCCACCGAACGAACAGACGTATGCTCTGATCATCAAACGAATAACAACCACGGAAGGCGTGGAACTTGCCCTGCAGTTCATGCACGAGATGGCCAAACAAGGTTTTACTCCGGACCTGACTGCCACGCAGGATGTCATCAAACTGGCCGCTCACTTGAATTTTCCTAGGCTTGCCATCGATATAGCACAGAATTTTGAGGCACATTCCGTCCGTAGAATCGACAGTGAAACATGGATTTCTTGTCTTGTCTCTTCAGCAGAGTTGTTTTATGTGAGCGCTACGAAAAAAAAGTTACTGTTTCCTCCCAATCCATCAACTGAAATATTTGTTTGACGCTGTAGGCAGACGGAGTTCAGAAGTGCTGGGAGAAAGCTATTCATGAAATGAACCTGACTCCTGACGAGGGTACCTGTATTGCCGTCCTTCATACATGCGCGCGTCATGGCCTTTCGGACCTGGCAACAGACGTCATTCGCGTCCTCCGATCCATTGGTGTCGATTGGCAGGAACACCACTTTGCCCCGCTTCTTGAAGCCTTTGCCAGAGTCGGAAAATTGAAAGAAGCATTCGGCACGCTACATTTACTCCGTAGCAACGGCATAGTGCCGCTTCCCGAGACAACTCAACCCATAACAAACATCCTGAAGGGAGACGTTGACGCTGTCGATGGGGTATGGAAGATCCTGGATGAGTTACGGGACGAAGGTCACACCATCGACGCCGCAGCCATCAATACCGTCATCGAAGCGTCGATCGCTCTTGGCGACCTCCAGCGTGCCGTAGGCGCGTACAAAGCGTTCCGTGAATATGCTAGCAAGCCAGATGTTGAAACTTTCAACTATCTGTTGCAGGGATGTATCAATACCTGTCATCGGGAACTTGGTGATAAACTGCTCCTGGACCTCAAGCAGGCGAACGTCCGTCCGAACGCACTGACATACGAGCGAACTGTTCTGCTTTGTCTTACACAACCAACCTATGAAGACGCATTCTTTTACTTGGAGGAGATGAAAGCGCAGAAGATCGTACCCCCATTGCGAGTGTACGATGCTATCATAAGGACTTGTGTAGTTGCTGGGGATTCTCGATATTCGCTGGCCCTCGCGGAATTGGAGCAGTGCGGGTATACTTTATCCAAGGATTTAATACGATTCGTAGCTGCCAACAGATCGTCTTCTTGAGATGATGCTAGGGGGTGTCTTTGATATACCGTCGTGCAAGATGTAAGAGGCCCTTGGTGCTTTCTAGCATCTACCGGTGCTCAGTTAGGAGGGCCATTCATGCGAGAAAAAGGGCCCACCCCATCCGCTCCTTTTAGGTATCTCTGCTGTACCACAACCACTGAGAACGAACGCATTCCTTTGATCGACTGAAGAATTGCGGGTATATTTCTCAGGAACAGTGGGTGGGGTACTTACACCATTGACATGTACACCTTTGCATTTTTAAGTCAGTCAGATCACTCGCTGCTCTCCAATCTCGATCACGCGAGAACGGGATGCTTATACTCAGGGTTGACAACATCATTATATATGGTGCTGGCTGAGGGAGCCAATGATACAGTCTCCTCGACAACAACTTGACTGCCACATTCTATCCTGACAACCCTTCAACAAACACTCCCAGCATCGCCTTTGATTTACAAACGCTACCAGTAGCGCACAACAACAAACAGTTCGCCCCTCTACTCCCCCTTATTCTTCGCCTTTACATCCTCGTCCTCCCAAGGGCTGAAGTTCGGTTTACTGATCAGCGGTAAAGACTGCAGCCACACGGGAAGTGAGTGATTCTCCTCCCCCGCCGTAGTTCCATGCTCTCCCTCCCGTTGTGTTTGTATAGGCGAGGGAGGGATAGTACCCACGTCACTCAGGCTTGGAAGAAGTTCAAGGCTTGTATTCGTGGATCCACCAAGAGCTCGTTGAAGAGCCTCTCGTTCAGCCCGAGACGGAGCGAAGGCACGTAGTAAAGAAGGAGTTGACGAGGCGATACCGGAATTGTGACCTGATGGGTTGAGCATGTCGTACGAGCTGTGCGCCCCGTGGTTGTCCGTGGCTGGGTTTGCATCCAATTTACGTCTAGGGAGCCGGAAGACTTTCGCATCAGGGTTGAGACCCTTACGCGGTTTTTCCTTCGTAGAAATCGAGAACCATCTGCGCGGCGAAGATTCGGCGTTGTTCGACACAGCATTGAATCGCAGGTCATCCGAAGTCTTTGCCGTGGGATCTGAATGGGTGCGATAGGGCAGTGTCATCTCATCACAGAATAGCTCGTCAGGAGTTTCAGTAGAAAGACGTGCTTCGTATGGGCTGAAGTCAACATCGGATTCCGAAGGAGAGGCGCCACCAAGAACGACCGAAGAAGAGGGTGCTACGCCACCCATATCACCTATGTGGCGCTCTCTCCATTCAGCAGAAGGTGAGTCAAGTACGCGGATCAAACTGCTGGGAATGAATGCGGATGATGGTATGTGAACGTCAAAGGGAGAGAAAGAAGATGCATCGTCGTGATTGAAACGCCCATGCGAAATTAACTGAGAGCCTTGCAGTGTAGTGGAAGAGGCATCTTCGTCGAAGAGCGCCCTCGCTCCTGTCGAAGGAACAATAGGGTTCCTCACTTCAGTGGGAGATGGGGATCCTAGCGAAAACCGCAAAGGCCTCGGAGAGTAAGTAGAGTTTGGTGATTCGCGTGCAAAGCCTTGAATATTTTCAGTCTCCAGAGTTCCAGACACGCTTGGAAAGTCGAAACGCGTGTAGGACGAGGGCCAGGTATGTGCACCCAACTGATCATAGCCTCCACTGATATACCCGTTCTCGTGGTCGTGTTTGGCAGAATACTCTTCCGCCACACGAAGGCGCTCCTTGCTCTCCGCAATCCTTTCCTCCAGTTCCCTAGCGCGAGCATTAAGCGCAGTAACGACTTCTTCTGCAATCTGGACTTCCTTCCTCTTCATTTCAAGCTCAGACAGCAAGCTGCGTTCCTCTTCCGCATCTCCGTTGCCGGGATCGGGGGCGAGGGTTGCACGATCCTGGTCAATCCGTCGTTTTAATCTTCCAATCTCAGTCTCCAGCTCCTCTACGCGGCGAGTCGCTGATTCTTTCGTACCACGAGCAGCTTTCAGCCGCCTCTCAGCCTCTCGTCTCCCAGTCTCAGCAACACGCCGAACTTCTTCGAGTGATTTTGTCCGCAACCTGCCCTCCACCCTCTTTTGATCGTCTTCGCGTTTTCTTGCCCGTAGTTGGTCGAGTTCATCTTCAAGCAGGGTATGTGATTGGGAGGCATAAGTTTGAGCTTCTTTCAGTTGCGCTTGAAGTTCAGTAACGGATATCTGCGCGGCGGCTATCTGCCTCAAAACCTCAGTTATAATCGGGGAATGGTCCTGTCTACTTGATGCAGAGCACGTGCGCGATGGAGCATGGGTAGCACTCTGCTGTGGGTCGGTGCCACGAGGAAATGAAGGGGAGGCCGACGACAAGCTTTCACGGACGCGATGATCAGCATGTAGCGGAAGCGAGGCAGATTTAGGTAGTGGAGGTGTAGAATTTCTCCTGGGCAGCAAACCGGTGCCTTGGACGCCTCGTACCTTGGGGGCAACTGCACGTTGCGAAAGTCGTGAGCACGAAACAGATTTTGGGAGTAAAAGACCTATTAAAGAAAGCCAGGATTACCTGCTGAGCTGCCACTTTTGTATCATCAAGAAAATCCAAGTACCATTATACTCGCTAAACTTATCCGACGCGTTGAAACCTAGTATGCCTGACCTCCAGACTTCGCAGTCCTGGGAGCGAACCACAGCATCGTAGCACCAAGAGTCCGCCGAGCCGCCACGCCACCAATGTCCGAATGCACCAATAAACCAAGTATCAGCAGAAACAGCTGCTCCATGCTCCGCACCGTTCAAAGTGTTGCCTATGCGCTTGGTGCTAGTGGTTGTGGCACCGCGTGTAGTGGCAACGGTACAAACACCAAAGCTGTGAAAGACATGTTTCGGAGTACGAAGCGACACGGATGCACGATTGGAAAACCGGAATGGCAGCGTGGTTCGATCGAACGAGATGCTTCCTGACGATGAACGAGACCGAGAGTGTAAAGGATCGTGATCAACTTTTGTTCCAGATTCGTCGCTGATATCATCGAGATGACTCAAATGCTGACGGAAAGCTTGCTCGGTAAGATATGTTCTGAATGAAATCTCAGTTGGATTGGTGAGATATGCTGATATGGACGCGTTTGCAGCGATAAATTGCCAAGGCAGAGGAAGTGGCGTTGAGTGTGTTAGCATACACCGAAGGCAACTGTCAAGCTCACCGAGAATGAGAACAACGAGGATGAAAACCAAAACGCAGACAACGGAGCTATATCCAGTCCTGGGATGAACCGAGTCATCCCAGTTCTCTAACTGTGACCACGAGGAAAGCAGACTAATTCCACCAAAGGATAAGCTCATGAGGCAAAGTAAAGAGCTCGTTGGTATTCGGACGAGCCACGACGCCTTGTGAGAAGTGGGACAGGAATTATGTTGCGAATGATTGATTGCAGGCACTGCTTTTGAGATGGCTTAGTCCGGGCCCGAACTCAATGGAAGGCGATAGAGCGCAACTTGCCTGTCGTTTTGATGGCGGACTGCACTTCGAAGCAATGAAGTCGTCGTCGTCGTGGTCGTCGTTGTCGCCCACGTCCGAGTCGTCGAAGGGCACACGGTGGCAAAGACTCGAGACCACGGTCAAAAACCTCGTCCTGTCAAGTATGTAATGAGTTGTGTACGTAAAACACCTACACTCATTCTCACGGGCAATTTACACTAAAATTCGTCAGTATCACTGCTGGCGACATTATTCCGACATTTTTCAGTCTTGATACAACGACTCGTCCGTAGGTCGTACTACGCGAAGACTCAATGTATTTAAGCTGTGGTCGTCGTGCTGTGCAGGTCGAATTCGAAGATGCACGACAATCCGAATTATGACGCACTACAGTCCAAATTTTCGCACGCGGCCCGAACCATTGAATTAGGCGGGTCCATGCAGCTTCAACGTGCCCAGGCTTCTTCTGCTCCGCGACAGCCATGGCAAAATGGAGCGACGACCAGTGGGGCGCTCAGGGAGGCTACCAAACGGTCGCGGGTCCGAGTCCCGGTTATTCACAACCTTACGCGCAAACCGTCAATCCCCCGACGCCATATCCAGACCAAGCGTACGATGGTGGCGACACCAAATCACCCTACGATGGTGGTCGCTTTCAGCCAAAGAAAAGGGTGAACGATCCCATCTTTTTGATCTTGTTCATCCTCCAGGTAATTCACTTTCTTCCGTTTTGGGAGGCAGCAATTCATATATTCTTGCACCCATGACAGCTACTCGGTTTTGCTGCACTATCGGGCATCGCCATCAATGGTTGGATCAAAGTAGGCGGCCTAGGAGGTGGTATCGGAGGCGACGGCGAAACCGGCAGTTCGGTCACGCTCAACTGGTAAACACATCTGAACTATCTGCTTTACTTCTGACACCATTGAAACCCATTAGGCACACTGTTTATCTGCTATTGCTTGTGACCGCCGCCGGCCTCCTGCTATCCACAGCCTATCTTATGTTGGTCCGCGCCTTCACTCGCGTAATAATGCACATTACTCTCATCCTCGCAATCGTGGCGAATATGTGCGTGACCGTCTCCAATCTTCCTGGCACTCACTTTACTCGCATGCAGTGCGATCTGTGCCTACTACTGGATTACCGGGTACTACTGTGCGTTCATCGCAATGGTTTCTCAATTGTATTCTCAATGCCGGCACAGCTGCCGCCATAATCTTCACTATCGTTGCGGTCTTCTCCGTCTTGGCATACTTCGGCTTTCGGTCCCGCATTCCTCTGGCCTCCCTTCTCCTCCAGGTTGTTATGGACATCTCTAAGCACCATCTCAGTACCTATTTCGTGGCCTTTAGTGCCCTGTTTCTGCAGGCTGCGTTGAGTGTGTAAGTGCATGCTTTGCAGTTGTTTTGTTGTATGCACTCACGCCTATCAGTTGGTTCGTTTTCACCTCCATGGCGATGTAAGTGGAACCTGGTTTTGGTTGGACCGTATTTGTCTCTTACGATCCTACAGTTATGCGAGATGGACACCTGGAAATCCAGGTGGGTACGTCCCTTAATGTATGACCCCCTCCTACTCATGTCCGTCGCGTCAGGCTGCGGCACAACGTCCTCCTGTTCATCTGGAAAAGTAGCAGGCCTCTTGTTCTATTCTGTATTTTCCTACTTGTGGACTTCACAAGTCATCGGGAATGTTGCGTTGGCCACACTTGCCGGCGGACCATATGGCTGTGAGCAATCAACAGCTGTGTTCACCTGCACCTGACCACAATTTCATAGGTTGGTACTACTTCGGCCCTCGTGACCTTGGGCAGATGGTGGGCATCAGCAGTATGATGAAACCGTGCTGTCTTAAAAACCTGACGTTATGTGATAGCCAAAACACCCCACACTAAGTGCATTTGCTCGTGCATCCACACTTTCTCTAGGATCTATTGCCTTTGGCTCTCTGATCGTTACTATTCTTGAACTCATTCGCATGATTCTCAATGCCGCAAGGAATAACGCCAGCCAACAAGGAAGCCGTAAGCTCAGTCTGTCCACCTTGGTAATGTGATACTAATAAGAAAGGTCACCAGCTATTGAAGCTTGTCTTGCTTGCTGTGCCGAACTATTCGTCTCTTGCATCGAGTCATTGGTTCGATACTTTAATAGATACGCGTACATCGAAATCGGTACGTTTGGTGACAGCCGTGTTCAACTCTGATGTTAATGCCGTGCAAGCCCTATACGGAAAGCCCTACTTGCAGGCAGCCAAGGATACTTTCAATCTCTTTAGAGACCGAGGTAATATTTAACACCTGTGATTTTTCCAAGGCTTTCGAGTGTTGTATGTCCAGGCATCGATGCTCTCGTCAATGACTCGCTAGTCGGAACGAGTACGTGTTGTGTAATCCGCCATGTTAAAGCTGTCTTATACCATTTCCAGCATTGATATTCGGTGCCTACATGGTAGGGCTTCTCTGCTCGTTATTCGCGTATCTGTATTTGAGATGTCAGTGCCCCAAATCACGCACAGCTGTATAAGCTGACATGCTAGTCTCTAGTCACCCATCCATCATACAACGCTGAAGGACAATATACGGCACCTGTGGTTTTATTTGCCTTCTTAATTGGACTTCAATGCTGTAAGTGAAACCACCGTAGGGGCATCCGCTCTGATCTGAGGTGCTTTCACAGCCCTGACACTATCTTCAACTATCGAGGCTGGAGTGTCGACAATGTGAGATTTTTTGCCGCTGATTGAGATGTTAGTTGCTAATCTTATATGCCAGTTTCGTTGGCCTCGGACAGGACCCCCAAGTGCTGGCAATGCGTGCACCTCCTCTCTTTGCAGTAGGTTTTCTGTCTGATTTCCTGACATCGACTGATGTTAAATCGGCCTGACAAAAGATGATTGCTGAGAGATATCCACATGTCGTTCAGGGTGTGCCTAGGGTTTGAGTCTGATCGTCCTCGTACAGTATGCAAACGTCGACATCGAACGTGACTCCCCTCTCAGCATCACCAACGGTGCCGACGGCTTTGATCCCGCCAGGACTCACTATTCTAACACGGCTCGGTTTTGTACCCACGATGTATGATTAATTACCTTAGTTGAAGTGCCAGGACATACAGCAGTTCAGATATGTAAGTGTGGCACAGATTATGGTCGTGAGGTTCCTCTGAAAAAAATGTGAAAAAGTGTCCCAGGGAGGATTCGAACCTCCGGCTTCACGGTTATGTTGGTCCACAACGTGATGATTTAACCACTAATCGACAAGGACTCCACTCATTACTCGACAAAAGGTACACTGTAGCCACATCCACGTCGACGCCGCAGTTCATTCTCTTATCGACCAATCAGAATTATCGGATTCCGACTGTGGCGTGGAGGCATGTTGCCAAATGAATCGATGATGGTGCGAGTGGAGTACAGATATCGATCTGGACACCATAGTGCCGTAAGGCATCGAGCACGTTTCTCAGACTCGTCCACATTTTTGAACAGTGGCTCCACTTATCCTGCATACAATAAGCAGAGATGATTGCGCCAATGGACGCCACACGCATACGTCCGATGCGGCCCACCTAGCAACATGCACCCCTGCCAGCCACTTACCAAGATAACTGATAGAAGTATTACGTAAGCAAAAGTGCCTTCCCAACATGGGACCCCTGACCTCACTCAAGTAGATTAATTCCAGGGCCACTAGCCTCAGCACCCTGACTTTGTTCCGTGTACTACCCCCAGCATGCGAAAGACGTCCTACGCGCTCACTTTTATTGCCGTGATCCCTTTGCTGATTTTTGTGAGCTTCTCCCTTTGTATTTGTGTACCAGCCCACTAACCAGAGGGCAAAAAAAAAAAGAACATACTCTCTGCTCGTCTCCCGGACTGGTTCGCCGTGCATAATGTTTGCACCTCTTAGCAGCCTGACTCGTTAACTTTCAAGGCTCGTTGCAACCCATACCGTGGATGACACTCGTGTCACAGTTCGTTATGGTCTAATGGAGCGCTGCGAGCGGATCACGTTTGAAGCACCCGACCCAAGCAACGTCACTCATTCCGACTACAGCGGCTACGAATGTAGACATTTCCCATTGCGAGAACAGGACAAGTGCGAGACAGAGAACAAGATATTTTGTGCGGCTTGGGTCTCCGCCCAGTACTTTACCGAGCTAGGAATCGGATTCGCGGCTACGGCTCTCGTGACGTTGTTATTTGGCGTGAGCACGCACTCTAGAAGACGCAGAGTGTGGAGAGCTGTTGCAGGATTGGTTGTGCTGCATGGTGGGGATCTGCCTCGTTGCCTTGACAATAACTCTCTAATGAAAGTGTTCCAGCTGTTTTCCAACTGACGACGTTTATACTCGTTGCCGAACTGTACCGCATGAATAGATTCCCTGGTTTCGATCATGCTAAACCCGGTGAGCAGCCTTCGTATGGCGACCGCTTGTCAGGGATTGAATCCGTACAGGGTCGGGTTTTGTCCTTAATGCAGTGTCCTGGCTGGTGGGGTTCGGTGTCGCATATGGCGTGATATATACGGGCGTGGCCGCCGACCGTGGTTACAGGTGGGCTGCCGGCAATAGGTATTACTACTCCATCCACGGTTGAGTTACTCTGTTACTTCGTGCAAGTCCATCTCTTTCGTCAAATGCACGATTAACCTGTTGTCAATGCTACATACTACACTTCTGTGATCCACACATCGTGGATGGTTTTCCTTTTGTACTTGTAGCCTCGTAGGGCTTCTTTGCTTGACGTTTTATATACATACCACCGCAGTTAGGCAGGTGTCTTGGAATCTGCTCCGTATCCACAATACTTATTGATGTGATCGTGGACACTACTTGTGGTCATAAGCCCTCCTCCGGGTAGTCTACCTTGTCATACAGCCTCAGTGTTTCGTTCCAGTCCCTCTTCCTCCTGCGACGGACAGAAAAGTACTTGGCACCACTTTCCAGCCTGCCTCTTACTCTCCCCTTTTCACGACCACCTCTTTCCAGAAAGTGTTTCTCCGGATCTTCCGAGAGACCAAGCGTCCCTATAGCCAAGTCCTTTACCCTCGTGTACAAATCTTCGCGTACATCCCGCATTTCCCTTGTTGCAGCCTCACCAGCTCTCAACAAACGCGTGAGTGCAGTGAACGCCCTAAACGCTGCAATGGCATCTTCCAACCATCTCAGCGTCATCCACATCAGTAAGGGAACTACGAGTGCGGTAAAAGACGCGACGGGCAGCGTGAGCAATATAGAGGTAAGCCAGACAAATCCGCCTGAGAATAGTCCGTACACGAGTTTGTATTGAGCAATCTCGTCCCAGGTGTCCCAGATTGGCCCGCTCTTTTTGAAATTGTGCACTGCATAGAACGTGGTGAGGAAAACGGGTGTCCACAATATGAGGCCCGGGATAGATATAATAAAGAGAACAAGTGACCACGAAAGACGAATGCACATCCGTAGAAGGATGGTGCGTCTTGTCAGCGGGCGACGGATACGATCGTCTTTGATGCCCAAGCGAACTAGCCGGTCTTGGTAGTTCTTAACACCTGGTGAGCGATAGCACAGGACGGATACAAACGCTACCCACCTTCAGGTCACGCCGCAAAGATTGGATTTCTATATCCTTCTCTCCACATGTACCGGTTCCAGTCATTGTATCTTGTTCATGGGAGTGTTCTGGTGCCTTCAAAGCTTCAGCAAACGTGCGCGTCAAGCGGACGTGGTCCCCTAGGCTCATACGCGTCCCTAACGGAGCGTACATCCTTGAGGCAAGTTTCGCAGAACGGACTAAATCCCATGAGGGTGCATCAATTGTGCCGGAGCTTATCAGCTCTTGCATGCGCGAAGTGACTTCTCGGATGCGATTGAAATCGACAGGTGCAACGAGCTCCGGATTGGCCTGCACTGAAATGTGAGCCCAAAAGTACATTCCTTACACGTCTAATTCACCTTGGGAGTGAACTTCATAGGGCGATGAAAAGTAACCAGAACGTCTGAACGGAAATGTTGGCGGTGCCTTGCATTGATTAACCTCACAGGTGCGCGACAATGAAACTGCAACGGACTTACATGTAGGTTATGGAACAAGTGAGGATCGATATGGAGAAGTCGGCTTTGTCTCGGCTGCGAGTTAGAACATCGGAAACAATACGCGCGACTTCGGACGTGAGTCAAAATCCTGAACGTACACGCACAACTTGACACACCTCCAGTTTTCAACGGAGCAATGGTAGGGTGGTAACGACTCATACCCTCTGGGAACAGACAGATGGCGTCCCCGAGCTCTAAAGCCTCCATGGATGACTACCTTGAGCTGACAGTAGAGGAACCAGTGGAGGATCACCGACTTTCATGAGCTCCCCCATCACCTCAGTATTGTCTACGTCTTCATCGCTGAAATCCTTGCGCCTCTTGATGGGCACGGTACCTGCAGATTCAATGAGCCAGCTTGTGAACGTCCTGCGTCCGAACTGCGTCGATTTTGCGGTGAGGCGCAGCATGTTCCGAGTCTGTGCATACCATTGTAACAAAGCCGAGGATTTAGTCTAGTGAACCTACCCTAGAGGGGATAGCGGTAACCAGAACCCTTTGACAAGGCTTCGCTTAGGATAGAAGATCCCCAAGTTGGAACTGGTTTGCACTTACAATGCATCCGTCAACGAGTTGCTGTGGTTTGCACAGACGATACTAGAGTGCGAAACTTCGTTTTGCGAGCCAGACACCGCGTACGAAACAACGCCTCACCATGGCTCTCCGGACTTTGGAATGAGCTCGGCATTCTCGACCACTATGGTCCCGTAGAAAATTTTGAGTACGAATTTGAACAGAAGTCTGCAAAATTGTATGTCTCGAGTCAAGGTAGGACCGGTTACGGACGGAAGCTGCTACACGGACCGTATGAGTATGTATGACCACGGAGTGGACGTGCCTTGGGGCATGTGCACTAAGCACTCAGCTGTCGTCGTCGTCGTTATTAGTAGCGAAGTATCGACTGTTCAAGCCCATTAGTGACACACAATAGTTATTATATACTGGTAAATTTCCGACTCGGCTTATTACGAACGTGGTCGGCCCCCTGACGAAACATCTCGACATACCCAAACGGGGAAATTAAGGTATTATGTCAGCACAATTTTGCCTGGCTGTTTCCTTGCTGCACCTGGCAGGAGGAAGAGTATCACAGAATCGTGGTGGTGATGGAGGACGCTTTGGCCAAAATACGGCCTCATACCAGATCTCCTATTGCACATCAAAAGACGCCTGCGGACCTGCTGCAGGCTTTGGAATCAACGTTCAGGGACAAGGGTGCCGATCGGACACCCACCGCATATTTCGCTGCGCTGATAACGACCCTCGATGAAACCATACGAAAGAAGGAGACTTCGCTTGGGGACGGCGACATGCTACCCGCAGAGCTCTACTTGCTCGGCCTTATATCTCCTTTCGTTACCCCTGCAGTCATGCAGACTCATCTTAACACACTCTTGTCACTGACTGCCCCACTATTTCCCTCTCTCAATGCACATGCACCATCCCTGAGGTCGCAGATGTCACTATACAATGCAATTTTTTGCTTCCTTGATCGCTCCCAGCTGGATGTTCCCAGTGTTCGACAATCATTCGCAACCGTACTGCAGCTATGCCTTGATTCTCGACCGAAGGTACGAAAGAGGGCCATAGACCTCATCAGTGATGTACTATCAAATCCACCCAGTCCACTCTCGCGTCACCCGTATGCCCAGCGTGTCGCCGAATGGCTGCATACTTCACTTCAGCAAGCTAGCACCGGCGTCCTTTCGAAATCAAAACTTGATGGTAGAAGTTCCGACTCTGCAGATGTAGCCATACATCTGCTTGCCCTTTTACGACCCGTGCTACCTAACCTCCCACCAGAAGTGAGCACCACTCCAATCACTCAAATTACATCTGACCTTTGCACTTAGGCTATTCCCCCAATCATATCCGTACTCCTCGCCCTTCCTAGGCTAGGAAACCCGTACCTATCACAGTCTTCATATGCTATTCTTTCGGATCTTTTCTCTGCTTCTCTCAATTCTGGTACACAAGGCGGTACCCAACAAATACCTGCAGTACTCGCCGCAATCCTCGCATCTCGCCCTCCAAAGTCAGATGTAACCGTGGCACCATCGTGGATTCGTGCGCTCGGGCGGACCATGCTGACGTATTGCTCCGCTGATGCGGAAGGATGTGCCGCTGAGTTCCTCAACGCGTGGAAGGCGATCTGGGCATTTATCGAATCCTCTCAAACGCAGACTCGGAAAGCTGCCGCAGAGTCCCTCGCATTCCTTGCGCAATGTATTACTCTTCCGATGGCACAGGCTGCTGTCAACAAACCTGATGATGGGAAATCAGACCTTCGCATCGTTATTGCGCAGACATCACAAGCACTGGATTCCTTGGCGCACGCGCAAGCTATTCCGGAATTGCTCAGCGTTATTTCGTCTCTTATAATAAATTTAGCCTTGAGGATTCAGCCTCGGAAACCCACTACGGCTGCCGAGATCCTCCTCATGCCACTTGTAGAGAAGGTCGCCGACTTGAGGGTACAGAAAAATTTCGAGCACAAGGAAGCTGCAGATACCGTTATTTCAACCGCAATGAGAGTAGTTGGCCCTGCTGTGCTTCTGAAATCTCTTCCACTGAACCTTGAGCCAGAGGATCGGTAAGTATGCTCTCTGGCTTGATGAGTAAAATGAACCTGATCAGCACCATAGTCAAGCTGGTCGCGAACCGCGTGCCTTCCTCCTTCCAATGGTCTCCCAGCCCCATCCATCGCCTTTGAGTCACTTTTTGTCCTACTTTGTACCCCTGAGTGAAAGGATGTTCAACCTTGAGAAAAAGGCTGAGGCAGGGGGCAGGCAGGCTGAGGCGAAGGTATGGAGTGTCCTTGTCTCACAGGTGTGGGCCGGTTTCGCTGGATACTGCCACGCATCCCCTGACGTAAAAAGTGTAATTATCTTTCACTTCGCATTCATGATGAAGTTTTAATCTGCATGCTCAGGCACTTACACCAGGGTTCTCGCAAATTTTGTCTCAGATCTTATACAATCAACCGGAGCTTCGAGTGCTGGTCCTCAGAGGACTCAAGGTGTTGGTGGAATCCAATCTCGCCGTCGTGTCCAAAGACCCCTCTGACGTGAACGAACCTTCTAAGCACTTGACGCTCACAGGATGCATCACCCACGAAGAGGCCGCCGAGAACATCGCATTCTTGAAGTCTCAAGTTGAAAGCTGGTTCGCAGTATTGTTCAACGTATTCAGCAGTGTAGCCAGCGACACTCGTGGAGTTGTAGGAGATGTCATTAGCGTCTGGGCACATATTGCAGACCCTCGGGAAATCTCGAAAGCATACCTTAAAGTGGCCGAGTTGTTTAAACAAAACCTACAAAGGTTTGTCAGCGCCCCCGATGTCCGGCAAAACGCAGCTACGACAATCATGATGCAAGACCTCCTCATACTCCTTCTACCCTTCCTTGATACATCTGATATCAACTCGCTTTTCTGCTTCTGCTTGACGGAAGATGTGCTGGCCTGCAGGGACAATGGTGTGCAGAAGCGTGGCTACAAACTCCTGGGAAAGTCGGTTGCCAGCGGAAAGCTACAAGTTGATGTGCTGGGTACTCTTCGGCAACTCGACTCGTTCATGACTGGGTTGTCTCCTGCTGCGAAAAGGGACCGAATCGTGCTATTATCGCTTCTCGTACCTGGGATTCCGACTTCTTCTATGCACGTTATTGCCTCTGTTATTCCAGAGGCTGTACTGGGCACGAAAGAACCCTCCGAAAAGGCCCGTTCGGCCGCGTTCGACCTGGTGGTCGCCATGGGCAAGAAGATGTCTGAAGGGGGTGTGGTGAAGAGGCAGATGCTTGATGAAATGGATGAAGGGGCCACTGAAGGTAGGTAGTCTACACTTGCAGATCAAGGGAATTCTTTAACGCTTTCGGCAGTTCAAGCATCCATCAATGAATACATTACCATGGTCGCTGCTGGCCTGGCGGGGGCAAGTCCACACATGATTAGCGCTAGCATAACGGCAATTTCTCGACTTGTCTACGAGTTCAAAGGTAACGTGGCCATGATCAAGTGTGTTGAACACACTACCACGGTTGTTCAATAGATATTATCGACTCGAACGTCCAGTCTAACATCTTTACCACCTTATTGGTCTTTTTGTCGTCGGCCAATCGCGAGATTGTCAAGTCCACCCTTGGATATATAAAACTTGCCATTCATACACTCTCTTCTGATATTCTAAGGCCTCATCTCACCGAATTGGTGCCGGCACTCCTGGCATGGTCACATGACCACAAAAATCACTTCAAAACAAAAGTCCGTCATATTTTCGAGCGCATGATCAGGAGGTTCGGTTGGGAAGATGTCTACTCGGCCGCAGGAAAAGAAGAAGCCGCCAAGGTACTCGTCAATATCAAGAAAAGGAAGGAGAGGGCAAAGCGCAAGAAAACTCGTGCACAAGATGATGACGATAATGAAGAAGTGAGTTGCTGTCAACTATTCCTTGGTATCGACTGAATCTCGGGTAGGCACCTTCGGGGAAGGTGACTACAGGAGATGCTTTCGAGGACGTGCTGTACGGCAGTGAGAGCGAATACGAAGACACCGATGACGAATCGCAAGTGGACCGTCCTACTGTGGCGAAGACAAAGAGCGAGTATGGCGTTCGATTGCGGACTGATGACGACGAGCCGATGGATCTACTGGAAGGTGTCGCGTCTCGAGTGGCAAGTGAGTTTTTGGTTTTGGATTGGGTGGTTTGAGTTTTGGACTTTTCGGTCAGATGCGCCAGGGAACCGGAGACGGAAGCCTGGAACGGATGCTAACCATTTCAGTGTCGATTCCGAATCTGGGAAAATTGTCATACCGGCTGAGGAGTCAGATTCAGATATTGAAGTTAGTGCTCGCAAAGCTGCAGAACACGCAGCAGGAGGTGCATATAAAGAGAGTATCACCTCTGCTGACGGGTTCACTCGAGATGCCAAAGGGCGTGTCAGGTTCAACAAGGATACCAGGAAACGACGGCGCGAAAATGGTGACGGAGATGGTGACGTGGAGATGGCGGACGATACGGTAGAAAACTCGAAGAAAAACAAGCGACGGTCAGAGATCAAACTTGGGCACGAGTTCAAAGCGAAGGTGCGTGTCTACTAGATTGTTTCGATCTCTCCACTCATTGCCATCCAGAAAGCTGGTGGCGACGTGAAGAAAGGGAAGTTGGAGCCTTACGCCTACCTCCCGCTGCGACAAGCCGCAAAAAAGAAGGGTCGAGACCGCATTGGAATCGCAGGGAAACGATAACATATATGTAGCTAACGTTCCTAGTTTTCGAAATTACATGACATCCTTTTAGCCATACAATGTACTATCGTGGGGGGTCCCAAACAGGCCATGACCCCATGTTGTAGGCTGCTTCCAGCCGCTGACGGTGCAATTGAGCACCTTTGCAGTGACATTTGCTAAGATTTGTGCATCATATCTGTTATCTCCCTCCATGACATATTGTAGAAAACAAACGGTTGGTATCTGCCACGAGGTAGGGATAGACGAGACTATTCGGCGCGTGAGGCCGCCACCCGGGATGAAAGGGATGCTGCGCGGATCGTCGCTTTGGGAGAAGTAGGCAGGTATAGGCAAATCTGCCAAGGATGATAGGGGCACCGACGTCACAGCTGGCGACGATGCGGGACGTATATACGTGGTTGGTGTTCTGTTCGCTGGTCGACCACATGCTAATGCGCTGAAAGGGTCGGGCACTTACAGCATCTGAGTATCCGTTCTATTGGACATATCTACGCCTGCCAGGAAGATCACCGCTGATACGCATGACGTACGGATGAATTCCAGTAGAGTATCGGTGAAATCTTGCTTGAAAAGCTGTCTTATGGGTGAACAGAAATCGGCGGTGATGATAGTCATCCACGCACTGCTAGTACCGGCGATCGCTGTTGAATCACTGCGACGCTACTACTGTTGCTGCCGAACACTGCGAGGATAAGGTCAGGTACAATGTGAGTGCACGCATAGACGTACGTTCGAGAGGCATCGTTATGCCCGGAGCGCCATCCTCGCGTGCACCTGCGACAGGTACATGATATTTAGGATCGAGCACGCCAACGCGCTGTAACCCGAACGTTGTAGTGATTAGATCAACCGTTAACTGTGCGACATTGGCGACAGAAACGATGGGCTAATCTGGATTGTGAGGGTCGGCAATACCGCCAGATGACTCAAATGCCTACGACGATGAGGACCCTGCCTGTGAGCTTGTAGTCCGTGATAGGCCGATAGAAATCCATCTGGTGGAGGCTGGCGCGTATGTGGAGTCGTCATACATACACGCCGCCGCGTCCGGTGTAGAGAGCGGTGCTGTACTATTAGGCAACTGTAGAGCATGATTATTGTCTCTGGTAGTATATCGGTTAGTACACCCGCCTGTCACTTATGTAAGCGGTACGCGGGAGAGCGGGGTTCGACTCCCCGCCAGAGAGCTTCTTTTTTTGTTTTCGTCGTTTTTTTATTCACAAAGTCGACGCTCAAGCGCGTCTTCAAAATTTTCATTCTCTTTTCGTTCATCTTGCTTACGGTTCAAAATGTCAACGGTCTTTCGCCGCTTCATGTCTGCTGCGTCCAAGTCCAGGTAAGTTGAATGCTTTGTGACTTCCTTCCTGTTGCTCACTGCACGAACAAGCAGCAACGTCTTCGTATGTCTTCTGATATTATTGGAACGTATATGTCACCAACCACTCGCACTAGTTTGACGTTTCAGTGGGACCCAAACCTCTCGGACGCATAGTGTTCAAGCTCTATGATGATGCCGTGCCAAAGACCGCACGTAATTTCCGGGAGTTGGCTGCTGGCTTTAAACAAGAGGGCAAGCAGCCAATAGGTTACAAGGGAAGCACGTTCCATAGGATCATTCCTGAGGTCTGTCCATGGCTCGGGGTCCGATAGGTAGACTCATATAACAAATCTCTATCAGTTCATGATCCAAGGCGGTGATTTCACGCGACACAATGGTACAGGCGGATTATCGATATACGGCGAGCGATTCCCGGGTGCGTATCTATATTTTCCACCTCCCGTTTACTCTCTTCTTCTAGAGTGACTGACCTAGTGCTCCATGGCCCGCTTTTCTTCCTCGGGTTCATACATTTAGATGAGAATTTCATCCACAAACATGACAAGCCGGGACTCTTGTCCATGGCTAATGCCGGCCCAAATACTAATGGATCACAGGTAAGCACTGCTTTCTGCAGCAACATGCCTCAGGCATTCGGTACCAGCGTGCTGTTTTACTCACACTCACGACAGTTCTTTATTACAACTGTTGTCACGTCTTGGTTAAACGATAAGCACGTCGTCTTTGGAGAGGTAGTCGAGGGCATGGAAGTCGTCAAAGCAATCGAAGCACAGGGCACGAGGAGTGGGCAACCCCGAGCCAGGGTACAAATAACCGATTCGGGTGTCGTAGAGTAGAGGATATTGATTAATAGCTTTGGACGACATGATTATTCATGGATTTCATTGTCCTCTCATTGTGCCCCCCTTTTGGTGTGTATCCACATTATTTTTTTTCATGATGCCAGTGCAAACTGTACTGAATGGGCCCCAAATAAGATCTAAGAGGTTTGAAGGTGAGGTGAGGTGAGGTACCTGCAGTATAGCTGAAACAATGTGAACGGCACCTTTGAATCTTAACTTCTGTTCCTAATCAAAGGGCATGGACATAAACCCAGATGACCTGATTGTAATGCAAAAAGAAATGGCAAGATATGCCCTCACGAGTTGGCATCCCCCTAGATTCCCCTGTATTTCAGGCCAAAAGTGGTCACTTTGTATGGCGATATCTTGTCAATGACTGCACTTTTCGCATTGCAATCAGGTTATTTTGATCTATATCTCTGCCCCTTTGATTAGGAACGGAAATCAACAACTCAAAGGTGCAGTTCATATTGTTTCAACTCTACTGCAGGCACCCGCTTTCAAACCCTTTGGATCTCATCGGATTCGGGGGCCCGTTTAGCTACAGTTTGCAACTAGCACCATGAAAAAAATATTTTCTGTTGTTATCAAGGTGCCGTCTTATCTACGACATATGCCAAAGATATAAGTAGCTAGAGGGTGTGACTGCAAGCTGACGCGGTCTTCTGGGCTAGGGGATTACACTATTTCAGTTTCTCTACCATCTCCGGCACGGCCTCATAAAGGTCTGCGACGAGACCGACATCAGCCACCTGGAAGATGGGGGCATCCGGATCCTGTGCAAGAGGTGAGGATGCAACGGCATTGAGATTGAAATAGTTGAAGTTACCTTATTGACGGCAACGATGAGTTTAGAGTCCTTCATGCCAGCAAGATGCTGAATGGCCCCGGATATGCCGATGGCCATATACAATTCTGGAGCGACTATTTTGCCAGTTTGTCCAACTTGAAGGGAGTTATCAGCATAACCAGCATCTACAGCTGCCCGCGAGGCACCCACGGCTGCGCCCAAAGCATCAGCGAGTGGGAACAAGGTCGCTTTGAAAGTTTCAGCGTTCTTGAGAGCACGTCCCCCAGAAACAACGCGAGAAGCCACGCCCAAATCAGGTCTATCCGATTTAGTTAGGGAAGTGCTGACGTGTTCTGTGGGTGGGTTGGAGACGTGCACGGCGTCGATGCTTTCAGTTTCAGCTTCTGCATCGCCCACGGCCGCAGCAGAGAACGCAGTGGATCGAACCGTGAAGAACTTGATGGGGATGGAATCTGATGCCCGGACGGTTGAGATTGCGTTCCCAGCGTAGATTGGACGGGTGAATGTGGTGCTATTGGAGGAAGAGTCATGCTGTACGGACGTGATATCGGAGACAGCCGGTAGATCTAGCTTAGCAGCCACACGAGGTAGGATGGATTTGGCAGATGAGGAGTGGGCAGAAACAACGTGCGTGAAAGGTGACTGTGTTGATAACAACTTCACGAACAAGGGTGTGACGACTTCAGGCAAAAGCGTGGTGTACTGCGAAGATGCAGAGTGTAGCACGGTATCCAGACCTGTGACCCTGGAAAGGGGGTGTGAGATGGCGAGAAGGGGGCTATAGAAGATGTGGGGTACTTCTTGGCTTGCTCTAGAACGGTTGGCAATTCCTCAGGTGCGCCCACAATCAGACCTGAGACCCTACCGCCCAATTGAGAGGCAGCAGTGAGGGCTGAGAGGGAACCAGAGTCGAGTTGGCCCTTGTTATGCTCTAAGAAAACAAGAGCATGGGGTGATGCTGCCGTGGCGTAGCTCCTTGCAAACGACCTGGCTAGAACGGCCACACGCAGCATCTTCAACGATGGAATGATGACGAGAAGAAGGAAGTGACCCTCCCACGTGATTCGATCATCAAAGCTAATCACTCCCGTCCCCTTTTGAGGTATTTAAGGATACTTGGGAGTGGCAATGGATGGGTTCTTTGTACCAGCATGGCCCACCGCCAACCTTGTCGTTTCTTCAACTCTCCGGGCGGCTGTCGTCGAGGAGACGATTGTAACTTTTCCCATATCCGCAGGAACGGAGGCAGTCCGACTCCTGCTCCGGGTACTGCACCATCCACTCCTCGTTCTTCGGCGGCTACTCTTCGTTCACCTTCAGCTACTCCTCGTTCCCCTTCCACTTTTCCTTCCCCTCCAAGGGGTTACTGTCGCTTTTACTGGGAATTAGGCAGATGCAACAGAGAATTTGAATGTCACTATAGACATGTCCAGGCTCCGCAGGCATCCTCTCCTAATGCCCACTCTTCTGACGCTACGAATTCCTCCCCGCTAAGAGATCGCCTGGCGCCTTTCTTGACAGAACAAGGCTTGTCCCGGATGAACGGAGGCCGCGCGGAAGGATTTCTTTCCCAAAACACATCGAACTCCTTGTCTCCAGTTGAAGCTCACAACTTGCTTCAGAGGTTTCTCTTCGATAATTACAGATTTCAAGCAACCTTCCATGTATACACTTTTTTGACCCCCCTCAAGAGTGCAAACCCTTCCAACAACAAATGGGTAAGTAGTTAGCACTTCCGGTGACATACCAGTCTCACCGTACTGCGATAGACTCCAGAGGACGGTCAGGTAACATATCTACCCTTTTTTTTTAACCACTCACCTTGGTTATACTTCTTTTATCTTGTCTATAGCTTCTCTTGAATAGTATCTCTTCGGTCAGTACCGGCTCCTACACTCTAGCTCTTTGTTAATGGTGCTACAGCAAAATGGTCTTCTCCGTATCATTGATATTGTTCGTTGGCCTCAAGTATCCTCTGGCGCTGGTTCAAGTCGTGACGTATTGTCATTCCAAAGGGGCATAGTGCCTCTTCTCGAAGTATGCTTCTCCCTTATTTTTTCTCAAATACATTTCACCGTGATTTGGGACAGTATCTGTCTTCGGACTTTGTTGTCAAGAGCACCATGGTCTCTAGAGCTAAGTATGTTTTCCTTACGTCTTGGGTCCGTTCGGATCTCGTACTCATATGGGTGGTGCAGTGCGTTGTTCACCGCAGTGCTTCAAAACCTACCAAGTCTCGCCGACGCAATCGAAGGCAGTCTCTCAGGTATAATGACCTCTCGTTCGTTTATGGATTCTCTTGCAAGTGGGACGATCTGCAAAGACATCGGGTTAAGAACCTTACAATCGCTAGCTGGAGTACTCTATGAGTAAGTTGCTATGTCTTCATGTGTCCAATAAGCCGTAGCTCACTTGTCACGATTAGATGCCTTGTCCGTTTCAAGAATGCTGTTCTCACCTATCCTCGATTGGCACCTCTTGTTACGAACCTCCATACATGGTTCGGACAGTGGAGTGAAGGTGTCCGCGCATCACCACCTGCTTTTGATGATCCTTTCCAAGGCATGGAACCGCGTGTGATAGATCTTTTGATAAACTTGCTCAGGGAGAGGGTGGACAGTCTCAAGGCGATCGTAGATCGAGAGTTGGACAAACAGACAAACTCCTACAAGGTCAAGCCAACTGTTCGGCCCACTGTCCATGCCAACGAGGGTCTAGTTGCTGCATTGCGAGGTAGCTATGACCCTCCTGGAGAGTTGCGCCAAGAGGGTCCTCGACACGACAACGACCACATGGACATATATGACATACGTATAGCTCCTACACACGAGGAGCTCATGTGTCCAATTGAGCCATTTCTCCCGGCCACTCTATACGACGCCCCCCATCCTGCATCAGCGGACTCTATGGAACGTCTCTTGGATGTCCAGTTCCGTCTGTTGAGGGAGGAGCTTACGTACGTCTCATTGCAATGGTATCTCACTTACCATTGACTGGGTCCTCTTAGTGCTCCGTTGCGAAGGGCCGTACAACTCGTCTACGCCGATTTAAAGTTTCCAAACCGTTCGAGAACTCAGCTTCACACTGTTCTTCAGAAGAACGGCGGGAAATATGTCGGCCACATCGACAGCCGTAGTTCGATCATGTTCAACGTATATGCCGACGCCAATTTCTTGTCTGTGGTTCCGGATCACCGGGGGTTGTCTGTGAGCCTCACCGTACATGCACCCCCGGGTCGTGCAAGCTCCCGACAGCAGGGTGCGCGAGTAACATTTTGGCAAGGAATGAGCGGGAAAAGACTTCCCCAAGGTGGTCTTATCGCTCTCGTATGGGAGGATACCCCGACCAAGACTGTCTCGGTTCATCTTGGTGTGGTGGCAAGCTCTATCAAGGAGCTTACTGATCATGTTCGCACTGACCCGGATCGTGTGAAGCTCCGTATTGTCTTTTTCGATTCCTCGGTGGAACTCAAAATATTGCAAAGTTTGGAAAGTCGACGATCTGCGTCTGGTGGTGTGAAGATGCTGGTGGAGTCGCCAGTAATGTTTGAAGCCATCCGTCCTTTCCTAGAAGCTCTCAAGGTGGAGCCAGAGACCATTCCTCTTTCTAAATATCTGGTTTTCAGGCCTCCAATGTTCCTCAGACGGTGTTTCATCGATCCGCCGGAATATGCACGTTTCCCGGATTTTGCCTTCCAACTTGCGTCATTATTCCCAGATGTGGCCCAGGTCGACGATCTGAAACTGAACGTCAACAGTGCAGACTCCATCGAGTATGCGCGGGCCGTTCTCCGTGACCAAAGTCGACTTGATCCAAGTCAGGTGGATGCCATTATTGATGCGCTTACTAGGCAATTGGCACTCATCCAGGGGTGAGTTTATCAACCATTCTTCCCTCGCGATTGTGACACCAACACGAATCGATGTCCAGGCCACCGGGTACGGGAAAGGTGAAGTCACCCCAGCTACGTGTGCCGCTACCCTCACGTTGTTCCTTCAGAGTTACACAGGAGTCGAACTCCTGCGAGTCCTTGTCGAAAATAAGATCAGACCCATACTCATGATTGCATTCACCAACCATGCACTTGACCACATGCTTACCTCTGTCCTGGATGCAGGAATTACTAGTGATATTGTTCGCCTCGGCTCTCGCTCGTCTGACGAGAGGATATCCCAGTATTCTATCGAAATTCGAGAGAGGACCGCTGGCCAATCCCGCCTCGACAGGGGTGTATCGCAAAGTCACCGCGAATTAAAGGGCATACAGGAGCAGATCAAGGGACTGATGGACAACATACTTAAAGCTGATTTGGAGTCAGATTCCTCCGAGGTCACACAGTACATCAGGTTATATTACCCCGAGCACCATGCGTCCCTCTGCTCGCCACCGCCATGGATCAACTTTGCGAAAGAACTTTGTGATGATGATTCTGGTGGGCCGTGGCAAATCCAAGGTCGCGGTGGTCGCGCAGTAATTCAAGACACGTCCCCGTATGCCTATTGGCGGAAGGCCGGTGACATCCAGTTCCTGCAACTGGTCGATAGCTCTCATCGGCCCCCCGAGAGCCCTGTTGTGGCCGGCCCTTCGAGGGCGAACTACTTCCAGACGCTGAATTCGGTCGATGCCGATGCCTTGAATAGCAACAGTTCGGACGACGTCGCCTACCATACCGACACTGATGATGACGATGATGACAGCTCTATTTCCGTCGAAAGCCTTGAGATAGAGAAATGCTGGATGTTGATGTCGGATGAAGAAGGCGAGGATGAGGACAAAGATGAGGGCAAGGACGAGGACGAGGACGAGATTGAGCTTCCGCCGCCTGAATCACCGGACATGTCGCCGTCATCAAGTCCATCCTTAGAAACATACATACGGGACCCGCTGGGTTATTTTAATGCCCTGGGCGAAGGGGATATTCCATGTATTCCGCATAGCGACCGTGGCCTTGCGGACCTATTGGGACACTGGGATGTCTGGGAGATGAGTGTTGTAGAACGCGAACGCTTGCACAAGTTCTGGGTCGCGGAAACCCGAGCGCAGAGGCACCAGAATCAACTCGGCGAGTTTGAGCGGCTACGTGATATGCATTCCAACAAGTTACGCGAGTACAACGAAGCAAAGGATGCTGTACGGTGCCTCCTACTCGCTGTTACCTCGCTGACTTTGTTTCAGGTACGGTGCAAATTACTAGGAAATGTGGATATCATCGGCTGCACTACTACGGGTGTGTCTGTTGGATGCCGATTGATTTGCTCGGTGCTTCAACTAATTGTCCCCAAGGCGCTGCCAAGCTTGCCGCTCTTTTGAAAGTGCGCTTTTGCAAATCTCGCCGTGACCTAATCTGAATGATGAACATTGTACTAGGCGCTGAGTCCGCGTGTTCTACTTGTTGAGGAAGCTGGTCAAGTTCTGGAAGCACACGTCCTTGGCAGCCTGGTACCATCAGTAGAGCATCTGATTCTGATTGGCGACCCGCTTCAGCTCCGACCTACATTGAACAATTTCTGTGTGTTTGCACCTGCCGTATCCCTTGAAGTTGTCTTGACTTTTTTCTCCAGCCCTTTCTGTAGATAGCGGGCGTGGAAGGGAACTCTTCAAATTTGACATGTCGCTGATGGAACGCCTGTCCACCTCTGGTCTACCAATGTCTCGGTTGGATGTGCAACGTCGTATGAGACCATCCATCTCTAGTTTGATCAGGTTTGTCTGAGTTTTTGTTCCATCTTTTAACCCCTAACTTGTGTTGCAATGTTTAGGAACACATTGTATCCTGGGCTACAGGATCACGACCTTGTGCTCAAATACCCCGATGTCCGTGGAATGGCAAAGAATTTGTACTTCGTCACCCACAGCCATAGAGAGAACGGGGGAGGAGATGACACTGCCAGCAAATATAACGTATATGAGGTAAGGCTACAATCAACTGCAGTGCTCGGAGATTGACATAGACAACACGAGGTGGAAATGATCCGCGATTTGGTTCTCTATTTGCTCAGGTCAGGTCCTGCTTCAGCTTGACACTCCTTTCGTGCTTAACATTTTCCACCCCCAGACAAGGTTGCTACTCCGGTGATGGCGATATCGTGGTCCTGTGTGCATACCTGGGACAACTGGCCCGACTTCGAGACGCATTGGCGGGAGATGTCGTCACCGTGATTGATGAACGTGATCAGGCAGAGCTTGCTGACCGAGAGGCTGAGATTGACTCTGATGACGAAGCCACCACCATCGACCACCTCCAAGTAACAAAGCGGGTAAGACTGGTGGATGAATGTCTCTTACGCGATTGCTGACTTTTTTACAGGTCAAGCTGCGTACTGTCGATAATTACCAGGGCGAAGAAGGAAAGGTAACGTGCCCCCTACTTTCTAGTGGGCAGTATTTTTGACCTCGAGGAAGATCATTATCCTCTCGCTCGTCAGAAACTCTGGCAGTCTTGAAGATGAAAATGAACTAGGGTGGAACTACAGTACGCGGCCGAACATAGGGTTTTTGAAGGTGACCTTCTGTGCTTCTAAAACCGCCTAGTCTTACATTATGTTGCACACAGTCTGATAATAGAACCAATGGTGAGTGAATATAGGGATGAGATTCGGACAACCATTGAGGCCCGTCTATGCAGTGGCTCTATCCAGAGCTCGTGAGGGGCTTTATATCTTTGGAAATGCCGACAATCTCTCTAGCCGGAGCGAGATGTGGAAATCCATTATCGAGGAGCTGCAAGCGAACGATTCCCTAGGACGCACGTTACCCATTGCTTGTTTCCGTCATCCAACCAAAGTGCATCATGTCTCGCAGCCCGGACAGCTACCTCAGATTGCGCCAGATGGTGGGTGTTGTATCCGTATTTTTGCGGTTTGTATTTCACGATTTCGCAGGTGGATGTCTAGAGCCGTGCGATACACATTTGAAATGTGGCCACCTCTGTCCATTCAAGGTTAGTGCTTCAAGCTTTTAGTTAGATACAGGTTACTGCATACTACTTGTTTCAGTGCCACCCCGATGATTCAAACCATGTGTCCGTTATCTGCGACAGGCCATGTCGACGCCTTTGCCACCGGGACCACCCATGCCGCAAGGTTTGCAGTGCTCCTTGTGGAGATTGCAATTTTCCCGTTCCCAACGTACGCCTTCCGTGTGGGCATATCAAGGCATCCGTTCCTTGGTGTGTGGCCTCCGCTTTGTGAAATTAATTTCCATGACGAGTCGCATTGCATTCCAGCCATCAGCTTGACACCCTGGACAGTGTATATTGCAACTATGTATTGGAGAAGCAACTGCCCCATTGCGAGCACAGCGTACCTATGGAGTGCTCCCAGGATGCTGAAGACCATCGGTGCGAAGCACGATGCGGTGAATTAATGTCGTGCTGCAGCAAGATGTGCAATGCACCTTGTTATGAGTGCCAACGTAGAAATGACCCGCAGTTCGAGGAGGCAGGACATATTAGAAGGCAAAACCATCGTATCCACCCTTGTCAGAAAAGCCTCTACTGCGAGCACATTTGTCAAGAGGCATGCTCCGGAAACCATGAGCATACGAGACGATGCATGGATCCGTGTCGGCAGGCATGCGCACACGCGAGGTGTAAACTCCCTTGCTCAGATCCGTGCGCTCCGTGCAAAGAGCAGTGTACTTGGTAAGGCCCTGTATATTATGGTTTCCAAACGAATTTTTCACTCCCAGACTTCAGGACCTGTCCACATCGTAATTGTCCCGTCCCATGTGGCTCGGTGAGTGCGAGAGGTACAGGAATGTTTGACACGACTCAATCATAAATTGTGACATAGGTTTGTGCCCGGTTACCCTGTGACCTGCGATGCAAGAAGCTCCTGGCATGTGGGCACCAGTGCCCTTCCGGTGAGTACTCCCCAGTTGGTTCTGGGGATACAAACTTGAATACCACGTTTCAGTCTGCGGAGAACCATGTAATGCCCAAGTCTGTCAAATTTGCGCCCCGGAACATAAGCTGGACCAAGTCGTGGATCTGATTCTGCAACGCCCGTTATCCGACATTGACCCCGATATGGGAACTTTGGACGAGCTGTTGATAACAATCCCCTCCTGCGGACATACTTTCACGGTGGAAACGCTAGACGGACACTGTGGGATGACGCAATTCTACAGTCAAAACCGCAATGAACAGTGGAATGGACTCAAGGTTCCCGATGGGTTTACACGACCCCCAACATGCCCCACTTGCCGCTCCGTCATCAGGACACCTCGCTACGGTCGAGTGTACAAGCGCGCCGATCTCGACATTTTGGAGCGCAACGTTGCAGCTCAGATGTCTCGACGCCTTGGGGAGACTCAGAACTTGGTCGAGGCATTTACGTTAGCCGAAAAGAAGGCATTTTTAGCGAAAGAATCGTCGTCGTTTGTTCTCCACGCTAAGGACGCGTCGACCGGCGCAAAACCGTCGAAGGCTCAGAAGCGCGCCAGAGACGCTTCACTCAAATCAAGCAAGAACGTTCCAGTAGCCCAAACTGACATTACCCCCGCCAATGACAAGCTCCACAGCATCGGTTCCAACGTCTTGGTCGTCTGGCGCAAGGCTATGCATGAGCTTCTGTACGCGTACAAGGAAGCGCAAGGCATCGCAGAAGCACGTTCAGCCCATGCAGAAGCCTGGGAGGCTGCAGTCTCGCAACTCTACCAACGTGAGCTGGAGTTGATCAAAGGCAAGACCGCGATTTCTGGCCAACCTGATGTGCATGCTATGAGACTTGCGAAGTTGCAGGTCGGACAGCCGCGCCCCCTTGCGGACAGACGCTTCCACGTAGAGGCATTCTGGTTGACGATCAACATCCGCTTGACGATGACTGATCTCATCCAAGCATGGCTACAGGAGACTTTCAAGCACAACCCCGGTCTTGCCAAGAAGAGTCAATCGAAATCTTGGGCGGTCTATATTGACTTTCTCTTCGACAGTTGTACCCGCGACGCTCAAATTGCGTTCAACGTCGCTAAAGACTCCGGGGCTCGCCGACAAGTAACAAGAACAGCTCTGCACCAGATGCGCGTTGAGCTGGAGCAGTTCCGCTTTCACCTATTCATGTGGAAATCTACCGGTCGATTCCGGGAATCAATCGTTAGGGAAGAACTTGCAGACAGTGCTCGCCAACATCAAGTGAGCTCCGAAGAATTCATGTGGTCAACACTGGAAGGACATCGCCAGAAGATGAGCAGCCAGGACGAAGACAACTGGTTGGAAGAGAACTTTACAAGCATCGCGCGAGACATCGTCGAGGAATGGCAGAAAATTGAAAGATCCATCCGTTTTGATACATTTTATGAGCCCGTGTCGCTCGAGGAACGCATGGAGATCATCAAAGCATTCAATTTTGGTGAAGCTATCCTGTTGTCTTCCTCCCCCTCGCACTGACCATGGGTGCTACAGCTGTCGCTGGACACTTCTACAGATGTCCCAACGGACACACATTTGTTATTGGTGATGTAGGTCACAATGGTGTCTTCTGCAGGTTACAGCTCACCAGAATCCCCAGTGCGGTGGTGCTATGCAAACTTCAAGATGTCCAGAATGTGGGGAAGCCATCGGAGGTAGTAGTCACAGTTTGTTGCCGTCCAACAGTCGAGCAACAGAATACGAGGAGCTGGTTCGGCAATCGGGCGCACAGCCGGCTTTCTGGCAAAATCCGTGGTGAAGTGTAACTTGGATTTATGTCCCTGTAATCGCTGGAGATTATTCTCTTAACGCATCTTTCATGCATGTACACTAATGTAGTCGCTCTGGCGAGATATTTACTTCTGTTTACGCTTGAGCCTAGCGTACTTACAACACAATATAGGAACTTGCATATGTAACTCAACGTTCTCGCCCGAGATAAGTAGCAGCAGAAGGAAGCCACTCATTCCTTTCTTTCCTCCGGAAGTATGGGAACACATGTTCGAATTCGCGACCCACGTTCCCTACACGCTTGTCTCAGAAGTCTATGAAAAGTCGCACTCCATCGGAAGATTACAATGAACAATGTCGCCCACTACTTCAAGTTGCGCTCGTTACAAAATGAAACCAAGTTGTCGTCTGCAGAGAGTAGCAACACATGGCGACGTGCTACCTTTATCGTGCCGTGCACATTCGTGCTGGTCTAACTCTCCGCCACACTCTACAGAAGTACGCAAGTGGAACATGGTATTTTCATTGGATCCCGGTCTCCCAGTCAGTGGACACAAAGGTTGGACGTTACCATGGATGACGGTGTCTACAACGACTCCAAATTCGAGGGAGACCTAGATGGTGTGGTGTCGAATGTTTGAAAGGCGTCACCAAATATCTGCCCAAACTTGAAATCGTTTCATTCGCAACCTAAGGTTCCTTAGCACCCGAACTAGTCAGTACGTCAATCAGTTTGCGCATCCTCGATTGGTCGGATCTCGACTTCTCCCCTCAATTGCATCAACTAGAGGGTCTTTTGAGGGATCTTCCCAATCCACGCATCCTGCGTTATGGGCACAGTATCATTCCTCGCAGTAGTCATTTCTCGCTCACCACACTTACCGTGCGTTCGCTGGTCCCAAGAGGCGATCACCTTGGTGAGAGAGAATTGCCCGAGACATGCACGAGTCTCCGGGAGCTCGTTGAAGACGGGTTACATTATCACAAACTATTGCAAGATTTCATTATTCGCCGTGGGGCATACCTTACGACGGTAAAGTCCCACTGTATTGCCGAAGATCTGGCTCTATTACATAAATCTTGTTCTGATCTCGGCCACTTGATCCTCTCCCTTGACCACTTGGCCTCATACGATCCCCGCCTCCCAGTGAAGCGGACTTTTCCCTGTGTTTCACTCCTTGAAATCGCTTACTGGGAATTCTTACGATTCCTTGCATACCCGAAGAACCATCTGTCCATGCTTGCCGTTTTCCAACTCATGAACTCGTACACGGTGGGGCAGTTTCTTGATGACACACATTCCCCTGGGGTCTCCACCCAGATTATTGCGGAGAAGCTGAGTGAAAATTGTTTTCGTGTAGAAGATGATCGGGGGAATCTGCTGTCTAATGGGTGCCGCGTCAGCAGTCCCGCGCTTCTACACCATTTGTACACACAGGACTTATCTGCAAGTGACCATCGAGCCTGTTGGAGCCGTGAAAATAATGGGGAAGTGACTGACATCGGGCAGACTGCTGTTTAATTACCGTAATGAGACGCACGTGATTACCTATGGCTACATAGCTTAGTGCCCACGGGCCCTGTACAGCAGACAGATCACATCCACTTCTACGATAGCCCTCACACCATGTCGCTGCAAAGCCTCGTGTCTGGATCAGAGTGTGCCGTGGCATCGAATCCACTTTCACAAGTCCTTAAGCACGCCGAAGGTGACAGAACCTTACAGCAGGTCGGTATACCCGTAACACTCGACCACATAGAAGCTAATAGCCTTGCGATAGGACCGAGTTGCTGGATCATCATCCTCGCGAGTAAGAAGGCCGCTTCCGTCTTAGTGATGGACAACTCTAATTTCCACCGGTAGCTCCAGCATTTGCCAGGAACTGCCTCCGTTCAAGCCTCCGAACATGACGTATCCATGGCGCGCCAGTTCTTTGGAGGTCAGCAGGGCTCGACGTCACTTCCCATGTTGCCCCCTCCTAGCTATCATCCCGATATTTCCCGTTCGTATGGCCAGGGAGCACTTCTCGACATCCATGGAGCATGGGACAGAAATGCATCACAGATGGTACATCGCCAAGGAAGCATGCGAGCTTCCTGGGCTGCTGAGTTTGGCAGCATACAGGAACCTTCATCATCTGGTGATTCAGTCCAACGGCCTATGCCACAGAGTCAAGATAGTAAGAGTTATAAACATCGCTGCTGCGTGACATCATTAAAGCTGCTCAGTGACACCCAGGACCTCGTCTTACAATCATGCCATACCAATGGATGTGCAAAGTTTCCCTACCTCTTCCTTTTCCCACAGCTTTGTCCGAGTCTCCCAGCCAGTCGATAGCGGTAAAGGGAAAGCGCGCGAAGCGGATTTTGAAGCAGCCTTCGCGCAGGCTGTGGCGTCACTCCACATAGACTCGGAGAACTCTTCGAAGATTGTAGAAGTAAATGATAACGCCATCAGCCAGGAAGACAGTGACTTGAAACCGAATTTTGATGTCTCAGAGTTGGTTTATCTAACGATAAATAGCCAACTATAGTTCTGACCTTAGTCTTGTTACAGGGTTTGGGATCAAATCCAAGCTAACACCCCGCTCCAGCAGGAAGACATAGCGAAGTGGGAAAGCGAGTTTAATCAACTCATGACTGCGCAACGAGATGAATTAGAACACGATTATGGCAGTGCCATGCAAGATGCATGGGAAAATGGCCCTCAGGAGTACACTATTCCTGAGTTTAAACTGGACAAAGACGGTTACCCGATTGTAGGAAGTTACGTGTTTGGTAAGTAGCAGGTCTTCCAGACAAATAGCTATTGAACAGCTTGTAGATGAGGAGAATAAATATTTAAATCAACCATCCGAAGTATCACTTTTGAACGAGGCCAAGGCTCTCCTTCAACAGAATGGGTCGTTATCAGAAGTTGCACTTCTTTTGGAAGCAGCGATAAAGAAAGGCGACCGAGGAGAGGGGGGATATGAAGCGTGGATTCTTCTTGGAGAAACAAGAAGTATGGATGAAAGAGAAGTACAAGCAATGCGTGCATTACAAACAGGTGTGCAAGCAGCTGAAGCAAGCGGTGCCAATGGCACGGGAATGTTGGTAAGTGAGATCACTCAAGTTGACGTTCCTGGTGATGTTAATGCTTTACTCAGTCCCTCGCCATTTCATATACCAATGAAGGTTATGACAGGGCATGCTATCTCATGCTTTCAAGTTGGTTACATGCCCGTTTCCCCGATTTCCCTGTATCCGAGGAGCTCTCCAAGGCACTAATCTCCCATTCCACGCGGGACGCTCACGAACGCCTCACAGACGCCTTCCTTGCATTAGCGCGACAACAATATGAGCAAGGTGTTGTCGATGCCGATGTGCAGATTGCACTGGGCGTCCTTTTCTATAACACTACAGAGTACGACCGTGCTAAAGACTGCTTTGAAAGCGCCCTGTCCCTACGGCCTCAGGTATGCTCAGTGTTGCTGTTTGTGAATGGAGTATTTTTAAAGGGTTAATAGGACTATGTGTTATGGAACCGGTTGGGTTCCTGTCTTTCGAACGGGAATAAACCCGAAGAAGCCCTCGGAGCCTACAGAGAAGCTTTAAGCCTTCGCCCGACATACACCCGGGCAATTTACAACGTTGGAGTTGCCTGTGCGTTGCTAGCAGCGAAAATGTAAGACCTGGCTCACCCTTTGACAGGCTTGAACATCGGGGCACCCAAAGAAGCAGTGGAACATTTTCTGAGCGCTCTGGCTTTGCAGGATTATGCCGGAGTCAGTCGAACAAGTGAGCAGCTCTGGCACACTTTGCGGCGTGCGCTGGTACAGTTGGTGAGCAGATCCTTGCAAAACTTGCGAAAGTTTGATACCGACTTGCAGAAAGGATCGTAGTGACCTAACTGAACTGGCAAAGCCAGGGAATCTAACCGATTTAAGTGTATTCCGTGAGCACGGCTTCGACTTCTAGGATATAACGCACGCATTTTACCAAGCGAGAGTCAACCGTTTAAGCACAATTCCCGTAGACGACTACTGGATGTAGACCAATTGGTATGGATGCATACTTGTTCGACGACAAATTCGAGGGAAAGTGGAGGGAACTAAGGCAAGATTTGCACGACCATTATTCGAACTCGAACTCGCACCCCTGGTTGAGTACCATCAAGCTAGTTATCAACTGACGTCCTGACAGCAGGTCCGGTGGACATGCCTCCTTTGCGACCTTGTGATGAAGCATTTCCGCAATCTACTGTGGACAGTGATTGGGTTTGAATGAACACACAATAAGTTAGCGAGCAACCGCTGGCCAACGCCTGTGTGCTATAATATTATCGTCTCTCTTCTTTTCTTGGTCTTTTGCTGTAGCCTGAAGACCCCGTGATCATTCTTGCTCTGCCGAACACGCTGGGTTGGCTGCTTCGCTCTATACTTATATAGATAGATTCATGGGATCTGCGTATATAACGCCACATCATTATCACACGAGCCTCAAGCCAACAATCAACCGCAGCGATAACGATGTCCAGCGTTGAGATGTGCGTGCGGGCCTCCGAGATCAAGGTGCATGTTTGCTGACCGTCATGATTTTTTAGTCATTCTATCTCCAGACCCTCTGAAGGTCCTCTAAGTGGTCGACTGAACAAAATCTCTTGTCAGTTGACTCAAGACAAGGTAAGGATGATTTAGCATCCCATCATGAAACTAGTTTGGTTCATTTATCCGTGGGGAGGCACGAGGCGGAGCTCAGGCTATGCGTATGTCAAATAGTTTTCTTGGGGGATGTAGGTAGTGAGGTGTGCTGACCGGGAACAGTCTACGCGACTGGCTTGACTGAGGAAGACATGAATAAGCCTCAGGTGCGAAACACCGCATCACAGGGGCATTACAGTCCTCATCAAAAGTCCTTAGATTGGTATCTCTCCGATCTGGTGGGAGGGTAGGCATTCTTCGTACCTCTCCCTACTCACATTAACCTTCCACTCAAGGTAACCCGTGCAACTATCACCTCGTAGGTTGTAGTATCCATACGAGCTGGTCGTCAGCTTATCACTATCCTACTCAGCTTGATTTAGCCAGAAAGGTCAAGGAAGGATGTAAGGAAGAGGGTCTTGTCGGCTTGATTTTCAACACAGTTGGCGTTAGGTTAGGAGTCAAAAGTTGTTATACGTGATGTCAGCTGACGCCACCTCAGCGACGCGATAACCATGGGTACAGATGGTAAGTTAAATGCCATGATAACAAGTTCACGTTCTCTCACAGGGACTGGTCATAGGCATGCGCTACTCGTGAGTATCGAGCTTTAGACACCTTCACCTCTTGTCTGAATAAAGCCTTCTAGTTTACCTAGTCGTGACTTGATCGCTGATTCGATTGAGGCTGTACGTCTTCATCTTCTACCTGACTAGCTACAATTCATAGCATAGTAGGTCACTATGGTGAGAGCTGCGACGTAACACTAGAAATGTGATTTATGCCCTGCAGGCTCAATACTACGACGGCAACATTGCGATCCCAGGGTGTGATAAGAATATGCCCGGAGTTGTGATGGCTGCTGTGCGTCACAACCGACCCACGATAGCCGTGTATGGTGGTACCATTGGAGTGGGGACTCGCCACCTCGATTGCCCCTCAATGGGACATAAGAAGGGCGGCTCTGTGAACATTTCTGATGCTTTCGAGTCATACGGTACGCATGTTCTATCTGACACAATTCAATACGACAACAAATGGCTTTCTAGGCGCTTATGCGGTCGGTCTCATCAATGATGAGGAGCGGTCTGACGTGGTGAAACACGCCTGCCCAGGACCCGGTGCGTGTGGAGGAATGTATACGTAGGCGAAGGTCTTGTCATTTTCATTGGGAATTTCTGAACGTCTATAGTGCGAACACGATGAGTTCCGCCCTCGAAGTTTTGGGGATGTCGCTGCCATACTCGTCTAGCACCCCCGCCATGTATCCAGGTGATTGATCTTCCAGTGCTGATTGTGATCGGCTTAACCCCTATTAGAGAAATTACAAGAATGTTTCAAGGCTGCGAAGTACCTAAAGCGCCTCCTTGAACTTGATCTCAAACCAAAAGACATCCTTACCCGGCAGTCGTTCTTGAATGCAATCACCATCGTCAACATCCTCGGAGGCTCCACTAATGCGGTGAGATTTTTGTGATATGAGGATTTAGTCAGAGCCTAAGCCATTAAGGTCCTTCACTTGCTTGCCATGGCTCGAGCTGCCGATATACCTCTTACCATCGACGACTTCCAAGAGATATCAGACAGAACGCCGTACATCGCGGACTTGAAGTAGGTCGTGGTTCGGTTGGGAATAGTTCCAACTGACGAAAGGTATAGGCCCTCTGGCAAGTACTATATGGAAGATGTGCACAAGATAGGCGGCATACCGGCTCTCTTGAAGTATCTTCTGAAGCACACGAATCTGATAGATGGCAACCAGATGACAGTCACTGGCAAAACTCTAGCGGAAAATCTCGAGGACGTGCCCGAACTTGATTTTGAAAGTCAGGATGTTATTAGGAGAATTGAAGATCCCATTAAGACTACTGGCCATCTGACCATTTTACGAGGATCCCTGGCTCCCGGAACTGCCGTTGCCAAACTGACGGGAAAAGAGGGACTGCGCTTCGAGGTTGCCTACCATTGTTACTCGTGTATTGTCCCAGCTGACCTTCCCTCAGGGCGTTGCTAAATGTTTCGAAAAGTGAGTGCATCAGCCACGGATGTCGAACAATTTAATGTTCCTTAGAGAAAGCGATTTCTATCCCTCACTTGAGAAAGGAGAGATAAAGCCGGGAATGGTCCTGATATTCAGATATCAAGGTCCAAAGGGAGCACCAGGCATGCCAGAGGTAACTCTTGTTTCCAACTAGCCAGTCCAAAGTTGACACCTATCGTGGCAGATGCTGGGTAATCAAACTATTCTGTTGCGGAAGATTTTCTGACAAGTGTCGCTCTCAGGGCCCACAGGGACTCTGATGGGAGCAGGCCTAGGAGGCTCTACTGCCCTGGTCACGGATGGCCGTTTCTCGGGAGCCTCTAGAGGATTTATAATTGGTAAGATTCTGTATGTGGAATCAAGTCAGATGAACGAACATTATCTTGTAAGGTCATGTCGTGCCTGAAGCAGTACTGGGGGGTCCGATAGCTCTAATTAAAGACGGCGATCGCATTGTCATCGATGGAGCTTCACGCACTATCGACTGGGTAGTTGATGAGAGCGAGAAGTTGTCCAGAAGAAAGGAATGGGAAGCGTCAGGGAAGAATGCTCTGAAAGTCAAGAGAGGTGTATTGTATCGCTATGCAAGAGATGTGGCTGTATGCGTTCAGTTTGTTAACAGCTGAACGTGCAACTGACCTATGATTTCTTCCAGCCCGCCAGCGAGGGTGCATATTGCGACTGATGCGGACTCTACTGAATGTACGGAGTTCGTAGTAGTGTAGGATTAGTTTTGGAAGCAGGGTCGACTTCTCACATGCCAAATACGTGAAAAAACTACGACCTCATCCATGTCGCTGCACACAACGACCACGGGGTCATTTGCATTGACCAAGTATTCGCGTTCATACGGCGGAAGCGCTGGTCACAACCAACTCGTTTCAGAGAACGGATGGCAGCACTTCACCAATCCCGTCATGAAACTACTCTTGGACGTTAAGAAATCTCCCTCCAGTGGAGAGCTCCTCTCGCTGCGACTTCGAATACTTTGGTGTATCGAAATGCAAGCCAGCGACATGCAAGTCGATCAGAGGGAGGTCATCTTCGTGAGAGCTTTCCATGTCGTGTCTCGCGAGACTCAACGACGGGAAACCTCCTGCAGGAAGACTTGGAATTGCTGTCGTTCTCGTCGTTGCCCGCATTTCGAACACCCAATAGTTCGGACCAGGGACTTCCCCTCCGGGCAGTGTATCGCGACGCTGTCGTTGGCATTCGCTACCTCCATCCAAAAACGGCTCCACCTGGCACTCAGCCGGTGAGTTCAGTGATAGAACATTTTTCTTGCCAGCAGAGCGCTTCTCGCTGGCCCTGTCAGGTTTACCGTCGCTTCCAAGTCACATTTGGCAGCATTTTGGAAGCTTCTCAGTTTATCGACACGATAAAACCAATCTGTCCATGTAAACCAAATCCGCAGCCCACCCAGATTTACCGCGATCCGACCATGGTTACAGGAGCTAGTTTGGGGCGAACTTCAACCATTTCAAATGCCATGCCGCCTGAACGACCAGTTCCGCCAAACGAACCAGGATTTAGGCTTACAGGTAACTACCGAAGTATGGCGGGTATTCGGATGTCACCATCCAGGCCCAGTGGTCGGTGGAGTTCTGGTGTCTCATCAGCTACCCTTTCATCAGAAGATAGTGGCTTCGTTGACGGCCCCAAAGTTACCTACCTGCCTGACAATCAACGAAAAGATTCAGGCGCTGTCAGTTCGAGTATTCCATCCCTTCCTAGCTCTTCGCAGCCATATTCCTCAAGCCACAATGGTAACATGATACCTCCGCTTTTTGTTCCACGTAACCTGTCCCGCTCTACCGAAGTGCCTATGCCTAGTTCTGCCGCTACAGAGTCTATGGAACCTGAACGGCCGGACTTGGTTTCGTCCTTGCGCACTCATCCGTCCCTCTACAGCCTCTCGCAACCAGACTTAGAACACCTTGTAAGTCAGGTCGTGAGAGAGGAAGGCTTTGTACGTTTGGTAAGGCGAAAACTCTTAGCTGACATGACATGCCTCAGTACTTCTGCCAGCTTGATAGTCTGGACGCTTTGTGGGGAACGAAGGGATTCCTGGCCCGCTAGTTGAAGACATGGGTATCTGTGGAGTCTTTGTACTCAGCATTCATACAATTCCATGACTTGACACGCGTCTCCTTTAACCCTCTTTACTGTTAACCCAGTGGTCATGAGCCCTCTGCGTCTAAAAACGACCCCGACACCTGCAAGTCGTGAACGCTTTCTATGCCCACTCCCCGTAAAATTTCCGCTGGCCCAACCTTTTTGATTTCTTCTAAGTCGGAGTCACTCTTAACTAGCATCATTCCAGCGTATCCCAGGGAATTGACGTGAACGACAGTATCCGTGCCGGGTATTGTGTAAGTCTCATACCGCCGTGGAACCAGGTACATATGTTCAAGTGTCATGATCACGTTGTACGATGGAGAGCCTGATGGGTAGTCCGGATCATGTCGCACTGTTGATATCACCAGATCAAGGAGCGAGTGGAAAGGAGGGAAAAGCGTTTCGCGGAGTTGTGCGGGAGTGGAGTCTAGAGAGAGTGCCGGAAGGCGAAAGATGTGGTTCGCGTACGGCAGAAACTGAATCGCAAAAGGCCGTCCTGCGAGAGCATTTAGTTATAAGTATTTATTGGCGAGGGAATTAGAATAGGTACCCGAAGCTTCGATCTTGAGGCCCCGGGTGATCTTCTCAAGGGGTGGGCCATCGTGTCCAACTTCGATGAACTGGATGTGTTTGTGGGGCTGGCTTGCACCGCTTTTAATTCCACCTGGAAGGCACATGAATAGAAGAGCCAGAGGAAAACGAATGAACGCCGAGCCTTACAATTATAGAATGCGATGAAGTTTTTGTTTGCTCTGCGGGCAGCAAGCAAAAGTTGATAAATTTGCACCACATCGCTTGGTAAGAGGGGAGATGTTTGTGGACGATACTCTGCCTTGTATGATATACTTCACCAAAAAATGACGGAGGGAATGCCAGACGTGCCTTTCGTTACCAGCAGAAAGTGGTGAGGAACAACGCAATATCTGTTCAACTAATAAATGAGGTTTAAACGTTGTTGCTTGGGGAGGAGTCGCGATAAAACACAAGAATATGGAGATGCTCACCAGAACCACGTACTCTGCCGTGGTGCCCTCATCCTCAAGGACCAAGTCGCCGACATACAAGTTAGGTGAATAGGGAGGCGCAAATGGATCTAGCTGTCCCGCAGGTTCAGCACTTGGCTTGTACGATGCCAGGATCTGTCCATCCCCCGTTCTCTGTTCCGGTTTTTTCTGTAACGCAGGACACACACGAATCTCGAACTACACGATTCCAGGGCACTGTCAGAATGAATCGCTTCACATCACCTCACGCAAGAAAAACCGCACTTCGATACCGATGTCCTCCTTCTGGTAAGTTTCAGATGGGAAGAAAAACAAGTCCCCCGACGACAGCGCCGCTTCGTACTGGCTTAGGACGGACGATATGACTTCGGATGGATGCATTACTTGTGAACCTTGCATGTGTGATGGTTGCTGGTCGGGTTCAAGAATGTAGGTGAGGTTAAGGATGCAATTGCTGAGATCAGTTGCTGCAAGCACAAGTACTGGCTTACCTGGGGTCTACGTAGATTATCAGTACATCTACCCCCACAGTCGCTCTCACGTGACTCGTGTTCCGAATGATTCCGAGCCTCTACATACTGTACACGACATCACGAACGTCTGTGACATGAGTGTTCGGCTGAAATCTGCAGGCTCAACCATGAACAGCCGAATAAGGTCTCTATGTGCGATGGAAAATTATGGGTTCAACTCAAACAGCAGTAGCAACCTTTGTCTGAAGGGGTCAAGTCAAAATCGGGGCAAGCGGACCGGAGAAAAATGATATCGATGAAAAGACTCCAAAGATACAGGAAAGCGACTCACCCGTCAGGGATGTCCAGCTCTGTGTACTTTTCCCGTCGATCCTGCTATTCTCTCATTTAAACCAAGTGCTATTACATAGAAGCCGACCGCAACTAGGGACCACAGGGCTGCATTTGCCCCCTGAAGTATGAGATGTCAGGATAAATGCCAGGAATGGGAGGGGGAGGACGTCCCTGATACAACAATGCCGCTAGTACGGCTTGGAAAATGAGCAAGATTATCCTTACTGGAATGCTGCGATGGAAAGCGATGCGTGTGATAGGGGCAAAAGGCCATTCCAGTGCAATGATGACAAGACCAATTGCAATGGTCATAATCTGGATGACAGGGATTCCGACAATGAGGGTAATGAATACACTAATGCGGGGGTTCGGTCTACAAACGAGTAAGCGGAAAACTCGCTATTGAAGGGATACTGTAACGCATACTGGATACCGCCGGGGTCGCGCAGTATGCCACCAGCGAAGTCCCAAAAAAACTTGCGGAAAAACACGCCCCAGAAGCTTGCCCAAACTGCATCTGCAGATGTCCGGTGAGTGTGAGACCGCGAGTGAACAGACAGCCTACATATGCTTGCAGTAAGGGAGACGTAACGACTCAACTCATGCCAGATGAGTTTGCCCATCCCTTAGACTAGTTGGTTGGTGAGAGGCTGGCCAACTATTGCTCAGACGCAAGCTGTAGGTGAAGAGTTCGATGAAGTGCACGGACGCACCGGGGAGAGGGGGGGAAAAACAGTACTCAGTCACTGGCCCCGGACAAGATGGAAACTGTGATACCAGTCTTCGCGACCCATTGCAAATTACCTAAATACCACAATTAATGTGCGATCCGATCAGGTGGGCTCGGAGCTGCACCTTGGTGTTGCATTACATAGCACGTTTGAGAACTATTATTGCGTAGTAAGGCACCTGAGGCGTATAAGGAATAGGAAGCAAAGGACCACTTTGCCCTTGCAAGGCTGCTGCTGCTCTGAATGCATCTGTACAGTACATGTAGGTCGGGGGGTGTCCCATTATCGTGGTAACATGATCGGTCGCTGGGACGATGATTGGGTTGGTCTGAAACAAATGTGAACCGTGACAAGCTCCAAATCCGGCAGCGCGGCATATTCTGAGGTCACTCACAGGATTCGATTGTACTCGCCATAATGTCCGGGAAGAAATCGACCAACCTTCCAGTTCTCTCCCAGTCCAGGGATCTCGTCCCAGTAGGCCCTAGGCAGGTCCAGGCCAAGCACCACGGAAAGCGGGATGAGAACGGCCTCAGACCCTCAACATCTCGGGCACTCGTCCTCCGCAACGGGAAATATGGCACATATGGAACTGGGGAACTCGTGTTGGCAAGCAGAATAAGTGGAAGAGAAAAGCTCGACCTCCTCGCAGGTGGGATCCGTGTATTCCAGCCTCTCCCAGAGGTGCTCATAACTACACTCAGAAGATCTCCTCTCCCAGAGAGCACGGACCGCTATAATGGCTCCTCTTCAGTTGGAAAAATGCATTTTGATCGCAGATTCCCAGTTCAACGGTACGCACGCCTCAGGTTCTCTGGCTTTTGCAGTGCTTAAGAGTCTCCAGCGTACCTGGATGACGTCGCTACTCTCAAGGATGCCGAACTATTCTATGACAAGATACTAGACGAGATCGTCGCCCGCACGCCACAAGGTAGTGCCAAGGGTGTCCAGGATGCTCTCTCGGATGCCTCTTATGTTGCATCAGTGGTGGCAACAAGGTTTGCCTGCTTCTAAACCATCCCCTTTGTCTGAACTTGCATCGCACAGAATCCACAACGCACACACGATAGCATCGGGATGGAGAATTGTCCTGGACATGCTTAGAGGATTGGTCAAGTCTGGGCTCAAGGATGGAACGGCCCACACACAACTCCAGAAAGACGAGGGGCTGCGGTCCCGTTACCTTGTCCTCTGCGACATTGTCAACGTTTTGGCAGACCTTGGCCAAATGCAGTTTTCTGTTCTTGCAACGACCACTCGTATGAATTACTTACTTCTACGACATCACAATACTGACCTCTGTATAGCGCACTATTCTCGGTATTTCAAAATTGTAGAGAATGTGCCAGTAGGCGAGCCAGAAATAGCTTTCGATTGGGGTGGCCTCAAGGATGTCTGCAAGTCATTCTTGGATTCCATAATCATAGAATTATGCTTCCCAAGAGCGCCGTATCCGAAGCGTATCCTTCTCCAGATTCTTCACGACGCGGTCGACGAATCCCCACGAGAGGCAAAACGCTTTCCACAGAAAATGTGGGATGCAGTTGGCGATCTCTCTGTAGGTGTCAGCCACGTATGAATTGGCGAATTGCGTCTTATCTGCGTAGGTGACACTTGAGCTTCAAGAGCTCCTGGAGAGCCCATCACTAGGGCCCGAAGGAGAAAAGCTCAAAGCTCTTCCACGCAAGATGCCCGAACGATATGAGCTTTGGCTAGATGCACAGTTTTATTCCAAGCAAGCATCTGAATGTTACGACAACTTCAAAGATATCATCAGCCCGCTGGAAGCGACGAGGGACCAAGCTGTTCTCGATCAATTGTGGGGAGTCGTGGATATGGTAAGTCTCTCGGGACGTCGTTTGGCCAGTCCTTATGGCACTCAGAATTACTCACGGGCGTCGGATGTCTCCATTGATGCGCTTTGGCAACTTGATGATGCATATCGTCGGACACCCCAATGGACCGCTCATTATACCCCTGACCTCGCCACCTTTTATGACTCAGATGACTCAGATGCCGTGAGGTCCCTGGTTAAGGTTAGACATCCACGCAAAAATGCGGTGAAGAAACCGCAGAAGAAGGTCCTTACAATTACCGACGGACGGGATGACGGTGTTGACTGTGATTCCATGCCTGAGCTCCAGTCCGTTTCGGAGTCGCCCGGAGAAACTGACGAATACACAGATTCTGACGAGCAGGGAGAGGTCGATGATGAAGACCAAGAAAGCGAATACGAATCGGAAGAAGAAGATTTATATCGAACTATGCTTAGGGAGGCGATGGATGCTGCCCTGGCTATCCCCGAATTCTTCGATCCGAAAGCAAATGTGCCCGATTTTGAAGCAATGGCAGAAGAGCGCAAGGAGAATCCGTTCCTGAAATTGCTCAGCTCACTACGAGGTGAACTTTGTAGCGTGACATTTGAAAGGCCACACCTCAGACGCTTTTTCAGGGCGCATGTTTTCATCCGATGCCAAGCTTAGTGCCGCCGCTCGTGCCGAACCAAGGGAAGGCCGTTTCGGAGCTAAGCTACCAACCGTTAAAGGAGCGGGCAAAGTTGCTCCAGCATTCACGGTCAGCTTTGCTGGGGTGCCCGACGATGATCTGCCTCCACTACAGCCTCTTCCCACCCCAAGGGAAAAGCGCGTCCCGAAGCGCCTCTGTAGAAAATCCTTCATCATACCGGATCCATCAAGACTTATTCCCCGTACGTCCTCTGCGCGACCTCCAATTGCCTCCTTGTGACTCCGATGTAGCTGCCGCCCCACAGCCCCCCCAGGACCGTCGTGCTGCAGTCGAGGAAGTTGAGGATGAAGAGGACGCTCCGTCGGTAGCTAGCAAGAAGAAGAAGAAGAAAAAAAAAAAGCCAAAGAAGAAGCGGGCCGAAACATGTGGAGTGGGGACAGTACCAGAGGCTGAGGTTTCCACGACGAGTCTAACTAGCGCACGTTCGCCCGCGGGAAGCACCCTGAAGTCTTCTCCGGGAAGACCTCTCCTTTCTGATGGCCATGTGGCATTGCATGGATATGCTTCAACCACATCATTACCTATCGAGCCGACGACCGCCAAGTCTGGTCGTGCCTATCTCCAGGAGTTGGGGATGCCGAAAGAGAAGATCAAGTCGCGCCCTGACCATGCATCCTTGTTTTCTGATAAAAAAGGGTTCCTCTCCAAACTAAGCGGGGGAGATAAAGCCAAGGAAAAGACAGAGCCGAAGCAGTCTAATTCGAATGCCAATACGTCTACATGGTTCTCCAGGCTCCGGAAGAAAACAGCTGGATACATGCAACAACTGTTGCATCCTGGCGAAGAAAAGCAAGGGGGACTCAAGTGGGAGAGCTTTTTAAAGGTTCACACCAGTACCTTCTTTGGCATTGTGTCGTTGACTCTTTGTCATTGTTTCTGCCTCCAGGTCATGAGAGAAATGGGTTTCTCATGCGATCCGAGTACTGCAGGATCGTCTGTTCGTTTTGATCCGCCGAATAAACGGGATAAGGTGAGCATCTGTATAATCATTCGCAGATTACATCCCAATGCTTACCGGATGTTGCGCATCGCAGTCGATCACCTTTCACAAACGTGCGGTTTTCGGCACCCGAAGTTGTCGCTGGGCTAACCTCTCTGTAGCACACCCTGATCCGACTCTTCATCCCCACAAGTTGAGAGAGTTTGGGAAACGGCTGAAAGAGTATTATGGGTGGTCAGAGGAAGACTTCTTGAAACGGACTGCCAATGCGTGAACTTTACTCAGTGCGTGTGCACATGTGCGTTGTCGGGGTTTCGCTGGCTCGCAACTCATTGTGGCTTGCCAAACGCTAGTCCGTAAACAACCTCAGCGTGACACAAACACGTTAATTTAGAGCAGCAGCGCTACGAGACTAATCCCTCTTCATGCCAGCTCCTTATGACCTGGATGTTATTTTCCTAGTTATCGTTCCTTATCAGCGAGCTTCCTGCAGAACGGCCACCTCACTCAATTCTTTCAGGTACTGAGTGAGACTGTATTTCATTCTTGCCCCGCTCCATCATCGATATCGTCCCTGAGGCCTGAAGCCTTGAATCGTTGATCGTCTTACGTCTACTACACGCTCGCACTTGCTCGATGACCACTCCCCCGTCTCGAAAGGTATATCCAGTGTTCATAGGGATGCTGACCGTCAGTTTAACCCAGGACGGATCGCTTGCACTTCGCATCTGTACTAATCGGGCACTAGAGATTTTTTTAAAAATTGCAAGATCCAGCAAAGGGATGAAAGTACCGTCTATTTCCCAGCGTTACTTGAGTGGCTTCCATTCCGCTGTTCAGACAGACGTTGGAATAAATCTCGCACGTACAGTATCTACTACCAAGTGGTAGTTCAATAGGAGTAATTGACAACTGAATGATGGTTAAGACATAAACGGATTGTGCCTCTCACGATTAGTGATTTGATCCAAATTGGATCGGTGTCATAGCGCAGGTGTCACTGGCCAGACAACCCCAGCAGGCCCCAGCACCAGGATTGACTGCGAGTGTGAACAAAATGACGGCGAGGCCTCCTCCTGCACGCCCGCACGTAGGGTTGCATTCATCCTTCAATAATGCAAGGGCAAGCACGGAATGGGGTGAAGATGATGCATGGGACAGCGCATCCGACTCGGAATCCCCGCTACGTCAATCGCACCTGTCATGGAGAGCCACTACAACTTCACCGAGGCAGCAGATACCTCCTCAAGCAGCCCCGAAGCCAGTCCCAAGGCCATCAAACAATTCGTCGTCCTCAACACTCGCGTTCTCCTACACACATGTCAGTGCACCGAGTCCTAGTTCTTATCCTCCAAAGGTGGAGGAAGAGTCCTCCAGCCAGCTGTCCAAAGGCGGCGGATGGATGGTGGTCAGGAAACCAAGTATATCCCAGCGCAATACAGACGGTAAATCACCACAGGTCAACTGTGATGATATGAACGGGGATGGCGACCTCGATGCCGATATGGTTATTGGTGATTTCGAACCAGAGATCGAGCCGGTAGTAGCTACCAAGGCTAGATTACCGCACGGGACAATGAAGCCCGATGCTGAAGAGGTGGTCAATGGTACCGACGCCTTTCCCCGGTCACCAGTCTCTCTAAGCATCCCGCACAGATCCCTTTTGCAGGCTTCTGCGTTCATCCCATGCCCCAAACCCAAACTTGTCGAGTACGCTCCCGGAAAACAAAACGAACATAATTGCTCGCTCTGGAGACACAGAGAAATTCCTCCGAGAGACTTCCATTCGTCACAACCGCCGCCTGAAGTTCATCGACTGTCTGAGCAAAGAAGATGTGGATATTGGTATGCGCTATTTCTCATTGCCAGAACGACGTAATTCAGTCGCTTTCAGCGGAACTGCGCAAACTAGCATGGGCTGGTACGCCGGATGATCTAAGGCCGATTGTCTGGCCAGTACTTTTGGTAAGTACCCCTCCGGAATCTTTCACAATGCAGGTCACATAGTTGCGGGAGGGTTATATTCCTTTGCCTTCAAATTTACGTGTCCCCACTCTCGCTCGAAAACGAGAAGAATATCTATCCTTGGTCCAACTTGCTTTCGCTCGTGACCGACAAAGTCTCGACCAACAAGTCTGGCATCAAATTGAGATCGATGTCCCACGAACGCGACCAGGCGTACAACTTTGGATACAGGAAACAACGCAGCGTGTGAGTCACACGGGTGTGATTTTATCACGCCCGCTGTTCTAAGATCTTTCACAACTAGAGTCTGGAACGGATTCTTTACGTCTGGGCTATACGACACCCGGCGAGTGGATACGTGCAAGGCATAAATGATCTCGTTACCCCATTTTTTCAAGTATTCCTGTCTGCATATATCGGTCTGTTTTGTCATTATCACCCGTCATGAATACACATTTTCAATTTGTGTTACCTTCTTCAACAGATTCGGATCCCGAACTTTTCGATACCTCATTGCTTCCACAGCCTATCCTCAACGCTATCGAAGCCGATTGCTTTTGGTGTCTTTCGCGTCTTTTAGACGGTATCCAGGATAACTATATATCCGCTCAACCTGGTATTCACCGCAGTGTCAAGCGCATGGCGGAGCTTATCTCGCGTATCGATGGTTTGTCCGATGGGCTTCTTAACACAGTGCAATAATAATCTTCGTTTCCTCAGCACCCCTATACAACCATCTAGAGTCTCAGAATGTCGAATTCATGCAGTTCGCATTCAGGTGGATGAATTGTTTGCTGATGCGGGAGATTAGCGTTCAGAATACCATACGAATGTGGGATACCTACTTGGTCAGTGTTCGCGATCCCTCGTTGCACTTGCGTGAGCCAGAACTAATTGCGTGCCTAGGCCGAAGGAGCGGATGCGTTTTCCCAGTTTCACTTATATGTGTGCTCTGCATTCCTCGTTAAATGGAGTACAAAACTCAGGCAGATGGACTTCCAGGCAAGTACACCTTAAACAAAGTCCATTCATAGTGGTGACAGTCGAGCCCTAGGGTATAATCATGTTTCTTCAATCTCCACCCACCCAGGATTGGGGGGACCACGAGATTGAGTTGCTCCTTAGTGAAGCTTTTGTGCTTTGCTCAATTTGGCACAATGCACAGAGTCACCTCAATGCTAGGTAGCTCATTAATGATTATGTCGTAACTAAACGCGGAGCAGAAAGCATATGGTGATGTGTATGTGTGACCAGCATGATCGGTATATAACAGCAGCAGGATAGAACTGGGCTCATGAAGTTGCTTGGGAAGCAGCAATTTCTCGATCCATCGCGTCCTTCAAACTTACCGCTTGTGATTCTGTTTTCACTCGTATTCTGTAAGACGCTGGCGCTCCGTTCTCGTGACCCACGAACGCGATCGACGTTTTTGCCAAAGAGGGCTTGAGACCACTGAACAACCTAAAATTCTGTATGAAGTATGGTAAAAATGGTGTCTGACGCCTAACGCAAAAGAACACTGACAAGGAGAATTCTTCCGGTGTGACTGTTTCGCATGAGGACACGCCGGGCGTTGTTTTCTTTGTGCTTTTTCAAACGAAGCATACCTACATACCAACCGTGAACGCATGACTTTAACCGTGTCTGACCAACCTACCTATGCCAAGGTCCTTCCATTCGTTCTTATCATCTGTCTTGGTTAATTTAAAGATTTTACATTTCACAACGTGCACCGTCTCTTCGTCTTCTTCGCCTTCACCCTCCTCATCATGAGTGGCAGTAGTCAGCGACTTTGCAGGGTCATCCTCTGCAGGGGGAGTTTCTTCATTGGCCTCGGGCTGAGGGGTGGACTCTCCTGACTTTTCAGTAGGCGGAGGAGAAACGGCAGGTGACCGTCTCAAAGAGTTCGTAGGTCCACCGCTATCACCAGCTTTCGGCGCTAGTGCACCAAACCCGAAACCAACCGGATTTCCGATGCTTCCAGCAGGCTTTCCGAAGCCAAATACGCTTGGTTTCTGCGGTGAAGCTCCGAACACACTGATGGGTTGTTCCGACGAGAAAGCACCAGCAGTTGGCAAGCTGCTCGGGTTTCCGGAAAAGCTACCACCGAAGAGACTGGTAGCAAACGTCTTAGGAGGTTCCTTACTGGCATCTACTTTGTCTCCGGCTTCAGTGATGTCGCTCCCCGTCGATGGGGTACACAGTGGTGGTTTGCCACCATCGACATTGCTCCCGAAGATCGAGGTCGAAGTGCCGAACGTTGTTGTGGTTTTAGTGCCGATATCAGATGTTGTGCTGGGTACTTTGGACGTAGCGAAAAAGTTGGGAGCATCTGAGCTGGATTTGAAAGCAGAGAGCGGTGGTATCTCGGATGGATTTGTTGACGAGTCGAAAGGATTTTGTTTGGAGCTTAGGGAACCAGTCGTCCCGAAAGCGAAGAAAGATGGTTTCGATGTATTTGATTCGTCGGCTTTAGAAGTCCCAAAGGTAAAAGCCGACTTAGGAGGTTCGGAGGCTGATGATGAGGGTTGAGCTGAAAGGTCGTTTGCTTTTGGACTGGGACCGAAAGACGGTGCCGTGGACGACGAGGTCGTAGGAAGTGAGAAAGAAAATGGACTGGTTTTTATAGCTGGTGTAACACTGAATCGGTTGTCGCTCGTTGAAGTCGAGGCAGTGGCTGGCAAGCTAGGAAAGGCCGATGGAGGCTTTGGCATCACAAACTGGGAGACAGGAGCGGGAGTTTCTGTAGTTATTGCGGAGGGCCCAGGTGTGGATGATGAGGTAGTGGAATGCTTAGAATTGCTGTCAAACTCAGATTGCACTGTCATTCGGAGATTCTTGTAAGACTCCAGAAGGCCAACAACATCAGCAAAAGGATCTTGTTCGATAGCTTTGGAGATAGCGGAGAGAAATGATACGTTCAACCCCCTGAGTGACTTGTAATACTTCAACGCAGTGGCGTCACCATTCGCTCCTCCGGTGGAGTGTGTTGACTGCGTTGGTAATGTGCCATTGGGAAAGTCTGACGAGGTGCTAGACTGCGGTAGTTTAAGGGTAGAGTGAAAGTTGAATCCTGCTGCAGAAGAAGGTGCAGATGAGGGAGTCGGGGCCGTCGGAGGTGGTTGCACTGTGAAGGTGAACGGGCTTGAAGGTGTGGAAGACCCGAAGCCGGCAAAACTTGCAAATTTTGGGAGAGCTGGGACTTCCTGAAACATGCGTCTACGGCAATGTTACATATAGCGTGAGGGCGCGCTGCTCACCTTGTCTGGACCTGCAGCAGCAGGAGTGGGCGCAGACGCAAAGCCATTGAAAGATGTGGCCTTTGCGGCTGCCCCCGCTAAGGACCGCTTAGGCAGAGCACGTATCCTGCGGTGGAGATAAGCACGGTGGTGAGGTGTGGGGCGTGGTACTCACTGCCTGGTTGCGAGAACTGATTCGTCCGCTTTCTGGAAGCCCTGGGATACCTCCTGGTGGGGTGTGTGGTGAGCACAAGACTTGCAGCATGCATGACGCGACAGAGGACGCACCTGAACGTCATCACCGCTGTCGCCGTCGTCGTCCTTGGTGAGCTGATTGTCAGCGACTCGCTTCATGGTGGTCGGCTGGGCTTGCGTCCAAGTTCTCTGCAAGCGATGACACGACGAGATGGGCGATGGGAAATGATTGCCCGATTTGGATCCGCTGCGTCGTCCATTTGAAAATCCTCAGTACGGTCTCGCCGTGCCAATCACCGCCTTGACCGCCGCCATCCTCGTCCTCTCCCTCGTCCACCCGTGCTCGTCGCACCAGGTGTGTTCTTCCCCGCACCACTGTCGAAATGGACTCGCGTTCCTCCTCTCCAAAGACTCCAGATGTCGGACCAGACGAGCCCCGCCATGTCACCATTCACAACGAGCCCCCGTCTTGGTGTCTTGCATTTCGCCCCTTACAGTCTAGATCTATTCCTGCCACCGCTCCTTGGGATGGCGAAGGAAATCGTGCCCCACTCGACAAGCACGACGTCGAGCGGATTCTCGAGCTCAGCGACCTCATAGACGAGCACGCATACGACGAGTACGCTTGCGCTCCTATGCCGCCGCATCACTTATCTCTAACATATCACCGTATTACATCACGACAGCTCCCCACCTGGCTCAGGGGTAGAACATTCTCCCTTGTTTTCGCACCCTCCTTCAGACCTCAACTGTTCAGAAACCACCGTGCCAACGGACAGCCTCTATCCGTCGTCGCAGGCTTCGCCCCAACAGTCTGAGTATCATTTGCCGTCCCACTCGCATCTCGTCTGCACTCCTATCGTTCCTCCGCCGGCCATGAGACCTCGCAAACGCGAATCGAATGCTGTCCCTCATCCTGTCGTTTGTCCCCCCAGAGAATCCTGTTATAAGTACGTCTCGTATTTCATGTAAGTTATGACATCTAACCAGACGCCCGTCTTTCTAGTCTTTCCATATTAACTCCAAATATTCCGAAGTCTGGAACCAAGTCTCGCGTCGAGACTCAGATTCGCGTCACCATCGACCTCGTCTTCCCAAACTCACCATCTGGCGACCCCTGCCAGTACGACCGGGTCGGCTCATGGAAGTGGCTGAAATTGCCTCCAGGGACGTCCACCAAAAGAAGGACACGCAGAGAAGGCAAAATTGGTAATTACGCTTTTCACAGTCGTGCTGAATCGGTAGTTCACCTCTCATTCCAAAGATCCTTCCCCCATGGACATACTTCATCTCACCACATCTGTCACATGTGCCTCATCTCCATATAACCAAGTCCTAAGCTGCGGCAGTTGCAGAAACAGAGAGGTAGGGTGCATCTTTACCAACGTTCGCATACTCGTTTAGACCTTCTTTGTCAGGCGAAGCGTGTTGCTCGTAAATTGGCCGCGCGTGTTAGGCCGACTCGTTCTGATTCTGACGGTGCTGGGAATAGCAACGAACGCTTGAAAGGCGTCAAGGAAGATACCACAAGCATCATCCAGTTCAACTGCCCGGAGGTACTCGACTTCTCGAGTGGATCTGCAGTGCTTCCGGTACGGATAACATGTTACTGCAGACATCATCGTGAAAAAGTGGGCTTTAATGTCCACTTCACCATGAGGGACCACTCTGGCCGGCTCGTTGGCACTGGAATCTCACCCCCAATCATGATCACTGACGATCACAAATCCACCATGAAGTCAGGGTCACGAGTTGGTGCTGTCGATGGGGAAACACCGTGGTTCAACGCTGCATCAAACGGGACGCCTTCGGACCTCGGCACGCCATCCAAACGAAGCGTTGGCAAGACGAAGAATATCAATAAGCGCGCTAAACCATACGACGCAGCAAGCCGCAGCAATAGCACGAGATTCTCACGGGAGGCCAGTATAGCCAGCTTGAGCTCTTCTGCGAATTCTCCTTCTGTCCCCCGTACGCGGTCACCGACTCCCTTACCACTTTCCCAGTCTTTGTCTCCTGGCCATAACCAAGGCACTCCGGTGGCTGAGGTATCTTCCATTACAGTCGACGGCGAGTCTCTTGCCAGTAGTTTCGGTATTGCGGACGACCATATCAGTCCTCCTATTCTTGATAAAAGTCCCATAGAAGTGTTCCCTCTGACTGACGGAGTCCCAAATGGGCAGGCGACCCACTCAGTTGATACCGCGTCTTCCCCTATCCCACCAGCCCCTCCACCGACACACTTTTTCCCTCCGCTTGTCCCTCCACAGCCCATGTCATTCCTGTTTTTTGACCCTACTTCACCGCAGACCCTAGCGTCACTACCTGTGCCCAAAATCCATCGTCTGATTCCCTCTTCAGGACCGACGTATGGTGGCATTGAAGTAACAGTGCTCGGAGAGAACTTTCACCCAGCGGTGCAGCTTAACTGCGTTTTCGGAGATACTATGGCAAGCTCAACACAACGTTGGAGCGACAATACACTACTGTGCGTTCTTCCCCCTCGTGCCAGCCCCGGCGTGGTTGCTGTCTGGTTCGAAGGCATTGAGAAGACTAGGGAGGTCTCCCCACCTCCGCTCTTTACGTACACAGATGAGTCCGATCGAACGTTGTAAGTTTCTAGGATCCTGTCGTGCGATCATTTTTTTGATGACTGTCACCACAGGATGGTGCTGGCTCTCCAAGTTGTAGGCTTGAAGATGACGGGCAAAGTCGAAGACGCCAAAAATGTTGCGCTGCGTATCGTGGGCTCCACGGAAGACGTGCCCAGTATGAATTGCTCAAGCAACACGATGCCGGCCGGTTCCACGGCTTACGACATTTGCCCACTTTTACTCGTTCACTCGGAAGACAGGAACAAGTTCGAGAATTCAATCATAGACTTGTTGTCGGTCGTCGATGTCGCCATATCAGGACAGGCAGAGATCTCTATGTCGTCAGCAATGTCTCATGCAACACTAGATGGCCAAACGCTTCTACATTTGGCGGCTTTCCTCGGTTTCGCAGTCCTCACCGAGTTCCTTATCGCCCATGCCATCGATCTCGATGCACGCGACCGCAATGGATACACGGCGCTGCATTTCTCTGCGCTATCGCGTTCCCAAAACTGTGCCACCTTGCTCGTATCGGCCGGGGCCGACCTTGAAATAGTCAATGCCCTTGGGAAGACACCACAAGACATCTCTCCGACCGGATTCTTTGATGATGTCATTCAATGTGCCCAAAGCTCTGACAGCGACTCTGTAGTGTCACAATCTGAAGATGATGGAGAATCAAACTGGGCTGACGTGGAAACCGATGAGGAGCCTTCTCTCCCCATAAGGCGGAAACAGAGCGCTCTGTTTGTACGCCAGCGTTCAAACCGTCGAAACACCGAGGATGTGTTACACGCTACTGAGACGACAGCAGCGCCTGTGGAAGACGCCAAGATGAGGGATGAGAGCGCTGAGGATGAGAAACGGGCAGCCTCTTTTGTCAACCTCATCCAAAGGACTTTTATACCCAACATCCCTCAGATTCCACTGCTGCACCTCCCGGAGATGCCTGCAGTACCTTGGGACGTGTTGCCCCAAATTCCGATGGTGTTCCATGTTTTCGTGCCGATGCCTGGCTGGCCATCTTTCTTGAGCGAAAAGCGAGAAGGATCCGAGCCAGCAGATCTCTTCGATAAACACGAAGAGGACACCGCGCGTCCGGTCGGTTACAGCGCAATACGCACAGCACAAGAGCTTCGAGCAACGTGGGAGAAGTGGGTCACAACGACCGCTGCACTCCGTCAACAACCAGTGGAAGAGCCACCCCCTAAGTATACTCCCAGAGAATCGCCGGAAGCGAGCTCGCTAGAACTGGCACCGAACGTGCCACCCGAGGCGAATTCTGAACCGGATTCACGAGTTGGTACGACTCGGCCAGGTGGTACTGAACGTTCATCTCGTCGGCGGAGCTACGAGGTTGCACCGGTGGGAACGCAGGATGTCAATTCGTTCGGTTATGTACCCGCGAAGTCCCGCACCAAGCAAGCCAAGCAGAAACGTAGGTAGTTGTTTCTACGTATATCATCCTAACGCTGATATCACTCCTAGATGACCGAATGCTCGTTCTCTTTTGGCTTCCTATTCTACTCAGTATGTGGTCTCACACTTAAAGTGGACATTAAGCTGACTTTCGATTGCAGTGTCACTGCTTTGGGCCTTCCACAGTGGCATTCGCTTCGCTTTGCAAACGTTGAAGACGACGCTCTTTGTGAAGGCTGGTGGTCGCATGTGAACGCCCGTTGTCTCACCCGCCAAGCTTCGTATCAGCTCGTTATTTATGGAGTCCGGAACAATACTGCATTTGTCGGACGCTAGATCACCGCTGTGATGTGCTGCATAACACATGATTATGGTAAATCCCACTGTTGTATCGTACTTAACAAGTATATGACACTATGTCACCACGTTATTTACACATGTACAATGACCATTCGAATTAGTGGATAGATCGGAAGATTCACTGCCCCTACTTCCCTCGGTACTTGAGGAAGGAAGCTTGAATCCCCTTTCCGGCTTTAATATCTTCCATGCACCTGGCATCGATTTCACGTCCGATAGTTGCTAGCTCTACGACTTGATCCACCAGAGATTGAGGAACACAGACAACACCGTCTTCATCTGCTATGATCCAATCCCCAGGCAGAACTTCTGTGGAGGGGAATGCACCGGAGCTTCCCTCGACGCCTTCCGGTGTGATGACCAGGGGGATGTCGATCGCTGAGGGCCGGACAAACGTCCCCTGGCCCAAGGTCGAGTGGCCGCGAGCGAAAACAGGAAAACCTGCGGCACGGTGCTCAGCGAGGTCCCTGCAGCGACCTGATATGACGACACCGACAGCCCCTCGGGCTTGTGCACCAGCGGTCATCAGGCCACCCCACACCGCATTTTTGGTGTCTATTTAGCGAAAAAGAACAAACCAGACTGCCGATGTTAGTATGCAGAACCGGAGCTAGAACGGCAAGAAAGCAAACTGAACCGGGAGGTGCGACTATGACTATGACAGACCCCGGGGTCACAGTGTCCACGAAATGAGCAGATAGTCTCGGAGACGTGTTGTCGTTCGCGGGCACCATCTTGACAGTGTAAGCCGGCGCGCAGATCTTTCCAGACCGCGTACTAGCGGGCGGTGTAGGGGAGAACATGGAGATATCTGGTATGTGTCCGCCGTGGGGGACGCCAAGTTTGATGAGTGCATCAGATATCTCGCAAGAGGAGAAGTCTGAAAGAGTGACCGGCCGCGCGGCTGCGACCGACATTGTAGGACAGACCACGATAGTTTCTACAGTAAAGCAGCTGCAAATTTGTTCGTGGACTGAGTCCAGTCTGTTAACTTAGGAGCACGCTGCCAATTTAGGAAACCACTTCACGCTCAGCCTCACTGAGTTGACCGCAGCCCTCTCGGCCGCCCAGGCTGACCGGTAGCAACATGGGCAAGTATTTCAACAAGGCTCTCAAGGCTATCATGAAATCAAGGCGGGTACAGCTACCCAAGTATGACTGGCCCATACGTTTCCGACCGGTTCGTGTTCCACCTCCCAGGTCCCGGAGTGCCCTTCACTTACTGCTTCTCCTGAAGTGGTTCCTCCTGTTCACCTTCATCATCATGATTTTACTTGCAATCTTCGGATTCACTGACATTCCCCGTTCGCTACCGTTGCGCAACAAGCTCCTTCACTTTGTCTGCTTCTGCCTTGCAACTGGAGTCTTCTACTTCATATTCGACGCAGAAGAGTGAGTTGAGTTTCCGTTTTGTTTCAACTCACAGGTGTAATGATGTATCCTGCTTACGTCGTCCCTTCCAGGGATGCAAGACGCATCTGGTTTTGGCGTCATTCTGGCCTCATATTCACTGCAATCACCTGTTTCTTCTTCGGCGGCGTCATCAGTGAGGTCGTACAATCGCTGCTACCTGTACGTTTCTGCCAGTAATGTGGTCGAACCCATACATTCCTCATAGCAGTCCTTTGTCAGCACAAACAATTTGACTTCGGTGACGTAGTGGTATGGTTGTGGTATTTCTTGCCATGAGGCATCTCGTTTACGTCTCCGAACAGGCGAACATATCAGGATCGGCGATCGGTCTCTTTGTAGCATATTATCTTGAAAGATACTATCGCACTCGTAGAGAGGTGAGACTATCAACTCCATGTCTTTGACGCATTCTACTCAGCAGGATTGTGCAAACCTAAAGATTGCCCGTTTATATCGTCCACTGGACACGGACGATCTATCGGAGGGATTTCTCTGATGATGAAACACCAATTGGATCACAACTTCTCCCGCTATTCACTTCAAAGCCTGGTTCATCTAAATCTAAATCACAGGAATCTAGACGACTGGGAGATGTCTGGGACGAGCGGGAAGAGCTGTTTGGAATAGGGCACGATGATGGTGACTCTGACGGTGGAAGCGATGCTCCATCACTGCCTTCGCAAACTCCGCGTTATCCTCAACGCAGCCATATGCCCCTAAGCACCACCATTATAGAGTCGTGATGGATACACTCTATGTCACGTACAGCATGTCTTTTTAATTATCAATTGGGAACCATTTACACACCACCTGGCTGGGATTTCTATTCGAATATAAACCGCAATATGAGGACATCCGACACCTTACTAGCGACGATGAGTACGTTTGCAGCAAAACACTTGCCGTGACGGGGTCATGACCATACACCCCTCCAGTCTCTCGAAAGGTCATGTCAAAATAAGCATGACATGTGTGAGCCTATTGCAACAATTTTCATAATCGATGGCTCGTACAGCTACTGACTTCTGCCTGTAGAGCCTGAAGTTCTGCGTCTACTGCCCTCATCTCCTCCTGACCTTTTGTTGCGAGTTCCTCTAGTCTCTGACATGCGGTTTCAGCGACGACGACCACGTTTTGGTCGATCGTATGTTGGAGAGATGCCTGAGTTTCGCACGAGGTTCATAATAGAAAGTGGAGATTACTAACACGAACCTTCAAGTCGCGTTTGATCCCGTCGCTCACCCTTCCCAAGTCTTGTATCCATTTCCGCTTCGCCCGTTCCCACTTACCTACCGCCCATCTCAAACTACCGATAGCTATGATTGTACCGACACCAAGAGCTGATGCTATTTCGGCACCTGGCCCGAAGCTCAGAATATGACTTCCAATCGCCAGCCACCAGCTGACACCGGCACCTCCAAAAACGCCAATGAAGGCTCCCGCTACGGCGCTCTGTGCTTCACTGTGCAACCGCGAAGTAGAATACTTGGTAAGTTGGGCTCGGCGATCGCGGACAGGGGAAGTCAGCATAGCCGAAGTAAGCACATAGGAAGGAGTAGACGCAAGTTGCTGCAACTGATTATGAAGCAAGGGCGAATGGAGGAAAGAATAGGAAGATGGTGGCGCGAGGGTAGATAGCAGGTCAAAGGTAGACTTCCATAACTGGTCTTGAGCACAAGATAGACGACCAGTTTGAAGGGTGAGCTAGAAACGTGATAATTAGTTTGAGTCGCATGCCAGACACGAGCATCATCTCACTTCATCTTCAAGTTCTCTACCCCACTCTAGTCGAATAGCCGCACTAACCATTGCTTCGATCTCGTCTGCCATCCAAACCATATTCCAGAACGACAGCGACCCAAACATTGCCTTCATTCTCTTATTGTCTTGAGCCAATACTGATTCAGCATTGTGGGAGCCTCCTAGAACTTCGTTCTCGGCACGCTCCTTGACACTTGCCACTTGCGACCGCAACTTCGCTAGGCCTGCGAATACCTGGGACAGTCTTTCAGCTGTGCACGCAACGGATTCGCCACCAACATCAAGAGCACTTTGTATTTGAATAAGGGCGGTTCGAGTACGAAGGCTCTCCAAAGGCACATCTGTGGATTTTCTCTCCCCGAGCAACTCGCCTACAGAGACCCCAAGTGAGGAAATACGTGAGCTGAGGGAAGCATTCTGGTAACGTTCAACGGCTAGTCCGAAATCTGAGTCCGTTTGTAAACTTGTGGTGGCATGTAGGGCTTGCACAGGGTCCAAGAAGAGAATGCGCCCGGGTTCACAGCCAAGGTCGAAGAGTTCCTTGGAAACCTGGCTTAGGCGATGCTCTGATGGTGCTACGGATGTGAAGACAAGGATTGTGTTGGGACGGTTGAGCAGGTGTTTGGCTTTGCCAGCCAGAGTGGCGACCGGAACTATCAAGGGATCGCACACTAATATCAAGACGTCACTGCTCCACAGCAGTTTCATCGCCTTGACATTTCCTTCCGATATCAAGTCCAAAGGTGGGAGCTCAAATAGCTGGATGTCATGTGGATATTGCAAGAGCCACGTTGAGGGGCTGTTCAGCTTTCCGACTTCCGAATGATTCTCTAGAATAGTGGATTGACCGTATCTGGATTTTAAAAAATTAGGCGGGTTTTTACGAAAAGCAATGACTTCCGCTCACTCGACCATGATGACGTTAGGCCGATTTTCCCACCGATACCGCAGAATATCGCTGTACTTGGCATTGGAGAACGGATCGTCTAGAAGGGCAGTGACCAGGTCCTTAGAACCGGAAAATTCGCCAATTCCACAGACTGGACCATAGCGACATTACGAGCTGGTGTGAAATTCGAGACCGCCGTGGGGGATCTAATGGGCTCACCACTAATGCGTGCTTTTGGCGATGCATCGGTCGAGCACGAACTGAGCTCTGCATTAGTACTCTCCAGAAGTTCGCACCAGAAAGCGGACGAGTTGAGTTGACCCCGACCTTCAATAACTGGGGACGCCCGAGGAAGGAAATAGATGGTTTTGTGTAGCAGCGCTAGTGTTCGGGAATGAATGGCAGACATGTTATCTACCTTTGGCGGTATGGAGTACCCGGTAGTGACATGATTCTTGGAGGGAACTTGAGAAACCAACCGGGATTTATGGTGTGGACGACACGCCTGCGAGTGGGACGTAGCTGTCCATCGGCCGTGTAAGCACGCAGCCGTCGTCGAGCCGGACCAACTTATCGTCGCCCAGCCGCAACGGACAGAACGTACCAGCATAAGTTCACCTCGCCGCGACGTGGAGGTAATCTGAAGGTCAATTCAACGGGAAGATGGACCCGCGACTTAATGAATGCCAAATAAGGTATCTGTCACACTGTGACACGCCTCACAGTAGAACGACAGGAGGGTTCAGGAAGGCTTACATGGCCGATGTTTAATAAGGGGTAACCGTGACCACTTCTACTACTTACATTACTAAAACATATTGCCATACCTCTGATATTTGGTTGCGAACTGTGATTGTGGCCTTATCATTGAGGCGACGTTCGGTCAACTTACACCCGTAGACATGTAACTATAGGTCCCTCGAGTGAGTCTTTTAATCATTTGAATACAGGTAGTTAGCAGGAGATCTATGCAGGCACGACTCATTATAGATTGTACATCTTTACACCGAAAATACATCATGAAATTCTATTTGGATGGGGTTTCCCAAATCCTTGTCGTAGAATTGTGGAGGACCCTAACATACGAGGTGTTGACCTCCTTAATGAAATCCGTTGAGGTGTGGTTGGCCGTAATCCTCTGGTAGAAGTTCCGGGACGCGCAACGTGCCGCGCTCACTAGCAGTAAACTTTAACAATCGCAACCGACATGAAGGTAGCGAAATGACTCACATCCGGTCAACGGCGATCAGCAGGTCATAATTAATCTCCTGGCTCACAGTCGAATCAAACTTGTATGCCGGGTGCGACCTCACGAAGCTTCGCATCCACGCAGCAGGCGTTTGCAATGTACCTTTGTGGACATCAGCCTTCACTAGAACCAATCCAACGTGTGACCACAGACCATTAGCACGGCCACGAACGAGATCAAGGTATTTGTCAATTTGCTTTCTCTCATCTGGAGTTGCTTCCAATGTCCCAAGATAAGCATCCACAAGTCCTAGCAACCCTGGGAACGCAGACCCCTAAACCAAGTCAGTGCCTTCCATCGTCACGTATGGTAAGCTAAAAAAAATACCTTTCCACAAAATATTTCTTTGATAGACATCTCCTCATATTCGTCTTCAACTAAGCCGTCGTCAATGGTTGGAGGACGTGCGAGCGTTGGGAAGCAGTTCCTTAGTTTTCTTTCTTTTACTTGTGGGGCCATACCACAATCACTGCACTCGCTAGGGGTAGATGACCCGGACGAAGGTGAGCTGGCAGCTAGAGTGGCATATCCCTGTGGAATTACGTTTTTGCGGAAGAAAAACTTCTGAGTACGCGCCGCATCTCGCTTCTGAGCCCTCTGCATGTTCTCATCGACCTGAGTATTCGTCAGTTTATACGAAACTTAGGTAAATTCCGTAGTTATACCTTCGAAATAGGAACATAGAAATTCAAGTTGAAAGCTAGTATGGCCCTAGACAGGAGAACTATGAACACCGCGAATGCAGCGTTTTCAAAATCCGTCATTTGTACTTCCATGCTGCGAAACTCGACGCGCCAGCCGATGGAAGAGCTAGGTGGAGGGGGTTTAAATCGGAGAGTTTGCCAATTCGTGGATTGGATGTTCTTCGGGGAGCGTTAATGTGACGCCAGGAATAATGAAGGGTCAATCACCTCGAAATGATCATTGCTAGAACTATCATCTTGGTGAATGGTTTCAGAAAATATAACGAGTGGGTCACGGATAAACAGATGTGCAATGTGCTTTGAAAGCAAGTCGTCGATACCTTCCGCTCTACTTCAAAACACGCACAAGAAACTGAAGCATGATTACACACCGTAACTGAGCAAGCGATTTCTAATCGCTTCATCATAGGGTACGACGGTGTCATTATACGCTGGCTTATTGGCCCATTCGGAAGATAATGTACAGGTCAACGCTATCGTATCGGGATTTAGGAATGATATATCTGTTATTCTTCAAAGGCTAGATGACGTAAGTGGACTGACAGAACATAAATATGTTCGCCCACCTCAAGTCCGCGTTCTTCCGGTGTGCGGTCGTCCACGCTTCCCGCAATAACATTCCAGCGACAGTCTACATCTGCAAGATACCCGCGCCAAATGGGGCTGGCTGCCGTGAGTGCTAGCTATGTAAAGACACACGTATGTTAGAACATATCCCAGAATCGTCACTGCCCATACCATAAGGGGGCCAATCGGAATCAGGGCATCATACATCCGCCGTGCTTCGTTCACGTTACAGCACTGGAAAGTAAGCTGCAAGCAACAGCAACCCATGCCAAACCCCATCGCGTCCATGTATATGTGGTCTATCAAGGCTGCGCCATTCTTAGCTTCTGCAAAAGGGTAAGGAACCTCTACGTGGCCAGTGACCCGGAAGAGGATCTTACCGGGATCCTCTGGGTATATGTCACGTTGCCATGGTATAGTAGGATCAACAAAAGGCCGTGGTGTTCTTTCATCTTCAAATATCGGGAGATTAATGGCAACCTTGGATTTCCTTCGACTTCTTATGTTGGCAGTGAGGGTACTGTTCGGAGGATGAGGTACTAAAAAGTGATACCACAAAGGATACTGACGGGAAGCGTGCGTGAGGGTTTGTAATTTCTTCAGGCAAAAAAAGACTGTGACTGGACTTCGCATCTTTCGGGTCATAATGTGGTTCTGTGAACACGCCAGCAGTACCCAAGCGGGGAAACGATGTCAGAGTGAGCGGGATTTCGTTTTCCTTCAAACGATTTCGCGCCAGTGTGCGTCTTGTATTCCCTAATCTCAGCGACGTAGGATAAGTGCAGTTGCGCATCACGTACCTGTAGCGCATGTTTGCCTCCACCGAGAGCAGGTCTGCAATCGAGCCCGTGTAAGGGGAGCCAGGTGTGGACTCCAGCATGTACCTCCCATACTCAGGGTGAAATTTGGGTACAGATGTACTGGAGAACACCTCAGCGATGCGCCCGAGCGATGTATAACACTTACGATAGAGAGGCGTCGTTATGAAGTGTTCCGACAGCTTTACCGAGTTCTTCCAGAATTTCTGTTTGGCGAAGAGAAAGCTTTGCATTCTTTTTTTCGTCGTCGAATATAACTACCATATACTCGACCTGGCGAGCGAGTCCGTGAATACCAGTGAGAGTGAGCACAGCGAACGGCGTGGATTACCTCGTCGCCCCACAATAGCTCATCGCCAGTTCGGTCCTTCACCCTATCCCAGGTATGAAGGAATTGAGTGATTCCATGATCTCTGACATGGTCAGCGTGATTCTTTGCTTCTTCCCAGGTAAGTGGTGTCCCGAGGTAGAGCAGACCCATCTCGCACGAGTAACAGCAAAGTCTCCACAAGCGGTATGATCACTCTGGGTAATGGCAGTTTAAATACGGGTCCGGGTCACAGGGAAGATAACCGGACAGGTATGCTTACTTCTTGCTGACAAGTTCGAGGGGACTCCCTCATACAAATCACTCGTCGCCATATGTGCGTCAGCGGTGACAGCGCTTTGTAAGCCAGATTTCAGCAGTATTCCTTTGTAGCAGTGAGGGGGTAGCTCGGCTAATCGTGGCACTGGTAATGGTGGAGGAGAACTCGTGCTTACTACTACTTACGACAGGGCCAAGTCGTACGTACGTAATACTACGGAGATGAAGGGCCTGCTGAGTGTGTTTAGTACTTTGTACGGATTCATCCAAGATCTTACATGACTTTCTGAAACATCGGAGTTGCTTGTGCTATCCTTTCGGATTATGATGAACTACGTGTGCCAGCAATGCAAAGAACCGCTGCAGGTAAGGTGGTACGTTTCTTCATCCTTCCCGATGGCTCACCGAGTTTTAGCTCGATGCGTCTCTGGTGGAGCTCTCCCCTTCTCAATACGACATGATTGCTACATCTCTCCCGCCCTCACCATCCCCACGAGTGAATCACATATCCGAGGTTGAACAGCCTACTCCGCAACGCCCACCATCGACTAGTTCTAAAGCAGCATGGAGGCACGCAAACAACCCAGAAAACGTCAGACATACTGCGTTAGTACATGGAAAACAGCTGCAGCGCAGCTATCCAGCTCCGAACGAATCTTTTGTGCTCTTACAAGACAGTGTTATCCACAATATGCCATCCCAGTTGCCCTCCGTCGGGTTTGCCGAGGTAATCACTAATACCGGTCACCCTGAGCATACGACAAAGGGTGGCGCTACATCTGCGGCACTTCCACAGCCAGAACCTGATTATCCGAATCCAACGCCGATATCCCATCACCTGCGCTCCACCATGCGGTTGTTTAATTTACTATCCAGTCGGACTGATATCGATCATCCTCTATGCGCAGAATGCACTCAGATCCTGTTGTCTTCCTTGCAGAGAAAGCTTGACGAAACGAAAAAGGAACGTGACGGTTACCTCGCTTTTGACAGAGAGGTAAGAAAGGAGAAAGAACGTGAATGCCAGGAAATGAACCGCGATGAAGTGGAGCACAGGATCGAGCGGCTCAAGTCGGAATGAGGGGGCTATCCTCGACCAGTTGAAGTTCGTCGAGAGAGAGAGGGACCAGCTTGACGAAGAGCTTCGAGCACTGGAGTTGGAGGAGAGAACACTTCTCGAGGAAGAAGCCGAGTAGGTTTTCTCGTACACTTGCTACTGATTTAATTGCATGGTTCCCTTCCGCAGGTTTTGGCGTTCGCGAAATGATCAACAGCTGGCTTCAGCAAACCAGACATCGCTCCTCGTGTCCTTGCGAGCAGCTTACGCCGCTGACTACGCAACTTATGAGAAGCTTGAACGCACTAACGTTTACAACGACGCATTTTGCATTGGCCATGACGGTGTTTTCGGTACTATAAACGGACTGCGCTTGGGCCGTGTACCAGGGGTTCCCGTGAGTGGTAGCCCGCCGCACCTTTTTCTTTCAATTCCACCGTTGACAGTCACTAGGTTGAGTGGTCCGAGATCAACGCAGCTTGGGGCCAGACGCTTTTGCTACTATACACAATTGCCCGAAAACTTGACCTTACTTTTGAGAAGTGAGTAACTCCGTGGGTTGGAAACGGAATATTTTTAACTCATGTTCGATCCCTATAGCTACCGATTGGTTCCCATGGGCTCGTTTTCGCGTATCGAACGGACATTGGGTGATAAAGCCACGTATGAGTTGTACGGTTCAGGTGACTTGCACTTTGGGCGGCTTCTTCACAATCGCCGCTTTGATTTTGCGATGGTGGCATTCTTGGAATGCCTAAAACAGTTGATGGATTACGTGAAGTCCCAAGACTCAAATATCGAGTTTCCACACCAGTGAGTACTGAAAACCGGAACAAGATATCTCTGCTCAGCTTGGGGGCAGGATCATCAAGGACAAGATAGGGGAAGCACCAATCAAACTTCAGTTTAGTCAAGAGGAGTCTTGGACCCGTGCATTGAGGCATGTCTTGCTGGCGCTCAAGATAATACTAAAGTGGACAACGAATGGAGGAAATGGTTGACCTTGCCTCTGTAAATTTGGGCAAGCAGTTGTATTGTCTGTTCCAGTTTTATATCTGGTTCTCGATCAAGCTATGAGGTCTATTGGCAGGATAGGCATTCTTCCACCTGTCTGACGCAGTTCGGGTCTGAAGCGAGCTTTGCCCTCCTCGCTGGTTGAACTATAGAGGAACGTCTGTGTACTGTCTCCAGATAATTGGCTCAGCAATGTTTGTGATGTTTGTGGCTCATTTCGATCGACCGAGGCGTGGCTTTTTGGCGGGGTAGGATCCACAAATGACGTCTGTAGGTGAGTATTGCGCTTTTCGAAGGTTGGCCATGCGTGCACGATTCTCTTTCGCGACAAATCACTACACGAAGGAACACTTGCGGTGGGGTGCGATAGACCTTTTCTGCAGAAAATACACCCTCAGCCTTACCAACAACCATACGGGCCTCATACATACGCGTGCGGTAAGACTCAAGACACATCCGGATCGAGGCCACCCAATGCTGCAGGTGCAAAAACCGCGGCTGACTATAACAAGTAGTTCAAGCAAACACACCACCTCAGACAAGGCCCTTATTCCAATTTCGCGATAAGCTACTCCATGAGGGAACATTTCTGCGGTAGACTTTCGGCAGAAGGTGCCCCGCATTGCTACGCAATGGTGTCATAATCTTACCAGACCTGCAGCGGACGTCATCGCAGAATACGGGATTTGCGCCGATTCAAATCGCCTCGGAAGTAGTGAGTGCTGATATCACCGAGTACAACAAGACTCGAAACACTGTAATGAAGATAGCCTCAAAGAACAACAGCCAATAGTAGCTCTAGCGAACTATTGGCTCGGACATGGCCATGCATCCGAAACAAATAGCCTGCAACTTGCATTGGTATTTAGAGGCGTTGGTCTATAGCATTCATTACAACCTCAAATCAACGCATACATCGAAAATCTAAGCGAAAATACTGTGCGAGTTGTACTCGTGCAAGGAAAAGTTGTACAAGCACTCCGTTTCGAGTTCATGCTGTTTTATGTCGATTCATTGTCCTTGAATGTTGAATCTCATCGAATACTAGCTTGCACGTCCAGGATATCATCTGGGCATGTTATTCGTAGGAGAATCAGCAATCCTACACAAGTATTCATTGTATGGTCCTCCCATTTAACCGTGTCATTTGTTTGGAGCCTGTGAACGTGGTAGTTTGCAATCCATTAGCCCCATATACTCAAGGCCGAGCGCACTCCATCCTCAACTCGGAGGTTTGATAGCCATTCGAAGGCACTTCTGTTTTTAATCTATGTGTTTCTTGACCCAGAAGTCTATTGCAAAGTGAGTCCCTAGGGAGAAAGCGTGGTTAAAGAGGCAGGAATGGTACCGCCGGCATGGGTAGCGACCTGATTTATTGGCCACTTGGGTCGTTGACCATCAAACCATATACCCAGGTGATACTGCCTCTGGGAACCTTCTCGGATATATCGTCATCGAAATTGGCTCGACGAAGGTCGCTGGAGGACTCCTCGAAAAAAGCGGCATGTCCTATTCCAATCACCCACGATATATGCGGTAAACTTTCTGATTAGAGAGCTATGGTCTGGTCAAAAGATAAAGTCGATTGAATAAGAAACCTTCAGATTTCTTCGATGCGTGTCTCGGTCCATCATACCCTGCGGAAAGTTTTACTGGTGTGTTACCGAGACCTACCACCTTTACAGTGAAACACATACCCTCTCATAGTCCTACTGACACGCCTTAGAAGAAAGAAACACTGAGGGTAGGTGGTCATTCGTGACTTCGCTGATGATTGGGTGAAGTAAGTTGATAGTCTAGCGTACATATCTACATGAATGCTGCCTGGAGTGGAAAGCTTTTCGATACATCCTGTGTTATTTGGTTCGTGTAGAATTCCGTTGATGTTACCAATGGCCATTGAACACAATCACTACTTGCATGTATGCACCTGGCAATAATGACATTCAGCTTGCTTGATAGCCTACCCCCGGGTTGTCCAGGCGACGTTGATCCTCAGACTGGGGATATCGTGGGGGCAATCTCATCACTCTTGTTGTGGCGAACCTCTGGGGTGACGAGTGAAGGACAACGATTCCACTGGGTGACGCTCACGATCTGGAACTGGTTTGTGAACAGGGAAAGTTGAAGTCTACTGCGACAGCGCTGTCACCTGCAGGTTATAGCGGGGACCCTGTTGTATTATCTAATCCCACACTAACAAACCGTCCGGGTTGGAAAACCACATGTAAGGCATCGCATAACTTGCTGTTCATGCAATCTCAGTTTTCTCGCAGGATCTCTGTGAGCAATTCAGACCCTTATGAACTCGAGCGTCTAGCTGAAGAGCTCGAAGCACGCGAGGTCTCCGGTTGCGACGGCGAAAACGAACTCACTCGTGGATTCGATCTTCCAGCGTATGTTCCTCTCTCGCACGATAATGAGTATCTCTCTGCGGAAACCTTCGATGTGGAGAAGTTCCTGCTGTCGCGCGTATACACGACGTTACCAGAACTTCGAGCAGAACTCAAAGATTATCTTTCATCGTTGAAGGAGGAGCTCGTCCAGCTCATTAACGATGATTATGAGGACTTTATTAGCTTGAGCACTGACTTGCGCGGCGAGAAATCGAGGTTAGAGAGGATTAAGGCACCATTGAGTACTTTGAGGCAACGTGTTTTGGTGCGTGTTCTTGCGTTCAGCGTTGTGCACCAGGGGGACTAGACGTCCACAGGTTGCTCGAAAGAGTTTGCAAGACATTCAAGACGCGGTGCAGGCCAAGTTAACGGCGCGGGCTAAATTACGGGACGAGAAGGTTGCTGTTTGATGTCGTTGTCGTTGCTTGGTACATAAAAGTTCAACGTGCCATCTGCAGGTACTGCTTCATCTTCTGCTCAAGATATCGGAGTCCCTTTCGCGTCTTGAGTCACTTTTGCTCCTTCAATCCGAGGACGCTCCCGACCACCCTGGGATGCTCCCGGCCCATCTGGCTGAAGTTGCCGGGCATAGTTCGACTGTGAAGTGATTAGTGCTGCATAAAAGCATTGCTTTAGCTGAGGGTTGCATTTTAGGACGCAGGGAAGCCGGGGGAAACATCTCTCGAGAGTTGCGACGGAGTATATGCAACTTCTCTATCATATTTCCAAAGCTCGCGCTGAGAAATGTGCATACGTTGATGCTATTCAGGAGGTACGTGAATATCTCTCGGTCTATCCGTTCTCATCTCCCATACCCTTATAACAGAGGGTAGACCGTGTCCGAAATACACTCACATCGGACCTCGATCATCTGTTTTCCGCTACATTACTGTCCATCACGGAAACCGACATTGGAAAGGTACAAGGGATCGAAAGATCAAAGGCAGCCTCAGAATTGACAGAATGTCTGAGAGTCTACGATAACTTGGGCCTTTGGCGAGCTGCAGAAGAAATTATCAGAAAGACCGTTGTCCAGCGCTTTGTCAGGAAGGTACGTGGATGCTCCCTGCCCGAAGGCGGTAGTTGACAATCCTTTCCAGACGGTATTTCAAGATACACTGGCTATTCCTATTTCACCTATGGTCCCGCGTACTCCAGTCCCATCTACCACTCATGTCCCAACTGGTGCCCATGTACCCCACACACCCTATACACCTTACACTGCTATCTTGCCGACGCAAAGCACTTCCAGCGATGTTCCTTCGGTAACTTCGTTCCTGGACGGGTATGACGATCCACTTGCAAGGCTGTATAACCAGATCCTCCGGTTCATCGAGCGGGACCTCTATCACATAATGGAAATTGCCGAGCGTGTATCGCCGAAGGTTTCGGCACGGTCGGTGGAGTCTCCGGGTGACGAGTTCGAAGGTCGCGGCACCGACGGTTTTGACATAATGGCCAATGTCATTTGGCCCGAATTTGGACAGGCTATTATGAATGAACTCGGTTCTGTAGTATTTGCTGCTGGAAAACCTGATGAATTTGTGAGAGTAAGTACCTTTGGGTCTTTCTACTATCCCCTTGTCAGCTGAACATTAATCTGCAAAGCGTCATGCATCCACACAGGCATTCATTCGCGCCTTAGAATTCCTGGCTCCAAGCAGGCAATCCGTGCAAGCCATGAGATGTCATCCCGTTTTTATTACATTCAACCGGCGCTGGCAACTGCCTGTTTACTTCCAGCTTCGTTGGAAAGAAATCGTTGGAGGCGTGGAAGATAGTTTAAGCGCTACCATCATTCAATCTGGAAGTGCCACATCTGACTCTGGTGTGCCATGCTTTCTTTGCACGTCACCACTTGGTTCATTATTATTGCCACAGGACGTTCCATGTTCTTAACGCCACAAGCGCAAAGCATTTTGACGTCAATAACGTCGTGCTGGGGTGCAGATATTTTTATCCCGGACTTGGCACCTCGCTTCTGGAAATTAACGCTGCAGGTACGCCAGTCAGCAGTTAAGTACAGATTTCGCTCACTAGGCACTAGTTACTCAGTAGATACAAGACATGGCTAGATGTCTCCCTCCCATCAACTGAGCCGTCTTCGAAGCCACCCACTGCTGAGAAGGTACGCATGCGTCCGTTAAACTGGCTGAATGCTGAATGCTAGAAGAGTTTCGTTGGCCTGCCGCAACCCCGCGCATCCACTCCACAGTCCGTTCACGAAATCTCCGCTGAAAACAGCCTCACAGACGATCTGCATTTGAGCCAATTTGCTACCGTACTGGTCGACATCAACACGATGAACGTCCAAGTTCTTACGCTTTGGAGAGAACGGATCAGTGCTGCTCTCCCAGAACCAACCATGAACGATGATGTATACGCTGCTTCGGAGGGTATGTCGTTTACCCTAATACGGTACGGGAGAGGTTAAAGCTGAGGTACAGATGTGCTTCGACAGCAATTAAGTTCGCTAGGACAGGTCTCCTCACTGCTCGCTTGCAAAGTGATGGTCCTTCTTTCACGACGTGCTTGCGACGCTCTGCTTCCCGTAAGATCTATTCCCTCACAACTCCGAGCGATGTCAAGCAAACGCGCGCCCACGGAGCCGAGTTACTTCATCTCGCAAATATTGCGACCAGTGAGGGCATTTTTTGGAATAGGTACACCAAATGGTCTCGGAGAGCGCTTGCGGGAATCTTTGCTCGATTACGTCGCGAAGGGGGTTTTCGATAATGTCTGTCAGAGGTAGAGCCCCTGGTTGTTGTGATGCCCTTCTTCCCTGAAACATCCTTTAGGTATATCCAATACCTCACAGCCATGAAGAAAACAGAGGAATCTTTGCGCCGTTTGAAGAAGGGAAAGAAGACAACGTTTGGGATCTTTCAGTCATCTTCCAGCACAAAAGATGAGGACAGGGACGAGGAGCGCATCGGAACGCAGATGATGCTCGACGTGGAGGCGTTAGGCCAAGACGCACAGGCTCTGAGTCGGGGTCTCCGGGACATTACAAGTTACGCACAGCTTGTTCAAATGGTGCAGGCCGATTTCGGAGATGGTAGGCAGCGTCCCGCTGAAAAGACAAATTGGACTCATGCATCCACTTAAGAATCGTAAACGGTCGCAGCTAACCTGGCACGTTCCACGGCAAAAGGTTGCTAGGTGGACAATGTAATTATAGAGGTACTAAGATGGACATTGCCTGTGATATATCGCCGACCGAGATATAACGAGCGTAGTGTCCGTATGGTTGCTTGTGATGTCGGGTCGTAACAGGGAGGTATGGCAGTGCGTACAGATGCTCTGAGAAGCGGACCACCCCCTCAGCTTTTCTTTGGTGTACTCTTCCACGGTATCGAAGACGTTCCGATTAAGAAGATGCTTGGAAATAACCAGCATGTCCTCATCGGTTCGATAGGATTCCAACATGCTAGTTAAGATCGTTCTAAACTCCGTATACGGAGTGCCTGAAGATGGCCCAGTGTACAACCCAGGGTCGACAAGACGTTTGAATATGCGAGGGAACGAAACTGCTCGGGTGGAGCTAATTGAGACGAACGATGCGAAGGTCTCTTGCACGAGGGCACGTAAAGTTGATAGTGCATTGTTCCTGGCAACATCTTGCGCACCATTCAAGCCAGACGTCTGCAATGTGGAGATTGTATGAATAGATTGCAATTGACTTGCGAGGAGCTGGAACCACATGTCTTCGAGTGTTACTCCCGTGAAACCCGATGCAGTGGACTGCTCCAGGCACATAGTTGTACTCCCGCGACCAATCTCCAGAAGTGAGTTGAGATGGTCACTAACGTCCGCTCTGTCCGCGTCGGATGTTGTTAATGTCCTCACGATGTCGAACGTCAACTGCTTTTCGAAAACTGCAGCCTTCTTCAACGCGGCTTGTATGAAACCCCTTTGACTCAACGCCCAAAGGACAGCTCCGTAAGCTCGGTTCTCCTCACATATCTGTTCGACAGCGGACCAATCGAGGTAATTCCGCATACGATCCAAAGTGTCGATCACATTGGGCGGCGCAAAGTGACACTGTAAAGTAACGAAGAGCCTTTGCAATGACTTGTCGATATTGGACGGATCGGGACGATGGTGGAGGATATTATCATCCTCTTCTACTCGGCTTCGAGGGTCCAGAAGGTAAACAAGGTATTCGTATTGCTTCTGTAGGTCCGTTGCGCCGATGGTGTCAAGGGCTATCTGGTGCAGCGTAGCAGCAAATTTGTCAATCAAGATGGCAGTCAATTGCAGATTGCTTCCAAGAAGCGCCCCGATGGCACCGGTTAGTTTTTGTACCATGTCCGAAGGCACCGTCATATTATTACCTCGCATTGAGAGGGTAAGGACTTCGTCGACGGACAAGAACAAGTCGGCTGACCCCAAGGCAGGATCTTCCAGATAGGACTGTAGAAGTTGCGGCCATCGCCGTTCCTGCCTGTGCCAACGTTGAAGAATACGATAAAAACCTGCGTCCTCAAAGAGCTTCATAATGAGGACGCTATCATGCGGGGTATACGCAGATAAAAGGTACTCCGTCGCCAGTTGACGATCCTCTCGGGTGCTCACATCCGTTGAAGTCGCAAGGGAGATGAGAATGTTTTGGAGTGTACTGGGAGGTTGTATGATGTCCTGTGGATATTTTGGGACATTACGAGCGATGAATATGTCCACGAAGGTGACGTCAGACGGGGTGAGATTGCTGTCGGATACGATATCCGAAAGAATAGTGACAATCCACAATCTGCTGATGTCATGAGACTCCTCGTCCTCGTTGAAGAACGAACTTTCGAATGCGAGATCTAGGCAGTGGAGGAATGATTCGGCATCAAAACGCAACAGTAATCGTGCGTAAGGATACGTTGGTTCCATCCCGCTATCATCACTTGTGAGGATAAGAGTACCTCCCTGAAGCGGCCAGATGGCTGAGCGACCATCGAAGATAAAGCGGTAGATATCTTTCATGGCCGTATGTGCTTCATCGATATCTAGGGGCTCTCCGCTAGGATAAGCTTGGCCACTCAAGATGTTAATGAGATATGGGAAGATCTTATAAGCATACTTAGAATCCGAATCTGTCCGGCTAGCTGTATTTGTTCGCTGTCTGCAGGCCAGCGTCTTTCGAATGAGGGACAGAAGCTCTACGATCGGCGAGACATAATCATGTAATGCACGAGTGTAGACGTAGATGAGAGCGTCCCAGAGCTCGTTAGCCTGGCAAAGTCGAATAGCTTGGTTGATATCCAGGCATGCAGGTTCGATGTGCCATATGATGCGTTCTGCCAAATCCAGGCGTCCGCTGCCATCGTGGAGTGCAACTAGCCGTTGAGTTATCCACGGTGGGATGGAGCGTATCGTGCCGTCTAAAACAAAGCCCTCGAGTTGTCCAAGATATATTTGTGATATCCCCGAGTTGTCAAAGTACTGGAACAGCTCTTCGAAGAGGAAGTCATAATTTGACAAGGCAATACAAGCGCGCGCACAAGTCACGACCAACCCCTCAAAGACGGAGGTCCTATCGACGCCACGTCCGTCAGGACTAAAATGCGTTCCGTCTGTCATCCTATCTTCCGAAAACACGTAACGAGTAGATGCGACCATCAACTCGCGAAGCCTGTTTCGCAAGATAGCAGTGCGTTCTTCGGGATCATCTGGTAGACCGTTGCGATTGCCCGGCGCTTCCCCCGTGTAGTATGCGCGTGTAATTTCAATGGCTTTCAAGAAGTCACCCCGTTCAACGCATGTCAGAATTTTGTCGGCCCAGGTGGATAATGTTCCCACTCGGACTTGTTCGCATTCCTGATTTAGGGTGAGGAAGAGTGCAGTACACACCAAAATCCGGGCGACATACCAAGAGAAATACCTTGCCTTTGTGAGTTCTGACGGCATGAGCGATGCCACCGATGGACTCCAGGTCCCTATAATTTGCATGGTTCCGAATGCGAGGCAACACAGTAGAGGTGTCAAATGGAACGTGCTCTATTGCGTCGGCGGTCCGGACATCATACACAAGAAGGCTTACGGCAGTGAACGCCACAAGTTGCTTTCATGGAGGTCATGGTCCAAATCCAGCACTGAGCGCACAAAAGTACTCACATTCACATTAAGCCATTGTAACGCAAGCACAGCATCCTCTGCTACCCACTTCCCAAAAGTTTGGAAAACGAGAGTCCCAACGTCGACTTCGCGCTTCTTGCCAGTGCGTGAACTTGTCACCACTTGCTTTATCTTCGTTTCCGATACCCGCATAAGTTGAATTACCTTTCCCCACGAATATGCTATGACCGGAGGGGTCGATTCACCGATATCATCCTTTTTGTCTTGACTAGCTTTGGTGCTTGGAGACCACGCTAGAATACCGCGACATCGATCCGACACAGTGGTGTCGGGTGTGCCCTCTCGCAGGTGCTTGAGCCAAGTCTTCGGTGTCGGCCTCATGCCAACCACAATCAACTTCGATGGAGTCAACATTGCAACCAGTTGATATGCGTCAGTCGGATGCGGAGCAGTACCAGGAGGGAGTGCTGCCATAGAAAGCACTGGGTTGCGGAGTCGCCAACGGCGAAAAGAACGGGATTGGAGACTACTTCCTTCTGTGGGTCCACTTTGAGGGTAGTTTCCAAGGATGCGGATGGTATCGGAGGCCTCTACAAACAGGACCTTGCCCAGGTTGTGGTAGAAGGCAAGACCGTGCTCGTCAGCACTAACAATGGCAGTGTGCCGACTCGCAACGAAAGCTACATCAACAACGCGGGAGCCAGCAAGGTGGCCCTCTTGCTTGCCAGACAGCACTCGCGGAAGGGACGCCGGTGCGATAATGCGCGTTGGCGAATAAGGATTCTTCAGATTGAAGAGCTGGACATAACCTGAATCGTGTCCGGACGCGACGTAAGTGTAATCATGGGACAGCGCGAGCGCCGATACGGATCCCACATTACTGGCTTTCTTGGTATAAGCGAGTACGGGTGTGGAAAAGCAAGGAACAATTACCTGAATCATTCCCACACGTACACAATAACGTCTGCTTAAAATCGAAGACAAATATGCGACCAGCGTCCGTACCCACGCAGATGAGACCATTCGCGGCCAGCACGGTCGGGGAACCCAAATTAGAAGCACCTAACAAGAGTGCAGCTTTGGACTGGCGTTTTCCGAATAGTTGACCGGTAACAGTCTGCAGAGAGGTCCACCTGAATGTCTCGCTGTCTACTGTCAAGTCGCCGTCATGACGAAGTGGTGTGGATGCCCTAGAAAGATTGGAGACATGTGACAATGGAGAATAGCCTCCTGCTGGTGTGAGGGAATCAGACGGGAGACCAAGGTTTGCGGATTGAGCAGGACTCGTCGGAAGAAAAGAGCGGAGCCGTGAGACAGAAGGGTGGACGAAAGGTTGAGGGGCTTGGACAACTGCGTCGGGGTGGTCCCTCGACGGTACGTCCTCATCGGCAACCATAGTCAGTGGTGGAGGAGAGGAGACTGGGCTGACTTCCGGGGAGACGTGCCTGCTACGGGGTTGTCGCTACAAGGAAACACCCTTTAGCCACAGCACACGAAGCAAGCCGTTCATGCATGACATACGATTGCAGTGTCGTCGACCTCGTCAGGCCACGGACTGGCAACGTCATAATGGTGCCCTGACCTCGAATTGTTGTCGTCCGAGTCATCTTTCTCGAGAACAGCACGCAATTGTTGTTGATAGTTCGTAGCAGCCACGTATTCCGCATCCACACCGTCGTATACAAATTCTTCGTCGTCATCGTCGCCGAAAACTCCTTCCAGTTCAGTATCATCATCAAAGAGCTCCTCCATACGTGCAGAGTAATCGCCCGCGTGGTCCTCTGCTTCAGCCTCACCATGGCTAGAGCCACCTAGTGAAGAGGAACTGCCGGGTCTTTCGTCGGAGCCTCGTCCCTCCGCCATGATCGACCTGACAGAAATGAAGCTTGAAGGCTGCAGTGGGTCACTCTGCGGAATGCCGTTGGTAAATATGTTTTGTTTACATACATACCTCTAGTGGTCACTACCAAATACAACCACGTGAGCGGGAGTGATTAATGTACATCATACAGTATCAGTGATATATAAATCGATAACCTCACAGTAGCACGAAACCTGAAGAGAAGTCAATCCTACGTATCCTGGTCTGACATGCCAGTCACGATGCTGGTCGCCGCTCACGTTCTCTGCTCTTCACCCCCGGCCCAAAGCGTTCCTGGAAACTGATCAACTCCTCCATGAGCTCCTCCATCATCTTCATGGTAGGCTTGGAGTCTACACAAGAGCGATGCGTGGATTCAACGAGGACTGGTTGGGACGGCAAGGAAGGGGTTTCCGCTGAGTTATCTGAGACCACTGGCGTCCCACGTGCATTGCCATCAACGGTATCCGTGGGCGCCGACAGGTTGGCGACCTCGTCCGAAACCCTCATCTCCTTCAAAGCTTTCTCCAACGCTTCCCTTCGTCGCCCACGGTCCGCAGCCCCGGCTTGCTCTCGTCCAACCCATTCGACAAGCGCGCGCACACGTTTATTCATGTCGCCGACACTCATGCGTTTGCTGGGCCACTTCACTCGTACTCCACGCTCCATCGTCCTGTCCAACGACTCCCTCCCCCCTGGACCTACAACCGAGCGCACTTCAAGAGGACGGGGGATCTGTGACGGAAGCATGTGTTCGAGGTGTGCCAGGTAGTCTGGCAAGTTCCATGACGTGAAGAGTGGCTGTTGCGGGACTGCGTATGCATGGGAATTGCGGTAATAGGCACGCGAATTCTCGGCAGAATTGTTTCCCCCGCTCTGGTGATATCGTTTATGCGCGCTAAGATGGTCTTGCGAGACACTGCCTGACGCGTGTGAGGATGGTGGCGGACGCTTTGCTGCAGGAGCAGCCCTACTGCGACCATTTTGACCAGATCGCTTAGACGATACTGAACTAGCGGTTGAGTCACGTGAGCAACGATAGGGGTACCGCACATACCTTCATCACCTTCGGCAACTGCACCATCCACGTTAGCAGTGATTGCCTTGCGTGAAGTTGCTCCACCACGTCGACTGCGAGGGCCTGATTTCCCACCAGTATTCTGGTTACGTTTGGGAGGCGGTGGCGGTGGCGGGAGTTCTTCATGCACAACACTTGCAATTTCTGGGGGATCCGAGGCGCTAGACGCGGACCTCGTACGCTTTTTCGGAGGACTGTTTGATAACATTAATACAGCACAGGTGTTGCGACCGGTAGCTTAATCGACTCACGGGTCATCTTCTGCTCGTTTTCGCTTCCTCCGACTGTTGCAATCATCGTCGTGGGTCTCTGCCGGGCCATTAACGACAGCATTCGCGCTAGTACTCTGCGACTCTGTAGCAGCAGCAGCCTCCGCAGCCGTTGCCTCCATTATCTCTTTCAGGCTTTCGTCGAAAGCGGCGTCACGACTATTCATTGTATTACGCCTCTTCGCGGGCTTCGACATGTGAGTTGGAGAGTGTGAACGAGAGAGTCGCGAGGTAGTGAGGTGTGAATGCGTAGACGATTGACGAGCCTTCTTCGCTAATCGCCTGGGAGGGGCAGCAGATCAAGTCAAAACATGTCCAAGGAGTCATGCTAGGACTCTTACCTGAAAAGTTCTTGATGCCTTTCCGGCTTGCATTGTTCGCAATGGTAGTCATCTTGAAGCTCCACCTCGGATTTAAAGCCCATGCACAGTCCATGTTGCCAGACATTGCATGTCTCGCACTGGACCATAAACTCTCCGCCATCCGCATCTTCCTCTGTGATGTATATCAGAAAATGTGATAAGTACCATTGGGATGAGACCGGGGGCACACCGTTCAAACCACATATACAGCGCGTGACGCCCTGTTCCTCGGCGTCCTCCTCATGTGGCTCAGCAGTGCCAGTGGTGGAAGAGCTGCCTAGCTTGCTGGAAGTGGGCTCGATCGGTAAATCTGAAGTTTGCTGAGCCTTTTCTTTTTCTTTCCCTTTGCGTTTTGCTCTGCCATTGGCGTTCCCATGGTTGGAGGCGCCACCATTAACGTGGCCGTTCTTGTGAGGAACGCCATCGTCGTGATCTTCCTGCTTTGGCTTCTTGGAGCGACCATTGCTAGTCGCACCAGATAAAGCAGGCCGAGAAGATTCTTTGTTTTTAGGAGTAGACTCGGATGCAGGAGAGTCTGGAGATTTGGATGTGCTGGCTGAAGCAGAAGCAGAGGTAGCAGAGCGTCTTCCAGAACGGCGAGTTTCGCGAGGAGATGACGGAGGGCCCATGGTGATAGCTTGTGCCATGGTGATGGTTTGAATGGGGGGCACTGGCTCAGAGTAATACTCGTCTGGCCCACAGTCTAATATAATAAGTATGGTTGTAAGGTGTCCGCGTCTTTACACTTATTTAGGGCTGGCAACGACACGCTTTATCTTCCTCCCTTTCACCCCAACGTCCACCTTCGTACACCCTGTTGCTCCCGCTTCTCGCCCACCAAGACGATCCGATCAACTTTGCACCCCAGTGATGGCAGGGGCGATATCCCCGCATGCAAAGTAACCCTCAAGGCTCTCGGCAGTTAGCCGTCCTCCGCTTGTCCATCAACTCCTGTCCTATGGCTCTCCCATCGACTCCCCGAGATCGTTTGGGAGCGTCCGCATCTGTGACTCTCAAGTCTGCCAGTTGAAACGCTCTTAGTCGTGCTTGAGGAGTATGTGCATTGATTTTCATCCACGTGATCACTGCGCGTCCAACGCGTCTAGCTTCACATAACGTCACCTTGGCATTAGTCCATTCCGGAGGAAGAACCATAGATAAAGCCATGGTCATATGCGACGTGTTTCTTGGCGCTTGTAACAAGTGCTTAGAGAAACTTGCGCCAGGTAATCGTTTAACGTCGTGTTGGGTGGCCCAGCAGGGGATCGGACCACAAAATACATGGCACAGGAACAGTAGTCCCACCTCATCGCTGGCGGACAAAGTATGCAGCGACCTTCATCCCTGGGCTACTTGATAACGTAGTCAATCAATCTCATCCCGTCCCAAGCGGAGTCAGTCGCTACGGAAAGGAGTTATCGATGTCTTACCTCCCCGCCGCGCACACGACTATCAGTGATTCGGTCGTACTTATCTATCGTGCCTTAATGTCACATGCTTGTGTCCCCGTAACTTCACAATTTGGTCAATGCCGTGTCATGGATCCAAAGATCTCAGACTTGGAGTACGGAGTGATCCGAATCAGCTGTTGCGTCGGATCATATCTCTCCAACCGTAACTGCTACGTATCACCGCATCCTAATTCCTCCCCATTGTATTGTTGTAAAAAAAACTTGACTGGAATGTGTAGCCTTGTTTAGTCGTGCAGTTGTTCCTAATACCGATCCGGTAGTTGCCGTAGTCGAGTCAGAAGACTATATTTAATAAACACGAAGCAGCCAAAATTTACACCCATACAACAGCGACGTCCGATGATCGAATACTCATCCAACGCACCAACACCGCTTGCCTATCCAAGGCTGTCCGCCCACGATCTACTGACATCAAACGAGCCAGATTACCTTAAACTCATTTTAACTGCAAAAGTATATGACATCATCAAGGAAACCCCGCTCGTCTATGCCCCCAATCTTAGTGCAAAACTTGGAAATCAGATATGGCTCAAGCGTGAAGATCTTCAGGAAGTCTTCAGTTTCAAAATAAGAGGCGCTTACAACTTCATGGCCAACATGCGAGTAGAGGAGCGGTGGAAGGGTGTCATCTCATGCAGTGCTGGTTAGTGTGCGTACCCTTGCAATGAACCCCTCTCCACAGCATCGAGTTCTGTACAAAAGATGATGTCTATGGCCCTCTTTACAGGTAACCACGCCCAAGGAGTCGCTCTGTCCGGTACCAAGCTCAACATTCCATGCACCATCGTCATGCCCACCGGCACCCCGTCCATCAAAGTGCGCAACGTCGAACGCTTAGGTGCTAAAGTCGTCTTGCACGGCTCAGACTTTGACGAAGCCAAGGCTGAGTGTGCACGCCTAGCGGCCGTGCACAACCTTATCTTTGTCCCCCCCTATGACGATCCGCTCGTCATTGCTGGTCAAGGAACTATCGGTATGGAGATCCTCAAACAATTGCCCGACGCGACACATCTCGACGGTATATTTGCTGCCGTCGGTGGCGGCGGGTTAGCTGCTGGCATTTCCGAATACGTGAAGCGTATTGGTAGCCCAAATACCAAGGTGTATGGCGCAGAAACTGTGGACGGGGATGCCATGTACCAGAGTCTCAAAAAAGGAGAGCGTGTCACCTTGCCGGAAGTCGGGCCTTTCAGCGATGGCACAGCTGTCCGCATCGTCGGAGAAGAGCCTTTCCGTGTCTGTCAACGACTCCTGGATGAAATTGTTATCGTCAATGACGATGAATTATGTGCTGCCATCAAAGACATATTCGAAGGTATGAATGCTAGCGGTAGTCATACAGTTGGTGCCGTTAATCATTGTCTTCGCCAGAAACAAGATCTATCACTGAGCCCGCTGGTGCATTGGCCCTTGCCGGACTAAAGCGCCACATTATTAGCAACGGACTGGTCGGTGCACAGAAAACATTTGTTGCCGTCGTAAGCGGTGCAAACATGAACTTCGATCGACTTCGGTTCGTTGCAGAGCGCGCTGAACTGGGTGAAGGCCGAGAAGTTCTTCTAAGCGTGGAACTTCCAGAAAGACCTGGAAGGTAAGTTGGTAGCAGTTACCGCGCATTGATAACCTGATGCTTAGCTACTGAAACCTAATTAACTGCACTGTCCAGCTTTTTCGCACTACACTCTCTTATCCACCCACGCGCAGTAACCGAATTTGTCTATCGATACAGTTCATCGGATCGTGCACACGCTTTCCTTTCCTTCAGGGTCGAGTCTTTGTCGCGCGAAAAGGAGGTCGCGGAGGTCCTTAGCGCCATTAAAGAAGCTGGAATGTCTGCTTTCGATATGAGTGACGACGAAATGGCGAAGACGCATGTGAAGTATATGGCTGGTAGATCAGTCGTCGTGCCCCACGAACGTCTTTTCCGATTCGGTATGAGTGCGGTTCGCAGTCTGGACTTGTGTGTTAACCGTAGTGATGTTGGTCCTGCAGAGTTCCCCGAGCGGCTTGGGGCGTTGCGCACATTCTTGTCTGGACTTCATCAAGGTTGGAATATCACACTTTTCCATTACCGCTATCACGGAGCAGGTTTGTAATGCACTGTTTTGGACACTTCGGTTGCGCTGACGAACCTAGATTTGGGCAAGGTCTTGGCCGGGATTCAAGTGCCGCCTGAGGACAGTAATCATTTTCAACAGTTCTTGGACAAGCTCGGATACCATTATGTTGAAGAGACGGACAACGAAGTGTACAGGAAATACCTCAGGGGCTAAAGGGAACCAAGGTGACGGCGGTCGGTACTTGAAGGGAGGAATGTAATTTTGCCGAGCTGCAGGCTTTGTCTCGGCCAATAAATATCCGTGCTGTTGAGCGACAGGTCGTAAGAGTCATGCGGGTACCTACGGAATGGACCACACCCAAACCATGAATCAACGCAATTTTAGATATACCTTCTAATATGGCATTGAGAACGGGACAGTGAGATGGGTCATGCGTAGTCCACGTCAGTGAAGATCCGAACGATCTACAAAAGTAGTTCTGGCCACCCGACTGCATGGATACGCAGGGTGACTGTAAATTACCACCGGTCCTCGCACTGACGGTAGGGTACAGGGAGCAGGTAACCAGGCTATGCAATGGAGAGCCAGAAGTGAAATAAGCTACTGGTAAGCCCCTGCATGAACCCTGAGTCCCCGCAAGTCAACATCCGAATCTCATGGCGAGGAAGACCACGTGCGTACATGAAGGTCTAGCCATCAGTGTCCGTGTCCTTGACCATGAGATTTCGCGTAAAAGGTGTCCGCAACGACATAAGCAGTGAAAGCGACTACGGCTATGCCTAAGCCGGGGAACAGGCTGGAAAACATGGCTCTATTTGAAAAGACGGGATGCTTCCGCCAGGCCTCTCTCTTCGCCCAAGGATCCCTGAAAAGCGGCGGCTGGCTGGCCATGATGTTTCCTTCAAACAGAACCCGTTAGTTTGGCCTGCTCAACGATGCAAAGAGCACATTCGCCTCACCTTTCTGGATGGTCAGTTCGGTGTAACAATATCGGCCAAGTCGGGAACAAGAGCGGAAGCCTGTGTCTCGATCACGTGACGAATGAAGGGCAGGCGCATCAGGACTTGAGGAGAATTTCACTCGCCAACCGCACAGAGAAACCCTCTAACACACACTTGACCGTATGTACCTCGCCACTCGCCCCATCTGACTACTTCTCTTCGCTAATGTTGGCTACTTTTATTCCAACAGGTATTTCCTCAGCAGCTAAGGCATGTCCTCAGATGAAGATACTCCTCTTGGTACTTTGGCAAGCACGAGCGGGTCGAAACATGTCGCCACTAACGGCAATAGCTCTCTCAATGGCTTCGCGGACGGCTCTTCCATGAGTGAGGACGAGATGCCCTTGGTATGTGCATTGTTGTGAATGTTCCTTTTTCAAATCACCCATTATATCCGTAAGTCGCAGGTCAGTGTTCAGGCGCCCGTACGCCCGCTGCGACGGAAACGGGATGCAGGTGATGCATCCGACAGTAGTGACGACGATATTCCTCTCGCGTCGTCTTCGCCCGCTAAACCGACCGTGTCAGTTACTACGCAAGTGGCTACTACACCGAAAACAATTTCGGACCAGTCGAAGCAGACCAATGGGAAAGCCAAAGGCAAGGTCAAGGCCCCTCCCAAAAAGAGAATTAAGCGGGAGCCGAAGTCGGAGGCGCCGGAGTCATCTGCTTCGGAAGACGAGCGCCCCCCACCCAAGAAGCGGTCGAGGACAAAAGTCAAGACCGAGAATAACGTCGACGGTGCTATCTTAGGTGATGAGGAGGCTAAACCAAAGCGGAGGAGTGCCGTCAAGAAAGAGGCAAAGAAGGAGGATTCTGGTACCCCCCGGCCAAATCACTCGAAGAAAGGAGAGGAAAACGATGAGGCGGAGGAAGAAGAAGAAAAATATCGATGGTGGGAAGCTCAGCAAGAGAACGACGGTGAGGAGAAGTGGCAGACTTTAGAGCACAGTGGCGTGATATTCCCGCCACCCTATGAGCCATTGCCGTCCCACGTGAAGATGGTGTACAAAGGTTTGTGTGCTTGTGTCTCACCAGAGGAAAACTCAGCTCGTATTCTAGGCAAGGAAGTGGACCTTCCTCCTGAATCCGAGGAGGTCGCTGGTTTCTATGGTGCGATGCTGGAGACGGATCATGCGAAGGACAAGACCTTCAATAAGAATTTCTTTGAAGATTGGTTAAAGGTGTTAAAGGAGTACCCTCCCGTGCGTAATTTTCTTTTACATTATGGTACAGTTCGTTGACGAGGGTTTCAGCGCAATGGTATCAAAATTACGGACTTCGACTTGTGTGATTTTAGGCCAATGTACGAATATTTCGAGGCGGAGAAGGCAAAGAAGAAGGCTCTCAGCGCTGCAGAGAAGAAAGAGCTAAAGAAACAGAAGGACGCAATGGAGGAGAAATATACCTACTGCGTCCTCGATGGTCGCAAGGAGAAGGTGGGAAATTTCAGAGTAGAACCACCGGGGTTATTCCGTGGTCGTGGTGACCACCCGAAAAAGGGCGCTTTGAAGGTGAGCACAAGTAACGTGGATAGCCACGCATCTGGAGATCACCTGGCGAACAGTTTCGCGTACGACCGGAGGACATCACCCTCAATATTGGCGAAGGCGTTCCGATTCCTGTGCCGAACATGTCCGGTAACTGGAAAGCAGTAGTGCACGACAAGACCGTTACTTGGCTTGCCAACTGGGTGGAGAATGTCAACGGAAGCTATAAATACGTTTTCCTAGCCGCCGGCAGTTCACTGAAGGGTCAAAGTGACATGTCGAAGTTTGAGAAGGCTCGAGAGCTGAAGGTCGGGTCTATGTTCATTCTATCATTCGGATGCTGACAGTTATTTAGAAATATGTTGATAGAATTCGCCTAGACTACACGGCTGATCTGAAGAATAAAGTCATGGCTGATAGACAGCGAGCAACCGCGATGTACTTCATCGACCGACTGGCTCTTCGTGCTGGCAATGAGAAAGGAGAAGACGAAGCAGATACTGTCGGTTGTTGTTCGTTGCGCTGCGAGCATGTAACGCTGGAGGCACCAAATTTCATTATCTTTGACTTCCTCGGTAAAGATTCTATTCGATACTATAATCGGGTACCGGTGGATGCTCAGGTCTTCAAGAACATCCGGCTATTTAAGGAGAACAAGGGGGACGACGACAACTTATTTGACCGCGTCAATGTAATTCAGCCGTTAGCTCTTCGCCTGTGGTTTGATTCTGACGAGCCATTAGACCACACACCTTAACAAGCACTTGCAATCGTACATGAAAGGGTTAACGGCTAAGGTGTTCCGTACCTATAACGCGTCCATAACTTTCCAGCAACAGTTGGACGAGGGTACACCAAAGGACGCAACTACGCAGGAGAAGTTGAATGCGTACAACCACGCTAATCGCATGGTTGCCATTCTTTGTAACCATCAACGGAGTGTACCCAAGACTCACGAGCAATCTATGGGCAAGATGCGTGATAGAGTGCGTTGTACTCTTGTTAAATGGCTACGCGTCCATTAACCGTCGAATGCGTAGCTTCGTGCTCTTAAGTATGACCACATGAAACTGCGCCACGTTCTCTTCAACCTGGATTCGAAATACCGGAAGATGAAGCAGTACGCTGACGATGAATCTGATTTGGATGACGAGTGGATTGTGGAGCATGAGGAATCTTTGAAGAAGAAAGAAATAGAGAAGGTGGAAAAGAAGTTTGCGAAGGATAATGAGAAGTCGGTTGAGGAAGGTAACAAGCCTCAGGACGAATCCGTCCTCCGGGAGAAGATAGCAGCCATTGAGGTGGAATTCAAGCGAATCGCTAAGGAACGAGGAACCGGAAGAGCCTCACTAAAGAGGGAACGTCCTGCGGAAAGAATTGAGGAGAGTATACAGAAGTTAGACGAGAAGATCAAGACATTCAAATTACAGATGGACGACCGGGAAGCGGGCAAAGAGGTCGCCCTGGGTACCAGGTCTGTGTCGTCCTATTTTATCGGCCGAATGGTGTACACTCACGAGCGCTCAATGTAAACAGTAAGATTAACTATCTCGATCCTCGGTAAATTGCACCGATTTCCATCGGCCATGGCACTCACATTTGGTTCCCAGGATTACCGCAGCGTGGTGCAAAATCCACAATGTCCCTATAGAGAAGATATTCTCGAAGACTCTGCTAACCAAATGTGGGTATGGTGCTGTCATTGTTGTGCTGGCATTGACAAGCTTGGGATAGTCCCGTGGGCCATGGAAGCAGAGTCCGACTGGAAGTTCTGATTCGACTCCTGGGTGAATATTATCATTATTCTGCATGTGGCTGCCAATACCATGGAGTAGAAGAGAACGGACTTGATTTATATTTTGTTGCATAGAGACGTATATAAACCAGATATATATTTCAGTAATGTGAATGTGAGCGACAACACAACTGCAGAGCCGTCCATCTCCGCCTTGCGTATGGACACTGTTTGTCCGAGTTGTCCAGGTCGAGTATAAAGTTCAGGTGGTCAGGACCAAGCCAGCCATCTTGCTGCAACAACGTGTCTTACATATTAGCCGGCCGACATACCCTTCCTTCTTCCACGACCGTCACGACTACCCTTTACCCATGAGCAAGCGAGCGGACACGAAGTTATTCGCTACCAAGTCAGCTTTCGACGCCCTCGCCGTCGAGGACGTAGAACAATCAGAGGACGAGGAAGTGGCCTCGGGCGGTGCTCCTTCGTTGCAATCTGACAGGTGTGTCTACTCCTGTCCTCTCAGGTACCTACCCAGTTGATGCACACGACCACTATTCTGTAGCGTGGAGCAGCCGAAGCCGTCCAAATCGCAACAAAAAAAGGCCGCCAAGCTTGCTCGTACTGAGAAGCGAAAGCAACTCAGAGCCGCTGCTAAAGCCGGCATAACAGATAGTTCATCCAAGGTTACCTCGTCGCTCGAGAAATCGGCGATAGGTTCGACTGTGCTTACAGAGGATGAACTTTTCTCTTCGGAGGGTGAGCATCTGCCACCCCACTCGAACACCGAGAGTGATCGCGAGGAGACGGCCCCACTGCCATCACATATTCCTAATAGCAGTTTTTCGGACAAAACTGCTCACTGTACGTGATTGTTTTGGCACGGTGCCGAGACGGGTCCTTGACGCGCTAGGTCAATAGCACTTCCCCCGTTACCAGAGGAGGCCAGGGCAATACCCGAGGCGGGAAAGCGTACCATCACTACAAAACCAACGACCGCAGGACCACCTATTCGAGCTGATGCAAAAGATTTGGATATTGAGCGCAGCAAGAAGCGACAGAACATGATTACAAGGACCTTGTGGACCTTCATCATGATTGGAGGATTTGTTGGTATGCGGCAGAATTATATCCGTTTCGTGAGCGAACGTATTCAATAAAGCTCCAGGTCTTCTGCTCATGGGTCATGCCTACATGATCATTCTGGTGATGCTATGTCAAGCCCTAGTCTACCGAGAGGTGACAGCACTTTTCTCCTTGAAAGACCACGCGCCAGATACTGTCGATATCGACACTCGAGGGCAGAAGGACCCGTGGAGCAAGACCCTTAACTGGTACTTCTTTGCGGTCACAAACTACTTCCTCTACGGCGAAAGCATCATATACTATTTCAAGGTAAGCGATCCATTAAGTCCCCAAGTCTATCGCTTATCTTCCCTTAGCACGTCATCTTCACAGATGGCCAATTGTTGCCATTTGCAATGAACCATAGGATCATCAGCTTTACTTTGTACACGATAGGTTTCATGGGCTTCGTGATGTCGCTCCAGCGAGGCTACCTGAAGCAACAATTTGGGCTATTTTGCTGGGTTCACATGAGTCTACTTCTTATCGTCGTCTCTAGGTAAGGATATATCGTACGCAAAGTGACGGCTGCTCTGACAATATCCGCAGTCACTTCATTGTTAACAACATCCTGGAAGGCTTGATCTGGTTTTGGGTACCTGCCGCATTGGTTATTTGCAATGATGTATTTGCGTATATCTGGGGTATCACCCTTGGTCGCACTCCACTTATCAAGCTCTCACCAAAGAAGACTGTCGAGGGCTTCGTAGGAGCCTTCTGGAGCACGCTTATCTTCAGTGTCCTCTGGGGTTCCTACTTCATGCAGTTCAAATATATGATCTGCCCCGTGCACGATCTTGGAGTTAGCATCTGGAGCGATGTTCAATGCGTACCTAACCCTGTCTTCATTCGACGGGAATGGGAGATATGGGCACCCCTCCGGGTCTTCTTGTCGCAAATTGTACGTTTAACAGTCTCATGGCCCTTGTTACTGCTGATACCCCTCACAGCTTGGCCGTCCAGTAGCCGTCATACCATATGTTCCCTACCAACTTCACTTGTTGGTCTTCGCCATCTTTGCCTCGCTCGTTGCACCATTCGGGGGTTTCTTTGCATCAGGCTTCAAACGTGCCTTTAACATCAAAGACTTTGGTCACAGCATCCCGGGACACGGGGGCATGACGGATCGCATGGACTGCCAGTAAGTTACTCGTCGGAGGAACCTCTGAAGCACACTAAACCTCGCGCTAGATTCCTGATGGGTGTATTTACTTATGTCTACTACAGCAGTTTCATTCGCGAGCATCATGTTACCGTTGGATCTATTTTGCAGTCGATTGTCAGTGGCTTGTCAGTCGAAGAACAGTTAGAGTTGATGAAGGATCTTAAGAAGTATATGCAAGGACGGGGAATTTTGATGGATTGATAGATATGCGTTCTACTTTACCCTCTCGCTTGCGGGCATCAGCATCATCACCTTAGTTGTGCAAATAATAACACCAATAGTTTCACTCGATGGCAGGCCCTTCAGCTGAAGCCTTCGTTGACGGGCATAATCAGCGAGCAATACATGCATGATCATAGTGTGAGAAGAACATGATAATGGCAGTACGAACTATATACTTCTTATGACCTTGGTTTTTCCTGAGGGTGAGCGGATAATGTCAAATCATTTGTGTATCTGGGGCCATGTAGAGACTCACCTTCTTCTCCTTCCAGAGAGCAAGGAGACCGACACCAGAAACCTTGACAACCTTGAATCGCACACCGGGAATATCACCCTTGGCCTTTCCACTACGACCGAAACCCGATATAAGAACTTCATCGTTCTCATCGACAAAGTTCAGGCAACCATCATTCTGTATGCAAACTCCTAAATCGTGGCTCTTGGAACCAAGATTGAGACACTCACAGGTACGAAAGCCGTAACCTTCTTGCCATTCTTGATAAGTTGCACACGCACACATTTGCGGATGGCAGAGTTAGGCTGCTTAGCCTCAACGCCGACTTTTTCGAGTACGATGCCCTTTGCGTGTGACGAACCACCAGTTGGAGACGTCTTATAAACGTTACCAAGAGCACGCTTTTTGTATGATTTATCCGCCTGACAATAATCATGTCAGTTGCGTAAAGCAGACAGCGGGATGGCACGCCATTACCCAGCGGTTTACACGCCGGTCATTGCGGAGTTTGCGAGCGGCTTGAAGTCCACGAGGTTTGTTGGCTAGCGCATCCGTGAATCAGCGATAATGGTACAGCCAGAATATAGCGTTTGAACGTACAGCCCATTCTTGCGGTCGATGCGGTCGACTCGTCGATGCAAGTTAGTGTTCCTCCAATCCATCGGCAAATCCCGCAAACTGTACAGTTTTTGCAGCCACCACATGAATAGAGTCGTCACGTGACTCATCACATGGCAGCAAAACGCGTATTCTGAGAACGCCCCTGCATGCGGGCAAATAATGTGGATCGGTCTACTTGGCATACGACGCCGTTGGAGTAGCACATCCGTGACTCGCGATGGAAGACCGAACTAGCTTGCTTTTGTTGTATATGTGGGTACATAACGCTCGTATACGGCGGACAACCAGATCGTTGTTAACGACCGCTATCTGGAAAATAATACCTATTATTTGTGCGTGAGCACTCCATTTCGCCACGCACTTAAGCGGGGGTTCTGCAAACGGCTAAGTAGCGAAGGGATGACCTCGGCCTGCAATTAGTGTAGTACTACTACACATCTGAGGGGTGCTAAGGACCGGATTACATAAGCTAAATATCAAGGAAGGTGAAAATGTTTTGGAAGCACTTGGCACTTTAGTTAGCAAGTCTCGACTGACTATCGTAGGCTGCCCCTTCTGTGTAAATGGCAGGACAGAAACGATCACGATTAGAGCAAGACGATCAAGAGAACTCTGATTCATCTTTCTCAATTGTTCAGGCGGAAGGCGATGACATTGACATATCATCAGCTTTGGCCGGAAAGCGTGCACGCCGCGAGTCATCAGACGAGGATCATGTTACAGATGATGATGAACTCCAAGAATTCATCAACGACTCTATTGCAAAGAGGAACGTGAAAGGAGGGACAGCACTTCTCAAAAAAACCAAGAGTAAAGGAAAGGGCAAAGGAGAAGTCGGCGGTGGTAGCTTCCAGAGCATGGGTATGTCCACCCTGTGCCTAGTCTGCAATTCTTGATCGCCTCCTTTTTCTGTTAGGTCTCCACCCATTCCTGCTTCGTGCATTGACTATTCAAGGGTACCGGACACCTACCCCGATTCAGCGTGCAACTATTCCTTCCCTACTCGCGTCGCCACCCAGAGATCTGGTAGGAATGGCACGCACAGGATCGGGAAAGACTCTTGCATACATGATACCCTTGTTACAACGTCTTGGTGGTCGCCATTCACATGCCTTTGGTGTGCGTGCTATCATCCTCGTCCCAGCCAGGGAGCTGGCTCTTCAAGTCCTCAAGGTTGGGAAAGGCCTCGTCAAGGGTTGGCGAGACGACGGTGGACATCATGCTGGCGATGGTGTGGATAACGAAGACGTTATCAAACTTGGTCAAAGTGAAACTCTACGTTGGGGTCTGGTTGTAGGGGGAGAAAGTATGAACGAACAGTTCGAGATGATAAGTAGTAATCCAGACGTGTTAGTATGCTGTTTCTGCAACGCCCGTTTACCCGTTTCATTAACCTCGCTACAGAATCATCGCAACTCCCGGCCGCCTCCTCCACTTGATCGTTGAGATGAACTTGTCTCTTGCTAAAGCCGAATACGTCGTTTTTGATGAAGCTGATCGCCTCTTCGAGCTCGGATTCTCTACTGCACTTACGGAAATATTAGCGCGTCTGCCCGCTTCCCGACAAACTCTACTCTTCTCCGCCACCCTTCCAAAGTCACTGGTGGAGTTTGCGAAGGCTGGATTGCGAAATCCTAAACTAGTCCGCCTAGATGCAGAGTCCAAGATAAGCACAGACCTCCGGATGGCTTTCTTCTCTGTGAAACCGGCAGAGAAGGATGCTTGCTTGCTCTCGTTACTCCGGGATGTCATCAAAGTTCCTCTTGGCGATTCATACGGCATTTCCGATGACAATCAAAACAAGGATACTAAGGGAAAGGGCAAGGCAAAACCCGGGCATCCCATGCAGACCGCACCACATCAGACTCTCGTGTTTGCAGCAACCAAGCACCATGTCGAATACCTATCTACATTGCTTACAGCTGCAGGCTACGCTGTGTCCTCTCTTTACGGTTCACTCGTGCAGTCGAGTAGAACGTATCAAATGTCTCAGTTTCTGGCACGGAAGACACAGATCCTGGTCGTAACGGATGTTGCAGCTCGTGGTTTGGATATTCCGATTTTGGAACATGTTGTAAACTACGACTTCCCCGTCGGCGCTCGCATTTTCGTGCATCGTGTGGGGCGAACTGCGCGTGCAGGAAGAAGGGGATGGGCTTGGAGTTTTGTAACCCACTCCGAAGCCGCTTACCTTAGCGACCTGCAACTTTTCCTTGGTCGACCGCTTTTGAGTGCCAATTCTTACCCCCCTGCTGTTCGCACCTCCGAGGTTCCGTATACGCAATCGCTCATCCTCGGACCGTTCCCGCGGGATACGATTGATGTAGAGGTCGAGTACATCCGGTCACTTGAAATCACCCAAAATAACCTGACTAGCCTACGCGGAGTGATGGAACGTGGACAATCTATGTACGAACGTAGTCGAGGGAAGGCTAGCGTGGCGAGTTACAAACGAGCAAAGGAGTTGACAAAGAGTGGCGGGGGGTGGGCAAGCAATGCAAATGGTACGCACCCTGTACTGGCACTCATGCAGTATACACTCGAGGGTAACGCGGATAACGGCCTTGAGGAGGAGCGGTCACGGGAAGAAAAGCGACTCTCGATGGTTCGCGCTGTCAATTCGTTCATGCCCACAGAAACGGTGTTCGAGGTTGGGACGCGTGGTAAGGCGAATGCGGAAACAGCAGCCCTGATGAGGGAACGGAGGAGAGCACTGGCCAAGACTGCTGAGAGGACGCGACTGTCAACCGCAGCCGCCGAAGAGTCGGTGGTCAATGATGATGATTACACTATGGACAATGATAACGTTGAGATAGAAATGGCCGACGAGGAGGATGTCGCAGTGAGTATGCGTCATGCGTCGTGCTCTTATCGCGGAACTAACCGTCTTATAGGCCGTGTTTGGTGTCTCGTCCCAGAAGGGGAGAACCAGCTTTCGCGACGATGGCTTTTATATGTCCCATTATCAAAAAGACTCTCACACGGAGAAAGGGTAAGATAGCCGTCGTGTCGTTTCGCTGGATTTACTGACGGAATGCCTTTAGATATTCACTGGCGGATGGTGCTTCTTCATTTGCAGTGCAGGCCAATAGCGCGTTGCTCGATCTTGCGGGAGATGTAACAGTGACAGAACGACAACGGCACAAGCTCACTTGGGATAAGAAAAAGAAGAACTTCGTGAAGGGAGATGGTGTAGGAGCTGACAACATTAAGCTTGTGCGCACAGAGAATGGAACACGACTTCCCGCAACGTACAGGAGTGGTCGGTTTGAAGAATGGCAGAAGAAAGCTAAGGTGATGCTACCCAAGGTTGGAGAGCAGGAGCTCAGGAAGAAGGATGGATTTGGAGGGCTTGGCGGGAAAAAGTGGAAACACAGCAGAGTGATTGAAGCGAAACCTTTGGACAAGCTCCACAAAGATTATGAGCGGAAGGCAAGGCAGCTGAAGAAGAAAAAGGTGGAGGAAGTGGGGACCGTCGAGGGCAATGTCCGGGGACCTGACAGGACGTTGTCTGACAAAAGAACCAAGAAACTCGGCAGACGACAGGGCGGGAAGTCCATTGGTCGCCTCAAAAACGAACTTAAGACCGTCGAGCAAATCCACAAGAGTCGCAAGATGACGGAGAAGAAAAGGGCCAAGAATGCACGTCCGAGTCGTAAAGGCAAGCGATAGTACTCATTCACGCTGGACCCATACCTGTATACTCGTATTCCTCTATGCTACATCAGAGTATTCCCATTTTGCACCTGACCCCCGTATTAGGGGGAGGTCTCTTCCCTCCAGTAAATCCACCCCCACGCTCCTAAGAGCATCGACGCACCATTCAGGATAGCCGTGGTCGCCAAAGTAATTTTCGAAGAAGGTTCGAAGGTAATCTGGAAATCTCCCTCCCATAATTGCATCTCTTGCGCGACCTATTACTTGAGCTTGGAACACCAGATTGTGTTGTGTAACCGCTGTGGTACGCGATACTTAACAAACAAAACCCAAAAAAAATGGCGGTAAGGGTGATACCATGAGCTCCCGCCGTCTCTATTGTCACGATGTGGTGGAGCATAGCGCGGGACGTCCTGCTGGAGCAAGTTGGACACGGACAGTTTTCATCTATTGGTTTTATGCTTTCAGCGTGTTTTCTCAGCCCTAAAATGGAGTAAACGAAGCTGGTCATCGTTCTGGAATATCCACTCACGAAGATTAAGAGGCCCTTTAAAGGTGAGAGCCACACCAAACCTTGCGGTCCGAGTTGGGAATACGCAATCCGCCTACTGACGCTGACGAAACGCGCTGCACGGGCACGATGAACGAACTCACCATGTCAACGCCCAGTGCTACGCACACCAGAAGGTCTGAAGCAACTAATAAGAGACTACATAAATGATGCGGGTAAACTCGGAACTCACCTTCTGCGAAGCCGACACCCATCGCGTATCGTGGACCTGTTGAAGAGTCAGGAAGAGGGCCGTGCGAGGAACATCATCGGCACCTACGATCAGCAGGTAACTGTTCCGCACACTGTTTGATACTACTGGTTGTCAGAATAAACGACCCCTGTGCTCGATTCTGACTCTCACATTCTCCAGAACACATCTAGAAATGTGTTAAAGTTTGTCACGCATAAAAGGAAGGGGGATATACCTTTCTCTTCTCCACCGCTGAGCCCACCTATGGCGTACCCAGCCACATGATCTTTCCTTGCGATCATGGCTTGTAAACATCGATCGCGCAGCTCGGCGTCCAGTCCCCCTTGAACGATTGCAAACAAATTTTGTCTGTCACGTTGACTTGATTGTTCGTGCTGCTCGATGCAACGGTCGAGCCAACGCACAGACCGTTCCATGGCCTCCGCGACACGCGGCCCTACGGTAAGACTGCTAACTAATGGACATAAGAAACACAATAACACGACAGTCGTTGAGTACTTTACCGACGTCGTCGAGCTGCATAATGATATCGGCACCAATCGAATGCTGAATTGAGATACTTTCTTCTGGCTGCAAACTTATTAGGGTCTCTCTCGCCACATAGAATATACCTTACTGTCAACATCGTCGGTTCCCCGGTGAACGGACTAGAAAATAGAGCACCCTCTTCCGTGATCTTGGTGAACTTACTCAGGGATACTAGTTGGAATCCCCCGCTATCCTGGACGAGCTATGTCACAATACGACATGAAATTCGGACGATCGAACATCCTACAGTCAACAAGTTTCGGTTCCAGCCCTGAAAATTATGCGCACCGCCCGCTTCGTCCAAGATCTTGATTCCAGGTCTCAGGTTCAGATGATACGTGTTATTCAGGATGAGAGTAATTCCAAGTGACTCCACCTGTTCTGGGGTGAGACCTTTGATAGCGGCCTGGGTGGCTACTGGCATGAAAGTCGGTAGCATCGTGACGCCATCTTTTCAGGCTGGTTCATACTGCGGCAACCTGCAGTTGGAGGGGGAGAAAACCACTCACGGGCTAATTTCATGCGACATACTCGAGCACGCGTGGTGTTGCACGTCGCGATGACCTCGAATTGCATTGTCCGTTATCGCGATACCGCATTCCTCCACTGACTCTGCACATCGCAAGTCTAAAGCCTATCTGTTGGTGGCTGTGCCCTTGTAAGGGCACGTGATCTGAAATTTGCTTGGTCCAACTCGGGTGGACCGACCTCACCCAAATGTTTCGCGTGGTTCCTCGGTGGGCCCGCTCGAATGGTCACGCCGTTTTCTGTGAAAGAAAACTGTCGAGAAAACTCCATAATGGAAGGACCCTCGTAGAAGAACTAACTTGCAGAGGTTTCATTGCCAATGTGACCCGGTGAGCCCCTTTCTGAGCGCATTTTTGTGTCATACAATGACCGTGTCAGTTAGGCCGCACGAATTAAACAATCATTTGGGAAAATGCTCTCGGATGGTTTATGCTGGAATTGACCCTACGGCGAAGTCGCTACACGCCGGTCACCTCATCCCACTCTTATGCTTGCTACATTTCCAGCTACGCGGAAACAACATCATCACTCTCGTGAGTGGCTAACGTGACGCCACATTTGACCTCGTTGATTCCATAGCAGATCGGGGGAGCGACTGGACTTGTTGGCGACCCGTCCGGTCGTTTGACGGAGCGGGAGCTTTCTGATGCTGCACAGGTTGAACTCAATGCTAGCAAACTTACATATGCTATCAGTAGATTCTTCAGCCGTGCATCAGTATATGCGGCTTCTAGAGGATCCACTCAACAGTCCGTTATTCCCGAAGTTCAGGTCTTAAACAATATCAATTGGCTCAAGGATCTGAACCTCCTAGATTTCTTACGTAGCACAGGCCCTCACTTCCGCATCAACCAGATGATCGCTAGAGACAGGTGCGTCTTGGGGTGATTTCACGGTTTTCATCTAACACGCTGATCGCAGTGTATGCACCCGAATGAATGCACAACAAGGGATAAATTTCACCGAGTTCACGTACCAGCTGCTACAAGCCTACGATTTCTACGAGCTATACAGAACGAAGGGATGTACAGTCCAAATTGGCGGCTCCGATCAATGGGGGAATATCTTGTCGGGCCTCGAGCTCATCAATAAAGCACAATTCAGTCGTGCAACTGTCGCTGAGCAGTCCAGCAAGAAAGGTTTTGCACTGACTACCCCACTTTTGACGACGTCTTCGGGAGAGAAATTTGGCAAGAGCGCGGGGAATGCTATCTGGTTAGACGAGAGCCTCAGCAGCCACCTGGATTTCTATCAAGTAGGTCGTGTTTCGCTAGGACCTCGGTTATGGTAATTCTTGCACCCGACAGTTTTTCTTGAGGACAGCTGATGCAGATGTCGTAAAATACCTGAAGATGTTTACCCTGTTACCAGTGGAGGAGATAGAATCGATTGCGAAAGATCACGAGTCCCATCCCGAACATCGGATAGCACAAAGAATCCTTGCTAATGAGGTCACGCTGTTGGTCCATGGCGGTTAGTGGTCCGTTGTAGTAACTTCATTCTTAATGACCGCTTCTCTTCCGCAGAAGATGGACTGAGTGCAGCAAAAGTTGCCACTAAAGTGTTGTTCGGCACTGACTATTCCTCCCTACGAGCCGACCAAATCATCAGATCGCTCCGCAACGATCCCCGGCTAGTGTTTTGTAGCCAAGATGAAATGTTTGCAGAGCTCCTTCCTAACCTGACTGCAATCCATGGGCTGTTACCCTCCAAGTGTAAGTTTGTTTGTAAACCCGACCCACGCCACACCATACTCAAGGTTTGGATCAGCCGCTGCGCGCCAACTTGTCTTAGCAGGAGGGCTTTATGTGAATAATGTGCCCGTGCGTGATCCTCGTCTTCGCCTTACGCGAGAGGGTCTTCTGGATGACAGGGTGGCTGTTGTGAGGGCAGGCAAAGACAAACATCTTGTACTTGTCTTGAAGTAGGCCATAAACCATTTTGGGGACAACAACGAGCATTCTGATATGGCTGGCAATTGATTTGCGAATCTAGCAAAAATACCCGAAAGAAAAGTCCATGGCTGTCGTTCGGTGTTGTCAATTGAGTTAGGGCGGGCTAAAAGTCTGTCTAGAATGTTTTGGGACCCAAGTACACGGAGCCGCCTATGATATACCTTTAGCCTCTCTTAGATATACCTCTCGGTACGCCAGATGCTCTACTCGCTGCTGAGCTCGGCCGGGGTATTCCTCCCCTCGAACTAGGGACGCTACCTATCAACCAGATGCATTGCCCGATGAACGAAACGAATTCCACGAGGCAGAATTGGTGGTACATACCTCCCCGAGGAACACCCCCGCCTCTACCCCCACTGCGCGCAGCCATAGCAGCAGCTGCAGTCGCTCTCGTACCTCTCACTCCACGGACGCCGCTACCCGCGTTCGTGGTCGTCCCCCGTGCACGGGACGATGTTGTTTTCGTAATAGCGGCTACTGCTGCTGCCTCCTGTCGGGCCCTTTCCTCTGCTTCGCGTTTCGCACGTTCCTCTGCTTCCCTGCGCAAAGCTTCTGCTCGTTCCCGCTCGAGCCTCGCACGTTCCAGAGCTTCTGCACGCTCTCGTGCGATAGTATCCTCGTCCTGCAGTGTAATGATCAGTGTCATGCTGACGTTGAACGCCCATTTGAGCGAGGAGTTAGCACTCCAGTAGACGCCGTCCGATGGCATACACTGCGGTGAATGTGCGTATAACTCACCGCTTCCGCGCCCTCCCATCGTTCGTCAAATATAAGTCGAGTAACTCCCTCCGATTTGGAGAGCATATTCGCATATTTGTCTAGCAGCGCATCTGTCTGTGCAAGTTGCTCCGCTACTTGCTGCGTTCACTGACGTGAGCGGTCAAGTTCAAGTGATCTTCAGTAGTGCATACTCACCTCCGTAGCACTTTTAGTAGAGCTTAGTGCATTGTTGAGGACCGAAAACGAGTCGTTGAGCCGCTTGAGTATGAATAGGTCGCGCTGAAGTTTGTCTTCACGGGTTTTTGCAGTATCCACCGGTCCCCGAATAGTTTCATTGGCAGCGTCCTCCGTGCTAACTTCTGCACCGTCGGCAAACTCATCGTCTTCGGTGATAGCACTCTCTTCGTGTGAGAAATCCCGGGTATACACAGGTTGTGGAGCAAGAAGACTGAACCGAGGGCCATCCCGACTGAGAGGCCTGTCTGACAGCGAAAGCTCGGAGAGCGAGAGATCGGCACCGCGTGGGCCCGTATCTTGCGCAAGGTAAGATGGGAGAGGTTCAGAAAGTAGGTGAGATCCATCGGCATCCACTACAGGAAGTGATGAAGATGGCGTCGAGGGCGACCACGGAGACATCTCGTCCTATTCTGCGTCTTCCTCGGCTTGGACGTCCTGAGTGACTTAGATTGATCGTCGTTGTTGCCGTGGCAAGGCCAGCTCGCCACCGCTCTGCAGGTCTGTACGCGAACAGCTCACATTACGATAGTAATAGCACAAACAACCATCTCTGTAACATTAGGTGCGTTCGATGGGTATGGTCGCAGTCTGCCCAACATTGAGTGCTCCAAAACCTCCTTCCTCCCACCAATCACCACTACGTGCACGTGCTAATCTCAATAATGGTTCGTTAGCTTCGTGATCACTCCCCGCCCATGTTGCGAAATGCATAGCAAGGGAGTGACGAGCACGAAGGTCCCGTGCGAGTTGCACAGCATCCTCTGGGGACGCATGGGTCACAGCTAGGTGGGTATCATCTGCCAGCTATCCAGCCTCAGCTACGAAGTGAGAACCTGAACGAGAAGAAGAGAGTTGTACCTGGTAGCCTAATTGGCCGAGGAAGCTGAGTGAGGCACCACGCCATATGGGTATCATGGCAACATCGAAAGGTCCGTATTTCTGCCCGATTTCTATCGAACATAAGGAAGCAAATTGTACGGAAGGAAGGGACTAGCTTACCCCGAAAGATAGCTAGGTTTTAATGGTCAATGGCAGTTAGCCTAAATCACTTCTGTGCAACTCACGACATGGTCCCATTCCGGTGCGGTAGCCAGTGTCCCTGAAGAGAACGAAATGAGTGACGAAATCAAATGACTGAGGCGTGTGTACCCTGCGAAGTAAACTGAAGAGATGGTTTCATCTTCGACGGTTCGGATTTGAACTACCCAACTCGACCACAACGACTTATTGTAATCCAGCAGCCCTCCTGCCCACAGAGAACGTGTCGGAGAAAGTATAAGAAACTGCGAATTACGCACCGCTATTATGTTGACACGGCGTGCATGCAATTACGATCCTAGTATCTGGCGCAGAGGGGAGCCGGTATGCAATCGATTCCCACCAGTCCATCTCTATCACCTGACATTCCGGGATACCCCCAGAAACCAGTGTCTTTTTGACACCAAGGGGTACTAGGAACCGGAGGGGACTGGTCCGATCAGACTTGCTGTTGGACATTTCACAAATTTGCACCAACGTATCAATGTCGCAATGGTCATAACTGTAGCGTCATGACATCGGAAAGCTTTCAGTTGCAAGATAAAACGATGTAGTTGTACACACTGATTGTGGCTGATAGCTACGAAGTCAATATCAGGCAGGGCCTCGATCTTGCAGGGTGGAGGTAGCCGACGGCGAAGGCCATTAAACAAACTAGACTTGTAAGCGCACTCCGAGAACATAGGGTCAAAGGCGATGCGTGCCCCTGGAGTGCCTCTGATTGTGGGTGACTGCACAAGATAACCCTGAAGCTTAATCAATGGGACGGACAGGTGATGGACGGATGAAAGCAGACCGCATGTCCCAGCCAAGTCGCATGGAGGCAATACTCATTAGAAGTTTTGGTCTCGAGCACCGAGAAATCAGGTTTAACGGTAGTGACAGGTTGGATGAGCTCGACGCCGTCGAGAGGTTGTGCACGAATGACGACGGCTGGAAGAGAGACCAACTTGATGAACAACTGAAACAAGGACCTTGCTGGCGGCCACGGATTTTCAAACCAACTATTCACTCCATCTGATCTGTGATGACTTGGCAGGTCGGCCGGCATGATGGTCGCGTATAAAGAGGGTGAGTATGTGGGTTACGTAATCGCGTGTTATACTGCGGCTTCGCGAACCGAAACAGTCGATTCGACTACGAGGAACTTTCACTGCTTTGCTTATGGAAAGCGTAACCCACCATATATCGACAGACACAATGTCTTGCAAGTCCGTTCAGCGACCCTTCTGCTTCGCAAAGTGAAGTAGTGATATGCTCGTGACAAGCAAAGTAACGGTACAGCAACTACACTCGACGTATGCAAGGGTATCCATGAGACGCAACATTTTGCGACATCCAATGCGTTATATGGACAACGGGAACTCGACGCGGTGATTCGCCACCGTTCCCTACTCCTAGGCCATATTTCGCGACTGAGGAGACTGTGTCGGAGGCGTCGGCCTTCCAAGAATCGTCAACATCCTACAAGAGTGCGTGAGCAAGCACGACCCTCAACAGAAACCTCGAGAACATATGATCAATAAAGATTGCGGAACTATGTCTATACTTGAACGCATCAAGCATGACGACTGAATGCAAGACTAGATGCAAACAAGGAACGTACTGTGTTGTGGCGCTGAAAGGGAGTTGGGTCCCTCTAGCCATCGGCGATCGAACGTCAACATCGCAAGGGAAGTCGCCGTCGTGTGACTCGCCAGTTACTGGCAATCCGACTTTCATGGCGTTGCAAGTTGCTTGAGTTTCTCGAAAAATCGGCGAAACTGCAACGTCAACATACTTGGACTTTGCAACTTCTTCGACCGAGAAGATAAGAGGAGAGGACGAAACACAAGACTCGTGAAGGCAGCCAGGAGGGCAATGAACTATAAAAGCACTAGCTTGGCTGCCGTCCTCGTGTCGGACAAGCTGAATGTGGGAGCTGTTCTGCGGGGAATCAATGTGATTACCGCATTCTGGTGACCACCCCGTGTGCAAATCAATGGCCCCCGGTTGCTCACACGTCTTTGTGAACGCCCTGCAATTTAGCAATGGTAGGGCTGGCAATGATAAACTTGGTGTGAGCCACGAGGGTCTACCGCGACTGGTCCTGACATTGGCACTCTCGGCATTAGATATGTGGGGCTTTGTCTTCGAACACTCCGGAGGTGTTTTAAAAGACGAGGAACTGTTTGAGGAAGCGGGTTTTGCTGGACTTGGTGGCCTTGTCAGGGGTCGGCGTTTGACTTTGGCAGGATCAAACTCGCGCGGGACAGGTCTAGGAAGCCAAATACGAGAGTCGATATTCTTTTCAATAACGAGTTCATCAAGGGTCCGGTACGCCACCCCGCGTACGGGAACCTGAACCCTGCTCTGCGGAGGAAAATCCCCTAGTTCATGCTCTTCAACATCGCTGGAGGCTGGCGTCCGCAAGCCCTTACTGGGCGATCTGCATCCCGACCGATTACCCATCAGGGCAAATGGAGATTCCTCGACACTGTCAGAATGCGCCAATGGCGAACCAAATTCTGTCCCTGGTGAAATCCACTTAACATAAGCTGAAGGCGTGTCCTTATCTACCGTCCCATGTTGCGTGACCTCTGTCGATGGAGAGGGCGGTGTCGAGATTGAACTCCCCCTTGACGTTCTGTGCAACCTGCCAACGGGAGAAGGAGGAGGAGAGGGAATTACCCCTCGTTGCGTGAATGAGTATGTCTCCTTCGCGTTCGTGTTAGGTGTCATTAACAGCGATATCTCGGATGACACCGGGGACGGAGGTGATTTCTCTTGCTTGACAGCGGCTTTCGTGGACGTATGTTTCTTTCTGCTTTTACCCCCAACAGATGAAACGGCCATAACCTCTCCTCTTGCCAACGCTGCTTGGAACACTCGTTCGGCTTCCTCTCTGGTTGGGAAACCCTGGTATACGGGATATTGAACACCCCGAATCTTCCACGAAGCTTCGATCCTATGAACAAGTACCCGGGCGGAAGAGCCCAAAGTTAAGCAAAAATGAACGCGTTATTGGTCAGTTTCGACACGGTCAATCGACGATGAAGTGGAATTGTACCACGTGTCATAAACGCCAGGCTCCGTGCCTACGGTTACAACGTATGCCATTGCCTTGCCCATGGTACGAGTTATTCTAGCAAGCGTATTCAAAATGAGAGCCAATGATAGGTGCAGTAGAGTGAACGTAGACAGGAGCGTTCAACTTTCGTGGCGCGCGTCTCGGTCACGAGGCTCAAACATCAAATTAGCCGGTGGCTCCAGTAGGCCGACAGCATCACAACACAAGTTACTTACGGGTAACTACATGGCGGACAGGAGGTACCTAAGCCAAGTCCGTAGAATGGTCCATAGAATGGTCCAAAGCCATTGTCCAACACACCCTATGTACACCCATAACACCCAACGATGGATCAGACAGCAACATAACCCCTGCGGCCGGAATGCCGCGGTCGAACATTCGAACATAGGTGGTGAACAACATCCTGTAGCATGTAAGGTACTTCTCTCCAGAAGTCTCGATGTCTGTGGGATTCAGCAAGAGGACACCACGTCAGCATAGGCGCACTCACGGAATCAAGTCCAACCCACGGGCGCCATAGGCTGAATAGTTGTAGTAGACGCCTAAAGCGATGTAGGCACCGAAAGCGAACAGAAGCCTGTTAACCAAGTTAATGTTGGGGAACAGCGTTACCGCGAACAGATCATAATCGATAAACGTACATCAAGAAGAAAAAGCCTAAACCACTCCCGATGTGTTCTATAGGTACGTCATCAGGATTTTCCTCGTTGCCACCCTGTTTTTCATCCTCTCGGGATGGTGGTTGTCCTTGGTGAGCCTTACACGCGCAACGAGAGCTCCACTCCACGGTTGCTTGTCCATGTTCATAAGATGCAAGCAGTGGATGTGAGGTACTTTCTGCACATGCAAGATGAATCCTGAGAGATTGAGGCACCGAGTCTGGGGAAGAGCTTGGATAAGGGAGGCCATGTAATACTATAGACAGGCCTTCCGAAGCTGCAAGAAAAACGTCGATGACATGTCCGGCAAGAAATGACCGGGGAGGACGTACATGGGAGATGGAAAGTCTGAGCGTTAAGTGAAGATACGTGTGCAACAGGGTACCACAGCTGTTATTCTGTCTGTGCCCTGCCCGCCCTTTCTGTTTATCTTCGTGAGACAGGCAACCGTACCGGACGGACACTACGATTCTCCACCAATCAGGATAGCCGCCAAAACGACTTCAAGGATGCGAACCTGGTCCTCAGTCGATCTTCCCCCCACTGAAAGCAGCATCTCGCACAGATCAAACCTCAGCTCGTCTATGAACTTGCTCGGCGGTGACTCGACTTCCCATTGCACGACCTGCAAGCCCTTCAAACCGGTCAAATCGTATCTGACGCCGTCGACAATTGGCTCGCAATCGAACGGTGCTCCATGTCCTTGAGCTGCGACATCCAAGATGGTCGCAAGGAAGAACAAAGCTGAGAACGCCTGGGAAAGCGTGGTCCCAACGTGGCTCCGCAGCATCATAAGCTCCTGGCTCGGCTGTATGATGAAACTGTAACGGAGAGAGTGCGTCGAAGACAGCCATTACATAATCCACATAGCGATTGCTTTTAGGAGTCTCAGCGCTGTCTGCTGCCGGGTTGTTGGCAGTGCTCTCATCTGTCATGGTGGGCCTCGATAGACTCTCACCTCTCATATACCATGAGAGACAGCAGGAGGGATCCATGCTTTGCGCACAGCATGCGCTAAACTCGCTTCTCCGTAAGTCCAGGCCTAGATTGCGTGATTGCACTAAAAATCCACTTCCGCTCAGAAGGACACTATGTAGGTCTCATTTTACGCAAATTGAGCGGCACTACACTCACCGATCGGTTCAGTTCACCGCACCCGATTTGTCTGATCTGGCTCGTAACCTAGACGCCCTGGAGCACAGTTACAACAGTGAATCTAACAGTGGTGGAGGCAGCATGAACATGGACGATACGGGTGGGGTTCAACTCCGAATAAGGATCAACTTTTTCTATTTTTTTTAAAGAAGACTCCAGGATTTTTTTCAGTACAAGTGCTAGAAAGTGCCCTAAACTTATGGGGTTTGAGGTCCGTAACGGGTTGAATAAGCATCATGCTAACGCTGAGCTCGCTTCAGTCTCGTTCGATGGGGTTCGGAAGCCACTCGATCACACCAAAACAAGCCGTAGTACGTTCTCGTTTCTTTTTCGTCATTTGTTATGTACATATTGTTCACACGGGTTTCTCGCAGCGCACAATTGGCATTCATACTCAATCACAACCAGCACTGGTATACTCTTCGCCGCTTCGGACTCACACCCGAAAGTGGCCATTGGTTCAACTTGGACTCTAGCGAGCCAGAGCCTCGCTGGATTGGAAAAACTTATCTCGACATGTTTCTTCAACAGGCAGAACAAGATGGTAAGCGATTGACTTTGTCGCTCGTGTACAGATTATCCTCAATTGTATCCTCTCGTTTACAGGGTATGCTGTATTCGTGGTAACACCCACTGATTCTGGGAGCGATCTCCCTCGCACACAAGCCGATGAATTGGCAGAAACTGTACCAGAACTGTCATCCGATGGACCCTTATCGTCTATGTCGAAAAGGACACCATTGGACGCAGGGCATGAGGATGAGGATATGGATTTGCAGGCCGCTTTACAAGCCTCCTTGGCGAATGATGATCACCGTGGCACATCTGCCACATCCAGGGTCAGCGTGCCTGGCACTGCCCCTTACCCCCCTCCTCTCATTCCAAGCGATCGTGATATTCCAGGTGTTCGTAATAGAGAGGTACCACACGCAACGACGTCTTCAAGTTGGATCCACCGTAGCTCCCCACCCGCCCGAGAGACACACAGAAATCCAGATTCAGATCCTCTGAGAGCCTCGATGGAAAGGAACCGCGTCATTATGGAGAGGATGCGCAGAGAGCAGGAGATGGCTCTGCGAGAGCAATATGAAACCGAAGCCGCGCAATTCGGCCCGACTCGCCAAGAGGGATCATTCGGATCCTCGGCACAGGATGAAGAAGACGAGCACATGCGGAGAGCTATTGCGGCATCCTTAGTTGATCACCCCGATTTGGGGGAGGGGCATGACATAATTGTCGATGACGGTGATGAGGAGGATGATGGTGACTACCGCCCAACTCCACTGACTGAGCAGGTGCACCGGGTATACGACGACGACGACGCGGACTTACAGGCCGCCCTCAAAGCATCTCTGGAAACGGCGCCTTCTGGATTTAGGCTGCCAGCTAGTCCACCCCCACGACCTTCTCAGCGATTTACGTCACCCCCATCGGCACCAACCACTTCTTCGGAACAGAAGACGAAGGCGACGGAGGAAGGAACGGAGTCTGATAGTGAGGACAATGCTAGTTGCGCTCAATCGGAGGCGCCGCAGGAGGCAGGGCCTAGCATAGAAGAGATACGGAGGCGTCGTCTGGCGAGGTTCGGAGGATGATCAACTTCATCTCGAGACATGTCTCCGCCGGGCTCTGATTCGTGCATTCCCAAGAACTCATTTCATATTTCCTCATCGTTGCAAGTGCAGTTCACAATTACACCTCCTAGATGCTGATGATATCAATCAAAGATTCCTGGAATAATTACTCAGATAAGCACGTAAAATTGTACAACACACGCTGTCTTGCTGTCCATGTTGCCACTGAAGTTACTACCGATTTCCTGAGGTGGACTTGAGTTGGTCTGGTGGAGCGATGCACGCGAGAAAGGTAGGCGGGCACTACGGCGATGGCGGTTGACCCCTGCCTCGGGCTGAGAAATAGACTCAACTCTGAGCCGTACTTTCCCTTAACTTCGAAAGTACATGAACTCCTAAAAATCGGGCTAATAAAGCGCACGCATTCCTGCAAGGAATCTTGTCGATCTCAAAGCATATCTGGAGGGAAGCCCCGCTGTCGCTGGTAAACCTTCGATTGGCGGACGTGGCAGGAATAACGGGATGCCGCCGCGTGCAGGTGGACTCGATAACCCTGCCAGCTCATACTATACACGCTCATACAAATGTGCAACATAAAAACTATAGAGCAAGATCATATATGCTACGACAACAGCGTGGTTGGCGTTTCACTCGTCTCCGCAGTCCCTCCTGGGTTAGTTGGTGATCTATGCTGTCGACCGCGTGCATATCGCAGGTAACGAGAAAAGCGATTCTGTGCACTCCCAAGTGAAAGCGCTTGACTGCTACGTCGAAAACCATCCTGCTCGCCGCTACTTGGTTCCCCAGTAAGTATCGCCTCCAACGCATGAAAGTCTGCATGGCCAAATGTGTATGTATAGCAGCGAGATCGGCAGGTCACTCACCTTGTCGGCACAGCGGGCAAGAACCTGATAGCTCCAGCAACCATGGATCCACGCACGCCTGGTGGAACCTGTGTTTGCCTTCGCAGGGCAGAACCCGTAGGTCATCGCCTTCCTCAAAGCCCATAATACAAATCGGACACGTCTCCCTGCCGATGGTCTCCGGCATCACATCACCTGTATTTGAAGATTGTTGCCCTGTCTCTGTTGTAGACCGCAGCCGTGGAGTGGGTAAAGCTTCCTCATTTGGGCCCGAATCTGGAATACCACCCGGTCCTAGATTCCTGCCTTCAGACGAGTCACTGGGAGCCCCAACCACCTCCCTTAACTCTACCGAATCGGGTTGCGGAGAAACAGGTGTCACGGCCATCTCTACGTGTGCTGGCTCTTCGAGGTCTTTCGTTCGAGTGACGGGCTCGCTAGACGTTCCAAACTTGACCACCGGGAATGTGTCCAGTATCGCCCGTCCCAGCCCTCTCGCTCGGCTTTGGCCTGGGTCGCCGACGCCACCATGTTCGGGCATGCGCGGTCCATATCGGTCAGGATGGCGGATAGCGCGAATAGCCTGAGAACAATGAACGACACAAACCAACTAGCATCATGGCGAAAGCGACGAACCCCAGAAATGATTACAAGGCAAAACAAAGCCGAAACGCAGCCTGTGATGGCGTATAATATAATCCTGGGGAAAGTAGTCATAAGGGTCATGCTCGTCGAGTTGAAAGAAGCCTTGCATTGCGAGCCCGGTCTTTTGCGAATCGCTCCCGCTATTACTTGAACTAGACGCAGTACTACCCACATCCAAAGAACCGTTGTTAGGTGCAGCCGTTGCATTAAAAGACTGGAGTGTTGCAAATATCATTCCGGGAGCAACCGGACTTCCCAATGCAATGCTCCGGTTCACAGCAGATGCGGTTTCATTCAACATGGTTGCGTTGTATGTTCCATAGTAGGTCCCGTTTGCTCCGAACAAGCTATATTCATACTCGATGAACCTGTGGTGTCGACACCTCAGCAGCAAGCGGTGAAAACTCGAGAAAAATGCCCACTTTGACACCCGAGCGGATTCCGTTGTAAAAACGTCAAAAACACGGTCGAAGTTATCGGGATCTGTGTATGCAGGATTGAGAGCACATGAATCTGAATAAAGTGAATAAAGCAACTGGATCAGCCGCGATAAATCAGCATCCTCGCCAGCATCGGAAAGAAGGTTACTTCTCACAGCAGCCTGAGCCCCGCGTTCCTGCGCCAGTGTGAAGATGTCCAGCTCTTGGGTGGCGTTGGTAGAGTTCGTGTCACACGAGACAAAAGCAATCCAGGGAGTGGTTGCTAAAGGTAGTCCGGGTCCAATTGAACGGCTTCCAGCGAACGCTGAACAGATGTGAAACGCACTGATGGTACCGTAGCCAGCAATATCCTCCGAAAAATGCAACAAAGGTCCCTGTTCGAATTATATGACATCGACCCATGCCAATGAAATATGTTCATGAGGCTGAACTCGAACTACGCACCTGTGATAAGCCGTCCGAATTTGCCCCGGCAAGAAGATAGTACACAAATTCTGTGTCAGATCTGCAAGTAGGACCGAGGTTGAGGGGTTGACGAGGATACTTCACCCTAACGGACGCCTCACCCGTTGGAGTACCATTGCAATGTGAGCCGGTTGGTTTCCGTTCCTTCACTTGGGTTCGTGCCGTTGACCGGTTGAGCGGGAATGTAAGCCAGCGCAGGCGAGAATACCGTCAAGGCGAAAACAAGCCAAATGTTACAGAAACCCATGGAAGCAGCAACAGAACGGAGAAGTTCGTGCTAAAGTACAACCTGCACGGTGAGGCTGGGTCCAAGCCACGAGTTCTGTGCGACGTTGAAAACGTCTACCCCACGCATGGTGTGCATGACAACTCCAATATATAGCCAAATTTGGCGCCGAGTTGAAATCGCTACAAAGTACAAAAAAATCTCTGGTTGATGTGTACAATGGTCATCCAACACAACAGTCGCTCGTACATCGAGAATGCCCCCTACGCTTCCCGGATAATTTCCTCAACAGCTTCTGAGAAAACCTCGCAGCCCTTCCTCAAGTCCTCCCGAGTCACATTCAAAGGTGGAATAAACCTGATGACCTCGTACACAGATGCTGTTAGAATGAGCATTCCCTTCTCTACACATCGCTTCGCCACACGTGACGCAAGATTATTTGGCGCTGAACGGTTCAGAACAGGGTCTTGCGCCGGATATGATGGCGACGCGAACTCCACGGCCACCATCAAGCCTTGTCCGCGAACGTCGACAATGTTCCCGCCCACCTCTGGACACGTTTGGAGTTCCTTCAAGGCCACCAATAATTCCTTGGAGCTGCCAAAGAATTCGCACGTACTCAAGAGTATTAGCACTAGAACACACGTACCGCGCGTTGACATTGTCCAGAATATTTTCTTCCTGAAATGCATCCACAACAGCCGCTGCAGCCGCACAGGAAACAACGTTGCCTGCATAAGTACCACCCTACAGGACGCGTTAGGCTGTTGGAGAAATTTTCACTGGGTAGTCTCACCATGGATCCGGGTTTGAGCTTGTCAGTAAGTTCCCTACGACTAACTATGCAGCTCAGCGGAAACCCATTTGCCAATCCCTGTGTTAATAATGAGTATGCCGGCACATCAGATTGGATGCAGCTTAAGTACCTTGGCCATCACCATGATATCAGGTCGTACTCTGCTGTATTCAACGTTGAACATTTTTCCTGTCCTGCCGAACCCACTCTGCACTTCGTCAATGATCAAGAGGATGCCATGTTCATCGCAAACGTCCCTGAGACCTTTCAAGAATGCAGAGGGTGCGGAAACGTAACCTCCTTCACCGAGGACAGGCTCGATGATAATAGCCGCAGTGTCGCAAGGGGCCGTCTGCTGCTTAAGGAGTAGATCAAGCTGGTAAAGCGTCGAACGAACGAGCTCCTCTTCAGAAGTATTAGGCGCCACTCCCAGTTGGTGCCAGAAGGGAAATGGTGTAGAAAATACACCGGGCTGTGATACAAACAGTGCTTAGTTGCCGAAGCAATCACTAGGTATGTGTAATGACTTGCCATGAGGGGGAAGAAACCTTCGCTGTAAGATGTTTTACTCCTAGTCAAAGCCATTGCACCATAAGTCCGACCATGATATCCACCTACAAAATAGTAGTAAGTCATCAATAACCACGTCTTCTTCCCATGAACGCCGCCGGAAAATACCTTGCATGCAAATTATGTTCTGCTTTCCCGTGATAACGCGCGCCATCTTCACGGCCGCCTCGGTGGCCTCTGAGCCCGAGTTCCAGAAGTAAAATGAGTCGAGTGTCGGGTCAGGCATGACCGGTATGAGCTTCTCGATGAGACGGATGGTTGAATCGTGGAAGGAGATGCTGCACTGAAAATTCGATGATCGAACAGTAGTCCTATATTACAAGTCAGTGGGGACTTTACTTACCTGACAATGGACGAGCTCCATGCACTGATCGGCAGCGGCTTTGCTGACCTTTGGATGACAATGTCCTACAATCCTCCCACAGCATGATATTCGCAGGACTCGTGGATCGGGGCTGAGTAGAACTCACCCAGGTTTGTCACTCCAATGCCACACGTGAAATCCAGGAGACGAAGCCCGTCATGAAAGTGGACGTAGGATCCCTCGCCTCTGGTCATCACTGCCTCGGTCAGCCTGCCAATGCCTTTGGTGACATGACGCTGGCCAAACGCGACGGGGTCGTCTGCGGCGGTCACATATCCTTGTGCGTGAGTTTTGAATGCAGAATATGAAGCTGGTTCGCATATGATACGGTAAACGGGATTCCTGGGCAAGCAAGAGACATGTTCCTCGAGAAATGGCACCTCCGTCGCAAGTTGACCCACCTTGGCGTTGTCCGCGAATTGTACGCGGCCTTGATATACCGTCCGGAAACAGATTTGAACCTAGTCAACATCGTACGTGAGGTGATAGTCAAGGAGGATCTGGGCGACCGGGCGCCTCTTGCCGACTCCACCCCACGTTTGACCAAACACCATGACTGAGTTACTTTTAGTCTCTTGATGATGGTTCATTGATTTTGCCCTGTCGTCCGGAAACTACATACACTCATCCTGCAACTTAGATTTCCTTCAAGCTACTAGCTAGGCGAGGGACCACCATCAACCAGTAAGTACAGGCGAACTTCCCAACGGACGGTCTCCCATGAACTCGAACTAACCCCGTCATTCGCTAATGAACTCCGCACGTAAAGCATTGGGCTTTCGACCTCGAATACATTTCCCAATAATAGCCTGTAGCTTCAGAGCAATTTGCCACGCGGCCCAACTGCGTCAAAGCTTTTCTTGACGCCATCGTAGACCGCGGAGCCACGCAGAAATGTTTGCAGTACGACTCCACGAAGAGTCATCCCTTCAAACGCAGAAAGTTTGTTCTTGAAGTAAAGCGATTCCGTGGATACCTTTTCACCTTTGCATTAAAGGCTGGTTGGAAGCAGATCACGGAGCAGTCCCAACCTTAAACTCAGCTTCTGGGTCCCAAATGATGAGATCAGCATCATATCCAATAGCGATTGAACCCTTGGTTTCGGACAAACCAGCATGTTCTGCTGTCTTCCGGCTCACCCAGGACATTATATGGTTCATGGTAACTCCCTTCTTTCTTCCCTCCGTCCACAATAGACTCAGGCCGAGTCCAAGGCTGCTGATGCCGCCCCATGCTCCCATAACGTCCCCTTCTTCTAGCTTCTTGAGTTCTGTAATGCATGGACTGTGGTCAGATACCACAAAGTCGATGGTGCCATCCACCAGCGCCTGCCAAAGAAGTTCTCTGTTGTTATCATCGCGGATAGGGGGACAGCATTTGAACTCGGGGTGCCCGTTGGGGATCATACCCGCGAAGAGACACAGGTAATGGAAGCACGTTTCCACTGTGAGCTTCAAGCCTCGGGATTTGGCAGCACGGATAATGGGAAGTGCATGGGAAGAGGAAAGGTGGACAATATGACAACGCAGATAGGGATATTCTTCCTGCAGTCGGGTGATGAGGGAGATGGCGTTTACTTCGAGGGAATCAGGCCGCGATGACAGGAACGTCTCATAATGCGTAGGATTGAGAGGAAGAGTCTCTTCGGTTGAACATGGAGAGCCTTCAAGTTCGGCATGGAACAAGAGAACGATCGGTTCTCCCTACAGCAACGGACCAGTGGTAACACATAATGCATAGCTTTCACAGCTCCTTACCTGAAGTTGTTCCAAGTGATTGCGCAAATCGTGCTCATCCACACACGGGAATTCCTGGGCGTCCGTGAACAACTGATAACGCATCGAAATGATTGACTGCTCACCTCCACGCCACTTTCAATCAAGAAACATTTGAAACCCTTGACACCAGCGGCAATCAATGGTTTAAGGTCTTTCTTGGGTTCTTGTTGACAACACTGGCCAAACATGGGATCACAACTTTAGCATACCTGATTTCCAGGGATAGCTCCGCCCCAGAATGCGACATCCGCCCAACACTGACCCTCTGCGCTGGCCTTCTTGAGATGGAAATTCTCCAGTGTTGTGGTAGGGGGTATAGAGTTAAGGGGCATATCTACTACGGTCGTTATTCCACCCGAGATGGCGGCCCTAGTACCTGTCCAGAACCCTTCCCAGTCTGTCCGACCTGGTTCGTTCAAGTGAACATGGGCACTGAGGTGACCAAGATTGTGATCCAAGTTCAGGTGTGAGACAGTTGATACTCACTCGACGACTCCGGGAAGCACGAACTTGGTCCCGACGTCGATTACCTGGATGTCGCCTCGCGACGAGTGATTTTCGGTGCCCCTTTCGATGTCCACAATCTTTCCAGTGTCAATATTGACTGTGATCACGGCAGCTTGGGGGGTTTCAACGTCTGGTAGTACAACGTTCTTGCTAGATATCTTGAAAACCTGAGGATTAACCATGATCGTGCCAAGATTGGGAGAGTAGCTGATAAGGGGAAACCAGGAAATAATCAGTCGAGGACACGCCACGTAGTGCTCTGTGTTGCCCGAGACTTCCGAGCTCACGTCGGCTCGGGCACTGGTAGTAATGGGATGAGAATGGTTTGATAGATGAGAATGGCTACCAAAAGGTTCTTTGGATAGTGAAGAGTGGCAAGCTGCTGTTAAACTGCATCGTTGATGTGCTGCAGGCCAGCAACGGTTCCATGTCTACAGACAGGCCACCTTCCACAGCTGCAGCAGCGCTCGACTCGCTGCTCTCTCCCAAGGACCCTGGGCAAATCCCTCTCCCACCCAGGGATTCCATCGCCGGATCAGACTACAACGTAGTTCTCGAAGACGATGCCCGTTTCTCGACCATCCCGCTGTCAGAGTCGTCCGATCGTGCGAGCGTCATATCTCTCAAGTCTGAAGTGCTAGTCAATGACCTTGCCAATAAACTCGAACGCAGGACCACAATATCTGCACAATCCACCACAAGAGCGGTTAGCCAACGTCACTTTGCGCACAAAAAGTCGGTCTCCAGTGTCACACCAAGTGATCTTACTAGGGGAAACATCCTTGCGCGGCTCGGCCCCCAAAAAGCATTCGATGAAAGCGATCTCGACGCGTTGCGCGTAGTTGGGAGCGGTCAACAAAGGCTTCACGAAGAGTTCGTACGACTACATAACGAACGACGGGCGGAAGCTGCCAAGGATGAGGGAGACAGTATAGACTGGGGTATGCGTTTCGTCGGCTTCCCTCTTCAAGGTCACTGAATTTGCACTCGACACGTAGACTTTTGGGGTGCTGTGATATCCGGTACGTTGTTCGACACATGTATACTCAATGATAGGCTTCATGAGGTTGTAGATTATCAAGGGTATGCTGCTGAAAATCCCGAAAAGCTTGCCAGAGCTATAGAAAAAGGGATACCGCACACGCTGCGTGGAATGATGTGGCAGCTAATGTACGTTTGTTCGACCGCCCTCCATTGTACCAATTTACGACATCCGGTAGGACAGCCTCCAAGGATAGCGAACTTGAGAACACCTATCTGGCACTTCTGAAGGGATCCAGTTCGCACGAGAAATCCATCACCCGAGACCTTGGAAGGTGGAGCTGCTGTCGCATAACATCAACCTTCTAGCAACTCTCTAAGATTGGCTTTCGTAGAACGTTTCCGCACCATGAGTTTTTCACCAACGGCCAAGGGATCGGTCAAGAAAACTTGTTCAATGTGCTTAAAGCCTATTCCCTGTGAGTCCGATGCCTCGGGGCTTCGGTGTCTCGTATCCAATCCGTTCGACGCAGGTATGATCCACAAGTGGGCTATTGCCAAGGGTTGCCATTCGTTGTCGCTGTGTTGCTGCTAAATGTGAGAGTTTTGTACTTCAGCATAGTGAGATGTTTTAAGAAGTCGATGTTTAGATGCCAGACGAACAGGCATTTTGCTTGCTCGTTCGTCTGATGTACTCGTACGACCTCAGAGGTCATTTTTTACCCGAGATGCCCAAACTTCAGCTTCGATTAGTGAGTTCCTATTCGTATACAACTTTCCACTTATCCAACCTCTACTAGTTTCAGGTACGGTGAGAGCTTGAGATTGAAGCGACTTATGTTAATGTCGTGCAGTTTGATAGATTAGTGGAAGAGCTTCTCCCCGTACTTCATGTACACTTCCTTCGCCAGGGTGTCAAGTCGAGCATGTTTTGCTCGCAATGGTTCCTCACACTATTTAGCTACCGGTAATTCGTCTTTTCTCCCGTTTCCAAGCAGGAACTAAACGGTCGCCTCAGGTTTCCGTTGGAAATCGTGTTCCGAATCTATGACACATGCCTGGCGAGTGGCATCGAATCGATCTTCGCGTTCAGCCTGGCTCTGTTACAGAAAAACGAAGATACACTATTGTCTATGAAATTCGATGAGATCCTCGTATTCCTTAAGCAGAGAGTGTTTGAGCGATATAAGGTACGATAGTTCTTTGAATCATCAACCAGAATTTCTAGGTATGGCGATGATGCAGCAGTCACATATAGGTTGGTCCAGCTGAACAACAAGCAGAGCAACTGACAAGCCAGCCAAAATATCGGGTGGACGATTTAGTGCAAGACGCCATCTCGTTGAAGATTACGCCCTTCATGTTGGACGCCTATGCACACGAATATCATGATCTCGTGAAGAAGCGAGAGGCTCACGCAATTGAAGTTGACAACCTGCGGAATGCTAACCGAGCACTAACAGCTAGAGTGTGAGAAGAAATTTTCGCTGTGTAGCAGTCGCTCATAGCATTTACCACTAGGAAGGAGCTTGATACCAGCCTCGCACAGCTGAATGCTGAGCATGTTGTTGTTTTGGTAAGCCCGTCCTGGGTATTGTGTGCCGTACACGTTGAAACCATCGACAGAACCAGCTAGTGATGGCCCGGCTCCAAAACGAGGAAATAGAAGAAGAATTAGTTCGCTATAAGTTGCTGTAAGAAATATCTCGTATACCAGCTACGCAGTGAGCTTATACCCAGATCCCAATAGTTATGCCGAAGCGATGCATCGAACCGAAGATGCCATGTCATCACATACTCGTTCAAAGTCTAATGCAGGAAAGAACAGAGGAAGTGGAAATAGTTAGATTGCCTCGTCTCTCCGCATCCTCATTTCACGACTGATACAGCGTACACGACATGTGCTTACTATAAACGGACTTACATATGTCCGTTTCACTACAGTGTGACTGCCGCGAACGACAAAGGATTCCCTTCGTTGCCATTACTCCTTATGTGGTGTGAGGAATTGAATCTGAAAGTTACTAATTAGCCCTGAATGTCCTGCGGGACGAAGGTGAGTGCCCACTTCTTCTTTCGTGATAGTATGCAGTTCGCCTGGCGACGTTGCTTTTCCGGTTACTGCACCGGCTAGCTACTTCCAGGGTCCGAGGAACTGCGCCTTTCTCTGTGTACCAATAGCGAATCTCATCCGGAACTACTTCGATGGCAGACACTCGAGGATCGTTCTCGTCGCCTGTATGAACACCATCTTGTAAATTGCCGATATAGCCCGCAACACTAGCAAGGTGAGCACTCTTGGCCAGAGGAAGGGACTGATCAATACGAACGACATTGACCAATGTTTGCAGATAACATCCCTATCTTGAGAGACTCGAGCTCTTCCCGCGTACGAGACCCAGCTCGTCGTAGAGGAATCAAAGAACGAGACGTTGACATGGGAATCGTTTTCAATTTCCTCGAACTTTACAGATACGTTATTGGCGAGGAAAACGAGATTCAATTGTCCCTTGCCCAACGCTGCATTGATATCATTAATTCTCAAGAAGCTGACACAAAGGTTAACCCACAGTTCACCGGGTTCATGGCACGTGAATGCAGGTTCCCTTCAGCATTGCGAGTAACAAGCATCCCCGTCTTTGCCACCTTAATTATGGTGCACAAGTCTGAATATTCGGTGATCGACTCTGCTACGAAACGACGAAATGTCACAAGACGCACCAGTTGATTTTCTCAGACAGAGTGACAGACTTATTCTCTGCTTGACTAGTGTAGGGGTCAAGGCGGGCCCGATCTGATGGGGAAGGCATGACAAGGCGTGATCTGAACACTGGTCGTTATTTTGCTCGGTTGGCTCCTTTTATATTGGATTTCTTTCTGTTTTACGCCCTCCAGTACAGGTAAAACCTGCGCGTCACCTCGACGTCATTGACAACGTTGGTCACGTGTACACGTGCCATCGTAGTGCTTGCAGAATGAGGACACTTCTCGAAGACCCATGGTTTCTACAAACCACATCCGTAGTAGGGGGTGACTGTTGACATGAGGGAAGGTTCACTCCAGGTTGATCTTACCACCTAAACTGTCAAGTCTCCCTAATACACCAGCGGGACATGACAGATGCGAAAACATGATTCCTTGTTATACTAGGCAGTGGATGGTTGGGTACTACTTACGCGCCCGGATATGTTCGATCATCGGCTCCGTCTCCGCCAAACACCCAATCTTGACAACCCTCAACACTTGTAAGCACGAGTTTCCAAGCCGTGCTGAACAGAAAAATAGGTACATTTCGATAGCTCTCCGTTTGGCATGTTCTTTGTTTTTCCAATGGAGACCGTTGAAGCCGATGAACCGGAGGGTGATCTCTCTTGCGACGACACGGTGGTAACAAAGGGAAGCGGATTGTAAGCCAGTCACATGGAATGCACGGAAATGGCGTGAGTTTCATATCTACCCATAAAGGATTCTCGCGAGTGGCCATCTGTGTTACCAGCTTGTGAACCAAATCCTTCTGCCAGATCATTTATGCGAGAAGGAACGATTGTCTTCCGTCGAGTCTTTGGTTTCCCTAGGGGAGGCTACGGACATTTTGATACATCTCCCTCATGATCGTGTTCCGTGGCGCTCGCTGGCAGCTTCGTATATAGACCCGACGGGATTGTCCACGGGGTTCCTGCCGGAAAAGCCGATCAATAGTGTTATCTATACAAATTATCTATACAAACCCCCTATGTACCTGGTGACCTGCGCCCGTTGGCACGGCAAAACTACCTCGCATTCGAGCGAGCTTAATGAAATCAACTACTGCGGCAGATATGAGGTTCCAGAGCTCCAGAGCAGACCAGAGACTCGGAAGAAGCCGCTCTGGTGACCTTTACTGTCACCGGCGTTCTCGATTTGACTTCCAGGCTGTAATCTGGAACACGGAACTTCTGTACCTACCCCTAGAGAAGCTGATGGGACCTTGGGCCATCGCACCGGTTGAGCGTAAGCCCCCGCTCGTATACTAAAAACCAAGAGCCCAGTCGGAGTTATGAAACCCATTCATTTGCAACGGGAGGATATATAGCAAGACTCTCTCCGAGAGAAAACCAGCCTTGCTGTCCTTCCCGCAACATACGCAAGCTCCTCACAATGCCCGGTCAACGCCTCTCTCAATCCGATCCACCTCCTGACCCCTCTCATCTCCCCGACTCCATTCTAGAGAATAGTGTCCAGCTTGATGTCTCCTCCTTTGCCATTAGCAATGCCGAGCTTGATGCCATTCAGAAATTCAGGTGTGCGGCCAATTACATTGCTGCGGGTGCGTTATCTATGATGGTTAACAGCTTCATATGTATTGACGCCGAAACGTTGTAGCGATGATATTCTTGAAGGACGACGTATTGCTTGAACGCGAGTTAACCTTTAACGACATTAAACCTCGTCTACTTGGCCACTGGGGAACGTGCCCCGGTCTTACCCTCGTATACGCACATCTTAATCGTATCATCAAGAAAACCAACCTCGACTCTCTCCTCGTTGTCGGACCTGGTGAGTGTTGCATTTACCAACGCAACTCCCGTGGAATCGTGCCTTCGCCTGTGAAGAACGCACTTCTCAACTGGAATCCATACTCATAACTTACTCTCGCGCTCACAACAACCGATAGGTCATGGCGCACCTGGCATTCTGTCTTGCCTTTGGCTAGAGGATTCGATATCACCTTTTTATCCTTCGTATACGCGCGATCGAGTTGGTTTAACCAACCTTATCAGAAAGTTTAGTGCACCTGGCGGTTTCCCGAGGTAGGAAAATCTGATGTAGATCCCGAGTCGTTGAGCGCCATGTTCGTAGCCATATCAACGCCGAAACACCTGGATGCATTCACGAGGGAGGCGAACTCGGTTATGCGCTGTCCGTTGCCTTTGGCGCGGCGTTGGATAACCCTCATCTCGTCGTCACTTGCGTCGTTGGAGATGGCGAAGCGGAGACGGGACCCACTGCCACTGCCTGGCATGGGTATAAATTCATTGACCCGGTCGTATCTGGTGCTGTGCTACCCATCGTGCACGTCAACGGCTTCAAGATTTCCAATCGTACCATATATGGATGCATGGACGACAAAGAACTCGTTGCTTTATTCTGGTGTGTCTTTCGGAATGCCATTAGTCTTACACAGATTCACCCGCCTTACAGTGGCTATGGCTACCAGCCTCGTATCGTCAAGAACATGGAGGACATCGATAAGGACCTCGCCGCTTCCATGGAGTGGGCGTTGAAGGAAATCGCTCGTATTCAACAAGCTGCACGCTCGGGGAAGCCTGTCATTAAGCCTCGTTGGCCTGTAATCATTTTGCGTACCCCTAAAGGGTTCACAGGACCGAAGGAACTGCACGGCGAATATATCGAGGGGTCGTATCGCTCTCATCAGGTACCGCTTCCGAATGCGAAGACGGATGAGGGGGAGTTGAAGATGCTAGAATCCTGGTTGTCCAGCTACGGTCCACGGCAACTTTTTTGCATTGGTGGTGACAAGGACACGTCCGATGGTGCACCCTATCCAGATCTATTGCAGATTGTTCCCGAAAACAGAGATAAACGACTGGGAATGAGGAAGGAGGCATATGCTGCTTACCAACCGCTGAAGGTCCCAGCTTGGTCAACTTTCGGTGTGCAGAAGCAATCGCAGGCAAGCTGCATGAAGACAGTTGGTGAATTTCTCAAGTATGTGGTCAAGGAGTGGGTATTGTCGGTCCTCCCCCCCGCATTGTGGACTAATTTGTACTACAGCAATCCGACAAGATTCAGGATATTCTCCCCCGATGAGTTGGAGTCGAACAAGCTTGGGGCTGTTCTCGAGGTGACGGGCCGTAGCATGCAGTGGGACGTTGCATGTCGTGCGCAAGACGGGCGAGTCATCGAGATACTATCCGAGCATACGTGTGAAGGAATGTTGCAAGGTTATACGCTTACCGGTAGGACTGGGTTGTTCCCTAGCTACGAGGCATTCTTGGGCATCGTGCATACCATGATGGTCCAATATAGCAAGTTTGCCAAAACGGTCAGTCCTCTCCGACGTGTTTCAACCCTGTTCTAATACGGACCTCCAGGCATTTGAAACAAAGTGGAGGCAAGACTTAGGCTCTATTAACTTCATCGAGACATCGACATGGGCGCGGCAAGAGCACAATGGTTTCTCTCACCAGAACCCCGGTTTCATCGGTGCAATCCTTAACTTGAAGCCTAAGATTGCCCGTGTCTACCTCCCTCCCGACGCGAACTGCTGGTTATCTACAATGGCGCACTGTTTGAGATCCAGGAATTACATCAATCTTATTGTTGGGAGCAAACAACCGACTTCAGTGTGGCTAGACCCAGAGGAGGCCGATCGGGTGCGTGTTTGGATATACGGCGTTACGCATTGCCGGTTTACCACTGGCATATCCATCATAGCACTGTATTGCAGGAGCTTCTGTCTGGAAGTTTGCGAGCGTCGATGAAGGAGTTGACCCTGACGTGTGCGTCTTACTACCTTTAGCGAGATCATTCGCGGAAATCCTTACCGACATTTTCAGTGTGCTTGTTGGCATCGGTACTGAGGTCACCTTCGAGGTCATTGCAGCGGCGGCCCTCCTGCGCAAGGAAGTACCCGACCTTCGTGTGCGCGTTGTCAATGTGACGGACCTCATGATTTTGGGTCCATTCGGCAGCCATCCGCATGCTCTGAGCGACGATGATTTCAATACGCTGTTCACAATAGATAGGTCGATTATCGTTAACTTCCATGGTTATCCTCTTGACATTAGGGGATTGGTATTTGGGAGGCATGGGATCGAAAGGATGGTAATTGAGGGGTAAGTGATCATACCTAATGATCAAGGGCATGGACACGATGTTCCCTTCCTTTAATAGATACCGTGAGGAAGGGACAACTACAACTCCTTTTGATGTAGGTTGAGAGCCGCTATCATCAAAGCAGGAATCTGACTGGGCAACCTGTGGTTTCTAGATGATGCTTTGCAACGGAACATCAAGGTATCATTTGGCCGCAGCTGCCGTTCGTGCAGGAGCCCTCTTCAATAGCAAGGTCTCCCGTGTAGCGCACCAGGTAGCGAGTTACCTCATGCACTGTGCTGCGAAGGACAAGGAGTTCATTTATGCACACGGCCATGGTGAGAGTCACCCCCCGCGCGTTTGCGCAATGGTGCGACTAACTGAACGATTGCTTCAGATCCTGATGGGATGTTTGACACGCCTGTATTTGAGACGAAGAAATAAGGAGTATGTAGACCACCTGTAGCAATGTTACCGTTGGGTGTAGGTTAGGTATTATGTTCGAGGCCAAACTCTTATGCGAACAAACGTGCCTCACAATGGAAAGCTAGAGGCGTCGGTACTTCGACGAATGGATGTTACGCGGGATCTTGGAGTGAATTGAACTGGCCGAGTTATCTGCACAGCCGCAACTCCATGCTGTGGACTCCACATCGCCAGAAAACCACTGCTACTGTCTTCCTCACTTCCGTGCTAAATTCATACGTCACCCATTCGATAACAAGTCACAAGCGATGACCTTAGCCGACGGCGACCGCGGTACCAGTACTTCAGTCTCTGCAAGGCTTCGTTTACCCACAGAAAAAATATTCGATAAATTTCTCAAGTCGAGGAAAGGCAAGAGTGCCCAACCTCTACCTTTACCGGGGTCCGAAGAAGATAGCAACAATCCTGACGACGGTCCTTCAGAGAATCCAAGATCAGCTAATACTCCTTCAGTCGATCCTGGAAGTGAAACAATGGACACAGAAGGCGACAAAGAAACAATTGGATCAGCAACATTTGCGCAGAAAATGCAAGCAATGATGACTGCCTTGCCTTCGTTCCCTTCATCCATTATGTCACCCAATGAAATGACGGACACAGATGGTGACAAAGAAACGAACGGATCGGCAACTTTTGTGCAGAAAATGCAAGCAGCGATGACTGCCTTGCCTTCGTTCCCTTCCTCCACTAGGTCATCCAATGAAATGATGGACACGGAAGGCGGCAAAGAAACAAATGGATCGGCAACTTTTGCGCAGAAAATGCAAGCAGTGATGACTTCCTTGCCTTCGTTCCCTCCCCCCATTATGTTACCCGGCCGACCCACCCCTGCATCTTCGCAGCAGCAGGAACCTCCACAATCACCCTCGTTTATCCCTTCCTCGCCTCCGGCTGATAACGTTACAAAGCTCTGGGGTTTTCTGTCACCGAGAACCTCGAATAGGACGATAGATCCTGACACCCTGTCTCTTCTGTCATCATTGGATGCGTTTCAGTCGCCACGCGGTAAGGAGTCGGCAGGTGGCTTAGCCTCCCCCACGAAGAGCACGAACACCATGTTGGACTGCGTAGACGATAACAATTCTGTGATGGTCTATGGCCCATTGGAGCCCGACGATGTCTCAGAGGTGGAAATCGCCTGCTCAGAGATCGTCTCCGTGTATGGGGATGGAGAAGAAATACGCACGCCGCAACCTCGTTTCATTCCCCTCCCAGCCGAGTCCATCGAGCAGGTGTTGATGGCGGCGAGTGAAATCTCAGACAATGGAAAAGGAAAGGAAAGGGAGTCCGTTGATAATTCTAGTCTAACACAATGGGTCCCCCCTAACGAGTCCTGGAAGAGTCCGTTGTCAAAGAGTGGCCAGCTTCCAGAGAAGGAGTACCGTGTCTGGGTCCCATCGCTCACAAAAATATCTGTGCAGACTATGTGGTGGGGATTTAGGATGTGGGTGCAGACTAGTTCTATGCCCCATCACAGTCCTGATTCCCATTTTGCAGATATCTTCCTCCTCCGGTTCTAGACATACTAAACAACAAACAACTTCAAGCCGCAAAGCGCGCTGCAATAATTACCGGTGCGCTCAAATGGCTCATGGACCACATTCCTCTACCGTTGCTACCTCCGCAAATGCGACCAGCTGTGATGGTATTGCGTCGACTTGTGCCCTACCTCGGATACGTCGGCGGTTTTATTGCCTGGAGTTGGTCTGCAGTCAAGTCTTTCGATAAAGGTACTATTGTTCTTACTGTACCAAGGCGTTGCTGACGGAAAGTAGGTCATGGCGTTGTTCTTACAGCGACATGGCTCCTCCCAATAGCACTCATTCCTGGCACATGGGAAGCGGACAAATTTCCGGATTTGAATATGGGTTCTCCATCGGTCTAGACGGCTTCTACGTCTACGAGATTTCATCATGATTGATTCTTACGATGTGGTACTTGCGGTATCTATTGTGGGCGGAGTGTATTTGTATGTCAACGCTTTTCGATTCTCAACACAGATACCCGAGGGCCTATGGCTGATTCTAGGATGCTTGGTGTAGTGCACTACAGGCTTGCACCACTAGACTGATCTAGCCGTTCTTTATTTAAAGACGTAAGCTATAATCGGAATGTCCACTCGGATGCGCTTCATTATAACATTCACCCTATCGGATTTGAACGCTGAGCGAGCATACAGCTTTTCTACATATCAGTTTTCGGGGTTAACCCATCCTAGTATGACGCTGCATCTGTAACATTAAACAAACAAAAATAAAACAGCTGATTGCGCGACTTTTGCAGTAATGCGCAGGAAATTTGCAGGTGGCTGTGCCCACAGCTACTGACTAAGCAGGGCACGTGCACGGGGGAGCAAGTGAGTCAGGGCTACACGCACTCCTCGCCCGTTCCTCGGGACTCGTTTCGATGCTACTGTACATAACCCATGTAATAATGGGTATTTTGCCAAGAAACGGGCCCAAATTCGCTAGGCCAGTGATGACTTGTGGCGCGGAGTGCGGTCACATGAATTTGCAGGTGGCGATGCCGTGGGAATTTCCCGAAGGAGCAATCCCGCCACCAGGCGGGAGGGGCGGGAAGGGGGTCGAGCGTTCGAGCGGGCCCTGTGGGGCATCACGGCCTCGTGGATTGGGTGGGATGACTGGGGAGGGTGCCGACGAACTGTGTTCACGTCCTGCCTACGTTTATCTATTTTATCTGCCCTCCTAGCTAGTGCAAAGTGGTACAAGGTGGCTGTGTTAAAAATTATGCAGGGTTAGTATAAAAAGTTGCGCAGGAGCAGTGCTGCAAAAGTCGCGCAATCAGCTGTTTTATTTTTGTTTGTTTAATGTTACAGATGCAGCGTCATATCCTAGGTCTTCCTCCACAATCATCCGAATCAAGAGCTTGAAAAATGGCATCAGATCGCTCTGCGTAACGTTCGAGATCAATAACTTGTCCGCATCTCTGGACTAAAGATTTTGTTTTGCGGTGGAGGACTAGTGCTGGCGCCGATTTTGTTGGCTGAGAATCTTGCCTAACCCACTTGCGATTTTAGAGCACCATAGGTTTGTGGTGGACAGGTTTGTAACATTGTTCCATGTCGACTACAGGCCCCATGTTGGGCTTCAGATCATCGAGCGCGACGTACACACGACCTTGGAATTTTAAAGTCGAAAGGATCACAGGACGGATATTTCGTGGATGCCTTGGACGTTTTGGACAAATACTTTACGCAAGTTCGGGCGAGCGGTGCTCCGAACCTGGTCGAGATTCTATATAGCCTGTCCAAGTTACCGCGGGTGCAACAAGCGCCATCATGTAGTGTACAGTGATGCTTTATAGAGATCATTTCGAGCCCAGAGCATGTTGCAGTGCTTCGTAAACGTCAGCCTCTATCCGGGCCTCCATCTTGTCTTCCTCTGATCCATTTCCTGCGGCAACTTTTAATGCTTCTTGAAGGTTAGTCCGTACTGCCTAGAGGTAATAGCCTAGGTATTAGCGTAAACAAATGGCACGCGAAACCTGTACCTCAGGAGAAAACGAGTCGAGAGGAGCGGCCTCGACCACATTGATAGTGAGTTTGTTGCCAGGGTGCACGTTGGCAAAGCCACTGGAAACTAGAAGCCAATGAGTGCACAAAGCTTGTCAGAACCAGTTAGTGACACTTACCAAACCACTTCTTTGACGTGTTGTTCGAATCAATCACCTCAACAACACCAGGACGGATGGGTTCGATGGAAGGAACGTGGTTGGCGAGGATACCCATGTCTCCGGTGGCTGCTGAGATGTTCACCTGAACAACATCTGTCGAAGTAAAAATTGCCTGGAAAACCATACCACAGGTGAGTTACATGCTTCAAGACGTACATACGCGCCGCAACGCACTTGGTGAGGAAGAACTAGGGACAGGTTGAGTTTACTCGCAGCTTCTGCATACCCACGCTTTTGCTGAAGGAACGCCGAGGGTACTCGCCGGGAGGTGGACGACAGCAAGCGCAGCGCGGACATGTTCTAAAAGGTATCTTAAAATTACCGTACCTTGCAAACTCGGAAGAACTGGTCGGATAAAGCCGGGCACATCGATCACGTGAGAGGTGAGTTTACTCCGTCCACGGAAAATTATCATGCAACTACCAGGAGACCATCATACCAAAGCTCTTGAACCAACCGTTAGAGCGAGTCAAGGATGAATCATAGTGACGAAAAGACTCCCGCTTGAGGAGGCATGTCGAATATCGATCATTGATTTCACCTTCCTCCAGAGCACTGGATTGAATTACAGCATTCTATGTACGATAGTGCGTGTCCAAGGTCCGAACTCCAGCGCCCGCATAAGCATGCTACATACGTTATGTAAGAAGCGTCTTCAATGCACATCACGGTACAATTTCGATATGGACCCTACAACCTGCAGAGTAGTTGCAGGCCACGTGTCCACAAGACTGCAGCGTCACGATTTCTCCTCCAGTCCGCTCAAGAACGCGAGCCAATTCTTCTTGTCGATGACGCCTTCATCTATTTTTATTTTGTTTTCGAAAATGAGACACCTTTTCTGAGCAATTGAGCAGATATCAACTTACAGTCCCCATCAGTATTAGTTACGATGACGTATCGAGCGCCGAGCTTTACAAAAAACTGATGAACGAGAGGCAAGGGTGAATTGGATTGGATGGTTAACGGGGCCTGTGGACTACTGTCAACGCAAGACCATACAGTCAAAATGAAAAGACAAACTTCATCCATATATACGCTGAAATCCAGTGGGTCCTCCGAACCCTGCTCAACACAGGACGAGTACGATGCTGTCATGTCGTGTCCTGTGCGCACATACGATCTCTCGAACCGGACTTGTCCGTCTGGATCGTCCGCAACTATGGCTACGCAGGTTTTGTCCAATTAAGCAACGGAACGCCTGTAGGATGAGTGAAACGCAATCAACTCACCGAGAGCATGTTCCAATTCACTTGCGCCGATATAGCCCACCATACGCATTCCTCCATCGTCTCTGCTTGTACGGAGAATGGGGAAGCCACTGTCATCGTGACCTGCGTCCAGAAGCGACTGCAGCTGATCCCGCAGGCTCATGACAGTGTTGGAACGATCCAAGCGAATTGTATCGACCTCCTTGTCCGTCTGTCCAATGGGTATCAGTAATTCCTTCGGCGTCTGCATATAAGGAAATTCGTACGATATCGTTGATCGAGAAGTCAGCCCAAAGATATTCGTGCTTAGCATCTAGGTAAGGCAATTGAGACAGCCTAGCCGTCACAGTAAGGATCTCGCCGAGAAGATGTGAAAAAGAGAACATTACTCTATCACAAGGTCATAAATTCCCTTGGGTTCCAGTGCATCGGCAACAGTTTTTGCCACCAAAACTGACAACATGACTGGGACCGCATATGTCAATGTATCCGTCAGTTCAAACATGATGACAGCCAAGGAAACTGTCGTTCGCTACGGACTGGAGGTGGAATCAACCGTCGAAAGGAGATACTTGAAAACTGACCGTAACGCCGGACAACGCGGCTGCGGCACCAACCATAGCATAAAGGCCAGGGATGACACAATCCTTGTCATCCCCACACGCTGCAAACAGAGCGCTTTCTGGGTTGTTCCACTGGAGATACCGCACAGCAACACCAAGTATCCGACCTGCACAGGCTCCCACGCCAAGTGTGGGAATGAAAATACCTGCAGGTAACTTGATGCCAAAAGTGACTATTGTCAATGCCCCTTTCATGATCATAGTCATGAAGATTGCGCGGACAATAGGCCATACGTGATCAAGGTTTCCCGGATCTAGAACGCACAAACCAAAGTGCATGTTCTTGCTGCCTCGCTTGCACTCAGCAAAGAGGTTGTAAACGAGCTCTGTGCCTCCCATCCGAGCATAGGGATTAAGGAAGCAAAATAACGCCGTAATCAGCGTAACCTTAACAAGTCAGTACAATACAACGAAAGGAGAGGTCCTGCATACCAGGATCACCTCGATAACAGGATGGTCTTTTAACCGCGTGCCATTGCGGATATGGCGACTCCAACGGTAGTTTAACTTTGAGAAGTATGCACCATACACACCCTTCCAAGCCGATAAGCAAACTGCGTCAAGAGGAAGCGAAAACTTACTCCAAATGCTCCCAGCAAGATAAAAAAGATCAGGTCATACGAATGCCAATCCTGCAGATGACCAGGTAGGTACCACAATCTATGCGGAAGTAAACAACCACACCTTGTCATACGTAACCTGGAAAAGTACGAGTTTCCCCGTCCCAAAGGGATCGAGGAACCTCAGCGTAATTGCAGCAATCATTGCACAAAAAAAGCTAAAAATATCAGTGCCAGCTTTCTCATAAACGTTTTAAAAAATCATACCTTCTCCACATGACCTATAAGCGCGCATTGTGCAATGAGTAAGCCGTGGTGAATTAGGACATCTATTCCAAACCTCCAAACCTTGGGTGGGAAAAAGTAGGAAACCTCTTCCAAGCTGAATAAAGTACCCCCGATCGGGGCTCCGAATGCCACGGCTACGCCTGCTGCACATGCTGCACTGAGAATTTCACGGCGCTTAGCTACGTTGTTATCTTAGCCCAGAACATGTGTCAGGGAGGGCGAATGAAAAACCTTCGTTGTTTTCGTACTTGCTGTGGCACCGGCTCACTATATTACCAACACAGCTCGCCATGTGAACGAATGGCCCTTCTTTGCCTGGTACCACAGGTGTGGGTAAGAGATCGATCTCGGGCGAGTTGACGTACCAAGGGTTAAACCTGATCCAACCGAAAGCGCTAGGCCCAAAGACTTGGTGAAGAGTGTTCTGGCACCCAGATACCCATGGATAACAAAACCTAAGGATACATCTCGGTCAGCCCTCCCAATAACAAACTGATGACCAGACCTGAAAGAATAGTTTTGACCTCCGGTATACCACTGCCTGCTGCCTGTGGAACACTTGTGGGAACGAACATTGTCTGGACCAATAACGAAGGATACGCACATAGTAAAGTACTTTGCGTTTAGGCTGAGCAGAAGTTCGTCGTTGTTCGCCGCCGTCTTTGTTAGTTGCAAATAAGGGTGATAGTACTCCAGATTCTTTGCGCGTGAAAAATGAGGTCGATGCCGTCAAGTAGATTGTAAGGAGGGAGGATACGGTGGCGAGGAGAATCTGTACTAGGAAATAAATGAGGTACGACCAAAGGTTTTGGGAACATACCGCGACACAGGTATACGTGAAATACTCTACGTAATCGCTTTCGAAGGCAGAATTTGGCTGATTACGAATCCGCGATCTAATAACATCGGACCATGCTCGCCAACTTGAGCAACTACCGTCTTCGGCGGACGACATCCACAGATCATCAGGACCGGGACAACAGAACCGCTGAGCTTTCCACCAGCCATCAGCGCAATAGCCATACTTCAGATCGAAGAACCACTGCTCAGATCGGACAACGAGGAAAGCAAGGACAGCAGACAGGAAGCCAACGACGGTGACGATTATCCAACCAAGACTCTTATCAAGTACGAGACGAAGACGCGAGCGGAATGATTTTCCACGCCTCAGGCGAGAGAAGCGAACAGAATCCTTTATGGTATCGTGGAGCCAGTCAATAGATGAGAAGGACGAGTACCAGACACGGAAACCATTGATGCGAACGTTTATATCTGTTTCATCGGCAGCCGAGTTAGAATTGACCAGGGGCGCATCATATGCAGAGATTGGCCGCTGGGAAGGGCGCCAACCGAGCGTGTTTCGCAACAAGGTTGGCGAGATGGTCGCAGGGGAGATAGCAGTAGCTGATAACGTACGACGAAACTCGACGTTAGGAAGTGGGGGCCGGCTGCGGCGAAGGATGAGACCAGGTTGCCGCGCGGCAAGAGACGGAAGCGTTCCATAATTGTTGGGATTACTAGTATTAGGATGCAAAGAAGACGTTTCAGTGAGAGACTGTTCCTCGAGGTCGCTCGTGGTAACTCGGGTGGGTATACTTTCGTTAGTTCCAATGCGAAGGAGACGCTGCCTCCGCCAGTTGGTCGGAGAGGGTGCTTGAAAGGGCCCCGCCCCAGATCTAGCCGACAGATCAAGAGAAGAAGTCGAATGCCGCGTCCGCAACACCATATAGTACTATGGGGTATCCTCCTACTGGTTTCGGTCAGCCTGTGCCAAACAGATGCCAGAGAGGGTGTCCTACCACAGGTATATCAGTCACCACCAACCTGCCGCCGCAATGGTTAGCTCAGTAGGGGGACCAAGCAGGCCAACCAGCGCCTTGCAAGGACTGGACTAGTGTATTACTAATACGTGTCTGTGGGTTGGGCCAAACACGTGCAACCTTTGATCCTCGACGACCAGCAGCAATCATGCCACAGGAAGGCTTGGGTGTTCCCGTCAAGCTCCTACACGAGTCTCTAGGCCATATCGTCACCGTAGAGCTCAAGACAGGCCAATTGTACCGTGGTAAACTTGCCGAGGGTGTGTGCTTCATCCATCCGTCTCTGATCATTTGCTGAATTGTCTCGCCTTTCAGCTGAAGATAACTTGAATATTTCTCTCAAGGATATTACCGTCACTGGTCGGGATGGTCGCGTATCTCAACTGGACCAAGTTTATATTAGGGGGAGTATGATCAGATTCTTCATAGTACCAGACATGCTACAGAATGCCCCCATGTAAGCTGTTCCCTTGCGTCTCATCGCGGATTGCATTTACGCTATACAGGTTTAAACGGGTGGGTCCAAATGCCATGCGAGGAAGGGGTATTGGTACGGCACGTGGACGTGCAACGATCATGCGAGGTACGTGTATGCGCTACATACCGTTGATGTCTATCGAGTCAACATTTCCTTTGCAGCCAACGGTACGTGTATGGGGATGTATGCACACATTCAGTGGACTTACGGCCTTGACAGCACGTCGTGGGCGCGGTGTACCCGCGCCTCGTGGTATCAGACGATGAGCACAATCGCTTCGCATTGGTACCCAAAAAATTTTCTACAAAGATGTTGTACTGCGTCAAAAATGTTATTTGTACTCCCGGATTCTGCGCAATTCACCTTTGTTTGTGAAGGGGAGCGACACAGTAATTCAAAATTCAAAAGTCGGTAACTCGACCCTTGAAGCTCCAGTCTCCCCCACCCTCAGCCCACTTTGCGACTGGCTCTCTCTTTGGGCCACCCTCCTCGCCTGTTTTGGGGTTGACTGGACCCTCGAACTCGGGGGTGAGAGGCGTTCTTGCATCGGGGTGGAGAGCAAGTCCCTCTTCAGACTGTTGTGAAGATAACGGTGCCTGAGCTTGGCGTTGGAGTTGTTCGAATTCGCGCTGGAGTTCACGGGGGAGTGGGGGAGGGGAGGGTCTGTTCAGACCTGAGGAAGACATCCTCCGTGCCACCACCCCCAGGGCGCGGGCATGGGCATGAGCAATCCAACAATGCATGGGTCTGAGGGCTGTGGTGGACGATGACGGGCTTCCCACGGGCTGACTAACCCTGTAGCAAGCAAGCCAAAGTAGGTGGCACGTGATAGGGGTATATAATTGCTTAGTCAGACTGGTTGGGGCATATGTGATCGGGCAGTGGTCGAGTGTTTTATGTCCTTCCAGTCCTTTGCACAGCGATTTGTCCCTTCCCATCCGACACTCGATCAGCCACGCGGCGGTCGGTTGCTTGCCATCGACGTGCCCTTTGCCGAGACCAGCTTCTAGTCAGTCCCCCGCCGACGTTTCACCCCCTCCCTCCATCTGGGTTTCGTCCTTGTCCATGTATCCACCAACAAATCAGTTCCGTCCGCTTCATTATGCAACCAATGCCGTCGAACTCACGGACGCCCTCGCATTCCGTTCCGCCCCGAGTTCGTCCGCAAACGTCGTCTATCAGTCACCGCACACCACAGATACTCTCTCCAACAAACGAAAAATAGAGCGTGCCTGTGATGCATGTCGCCGTAGGAAGATTAAGTGTGACGGTCCAAGGACGCCAAATAATTTTTGTACAAATTGTGTGCAGACTCGCAAGTTTTGTTCCTACGTGTCCGTGCGATTAAATACAACTTCATCTCTCGTCTGTTGCTAACCCTTCATCCACAGCGAGGCTTCTAAGCCACGCGGTCCACCGAAGGCGTTAGTGTGTTTTACATCACGACGACCCTGACAATTCAATTAAGGTGATCTTCTTAGGTACGTGACTAGCATGGAAGACAGGTTGGAGAAGATGGAGGCTCTTTTAAAGCGAGTGAGTTTGACGTTGCTTTACTGCCACCCTCTTGGACTGTACATACCACGGTCTTCAAACTGATGCCAGGCACAACCCTGGCCATGGATTTCTCCCATTGGTTGAACATCGGCTGATGGTTTTGCATACTAGCTTCGTCCAGAAGAGGATTTTTCCGAAGAGCTTGGCCCTCCGATCATTCGAGACTCGTGGAAGAGTGACCAAGACCCTGGACGCCCACCATCACCCCATCGAAAGTCTTCCTCGCCTTCCGCATATCCCTCGAACGTCAGATCTTCCCCGTCTGGGTCTCTTCCACAGATCTCCAACACCCTCGCCCCTTCATCATCACGCGCTAGCATCCGTAGCCGAAATTCAGGGGGAACCCCACGTACAGACACAGATTTGTCTTCAGAACTAGATACATCATCAGAAACTGAAGAAGTCGGCGAGCTCAGTCTATCACGCGGCATGAAGCGGCTCACCATTCGTGGACTCGAGCCCGCGCAAGAGAAGCCATTCCTGGCAGATAGTCAGGTCCGCTTCCACGGAAAAAGCAGCTGGTTCAAGCTCATTGAGCAGACACGCAAACTTAGGGATGAACACGTGTATCGTGTAACCGGTGGAGCTGAGAGCGCCGCTATACACCAGAGGAACAGTAGCCCAGTCAACGCGGCTGCAACTCGCCGACAAGAGTTCTGGACGACACCTTCTGTGAGTCTTGCCACATTACCTCAGAAACTTTCTGAGCCCTCATCGTTCCGGATAGTGGGAGCTTAAGTATGAAGAAGCTCGTCTACAAGGTTTATGCGACTTCCTAGCCCAGCAATTTCCGCCACCGGATCTTGCGGACAATCTCATCAACCTTTTTTTCGACCACGTTAACCCTCAGTTTCCTCTGTTTCATCAACCCACATTCGAGCGACAATGGAAAACAGGTTTACAGGTCAAAGACCCGTGGTTTGGGTGTCTTTGCTTTACTTTGTTTGCTGTCGCGAGTCGGTGGTGTGATGATCCCCGAGTTTTGGACAATCATGAATATGACATACCGGAGGAAGAGCGGACAGACGATAACCACAAATGGCAACGTGCGGGCTGGAAATATTTCCATGTAGCCCTTGGTGCGTATCACGAGTGTTTTCGAAGTCTAGTTGCCTGAATTGTCGCCAGATGGGCATCGCGAATCCCGCAGTCTCTTCCATCCTCCTGGCTTGTTTGAAGTGCAGACGATGTCGGTCGGTGTTTTTCCGCTTATGACCGAGATTGACGTGTTCCTGATCTTCCTCTTATATATGTCAGTTAATGGGCATGTTCATTCGCGGCACCGCGTTTTACCCGGTAGCGTGGCTATTCATTAGTGTCGGTATCCGGAAAGCTCAGGACGTGGGTGCACATCGAAAGAAGGTGTACGGGGACAAGCCCAGCGTCGAGCAAGAATTATGGAAGAGAGCCTTTTGGATGCTGGTTTTGTATGATCGGATAGGTAGCGCGTCGCTCGGTCGTCCCTGTTGTTCTGGAGAAGAAGAGTGAGCCGTCCTCTGTCTACCTAAGGTTTAATGTTGAGTTTCTTCGCTGCAGTTTCGATGTAGATCTACCCTTGGAAGTAGACGATGAATACTGGGAGACAGAGGATCCGGCGCATGCCTTCCAACAGCCACCAGGGAAACCAGCAAAGATTGCTGCATTTAATTCGTATCTCAAGCTGACCAGAATCGCAGCATATGCCTTGAGGAATCTTGTGTGTATCACTTCTGTTTGGGCATGTCGCACTTCATTTGTATTGATCCTGGCTAGTATGCACTGGACAGGTCGAAACTCCTCGTCAGCGCGACACGCCCTCGGTTACAGGACGTATTAACAGAACTCAACAAAGCCCTGCTTGAGTGGGTGGACTCTGTTCCTGCGCATTGTATGTCTGCTGTACTACACTCTGTAGTTCAGCGTGGCGTTGACGATCTACGAATCCCTCTTCTTGCTTAGTGCGCTGGTCACCGTCAATGACAGACCCACTCTTCGCCAATCAAGCAGCGACCCTGTATATCACCTACTATCTTGTCCAGGTTATTATCTACAGACCCTTTCTTCCGCCTTCTCTGCGGTCAGTCTCCCACCTTGTACCGCGCTCGAAGATGCCTATCCCCTGCATCGCGCTCTGCGTCAACGCTGCTCGGTGTTGTTCTCATATCCTGCAAACCCAGATGAACCGCGGCATATCCAATATCTATAGCGTAATCTGCTCTGCACACATGTGCGCAGCCATCCTGCTGATGAACTATTGGGACCTCAAATGGCAGGAACGTAACCTGGTCAAGGCTAGTGCTGGGGAAGACATCAAATCACCTCTGGCTACGCAGATGGCAGAAGTGCTTCGGCATGTCAGTGTCTTTATACGAGCATTAGAGCTCGTGAAACCACGTTGGAGGAATGCAGAAATGTATCTGCAAGTCGTCTATGCTCAATATTGGAGACGGTCGTACTGATCAACACACTTGACAGTAACGACTTGAGTACATCGCTGCCTAGTTCGCTTGGCGGGACCAACACTGGAAGTTGTAAAGATAGTCTGACATCTTCTCAGCAATCCACGCAGTTTGGCGAGCAAGCATTGCACCAACCTGCTCTATCAAGTTTTACACCTCTCCCAGAGTATCATAACTCGTCGGAATATCTCGCCACGATCACGTCCGTCACAAGCGACCCCTATTATTCACAGATTAAATCTGCCGAACCAACCCACTTCTTTGATGTTCCACACGTCACACAATATCCACTTCCGACGAACCTCTACTTTCTTGACAACCAGTCTCTTGAAGAAAACGAACTATCTTGGGGGATGCAGAACCCTGTTCAATCTCAGCGATTGCCTCAAATTTCTAATCAGCCACAACCCATTGTGTACAGGCAGATACCTCAACGGGGCTGCGATGACTTCCAGGGTATGATCCCTCCGAGTTCTCAAAAGCATTTCGCGCCGAGTATTCGTTCCTCGTCAGGTCTGAATGTTGGACCATCCAACTCAGCTCACCTGAGCGTCATATCACAACACAAGGCCACTAGTTCAGGTGGGCATAGTGCCTACGCCGCTCCTGAGCCATCCTCATTTGTGTTGGCGCCGGCAACGTCTGGAGACGCTCCCTATCTCCCCCCATCGTACGTCTCTACGTGTAATGTTTCTTCACTTGCACCTTCTCAGCATTTGGATCTTATGTAGGCGCGGTATCGCTAACCAGTGGATGCACAACCCTCCTCGCGGATACACCACTGGCAGTACTTCTTTTTCGTCGTCTGGTGGCCTCAGGTGCCAGCATCTCAGTGGCGGTGCATCATTGCAAAAAGATGCTGAAGTCACACCTTACTCCAATTACTATTGAGTGGGTTTTCCTATACCACTCACACTTTCCACATTCCCTTCACACCATTCTTACAACTCGTAATGAAGCAACATATGTATGAAACCTGTCACGGCTTGGCCATAATTTGTCCTTGCTTGCTTTCTCAGCTAAATATTTTTTACAGTAGTGTACTCTAATCCTAGACAGCCATGTCTCTTAGTCTGTAGGTTGCACTCGCGCCTTGTTTACATCTTGACGGCAATGGTACCGTGTAATGGGTTTAGCGAGTCTCATCCTGCCTGAGTCTAGGCTTATCTGAACAGCGAATTCTGGAATCGGTAAACGGCAAGTGGTACTCCTATAAGAAAGCTTGTTTATTATAGATATCATGGTCATACCACCGACCACGAGCCCCGGTCAGCCGCCGGAGTCATGTCCAAGTACCGAAATGACGCCGGTAAAATCTTCACATGTCTACCAACCTTCCTCGTGTTTCCGAACCACCCATGGTAGCTATCCATCGAGCACTCGCAACCGCAGAGTGCTGATTGAGCGTATAGTTCAAATGTCTCGCTTCGGAAGGTTATTCGTCAGTCGGACCTCTTGTAAACTTGCTTCCGATGTGGCTTGTGCCACGAACTCTGGAGTGGCCTGCTAGCACTCACCCCGTGCAACGGAAAATTTCGATTTCTTCGTCATAAGAATGAAGACCGAATGGTAGTCTGGGTGTTCCTGTCTACGGACAAGACCTGTCGTCCAAAGAGTCAGATTCAGCTAATATTTCGTCATTGCATTGCGGATGTTTTTTGGCGTGTTGCCTCGCAGGCCAGGTAGGGGAGGCCTTGATGACTTGCAAACGATAATACGACGTCTGTACAACAAAACCAACCAAAGCCTCGAGAGCACTAATCAATATTTCGGTCCTGTCCAGTAATTTGTACTCACAAACGCGGCGAACACCATTATAAACCTTTCCTTCCAGCGATCATCTACAGAGACATCATCGAAGTAGGGTCTTCTTGATAGTCTGCCCCTCAGCCAAGCGGGATCCATCATGTGTTCCATGGCGGTAGTGTCCGGCTCGTCCAGTGAAACATTCACATTCTTTCCACGAAGTATGTCATAGGCCTTGTTGATCGCTTGTATCCGCTCTTGGGAGACTTCAGGAGGGTCTCGCCGAGCAATGATGGAATCTGGATGGTAAATGCGAACGAGGTCATAATCTACGTGTAATTAGTCACAGTATAAAACGGTGATAATTCTCGGGGGTTGGCTTACACCTTTGCTTTATCTCTTTCTGCGTCGCAGACTTGGGGAGGTGGAAAATGTCATGAGGCTGGGGATTCCTTTGGCTCGGAAATGGGAGTGAATTGGAGCAATCCCGAGCATAACTCCGAGATAGTCGAACACGAAGAGGAAAAGTCCCAGATAAACGACACCAAAACGTCGGTGATGAGCGCGTAAACGCAAGCGCATGCATGTCTCCTGAACCCGAGCCTGCAGTCGGGAGGATACGACTACAAATCTCCTGTCACGTGGTCTTCGGGTGGCAGTGTGCTTGACCAATTTATGTAGAATTAGCCCCTATTCAGCAGTACCCGGGCAGGGTGCCATCTTACTATTCTTTTACTGATCGCTCGACGTAGACAGTGAGTTGAACAGCAGCGGCCAAGCTTTTGACATTGTATACCGATACATGGGTACCCAAATGAAGACTCTACACTAAAGAACACCAACAATTCGGGTAAGTGTGTATATGCGATGTATAATGGCGTCGCCAAAACTTCTTGTCATCTCAAACGTACGATCAACAGCCCTCCATTGTCGGGGTCAACATCGGCAGGGAGATTCTTCCTTTTCAGGTTGTAAGTAGAAGTAACTGATCATAAGAATGAGCGACCTGCCTCTTCATAAATTCCTCCAATGCAGGCTTGATTTTGGCAACACGACCATCAGAGTGCAATCCTTTCCCTGCGCACATATGGATGATGGCGTTGAGCCGTAGCATGTAAACTCGAGAACTGAGAATCCGGCGTACCGACTATCAGCCGTACCTCGAGATCGCCCCGGAGCTGGGCTTCCTCGATAGCATTTTCAGCGTACATGACAGCCTCTTTGACGTAAAGCCCGTGGAGGTCTACCTCGCCGGGTTCCCTGTCCTAAATTACTCTGTGAGATTTGCTTCACCGCACATTGTCGTAGAAACACACCAGATTATTCTCTGTGGAAAGAGAAACATGCTGAGTTGAATGGACCCGGCAGCGGAAGGGCGATAAAACTGATCACCTCTGAAGATCCAAACACTGGCTTCGGCGTTCAAGCGTTCCATCCTACGTTTGTGCTCACCACCCTTCTGGGACAGCACTTTGGCAAGGGCACCGTGACCCTGCTGGTATGTTTCTTGACTCTCCTGGTAGCATTGTGCCATCAAATCACCTTCTCGTTTTGCCTCGGCGCGAAGTGCTACATAGTGTTCATTGTTCTGGTTTATCTGGTTCCGGTCCTATGCAAGAAAGTCAGATTTTCCATGCCCTTCGAAGCACCGGTTATTTGAGGCGTACAGAGTGGCGTTCGCCCTCACGTCTACTCTGAGCAACAACTGGTGATTCGAAAGGTTTCTTTGACGGTACTTTCAAATCATCAGTCTGTTTAAGCGAATGTCACGTAGAATTCGACATTAGGTGGGTGAACGAAGCCCCCTCGGACGTAGCGCTCACCTTCTGTCGATGGTGTCGCTGGTCTTGAGGCCACTGTACGGGTGGTCGCTGAGGTCGCTGCTGTTGAGCCGGCTTCTTGGGTGGCTCTGGGGGAGCTGCACCACCGGAAAACAAATTCACAATAGCCCGGAATATATTCCCAAAAAACCCCATGATGCGAAAGTCTGCAGACCAGGAACAGCGCTAATGTTCTCCCAAACGTGTTCGTTACTATGCACGGTTACATACAAAGCCATGATAGAGAACAGCCGTCGTCTTCACCAAGCGCACGAACTTGTTTAATATCCCCAGATCTACAATACTTGGTCTTACATGCTTCGATCGAAGCACAGTGGTTCTTAGTAGTATGCAGTCACAGATCAAAATTCAAGCCCTCTTTTCAAATATCCGATTGGAGGGTTAACTTTCATGCATAAATGTAAACGGAAATACACAACGGAAGAAATTGAATGTCTCATATCCACACAACCTCCCTCTACTGGATCTCCAAACCCATGAGGACGTACGCCGGATTAACCTGGAAGGGTGGTTTAGTAACAACGCTTCCTCCGACGTACATGAGTGAGTGTAAAAGTTCGCTGATTCCACTAGACGACTTGTCGAGAACGATTACAAGTGCAGAGCATTGTAGTTGTTCGTCAGCGAGGTCGAGCAGGGCAACGACGCTGTAGAAACATTTAGCATCCACATGTGACGAAAACCAAAAGACATTACCTTTCGCGGAGACTGACAGCAGGAGCATTCTTACCATCGACGTACAACGTCTTCGATTTTCCGGGAAACTCGAGAACGACGCCGTCGAAAAAGGCCCCCATATTCGGCGCAGACACGACGATACTCTTAGCAAAGGGTAACAAGCTCACACCGTTATGAGGGAATATGTTCAAGAGAAGGTCCAGTGCATCCTTTGAGTGCCCCGCAGATAATACCAGAAGCACCGCTCCCAACATCGTCGTCGTCACCGTCATCGGGGGTCAAAGGCGGGGTTGGAAGATCATACGATTGCGGTTTTCCAGGAATCTTTCTCGGCGTAGCAGCAGAGGGAAAGACTGCAGCAGTTGTGTGGTTGGTTATATTTGTTTGAGTAGAAGGCAGAGACTGAGAAAAAGATGGAATCATAGGCACCAGACTGTCTGTCACCCAGTCTGACGACCCTCGATCAGGAGGGCATTTTTCTTTCGTGATGTCAAAACCGCCACTGTGTGACACAATGAGAACATACACCTGAGATGAGACGTAAAAAAAACTTACTCCAGGTCCGCCAGAGAACGTAGTAGAGTAATAATACAAGTCGTCGTCGGTGCCCTGGACGTGGCACACGGCAAGAACACTCGGAGCAATGTCGGTAGAGAAAGCCCCATCTCCAACGGCTTGACGGTGACCGTTGCTGCAGGTACGACGGTTTAGACGATGGTCCGCGAGCTGGGACTCATGTACGTACGTGGGGCAAGGACTAGATTGTTGTTTTATAAGATTCGACATAATTGAATTCGACATGTTCTGCCAACTTGACTGGGTAGGTGGGAGTATATTTGTTTGCAGTTTCTTGCTAAGATACAGTGAGGTCAATATTGAGTGTGCTGAAGATGACCAGATGGCCTGCACGACATACCGAGTGTGGTGATGATGCAAGGAGACGGGAAAAGCGGTGTGGCGGTGCTGTGGTATTTATCAGCATCCACTCAAGTTGGCGGACCCCGAACACCACTAACCACTGCTCCAATGCAAACCTTTATAACTAGACCCGATCTGCAGGGGTGTACCTAGGTGTATCATGTATGCCGCTCTTCTGCTTTTAAATCAGACATCTTTGGGACGTTCGTCGATTGCTAGTCGTTCAAGCGTGTTGCCGTCAGATTCTCATTAGGGTGTCACTTGTCCACTATTCTTCAGGGCCGGTCGCAGGCACCAAAGCAGCCATTGCTCGTCAACCGTAGAATACCGTCATCGACAGCGAGCTCAACACAGCCAACCTCAAAAGGTGAATCTAACACTGTACTGAAGCCCTGTGGGTCACTCTGGGTGCTGGGCTCGGACGTGCATGTTCGCCTACGACCGTCGTTTTGGCTGGATGCAGGGTTACATGACCAGATGGAGCCTGAGCATGCTCTTCTCATTCTTCTCATTCTATCTTCCACCATTTTGCTGACACTGTGGCAGTAGTTTCTCAAGACATAGAAGTAATGGCTGACGCACCACGAGGACGCGGTGGATTTGGACGTGGACGTGGAGATCGCGGCAGAGGACGCCGTGGACCTCGCCGCGGTGGCCGCAAGGATGAAGATAAAGAATGGTTCGTTGAATGCGCACGCCATTACTTCAGAGACAGCTAACTCGCCATGCCCAGGGTTCCCGTCACCAAACTTGGACGTCTTGTCAAGGACGGCAAGATCAAGTCTATGGAAGAAATATATCTCTTCTCCCTTCCTGTGAAGGAATTCCAGATCGTAGACTTTTTCTTGCCCAAACTCAAAGACGAAGTCATGAAGATCATGCCTGTACAAAAGCAGACCCGCGCCGGTCAACGCACTCGTTTCAAAGCGTTCGTCGCAATTGGCGACTTCGATGGTCATGTAGGCTTGGGAGTCAAGTGTGCCAAGGAAGTCGCCACGGCCATCCGTGGAGCTATCATCCTCGCCAAGCTCTCTGTGATTCCCGTTCGACGAGGTTACTGGGGTGCTGCTCTCGGTGCGCCACACACGGTGCCATCAAAAGTTAGTGGCAAAGTTGGCTCGGTCATGTGCCGACTGATCCCCGCACCACGTGGGACGGGTCTCGTTGCTGCGCCCGCTTCCAAGCGCCTTCTGCAGCTGGCTGGTGTTGAGGATTGCTACACCCAGTCAAAGGGTTCGACTGCTACAATGGGTAACTTCTTAAAGGCAACCTTCGTCGCAGTACGTGTTCTTGTTGAAACGAAGTCTGCTTCTCCCTCTTACCATACTTCTTGTTTAGCTCACAAAAACATATTCATTCCTCACCCCCGACCTATGGCGAGAAATACCTCTGTCGAAGGTTCCTTACGATGAGTATAGTGCACATTTGCAACTCACTGCATCAGCCAAGAAGGCGTACTAGGTATAACGTTGTAACAGTTTTTGCCGTATTTCCTGAACACGCTATTCTTTGATTTCCCTTTCCCTTCGTATTCATCCGTGTTTCATATGTCAGGCCTTCAGGTGTGATCATGATCGGCAGTGACCGTATTCCGGTTGGTCCGGCAATGAGATGTAGCCTCTTCCGATCCTGACAATAGCGGGTATCACGGGAAGGTATCGATCGTGATCTTCCTGGTCTCCTCAGTTGTCTCACCAGTCCTTTTCGCCCTTCTCGGGACTCTACGTGTTCTCGGATTTGGAAAAGCTCCAGAATTTGCAAATATGCTATTTTCTTTTTCACTTGTCTGCCGCGACATTCGATCACAGCAGAAACGTTTGGAAGTGGTGTGATATGGCATGCGACGCCCAGCTGTCCGCCACGTCCGATGATTTGTCTGGTCTTTTGCCACGTCGCCACGTTTCTTTCTATTTCATCCTATGACAAACAGGATTCCCTGCTGGCGACCCTTAGCCCACTGTTTGGTCAGTGAGCTGCTCCTATTTCACAGCGCCGACCAGATACGTGACTGACCACTGTTCCCTCCGTACTCTCACCTACTCACGGCCGTGGTTGAAGTATCCCGTATTGTTCTGATGCTCTTTTAATGTCCTTTAAGGTATGTTTCACGTTCTCCCTAACGACTATTTGGTTCACCCTTCAGGCTCTGGTGGCAAATCGACTTTAGCATAATCGATTTATCTACCCAAAGCGACCTAATATCTTCTGATTCTGGAGAAGAACCAACGCTAGCCGAAGCCAATCACGCTGCCTGCCGTTCCTCGTGTGACGGGAAGCTGTTTGAATTTTCGATGGAGTCCCTCTACCGACACAGAGAATCGTTAGATTCCGCCTTCCATAGCCTGCCTTCCTCCGACAAACGTTTTCCGGTTTTCCGGTTTGCCCCGCATGAGGAAATTGGCCGGATTGAGTCCACGTACAGGTACGTTCGAGTTGCTCTTGGCAATCACCGATCCCGCGAATTTCTTTCAGCCGGGCGTCGTGGTCAACGGAGTCCAATACACTCGATGGGTCTTGGCTTCGCACGCCGGACTTCAGCATCCTGTCCGCGGCTGGGATTATTCGTTCATCTCCAAACACATCCTTCCAGTCGCAATTCTGCGACCCCATATCTCGTGCACTCGACCTGCTGCATGGCCGCATCTCTGTTGCGACCACGGATTCGTGCGACTTATATGCGCAGGCCAAAGGGTGTCTTTCGCCATACGGTCATTTGCCAATCTTAGCTCCAGATGATCTTCCGCTGCGAGAAAGCACTCTGTTGCCCCGGAGTCCCTCGCCGGTCGCTGAATCTCCTTCGGCTGAAACAAAGGATGAGTTCGACTGCCAACTACAATCGATCCGCGTTCGCCGCTTCGCCCGTGATTTCGGGTACATGGGACTGTTACAACCAGCTGAACAGTATAATTTCGGGAGGCCGGCCAGCGATATCTCCGCGTTATCATCCGTTTCTTCGTCATTCCAATCTTCTCATACTCCTGGATCCACTCATACAGCCCCCGACGCAAGGTCCGGCCAGGATGCCGAGGTAGATGGGAATTGTCTGAAGGGTCGGAACCAGGGTACGAGCGGGTTGAGGGAACACCCGGATGGCCAGCAGGAAAATTACGGAGACGACACATGTAGCGTCGCACTCCGGAACTCACCCGCAGCCCGGGGGAGTAGCACCAACGACCTCGTTTGTGCAGCAGAAGCCGATGAAGACGATGACGATGACGACGACAGCGAATGCGCATCTATTGACAGCAGGCGTTGGAGCGCCCTACTGGAGGAAGTTAGTTTGATGGTCGGGATGTCTGACACGGACCGTAGTACTTGCTGCGATTTCTCCCCGGCAGAGGATCCGCCCGTCAAAGACGGTGGTGGTTTTTCTGTCATCAGCGACGAGTGTTGCTCATTGAACTCTTCGCAAGCACTGGGGTCTGCGAACGTACCCCGACTCCCATGGGAGGGTAGACTCCAGGTTTTGAACCTCCTGCAGCCGCCGCTGACATATGCTAGGTTGGCAAGTCGACCTGCCGATTATCATCCGCGGGTTGTGAGTAATGGAAGGCACGTCATTCACTCACAGGGAAACGGCCACCTTGCTGCGTGCAGCCTCCAATCCCTGCCGAACACGCTTTGCGGAAGGGAATACCGACGTGGATGCTCTCCGTCGGCAGAGAAGTGCAGACGGAGTTGGACTGCGGCCTAGGGGGCCCTCTCTAGCAGACTACCGGACGATACCTCACCTAAACAAAGGTGCAGTCGACGTCTCAGCAACGTACATATCCCTGCGTGAACCCTCTCCCACCACCCCTCTGGCAACGCGGAACCCTGCACTTGATAGACTCGGCCTCAGCTTAACCAAATTAAAGGCGCGTGCCCCCCATCAAAGCCAGGGGTGGTCTTCGGATGGAAGTGTCTCAGCTGTACCGCGCAAGACTGGGCCCATCAGAAATAAGAGACCCTCTCGCACTGCCGCTGCTCGCCCGACAGTGCAATCCGCTGTTCGACGCGTTGCCTCGGCGAATAGTAATCGTCCCTTACGACGCGCCCCGAGTTCATTTTCCTTTCCCCGAGTTCTCACCTCGCCAACCAGGGGCAGACGCTGGCGAAGCCACCCCAATCTCCCCAGCACCTCCGCGGTGGAATATTTGAGCCCAGTTAAATCCTTTATGGACATGGACGTGCCGCCTCAGAAGTTCGGAAAGACTTTTCCAAGCCGTGCGCGCAGCTTGGCCAGCAAAGTCAAAATGAGGAAGCTTATCAAGTCCGCGAGCCGACTGAAGCGACGTATTATAGCTTGGGGGAAGAACGTCCTTAATATTTGAGAACCTTCATATGCAACTTTGTGCATTGGTAGCACGAATCCGTATATCATGACTTTGGATGTTTCATTTTTAAACATGTTTCCACTTTTCATTACACTACGATTAAGTAATCAGCAGGACGAGAATGCTATCAAGGCTGGGGACCAGTATTATCATTACACGCGGCTCATCGTGCAGCCACTTCGTTATCGCGGCGAAAGCCACGTACAAATTCAATCATTCTGCCGTGTATACCTTTTTACCAACAAGGGACATTGACTTCCTGCCTTGAACTGACCAGTAATGTACGGACGAGTCAACACGCTGTGCCACGGGTTTAATAAGACCGATCAACAGGTCAGACCAGGGGCGCTTACACATTAGCCTTGAAGATCTCTTCGTCCGTAGCAGAAAATACAAAATTGGTCAACAGGAGATAGAGGAATGTCTTCATTTCAATCATTGAGAACCGCATGCCAATGCAAGACTGGACCAGAATTACAGTCTATCAGTGTGAACGATAACTCGCCACGGCGTTCGACGTACCCGAGGGCCAGCTGAGAACGTCAATAAGTTTGAAAAAATACCTGGAAGCGCGGAAACGGCTTCGGGGAGAGTGCCCCAGCGGTCCGGACTGTTCGGTGAGAGATCCTCAGCAACGTAGCAAACATCAATGGATGACTGACTTGAAATCCCATGCATCTTTGCCCCATATCTCTTTATCTAGATTGAATGCTTCTATAGGGACGTGGACGAGGCTCCCCTTGGCTATCCGGATAGACTTTTGGTCGGATATGGATTCATCTCGAAGACGAATAGGACATGATATGGGTATCTCGTCGTCTCGTGTAGCTACCCGTAGCGATGAATGGACAGGTGGAATCAGTCGCAAAGATTCCCGCACAACATCGTTGAGATAGGGGAGGTCCGACAGGACAATGTATAATGACTCAATCTCATCGCTTGTTAGACGCGAGACCGGTGGGGAAGGTGCAGCCTCGAGCAGTTCCGCCTGCAAGCGACGTTGGACTCCAGGGTGCTTTGCTAACAGATATAAAGTCCAGGTCAGGGCAAGAGACGTGGTATCAGAACCAGCAAACATGAATGTATTAATGTTGTGAAGGATATCCTCGTCTGAGATGCGCTGGTCGGGCGGCAGGTCTGTGGCTAGGTTCGATTTGACTGGACTGGCATTTTAGGTGGATTCAAACCGTGGTGGAGGGACTCACTGAGAAGGGTGAGTAAGTCTTTGCCGGCATACCCTAGGCCGGTTTCTTCGCCTTCCACAATCCTAGATTTCTTCTGCTGGATGAGTTTACCAGCGACACGTTCAATTACTTCTTGGCATCTTTTGACCGTCTTGACCCGTTCATCTGGCTGCTCAGTTATGAGTACACGGATCTTCCGGGGGGGATCAGTCGCAAAACTCACGAAGAATTCATTGATTAGAGGAATGTATATGCCGATCACGGTCCGTAATCCGTCGGATTGGGAGACCGCTATCTCAAACATTTCTTTATATGCGTGGAAAAGCTCATCAGATTCGTTCTGGATGGCGTTGAAATGGTATTCAAAGCCTGCACAGTGGTCACTACCTTCAAGGATACGCGACGAACTTGTAGACCTACCTGCTAGACCAATGACATCGAAAGTCGCCCGACTTATCCAATGGCAGACGTCAATTCTTACTCCTTCGCCAGTATTCCCAGAGCTATCGAGTATCTCACACCATTTCTCCCGCAGCTCGTTGCCTTTGGTGAAAACGACAGGGACAATTGACCTCAGATTCTGAATCGAAAAGGCTGGGGTGGCGACGCGGCGGTGACGCTTGTGAACGACTCCTTCAGCTGCTAGCATGCCGCAGCCAATGAGGCTCGTGATAAATCGACGAGACTGCCACGGTTTTTCGTAGATCGTACTATTCTTAAGTACATGTGCGACAGAAACGGGGTCGAGGGGTAGGAGTCTGTCATCCCACTATATCGTTACTCTATAGCTCAGCGCGCCGCAGCTGCACTTTGAAGAAGACGCACCGGACCTAACCCCCTAATGCGTACATGTCGCCCATATTTCTGAACAAACGTCGAATGGGCTTTCGGTGAACGATAAGGACTGCCGTCGTAGTATCATCGAATCCGAAAGGCCGCAGGGTACGAACTTACTTTAGCAAGAAGGACATGTGGTTGTCAAACAACCAACGTACTGGCGGTCCAGCCAGTTTCCGCAAAGGATTGAATCGAGGCACGATGCAGACATAATAAAATGCAACGCCAAGTAGTGGAGTTGTGGCTACAACAATAACACTTAAGGCGACGGGTAATATCGAAGGCATGTCGACCTATGCATAAGATGGAATATGAAAACGTAAAGAACGGGCTGACGCGATGTGTGAGTGTGAGTGAGCAAGGAGCCTGACAGGCCCGAACAATAGCACGACGTCGACATCGTTTCACAGTGCACACACTCCACCCAGAGGTTGCTACATTGGTTTATTGTAAGGACACATTCCACTGCTACACAGACCCATCGCACACCGGAAAACCTCATGAAGGGACCAGACTCTCGAGCGCTAACCTACTACGTATCCGGCCGAGTGGAATCACTTTCGTCGACTTTGCCTGCGGTGGATGAGTCGCCCTCTGGTACTTCGACCCCTTCGACCCCGTTCGCATCATCGATTGATGTGGAAGCCACAGCGCCCTGTATATTCCGTGTTTCGGACCTCTGCATTCGGCATATTTCCTCTGTCGAGTCTTTTTCCTCTGCCTCGGTTGCGATCTTCGGGGACGAATCCACGGTAGTGCATTTGCGGTCGTCGGGTTTTGGGGCAACATTTGATAGGCTCGTTTCCGATTCCTCGCACGTGTCGCAAAGTTGTCTGCTTGATATTGAATCCTTTCCGACAGTACACTCCTGATCTTCCGTAAATGTCTCCGTCATGGATACTGTGGATGTCAGGGAGAAAAACAGAGCCAGAATAATTCATCCACCCCTCGCGCCACGCATCGTCAGAGCTACTCGCCTGCTATTTGGTTTTGATTTTTCTCTTCGGGTTCTTCCGGTATGCGCATCAAAGTTGTCCTCCTACCGGCATACCGAGTCGACGGCTTCCGAGGGATCCGGCGTCCACGAGTCCGATTCGGTCGTGATCTCCCCGTAACCCCCACAAACGACTCTCTGGTGCATGCTGAAACCCTACTCAGCGACACTCCATCGACCACTAGCCTTCGGCGCTCCCTCCCATCTGGGTTTTGACGGATGCCAGGATCGGGGGGTATAAGACATTTTCTCACCAATTAGATCGCCGTTGTATGTGCTTACCAACTGCAGGTCCATCTCCTGTTTGCGGCGTGTTCGTAGAAGCCCACCGTCTTCCCAATTCCTTGATTCCTGCTGACTTCGCTCGCCTCGACCACTTCAACAGCTGTCCTGCGACAGCGAGGGAAAGCAAACAACCCATTGCCACCATAGCAAGAATAATCGCAACTACGGCAGGTACATGATCGGAGTGGGTTTCAGCAAGTGAGCCATTGCCCTCGCTTCTCGCAGGTTCCGGTGTAAATATCCAGTGCGGAATAACCTCAGACTCCACAGACGGGAACACCGTCGGCTCTGTGAGAGGTACAACTTCAACGAAGCGGCGTAGGTTGTAGCTCTCCACTGTTGGTGGTTGTATGGGACGACGGGAGCCGTTGACCAGATGCCGAGGTAGACGTCCCCATCGCGTATTAGGGGTTGTTGTCAGCGGAACAGCCGGGGCCATATTACAGACCTCCCGAGGATCGAACTGAAGGGTTGAAATGTAAAGACGGCTACGAGAAGTCCAGCAAGAAGTCGCAAACATTCCATAACCACGCAATGCACCAGTCAGCCGCCCCGCTCAAATTCGCCAAACCAAGAACCGCCGTTGCACCGGTCAGCAAACTCTCCCTTATAGTTTTCCAGGTCATGGTGTAATACCCACCATTGGGCGTATCATAAAATCCACTGTAGTGAAAGACTCTACTAACTTATATGTAACCTACGTTCACTCATTTGCAAGACGCTGCGGGGCGTCGCGGCCGCAACCACTTCCCCTGGAGGTCCTCGATATCATACCCACCCAGAGGCTCATCGTCGACAAACAAACCCCCAGAAACATCCGTCGCATCCAACTGGATGCCCGCATCATTGCATATCGCGACAAAATCTGCGGGCAAGGCAGCTGCAATTCCGAGCCGAACGTGTTTATTGGACCCGACTTTCTTGAATCGCTGCATAAGAACATCACGTATGAGGATCTGAGGGGGGAAATGGACAACTTGTCAGGAAAACTCACCGAAAGTGTTAGTCGCGACGCATGCAAGAAAACTCTATGTTCGGGAACGCGGATGACTTGAGTGATCTTTTCGGAGATAGACTTGCGACTGTATAACGCGTCGCCAAGAATGGGAGCTATTGTAACATTCAGACCATTAGGACTGTGAACGCGTCACGCAAAGATGGTAAAGACATACTATGCAGTGACTGCACCAGATGAACACGCAGTTGGTGCTTTAATCCCGTGTGAAGCGTCAGTCTGAGAAGTGATAACGGCACTTTTCGCTATGTACCAAGCGTCTCGAGTGAGCATGCATGCGCGTGAAAGACAGAGGTGAAAACACGGCTTACCGAGGAAGCCACCAACTCCCAACCTGTAACCGCAAACTCAGCGTCACAACTCTCACCAATCGAAACGCGGCCATCGCCGTTGATCTCGATAGCATCTTTGATTTCACCGAGCTTGGTGGGAAACGACTTCTCGCCCCCACGCACAAGTGCCAGATATGTCTTTCCAACTGTTCTACTTTGGAACTGCTGTGCAAGCTGGCGTGCTGTAGCAATATTTTTGGCTAGTACCAATGCGCCCGTTGTTGACTACAAAAGATAGTAACAGCATTGATCAGGATGCAGCAAGGGCATCATATGCCACTGATGACATACCTTGTCCAACCTATGCACGGTGTAAGGCAAGTTGTCTAACTTGAAGTGGTCCTTCAAGTCTTTGAAAACGTCACATTTCAGTTGACAGTACGGTACTGAAAACATACCGTGCAGAAGATCGTTGAATTTGTCGGAGTCCCTCGGTTTCTGGCCCTACGGGGTGCGATGACTGAGCCAAGGCCGAAAGAATACCCGTCTGCTTGCTGGTAACCGGTTACCCACATTCGTCAAGCTTCCCTGGCAAATCAAGCCAGGCGGTTTGTTGAGAACTATGATACTACGGTCTGCATAGACAGCATATCTGGCCCAGCTTTTCGGAGCTTTGAAGGACGAAAACATACAAAGCCAACGGACGACGGCTGTGGAAGTAGGGGCTTAGTAATTCAATAACCCTGATCAACATTGCTAAATATCTGGATGAAGACAACAGCAACATGGCGCAGAGGAAGCGCGCGGGGCTCATAACCCCGAGGTCACTCGATCGAAACGAGTTGTTGCTAAGTTTCTTGGTTCCTTTTTCGTTCTTTTTCCCTTTCATTCAGAGTTACCATGTATGGAAGGCATCGGTTTCATACAGAGAAAGACATATTCCACAGTTCGTGCGTACTGCACAAGCCGGGCATCTATTTACATGAGGATCCAAAGGGAGCGCATGACACCATCATATAGTTTGGTGACCAGGCCGTACTAATGAGGCAAGCCGTTAGACGAGTCTGGTCACCAGACTAACCATCATACACGTTCACAGAAAACGGAAAGTCTAGAGGGGTATCTTAGTAGGCATAAACTGGGAAAACTAATTCAGATCAACATTCCCCTGCGACCAGCATTGCCATAAGTTCTCTGCCACAACACATGGGAGAACAAAGATACTCACGCGATGCTCGCAGTTTGGAGCGTCCTAGAAATACGTATGCAATAGTTTGCTGAACTCAACAGCAGCAGGACTGGTTTACTACTTACGAGATAAAACCACAAATCATAGCAGAGGTTGCCATTCTTGCGATAACCTTGGCCTGCGACGGCGCGAGGGCACTTAGCACACCAATCTGGATACCCAGGGCGCCAAGATTGGCGAAACCGCAGAGCGAGTACGATGCAATGGTGAAAGCGCGAGTCGAAAGTGGGTTAGAGCCAGCCTGGATGGCAGAAAGTTCTAGTGCATGGTGCATTTTCTGGTAAACGTCTTATGTTTGTCGAGGAAATACCTACCGGTATATGCTGCAAACTCATTCTCGATGAGTTTCGTAGCGAGTAACTGGGCGACCGTGAATATCTCCTTACTTGGTACACCTGATGGATGCAAGTAGGCGGACATTAACTGCATCGAGTAGATGGGCTACATACCAAGGAGGAAGGTGACCGGGTATGCGATGTAGCCAAGGATGAGCTGTAGGGTAAGCTTGTCTATGCCGAATCCACGACCAACCCATGTTAACACGGAATTGAAGGTGGCCACAAGGGAGAGAATTATCAAGACATTTGTCCTGTCAAAATATCCAGTAATACAGGGGCGGGCAAGGTGCAAACACGTACAAAATATGGCCAGCAACCTTCAAACCAAATAGACCACCCTTCGAGAAAGCGTGCAGTGCATTCACCGGACGATCCTCCGAGTCTTCCTTACCACGGTCAATGACGATACGTCCACGAGTGACTGGCTCCTTCGGTTTCTGGAACGCGCATCTTGCTGATGGCAATAGAGGCTGGAATTGACATCACAGAGGAGGTAACGAGGTTCTGAGGTGGAACCCCTAAAGCAATATATGCGGAAAGCACAGCTCCAGAAATCGTTGAAAATCCTGTGCTCTCGGTAAATGCAGAACATGCCATGGCTTTTGAGTAGCACTGACCGGAAGTCATGGAAAGGTGAAGTTCAGAGGCTGTCATTATATCGACGTAAGGTTTAACCAGACAAGCAGATTCCCCCATTCCCACCCATGGGGACGCAGCAGCGACGACGGCTTCGGCGCCAGACACGTTCATCAACTTGAAGAAGAACCATGCGCTTTGAAGAGTAGGAATGTGAGACGGCAAACCAAGATGTAAATAACGTTCCAACACGCACAATCCTTTGACGATCCATTGCATCACACCAAGCTTAGGAGTACCTTAGCGAATGAACAAGTTAAAAGGTGGAAGGCGGCGTACGTAGTAGAGCATTTGAACCGTTGCGATGAAAAATATAATGGAGGCGAGCTACAGAGCCCGTTAGCATGATAGTAGATGTGCGAAGAAAAGAAAGAACGAACAGTGTTAACAAAGAACCAATGTTTAGCGATAGTCTCAGCATCGAAGAAGAACTCAGCGCCGACGTTCGCCTCGGTCAGGAAGCCCTCAGCGAGGTTCGCAATGTACCTGAAAAGAGAATAGCCGGCACTTGTCTTCAACACGAACAGGGCGACAGCCTGTTGAATGAACAAGCCAGTGATGACAGTGGGCCTAGATAAATAGATAAAATGAGGCAAAGCATGCATAATGTGAAGCAGAAAGCTTCGAACCAGCAGATTTTAGTACGGTTGGTCGAGCTCAAGTAGAATCCGCACTGAAATACAAAGAGGCCGAGAACAGAAATTGCTCTGTGGCGATAGTCATCGTCCTAAAACCATTTCAGGAAGAGAAATCGTTGATCATAAGCAAGACATACGAGAGACAGGGGGAAACCAAATGCGGAACCGAAAATAAATGCGACAAGGCAGGACCAGCCAATCGTGAGCCTGAGCTTGCGAGGGATCCTGTACCAAGGTTTCTGGACAACCGGGACCCATACAGCTTCTACTGGACGAGTGACAGCTGAGTTTGGAATGAAGCGGAAAGCGATGATACTTGACAGATAACATCAAACGAAAGCCCCGTTCAGAGGGGCCGCGGAGAATACTCACAGTAGGAACATCCATGCGAAGACGGTTTGCTGGACCCTGTCGACAATGACATTCATAAGCAGTTGTCGACCGTCATCAAATTAAAAAATTCCTACCATCTCGGGACGGGTCGCCTTGAGCACTGTTGCGGAAATCCACCAGCCAAGAATCAGGGCTGCCGGTAGCAAAGAGCAATCACAACCTGTATCTTTCTACGAAGCGAGGTGGCCTCGAAGCGCCGCTTTCGGCTGTCTTCGTCGATGCGAACGTTTTCGGTGTCCGTCAAGGCTTGCTTCCCATCTGAAATCAAAGGCCTTTTCTGAGTAAGAATCTGGTCCGCAGTGAATTCGGTCCCAGCGACGGGAGTGGACTTCAGTCATGGTTCGCCGGAAGAATCGTGGGGAGAGGACAGCAGGTGACCGAACAACACCGGAGTTAGACCCGGGGTACTTATCGGGCACCACAGTCCACATTTAACAGTAAACTTTGACATACTTGCGGCGGCGAAGCTGACAGATTTGAACCTGTGGCAATGTAGAAAATAGGAATCCTGAAACTTCAAGGCACCACGTCTTCCTTGTAGGTGAGATAAGTGACCCAGCAAAAAAACATGGCCCCGCGGAGACAAGATTGCTGCAGTGCGAGCCCATTTACCGTGATAAATAGGGTTACTAGCGCGTGGCCGTGGAGTTGGTGCCGGACATCAACAGCGGGTAAGTAAATATCCTCCTAGTACCCTAAGGCCCCCCACGGCCCCAGTGGTGAGAAACCAGGGGGATGCCAAGCTTTCTACTGGATTGGAAATCTCCACTGAACAGGTTACAAGCAGTCCCTAAAAGTCTCGGGGAATACACCACACGTAGTCCAAGCCCCCCTGAATCAATCTCGGCTCTTAAACCTTCAGCGCCTTTATCGACTTTCCGCTGGTGATTGCCAACCATTCGCCAGGCGCGGTCGTATGGCCGGTATTCATCGTCATCCCTGGTATCTGCGGGGACCACGCCAGATTCGTTACCTCGCCGCTAGCAGAATATGCCATGATCGGATCTGTGACTACGCGCTTCTTGACGTCCGGTCGGGGCGAGTTCAGACGCGCATTGGCCGCGCGTGGTGATGTCGCAGTTTGTGTGTATGCTGCCAGATCCCAGAGCAACACCTGAGAGTCATCACCTGGATACAGCATGTCGGGGTCAGTAGCCCATTCGCAAAATGACCTAGATCAGGTACGTACTAGCTGTGGCGAGGAGGGGATGGTCCGTTGTGCTCCAGCCCATAGCATTTACTTGACTGCGGTGTCCCCTAAGTTCGATGACGGGCTGTCCAGGGCTTCGCATATCGAGAATCTGGACGTCTGTCCCGTCCATATGGAATGTCGACATGTAGTTAGAATCGGTAGGATTGAATGCGATGCGCAGGAGGGGGGATGTAGGAAGACGGGATGTGGCTGAAGGCGGAGGAGCATTCTTCGGCGCGGGTGTCTCGTACAGAATCGTCGAGTGCTCCAGACTCCGTAAATCGAAGGCGCGAAGGCTCCCGTCGGCACCGACGGAGACAAATATGTCCGTTGAACCAGGCAGCCAGGCAACATCGTACACTTCGCGATCGTGTGCAATGAGTTGCGTGATAGCGGTTGCTGTGTCGATGTTCCAAACCGTACACGTAGTGTCTATGGACGATGTCACGATGAGACTAGGTGCCTTTTCGTTCCACGAGAAGCTCGTCAACGGTGCCCCTGAGGCCTGGTTTTGCACTTTTGATTGCTATGCGCAGGTGGGTGAATAGGAACGAAGGATAATCCAATGACCTACCCCGGAGAGGCCAGTTTTGAGCGTCAGCCGATGTCCACCCCCGCTGGGCTGTCTCCCCACATACGCAGACGACGCCAGGGGCGCATCGCCAGAGTACTCCCACACCCTCAACGCGTCCGACGTGGTGGCTAGCAACTCGGTGCTTGGAGACTTGCCGGTCCAGGGGAAGCCTGTCGCGCTTGCAGGCTGCCACTGTAGATTCGTTGCTGGATAGCCGTGATTGGCCTCAACGAGGGTTACGAAGTCGGGATAGTCAGTGTAGTCGTCTTCAACGAGGACTCGTTCGTCTTGGAGGCCGACGACTGCGATGCGATTCCGATAGTCTTCTGTGAACGAAGCGATTGCGAGACGAAAGGCGGATCGAGGACGAGACTGGTGGCCGGGCGAGGGCGACTTGCACCAGTCGATGGCGTGGACGGGCCCTGCTGCAGGTTAGCCCCTCCGAACTCTGTCCGAATTGCTAAAACGTACAAGGGGCCTCATACTGAAGTAAAGTAGTTTGTGTCATGAACAAGGCCGTGAGAGTACCAACGACAGCACCGCATCACACACGCTCATCCCCTGAAGGAGGGATTTCAAACAAACAATTTGACTTAGCATGACGATGGCACCAGATTCAGCAAAACTGAGTTGTTTTTAGAGGTTTACATAGCAAGCAATATCATATCTACACAGCGAGCGATAGGAGAGCACTGATAAACTACGACGGAAGGCATCGAGAGTGCTGGCAGATTCGAGCTTGGGACTTTGAGTTGCTGGTTGGAGAGGGTGAGGTCGGGTCAGGGACAAGTGGGATGTGAAGCGGGGGGTCAGTCGGATAAATAGCAGGCGCGATATTTGTTGTTTTGTCGCAAGAATCCACTGGGGTCGATAATTTGCAGGCGATAAGATCAGAGCAATAGACGAACTATAAGTCAAGGGAATGGGTGTGAGGGTGAGTCGGACAAGAAATGATGTCGAGTCTAGTCGGTGTCGACCATGGAGATGGCGCCGCACTGTTCACAAAAGCTCCACATAGTTCTTGAGCCGTCGGGGCTTGCTGAGCATGCCACACGTAGCTTCGGTATTTGAGAACAATTCAAGCTAGGGGTCGAATACATTAACGGAGACGAAAGAGCGCAAAATATACCAGACAACAAGCTGCACGAGGCAGGGCTTACCCATGGTGAGTAAAACTGCTGGCAGGTTGCAACAAGCCAACGGCTTTGGTGGAGTCTGGTGAATAGGGGTCGAGGACAGGCTGACGGGCACTGAGTCTGGGGTAAAGAGCTGGCGGGCGGTGATTGATGATTGACAAGCCAGAGCGTCACGTCACACTTACGGGAGTTGTAATCGACAGCATCATATAGACCGGAAGAGACGCTGGAGGAGCTGCTGGCAGTAGAGACAAGACGAGAGTGATGGTTCTCAGGGAAAAAAAGGTCCAAGTCAGAAGAGGGAGAATCAGACATAGGAACATCAGAGTCGGGCTCAAAGCCAGGGAAGGGAACCAATTTCAGTTGTTTAGCGGCCTGTCATGGCGTGATGTTGTAGAGGGTAGCGCTGGTACTCGGGGACGAGAACGCACCTGAGGACAGTCGGTGGAGACATCAAAGTCGAACTTGCGTTTTACAGCCATGGCAGAAGGGGGGGGAATGAAGATATTAGGACAAGACGCGCAAGGGGAGCACGAACAAGAGAACAACGAAGAGCGGAGGTCCTTGGAAGGCAGTCCCGCCTACAACTTATACGCGATCGAATTTGACTTTATTTGTACGATGCCGCGGAGTTGCAATTTTATGAACCCCAGATCCAATCGCCGAATTTGGATCGCAGTCACGTGGTCCCTCTCGCCGCCCTACCTGCTGTCGTGGCCGCACTCTCCTGCCACCAATGGACTCACCTTTCTTAGACCTTCTCCTCGACTTCCTGTCCGACAAGCTCCCGCCGCCGCTGTACACGTTCCTGCTGTCGTTCCTCTCACATACCATCACCCTACTCACAGCCCTCATCTCCCTCGTACAGTCCCTCATTGCAGCCAAACCATGGGAATGGGATCCACAAACCATCATCCCGCCCCTCATAAGCATTCTCGTCGCGTACCTCGCTTTGCACAGTCTATACAGGACAACCGGATGGATATTCAGGACTGTCTTCTGGTTTGTCAAATGGGGGACCATACTTGCGGCAGTATCAGCAGGCATGGGCTGGTACATGGCGAATCAAAACCCATCAGGCACTGTCATTTCGAACCTTGGCAAAGCCCTTGTGAGTGTCTCCAATAGCCATCGCCGAGGCTCAGTTGGCATAGGTCCATCCCACCCGCAGACGGGGACTGCGCCCCAAACCAATGAAAGAGTACAGCCTAAACCTTGGGATTCTTTCCACAAGCACCGTACTTGGCAGTACCAAGAACAAGGCGGAAGGGGGACAGGAGCCCCGGATGCTCAGAAGATCATGGCTGACATCGCGGCAGCTGCAGGTCGTACGCTGATGGAAGGAAACTGGTGGGATGCTGCGAAGACAGCCTTCACCAGTTCTACGACCAATCGGGATCAGCCTGGAAAGACAACCAATGATAAAAGGCAAGGGAGGGCCAGATAGTTGCATTCGTTTCCATATATCAGAGATTCAGTTGGTGGGCAATGTATACATATTCTTCGATCATAACAGTACGGGTATTTATCTAGGACTTGACCGGCCCTGCTACCTGGGGCGAACTCTTGTATCGGTAGCTGCAAACAGTCGTAAGGAGCCGTCACGGGTAGGGGGAAATACCAACTTTGCTATGCGACCCAGCTGCACCAAACCAGTAGAACCGACAAAGAAATTCACCTAGGCAACAACCATTACAGCACGGCTTTTTAGGAGACGAACATGGATACTCACTGCAGCAAGGCTGTAGTTGATTGGCGTGATAACGAGAGAGTACCTAACCCAGATAAAACCGGTACATGCCAACGCTGCGCCAGTTCGGGATCAGAGTTGTCCATTGAATGCCCCAACATGACTCGATACGTACCAAAGTTCTGGGACACGCTCAATTTCTCCGCAGGACGACTCATGTCCTTCAAGCCAGCCGCAACCAAACACCACTTCATCAGTGGTGCCCAAAAAAACACCGTTTTGGGGCCTGCCGAGCAGAAGACCAGAGTGAGGTGAATTCGCCATAGACCGAGTCACATACCAGCGGGGTGGTTTACGAACGCAGAGAACTTGGAAGGAACGGCTGAAGCTGCTGCACCCGACATTTTTCAATCTGAATAGTCGTCTGGAATCCCGATCCTAACGTGGATGAGAGTGCTTAAGTAGAGAAGTCGACGTCCGATCGCAAAGCCTGTCCGCCAGATTAGGTAAGGCGCAACTGCCACAAGTGTATTGTATGACTCGATCACTTGCTCGACTGTTGTCCATACTGCCATCGAACAATACTACAGAAAATTGCATCCATACCAATACCGTCGTATCCTACGTCTGCTTAGAAAGGCTGACCAACCCATTTCCGCACGAGATCTTCCCAGCAGCCAGTCAAATGCATGTGCCCTCCCGGGCAGGTCTCCAAAGTGATCGCGCCGCGTTCGTCAAGCCCACGCAGTCCGATGTAATCGTCGATATAAAGTGGTTGCTGCTTCATGGAGACGATGGATCTGGCAGTGGTGCGCTGATGAAGTTTAATAAGAGGATGTTGGTCATCATGGGAGTCTGATAGCGATTGTGTGGAAAATGTATCAAATTCTTCCAAAGGTGCTTCCGAACCAAACCAAGCACTCTCCTTGGGGATAACTGTCGCATCTTGCGCAAAAAGCACCAGGATCAGGTTTTCTAGGGAGGCTAGGTTGTCGGCATATGTCACATTCCTGGCAGTAGGCAGCATGACTTCGTTGTTAATGTTAGCAAGAAAGCCGTTGAGTGACATGTAAAGGCCCAGTTGGTCTGGGTCTCGGAAATACTGAGCCTAAAAGAAAAAGCAAGTTGGGGTGACCATGACCACAGGACATCAAAATCTGGCAAGATGCGAACCTGAACTAAATGTTCTTGCGCCCATTCCGTGTAAACACCGGCCTTCGCAGCGCGGCGCGCTACCTCGCAGAGAAAATCGAAAGAGCGGCATGGCGGAATATCGGATATACCCATGTGCTGTGAACCGAATGTAATAAGGTTGTAAACGGGGGGGTAGTTGTAACGTTCCACGTATCCCCGCAAAAACTGTCCACCCTGCGAGAAACCGATGGCATCGAACCCCCTTCCAAGCTCAGGTATGGATACGAGTTGCTCAGCAACGAGAGCTATCTGAGCATTGATATTGCCATACTGCGAAACCTGGTGTCAGCAAGAGCGTTGAACGGAACAATACATCAAGCACTTGCAAAGGTTGCACGTTTGTCTTCCTTGACATCTTTGTCAATGTAAACCGAATGGACAAAGATGCCGGGGTGCAGCTTCTTCACCTCGCTTTCAAACTGGACAATTCCAGACGAGGCGTAGGTATCACCTAGACCATGCCAAACTACCAAAGGTCGGACGTCGTTCGTAGGGGCGGATATGGCATACCCCGCCAGGGTGACGCACAACAGTACTGGAAGGAACATGACGAAGTAACGAGGGCGAGCGAGCACAGCCACAAAACGTGAATCGACGGATCCCGGGTCCAACATAGAACTGTTCGGTTCTCTCCTACATACATAACCTCATGGGTGCCTAATAATACGTATGATGTGCATACCTCTCAGGACAGACAGTTGGATGCGGTACGAGGGAATTTCGTATTTGGGTTGCCTCAAGTGGAAGTTGTACTAAGCACGAGCCTTTCCGCGACGAAGGATTCCAGACATGAACACGAGGTGGGACCCCAGTAAAATAATAAGCTCTACATATGACAATATGACATGATATTGACAGGTCTGTACCTGACCCCAGACCCCTTGGGCAAGTCGAACTGGATCACCACTGCTGCAGTGTGATAGTTGGTACCTTAGCCTATTACATATTTCCGTTGGGTGGATTGAGAAATGAGACGACTTTGCAAATTGTCAACTAGCAAAATAATTGACTGGGAGTTCTTGGGGTCCGATTACCCTATTATGGAATGCCTTTGCTCGGCCTACCGTGACACGATCCGACGGAGAAACGAAAAAGCAACTTTGATAACGTTCACACAACCAGGCTCGACGTGTGTACTAATAATATTATGCGTGTTTGGCGATATTTTCGGTAGACACCTCTCAAGACGATGTCATGTGTGCATTATATATGTAGGCTCTCGCCCGATCTACCAAACTTCCTGAGGCATACTCGGCGGCTCTCACTCCCTGATGGTTCTAAGGCCCCCATCGAAGCGTGATGCCATCCTCATTTTAGTGGGGGCTCTGTGCACGCACCTCCTCACGGTCCTTGCACCGCTGGCGCCTCAAGCCATAGTGATCAGCCATAGTTTGAAAGGGCAGGTGATTCTGGAACATCCTGTGCTATATGATCAAGCGCCGGAGGACCCCCAAGCAGCCGGCGTCTTGGGCGAGGACGTCCGGCTTTCTGAGGAGGATACTTCGAGCGGTGGGCCCGGAGGTCAGACTTTGGTATTTCGTTACGCATTACTTTTACCGATATTTCCCCCGACAACAGCTGTCTTCCCGGAGACCACCTTAGTTGAGCATGTCCCTGGCTGGACAGTCTTCCGCGACGTATATATGTTCAATGGGACTCTGCTTATCGTATCGTCGTCTCCCAGTTCATACCCAGAGATCAGATACATGACATCGACGGGCCTCGCTGCAGATGTCTCGGCCGCTAATATTGCTGCACGTGAACCCACCCAGTGGAACATGGATTTCCTAAGTCCGGAGCAAGCGGCTCAACGCTGGGGAGAAAGTCCTGGAGACCGACGAATCACGACTGTAGAGGGCAATACGGTGAGCAGGCGTGTTGTCATTTGTCAGAGTCTCTAATAGCATCGCAATTTCTAGCTTCTGTTTAACGATCCTCCGCAGTGTACGTGTGACAGTTGTACTTGCCCGCATCGAGGCTCAATTCCCTCTAGTCCTTGCACATTATTACCACTTCTGCGCTGAGCTTCTACTGGGTACCTGGTCTTTCTGGACTGGGGCAGCTTATCCAGAGCCTCCACCACCTGTGCATCGCGCCATCTTCCCGCACTCGTCGGCCTCTGGATGGCGAGACCACCCAGGGTTCAACAGCTATTTTCTCCGTGCCGCCTTTCCGTCACTTACTGTAGAGGTGGATATTGATTGGCAGGACCGCGTGGCGGCTACTGCGGAAAGCGATATCGATCGGGCATGGCACCTCCCGTATCTCTTACTTGCAGACAGGTCTGCAGCCTTTCGAGGCAGACTTTGTGGGTCGACGAATCAACGGACGGCAAGCGAGTCGGTCGATGGTCTCATTGCTCGTTCGAAACTGGATGTCAATGGTCTTTGGTGGCGACCAATCAGAAATGCCGTGTGGCGCTTTGCCGGGGCCACCGGGAACGTCTTGGATGTGAAGGGGGGAGAAAACGTAGATGAAGAGTACGAGGAAACTGATAAATTTACGATTACTTACGTTTCTCGACAAGGGACGAGACGCCGTCTAATACCCGAGGACCATGATTTACTGGTTTCGGAGCTAGAGGCTCTTGTGGCAAGGAAAAACGCTGAGGCATCGTTGACGAAGGGAAAGGCATGGGTGTTGAACGTCGTGATGGCGGAAACATTGACCAAGAACGAGCAAGTACGCCTTGCTTCCGAAACAAATGTGAGGGCAACGAGGGACGAGCTCGAAAGAATATGGCTGACAAGATTGTCAGGTCTTACTCGGCGTTCATGGAAATGGTCTTTCTCACTTGATTTTGTTGCCTCGCACTCGGTTCTCAGCTGTGATCGAAATTTTCTACCCTAGTGGTTTTGCCTACGATTACGAATGGACGGCACGGGCGGTGGGCATCAAGCATTACGGTGTGTGGAACGATACGTGAGTAAGCAGTCCTAGCATCCGCACCCCATTCCTGAGCTACTTATAGCTATTTCACGGAGGAGAATACGCCGAGAGTTCATTATCCTGAGGGGTTCCAGGGCCCCAGCATCCCAGTCTATGGGCCAACCATTGCAAATCTGATCGAAAAGCGCATCATGCGAGAATTGCCATGACCCTTGGACGGTTTTCTGGTGATCGCAGTAGCCAGCCACCTGACACTTTGTGCTTACTGGCCACTGTACGGTTTTATGCGTAGAAGCGTGCAATTTCTTGGATTTTCCTACGTATGAGCTGTATACAGACATTTCGGGGACAATCGTTGTACATGTTCATATTTCTGTATCGTAAGGGCTTTTCTGGGAACGGATAGTCACCGTGTGGCTGTACATGCCCCTCTCCGTCGACAGGCCCCTCAAGATCTCAACGTCAACCCTCAGATGACTTATTTGCAACTTCTTCAAATCGATAAGCTAGCAATCTAGCTCGATAACTCTCGGACTCTCTGGAGTTCTCAGCATGATGTTTACCACTTTTAGATGCGGCCGGGGTCACGAGGCCGCCCCTGGCCGCTCCCGTGATTGTCAGGGGATAGGTCATGACGTTCGACGGCTCTCTGGGGCCCTGGGGTGTTTGCTTGGTTTCCTTGATTTGGGAAGCCCTCGACCGAAACCACTGAGATTATCAACTCTGGCTCTGGCTCATCTTGCCTCGTGGAAACAGATAGCCATCCGATAACCCATCTCCCGCTACGTACTCTTGTAAAGGCGGTCCCTTCTTGTCATAACCAGTTACTCCACACTCTTTGGTATATAACCCTCGATTGTTGGTCTGCCCTCCCATCGGACCACGCTTTTGTCTGACTACCACATCCACCGACCACCACACACGATGGCTCCTTATTGGGAACCCGGTACGATGTATAACCACGGCGATGTCGTGACATACGAAGGTGCGCAAGCATCCCATGAAATATTTCCCCCCTAACGATCGATACGTTTGCAGGCGCGCAATACAAGATCATTCAGCCTCATCGTTCCCAGGTATGATTGCATTGCACTGCAGGATCCTACCCTACTTACGCAGAAGTGTGAAATATAGAGCGACTGGGCGCCTCCCGTTACACCTGCACTTTGGGGTCGCATTCCTGGAGGTGAATGTCACGAGAAACCCCATTATGGGGGGGATTGCAAGCCTGCTTCTGGCTACAACCCCGTCTATGAACAGCAGCAGCAATCTCAACAACCGTTCCACCAGCACAAGGAAGCCGATCAATCGTCGTACAATGTTCCAGTCACGCAACCACCCAAGCAAGAAGGCGAGAAGCACGACGAGAAAAAGAAGATACTTGAAGTAACTAGCATCCATCCATTGTAATGTCGCTCTCTCATATTGATTACAGATTGGCGGAGGACTTCTCGCCGGAGCTGCGCTTCTAGGTGGAGGACTATATGCCTACAAGGAACACGGTAAGAAGGAGGAAGAGGTATGATTTTTCCCCAGACGTGCGATGCGTGTTTTTCTCACAGGGCCTGTAGAAGCAGGCGCATAACTGGGCTGAGTCAACCTGGCTCAGGGACGCCCAGGCTCGCACTGAACAGTTCAGGAGTGGTCGGTACCCTGGACCTGTAGCATGGGTGTTGAACGAGGGTAAGGACATACCCCGTGATGCTATCCAGGGCGGCGAAGAGCGAGGGGAACGTCTCTACATTTGCCGTGCATACCACGAGGTTTGTTGACCTATCATAACATACACATACATTCGTTGCTAAGCACTCTGCACGACAGGGTGGATTGAGTGAGGGATACCTCTGCTGTTTAACTCCTTGGACTAATTGACTTCATACGTAGTGATTGGCAAAGCGTGCCGTGTCTTCAAGAAAGGTGCTGTCATCGGATACAGCCACAAAGAGTATCATGTGGGTCCGACACCTCCACTGCCTATTGGTCAATGTTGAGTGATGACCACAGCTTGACACGTATGAAATCCTCGTCGGAGACGCACGCGCCGTGAGATGGGTTTCTGTCTCTGGCCAGTTCGATGTCAGAAAGTTAGGTGGTGCTAGACCTGTTGAGGGCGGAAGGGAGCCCGACGGTACACCTCAGTACATCGCACAGGCGCCACACCAAAAAGCGGTACACCCAGGGAAGGCATGCGAGACATATGGAGACGGCTGTTTCATTCCTTACGATAACGGTGAAAAGAAAGTCAAGGTGACTAAAGCAAGCATCACATAGGTAGTCATTGATCTGACCTCTTTTTGCAGGAGTATGCTATACTTTGCTACGTTTGAATGTGAATCAACACCGAAATCTCCGTAACCGCGATGCAACCGTGTAAGGAACATCATTACATACCTGGATCAAGGGTTTTGTACTACGTATCTACCATTACTTGGACCATGAAAATTTGTATCTGACAACCATAGATTAGAGTACGCAATCGCAAAGTCGTGGACCGGCTGCGAGTGTGCACTCCGCACGACACGTGTCGTACATGTATGGACTTCCAGACTTAAAGACTCGACTGAGGAGAGTTGTTCATCAAGCGACGATATCGGGCTCAGCGATAAGCATATGGACGGTCGTTGATCTCACTTGATACCATAGAATTCCTTGGTACCCCGATACGTGGGCCGGAGCAATGGGTGGCAGTATTCAATATAAACTACTTTAGGTTGCGGCTGGCCCCCGTGCTACATTTCCACGGAAAAAGGACCTGCACAACCCTCCGCAAATCCCATAAATGTCTCGTGGACACCACAAGGAAATGCCTCTGATCTCCCGGTGCCATGCGCCGCTGGCTTGCTCCAGTTCAAACGCCAAGCCAACGGAAGTCTCCGTGGCACAGATCTGCCGTCCAGCTGCCAGGCTGCATGCGGAAGCTTCGCATGCAGCGCGCTAGCTCGACGCTTTGGGCAGGCCCACACCTTTGAACAACTAGAACATGGTGGCTTGGGGGACCGAGTTCTGACCCTGGTAGCATACGAAGCCGAGGCCCGTGTTAAAGTACTTACCTTATTTTTGCAGTCCGGTGGCAGAAAAACGCCGCTTCTCTAAACCGACGTGTTCGAACCACTGAATAGTTTTTCCGTGGCCTTTAAACTGGAAAGGTAGCCTTGTTTAAGACCCTGTTACTTAATTCTCAGTGATTCTTACCTTGATGCGCGATTAAAGAAGCAGAGAACTAAGACGCGAAATCTTAATAGTTGCCTTCGACCGGTTCCACGGAATACAGAGTTACATTATGAAGTGGCCATGACGAAGCTCTTTCAGCGTTATCGAGTGGCGAGCCTGCCACCGCAAACGGACTCCACGACCGCCTCAACCTCTTCCTTCGAGCATTGACAGCTGTCTGTGCAACAACTGTTTGCACAGCTCTGCACTGGTATCGTTGGAGCCGCTACGGGGTTCGAGCTCGACGTCTTCTCGTGGTGATGCGCGCAACATCCACCAGTAAAATTCTCATCTTGTGCCCACCTAACCATTTTAAATCCCTCCCACCCAAATAGCAGTGCAATGACAATCGCAGTGGCCGAGTCAACCCACCAGCCGTCCTCCCATACACGGTAAATCAACGAACCAACTAGCAATACACCGCTGAACTGAATGCAAGACAGCGCACAGAGCGCTTCACCCTGCATTGTACTCGAGTTGAGAGCACGTGCGAGATAACGTTTGGGAATCCAAAGGAGAAACGTAATGAACATCGTGCTGCCGGCAATTATAAGGGCTGCGTCGGAACGGCTGGGGTGCTCGTGTGCCACCAATGAGGCGATGGAGGTGCCAATAGCAGCAAGAGCTAGAGCAATGAGAAGAAAGCCGATGCCTGTGGACGCAATCTTTTCAGTTCTACGAACTAGATTAGTTACATCACGTAGGAATATTAGATAGACTTACCTCAAGATACTTGACGAGCGCTCCACTGAGGCATTCTCGTCGCCGGGTTTGATGGCGGCAAGGAACCGCCAAGTGACCAGACAAGAAGACACGACTTCGATGGCTGATTGAATGCCAAAGAATACGAGGGAACGTGAAGACGAGTCGACGCCGAAGAGTACAGAAACGACGCCCTCAGCAGTGTTGTAAAAAACGCTGACGATGCTAATGGTGATGGCAAACCGCTGAAGATTTCGACGGGAGACCATGTTAGAAGCTGTAAAATTACAGTGCGGATAGACAAAGGATGGGTTTAATACCATTCAGCAACCCGTGGCAAATTAGGACAAGCCCGAGTCGTGGCAGGGGGGTCCACCGAGCATTACTTGAAGGAGCTCTCCCGTCCACATGATGGCAGACCATTCGGATTCATTAGAACGTAGCTTCGTAAGATCCAGCAAGGTAGAGATTCGATGACCCGTTGTCACGGTGCGATTCCTTGAGCGTTGCGCAGTGAACTACGAAGCCAGATCAAAATTCAGTAGAGGAACTACGTAGGCGTAATCCTCGCTTGGCCGGTGAAATATGTAGTAGTCCTCAAACATTGGTCTACAAAAGTGTCTCGGCCTGCGGAATAATAGAACTGGCATTGAGGGCATGCTACCACACGAGACAAAGTTTTCCATGATGTGACATCCGCGGTCGTACGACAAGGGTCCAAACTAGTCCCGGTATCCAGAGGGTGAAGGACGTAATAGTTTCCGCTGTTTGTGATCGAGCAATAGTGCTCTGAGCCCTTTTCCTAAAGGGCTGTCAAATTCTTGGCTTGAGGTGTCAGATGACCATAAGGAGCTTTTAGCGAGACTAAGCGAGTGGTAGTAAACGTAAGGAGTATGCAATTGAAGTTCGAAGTCCTCGCTGGGGCGTTCGTAGTACAAATTTATGTTCAAGCTACATCAGTAAGCGAATAAATAGTTTAAACCTGACACCAACTGGTCATAACCATGATTCCATCATTCCCTCTCTCTCTGATGGCCTGCCGTGTGAGTTGGAGGTTGAAATAACAAGTACCTGGTATTAGGACAGCTGGCAAGTCAGTAGACGGAAGTAGCAGTGGAAGGGTAGAAGCACGTGACCAACATCGGTACACGTGGTATTAGTTGTTTGCGCTGCTTCCTAATCGGGCGAGAAGAAGAAACGACGTCCCGAGCACGTTGAAGGCACGCTGCTCGTCGCCGTCCGTGGCGATCATGGAGACCCCCTCGTCGACCACCCTCCTGAACCCACGATTGCGGTTCATCGGACGCAGCTCAAGTCCCCGTATGCCGGACAGCGGAGTGGACAACACCCCTCATGCAGCCCATCACCGTATACACGCTGCTGCTGAGGAGGACGACGAGCAGCCCACTCCCCGGATACCATTCAAGGCTATCACCTTGTCCAGTGGTGACCCCGGTCCCAGTAATGTCGTCAATTCTGTTCCAACTAATGCGATACCTTCCGATACCCCAGCCGCCACCCGTCTGCGCGCTCTCATTTCCCGTGTATCTCTCCCCCCTCCCAACGTCTCTTCTGTTGTTTCTGAGAATGTTCCTTCGGAACCGGATTCTGACGATGCGTTTTCAAGACTTGGCTCGAGTACTACCAGCACTGCCCGCGACAACTTGAGGGATCTTTTCTCCAGAGCTTTGCGCGATTCCATGCCACAGAACAGAAGGCGGCGTCGAAATAGTGTCGATAATAGCGAAATCGAAATATCACCAGTGTCGGACAGAGAAGAAGTTGGACATCAAAGGAAACAACGGCGTAGCTGGAGTGATGAAGAGGGAGAGAATCCAAGTATGTACTTATCTCAAATTCACCTGGTTCTAGGTGTTCACCAAGCCTATGAGTCAGGGTTGACGAGAGAATCCGATAGTTCTGCTCGGTCATCGCATGCAACGACTTTTAACACTCTACGTGCACGGCTTGCGTCCTCACAATCTCAGATCATGGATGTGCACCTGCCAACGACCTTGTATGACCGTATGTAGGTTGGTGTTTAAGTATTTATCTTGCCATTTACCCTTCTTTAGAATCCGACATGTCTCCGCTAAGTCCACCTACGCATGCTCCTCCTCGGACTGCATCCATGCCATCCCAACAATTAGACCCGTCACTTGGAACCCCACCCGCGGCTACTAGCACCCCGCAACAGTCGTTTCAGTTTCCCTCAAGGTTAACTTCTCAGTCAAGTCAGTACCTATTATGGTAGATAGGATTTGGACGCTGATAGATGCCAGACTTGTTGGAACAAGACTCCATCATGCAAGGAGCCGTGGGTGAAGTGTTGGATTCTGACAGTCAAGGTTTGCTTATTGTGTAGTGTCTCACGTGCATCTAAGTCTTTTTCTGCGTCAGCTTCTCGGCCTTCCTCCAATATGATGAATCCAATCAACGTCCCCGCCAGCTTACGCCCACTTGTGAGCGCAAATTCTATTGTGCCCGAGCCGAAACCTGTGCTTGCTGGCCGTGAACCTAGTTGTCAGTACATGAACTTACGATTCATAATCTCCGTGGACTGATAACCTCCAAGCCAGTGATTCGAAGATTAAGGGAAAATGTACGTGGCAAATTCCTGCCAGTAGCGAGTTCGTCGTGATTTCCTCATTCTATCAGCCAAGGACCGTGATCACTCTCCTAGTGATAGCAAGCGAAATGGCCAGCGTGAGCGCAATTGGGACCGTCATACACCTGGGAGGTCTGACACACCAAATCACCACTATTCCCGTATTCCCCATGGATCCCCTTCCCATATCAAGTCGATCTCCCATGAGTCATTTACGACACGTGAATCTCCGCGGTCATCACTCCAGAGCCGTTTGAATAGGCGGGGGAGCGTTGCGTCATTAAGTAGCTTCGATGATGACTTTAGTTCCCGACCGAGCTCAAGGGGTTCCTTAGCTGACAGTCAGTCTTTTCCTTTGCCTTCTTACCATTCCTTTATTGATACTTGTCAGATCATGAACTTTTTCGCGAAAGAAATTACGAGAGAGAGCGCGATTGGAACAGACCGCATCCACAATCCAGGCCCTCGTCGAGTCTAAGTAACAGTTCGCACAGTCACGCTCACTTGCACCCACCTCGTCCGCTTTCTGCGACTCCGTATCAGACACCTACGCTTGCTTCTCTGCAACGACGATCCTCGCGTTCTTCCCTTCGTTCGTCTTCTCCAACCTCCTTGGCCAGCCGCGAATCGCTGAAAGAGCAGGAAGAAGAAGAGAAACGCGAAATTACGCATGAAAGGGAGAGAAACTGGAATTCACCTCGTCCGACATGGGGGATCTCCAAGCGACACAGTTTGGGAAGCAGTGGAAGTGGTGGGACTTCGCCACCTGCACACCGGCTTTCCAAAGAGTCCATCAAAAGGTTCTCTGCGAGTAGCCACGAGGCACCTCACCTTGGATCATCCGTTTCGCAAGCATCTGATCCGTCCAACGTTCTTGCAGGTCATGAGCCCTGGCACTCGGACCAATTTCGCCTGTGGTTGAATCAGAACCATGGGTTTGGGAGTCATTCCAGGTACAGTCACAGTCCAACGAAGACACCGGCAGCTGCATCGAAGTTCGGCTGGCATTTCCATCGGCAATCCTTGCCACCACTTGAATTTGACAGCTCACCCGATCCTTCTACGCGTCGCCAGAAATATAGTCACGATGACCCGTCACCTCCTAGTTCGAGGCCGTCGAGTCGTGCTTCAGGGATTATCAAACCAAGCATGATTCCGGTTCGTACTGTAATGAAAGCGACGCCAGGCGATGGCCATTCAGTCCCCGTGCCTAAGCCCTCGTATCCAGGTGATGACCATGACCACTTTTTACACAATGGAAGCCAAGGGGGATCTGCGGGGCAGGAAGACATGGTTTTGGGTATGACCTACGCTGCAACCTCGGCTGTGTGCATGCTGACTCTGGTGTAGCTAGTGACGAAGAATCGATCATGGACTTTCTTCCTTCTCAACCCGTACAAAGTCAGGCAGACGCTCCAGATGCTACCCCCAGAGGCCTTGACACTGTTGACGCAGAAGCTTCGGCGCCTTCCAGGTCACTACTGGAGTCACGATTCTCGCTCTTCGAAACTTCGGCTACCGACCGCCCTCTAGACGAGCCTCGCCCAGAGGGAGCACTGCTTTCGTCTCAATCTCCGCAAAGTACTGGGATTTGTCTGGACCCCTCGTCGTCCGCTGTACCCGCAAGCTTCACCCCTCCTGGAACCCCACCTTCCACTTCTAACATCGGGACAGGGAACCTGGAACCAGCGCAGCATGGTATCCTATCTACCCCGCCTTGTCCACCAATTTTCAGTTCTGCTGTCCTCCACCTCCGAACCCCTTCCCCTCCTCGTGATCTACCTGATCTTCCGGATCCCCCATCAGACGACAACGTATCAAACGGTACGCCGGTGAAACTGGGTACAGGGAACTAGTTCATATCCAGATTTCTCAACAACAAAAACGCCCAAGCCACCTGGCGCATGGGCTGTGACACCCCAGCAGATTCAACCTCCATCTAAGACACCATCACCTGCTCACTCATCAGCTGCAGAATCTACCCACAATTTATCGACTATCTTCATCCCTCTTCCACGAGACGGTCCATCCCAGCGACAAACAGACAAAGGCACTCACGGCAGAGGCCGGTTTCACGACTCCTCAATCGATTGTGCAGGACTGATAGCCTTCCTCTTCAGACCCCGGCTCCACCTGGGGCTTGGATGAGAACCCCCAGTCAGTTTCCCTCGCAGGGGAGCGCTGATGATCAGTCGCAGTTCGGGACGATTGGCAGAAGGAGAAGTTTTTTGAAGGTCCGCTTCGATGTCTCCGAGTCCGAAACATCTACAGTAGGGGACCAGCCCAATTCACCGCTGACTGCCATTAGGTTAAGCAACGTTGACTTCCCAGAACCGAGGCCGACCGAAGCCGGGGTAATTACGCGTGGTGGACAGTCCGAAACTGCCGGACCACCATCCATCTGTGCAGCTCGACAGCCAGCTACCATTACAGATATCCCGTCGACACCCAATGCCCAGAATGGATTGCCCATTCCAAGGCCATTGCGGAAGTCGCCAATGGTCCGAGTAGTAGATGAGTACGGTAAAGAAAGGCACGATGCAGAAGAATCTAGCTTGCAGGATTCTTTTGATCAGAATGACTACTCGAATGCAAGCTCGACACCAGGCACCTCGTTTCAGCATGCTGTTACATCCACCCGCAAAGTCAGGAACACGGTGCGAATTGTGGATGCCATGGGGAGAGACATGAATGAGCAGCAAGCAATTGCATTGTTCCACGATATAACTACGATATCGGATGATCCCCCACGTGGTCGTGGTGAAGCTATCACTCGCATAAAACAAGCGGTTCAGGAGTTGCAAGAGGGCATGAGTGATGCCGACGGGTATGTTTCCGCTTCGCATTTAGTAGTTAGGAAAATATGGATGACCTTTCTACGTGACAGATCCGCGGATGAGCTGATACCGAGCTCGGCCCGGTTGGAGAAACTTGAGGAAGTTTCGAAGGGTGCGCGAGCTAAGCGGGACCAACTTGCCCTGAACCTACAGAGGGAAGTAGCGCAAAGGAAGGAACTTTTCTTTAATCACAGTGCAGGCGCAAAGACCACGTGGAATAATCGGCCTTCGGTTTGTGAATTTTACTCACCGCCAAATTCATCGAGCTTACCAAGGGGACTTCAAGGCGGATGCCATCAGTGGTAGACGGAAGCCATGGAATCGGGTGTTCATGTACTGCAGTATCTTGATCCAACTGTTGCTGATATTGGCAATGTGGAGGTACACTCTTCTCAGATATTTATGTCTGGCAGCTACTTACAATTGACCCCTAGATATGCTCATATTGAAGCCCGACGGCTTTTCTACACGACATACTACGATCCATTGTATCCCGAACTCTACTCTCTTGATAGGAATCCCTTCTTCGCGGGCGCTTACTCGTCGCACTCATGGACGATGCTTGATTCGTGGGAAACGGTTCGCCGGGAGGGATGGAGAGCAATAGGCATGGAAATTCGACGCGCGGTCAGGTACGTCGGAGACCAGGTTTGGGACCACTGGGGTGAACAGTCGAGCTCCCGTACTGAAAGACCAACTTGAGTGGGAAGGATTATTATTTACTGTTAGTAGGTTTGGTGTATGTAGAATGTATGCTCGTATTCTCAAGCTCATCAGGAGGATCAAAAAATATTTACATAAATCAAAAACACCTAGAGGGAAAGGAAGTCGTAATGGCGCACCCCTCGTTGCTCGACGTCATACACGATGTCCTGGTCATATCATCGCCGCCTGTCAGTCAAGCGCATCTGTTCAGTAGCAGCTCTTCTTCCATATCCTCCAGACTGCAGTCAATACTTGACACAACGTCGCAGTTAAACTATGCGCTCACGCAGCTCAGTGCAATGCCGCCCTCAAATCAAACGTCCAAACTCGTGAGCCTCATGAAACAGCATGCCGCGATCACAGCGTCCATCTCCACCTCACGCGCAACTATAGCTGGTCTTTCTTCCGCTGATCGATCCGTCATCTTCCCCGACCATGCCCCTCCTTCTCCAGACCGGTTTGCAGAATGGGGTCGCGCTGCGGGCATGGAGGCATTCGTTGACAGTCCCGGAGGGTCGTCTATGACCACCATTGTGTTGGCAGGGAAGGTTCTAGTCTTGGATGTTGATATCGATGGACGCGTTCTTGTCAAAACATCCTTCGCGATTGGCAATAATGTCCCCAACGGTACAGCTGTAGCACCTGAGCTGGACGCGTTTCTTGCGAGAGAGGTATCCAGATGGGTGGAGGCTGCCAAGTACGCATCGCAAGGTGAATCCTTTCCGAGCATGCCAGGGGAACCAGCTGTTGTAGCAGCCATTTGCGCTCGTACTCTGTTGGGCCACATGCGCTACCTCAAGAATCTCGATTCGCTTGCTGATAGTGAGGGTGAACGCGGCATCCGATGGTTCATGGAGCCAGTCGTCGCACTCCAACACTTCATGTCCAAGGCCGGCGATCAGTATCCCTCTGGGTAGGTTTCGTTGCCGACTCTTTAAGTGGCTCCCACTCAAGCAACCTGACAGGTCAAAAACAGTACCATTGGACAAGCTACTAGTCCAACGGGCCTTTCCCATACTTTACCTTAATTTTCCTTCCCTTCTCGTTCCTCGTCTGGTTGTCCCCTCTTGCGTACCTTCAATTCCGTTTATCGATACCCAAGCACCTTCGGGGGGCCACTGGGCAGACGGATATACCGTTGGCTCATCTGACGACTTCACTCGTCAACGAACCTAAGGGAGCGACGGTCGCCTCGCTTAAACTCGTTCCTTCATCCGAGGTTTCGATCGTTGGTGCTGTATCAGAGGGTCAAAATGACCACCCGTTTCCGTCGAGTCCCTTACATTCGTGGATACTCGACTTTTCCAGATCTCCCTCTATATATCAGGGTCACGGTGGTATAGTGATGTCGCAGACGCGTATGCGAGCCATTCAGGGCATTCTCGGTATCGATGTGGCTACCGACATAATCATGAGTATCGGCACTCCAGCCGGTGCCTCAGGCATGGGTCCCTTTGGGTCTATGCCTAGCATGAGCCAGCTCAATTTCAATAATTTTGGTGCATCCCAAGCAACGACTGTCGAAAGCCTCAGCTCCATCAGGAGCAGCTGGGTAGACTTGTTGGTGCGTGTGTTTCTGCGCCTGTTATCCTTACCTCCATGTGGCTGGGGACTACCTTGGTGTTACATTTTCATGTATCTGCAAGTTTGCTCTATAGACGCGGTTGGGATGGCTTTTCAATACTGAATAATTGACATATCCCGAGGCTTTCAATTCCTACGCGGTCCTTTTCCGATCCACGACTTACTTGCTTCACCTAGTTTAACCCGACGTCTTCGGCGGAGCACTACAGAACTACCTACGTACGTCCTTGATCTAAGTTTCGGACTCGCATATTTATTTTTTGCTGTCCATAGCGTTCTCCTAGTGGAGTGCACCCCCCTCTCAATTTACGTCTTTCGGTTCCTCAGGAACCAGGTTTTTTACTTCAGAGGGTTCCTGTGCGAACTACAAACCAAGTGTCACGCGTCTTAGAGGTACGCTTTACTCTCAATTCTTTGCTTTCATTTCATCCGCGTGCTGATGCAACGCTCAACAGATTGTCAGAGAACAATGCTGGCTAAATGAGCTATTGCTCATGTCTCAGTGGCAACCAGAAGACACAGCAGCTCTTCCGAAAGACTCCAAGGGTGCTGATCTACCCTCTTCCACTGGGGCCATGGGCGCAGATGCAACAGAACTACTCGCATCTCTCCTTGAGGGGTCGTTTACACCGAAATCCATTCCCGTCTCTGTCTTCCTTCCATCCACCTCTCTTCCGCCCCTTGCCCAGTCCCACCGCCATGCTACCTCCTGTCCCGGTTCCTCAATTCAGCTTTAGTGGTCTTGGCCCTCCTCCGGTCTCCGGTGGTACGAGCGATAGCCTATTCGGGACTGGCGATATGGACATGGACATGGAGATCCCCGGTTTGAGCATGAGCATGAACTCATCTATGGAGATTGGCATTGACGCGAGGATGGGCATGGAAATAGGAGGGGGAGTGAATATGGGAGGTATGGGCAGTATGGGAATAGATTTTAGTGGATCAGTAAGCCCGCCGCGGCAACCGCCGATGATCATACTGTCGAGCCCCGCCAAGGCGCCTACGGTGGACCTTGTCGAACTGCGTGTTTCGTTTGTGCCGGGAAGCTCTACCGGTGCTGGCTCAGTAGGGCTGGGAAATGAAGGGGGAGATTGCAGAGTGAAGGTTGAGGCTTCTCCGGGAGTGGACACGAAGGGAATGGATGAGATTGTGAGAAGAGGTGGGATTTGGGGAACTCCCTGGGAGAGTCTGGACGAAGAATCACAAGTGATCTACTCTATTGGTATGCGCGCAATAAACCATGTTCAGACACCAGTTGACATGTACTTGCACTGAGTGTAAGCTGCCTTGTCTCTTGTAGTACCTTGAGCACTGGCTCTCGACTGGAAAAATTGCAACATCTAGGATTGTATTTCGCCCTAACCGAGGCCTTCAAACAACGGCAACATCATCTGAGGCAGCCATAAGGAGTGTGTACTGAGAGAACGGCAATGAACCTTGCAATATTGTCAGATGCGCAAGTACCGCAGTTCTTACAAAGTAACCAACGAGAACGAGAATACCGTGACGGTATGCCCAGCGCCCAGTACAATCATATACATCAAGATGTCGCAGTCCCTACGACGGAATACAAAGGCTCTATGTAGATCGCAGCTCCTGGGTTGGTCATCCAGACCCAGTCACCCCTGGGGTATCGAGCCGATCGACCCATATATGGTGATGATGATCGACTTGAAACGGCATCGCCAGCAGCAGTGTGGTGCAGCGCCCCGCGTCTGCCGTGAGGTCGCCAGATCAGGGGTTAGGTGGAGCCGCAGGCTGCTTCGAAGAAATTGAGTCCTTGTCCTTCTGTTGTGGGAAGTGGGGTGGGTACATATTATTGTATTGAACGATCGTGGCGACAGCTCAGATCAGGGAAAGGCGTAATACGCCTGAAGACATGGCCATCGATGGGTACGCCGTAAAGAAGGACTTTAGGGAAGACCAGTTATGATGATTGAATTTCGGGGGCGGAGCAGCCTTCCCACCCCTAGTTCTCGGGAGAGAAGGTTATCACAACCCGCAGCATCGAAGCTCAGTGGAACTAAACTTTGTTGAATAGATGCACACACGGACATCATGGTGGTGCTATTAGCAAAGCACTGATTGCCTCGTTGAACTTGCACCACCCGCGATATCAATCCAGGGTCGCACAGAGCACCGTATCATCGCGGCCGCTGCCTATGCCAGAACCACGAGTAGGAATGCTGGCACACAGGTGGCCAGTTGGCTGCTCTCCAGCGAGGTGACATGTTAAGCCTGATAACAATGAGGCGAAAACATGCACGGGCGTCTGCATAGCCAAGTGTGAGAAACAGTGAATTGATGGGTAATTACTGTAAGTCCTCGATCACCAGTAGGCTGACGCAGCAGGACGCAATGCTTTGATCCTTGACGACCAAACGTTCAGAGTTTCATGAGGCTTTCATTTCGGCTGTCGCTCTGACAAGATTGTATTAGAGAAGAGCCGTGTGGGAAGCCAGGACGTCGAGGCCTCATTTCGCCGCAGGAAAAAAAAAATACTAGAAGGAAGTGGTTGGGTCAGACGCGTGGCTGGATTTTATTGGACCGTGTGGATAAGAGAGAGCAGCACAGCCTGATGAAACTGTGCATGCGCTCACAGCTGTCCCCTGGTTTGACACTAGCTCACGTTCTACCTATTACTTATAGGGGATGGTGCTTGTGTCGACCGCATGGGCTTGGATGCCAGTTGAGGTGGAGTGCAATTATGGTTCCGTTTGAGGACATCAGGCGACATTGCGAGATCCCCATATGGCAAGGATAGTGAAGATGCTCGGCACGTGGTTCCGATGGGTGGTATGATTACCTCAACGCGACTGCTGCGGAACCAGAGAAGCTGTCCGTTGGGCGAGTAGCGTTACCATCTTGCTGACCACCGCTGATGGTGTTTTGAATATTTTGATGCGCAGAGCGGGGAGTGCGTTGGGGGGATCCGGTTGAGTCGGGGCCAGCACCTGGCTGCGCGGAGGTAAGGCATGTGACAGGCTGACATAATCGGAGCACATGGCGCCGAGATGTACCACGCGGAGGGAGTTTCCTGAAATGGCCATGTGTGACCAGCTGTTTTTTTCGATAATATTTCCTGCAGGTGCTCGCTTGTTCGTTTCCTTCCTGTCGTCGTTGTCGTCGTCGTCTTGGTTCGTAGTGGTCTGACAGTCTCGCAGCGACTTTGGTCCCCGTTGCTCGGATCTGCCAGCAGTTTTCTCTTTTCTTTTTACTTCTCTCTTCACGTCTCTGTTCGTTAGACATTTGCATGTATTTCGGCCCCTGCTCTCTCAGACTCACAGCCGGTCTCGTCTGATCTACCCCCTCCTCAACCTGCAGTGTCGCCGTCGTCGTCTCGGTTCCCTGCACGAGCCCCAGATGTTGCACCATTCTGCCCAGCCCATTCCTCTTCCCATCTCGTACAGACCTACTCCCCCTCCTCGCAAAGATCCTCGTATTTTATCCCCAGCTTCCAGTAATCAGCCTTCCTCTCAACCCCTTCCTACTTCTGCTGCCCGCCTGTTCAACAAACGATTTCCCAAGGACGCCCTCCGCCCGCCCGCGCCTTCCTCCAATGCCGCAGCTTCCTCGTCCCCTTCTTCCTTCCTCTCTCCTCTCCCGCGCTCTCCCTCCATCCCTATGGCAGCCAGCCCCGTCTCCATCCCATCCCCCCTGCCAGGCGCGCCCTCCTTCCGCCATCATCCCACCGTTTCCTCCACTCGCTACAGCACGTCTCGCCGTTCGTCCTCGGCCTCATCCATCATCGAGGACACCCTCGCACCAGGAGACTTCATCGGCGAAGGCGTTCTTTTGCAAGGCTACCCTCTTACCCCACCCGCCGTTGCTATAGAATTGCAAGACAACAGCCCCGGTCTCGCGACGGAGTTCCAGGTCATTCGCAAGCTGGGTACTGGTTCTTATGCCGTCGTCTACCTCGTTCGTGAAGTTCTTTCGCGCACGACGCCCTCCGAGGACGGCCACTGCGGCACTCTAGATCTCGCCGACGCCCCAAACGGCGATAAGAGTTACGTGTCTTATGGTCGCGAATTTGCCCTTAAATGTCTCAGTAAGGCAAATCTCGACGAGGACGCCCTCACTGCGCAATTATCGGAGGTGAGCGTTTATCTTAGCGAACAATCACACACATGACTGAGTCACTTTAGGTCAAGATTCACCAGTCTCTCCGTCCTCATCCCAATATCGTCACTCTTCATCGCACACTCGAGACGCCTGCCTTCTTACTTCTCATCCTCGAATACGTCCCTGGAGATGATTTGTTTTACTTCCTCGAACAAGCTCGTGACCATTACGAACCAACACCCCCTGCAGACGACGCGACCCCTTCACGAACGCCTCCAACACCGTCCCTCCTTGCTTCTCTTCACCCAGCCCAGCTCCTCAGCTTGACCCGCCTCCGGCTTATCGCACGCATGTTCGCTCAGATGTGCGACGCCGTCGCAGCTTGTCACGAACAGGGTGTCTTCCACAGGGACATAAAGCCGGAAAATTTTATCGTCACGGATGGTTTCGTCAACGGCGAACGCCGTGTTGTCGTCAAACTAACCGACTTTGGACTGTCTACCACCGACGAGGACTGTTCGGACATGGATTGTGGGAGCGCGCCATACATGAGCTTCGAATGTCGTAACAATGTTGCCCCAACGTACAAGCCAGCAGCTGCGGATGTGTGGTCATTAGGTATCGTCCTAATCAACATGTTAGTGTCTCTTCCATCGTGGTCACCTATCCTGTGTTGACGTCTCACTAGGTTGTACCACTACAATCCCTGGACGGACACTGCTGAGGGCGTTTGTCCATCTTTCACCCTCTTCAGACAACTAGGCACACCTTTCTTCATGAACAGGTTCACTGGCATGACCTCCACTGTCGCTGACTTCCTTGCTACTCGTGTCTTCCACCTTCCTCCAGCTGCTTCCTGGTCTACCACCTTGTCCTCTCCTCAGGCACCAGTCACCGCCAGAGAGTTCGGAGAGTGGGTCAAGGATCTGCCTGCTCATTTCGATGTCTGTCAGTCAGCCTTGGGCGTTGGCGGTCCGTCGAGATCTGGACACAAACGCGTCCTTTCCACGTCCTCGATGACAATTGGGCATCCGTTGTCGTCTTGTCCACCCTCTCGGCGCCCTTCGTCGCGCGCAGGTCTCCGTACCCCAATACTACATCCAAGGAGCTTATCTGTCTCGAGAGCACCCTCCGTCAGCGCAAGTGTCGTTGGAAGGGCTGTCGGCGCGTTGGAAACGGTAATGGATGCGGATATTGGAGAGGCAAGTGTAGAAGAGTTTGAAGGCGTGCTGGGTGGTGTCGAGAACTCTATCGTAGATGGAAAGCTTGACGGACAACGTAGAAACGACAAAGATGGCGAGGGTGACTTCCTCGAAGATGGTCGGAGCCGGTCAACCAGGAAACGAGGTAGGCGAGGAGCCAGGAAGAGTAAGAACGTCACTACCGGTGAGGATGAGGTGGACGAGACACTCGAGGTTCTCGCGAACGCCTCGCAGACCCTTGCGAGAGAGATCAGCAGAGCCTCCCGTTCGTCTTCACTTGCTAACCGCGCTGTCTCAGACGCCACGTCCACCTCTCCTACGCCTACGTCGATCATGCCTCCCATGGTGAGGAAGGCGTCTAGGTGGCTCTCGTTCGGTAAGGGAGGGAATAACGTATCCCTATCCACTGGCGTGGAAGAACCTGCCCCTGGTACTGCGAACAATGTAGCGGATTTGATTATGGGCCTTGCTGCTCCTCCTGCTGTGGCGCCCAGCGCGTCTGCCTCCGACACGCAGACTTGTTCGCAATCATCTGTCTCCCTGTCGTCTCTTTCAAGCACATCCTTGTCGAGCCAACCTCATCCACAAAGGCTCCGCCAGAACGTGTCCTCATTATATTCTGGCCACTCCACTCACTCCGCGGTATCGATCCACTCAATTGCATCGCCATACGCCCGCACGCCGTTGTCACCGCAACGTTCCCCTGCAGACGATGCGACAACCTGGACGCGCGGGCGCGGACCTCAGGGACAACCTTACAACCCGAACACTTGGGGTCCGTCAGTTACCAATCGCAGTGGTTATGGTGGATTACACGGGCCTACCTCTGGTTCTAGGGCCACGGGTGTCAATGGAAATGGAGTGTCGTCGAGCGCATCTTCTGTTACGACCAACTCCGCGAAATCCAACTGGCGGTCCTCTTTGTCAAGTACTGCGAGCTCCTCAATGAGCGCATTTACCAAATATAGCAATTCGACCACGAGTGTGAGCACGATGGCGACAAGCGTGTCAAGTGGAAGCTGGAGAGTGCCTAACGGGAAGCAAGATGGGGCTGGTATCAAAGGTGGGGTCGAGGGAATTCCCAAAAATCTCAAGAGTGAGTATTTCGCGTTCGACCTCCATGCAAATTGAATTGATGCTAATACCTTCTTTCACGATCCCAGTCATGTCTGGCGTACCATGGGAACTCGATCGGTTCCCGCGGGACCCAATGAGCGACGACCTTGGTCAGCCACCTCAGCGCAAGGCGCGCACCCGCAAACCTAAAGACGCGTCCAAGCTTGACACGATCAACGAACGACCCCTCGGTCCAAGCTTTGGAGCGGGTGTTTCTACTCACCAGAAGGCGAACTTACCCGTCGTCACTGTCGTTCATGAGCGCCGGGATGCTGCCACGTCCACGACGGACCTCCATGGGACTGTCCGTGGCAACGCCAATGAATCACCCGATCCTAGTGCCGGTACAGCTACATCTCCTACCAATGCCAACGTCGGTGGGAATGACGGAACGACGCCGAAGAAAGTGCAGAAAGGCCAAATCAATGCTCTGGCGAAGATGTTGTCCGCGTTGAGGAGGTGAATGTGGAGGCAGAATTGAGAAATGTTCGTGTTTATTAGATTTCTTCATTTGCCCCCCATCCCCCGTTCCCATATGACGATGATTGGGTGCTTATGTGCTGCTTGCCTTTTTCCCCATTCACCGCGCTGTAACAGGTTTGGTGCACGTTATGTGGAAGAAAACAGACGAATACGAGTGTTGTCAAGTTCTGTTCACTTAGTCTCCGCTTCCGCTGTGTCATATTCTCTCTCCGTCTACTACCCCCTCCCCACTTCCCCCGTTCTCGGTGCTGCGTGCTCCGTCACGCATTCTCGTTGTACTACTGTACAGTAGCCGGTAGCCGATCGATCCCTGTGTCAAATTGGATGTGATGCTCGTTCATTCATCTACGGTGCGACAATCCTGTTTCTGTTGTATATTGACGAGGCAAGCTTAGGCTGGTTCCGCTGTGCAGGCTGTCACTACGATCGACTTGACTGCGCTCACCGTTGCTTAACGTCCTCTTTCCCATTCCATCATGTCTTTTTCTGGATCCGTCTTTGAGTCGGGGACTCAACACGGTGTACATTTCATACTCGACCACGCATTTTCCGCCCGAAGATTTCTACTTGTACAAGAAATTACTTCGACATCCACAATATGCACGACGGCAGCATGAAACATGAACACTCAAAAAAATTGTAAACAATCGACATAACATTTCATACATCCACGCTCCTTCTCTCCCTTCATAAAGTTATTGTCGAACTGGCCTTGAAGTTCGCCTCGACCTTTTTTTTTTTTTTTCTTTTCAATCTTGTCTTGCTTTCGTGGACACGAATATACAAAAGCCAATCACACATTTACTACTATACATATACATACACAACAAGTACATACCTGCATTAGTTTGTAAAACCCCATTCTTTTCACCTGCCTGTTCCACTCATTCACACCTTTTCATTTTGACTTTCTTGCTGCCTGGATCGTTGTAAGTTGGCATGCCGCTACAGATGGGGTCGTGTGTATAATGGTTACCAAGCTGTCGTGTGCATTCTGAGCTAGTTATGAGCTGGATGCTGGTTCGTACGTGCAGCTACACACCCGCACATTTATTGTCAGTATGTACGTCGAAATAAGTTTGGAGTGCCTCTGGACGGTGCGAGGTAGAAACAAAACTTGGGGAGGCGGTTGCAAAGCGATTACAAGCACTAATATATACCTTGAATCTTCCTATTGGTTGGTGGTCACTACCGCTCCCTCGCCCTTGTCTGGACACCTCCCATATTGTTGCTCTAATTACCAAGCCTATCCAGGTGCTGATTCACTCTCCATCCCTCCCCACGACTTTTGCAGATCTGCAAATGCCATGTTTTGCTCAACAGTAGGCCCTTGGGGTACCTGAGGCGTCAAAGTGGCGGTATCAATGAGAATCGTAGAGGCTTCGCGTCGGATAGACCGGTGTTGGTGAGACATCGGAACTAGAACTGGCGAAGGCGGATTAGCTGTTGGCGCCGTCGCATGGCCCGGGACAGAAATGTGTGCGCGAAGGTGCGGAAAACCGGGAGCGGGGGACATTGCAGGAGGCGAGGGCGACCGCGACGTCGCTGTGCTTTCCATGTCGCTGTCCTCGATTGGTGAAGTTGGTGAGAAATCCGATGGCATGGTGATCGTAGTCGTAGCCGGAGATGGCGTTGCGTTTGCGATGGGAGGCGAGGGCGACATGCCGAGGATAGAAAATCGTCCAGTGGAATCTGTACGGACGAGGTTGATGTAGTATTCCTGGAGAACTTCGCGGGTGCACTACAAGGCAAGAGGGGAAAGGGCCAGGGAGAAAGAAAACGTCAAGACCAGTAAAATACAAGGTGGGTCTCGGGGAACGGATGGACAAAGATTGAGAAAGTGTAAAGAGGGGGAGAGAAATGATATAGCGATGAAGAAATGGCGCGCAATGAAGGAGTGCTGACCGTTAATCTCCAGTCGATCATTCTGAGAAACTCGCGCTCCAGATCGTTAAGCTCGGAGACAGGGATACCGCCGACGCGGGCGTAGAAGCTGTTTGTACAGAATGTGTCACATAATCCTTTGTTGCATACGGTGATAGATGCAATGATGAAACGATGGCATGTTAGGGAAGATAAGGTGAATAGTGGCGTCCTGGCACATATCTGATCGACATAGTGCAGTGTGAGTAAAAGGCACGTTTTCTATTATAATGCAAAGGTGTTATGAGCTACGCAACGAAAACGAACGACGTTTTCTTTTACGCACCTCCACCTTTGTGAATTTGATTATCCGCCTCAGATAGTCCAGTACGTTGATGGAAGGCACCGCTCGCGAGTGAAAGCGAGTCAAGCTTTCACTAGATGAGATATGAAAAAAAAAGCAGATCAAGAACCTGAGAGTGAGAAGCTGGAAATGATCGGGAGTACATACGCAAGCAAGGGTATCTGGTCATTATGAGCCATTAGCCGCTCAAGCATATCAGCTTTCGATAATAAACTAATCAGACACCTCGAGGCAACGACTGAGTTCGACATGATCGATTACCTATAAGCAATGCAAGATTATCTATATCCGCGTCTTCAAATGCACTGGGTAAAACGACCCTTCCGGAGGAGTTCATACACCCATTGCAATCCAAACAGCCTTGTCTCCTGTTCGGTCGCGGGGAGCTGAGTGACACGAGGAAGACTGGACAAGGCACTTCGGAACATACAACACCAAACAGACCCGGCCCGTCCGGCGCGGCAGCTGCCAGATTCTGTACAGTACATCGCGGCGGCGCTCTAACTTTGTTTTTCCTACTCCCCCTGCCCACCAAGTCGCTGTCAGATATTCGATCTCGACGATGGCCCCAAAAATCGTGAGTGTACATTGCAGGATATACCGTCGCTTGCAACTGAAATATTCGTCCCGTTATAGGACCCCAACGAAATCAAAATCATTTACCTGCGGGCAACGGGTGGTGAAGTCGGTGCTTCTTCGGCCCTCGCCCCAAAAATCGGCCCTTTGGGTTTGGTACGCATCGGATTCCAGACAACTGGCGTTTGTAGACTGAACCCATCCACAGTCGCCCAAGAAGGTCGGAGAGGATATTGCGAAGGCAACATCTGCATGGAAGGGTCTACGGGTGACAGTTCAGCTCACGATTCAGAATCGGCAGGCCGCTGTCGCTGTTGTTCCCTCAGCATCTTCCCTTGTTATCAAGGCTCTTAAAGGTGAGCTCGGTTGTCGTGTTTGGAGGGGAAGTGATATTCACCTCTTCTTGTACCCTTTTTCTACTTGCAGAACCACCTCGTGACCGGAAGAAGGAGAAGAATATCAAACACTCTGGTAATGTGGCGTTGGACGAGATATTCGACATTGCACGGACAATGAGATCCAAGTCGCTGGCGAAGGACTTGGCTGGCTGTGTGAAGGAGATCCTGGGCACTGCTCAAAGCATTGGGTGCACAGTCGACGGCAAGCCCCCCCACGATGTCATCGACGGCATCAACTCAGGAGAGGTTGAGGTGCCGGACGAGTAAATTTTTGTGTATTTCTCTTATGACACCATGCACGCTTTTATTCCCCACTGGCACCACTTCGCCTGCGGTCTCCGACGAATCTTTGCAATTCTGCTACCATTATCAGACGACACGACGTGAACAGGTCTCCGTGAAGTTGGTCTGCCGTCTTAGCATGAGTCGGCCATTTTTTTTTACAACTTGTCCGGTCTGGAGTGCACGAACTATAGATGCCAGCGTGTAGGGTTTGGTTCTCCCTAAATCCGATGTCAGCCGTGCTTCTATCGATGCCAGGTGATGCTATGGTAGACTGATAAGTTGAATAGGAACGCGATATGACGTGGAAGCGTGATCAGATGGACCCGTCATGATAACCTCGGAGAGTTTTGTTGTGGCAACCACTAATACTCCTAGTCGATGCACTTCTCGGGGTGAACTTAGTTGTTCGGCTGCACTAAATTTCCTTGCTAAGCACGATACTTATATGCCGGGCATTCAAACGTTGACCGTTGACCGACGGGGGTTGCTAGGGATTGCACGCCTTCGTCCAATAAATAACATTGATAGGTTCTGTCAAGGGCCCAGGGACCATCCCAACCGCTGTACACATGTCTGGCACTGCCCCTTCCTCCAGGCCACCGATATTGTTGACTTCACCGTCAGCCCTTGCTCGGAGCGTCTATGTGCGGTTCTTATCACTCTGGACACCGTCCTTCGTCCGGTCGATGCTCTACGGCCAAGTGCTCAGCGTAGCTCTCACGTCTGTATCTGTTTTAACCACAGAACTAGTCGATCGCAACTGGGTACTCCCGAGTACCCAAGTGTTTTTCTCGTGAGCGAAAAGCGCGTCCAGTTAGTTGGCTCTGACACCTAATTTCCATCAGTTACGCCTCCATGTTTATTGTATACACACCCTACACGGTATACAAGTGTATGCCTGTCTACCACTTGTCCCGTGTGCGAATACCTGCTGATGAGTCGTATTGTCAAGATGGGATGAAAGGGTGGTGTAAACTAATCGTGCATGATGGATGGAAATGTCCGTTCTTCTCACAACGACCGCCTTGAACCACCCTTACACATCATTAGACCTCATCCTGACGCTCGGTGACTTTGAAGCAGGGTATCTGTACATCAAGGTAGTGCAATTGGCTATCTGTAGATGGACATTAATCGGCTGAACTCGACAGGCGTTTGGATACACTGACTTGATGTCATGCATGCTGCTTGACGCGTACGTATCATGGAAATTCCTGTAGTCTACTTCTGACTCACAGCTGGCGGCTCAGGTGGACTATACCCGTGTGCGTGCTGGCCTGCTGGGCAGTAATGCATGTTCGTTACCACTGGACACAAGTCTTGGTGAGCAGGCTAGCCGTTGTCGTTCCAGAACTTACTGATTCTGGCTAGGGGGTAGTCATTTGCATTGGCGGCCTGGCGCTGCTCGTGACATCAGATTTGCTGACTGGTAAAAATGGTGATGCCACACGCAGTGGTGAGGGCGATGGCTTCATGCTCGCAGCGTCCACACTTTATGGTTTCGGTGAGAGGTCATCCTTAATCTAATGTATTTTAGTTGCTCGATCAGTCCACAGTCAATGCGGTGGAAGAGTTTCTCAGTACGGCGCTCACCGTTGTATGAGGCACGTCCAACTGCTCGAAAAGAACCGTCGGCTCGAGGGATGACACCAGTTGCGTTCAGGTCCTGGGACAGATGGGCCTATGGGGTATGGTGGCGAGCTCCGTACAATCCTCAATACTCGAACGTCAAAAGTGGAAAACATCTACATGGGATGGAGTTACAGGTACAGCTATGTCTACAAACGCATGGAGATGGACACTGATACGATGACATTTACCCAGCCGGGCTCTTGATTGGACAAACAATTAGTAGGTCTCTGTCTCCATGATACGAAGCTCGGTGCTGTAATCACACTACATACTTCAGCGACATTCACCACATATTCGATACAAATGATGCTGTTCCGCATGGCCTCATCGCCGTTCTTTAATATCTCACTGCTCACTAGCGACTTCTATGGCTTGCTATTCGGTAGGTTTCCTCCTTTCGGGACTTTCGCAATGCGCTGAGTCGAATGCAGGTCTTTTTCTCTTCGTATGTTATGATAACTCTGCAGGGCCGAAACATCAGTAACCCACACATCTTCAGCATTACTCGCCATACTGGCTATACTTTGTCGCCTTTGCGATTGTGATTTTTGGACTTGTCATTTATTTCTGGCATGCAACACGTACGTCCCCTTGCATAGTGTCAATGAGTCATCGTCTAAGGGCCCTCCACAGCGGAAGAGCAGGGAATGACAAAAATCGAACTTCCTAAATACCTCAATACCGAGAGTGAGACCAGTGTGGAGGATGACGAAGGATAGAAGTTAGAGCTCTGTGCGCAAGACACTTCAATAGTCCCAACTGGAAGTCACCAGTGCCACGCAGATTAAGATACCATCAGACAGAGACCAAGCAATCACTCCGAGACGAAAACTACTCAGCCTTCCAAAGTTGACACTGCCATGCGCGTGACATCATGTTCGTTCCAATCGAAGCAGAGCACAAGGATATCTATACAGATGTAGCAAGCAGCTTATACAAATTCACCCCTTGCAGATTGCGGAGCCGCCAGGGTACTCACATCGCTAGTAACTGCACTCTTGTGTGACCAAAGGGTTTAGTAGTTTACACTCTTGAGATAATCTGCGACAGAAACCACGATGGGGACAGATTCCGGGTGTTGGATTGGTGCTTTGTACTCGGTAACGAGGATGGCTTGCTTCGTTTTGATAATGGTACAGCCATCGGCCTACGCTAGTAATTTAGAACCACTAGACCCGGCGAATGAAACAACTACTTGCCCCTTTCTTTCCCAAGATTTGGCCGGTAAGCACGTCTACGCTCAGAACAAAGAACTTTTGTCCGGCGAGACGCACACCATTCGCTTGCGTCTCCGCAGGGTTGGTGAATGCATTCACGATGGCCTTCTGTTCTGCTGGAGAGAGCTAAATTGCAAACGGCGCACAGCGAAAGAATGAACTGATCTACCCCACTCTGACAGGGCGTCGAGGAAGACGGTGTGCTTACATTGTAACCAGGCGATGTTGCCCATACACCACCACTTTGCCCTATGATCGCAGCTTTGGAGACCTTTCCGCTCCCGACCAGGTTATTGTCAACATATGCTGTTGGATGTTATCACTTTGTCCATCACAATTGGACGGAGATGCGTCGACACACTTTGCCAAGACATCGTCCGACGGAATATAACGACTGTCAGTGAGAGGAGTAGAAGGATGAATTAGATGAATGAAGATGGATGCGGCTGTGGTGGATAACCCGTACACGGAGATCGCCATGATATCGGCTTCCCACATGGCAATATTCCATTTCTAGCAATTCCCCTGTGCCAACAAGTGTACCGGCATCGACGATACGTACAGTACAGGCAGATTCCACCAATACATAGATGCATAAGAAAACACGTCAATCATGTACTGACTTCCGTCTCTGCAAGAGCAGCCTCGTTCAGTGCCTCCGCCTCCTCCATAAGCTTCTCTTCCAGAGCCGCCACCCTCGACTCCGCATCCCGCCGCGCTCGTTCCAGCTCTGCATACCTCTCCTGTAGCAACCTCTCACGCCGTGCAAGGACATCAACTTCTTCTTTGAGGGATTCTAATCTGCGGGGACCAGCCACTGCTTCGCTCGACGCCAACCTCGCGAAGCTTTCATAGTCGAGCTTTGTTTTCACGAGCTCGTCGAACGCATCGGTAAGTCGTTCTACCAATGCTTTCGACCGCACTTGGTAGCCGCCAAGCGTTATGCCCAGTTTTTTTTCGATCTTGGAAGTCTTGCTGTCTTCCTTCGTCATCTGCTCCCCGCATTCCCGGAGTAGCGTGTTGTACCCGGCAATTCTGTCCTCAAGAGAGAGACTCTGAGGATCGACCCACGTTCTGCTGTGGGGGTCGAACGCTAGCCGTTGCCGTTGATGCGCCCACGAGCAAGCCTCGTCAACCTCTTCGTTCTTGGAGAGGGTCTGAAGTCCCTCTTTTACCTGAGCTTCTGTGGCAGCCGGGAAACCGATTGAAGTAGCGAGTTGGAAGTGAACCATGGATTTAGCTCTTGCTATGTCCTCGTCCGGCGGGAGGACGTAGGAGGAGATGGTGCTACCAGGGAGGTTGGTGCCGGGTAAAGGGTGAGCAATAGAATCATGGAGCATGAGACTTGCCATCTCAGCATTAATTAACTTCCTCGCGTCTGCCAAATCATCGTCCGCTCCAAGATTGAGGTTGCGCATCAACTGCTCTACGTTAACCCGGGCAGGCCGAGGAAGGCTGAGCTGAACAACTTTCGAACGCCTTGCCAGTGTCTTCCTTTCTTCCTCTTCGCGTATGCGTTTCAGCCGAGCGTCCCGCTGTGCGGCATCTTCTTCGATAGCAGGCGTTTGCTCTGCTGGGTCTTCCTCCTCGTCCTCAGGTACGAGCAATTCGAAGTTGTTCTCTGGCTTCGGCAAACTCATAAACCCTGCCCTGAGCGTACGCTTTGCAGAATCCACGCGGAGTCGTTGCTCTCGAGGTGTTTCGCCCCCCGTCACCATGCCGGTAGCCGGATTAATGCTAAGGGTATCCCGCATAGGAGTGCGCAAAGGTGTTGCACCAGCCATGGACTTGCCATCGATAGTATCACCGGGCAGTGGGGTTGCAAGAGGGTTAGGCGTAAATGCAACCTGGTGGCGAGGAGTGGCACCTTCAAAGCCTGTGCCATCGCCAGTCGGGTGCAGTGGGGTATTCTCGTCACCTAGAAGTGGTGTTTGTGCTATGGTCATATTACGTAGGTTGCGAGCCTCCAGCATCACATTATCCTCTGAGTTGCTGGTTAGTTGTATTCTAAAAGATATCGAGGAAGGGGCTCACGTTGTGGGGCAGTCCGGGGCGTGCGCGCCATTCTAGCACTGTCCAACCCCTCGTACTCGCCTAGGAGCTTAGAGGTCGCCTCACTTCCTCCATTAACCAAAGCTTTCGCGTTTTCTCCCGTCTGCCCAATTTTGACGATCTCCTCCAGCTCAGCCTCGCCCACTTGTGCACTTGGCAACTCCAGCTTTCTCCGTCGACCGATGCTGTCCGCCTCCTTCAGCTTCTGGATTTGTGCATCACGCGCAGGAACGAATTTCGTCTGGTGACCTGAACTCTGACCTTCTTTTTCGTTGCGACGCTGTCGTTTCCGGCGCTCGGCTTCTTCATCGTCGGTTTTGCGCTTGTTTTCCAGGCGTCGCAGGGATTGGCCAATGGGAGCAGAAGTGACACGAGCTTGTTCTTCCGACGTATCATAGAAACCCGGTGCCGGTTTCTTTTCAAACGGAATGTCCGCATTATACTGCACAACAAGTTTAGCACGAGCATAATAGAAAGACGGTAACGGGTTTCTTACGTCCATGCCCCTTAATTTGGTCTTATGGCGCATACTGTGGACAAGTTCCTGAAGATGTATATAGAAAAATGCGAAATAACTTACATGATACCAGCGGCCTTCAACTCGCGTTTCTTTTGCAGAACGGCTAAGCGCCTTGCCTCTTCAAGTTGACGCTCGCGAGCCTTCCGCTTCGCCTTCTTGCCTTGAGTGTTCGCAAGACGAGCGCGAGCTTCCGACAGCATCTCCTTCTCTATACACTGGTCAGCGGTGCTCGAGAATGCACAATCTTTGACAGTACGTGCCATCCTCGTCCATATCGATAGGATCTGGTCGAGCTGGTTTCGTCTCTGGATCAGGGTCGATTTCGCCTGGTCGAAGCCGCCTGACGTCGTCCGCACTCGGGCCAGTATCCTTGGGACCGGTCAATCCCAACTCCTCGTTCTCTTCGGCTTCAGCCTCGTCCAACAGTTTCTGGTAGCGTTCTAGACATTGCGTAGCTGTTCGACCAACAATGGGAGCGATCGTGCGCCACTGTGTTGGCATAAGCTTTGCGAGATGAAGGAGTTTCTCGTCTTCTGTCTGTTGAATCTGTGAGATGAGACAGGTGTACGTGACGACTCTACGTACCTTTGACCATTCTGTCTTTTTTATTGACGGGTCCAGCCACTCGTACCACCTCGCTTTGCACTGTTTTGGGGTCTTGCGGACGAGCAAGGAAGATATTCGTGCCCTGAAGACATGAGATTCAGTAAATAGGGCGACTGAACACTTGAAACCTACCATTGGTTCTTTCCGTACTTGGCTATCGCAGCCTTGAGGACTTCGTCCTCGGTGTTCTGCATGTTTACGAATCAGTGACCAACTCACTAAGACTTCCATAGTGCGCTGTGCTGACCTTCCAGACACCTGTCAAAGATTGTCAATAGTGCTTCGCGAAGGAAGAGATGTGGATTACGGACCTCCCTTGATGATTATTCGAACCATTGTAGTGTACAGGCGCGACGAGGATGCGAAAGCAATAACTGCCACAGCCACTGAGCACGGAGTGGTTGGTTGATTAGTCATATCGGGCTGCAATTCCAACTCCGATCTTGACTAATAGGCAGCCCAGCAGCATCTCCACAACGGCCTTGTAGTCTAGAGGTACGATACTTGCTTTGGGTGTCTGAAATGCAAGTGGCCTGGGTTCGATTCCCAGCAAGGCCCAACTTTTTATTATTATTTTCAGTATGTCTGAAAGGGAGTGCAAAGCATAGATAGTCATTGATTGCGTAGTGCGAGATACTTCAACACCATAAACTTCTACAGGATCGAATGCCAAAAGTCAACTTGACCTTGGCATGCTGGCTCATGCAACGTGTGGTCTCTTCAGATTATTTGTCTCTCGGCGGTCTAAGATACTCTAAGGACGTGCTACGAGGTCAGACACCTTAGCGTGCTTATTCGAGCTGGCACGGACGAACCATGATTGACAGGGTGCAAATTGTACATCCGATGCAACTGCAGAACTGCCTGTTCTTTGTCTTTGGCTTCAATCATCAAATCTATCCTTGTCGTTCAGTGTCCGGCTATATATATGCCTAGCTGGACCTACCCATATCCTCTGGTAAGCCTTCTGGAAGTGAGTAACAGCGGTCCGAATGTGCTCTTTTCTCCATGATGCCGACTGCACCATCTCTGGGTTCACTGTAGTGCTGCTTAGGTTTTATGCCGCGCTTACGGAAAATCTCGTTCGCCTCTTCCATAATTTGTGCTGGCGGTACGCCAGGAGACGGGTTAAGCATGTTGTGGTGATAATCAAACACCAGTGGAACTTCCAGGTCTTTGCATAACGGGAGAAGATCTGCAGCGGTGTAACATAACTATGCGGTATACTACGGTTACAAGTGGTGTTGCAAGACGGACTGAATCAACGAACCTCGTCATTCTCAAGCACTAAGCGGTCCCGCACGTTCTTCGGCAAATCGACTCGTATAGTCTCTTTGACCCTCGCCAAGGTCGCTTCCTTATCACCATATACGCCGCCCCCGTGGATGACCATTACCCCGTCTGGGCCAACACCGATGAGGTCCAACATTTCGCAATGGTACTCCAGCTCTCGGATGCTTGACCGTACTACCGCCTCACGTGGTGAGCCCAGTTGCGTATATTGTCCGGGGTGCACGGTGAGTCGGTGCCCATACTTCTTGGCAAGGGCACCCACCTCCGCAAGGAGAGGGGCGCAGTAGGCGAGCGAATACCCATATGTTTCATGCGAGGCAAAAGGAAACATGCCGGACGAGCTGGATGGTAGGCGGTTTTAGAAATCACCACTGACAACAGATTCCGCGCACATTCTCATAAAACGGATATACTAGAGAGTGATATGCATCAAAGCTTCGATGACAACGAGTAGAGTTACGTTACGCTCATTCCACTCAATAATCTTCAGTAAATCCTCAACGTTCTTTCGGCCCAAGTCCTTCACCCAGTCCGCGCCCTTTTTCTTAATGGTGTCGATGCTAAAAATATAGCGTGCAAGAATAACATCAGAATGAGGTGGAACCAACCCTGTCACTCACCGACAGGTCCTCGAACAGAACGTCGCCTCGGTGGCAGGCTTCTCATTTCGTAGAAGAGTATTCAAGCATGCATATCCTTGTCGCAACAGGCCATTATAATCCTAAGAGGGCAAGATCACTGGTCACCTACCCAAGCGTCCTCCAAAGGTAGTATTCTTTTTCTCGACATCATGTATATCCAATGGAGCAGGACTCAAAGCCCGTTTCTTTCTCTGGCCTCCAGTGGAGACGTCCTCGCGCATTAGTTGGGAGTCGGTGATATTCCGTTTCGTGGACTTTCGCCGCCTCGCCGACTTCGCGAGTCCGACATTGTCATCAGAGTTCTTTTCTGAGTCGGGGGACACATGGATCTCGTTACGCCTAGGCCGAAGCGAGTACATCATGTGAGGAGCACCAGAAATACGCTTGACGGCTCTCTGTACGGTGATATCCCACTGAGATGTCACTTGCGGGAAAATATGTCTGGGGATCACTTTGAAACCGAGATAATACAGGATTGTTCACTGATGGGTACCAAGTCAAAAAAATCACACCAATATTAGTTGTGTGCGTGAGTAACCCCTATGTCGTCTCTCGAGCTGTGACGTATGGTAGTGTTACGTAATGTCCACGACGCCGCACGCTCCCCGGACTTTCTATTGGCAGACCTCATCTTCGTGAAGACCATGAGCTGGACAGGGTAAGAGTTGCTTCCACCTGAGTATTCTAAGCCAATGGTTTCATGTTTCCTTTCAGATTCAAAAAATCCCTAAACAGGGCAGGAACCACAGTACGCACATTCCAAGTGCCTCAGTCGCACTGGCGACAACGGAGCTGATTTCAGTGTTCTTCGATGCGCAGGTCTTGCAAAAGACTGGTCAGATCGAACGCACAGTAGATCGCGAGTTTGCTGATGAAGAATCAAAGTATAGAGCGTAGGTTTGATTTGGTGTGACATTTCACTGTGCGCTTGACCTGACTGTTTCCGCTTCAGTTTCGAGAAGGAATGCCAGGCTTTACAGAAAGATAGCAAGAGCTACAATGACGCTATGAGAGGTAGGTCCGAGATAATTTTCCTGGGGGCGAATGAATAGTACCGAAGCGACTTCAACTAGCGATGACCGCTGCCCAAGCGCGATTGGCGGAAACGATCGAATCCTTCTATGGTGCCGCCGATCGCACCTCCGATAGTGCAATGGCAAGCCACGCTTTCAAGAACGCTGTACAGGATCTGGACGCAAGTGTGCAGAGAGAATTAGTATGATTTTTTTTAACGCAACGTTGTTTGTGTTGACCGTAGCTTCCATGCAGGATGCACCCTACCGCACAACCATCATGGAGCCTCTGGGCAAGATGAATGCATATTTCCCTATCATCAACGAACATATATCGAAGAGGAACAAGAAGGTGTCGTTCGATCTTGGTGCAGCTTGTCAATTTTATACTAACGTGTTGGCCACCAAGTTACTTGACTACGATGCAGCAAGAAGCAAACTCCGTAAGGTGATAGAGAAACCCAGCGATGACCCTACGAAGTTGCCCAAGGTACCATTCTACTATACTTGCCTAGTATACCTTATTTCCACTCATTATGATCAAGGCACAACAAGAGCACGATGACACGAAGGAGGTCTTCGAATTGCTCAACGATCAGCTCATAGGGGAACTCCCTCAACTACTGGACCTCCGTGTCCCATACTTTGACCCTAGTTTTGAAGCCATGATACGCATGCAATGCAAATTTGCAGAGGAAGGCTACGAGAAGCTTAGTACTGTCCAGAGGTAGGACTTTCATACGAAGCTTTACTGTCAAATAGCAGACAGTTCTCCAGATACTTTACGGACAACGTGCGAGACGACTACGCCGCGGGCCAGCTGGATGCTCAGGTGCGTCGCCTGGTGATGTTGAGTTGGTTTATTTCAGTTGACTTGAAATATCCAGGTTGAAGGTGTTCTGCAAGAGATGAAGGAGTTGTCAATTTGCGGCGGTAACTAGCTCAGCACCCTTCCGTTACTGGTTATGCAGCAGGATTATATATATGATGTTCACTGAGGACTGGAGTGGTTTGGCAGCACCGCCCTTTTCATCCATTGTTTGTACGATACCGACTTAGTATCGACCTTACAGATGGCAGTGTACAACGGATGGCAATGCAACGTAAAATAGTGCTAACTGTATGTAGGATCCTAGACCACGCGTGCGATGACGGACCTGATACGATGCTATGTCAGGGACCGAAGCTGGTCACAGCGAGGCAGCCCAGCCAGATCATCTCGGCGGCAGCTTTACCAATGGTCGTCAGGGAGAAGCTCGATATCGGGTCATCCGCGTCTGACGTTGCTTCCGCCGTTTCCATCGTACAAAGCCCTAACCGCGCCAAACCCTCCGGATCAAACGAGAACCCCTTATGCCGACCACTACAATGACATATAACCGCATCAGTCAACCTCTGATCCTGGCATTCGCTCATGAGGTCGAAATCGTTCAATGCTTCCCAAGCAGGGCCGCTAATCGCAAGACCTACACTGGGGATACGTACACCCGAGTGACGAAGGTCATCGTAGCGCACGACACGAGCAATGACGCGGAAAGAGGTAAGGCATATAGGCATAGGTTCCGCGTCATGGGTACTGTCGGAACTCGTATGTGACCCGTGCTTCGACTTCCTTGTCTGTGCTTGCTGTTCGGGATTCTTTGCTTTCGGATCATCATCCCATGGCATGTACCAAACGAGGAGGTAATGCCGATTCTCAGGTAATATCGTCGCTGAGGGAGCGCGTGTAGTTGCCGACGTTTCACTCCCGTCCGTCTCGGCATCCAACTGGTTGACCTCGCCAACCCAAAGAGGAAGGAGCATGTAGAGGCAGTCCTCTGGAATCTGCTCGAGGACGTCTAGGCTACGCTTTCGCTTAGGACGTTGATTTGGAGCTCGACTTGTGCGGTTGTGTATGAAGGAGACCGACATCTCTGAAGGAGTTGGTGAGGTCATTAATGACTCGGGCACTCTCCTCTTGTTGCTCGCGTCCGCCTGTGACTATCCATGGGGGCTGGTAGAGGCCAACAGAGGAAGACGGACCTTCAGGCCTTGGAGTACCGAGTAGCGCACGCCAGATACGTGTGGGGAACGAAGGTCCGGAGTCGCTATTCGGACGATTGGCCTTTGACATGTAGTGCGGGATATCGCTTGGATCGAGTGCTCCAAAAGCTTCTGCGTGGGGCGTGCGTGTGGGCATCCGCTCCTCCTCAGAATCCGCACTGTGTCCCTCGCGGTGATGAGAAGAAGGGACAATACTCGTCGCATTTTCTGTGGTCTGGACAGAATCAACAAGGGGAACCGGCGGCACAGGCAAGGGTGGATGACCCACTGCAGGACCAATTCTTGGTGACGGCTGGGTATGCGACGAGGAGACGACCGGTGCAGACGCAGCATGTTCACTCGTGCTCCCAGTACTACTTGTAGCCAAATCCTGGCTGCCTGTGCTAGTCTCTTGCTTGGGAATAGTACCACCGCTATTGCTGCTCTTTCCCTTGGTGGTCTTTTTCTCTTTGCCCTTGGTTGTCCCTGATTTGGCCTCACGCGCACGTCGCTTATGCGAGTCCCGGAACGATAAGCCTTGTGTACCCCTGCGACTGCCCCTCGAGCCGCGCAGCTCGTCATCCAGTAAACCATGTGTGGCGAGTCGTTGCGTCGTTTTCGTGCTCGTGAAGTGCTCCTGTACCTTCCTCGGCGCAAGTAAGACACCGTCTCGCATATTAAGACGTGTATGTTGCGGGCCATTCACGGCGTTCAGTGCAAACAAACGGAAGATCGAGAATCCTGTCACCCGCGAGTGCTTGTGCACCAGCGAAGTGGGACCCGCACTACTGGCCTTGGAGTGGGGGTCCTTGACATGGCGTATGTTCAGTCGGTGATGTACTGCCTCGGAACCATCAGGAGAACGCGCTACAATATGAGAAAGAAGGAAGAAGAAAAAACGCAGGTTTTAGACAGAGAAAAGGTGTAGGGAGGTGTGCAAAAGTTCAGATACTGACGCTTTAGGACCGATCTGTCCACCCTGAAGAATCCGGTATTGGGACACCACCAGTGTTCACGTTGTCCGACGGCCATCGTCTTCGTACACTTCCGCAGTTCCGTGTTTAACGGGGGTAGTGGAGGCAGTGGTGTGTTTGAGGACCGTCGACCTTGCCTCTCCCTCTTCTTTGGGAAGTCCACATCCCGACATTGATACAACCATTGGTTCTCCATGATGTCAAACCCTTTGTCGTTTATCCGAATGTGTCTGAAGAAGGGGTCTTCGTTACTATGGACAGTCTGTAGTGTTGCCGTGCTCGTCCGTCGAGCACCCACAGCGAATGGAGCGATAGCAGTGACTTTCGATGAGGACGCCTCGGAAGATTGCGCCCCAGATAACGGTCGTAAGAAAGAGTACTGTGCAGAGGAGCGGAATGAACGTATGCTGCCTTCAGAATGTTTGGGTTGTAGGATATACTGGATGTCCAGGCCGAAATTACTGTAGAAGTCCGCTGGGGGCTGCGACGTTGATGTAGACGACTGTGTCGCATGGGATTCAGCCTGCACCTGAGCCTGGATCTGAGCTTCCAGAGAGCGCCAGTCTGCACGAGAGTGCGGTTCCGACTTTGGAGAGATGGCGGACGGGTCCTGGGGAGCAGAAATATGAGAGCAGTACTCGTCGTCCAGGCTACGACTGGGTCTGCGAAGCGTAAGGATGCTACTCTCGCGGCTGCGACTAGCGCCTTCCTGGGGAGCTGAAGGAATGTCCATGGGGAGACTGCCCCTCCTGTCTTCGGTGATGGGGCGGGAGTACCAAGGCATAAGATCGGCGAGGTCGGCGTCTTCATCGATGTCAGCCAAGGGGTAATCTCTAGCGAATGTGACTGGAGAGCTGTCCCCGCCGAGATCACCAACTTCTAGCTCGTCGTCGCTGCTGAGAAGCTCTGACCGGAAGCTCGCGCAGGAGCTAGAGCGAGAGCTGGCGACAGATATAGAAGAAGAAGAAGAAGCAATCCCATGATGACGCACACCGTGCCCAAAGGTGTGCTGGGAAGCATCATCGGGAATGACTCTGCCGCGACGTGGGTGGGATGGACGGAACTCACGATCGGCGGCTGCGGCGGGACGTTCATGGCCTTCTCCGGTTATCCCAGCGACAGAATGGTCATGTCTGTCGGAGGATGTGTCCCTCGACATACTCCAAGGGGAGACGAGGTGAGGGGACGACGTAGAAGGGAGTGGAACTGGGCGTCCCGCACCCTGCGAAGGATGACTGCAGACGGTTTGGAGAGAGGGGGACACGAACTGGGCAGACAAAAGGGGACCAGATGTCTGATCGGAACCCGAGGGACGAACGACGGGTGTGAGCGGGCTGACGGCGTCGTGCCCGGCCACGTTGAGTGACGAACGAGCCTCTCCAAAGGTAAAACTTTCAAGATCAGAATAGATGCTGATGCCATCATTGTATGGATGGGCATTGGCACGGGACATGTTACTACTGTGTACAGAGTGGGAATCGGGAGAGGGAGGAGCAATACTAGTGGGAAGGGTGGTGCGAGAAGGACGTCCAAGATGTATGGGCAAGCCGACGGTGGTTGCCAGATATTCGGAACGTGGCTGCTGGTCACGAGGATCCGAACGTGCAGGAGAAGGGAAAGGATCTCTGGAATGAAATGAATGAGCGAGGGCAGTGCAGAGAAATGAAAGCGACGCACGGATCTACAGGACCACCACCGACCTGTTCGGACAGGATGCGGGGGTCGACGATGTGTGTTCCGACGATGTACCCTGGCATGTCTAGGGCTAAGTTCAGCAACGGTTTCCAGCGTGGGTGTGAGACCCGAGTCGGGCGCAGTAGACGGGGAAGGGTTGGTAAAGAAGCACTGCCGGAAAAACAAAAAGAGTACAAGAAGAGTTGGAACGTGATAATCTGTTCCGACGGGAAAGCGAAAGCTCTGGGAATGCTAGGATGCTGATGGACCGAGCTGTGTCACGAGCACACCGCACTGGGTGCTGCGACGACGTCGACGACACCCGTGTCGAGCCAGTCAGGACGGTCGTCTTCCCAACGTCCCCCCTCCCCCGACTGGTCTGCCGGTCATGTGCACCTTCACGTGATCCGCCCAGCACGGCCTGATGGCGTAGTTGGTTATCGCATCTGTCTAACACACAGAAGGTCTCCTGTTCGAGCCAGGGTCAGGTCATTTCTTTTTGTCCAGTCTGCCATGAACATCTATCTGTATCACCTGCCCACCACCGGGACCATATCCTTCGGCGACTTCTGCATCGATACCTCCCCAGAAAAGACCTATGCACAGCACATCGCAGAGGTTACTCAGGCCAGGGCCAACCTCCGAGCAGTTCTCAAGGAGAATAAACGAACCCACGACTCGGAAAAGGATTACCTTAGGCTCGTCAAGGTTTGCCCTGCGTCCCCGCCGTTCCCCACCTTTTAATCCGCGCCTTCCAGGTCCTCGATGACTACCTCCCCCAGTTGTATGGGATGATGACATCCGTCGCTTCAGGTACCGTCTCTCTCCGTTTCGAACCAGGTACGCCCCCACTGCTATATGTTACTCCCGAACAGAAACCCATGATCGCAGTCTTCAGTTGGCGTACGACGCTCTCCTCACAGCTCCTCAACACTTGCCCCCGCGTCCCCCTCCCATCTCTTCATGCAGATCTTGCATTCTCTCTCCTCACTTACGGCATGGCTCTCTCCAACTTTGCACGTCTCACCGTAAACGCCCTAGGAAACTACGAACACGAACCCGCCATCTCGGGCATCGAACGCAACGCAAAGGATGAGAAACTCAGTTTCGCCGTGTCGCTCTTTTGCCGTGCAAGCGGCGTCTTTGCGCACCTCAGCAAATCCGTACTTACCGATTGGAACAATGCAGGTGTATCAGGACCTCGGCCCCCGGACTTGGCCACCGAGGTGTGTGCTGCGCTGAGCAAGTATGTCCGTTCTTCATCTTGCTACCCGCACATCCCCTTTCTTCAGTTTTGTTCTCGCCCTTCCTTTCTCTCTCAGATAAACTCTGACAATGTCACGGGAACAACCCCGCCGAACAAAATAGGATGGCCCTAGCAGACGCCCAAGCACTCGCAGTCCGCAAGCTCCTTTCCCGCTCCGCATATGAGAGTGCACTCTCTCCTGGCCCCCCCCTTCCCAAATCCCACCCCTCCACTGCGCTACTCGCCAAGCTCCACCTTGAATGCGCATCCTTGTATATATCCGCTCGCTCACTTGCCCTGACACCAGGCAAGGTTCGTGCCACGCGGAATGCCGCAAGTGAAAATGGGATGGGCGCCAGCGGGGAAATCATCGGTGAACTGACAAGACATCTCACGGACGAAGCAGCTTTTCACTCGGCACTTGCACACAAGTGGCTTGGTGTCGACGCCGGTGAGAGTGGTGTTGCCACAAAAGGCGGGGAGGCGGTTGGGTTCCTGGCATGGGCGAAGCGCGAGTTGGAGGATCTGTGTGGAAGTATTAAAGGGCACCTTTTGCGTAAAGACAGAACGCTTGGAGAAGGAAGAAGAGGGAAAAAAGAAAGGACCACTCACGAACTGGAGAGTGTGGAGGTGTTTTTGTCGCATTACAAGAAAATGAATGATACGGTGAGTGTCGTGGTATTATGTACAGGCATACTGACGCAGTCCTGCTTGCAGATAACATTTCAACCTGTTCCTAAACAATCGGACCTTCAGACAAAGATTCCCGCAGGGCGGCTAGCTGTCTCGCCCAAACCTTACCAGGCCCCCGTTCCCGCGTTTGGATCCACAGCTTCAGATAAAGCGCGGTCCCTGGCTGACGCGATGAAGAATTCACTGAATCTGGACGTCCCGCGCCGGACTGCTAGCGATACCGACAGTGACAGTGACGATGAACCAGTCAAGGAGCTGCCTAGTAGGAAGACGTATGCAGGTGCTGGTTCATACTTTTAGACTTCAAGGTGTAATTACGCGGTCTGACTGCAGCACTCGCTGACCAGGCTTGTGGACCGTAACTTCAGTTGTAATTTTAGAAGCACACAGATACTCCAAAATTCTAGTTTGCGGATGCAGGTGCATAAAGCTATCCATTCTCTGGGTATGGAGGGAGGCCCCACTCTTCTGGTTTGAATTCCTCTATGGACTTGAGTGTTTGGTCGGGTATGTGTGTGCCCGAATATTCGACATTAAGCAGGTTCACATCAGGGACCCAGATGGCTTTGACGATTCATTTCAGATCATCCACTTCATGAGAACGTAAGATCAGGACACTCACTAGACATACCCGCCCTCTTGCCAGCCTGGACACCAGGTATTGCATCCTCGAATACCAATCCTTTCTCTCTCTCTCTCCTCTCCTCTTCTGTTACGCTGTCACCCTCACCTTCACCGACTCCTCTCCCAAGTTTTTGACTCGCTGCATATAAGAAAATATATGGGTCTGGCTTGCCCGTTGTCTTCCCCCGTACGTCATCCGCACACACTATTCTACCATCAAACAAGCCAAATATATCCTGGAGATGAGCTGTTTTCAACAAAACATTGCGCCGTTGTGAAGATGTCGCCACTGCAATGGGAATATTGTGTGCGTGGAGGTGGGATATGAGTTTGCGCACGCCTGGGAGAGGTTGAACTGTTGGCCAATGAGTATCTTGGAGAACGGTACGTTGGGAGAGGTAAGTGTCAATCGTGAGTGGGATGTCAGGAAAGAATGAAAGAAGGTAGGCGGCTGCGTCGCGTTCGACTGTGCAAGGCGTGTCAATTGTTGGGTAGTTTAATGGGAAAAGGATGGGATACACACGCCTGCCCATAAGTCCAGCCTTGATATCCCATGTCATCTTGGCGCCGTACGGCGCAAGGATCTCATCTGACGATTAAAATCGAACAATTAGATGCCAACCGTACAGGAAGCGCCAAAGATATGTATGATCAGGTAGTCAGGACGCTTACTCGTAACTTTGGTATACACAGACTCGGTATTGATCAGGAGTCCTGCCGATTGAAGTTCAACTTGTCAGGGGACAAAAGTTTAGATCGCCGGACCAGCGTACCGTCCATATCGAATATGACATATTCTACTCTCGCCGGGCGTGCCATCGTCTCTGTGCTGGAAGTAGAGAACCCGAGGAGTGAACCGATCAGAGATTAAAATTACATCGCTGGTCGATTAAGAATAACCGACTAAGTAGCCTAATTTGAAAGACTTCCGACCATGAGAGGTCTTGGTAGAAACCTTCGAACAGCTTTGCAGTCGGGATAAAACGTAGCGCTACAAAGCATTCATGCTCATGCATCACCACCTGGCAAGTCCAATCTCAGTTCAGTGTATTGTACGTACATCCTATCAGACTGACGAGGATTGCAACATATGATGATCCGGTGATCGGCGACGAGCCCCGGAGCGCATGCCCTTACTCTTGAAGTGCAAATGAGGTCAGACTCCATCGGAGGAAAAAACCAGATTTCAGTCAGGGAAGTCCGGTACATAGGAGAGCTCACTATGGTGGCAGTATCAACTTGTCTGCACGAGTACTGATGAAAAAAAAGGAGTTCTGCGCGTGGTCCTTATGTCCGTGCGTGCGGTCGGGTATAACCGTAAACAAGGTGACTGTCGTCGGAGACGGCAAGTACTGATGTCTTCCACTTCTTTATGCTTCAATTCTGGCCATTCCGTTGGATAGTAATCGCGTTGACCGACAGGACGCAGGCTGTTGCAGGCAGCGTATTTGGTTATCTGGCCACCAAGCCGAGGGTACACGTATGCGTTTGCGCAGCAAGCTCGGAATTAGGTGCTATCTTGACAATTTCTGGTTTCTGGCAGGACTAGAGAGACTACCCATCGAATTCGATCCGCGGTTGACAAAACTTGCGAGTCAAAAAAAACATGTAATCCAGCCTGCATCATCCAATCCGCAGTTCCAGCGCATAGTGCAGTGGCATTTAACTTCCCCTTTCATTTGTTGTCCACAAGACCATGGACCCAGCTGCCTTACTCAGCCGTACATGATAGCTCGATATCGCGGCAGTCATCGCTGCCATATGGACACTTCGTGGTACTCTGACAGCTGTGCGGAGGTCCTTCCAAGATTACCAAGCTTCGTGGACCACCCAGAACCGACCTGATATATGGTGCATCTAGGCAGATCTTCGGATTACTAGATACTGGTGCCATATATGGGGCATGGGCCAAGGAGTCGGCGTAGTTTTCGAGGCCCCAGCTGCCCTAGGCGGAATGAAGATCATGTTAACCGACCCAAGAGTGCTTGCACACTACTATGCCAGGGAAACGCGGACTTACGTACAAACTGAACCGACTAAAATTTTCCTTCAGCGCAACGTATGTACGAAAATCGGTTTCTAACGGCCCCTTTTCACAGAGTACTGTGCAGTTCGGACGAGGGATACCGCGGTCGCAAGGCGAACACAAAAGGTAGGAATCGTTTATTGATATTTTTCATCTTCAGGCAACCCAAGTCGTTGACGCTTGCATTTGGCCAAGGTGCAACAACGCACCTCACCCCTATCTTTTACAATTTCGCTCTCAAAGTACGTTTATTCGCCTTCACAATATCCGAGACCAAGACAGAAATTTCAGGCGAAATCTGCGTGGGATTCCATGATTGACACCAGCGGTGGCGACAGCGCTGTCATCGAGGATGCTGAATTTGTCCACATTACGATTACACAAAGCTGAGGAATTTTTGATCCGAGGATAAACCATATTTCGTGAGCCAACTTTGTTTATAGTCACCCAATCCAATCCAACCGACCACTCTAGACTTGATACCATCGGGTTTGCAGGGTTCTCTGATGATTTCAACTCTCTTGACGGCAAACCTGCCTCAATAATTAAGATTTTCGATGCACTCGGATCGTCCCCAAACGATCAGTTGTAAATGTTGGCTTCGTCCTTCTGTCACAAGTGATCCCTTTGTTGGCTTTCATACCGACATCGAGGACTAAACTGCTTCTCGAGATGCAAAGGACTATGAAAGATATCTCGAAGGAATTACTGGCAAGAACAAGGAAGGAGAAGGAGGAAGGAGCACTTAACGGGGGAGAGGACGAGTCAACCATTGATGTTGGGTACCTTTCGTGATTGCTACGTGAGATTGCTCTCACAAGTGGTGTGCGCAGAATAAAAGCCAACGAATCGGACTCTTCCATTCGTTTGACTCTTGAAGAAGTGCTGGCGCAAGTGAATAGACAAAACTCTTGCTACTGGGCATGCAACCTAATTTCTTTACTTGCAGATAAAGGTCCTCCTTGTCGCTGGGTATGAAACGACGTCTAGTAAGCAATTGTTCAGCCTGTTGTGCCTCATTCCGGACTAATCGATTTTTGCAGTCTCAGTCACGTGAGCGTTGCTTGAACTGGTGGGGAACCCCGACATACAACTACGCCAGGAACTCTTGGCATTTGGTGAGGAGCCGCCATATGACCAGCAACAAAATGGGTCACCCTACCTTTGATGCTGTGGCGTACGAAACCTTGAGAGCGCATCCACCCGTGATAGATTTTGTTCGTGTGGTGCGTCATCAACTAACAAGTGAATTCGTATTCCTCCCTCAATCTGGGACCACCTTCCCAGGTGGCGGAGGACGACGTTATCACGCTCTCGGAACCAGTCGTTACCCAGTCTGGCGAAGTCGTCAAAAGCATCACCATAGCACGTGGCACGCAAATCAGTATACCTATTTCCTGTATCAACAGATCTACCAAAATATGGGGGGTGCAGATGCGAAGGTTCTGCGTCCAGACCATTGGGCGGAGGAAGATGGGATTCCAAGGAAGGCACAGGATGGTCAAGCGTACCGACATTTGTTGACGGCCCGCGGACTTACATTGGCTGAGTTCAAGGTGTGCTTTCTTCGCTGCTGAGACTATCAACGATCACTAATTAGTCTCACTCGAGGGGGTTATGTCAGTGCTGGTGAAGAACTTCGTGTTTGAGATGAGAGACGGGCCTGATACGCAAGTGGAGCTTGGCAGGGAATTGTTGCCTATGCCCAGGATAGTAGCTATCCGCTTCCTTTCTGAAATCTGTCAACCGTACACACGATTTTGCTTGGCCCGGCCTCACCGATAGTGACTGATCAGGGACTGAGCTGTACATACACTGCTATTCGGTGGCTGCTTACGAGAAATCAATTATTAGCTTAGATGCATACAGCTGCGAGTAGACATTTCGCGTCTTCAGTTTGAGCTTCAATGGAGGTACACACTAGCCATGACTATCAGATTTTTCTGGCTTTCTCACCCTTGAAAGATCGGTGTGTAGTTGCCTATCAGCATTTGATTAACTTAAGCTTAAGATGAGATTCGATACTTCTAATGATCACACTATAACGTCCTCTTTCCCCTCGTCCTCACCATTCCATCCAACCTTCAACCCCTCAGCCTCCAGTTCGCTGCGTAGGACCCCTCCTTCATGCATGCGTAGGAGGTCGTCCGACCCTCCAAGCGAGTGGCCATGTAAGATAATATTAGGGAAGGTAGCGTGACGGGTAAGGCGCGTGAGGATTCCTTTGATGTGAGGAGCATCGGCTATGGGGAGAACATCAGTGATTTGCGCGAACAGCGATGTAGGGAGTGACACGTACATCGCAGATCGACTTCTATGATTTTAGGTCGTGGAGTGATATCATAGCGCTCTAATAACTTCTTTGCCCGGGCCGAATACCTGTGCGCGTGAGTCGAACGCGTATCGACGCAGGCAGTGTTCCACAACCAGCAAAGAAGGAAAGGGGAAAGAACTCACGGGCAGTAGGTCTGCGTTGACTTCAGTTAGTACACCGTCGTGACAACGACCCCCCTCGAATACAAACAAAAAGTACCTTCGAGAATACAATTAGCGGGTACTCCTCCTGCAACACCCGCATCCTCTCTGCCCACCCGGCTCTATTCCGTTTCGATCCCTTACTCCATGAGTTCACGAACCCCCTCCCGTTATTACCACGACTACGATCCTTGTCCTGTCTCTGCGACATGATGGACCCCAGCGCATACCATGTCATGTCAACTGGTTTCTCGGGGTTTACTGGACCATTCAGAGCGTGTCCCATTTCCGTGCCTACGTTTGCAAACGCTTCTCTGCCCTCGTCACCCTGCACAACAATAGTTCGTCCCTGTTCCGTAGGCGCAGTGACGAACCATAACAACCCGAACACCTCGTCTGGGATGGTGACATCGTCAGGTACGCTTGTAGAGGGGTAAATGGAGCTGGATGAGAAGATACGGGCAAGAGTGTAGAAACCAACGAATGTGCTAGTCAAGAGACCGAGCAACAGAGTGCATCGGCCACGACGGAGTCCCATTGCAATCGGTCTGCCGCTGTTGTGTGACCTTGGGAGTTGCTGTTGGCGCGAGGAAGTGGAATAGCCGACAAATATAGTCGAATCCGATCCCGAGTGACCTTGAGTGTTCTATTCGGGGGATTGAATAGGAGATTGAGGGCTGTCTGGTTCAGACCTCCCACACGTGTGCCAGAATATACAATCAAGGAACATATACACTAATGGCTACAATACAGGGAATCGAAAGTCCATGATCATGTAGAAGGTATCGGAGCGAAGAAAAAGGACACAGTAATGCCGTCGTAGATCATGATTAGTTGCAAACACCATCATCGATAAGCAAGCCGCAACGCCTGCATACCACTCTACGATCTAGAAGGCAGAGGCCGACACCAAGTGGAAACCATAGCACCGCCGCCAAGAGACCGAGGATGCCAAACCTAGTCTGCGTGTCGTGGCTACCCTGCTGTAGACAGACCATTTCAGGATGGTCGGGAGGAAGTAGAGATGCCAAATGATCGCCAGTGTCCGGGTTGTGGTAGTGATAGACTGTGGCTGGTTGCATCGTAGGCGCCGGCCGACCGTGAACACTCATGACAGGAGGTGCTGTCAGTGGAGACTGGTGGGTCTGCTGGGCCACATGTTTAGCCTCAGCCTTGTCAGGCAGCGGTGCGTCTTAACCAGAGTCAGCAGAAACCAAGGAAATACAGACCAGATGAGCACGAACCAGAACCACTGTTTGTCTGGGCTGCGACAAATTCGTAGGCTGGAGGATTATCTGAATAGGTGATCTTTTATAAAATACAAGTAAGCTTGAGAAATGCAAGGCCATGCAAAGGCGACACGTACCATGTTTGCGTTAGGATAAACCAGGACGAGCGGTCTGAAGCCTTAAGCTTTAAGAATGGCAGCTGCGCACTGCGGGTGCCCTTGACTCGCTAAGGATCACGTGGTAACGCCCTGTTTGTCTTTGTTGTCGTCCATCTTGAACTCTTGCTGACTTGCCTTTTTTGGATGCTACTGATTACAGAAAACGCAAAAAAAGTTCTCAGTCTACCCTCAGCTCTGTTCTAATCCCCTCAAAACCGCAATAAGATGGAAAACTCGATACCTTCCACCACAGATAGAAATGCGTCATCGGAATCAATGACTTCTAGAGACTAGTTCGCACAGATCCACACTTGTGCTCCAGCAACGATCTGATCGCGATTTTTTCTTCTCTCCTTCCAGCTATGCAGACTCTTATGCACACTTTGGTACTTCTACAGTCATCTTATAAGCATGCGTGCATTTAGCTTAGCCAGATTTTTGATCATCTCCAGGTATTCACGAGGAGATGTTGAAAGACACTGTTCGGACAGGCTCGTATCGAGCTGCGATCGTAAATAACGGTCACCTGTTCAAAGGAAAGACCGTACTGGACGTTGGTTGTGGTACGGGAATCCTCAGCATGTTTGCCGCAAAGGCCGGTGCTTCTCACGTCGTCGGAGTAAGTACTCCTGTTGCACTGTTGCGAGGCCGGCTGTCAACTCTAAACACGAAGGTGGACATGTCAAACATCATCGATCAAGCACAAAAAATAATAGAGGCCAATGGCTTCAGAGATAGTTTGTGACTTCTTTTTTTAACCGTGTCGTGCGCTACTGATCCGGTGATCGACAAGCTATTACCCTGGTCAAGGGGAAGCTGGAAGATGTCGAGCTACCAATAAAACAGTTCGACATTATCATATCCGAGTGGATGGGTTATTTTTTGTTGTACGAGTCGATGTTGGACACGGTCCTCGATGCAAGAGACAAGTATCTCAAGCCTGGTGGGCTCATATTCCCCGACAATGCAAGACTATTCCTAGCCGCGATTGAAGATCAAGACTACAAAGAAGAAAAAATAAATTGTAGGTGTTTTTGGTCACAGAGACTAAATAACTAAGCGTGATCTAGTCTGGGACAATGTTTACGGCTTTGACTTTTCATGCATAAAAGACATAGCCGTACGGGAACCTCTGGTCGATACTGTTGAGCTCAAAGCAGTAGTTACTGACCCGTTCATGATCAAGGTTTGTAAGATCTTACCTCGGAGTCACGAAGAGTTGATCTCCGTTAGCATATCAACCTCCTTACAGTCAAGAAAGAAGATTTGACTTTCGCAGCTCCGTTCACTCTTACTGCAACTCGAAATGACTGTTAGTGTTAACTGCTTTTAAATAATAACTTCTGATCTCTCCCAGACATTCATGCGTTCCTTGCATGGTTCGATATATCCTTCGACTGTACCCACAGAAAAGTCCAATTTTCTACGGGTCCCCATGCTCAATACACCCATTGGAAGTAAGTGGACGGTTTTGCAGAACAGGAGCAATCACTTACTGTTGATCCTCACAGGCAAACTGTATTCTATACACCATCAACCGTCACTATCAACGAAGGCCAGAAATTGCATGGCAAGCTCTCCTGCGCACCCAATGCACGCAACAACCGTGACCTCGACATTTCGATCACGTTCAAGTTAGAAGGACAGGACGAAACAAAAGCAGACTACAAGATGTGCGTGATTTTTCCAGAAAAAAAAGTTACCACAACTGTGGTATCTAACGATGTAAAATGGGGACGCTGACCGGTTGTCAGGTCGTGATCGACCTCTTCCTCTCTCCTATTGACGTTACACTTGCACATCTACCTCACATGGTACCGTCAACGCTCAACACGTTTCGTATACCCTCCTTCCCACCTCATGCGCGATATACAGGTACTGAGTCAGGTGTGCTGCACCTGCCGGTTTGATATATATCCCACAGTGGCTGTTGAGGGAGTGTGCATATGGCATTGGGGGTTTCCTTATATTGACTGTAATGACGTGAGGTAAACGACAATGATTGGGATTGTAAGTGAAGGCACATTCAGTAGTGTCTTTTCAATTCTTTGTCACCATTTCGATCCATTGCTCGAGGTCACTGTTAAAGCGTAACGGGTCCTCCAGGTGAATCCAATGACCCGTGTCGTACCGTCTTTCAGTCAATAGTTCCACCGGAGTGTACTGCTGCATGCTGGAAGTCACGTAACTCTCGATGGCGACGTAGTCGAACTTGGCGAGAGCCATTAATGTGGGCCGTCTTATGAATAAATCCTCCGTCTCTATCCTTGGGATTTATATACGAGAAAAATGTGAATCCGAAGTCCTCACCGTCAATGATATCGTCGTTAACGCCTTGGACCATGGAGTTGTACCAGTTCAAAGGACCTGTCATTCCCCCTTGAACCAGTAAATTCTTGAGTTGCTCTCGGGGCTGAGACGATGCGATGAGCTTCCTTCAACGAAGTCGTTCGTTTGCTCACAATCTCAGGGAGATAAGTCGCACTTGCAAGGCGCCTCCCTTCCACTACAAAAGACTCCAGATTTCCTGGTATGTTCACAAGCGTCGTCCATATTTCTGGATCGGCAGGATAGAGAACATCAAGCAGGGACTCTACCTTCATTGACCGCTGAGTCCCGTTCAACTTCAGCCAAATCAGTGAAACCTACGTTTTTCTCTATCTCGGACGCTGCATTGTCTTTTGTGAGAAAGGTCCAGTATCCCATCACAGGCCGGCCATATACTTTTTCTTGCTCCTTTAGAGCCAATTCCAGGGGCGGGAATTTGGATGGGACCCCGTAAGGCACCGCGATAAACACGAAACCTAAGAACCGCTCGGAGTGCCTGATTGAGAGGATAGAGGCTATTGGACTGCCCCTTTAATGAGGAAAACCCTGTCAGCGACGCGTGCGAAACGGTACGCTCTACGTTACCAATCGTGGGCGATCGCATATGCACTTTCCACACCCTCAGCGTTGAGAATATCCACTATATCCTGCGCAATAGTTGTATGGGCAAAAGCAGCTGGATCGGTGGGTTTTTCTGTCCCTCCGTACCCTAGCATGTCAGGAACAACCAATCCGTAGCCTTTGGTACGGAAGTGATCGATCTGGTGGTACCACCCGTGCGAGGTGTCAGGGAACCCATGCATGAACAATAGGGTAGGTCTCCCCGCCTGTGCCCTGACCGATAGATAGTTGTATGTAAGTTCCCGGGTGGTCTTCAGCTTCTTGTATGATGAGGCTGGGTTCTCCATCATGTACATAGTATGATGCAATGATGACACCCGGAAGCAAACAGGGACTGATTACATAACCTTCCTATATATGGAAAGTGTTATTGTTGCAGAAACAATGACCAGGACGGGACGAGGAGAGAACAATGAAAGGTGTCCTCCTCAAAAGCCGACAATGGATTCTTCATTTGTTTACTCTTTCCCGGGTCTCTACCCGCCAGTTTTCGATTTGTCGTGCTCACCGTCGACGGCAGCCAGCACCCTTCAATTTCTCCATCGTCGCAGGCCGACCCTTCGTTTCGAATGTCCTTCTCATCCCGTCCTCTAAGAGGAGTATCACCTCCACCTGTTTACGACGCGCACTCGACTGTACCAACATCTACAACATCGCTTAAGCCGTACCTTCAGTTGCCACACATCCTTTCCCTCACATGGCTAGCATATCCAATCCTTTCCTTGATATTCATCATCTTTAGACTTCAGCTCTCGTCGGCGGAGTCCCAGACCGCCGTTGCCAATGCCAAAGATGATCTGTTATCTGCCTGCAACGCCGCTGAGGAGGCAGCTACCTCGGCGGCGAGCATGCCACGGTACTTGGCCATTGCTGCCAATCAACAGTTCGCCGATGCCGTGAACGGTACAATGAATGGTGCCCGAGCAGCTTTGATACTTGCTTTGACCTGTATGGAAGCCATCATCAACTTTCTCATCGACATATATCGTTCGACCTTTCTCTGTTTCCTCGAGCTGATCGTCGTGGGTGGCCTCAATTTGCTCATTAGCGCCGTTCAAGAGGTTAGGTCGTTCTCGCTCTGTCAATATAGTGTTTATTCACAGTTTCGCTAGATCACCTCGTTCCTTCAGACAACGCTGAACAGCATTGTCACGAGCCTCAAGAATGATGCTTCTTCCATCAACTCCGCCATTGAGAGCGCCGTGAGCGCCGTAAATAACGTCAACCCTTTCGGAACCATTCAAGCTCCTCAATTCAACCTCTCCAGCTTTGACGCTTTGGGCAACATTACTATACCGACGGATTTCGAGAATGCCCTGGTTCAATTGAATAATTCGCTGCCGACTGTTTCTTCAATTAAGAATTCGATTCAAGATCTGTAAGTTTTCTCGAATTCAGCCTCCGCGTAACCCTCACGTATTTATTCCTAGAGTGGACACTCCTTTCGAAGCCGTGAAGGCCGACATCAACAACACGTTCTTCGGCCTTACATTCGATGCGTCTGTTCTGCCTGTACCAGCACAGAATACTGTTTCGTTCTGCAGTAACCTCGACACATCTTCTATCGACAATCTCGGCAATGACCTTCTTCGGATAACCAAGATCATCACAATTGTCCTAATTGCGGTCCTTTTCTTGTTACTTGCGGGTCACTGTGCATTTGAGTGGTACAAGTGGCGCTGCCTCCAGCGACATTTACGGTACACTCGCGAGGCATGGCTCTCGGACCCCACCGTGTATCATTCGAACCCCTCACAAGCAATTCCAACGGTGACACTTAGCGACCACAACCTCCTCATGCTCCAAGTAGACGCTCAACACCCGTTGCTTACGCGCATTGCCAATTCACTGTCTGCTCGCTTCAGGTTCACCCCCTCGCAACACATCCATATCCGGTGGTTTTTACACTATATTTTCCACCCACCTGCGCTTGCTTGCTTCCTTATCGGCTTCTTTGGGTTATTGTCGGTTCAGATACAGCTAATTGCAATTGCCCCACTGGAAGCGAAGTATTCCGCCGAAGCCGCTGCGAGTGTACAAGACCTATCGAACTCCATTGCTACGCAAATCAACGGTAGCATGTACAATCAGTCTGCGTCATATGCCAACCAGCTAAACTCTAAGGTCGACACAGTGCAGTCGTCAATCAACAACGGCCTCTTTGGTTGGGTAAACGGAACAACCACTACACTGAACACCACACTGAATAACTTTTACACGGACGTGCAAAACCTAGTGACCTCTGTGTTTAACGGTACAGTCCTTGAGACGCCAGCCCAGGACTTTGTTATGTGTTTAATCGGGTCCAAGGTCTCCGCGCTCGAGGAGGCACTGACATTCCTCAATGAGAACCTCAACGTGGATTTACCCCGTGTCAACGACAGTGTACTCGTCCTCTCTCCAAAGGACGTGGACGAGATTACCCAGCCAATTGCGACTGCCGCAATCGGTGGAGGTCAGAACAACTCGTCCGGTCTCATTGGCCGCCTGGTAGCAACTTATGTTGACTCCCTCAAGCAAGAACGTATCATGTTCGCCATCTTTCTGGGCCTTTGGGGTGTTGCGGTCGTGATGGGTCTTTGTATTATCTTTTGGCATTCGTACACCAAAAACTGGGTGGAGCTGTACAAGAAGCGGAAGTGGCGAAAGGAACAACGTGATGCCCTGGAAGGTTTCCCTGGCCCATTCCGCGACGACATGCCAGGTCGCGATATTAAAGACACCGAAAAGGCCCCCACACCCTTACGCTCCTTCACGCCACTTTCTGAGCCTCGTTCTGCGTTCAGCCTTAACCCGTTCCGTCGCTCCACACAACCACAATCTAATCACCCCCTTAAAGCTCTGGAGCCCAAGTTCGAGAAGAGCTGGGATAGCTTCTTTCACGAGAATGTAGAACAGCAGCAGAAGTCGGAGCCTTCGGGCCTGCTTTGCACCGTCAGTAGGTCTGTTAGATTGCTGAACGTGGGGAAGAACGGCAGCAAGGGAGAAGGGGAGGAAGTCGCTTCGGATGCTACCAAAGTGAACTGGTTCAAGTCCGTTTTCACGAAGAAAGTGCAACCCTCTACATCCGTCACACTCGCCGACGAGCCCGCCTCGCGTCACCGGCCCAGACTGACGATCTCTACGGAACGTGCTGCATCGCTGAGGGAGAATTTGCCAAAAATTGAAGTGTCGCCCAGCGAGGACGAGCCTGTACTGAGATGGACCGTATCACGCACTCCACCAGCCCTTCCATGGATGAAAGACATCTCCGCAAGGAAGTCACCTCCTGTGGCCTTGCCTGCCCCGGAACGTTCTCGGAAGGACCCAAATGTCCCGATAGATGTTGGTTCTACACCTCCTGACTACGATCCTACTCCCTTGGCAATGCCACTGCACAACGGATTCCAACAACATCCCCATCCAACCTCGCAGCCACCATTGCCTATTCACCTTGCACTGTATCCTAAGTATGTTGCTCCCCACAGTCTACTTGCTCCTCCCAAGCCACAGTACGGACGTAGAGAAGTTTCATCTACCACCTCCGCTGCACGCCCATCACCCGACGTGCCGCCTTCACTGGTCTTGTCGAAGCCGGTCTCACGGGCACCTAACTCTGCCAATGATAACGCCACGAACCCTTTTGCTACGCCATTTGATGACGATGTTGGTGACCTGAAGAAAGAGAGGAGAGTAACAAACCCTTTCGCAGGTGTGGCCTTGTAACATGAGGATCGTGTGTACTAGTTTCCAGTTGTCTTCACGCGTTTAATTACACACAATGTATATCTAGAGCATGAGTGCTACGTATTTACCCGAGAACTAATAGGCACTGCCGGTAGTCGGCTATAACCCTAGTAACATGACTTTGCAATGGATCATCACTTCGGAAAAAGTCGGCCGATTTGGATTTACTGATAAGATAAGCAAATTTAGTAGCCAGCACTTCATTCCCTCCCGACTGGACTAGTGTGTGCTAGGGACTGGAAAGTCCGGAGTTAGAAGGTATGTTGCACCAGCACACCAACGAATTCACTCATGTAAGCCAGGGCATAGAAATGCTTGTTCTCCCAGGTTCCTCCGCAATGACCCAAACAAAGTGCCAAACGCTTTTGCGGGACATACAACGTATACGAGACGATATCGATTCCATAGACGCATTACACATCCATCTAGTCAAGTGCCTTCACCAGGTCGCCGAGGAGGAACTCAGAATTGCTACTTCGCCTAGCAAGCGGACCCTTGATCTCCTGCTGGATTATGGAGACCATACACATCTTCCTGGTACTTTGGAAACCGTGGATAAGGGAGAGAATGTTCTCTACGTCCTGCCACGAGCGGGGTCTATATCACCTTGGAGCAGCAAAGCCACGGACATCGCCACCATTTGCAACCTTGGAAAGTATGTCGAGAGGATTGAGAGGGGGGTCGCGTATGTCGTTCGAATGAAAGATGGATCGGAATTCGACTCCACTCTCGTGTCAAGTATTTCGCATCTACTTCATGATCGGATGACCCAGGTAGTCCAACTCACTTTGCCTCGGGAAGACACGATCTTCAGGCATCATCCCCCAAGCCCGCTGCGTACCGTCGAGCTCATCAGCAATGTAGCCGAGGTTGACTGCAATACCGCAAAACAGCACCTCGCTGATGCTAATCAATCTCTTGGCCTTGCCCTGGCTCCGGACGAAATTGATTATCTTATAAACGCTTACGTCTCGGGACCTTCTCCGATCGGTAGAAACCCCACCGATGCTGAGCTCTTTATGTTCGCTCAGGTGAACTCAGAGCACTGCAGACACAAGATCTTTAACGCTTCTTGGACAATAGATGGCGTTGTTTGCAACAACTCGCTTTTCCACATGATACGGAACACAGAAGAAATATCGCCTACAGGTACTATATCTGCCTACTCCGATAACGCTGCTGTATTCGAGGGCTCGACTGTGCCAAGGTTCGGTGTCCTGAGTAACCCAGGAAACGCTGAGCAATCGTACTGCTCCGTGATAGAGAGAAATCCGATCCTGATAAAGGTCGAGACGCACAACCATCCTACGGCAGTATCGCCCTATCCAGGTGCAGCCACCGGTTCGGGAGGTGAAATTCGCGACGAGGGTGCAGTTGGCCGCGGGTCCAAACCCAAGGCTGGATTAGCCGGCTTCACAGTTTCTAATTTGCTCATCCCGGGTTACGAGCAGCCCTGGGAAACAGACTATGGCCGTCCATCGCATATCGCGTCCGCTCTGGAGATCATGCTCGACGGTCCCCTCGGTGCCAGTGCATTCAATAACGAGTTCGGTCGTCCAGCACTTGCAGGTTACTTCCGTACCTTTGCAGAGTCTATCCCAGCATCAGATGACGGTTCGAAAAGTGAGGTTCGCGGGTATCACAAACCCATTATGATTGCAGGTGGCTATGGGAACGTACGACCCCAGTTTGCCAAGAAGTCCCAAATTACACCAGGAGCAAAAGTCATCGTTCTGGGTGGTCCTGGCATGCTGATCGGCCTGGGAGGTGGAGCTGCGTCAAGTCAAATTTCAGGCGCAGGCTCTGCCGAACTTGATTTCGCATCGGTGCAACGTGACAATGCAGAAATGCAACGCCGGTGTCAACAAGTTATTGACGCATGCGCTAATCTTGAAGAAGGGAACCCAATCCAAAGTATTCATGACGTGGGGGCAGGTGGCTTGTCCAATGCTCTGCCAGAGCTGGTGCATGACTCTGGGCTTGGGGCGACGTTCGAGATTCGAGACATCCTGGTTGCGGATTCCTCCATGTCGCCTATGGAAATCTGGTGTAATGAAAGCCAGGAGCGTTATGTGCTCGCTGTCTCCGCGGAAAAGGCTGATGAATTTGGGGAAATCGCGAAGCGGGAAAGGTGTCCATTCTCGGTGGTCGGTCAGGCCACCGAAGCGCAGGCACTGGTCGTTACCGATCGACTTCTTGGTAAAGATGTCATTCGCTTGAACATGTCCACGCTTTTTGGAAAACCCCCTCGCATGACTCGGGAGGACAAAACCCGTAGAGTCTTGTTCAGAACTTTCGACGCTTCCTTGAAGGCATACCTTCCCAATGTCCCAAATCCCCTGGATATCGCAGTCGACCGTGTTCTTCGTCTACCCTCTGTTGGATCCAAGTCATTCTTGATCACTATTGGAGACAGGACGATCACGGGACTCGTGACTCGTGATCAGATGGTGGGACCCTGGCAAGTTCCCGTAGCCGATGTCGCAGTGACACGTTCATCGTACGGATTTGACATCGTAGCTGGTGAAGCCATGGCCATGGGCGAACGGACTCCTGTTGCTTTACTCGACCCGTCTGCCTCTGCGCGGATGGCTATTGGCGAATCGCTCACCAATCTTGCAGCGGCGTCTGTTGCAGACCTTTCCCTTGTTAAACTTAGTGCGAACTGGATGTGCGCGGCTTCCAAAACAGGGGAGGGTGCTGCCCTATATGCTGCTGTTAGCTCTGTCGGTATGGACTTATGTCCTGCTCTTGGAATTGGGATACCGGTTGGAAAGGACTCTATGTCGATGTCAATGAGATGGGAGGAGGGTTCTGAGCAGCGTGGAATCAGTGCACCACTGTCTCTGATCGTCACAGCGTTTGCTCCTGTTGATGATGTTCAGGTGACATGGACGCCGGAGCTCCGCACCGATCTCGCGGAGCCTACGAGGCTGATATTCTTTGACTTAGTCCGGGGGAAGACGCGTTTGGGCGGATCAGCATTGGCTCAGGTCTTCAAGGAGATCGGTTTCGAGGCTCCCAACCTCGACGACCCTCTTCTTCTGAAGTCATTCTTCTTGGGATGTCAACAAGCAAGGAAAGAAGGTCTAGTGCTCGCCTACCACGATCGGTCTGATGGTGGTCTCTTTACCACTCTTGTGGAGATGTGCTTCGCAGGTCGCGTTGGAGCGGAAATTTCATTGGAAAGTCTCCAACCTGGCGATCCTATTTCCATTCTCTTCAATGAGGAGCTCGGTGCCGTAGTCCAAATTGGCGAGTCAGCAGTGGACCGCCTGAAGGCGATCTTTGCGGGTGCATCTTTTGACACAAGTCTAATGCACGTTATTGGTCGGGTCTGCAGAGATCCTGGTGATCAGGCCATTACTATAACGTGCAATTCCAAAACGCTTTTCTCCCGTAGAAGAGCAGAACTTCAAGCAGCGTGGGCAGAAGACTTCCTACAGGATGCAGAGCCTCCGCGATAACCCCACCGCTGCACGGGAAGAATTTGACCTGATCAGAGATGAGAGCTATAAGGGGCTGTACTACGACCTCACTTTCTCTTACATCCCATCACCGTCGCGCAACCTGATCGATCGCCCCAAGGTTGCTATCCTTCGGGAACAGGGTGTAAATGGACACGTTGAAATGGCCTGGGCGTTCTCCGCAGCTGGTTTCGAAGCCGTCGACGTACACATGTCTGACATCCTTAGCGGGCGAACGACTTTGGCGGAGTTCCGTGGTCTTGCGGCGTGCGGAGGCTTTTCTTATGGGGATGTCCTTGGGGCTGGAAAAGGGTGGGCAAATTCCGTCCGGCTAAACGGTACGGCCCAGGAAGAGTTTTCTCGATTTTTCAAGGGTGAAAGCACATTTGTGCTTGGGGTGTGCAACGGCTGCCAGTTCCTCAGTAATCTCAAGGAAATGATACCTGGAGCGCAGGACTGGCCTACATTCAAACAAAACGCTAGCGAGAGGTTCGAAGCGAGAGTCGCCACTGTCGAGGTGACCGATAGCGCTGCTTCGCGGCGCTCTGTGTTCCTGCGTGACATGATTGGATCGAGACTCCCAGTAGCCGTTGCTCATGGCGAAGGGCGGGCTTCCTTCAACGACATCGGCCAACAACAGACCGTGCAAATGAATGGCCTTGCCGCTGTTCGCTACGTTGACTCTGCCGGGTTAGCAACGGAACGATATCCTCTTAATCCAAACGGAAGTCCTGCTGGCATAACCGGGATACAGACTCCAGATGGTAGAGTTCTCGCACTCATGCCCCATCCGGAGCGCTGTCGTGACCCTGGAGAATAATAGTTGGTTCCCTCCGTCCCTCACTACATCCTGGCAAGGCGCTGGCCCTTGGTTCAGGATGTTCCAAAGCGCGCGGGCCTGGGTAGGCTGATGGTATGTCACTAGACCAAGTGTATATACGTGCTCTGAACACCATCATTCTACTAGACTCGCATCACGTCTCGCTCTGAAGCCCACATCCTCTGATGGTGACCAATGGTTCTTTGGATGTTATAGATTGTATAGAGCGTAGATTGTCTGTAGTAGGAAACTATTACTCAATTATATCCCGTCACGGTTCTTCGTCAATGGCGTGACGTTGTCACGCCCCTGCTGCGATGCGGTGATTGTGTCATCTTCACCGACACTCTCCACGACAACCATGGCTACCGTATCGCCCTTCGCTCGCTCCAGTGCGTTTGAAGAGCCACGGCTGCAGGGACGTGAACAGACTGTACGTACGATTACGCTGTGCCCTAAATTCCTTGGCCTAAACACGAGAAAGCGTCTTCTAGATCGAGGAAATGTACAGCGTTCCCGAAAGCTTTCTAGAAATTGAAGTACGCAATCCTCAGACACACGGTAACCTTTGCACCTGAGGGGCCCTAAGTCACCGAATTTTTAATCGTCTTACTGCAGGGTATAACCGCAAGATGTACACCGACTATGAAATCGTGTGCAGGGTGACAACTGGTTTAACTCACCACTTGTGGTGCGAAGTTCTGACATGCCCGATTTATTGTAGACCAACATCCCAGCATTCAAGTTGCGCCACTCCTCCGTGCGACGCCGCTACTCTGATTTCGAGGCGTTTCGTGACATCCTGGAACGAGAGTCTACTCGTGTTAACATCCCTCCCCTTCCGGGAAAAGTCTTCACAAACAGATTCTCAGAGGAAGTGATCGAAAGTAGGAGGGAGGGTCTTGAACGGTTCTTGAGCATTGTCGCTGGTCATCCACTGTTACAGGTCGGGTATTGTCAAGGACTGTTTGTTTCTACGTACTCACTACCTGGATATCAACAGACCGGTAGCAAAGTCCTTTGTGCTTTCTTGCAGGATCCAGGCTGGGACAAATCGCAGTGGCTATGAATATTTGGTATGCATCCGACTGCTTCCCCGTCTGCCGATCTACCTGGCTTCCTAGCCCCTGTGTGAACCTCGCTTACTCTTGTACGACTTCTTGATTATTTTGTGTATTTACCCCCGCTTTCCAGGCTACGCAGTTTCTACATCTGTTTTGACTTGCATGTGGCTGAGATGGATCTCTCTACCTATCCCCCAAGCCTCGTGAACGACGATATCGATTGCTGACCTGCAGCTACGTGAATTTGATATATGCACGGTTGACTGCACACGCGCATACCGCAGATTCATCAAGTATCCGGTTTCTACGTCAACCAATGTCAAGTTGACCGAATGTACACCAGGAGAGAGGGCGAGGAAGTCCAGACGAACAGATTGACAAGTCGAAGGTTTGAGTGGACTGGTCATCGTGGGTAATTAGACTAAATGTCATCGATGGCACATCATGGACCTACCCAACCCTAACGCGATTCTGCAAAGGTAATATCCCAGGGGGGATGACAGTGCTCTTCAGCTCATCAAGGGCAATCATGTTCACCCTGTCTTGCACTATCTTTCTTCGTTGGTCGAGGTTCGCATTCGGGTAACTGACTTGGAATCGTCTAGTCCACGAGCTTTGGTTAAAAACGAAAATATCCAGCTGTGAACATATCGGACACGAATATCTTCCTTTGGCCTAGCAGTTTGCTCGGATCGTCATTTGGTATCAGGACCCACGGAAACAATGATAGGTTCTACTGAAGAGATTGGAGCGTCTCCGGTGGCATTCGACCTTCCAATGCATGCAGGTGAGGTGGTGTGCAAAACAAATGAATCTTGTTCCGTTCGGGATTCGATACTGGTGCTGGCCCGAAAGATTCCTTGCCGACTGCCCATTAAACCAGATATGCTGTTCACTCCCTGACCAACAGTCAAGGCAGGGGTCGCTGGCGCCGCAATGCCTTGCGGACGTGCCTCAGACAGTCCACGCATTGCCGGCGTTGGAGGCGGTACACTAGAAGTCAGGTGCGGAAAGTCGGAAGACCTTTGCAGAGAAACAGAAGGCGGAGTCTGATTTACGGAGATCGGAAAACTGCTCTGATCACGAGGTAGGGAGGAGAGAGGGCCAGCTGTGTGGAGGGCCGTTATATTGTTCTGCATGGTTAACCGCTTGCCTGCGACGGCTTGTGGTACCGGCCTCGTAGTAGGAGGTGGAACAATAGCAGATGGGAAGGCACCGGGGAATGGGGATGGTAACTCCGGAAGAGCACTTCGAGTGCCACTGGACGACCCCTGCCATTGAGCTGCACCCTCGCGTGGTCTGGAGGACATATCCAGGATGCAATTCCATCTCGATGAAAATGCACGCGTCAGGTAAGTCAAGACATTAGAGCCTTTTCCTTCATCCAGAAGAAAGTTAGATATGTAAGGCCTCCCATGGACTGATATCGTCACGGCTCTCTGTAGAACACCAAGCTTCGCAGACGGAGCTGTGAAGGAGATGTCATCCTGGTTGTCAGCATTCAGAAATGACACCATGTAGAGAAGGTTGTATTGTTCCTTTGGTTTCAGAAAGAGGGGAAATGTCCGTTCGTCTGAATTGGAATGGCGGGCAGCTTCTCCCCAACCCACGAGCTTTGTGATGGCTCCATCCCCTCCAATCTTGACATCCACTCTCTCCAAGGAAAACCCGACGTCCGAATCATACTCTCCAGAGTTCTCGATCTCGATACACAAGACAATAGTGCGTTCGCTATTTCCGGCTTCCCACTCTTCGTCTCCATTTTTGACGACGTTTTCTAAAGTTGATTGATCCATTGGAAGCAGTATATGGGGAGCGAAGACTGTACGCATGCGAACACGGAATCCGGACGCCATTTCTAGAACCACTCGGAAGGACTTGCGCAGCACGTGGTGAGGACCTCGCACGGTGTTAATACCCTGAGAAGTCCGCCCCAACGAGAAAACGGGAGGTAAGCAAAAGAGCTGCCGACGAGTTACGTCTCCTAGTCGAGTTGATGGTAAATCGAGAAGTTCTGATTCCGACGAATGACTTGACCCTGTCATGGATACGAGCGATTATTCAGGAAAGGAAAAATTCCAAACCAGTGAACGAACCGGTAGCGAGCCCGTCAAGAAGATTTACTTCTTTCAGTGTATTTAACTCGTAGTCCATATCAAGAGGGTCATCGGATTCAATAGATGGCCTGTGCGCAATAACATCTTGCCACGGCATCATATCCTCTTGCAGCAGAAAGGCTACTAGTGGGTGTCTCGTCTGCGATAAAGGCAACGGCTTTTCGCGCAGAGTGGCAGAGATTGTCAAACAAAGCAAAGGATCAGTGAAGGGAAGGCGTAGAAACGCTTGGGGCGAACGATTAATGACAATCGACGCGGGAAGAATTCTGATGTTGTACTCACACACATTTAAGAAAAGTCGGTAAACAGCGACCCATTCCCTTCGTGAATGTGAGAAGAAGACAGCAAACTTCTCCCCTGAATGTTCTGCAGGGTCCTGTCCCCATATGCTGGAATGGAGTAACGCGCCCTCCGACTGCACGTACTTTTTGTCAGCTTCCGCTGTAGAAGGGATAGGGTTCGGGGTCGTCGGGGGGAAGATAGAAGGATGTAGCGATGTCGGACGAGGGTTACTCAGTCCGACCGGAGGATGAACGCGGAGGACCAGTGACCTGATCCGCTCTGGGTGTTACAGGTGTTTCTGCGGACTTGCGAGAGATGTATGTAGCATCCAAGGACACCTGGATATGCCGGAGGAAATGAACCAAAGGCGGCGGCAGACCACGGCTTTCATGAGGTGAATTCGGTGGTAGATTGATCTTAATTATAAGGAAGAGACGAAGTTGCTCGTCTGGAACTCCCCGTGTGTTTCAGACGTAGATGCTCGCATGAGGGTGCGCCTTACCGAAGAATGCATGTTTCCTGTCTGCCTGGCGTTCTTGCAAGGCAGTCAACCAGTCATCGACCAGATCCTGACGCTTCGGAAAATCTACCGAAGTGTTCGGGACTACGACTTCAAGGAGACAAGCACCAAATAGTGTTTCGAACGAAGGCTTCGGACATTTGCCCCAAACGTAGTCACGGCCTCCGCGCACTTAGAAAGTATTGCGGACACGAGTCGTCCCAATCCGGCAAGTTCGTCGATTCGATAAGTCTAATCGGACAAGCACATGAAATGTTCAACTGATTGAAGACAAGTGAGTTTTCCAACCTGCAGTGTTAGACGTTGCAATTTGATCGGCTGAGTATGTACGACCCAGATCAACTTTCATGCACCGCTGGACCTAGTGGGAGGGCACTCTTCAAGGATGCAAACATTTCCTCCCTCTGACCTAGTAACCGATGCTGGGCTCATCTTGATAACCGACGAATTACCTGCACCAGCGGACTTCCTCCTTCACCGATTTCTGCATATCCGGATCAGGGAGGTAAAGCAGTCCAGCTGCATCTTTCTCTCGGTCTCGGAAGACTTTGATCGCGTCAAAACGGTTGCCTTCAAAGCGGTGGGTGACAGTCCCAAGCAGCCTTGGCGAACTGCACTCAAACAAAATTCCAGGCCTTGAACCTCGCACAGAATGCAAAGATCAAGTTTATAGATCTCGTCAAGGGCTTGGAAGCATCAACTGAAAAGGCAACGGCTAATGCTGACGCCAGGTTACGCCATATAATCAGACTCTTGTCGTCAGACATTAGCACTATGGATGCCGCGGAAGAACAGATCTTGGTTATCTTGGACGACATTGCGTCCCTTGAGTGGTTAGGATTCTCTACCCTCGATCTGTTCCACTTTTCCCGAGCACTCAAGGCATTGTGCCTGAAGGTGAGACTCTTCATTTTGTGCTCCACCTTCTGAAGCTCTTGGTAGTATGGCGCAGTTCTGGTTATCCGACATCACATTCTGAATGCATCGGAGCCAGGACACCTTTTCCAGCTTCTTTTACAGTTGTGTTCATATCATATTGAGGTACGTCCCCTCGCAAGCGGGCGTAGTGGAGCCGTTAGCGGCGAGGTACGCCTATTCATTGCACGACACTAAGAGGTTGGAGACCAATATCAAGCGGTGCAGTTATGCCTTCACCCAGGACCTTGCGAAGGCGAACCTAGAAACCGTCTGCTATCTCGCTCGACCGCACTGCAATACCGATTGACAGACGGAGGTGCCGTGTTCTTTAATAAGGGTACGAGTGAAGGAGTTCTGTAGTTCATTCTTCACCGTCATTGATTTCTACATTAACTCGGTACTTCACTATAAAACACGATCAATCCTTAGAGAAGGGTGGATGTCATAGCAAACCTCCGACAATATATACTAGGAGTCGCATATCACGGTTAAACTCTGTTTTAAGCTCTCCTCTGAGAAAACGGTTCTTTTCAGGGCCCCCGCATACATATTCCATACCGTGTCCCTGTAGGCCATGTACCCATCGACAATTGCCTCCTCCAGATGTGCTAGCAAGATCGACACCGTCCTATTGTCTTCCAGGTATAACTTCATCCTGGTAACGGAAATCCTGAGATCACGCTCGCATGCTTCGACGAATTTCCCGTGCAATTCATCTGCGACAGATTGAGCAGCCCAAGGTTGTTCCGTGAGGAGAGGCTTGGGCTGGTTCGGATGGGAAGAAACGGAGCGGGAGGCATTGAACGCCCTGACCCGGTCGACCCATTCACGAAGAGGCTTACACAACGGCTTCGAACACAGTGAGATCACGTTTTGGCATGCTCGTTTGAGATCCTGGTCGATGTCCTGGGACAAGATTAGCTCCTGCTTAAGCATTTAATGACCATGGCACACAAACATGTCTTGTATCGCGTATCTTCTCAGGTCCACGCGGCATACCAAGAGTTGCGAATAAAGCCTCCGGCAGCAGCGCAGTGGTCTTGTTCAAGATAGATGTCACGGTATCTGGAACTACTTGCCTCATTCAAATGTTCACGACTCTCAGCAGGTGACGTACCATTCATATCGCCAAGATCTTTTCGACCCTGATCATCCTTACTAGCAACGGTCAAGGTATTTGCCACCTCTTTGAGGATCAGCAGATGTCGCACCAGGAATAGCTCTCCATCTAGTGGACCTGCTGATGCATTGCGCTGGGATAGGATACTACTAGAAGATATCAGTGATTGTCGACATAGACCAATGGCTTCCTGTGCAATGTCTTCGAAGATAGCAGGCTGCCAATCAGCAGTCAGATTTATGTTCGTAGGGTGGTCAAGGTGCTCATACCTTAACATAGTCATGAAGTTGGGACAAGACCCAAACGGTCTTTTGTAGCGTAGGGTACCATGTCTCCTTTTTGTCTAGTGAAGGCAACTGGAACAGTCGACTGACGACCTCCTTTTCTTTGATGCCGAATTGAGATTCCGGCCTTCTCACCTCTGACATCGCTTCAGCGATCTGAACCTCAGTCACTGCTCTACCAACCTATGAGTTTATCCGGGTAAGCCAAGTCCTCCTGTTTGGGTATATAATTTCGAATGTCGGTCTGTATCACGGCTTGCGCCTTAAAGAATAATCGGGTTTGCGCATCTTGCAAAACCATCTGAAGCAAACGACTAATATGCAACTTCCCAAGTCCATGTGGCTTCGAATGCTCTGAATCAATTGAAAGTTCGTCTGGTGGTTCATCTGGAAGCTCAGCAACGTCCAGTACCGTAAGGGCTTGCAACACTGTGCAAACTTCGCAAAGGGTCGTTAACCTCGTTTCATGCAAAATACGCGGCCTTAGGTCATCGTATAGATAGTCGCAGAGGCTCTCCAAATAGGCACTGGAAATATGACTTATTGGAAACCAGAGTGGACAGAGAAAGGACAACGAACTATAGCTGCTCTTCTCCCGAGTCAAAAAACTCGCGGAAAAGAAGAAATTCATCCGTGCACAGCTGCCTTAAATATGCACATCCTGCGTTGGTCTGAGAAGCAAAACGATGAATAGGCATACGGGTACATGTATCCAGAATTCACCAGTTCTACCAGCTCAGTACGAGCTGGATCAAGCCCTTTTATCTCCTCCGTGAGCCGCCCGACCAGAAGACTCTTACGGACACTGAAGTACGCCGAGTGACACTCTAAGAGTAGAGCAGAAAGCTCCTCTGGGTGGGCAGCTCCGCGGCGTTCCAGTTCGCCGAGCAAAGGAGTTAACTGGGGAGTAACACTTCGAAATCGTGTGTACAGCAGATGCATCTGGGCAGTTGCGGACACGTCCTAGATATTGACCCACATTAGTAGAATTTTTGATATCAACTCGTAAGCAGGCAACCTTTTCGGACAAGCGCTTAGAGACATCCGATGCAAGAGCCCTCAAGGAAGCGACAAAGAACATTTTGATGAGTGTCATGGCACGAGTCATGCACTGTTGAAAGCGAAGCAAGTACACTTCAGCTTCTTTGTAATATCGCTGCGGATATCATTATCATATGAGGGACACGTAGATAAGTGAATGAACCTACGTGATCTTTGAGATACTCAATGCATATGTCAATACGCTCGACCATGTATAAAAAGTCCGTCTGCAGAACAAGAGATTCCCCAGGGTTATTGAGCACGCGGGTTGCATGTTCCAGCTCTTGGAAGTATTCCAAACGCGCATCTATCTCGTCCGTAAGTTCCAGTAGTCCGTCCTAGAGGCTCAGTCAGAATAAACATGAGGCAAAATGGGTATCTCACTCTCTCCTGCAGAAGCCGTTCGCAGGCGCCTTTGATGTTTCTCCCACTTTGCTCGACGGTTCTCCACCCCTCCAGCATCCTATCCACGTCCTGCTCGACCTCATCGATGCGTTCAAGGAGCATGCCTGCGGTGTCCAGATGCCCAGCCACCATGGCTACGTGCGCGCGGAAGTGTGCTTCCTGGCCGTGAGTAACTGAACGATCGATCTGCGCAAACCAATCATAGAACTGCTGTGGCGTCTGAATTGGTTGTTTTGGATCCAGCGCATGAGAAGTAAGTGCTCGCGTAGCTGCAGGAAGAGGGGTGGAGGGACGTGAGCCGAGCTTGGCCGCATGTCGGAGACTGGGGGTAGAAGGGCGCGAGGTTTCTGCGTCTGCGATGCTAGACTGGGTAGGTTGAGAACGTCCTTGACTTGCATTGCAGTGATGTCGACTTACTTTCAAAGGAAGGGGTGGCTGCTCACTGGCTGCCTGAACTGCTGCAACGCTCCTGAGAGCCAGGTCACTCAGAGGTGCCTTAGCTTCCCATTCCTCAAGGGTGATCTGCGCTGTCGCAGGGCGCGTTGGCACAACCGAGTCACCTGTTCGGCGTTGCACAGCTGCTTTGGCCGTTGACATCTAAGAGTGCAAGACGGGTATTAATTGTGCAGGTAACTCTACGGTAGCACTACTAGTACAGCACGTGCCATGTTCATCTACGTACATACATTAATATTTTCATGTCGATGTTCTCATGTCTGCCCAAGGTGATGGTTCGTCAGGTAAAACGGAGAGGAAAGTCATGTTGGAAGATGGGGTAGACGGAGCGTCTTCAGAGGCCGCCGAGATTCCGGTCTCCTTCAGATTTTCCAGTACTTGGGTCCTTCGAAAGGCAACTTCAGAGGGCTTCGGCGCAGGCTCAAGCGTAAAGCCCTTCAGGTGGTCAGGTAGATCAGAAAATTCGCAAGGTGGTTTGACGCCCAAGGTGTTCTTGGAAGCGACAACAGACGGCTCATAAGGCCGATGTTCCAAGGCGGAAAGAGCATGTGGTTGATTAACCACTGGGTTTTCAGGTACCTCAAGAGACTGGGCTTGCAGGCTGTTGTTCCGTGCGATCCGTAAGGTTTCCCGCTGGTAATATTAGCGCTACGCAATTGCCCATTCTCCCCTTCAACGACACGAAGCGCCTCCCGCAACGCATCCTTTTCCCTGCACTGCTTCTTGAAGTTCCTCTTCTGTTTCAGCTCGCTTGATCCGCTCGGCCGCCACCATCTTATTTGCCTGCGGGGAAGTCTGAGTTGAGGATGTCACTACAGACTATGTTGCACACCTCCTCAAACAGAGCTTGTGAAAGTGATTCCAGTTCTGCCTCCAAAGCAGCCTTCTCGGCGGCTATGGTTTGATGGGCTTGGCGTTCACATTCATACTTGTACTGCAAATCCTGAAATTCTCTTTCTTTTGTATCGGATACTAGTGACGGAAGTGAGGGGGAGGTGAGATGCGATGCAACAGGAGGAGATTTGAGACCTGCACGGGCTCCGTTAGACTACTGGCGTGGTAATGGCAAACTAGCCTTACCGCTACCCAACATGAATCTAAGGAATCGGCTCTCCTGACTCGTCATAGGTGTCCGTGGCTGCACTCCGGAGGTGGCCGGTATACCATCTGGCTGTTGGGCACCATTCGCAGTCAATGTCGTGGCACTAGATGGTACAGAAGGCTTTCCGGATTCGTTCAATGCGCCGCAGTCTAGACTCTTTGGCCTGTCTTCCACCGTCTTCTGCAGATTCTGAACCTCGCGTGCGCTCCATCGACGCCACCCAACGTCCCTCGCACTACAGGGTGTCTCCCTTCTCAAAGCTTCCTCTAACATCTCATTGTTGGATATTACCAACTGAAGGTTTGACTTCGCGAGGTTAAGCTGCGTCTCTAGATTCGACTGAGTTTTGTATGCTACTTTGAGGAGCGAAGACTAGAGACCTGGGCTTCACTGCATGGTCGAACGACGGGAAAGAACGACGCTCACAAGTTCTTCTACCCTTTTGATGACACGTTCAAGGGCGTGTCTGAGGTCCTCCTCTTGCCCTTGAGAATGGACACGTCCGACATCACGCAGCTCGTCATCTATGCTCGAGAATATCGCAAAATGAAGGGTGTTGGGAGACACGGGGGGACCTGACGGTCGTAGCTGCGACGATTTACTTGATCCAAATGACAAGTTTGACAGCATGAGCGACGATACGAATACCGAATGAAGTGATGAGGCGAGATGGCCAAAGGCAGTAGCCTGATACAAGTGTCTAAATACGGCCAACCCACCGAGTTACAAAAAATGGACGTCACTACTAGTCTCCTGCGATGCGCATTGGCACAAACTTGCTCACTGACAAGTTGGCAGCTGTCTGCTTGGTCTTGATCCAACAGAACATCTCACAAAAGCTTACTTGTGTTGGAAGGTCAGGGGCTAACCCCTGCAGTCTGTGGTAAATTCAGCACCCAGACTGTAGGGTAGTGCAAGCTCCTCCTGGCGCACGCGCATGGTGAGCAGTGGTGATACTTCCTCCTACTGGGTTGTTCCCCACACCCATGACGGTAAACCGCGCGTGCGCATTGCTAATGCTTATATTTCCAATATCTTGTGATCTTATTCGTCAGTGGGCAAGTTCTCTGGGTTCCCGGCGTAGCGGGTGCTGTCGCATCAATGATCGCAGCGTTTTTACCGCTTCCATCTACCCCATATGACCACACCAGCTCCCACCGTAAATTCCGCGCGGCACTCGTCCTAGTGTCAAGGTCTAAGTTGCCACGAACTCGTCTCGCAGCGAAAAGCGAACGTTTGTGAACCTGTCCTCGCCTGCTGGTCGTGACCAACCTTCTTCCGCCATTTAATCTCTTCTCTCTGCATATTTCTACATTTAATCTGCTCCACGGAAATATGCTTCCTCCTCCCAAAGTAGAACCCTTATATAAACCTACGTTCGCCACCAACAGTGTGCAGAACACGACTGAAGATGATAAGTTCTACTATGAGATTGTCACTCGTTTCTGGCACCGCACCTTAGATAAATAAATAAATACGACTAAAAAGCACGCGTCGTTACCTGCGTGGCTGAAATGGAGTCTCTGCCCAAGGAGGTCATGGTCCGTTTTAATACGCCCGGTGCGGAGGGAGAATGGATAAGAGCATCGGACTTAGTGAAAACTGATGGCTCAGGAGTGCAAGTGTCTTCGCCTAGATGAAACACGTCAACCAACGACTAGCCCTGGAAGCGATGGAACATTTATCGCAGGGGACGGCATAACTTTTACCGATGGGAAGCACACAACCGTCGTTTCCAGCTGTGCAGTATTCCGCCCGACGCCTGTCTTATGTTCAAGATTTTAGCTGGTGAAAGCTGACGACTCCCCCTCGCCGAGTATTATCCGTGCAAACGTGACTTCTTTGTCTTCGGTGTGACCCGCCATGCTTGGCTTGAAGTAAAGCCAGAGGCTGCGACTGTTTTGGAGGAAGATCATTGGTTAGTAGACAATCATCCATGTGAGTTTACTGATATAGCAAGCATTAACCAGTGAATTATCTCATCGTCGAAAGGCGCAGAAGTCAAGCCAAGATTCACATCAAATTGGAGCACCAGTAAGGGCATCTTGAGAGTTAGTCCATCTACATATCTGTCGAAGCGTTGAAATCGGTCTCCGTTCCATAAAGGAGTTGGACACAGGAGTTATCGCCCGCCGGAAATAACCCTTCGGGGAACAACCATATATGTAGAGCGTGAGCACATGAAAATATATACAAGGTGACATGCTGGAACATTAATAATGGGCATCAGGGATCCGCAAACTAGGAGTACTTTCGTCCTCCAGTAGGGGCGAAGTATGAAAGGAATGTGTACAGATGTAAGAAGTAAAAATGCAGCATGGAATACACGAGAGCGAAACCCGCAGCATGGCGGTGAATGAGAGCGTGAGATGTTGCTACCTGAGCTTGACGATCTGCCCTAAAGGGCGAAGTTGTCGAGTGTAAAGTATCTGACTTGGTGGGTAAAGGAGCATCTTCAATATCAGTATCTTGCTGTGTGTCCGACCCAAGGTTCTCCGGTGTCGCAGGGAGTCAAATCCAGATATCTTCAAGAGGGGTAGATACCGGAGGAACATTCTCCTCGTCGCTGTCTTCTTCACTGGAGTTTTCGCTCTTGTCATCTTCCTTGAGTGCATCAGCAGAGATAATCTCCTCCTTGATCTCGGGCTCGGCTGCTTTGGTCTTCGACTCGTGTTCCTGAAGTTGCTGTTTGAGCTTGGCGAGCTCGAGCTCTTTTTTCTCGAGTTCTGCCTTCTCATTTTCCTTCTCACGGAGTTCCTTGCGTCGCTTCTCACGCTGCGTCAGGCGATTAGCATATACTCGAATACCGCAAACCGCGGCCAACGTCAGCCAATCGAAGCAGTGCAATAGTACTCACGTCAAGCTTTTCCTTCAACTCGCGGGCTTCCTTCTCCTTGCTGAGGCGTTCTCGAAGTTCCCTTTCGCTGATAACCCATGCAGCGGCCCCCGTCGCAGCAGCTTCGGGTTGCGATTTGTTCCTGAGGAGGTCTGCACCGAAAGGTGGGAGTGTACGTCAGAACCAGTGTCAGCTGCGCAACGAACGCACCCTTCATGCATCACCAAACAACATCACCACATCAAAGGGATACTGATAACACATGCATCACGTTAAAGAAAGACTTACAGCCCTGAAGCGCAGCAACGCTAAATTCTTCTCCAGGAATAGCATCAGCAAATTGCTTTGCAAGTTGCGCGAGTTTGGCAGCAGTCAAAGGTTTAGCAGCGTGATGGCAAGCGGCAATATGTTCCTCGACCGGAGGGGGCTGGTACTCCTGATCCATTTTGTCAATAACCTCTCGGATCGGAATATATTCGTGTGGCTGGGCCTTCGGCGATGAAGCTAGTGATACGGAGGAAGAGGAGAAAGAAGGAGATCTTGACCATAAGGTCGACGAGTTGGAGGAAGGAGTCGAAGTAGTCGAGATCTCAATGCCTTCCAGATCTCCTTCGATTACTTCATCATCCTTCTCGGCAGAAGGGAAGAAGTTACGGAAGAGGGCCTCCGCCTGCCACTTGGATGCATTCTTGAATTCTATCCACACGTCCATGCGGCCAGGTCGTGAGAGTGCAGGGTCGAGTCGTTCCAGATGATTTGTAGTACTGGTTAGAAGTCAACTAAGAGCCTGATACCACAGGTTTGACACTTACGCGAAGAGAATGCGACCCTCTGCTGCGGCAACACCATCCAAGGCGTTCAAGAGGCCGCTCAAGCTGAGGGTATTCACGTCTGACAGGTTGTCCTTATGACGCCCACGACGGCTGGTGCTTGTGGGGACCGTCGGCTGTTGTTCTTCATCGCTGTTGTTGGATGACGACTCAGGCGTACCATTTGAACTCTTGTCACGCGTGACACTACGAGTGAACGCAGCATCTAGATCTTCGAGAAGAACAACGCAACGTGCCGGGACTCGACCCATGAGTGTGGTTAGCGTACTGTCGCTTATCCAGGAAGAAGACAACGAGACAACGTAAATGTCCAGCATCAGCTCGCCAGCGATAGCGTGAATTAACGAACTCTTGCCAGATCCTGGTACACCGTGGAGAAGGTATCCACGGCGGAATGGAATGCCGCGGTCGGCATACCACTAGGCACGCGAAAAGCAATAAGTGCGACGCCACATGAATGAACGTAGATGAAATACCTTCTCAGATTTGAGAAAGTCACGTGCATCACTGAGAAGCATCTCCTTCACGCCCGGGTTCAAAACAATAGAAGACATGGGGCGCTTGTGGCGAGAATCGGTCCATCGCCAGCTGCCATGAGAATCTGCAAAGTATATTTGCACACGGTGCACGGCCTCGGCTTCATATTCCTTTTTGGCCTGCAGAACGAGCTGCTTCAGAATGTTGTTATTCCGGGCCACCACACTGCAGGATAAGACGGTCAGTGGACTAACTGGGTCGCAAATGGAGAAAGGAGTTGCCTTATCGACAAGACCTCGCAACCGCTACCATCCGCTTTCTTGCTGCGACGCACTCTGAGCCAATGACCGCGGTAGTAAATTGTGTGTGTTGTATCCGCAGTGGGCTGAAAAACGACACGTGTCTTCACCCTGCCGGGTGGAGAGTTGTCGTCATCCTCATCGTCTTCATCGCCAAATGAGTTATCCGAAGCCCGTGAACCCGAAAATCCTGGTGTGGAAGTTCGAGTGGTAGTCTCGAATTCCCTGGAGCGTTGCCACTCCGGACGGCGGGACAACCACAACATCAACCAATCATATGGATAATCCTCCTCTGAGAAGTGTGCAGTAAGGAAAAATGCTGCATGAAGGATGATGAGCGTAGGCAACGCCGAGCCATGCAAGAGAGGACGCTCACAGTTCACGAAGTGCGACCTAGCGACGATGGAAGACGGGGTCAACTTGAAGCAAAGAAGGGAGTGTACTGAGCTAGGAACATACCACGCAGAGCTAGATACCCTCCTTGCAGTTTCGACGGTGCCACCGAGGACAACGAGCTTCATACCGTCAATGACCGAGGAACCTCCCGCGCCTCCGACGAGGGGTTGTACGAGTGACTTGAGGGCGTCCATAACGATGGCAAAGGATAGGTAATGGTGAACAGGCCAATGCTACAAGTGCTAAAGCGAACGTTGGGAATTCGGGAGACAAGGTGGCTGCGGTGTAAAGTGCTAGACCTGTGCAGCACTACGCAAGTGGGTGTATCTATTATATGAACTGGATTCCTAAAACTGCCGGTGAGCTCGTTGGCAACTCAGTCTGACAGCCAGCCACGGTACCGCAGGTTGGTATGCAAGACGTTGGTCAGTACTTGGCTCCTCCAGGTCACAGAAGGGGGAACAAGTCAAGGACGCGTCAGCCAAGGAACCGCTTGGGTTCCTCCATAAAAGGTCCCCGAATATTATTAGCGCCCGTCAACGCCACATGCCAAGCGAACAAGTCATTCGGCCCCACATATGTAGTATAGAAAGCAGTGCACCTAATCCTACAGCACGACAGCCAGCATAACTATGATATAGCATGGTACAGACCCTCTACCGCAACATTGGCTTGCCATATGCCTAGCTTACGGACCAACCTGAGCATCAACGGCGCAGGAAAGATAAGCGCATACGACACGGGAACCACCACGATTAATAAGATCGTGATACCAAGGGTGATGCCGGGTTTGATTACGAGGAAATAGAAAAGGGCTTGGTATGTCGTTGAATCTGTGAACTACAGGGCGAGTAGGTTGAGAAGTATCCCACAACCACTTTGAACGGACCCACCATTGCATGGGTGTTCCTGTAGAATGACGTTTCATAACAAACGTACTCTTCCGCACCGTGTTCCAATTCAGAAGGCAGCAGGAGCCTCGGACGCTGAAAAATCAGGCCAAGAAGGATACGGAGGTGAATACGCAAGTGGACCATGACATTTAAGTCTGCAAAGCAAGCTGGCATACGAAATATATTTTAGGTCAGTTTGTAGGAGCAAACAAGTTGCCCCTCACCTCTCCCCTGGCAAATGTCCTGGCCCCCAATAAATCGAGGAAGCAAAGAACAGCACCGATAGGGAGTGTAATTAGCAACGTTGTGCCAGTCTGGGGGGGAATTTTAAGTTGAACTCGTATCCACGCAACACGGCGGCAAAAAGAGCTACACGGCCAACTAGGCCAGACGTTAAGAAAAAGCTTACCAATGTAAACAAGAACAGATAGATCCATACAATCAATGCAAATGGAAAGTTCAGCACCAGTAAGTGGAATAAGGCAGTATGGTAGGCCCTACGGCACAGTGGCCGGAAGTACCTGCGCCAGCTTCTCCAAGAGAGTAATGGCCACCGAGACTTGCTCTGTGGCGCACCGTGGGTGTCGTGACTCTGCGAAGCTTCCCCATCGTAACTGACCTCCTGGTGGTACAAATGGGGCCGAGGACAGATCTTCCTCCGACGGGTCGTGGAAGAGAGATAACACCGTCTGCGCTAGTGATGGCGCATGGGAACTAGATGACCCGATGGTGCTCGAGTGCGAATTCGAGCGAGGGCGCAACTAGATATCGCCTTGTCGAACCGACCGATGACGGGTGGTCTAACAAGCGAGTCCTTTCTGTGGGGGAGGATGCAAGACCGCTGTAGTCCCACAGGATGGTCCTGTTCTAAAGGCGATGCACCATAAAGTTGTTGGGACACTGCTGTTCGATGCCTACGTGCAGACCGATGTATTCGTGTGCGCCGCTCCGGAGAAGGATATGGCGGCGGTGGATCATCGATACCACGGGGGTCAAGCAGTGATTGGGGAATTATAACGAGAGACGGAGGCCTTTCTGTGGTACCATTGATAACTGGAGTGTCGCATGCAGGCGCCCTCGCCGTCATCTCGCACTGGCCGCTTCCAACCTACCTGCACACACGCTGTTATGTGCTTGCGCAGTTAATACATCAGAATTGTCATCTAAACAAGCCCAAACTACTCCCAACTGGGCTTCACCTACTTTCCTATATTGCGGCACATAGTATCTATCATCTCGAACAAACGCGTCCTTTAGCTGTGCACAGTGACTATATCCTGGTCTTCTGTGGTGCTGGGCGAGCGTACGCTCGTTCTTACTCGTTTCGTCAACGACCGCGAGTTCCGACCCGTCGCCAGTGAGATTTTCGTGAGTCGGAGTGACGCCGGTAGTTGGTCTCCCTAGTGTTTTCATGCCAGCTTGGTACGTTTCCTTGTTGGGCGGAGCTCACGACACGCTCACAAATACTTTGCTAACTGACATTATTTTCGCAAACCGCTGTAATACATCAGACTTGTCATCTAAACAAGCCCAAACTACTCCCAACTGGGCTTCAGCTGCTTTCCTAATATGTACTAGACCTCAAGCCATCTCCGCGTCGATTGGATTTGTCGAAGAGGTGGACTTTTCGTTCCCACCTCTTATCGTGCTTCTCAAGTATTGTCGTCCGCGTGAGTGTCTTGCGAAGTCCTGTTAATGTATACAATCGAAAACCCAGAGCTCCCATCGTAACAAGTTTTCAGGTCGCCATAGGTCCATAGTGCTGTCACTGTATCAGGGATCTCCCCACCTGCACAAAGGAAACGGCCGTGGTGATAGCACTCAAGGGGCACATTGAAACAAGTTTCTGGAGGAAGTGCACTGGACTTCTGGGTGTAAACATGGCGGCCAGCCAAGATATGAAGGGTTTACCATCCAGCGTCCCACAGTGCTGGTCTCTACTTTCCCGAGGAAAAGGTACTTCGAGGCTTTGCGTTCTTGCGCATAAATCTCATGCTGCCGTCGGGCTTTGGACTCCCGTAAATATTTTGTTATGGCTTTTGCCTCGTTCTCCAGTGGGGTGTATGTGTAGTTCCCTTACCGCAGCTCTTTCTGGCGTAGAGTGACCATCAATTCCTCTGAAGCTGTCCTCCCCTTCCAATATTGTGAGAACTTTTTCAGACCCTCGTTACTGCCGCTGGTTAAACTCATGCAAGTCTCCCCCTTATAACAGATCATACTTTATCTTATGAGGGCAACATGTGAGCCAAGGGATTCAGGTGACCAAGTGGCAAGCGTGATAAGCTGATCCACAGTCGCGCACAATATGCTGCGTTGACCAAGAAACTGGATATTCTGAAGATATATTGTGTTGTTGGGTTCTCCATGGGAGGTCAACGGGTACCTCCAGGGCGCCGTGCAACTTCGGGAGACTGGGCCAATTTGAATTTACACAGGCCTACCAAGAGCCCTACCACTGAACTGTCATGTACCTAAATTTTGTTGAAAGGTCCGTTGATGATTATGATCTCAGGCAAGGGTTTAACCGTGTCTTGTAAAACAGACCTTCACTTCCCGGTGAGTGCCATACCTATCAGAACCTCGGCACCACTGAAACGTGGGCGCAAGACCGAGGATATTGAATTTGACCACTGCAGAAGGAACGCTCGTGCTTTGCTCGCCCTTTGGTGCCCCTAGTCAAAACTCACACAAATCGTAGCAGTTGTGAGAACCTTGAGTCGACCGAAACGGTTAATGGTGCAGCAGGAGCTGGTTCGAACGTAGAAAATGATTTGTTCATGCAGTCGGAACTGAAGAAGTTTCCAGGCGAAACTAGAGAGCTCTTTCAACTAGTGTGGTTTCCCGCTCCATACCTATAACTGCAACTGCTGGCAATTTGGTAAAAGTTGATATCAGTGTAATTCTCGAACCCCATATCCATGGAGCTCAGTACTGCTAGAATAATTTGACTTAGGATGCTGACCGTTCTGGTGCTATTGTGTGTAGCCCAGTTGGAGGTAGAGAAGACTTCAATTTACGGTATCGGCGCTATAGCCAAGTGGTTACGGCGACAGATTCGAACTAGAGTACAATCTGTTCCTCTTTGAGGGCGCAGGTTCAAATCCTGCTGGCGTCGTTTACGTAAATCTTTTTGTGTTCTGGCCGTGTTCCATTCCTGTGTCCCGCCATGGTCTTATTACATGCACAGGTGTTTGCAAGCTAAAGTATGATCCCGCCAGAAGTTCATTTTGACCAAAGGCACGCTACGAGTTTTTGGTCAGGAGCGCACGAAGCTCGTTTGTCATGAACCCCGACGTGCTTATTAAAAAAATGCAAATTCCTGACAAAAAGCCACTGTCTACCAACTTACCAAGCCCCAGACGCTTATATCGCTGCATACTAAATACCCTTGGCGCTCACAACTGAGACGGGTATGTCAAGGGGGCGGCAATGTGGCCAGGCCCAGTACGGCGTGACAACGCGGCCTGGCCATCATCGATCGCCCCGTTCCGCTCGCTGTGCTCCACCCGGCCCATCGGCGAGCTCGATCGCGGCTGTTCTTACACGCAGACTTTGCGAACAAGGATATTCCATATCTGAAAATTATAATTATTTATAAAGGGTAACCTAAATCTGTGCTAACCACTGTGGACGTCAACTGTTCAGCGTTCCCACTTGTCAGCTAATTATTGCTTGTCCCTCCTTTGCTCCTTTTTTCTCTCTCTGCCTTTCTTCACACTATTAAGAAATGGGTTGCGTTCAATCCACTGGCGTTGACAGCGACGCAAAGGCCCGTGCGTGTCTACACAGCATACTAACCGCCCACCTTCCCCAGCTCACTTGTCGAATAGGCAATGATGAGATCGAGAACCAACTTAGGCGCGACAAAATGCTCGCCAAGAACGAAATTAAAATGTTGCTTCTTGGAGCTGGAGAGTCGGGGAAGGTTGGTTGAGTTTTGCGAAGCGTTATCTGCAGTCTCAACTTGCCCTCTAGTCGACGGTCCTTAAGCAAATGAAACTCATCCATCATGGCGGCTACAACGACTCGGAACGAGATTCATACAAGGAAATCATCTTTTCGAATACCATCCAGTCGATGCGGTATGTCTTGCCCGCACCCGGCGTTTTCCAACGCATCTCAACCTTCCATGAAACAGTGCCATTCTAGAAGCGATGCCTCAACTTGACATCTCTTTGTCACCTCAAAATGACGCTCGACGAGCTGTCATTCTGGCGCTTCCCATTCAGATAGAGGGGGACGTCTTGCCCAGGGACGTAGCGGACGCCATCCGCGGTCTTTGGAAAGACCCCGGTGTGAAAGAGGCTGTCCGTCGGTCTCGGGAGTTTCAGCTGAACGACTCTGCGGTCTATTATTTCAATGCAATCGATCGCATGTCAGCTCCAGGATACCTACCGACGGACCAGGATATCCTCAGGAGTCGAGTAAAGACAACCGGTATCACGGAGACGACATTCAAGGTCGGAGAGCTAACATACCGGCTTTTCGACGTCGGTGGCCAGCGAAGCGAGCGTAAAAAGTGGATTCACTGTTTCGAGAACGTCACGGCACTTGTATTCCTGGTCAGTCTCAGCGAGTATGACCAGATGCTTTACGAGGATGAGAGCGTGGTAGGTCTGCTCTTAATACTTTTGGGTATTTAGACCGATATGCCGGTAGAATCGGATGCAAGAGGCCCTCACATTATTCGATTCCATATGCAACTCTCGATGGTTTGTCAAGACGTCAATCGTGAGTGCCCCGCTAAAAGACCCCCTCCTCTCACCGTCGTGCTCATTCATCGTAACAGATCTTGTTCTTGAACAAGATTGATCTCTTCGCCGAGAAGCTACCTAATTCACCTTTGAGCGACTACTTCCCTGACTACACGGGCGGTGAAAACTACGATGCTGCCTGCGATTACCTGCTACATCGCTTCGTGGCGCTTAACCAGAATGCTGCGACGAAGCAAATATACGCACATTATACCTGCGCAACCGACACTCAGCAGATTAAGTGTGCGTCGTACCTTTTTCCTTCATCCGCTGATGCTCACCTTTTGCAGTTGTGTTGAGTGCGATCCAAGATATCCTCCTACAGATACACTTGCGCGAGTGTGGTCTATTGTAATCGGGGCCTGCGACTTCTGATCATGTTCCCTTCGTGGCTTTGCAACGCATCATTTGTTCCATGTCCAGGTTCTAGGTACTCGCTTGCACTTTCTGGTTCTATCACACACGGCTCTATTTACTCATCCTGTCTACTATCTTCTCGTTAATACGAGTCTCCCTGATTTTCCTATGTTTTCTCCCTTGCAAGAGGTCTTAATGTTCGATTTCTCTTCTTGCCATTTCGTAGGCACATACGTTTGACCATTCTTCTGTGTTCGTCCACGTTTCTTCTCACTTCGCACTTGTGGGAGTCATCCAAAACGTATGATACCCATTGCTTACTATTATCATGTAATGAATGAACGTCTTGACACCGGTACATCGTATTCCGCTCGTTGGCACTTTATTCTGACGCATTATTGTATCGTGATGGCGTACCAGCTACGTGTTTCCTCGGCCAACGTAGTGGGGCCCATCACATATTACGTGACATCCTGTGCTAGCTTAGCTCCAGCACCCAAGTGCTATTGCTGTACTTGACATGGACAGATGACACGGTTTGCATGTCCCGGCACGTGAATAACTGCTGGAAGAACCAAACGGTAAGGCATGCAATGTCATCTGGCCGGGCAGTAGGACTGCCCTCCTGCCCTGCCGCAACACCGTGTATGCTTGCATTGACTAGCTAGTGAATCGTGGCGCAACCCGAGGTGGTCTGGCAGGTCGAATCAATGATTCGTAGAAAAGAATGAGAACGAAGTCTGCTGCGGACAGTCAGAAAATGTACCTTTTTTTCCGGGAGGCGATGCAGATGGCAGTCGTTTGCTGTCCGCCAAATGAAGATGATTGTTCTACACAGTCAAACAATCTGAAAGCGGATGTGGATGTGGTGTACTCCGCCACCTAGTTATACGTGGACCCTACCATTAAAGCCATAACATTGACAGTTAAGGAGCTCGATCAAGAGTCTGAGAGAGACGTAGTGTGGTGGTTCCGTCGGAGTCGTCAGTATTAGGGTTCCCTACAAGGTGGTACATACAAGCCAACTATTAAACGAGGTAAGATGGTTAGGAAGAATCTGTTTCCGCATTTGCTGCGGTACTTCGCAGTGGGGCTACTGCTTCTGGCATATCAGTAACCCTTCTGACAATATTGTAACGTTTCCTGGGGGATGAGGGGACGTAAGTCGCTGATGTACGTGTGCTTGACCGCAACAGAGGAGTATATGGAAAAATGATACACACGAAAAGAAGGAGTGCCAGTCATCAAGAACTTTCATTTCGTTCTCTGGTAGGGTGCTATAATCGGGCACTGCATCTTCAGGCTTGAGACTCGACATCCCGAGGGCCTTGGAGCCATCTTTTCCAGCAAAAGTATTGTAGGAGCCACCCTTCCCGTAGACATCCTTCTTCCTAGTGACGTCAAATACATCGCCTGGAGAGAAGGCAGTGAGGTCAGTCGACCTCGTGGCCCAGTACGTTACACGGACAAACCTTTGATGGATACGTATATGGGCTTGGACGGGTCTGAACCGTCGTACTCTTGCAGTTCTTTGAGCGTGATCGGGTTGTATTTGGGCGGGTCAAGGTCATCTCTGGGCGGCTGCATGATAGTTTTCAATGACTTTCCCTCGTCTGTCTCAGTAGTGGTCGCGGCAGATGACCCAGTAGATGGTGATTGGACTCGGCGTTGGCGGACGAGAAAAAGAATTGGCAAGCTGAATACAAAAATGTAGACGAGCAGCTTGAATAGCATGGTTGACTGAACCGCGTGGGAGCCGGCCAGACCTGCCCCGTTGACACTTGGTGTATTTACGCCATGCAGGGGTACAGGGACAGTTGGCAAGTTACTGCAAGTCACCAGGACTAGCGTCTGCTCGCGGCGGTGGGTCACAATTAGTCTCTGATGCACGGTGTGTCTATGATTCGTAACTTCTCAGAATGAAACATCGGTTTCAGTTTGCCCTGAGCGGGCGATTCAGAGATTCCGTGACTCGAACGTTTTAGCATTAATCGTCTCGTTTGGAGTCTGTCTAACTGCGCTCGCACACTAATGCCCTTCGTGTATTACGCCGTCTCATTAAGTGCTACATGCCACCGTCTCGGATACTCTTCAACAAGGCTTTGAGTGCGCACAATCTGCTGCGGCCTTTCAGTGGTGCGCAGGCTGCTATCCTCGGGGAACGCACGATTACTGTGTCCTGTGTTGAGGACGGCACGCCATCTGGCTATGGAAGAAACACCCAGAAAGCCGATAAGTACATGGTCAGTGATTGGTTCCCCCTGCCAACAGTGACAGGGGGGGGGGGGGAGGAATTGGGATTACTGACATCATATGGAGTCGATAATCACGCTATGACAGAATGCCGACAACGGCAGAAGAGGAGTCGCGGCTACCTCTCCATGTCGGGTTCACACCGATATATGACAGTAGGCGCACAGCGACGCGGGTAGCTTGGGCCCTGCCTTGTTCACTGCATCAAGGTATATCGCGGCGCCCGCGGAGTAACTAAGTTTGTTTCGCATTTCCGCCACGGACTTCTGGTTGTTGCATTTTATGCACTAGCGCTAGTAATGCAGGGTCGGAGCTCTTGTTCTGACAGGACTAGAAGCCTCCGATCATCGGTGTGGCTGGGATTTCGCGAAAAGTGCGGGTCCTCAGGAGGCATTACTGACATGTGACTGGATTGCTTATTGCATAGAACTCCAGCCGCTGGACCGTCGTCTTTCTTCCCCTTCTTTATTTGTGTGCATAAAAAAACCCTGACGCTTGAGTACTGAGTCCTGGCGCCTACCAGTCCGAGCGTTGCTTCGTGTTGCCAGCTACCTTCCCTACAGCATGCTGTCCCCGCGCCCAACCTCACCCCTTCCGACTATGTCGCTTTTTTACTCAAGTATGTACATAGACTTACGTCCATCAAGTACGGGTTCCCGAGGCCCGAGGAAGCGTAGAGGCTTCATGCGAACAAAAATTAAGGTCTAACTTCAGATAATCTAACAGATTGGACTCTATTATCGTCTCGAGTAAATCTCATGTAAATCACCTAAATGCATGGTTATGTATAGAAATATGAGTACATGTCAACAAGCGAAGTGCCAACTTCCGAGGTCCGGTCCCAATGCCGGAAGTGCGACGGGTACGGGGGCGAAAAGGCAAGAGGACTCCGGGCATCAGGCCTGCAGCTTGGCCACTACCAACCAGTATCCTGAGACAAAGTAACGTTTGGAGATTTTTCATTATGCAAAATGAGTGACACAGGTGGGTATCGAGATATCGAAGGCCGATAAAATACAGTGGTACTTTCGATCATTGTGTGATTAACGAACGAGATCATTGAATGCGAAAAAAGTCAGAAGACAGAGACCTGCTTACTATCATCACGCGCGTATAACTGCATGGCATGGGACGGGGGCGTGCAATCCCTATGGAGGCTACAGATAATGACAGCATCCATGGAGCTTGTCCTATTTGGAAGGCATCGATCAATGGGTATATATGTAGAGCATTCAACGTGACGAGAGTTGACTTTGCGGTGGAAATCCACAGGGCCAGGGAAACCATTTAACCCCCCCGAATGCGAGGAGAGATCGGAAAAGAAGAATTTGTAGGAGTAGGGGGCGGAATGTTGGTAGAATGACATATACTTATGACTCTCTTGCGTAGCTCGTCGCATGTACTTTGCAGCACTGAAAGCGAAAGATAGGACGTGGACTCATAAGCCATAGTTGTTAGTTGTTTAACTTACTGGGACAAGGCCACAAAGTGTTCAAAAGCTCCAGGGGTCCTAGTATATCCTTGGCAACTTCTAAAGCTTCGATGAGAGATCGGTCATTCTCCCAAAGTAAAAGGCACCTGAAACTAGTGTCAACAGAGGGCGCCACTGGCATCAATAAGGACTTACATAGATATTTGACTAGCCAGCCACGTCACTTGGAATGGACGGCTGGCGAATGAATCGCTACAACTGTCCCCCATATGCTTTACCGATGCCGGGACTCTACTAACGAAGTAGCCAAGATGGCGAACTGTTCGGAGGGTCGGAACAACTCTCGCACAAAGATGATACTGAAGCTTACGCCATTGTTCCGCATGTTTCCGAGTGAAGGAAGGCAAGTGGCCGGCTCCAGGACCGTGGAAGCTGAATAGAACATACTTTAGGTTAAAGGCACACGCACCAATTTGATATTGAAAAACCAACCTTTGTAGAGCGGAAGTTATCAGCATCTGGATGCTGTGATACGATTTAGGTCAGGGTAAATGAACAAAAAACTTTTTGAGGTTACGCACTTGTACACGTACTCCCGGCACATGTATAGTAAAGTCATGTCCAGCCCACAGTTGTGGGAATCGAGTGCATCTTGGATCTCTTGCGCCTCCCTCCAGGCTTGTAACGCAATGTCTGCAGTTTCATCACTGGTAAATGTATTCTGCCGAAGCCGAGTGGTGCAGAAATTCCAAAGTAGCATGCTGCGGCAATAGAGTGCCCATATGGAGTCCTTAGGAGATTGCGCCTTAAGGTCGGAAGAGCCACGTTCTGATGCTTCCCCAGGAAACAACAATCGGAACTGCGAAATTTGAACCCCAAAGCATCAGCAATCGCATCGATAGTCAGTTGCCGAATTTGAGGAGTTCGGTGCGAAAAGGGCATAGATTGTTGGATACCGTCATGATATGCTTATTATGGAAACACTTACATTAGACGGGTCTGCCATAAAAAATCCACTTGGTTCCTTCCGAGATGCAATGCAGCGTGACGTGTAGCTGGCCACGAGGCTAAGTGCACTCCAGCATAGCCTCCTACAGTCTTCTTTGTCAACTTCGTCGGCGGTCCAAAGCGGATTGCAGGGCGGAACATAGGTCCAAAAAGGCAAGATTGGGTCAGATATCATAGTTGGGTTGGACGGGGAGGGCGTGCATGTACATTTGCTTGCAGAAGGATGTGAATGGAGGTCATCTTTTCCAGTGGCACCGAACAGGCGTCTGCGGGCTGCGGGTACGGTGTTTGGAGTGAACGTCGACACGTCGGGTTCGTTGCTATCCATGAATGCCAGACCAAGTGAGCGGATAATGTGATCCAGTTGTAACAGGGACTTTCTCTCTCGTTCAGGTGTGTAAAGGGGATGTGCCGAGGACTCGTATATAGCAAGCATCTGTTGTCACGTCAGAAAGAGTGCAGCAGGCGGAACCTAGACGCACCAGTGCTGCTCTCGCGAGATTGATGTCTATCAGTTGCGAACTCCACGAAGCCTCAAGTGAGGCATAGGCTTGATCCCTAAGCCATGCCGCCCGATTCTGTCCCGCGGTGCTCAGCCCCATTTCGCTGGACTTCATCAACGTCGTCACCGCCAAGCCCGCGAATATCAAACACAATTGCGACAACGAACGATCCTCCGACGCAAACAGTCGTTGGACGAGGTCACGGACATTGATTACAGGTAGCCAATGACCGCGGGTGGTAAAGCTAGCAGAGAATCAATGGCAACACTCGGACTCGGGGTCGAGGAACTCACATCAGTGACAAGTCATTAACGATATCATCCATCCTGAAGGTAGCATCTGTCAGGTTTGCTATGTACGCATGAAATTGTGCACATCTTACGATTCTTCCCGTGTTTTGGAGTATCCTCCCAGTAAATTACTCCAGGCTTCCTTAGGGTCATACTGGATGACTGGCGTGCTTGCCCCTCGAGATTTGTCCGGTTGCTGAAGAAGAAGTGGCACATAAATGATCGGTGTCTCACCCCGACACAATATGACACACCGTGGCATAGCTATCGGGCAGAGTGCGTGCTTGAGCCAACGAAAGTTCCGGGCGCCGAGGAGAAAGCGATGGTTGAGGAGGTTGATTGCCGGTATCCTGTTGAGTTCTGATGACGTTATGCTCGAGACCAATTCGTTGGGCTTGCACCTCGGCCTGAGGGTTTCCCGACCAAGTCCCAGCCTTTTTCCTTTTCGAGGGTGGCACAGGCGTTGAACCATCTGCAGGGCGTTTCTTGCACGAACGCTGGCGAGTGCCAGGCCGCTTGTCTGGTCCCCGACGCTTCGGGACGGCATCATACTGGCACTCGTTCGATCGGCGGACGCAGTTGTGACATATCGGTCGTGTTGAATCACAACGGATCTTCCTCGCTCGACTTCGAAGGCACGTGAGATACGGTGATGACGATCTGGAGCCAAGTGAAGCTCACCACTGTCGACATGCTATGACCAGATTTGATGATTCTCGTCGTGGGTTGCTCTGTGCGCCCGACTGTTGTTGCTGCGGTGGTTGTTGGGGGGGTGGCGCAGGTGCGGGCTGGAGGAGTGGTTGGGGTTCTGGCTCGCGCTTAGGTATTATCGTTCGCTGGTCGCTTTCGGGGACAATCGGTGGGGATGCTGGTGCGCATGTGGGATATGAGTTATCGCGCGATACATCATCGGAATACCTGCGGTGTGGGGCAGGGAGGTGGTAACTGAGACCTGGGCCCCCTCCTAACGCAGAAGAGAGAGGGAGCCGCGTGCCATGGTATGAATGGGGTGAGATGTCAAGACCGAGATGATTTCGAGGGGCGATCGGGTAATCTTGAGAATACGGAGATGGCTGATGGGGCTGAGTGGCAGGGTGTATATCCAGCTGGTCGTCGTAGACGTGGTGTGAAGGCTGGGGAACGGACAGCTGAATGCTTTTGTAATCAAACTGGGAGGCAAGCACGCCGGCGGCGCTGTGTATGTCGAGCCGATCGTGGTGATACCGGACTTTATATTGTTCGGGGGGAGGTGTCAAGCAGAGACATTAGCCATGGCAGAAAAGAGAGCGAGGTTACTCACTACTGTCTCCGTGCGAGTGGGGAAAGTGGGCACCGAATATTGGAGAGTGCAGACCGGAGCCATCCTCGCTGGACTGTGGCCCATCGTCAACGATGATGCCGTGAGGGAACTGAGCGTAAACATCGCCGTTTGAGCTGGCGACCATTTGGTTGAGACGTGGTGGGTGTAAGGAATTGGAGATCAAAGAGGACAGCAATGAGGACGAGCACTGCAGCGCTGGTTTTCGATTGCCACGCGAGATTGGGATTGGGAGGGGGAGAGGGTGTCTCATGGACAGGCCCACGAACGACGACACAGGGAAGCTTATGAAACGATCCCTGCCGTATTCGAGAAGAACACCGAAGATCACAGGATCTCGATCCGGGATCACAAAAAAATCTCACCAAACGTGGCAGAATCTGCGCAAATCTCGTGACCCCTCCACCCTCCCATCTTTTTGGTCAGAATATCCACCCGCCGAAATCGGACTCTGCGGGTGACTTGTCGTTTGCTTAGCTCGAGTCCCGTTTACTCGGGACCGTCCTATCAGATTATTTGCATCGCGGCCATCCCAGCTGACCGGACGCGAGAAGCTCCCCCTTTCTACGTGGCTTCCCCCACAACGTTCCATAATCTTAGTACTGCGCATATCCACCAACTCCAGAAAACTTGACGGGGCCCGCCGCCCGAGGCGACCGCCGGATCTTGGGTCGCCGTGTCCGTTCCTGAACGTTGTCAGGTAATCTCAGAACTCTAAATTCTTCCAATTGTAAAAAAAATGCCAGAATTAGCCAGCCCACAAATAAAGGTTTTCCCCCCTCGAATTTCACTTTCAGGCTTTCCATTTCGCCAGTTCCATCAGAACCCCAGCTCTCCAATTTGTTTTTCACGTATCCATGCTCCTCCGCGGCCTGCTGCGTCCACCTGGCCCTCGTATCGCCTCTCCAATCACCCCCTCCACATCATCATCCATCACAGCGTCATGAGGGAATGCCCATTTCGATAGCCTTTTACATACTCATCATGATGTCATCACCATCACCCTTTCCCACACAGGAAACACTTGTCCCGCCTGCCACAATGACTCTGTCTCTTTCCCCATCCTGTACATCCATGTGACCCACTAATGGACTGACTCCTGTCTGATGTGTGGTGTGTGGAATCCAACGACTGCCAGCAAGCACTATAATTTAGCCACTTGCCATGCATGTCATGTTACCTACGGCTTTGGGCCCAAATGTACAACTTGTGACCACGAAACTTCCTTTTCTGGAATACTCCGTCTTCCAAGCCTCTGGCACTGCGTTCCCCGTCGTCAGCAGGCAGCATCTCATGTTTTCGTGGCTGCTCTCTTGCTGCAGGAGACGGAGACGTCAGCATGATCCAGAGGTATCTCCTTACTTTACTCCCCATTCGGAGGGCCAACTGTTCAATTTTTAGAGCATTCCCAATGAACGCACACCTATCATCCCGGCGACCGAAGACATACAAATGCAAGCTACCTCTTTCATCCCCGTTTGTACTTCTGAGTGACCTTTGTCCCCCCAAAAAAACAGAGCCCAGCCTCGTGTCGTGGACCACCAAAAGCTCAAGGACAGACTTGGTTCAGTCCTCAAATCAAAGGAAACGTACGCGTTGCCCATGATTAACCCTGTCAACCATTCCGCCTAAATACATAGCCCTCTAAATAGGAAAATGGTGAATGTAAATGCGCAGTTTCCGTTCAACCTTCACAATCAGCATCTGGACGAGCCCTCTCCTTCCCGGTCATCGCGCAACGTCTCAGGGGGAACATATGGCAGCGGCAGCCGTGCTTCCCTTTCGCCCCGACCCTCCCTTAAAAAGTCTCACTCTAGTGTATCTATCCATCCTGATCAAGAAGATCTGTTTTCCTCTCCAGTCCTAGCCACAAATGGTAACCGCCTTCCTGCAATCTTGAACATGAGACTAGTCAAAGCGGAGAGACCCACCGGCAGCCATGGGCCGACAAACGACCAGGGATGTGCTTTGTCTCGTGGCGAGCAACCCGAAAGATCCGGTTTTTCTGAACAAGATGGTAGCTCGCCACCGGCATTAGCAAACGAAACCCACCCACCCGCCAGTGAAGGCAACCGGCCAAGTCCGATTCATCCACAACCTTCGCTTCCTGAGGACCTACAACGTCAAGAGGTAAGCCTTCTTAGGTGATCAGTGATTCGTCCCTTCGCCGTGTGATCTGACACTTGGCTCCGTGGAGGTTGTTGAACCTCGTTCCCCAGAAAGTTTTATCATTCATGACGCTGGTGCTGTGTCACGCTCTTGGAGAGATTGAGTACCCTCATATATGCATTCGTTCCCCGCGCCCAATTCAGGCGTTGCTAGTTATCTCAATGAGGTCGCTTTTTTTTTACCTAAGCAAAATTTGCATTTTTATCGTATGACCGTGATTTTTCCTTTGTAGTTCTCTCCGACCTGCCCATGGTGTGAACAAAGAAGTTGGCTTAGCGGACGTTGAACCTAAAACTCCGTCGCGCCATGCAGAAAATTCTTCCGACCTTCGGACGAAACACCATGATGCATTGCTGGGAACATTCAATTGACACAGGCAGACCCGTAACTCAACACGTCTTGCAAGCCAGAAAAGACGACTTATAATATGTGGTTCAACGGTTTTCCACGCGCTACGTGTTTGAATCTGATCTGTGCTGCGTTGGAATTTTTGATGACCCCTGTATGCCCTGAGCATTGTCAGTGACGGCTTCCGTGTCGTACAGCAAGGTGACAGTTTCCCGACCTACGCACTGCCTCGGATAAGACGAACAACACATGAAACGTCTATGCGTGGTAAGCTGTCGGACACGTCTGTTTCGCGAATTCGCTCCAGACTGTAACTCGTGGAAGTCTTCTTTCCCTGCGTTTCCTGGTGATACCTTTGTAACGCCTTTGTAATGAAGTTCGCTAATAATACACGTAGTCTCTTTTGTTTCAACCTACTTGGGACACTAGAATTGCCCGTGATATGATACCTAAGTGGGATCTGGATCTGGATTCGAGATGTGACGCATAATGGCAAGAGCGACAACCTCGGAAAAACATATCAGGCTGGGAAGCTCTGGGAAGATGAATCAATCTTTAGGTGAAAAGCCCCCGAGCAATTTCAAACCTTTAAACTTTGTTGTGCATATGGGGCTAGGATATATCAAGGGGGTCTTACCAGCTATCCCTGCCTATCTCGGCATTCAACCTCAGCTGCTTGTCGGGATGGGAAATATAATACCCTCACGAGTCTTTTCAGACTTCACTGCGGGTTTTGCATTGTTGACAGCCCCCCCCCCGGACTGCTCCGATGACGAGTCGAGGATGTAAGTAATATACAGTGCGAGAGAATTTGTATTACATATCTAGCAAGGCTGTCGAATGTGGAACTGTATACTTCAGTATGAGGTGATGCGGTTATATTGTTCTACCACCAGCAAGGCGTGTGCCCATAATTCATCAGAGGTTATGAGCCACTATGTGCCTCATAATTGTCAACGTGGCAAGTATCTCTGGCAGAGCTGTCAATTGGAACCAATCTGGTAAATCGGCAAATAAAATCTCTTGCCTACTGCAAGATGGGGATACGCTTCGTCAATTGTCAGCACGCACCCCGAGGAGCTAATGTACTCAGGTTCCCCGACCACCTTCAATGAATATGTCGCCACCAGTTGCTGGTTCTGACGAGTGCACTACACGTGCTGTCTCAGGAATCTGGTATCCCATATAGCCAGTGGGAACCCACAGTCCATTCATAGCCTTTCGTAGCACGCCAACTCCATTGATACTCTTCCCCATCTGATGCCAGGAATTTCCTCGACCTGGAACTGGGGAATATGTCAGCGATCGAAACAGGTCACCTATCACCGCTGGGGTGCTGACCTGGCAAACGGTGACACCCTTCTTAGGTACTCGCCCATCGCCAGGGGCGACCGTGATTCGAATGTAATCGTGCCCATAGAGTTGTCTGGGCCAAAAGCGAGAGCAACCAGTGCACGGGAAACTTCGCGTTCGTGTCCATGAGTCACATTGTGAATCATGTACGCTGTATGTGTTTGGACCTGGGCTGTGCAACGGAGACGCAAACGTAACCGATCATTGATGTCAATGAAGTCGGATCCAGCGAGTTCTCCCGTTTTATCCTCTAGAATGTATGGTATGCCATAGGTGGTGGTGTCCATGACTGACGAGTTATCAAGACACAGGAGATATTGACGACGACGCCTCTCTTGCAGTTGTCCGGGGATACCTTAGCCGTGTACGACTCCTATATGAGTGTCCCGAGAGTGGAGCGCTGGGACGGACGTACTGCATCCCGGTGAAAAACGGTGTCAAAGACAACGATGGATAAGCAAGGCACACAGCGAGTCACACACGGCGCCAGCATAATATCTCACCAACCACTATCCTAAAAGAATTTCATCAGTGGCCGCGCGTCTCCAGGTCTGGAGTTGCAATCAACACGGAATGGGTAAGCACGTTGCGGAAGACGAGAAAGTCATGGCCGCGACTTCTGAATGTGAGGGTATTACACCAACTTCTCCATATGCCGGCGAAGATGCATGGCCATGCACAATGCAAGAGCCCATCTGAGTAAAACTCTAATCTCACTCGGGATCACCAATCGGTGACGAGGGCCACGTGCAAAGAACAGCGCTATCTACACGCACGATTGAAGTCAACCGAAGGGTTTGAACAAGGTTTGCTGGGCAGCCGCGTGACAGGCAATAGGTCAGCTGGTGGAGAGCCATGAGGCATGGAGGCAAGTCCGCTGGTCTGGCACAATATACATATCGCGCTGGTATCAAGCTTCAGTCCGATCAACGGCTTCGCCATTTTTGCCAAAGCTTCCTGTGATGGGTAGATTTGGTCTTCTAGGGGCGGGATTGCAGCAAGTATCATGAAAGTAAAAACTATAGCTGTGAGATTAATGGGTCCCGGCTTAGGGGGTAGCCGGGCCAACATGTGGAGGGCACGCCACCGGCCTTGATCTTGTTCGAATAAGACGCACAGATGAGAGTTGATGGAAGACATCAATGCCGCAAGTTTCGTTTTAATTTGCCACTATCATCGAAACGCGAGCGCCATGAATCATTCACATTGATAGTTGGTTCGAGTGGCGGCGACATGCCGCCATAAATCTGTCAAAAGTGGACTTCCATCTGCTGTGATGATGTCAGGAGATAATGGTTCGTCGGACATCCTGGGCAAGGGGGTTCCATTGGAAACGTTGAATGAAATCATACTGACGCCCTGGAAGAGGCACTAAGCAGCACGTTATCACGTATGAATAGAGCATGTAACGCGGTGGATGGTGCAATGGGAAAGACCTGTTGGTGCAAGCGGTGAGGGGATTGTGTCCAAAAGTATGAACATGTAATGCGATAGTGGCACGCTCGCCATGCTGGTAACAGAGGACGGTCTGCCTAATCATCCCTCTAACGAGCGCTAGACCTGTGCCGCACTGCACTCGGATCCCGCGGTCTCCTACCATCCCGTGCTCTACCGTGTCCTCGTTCGATAGAGTCGTAATCTCTCACGCGGTCTGCACGCTTTGCGCCACCGCCGGGAGAACGTGAGCGAGACCGGCGTGTGCACCTGTCCTCGGTGTCTCGCTTCCGGTGCGGCGGCGACCTCGACAGGGAACGGGTACGATCCCGATGCCTATCCTGATTACGCGTCGCCTTCCTTGCCTCCTTCCGCGCTTTCTTCAATTCCTTGCGCTCTGCTTTTCGCCGCTTTCTTTCATCTTCCCGTTTTGTTTCATCATCTGGAATCAAGTTTGGAACACTCGCTGAGGAGGCCAAAGGTTGACTATTCGACGTCGGAGAAAACCCGCTGTCGAATGTGAATACCTACCAGGCAACGAGTCAGGGGGGAGAACGTACAGCGCCACAGCGAGTGCCTCAGCCTCAGCTTCCTTGACTTTGCGTATCTCTTCGTCCCTCTCAGCCTGAGTTTGGGATTCTTCCCTGCCATACCAATGAATGTCCTTGTTCTTCTGCCATCTCCCCGTTGGTGCATTGATGCTGTGTCCGAGATAATGCTATTGGCTGCCTCAGCGTATTAGTCCTACAAGAGGTGTTGGAAGATTACGCACTTCTCTGTCCTTGTCCGCGGCCACATCAGACCACTTGAATTGGGCTTGCCCGCCGCGAGTTCCGCCACGGACTGGCTCGAACATTTACTATGAAAGCCTAAGCTGCGGTACTTGTACTCTGTGATCGTTGCTTGTTCATCCACAGCGAGACCCTACTTAGTTGCTTATGTAACATATCGACGGCTAATACCCTCCGCTTCCGGAGTTCGTTCATCTCTGGTAATCTCCCCTCTGAATCCCAATGCCACTCGTTTCGTATTTAACATTTAATCTCGGCTTACCCAGGCAAGAAGTTGTGCGAACCGTAGTGCCTGTCTGTCGCTATCTGCTGTTCAACCGCTTTGACTCCGTGTGACCTTGGCATTATTTAGTACTTACCGGCCCCTAGGATAAGTCGGCATGAAATGTTCGTTACCAGGGTTCGCATCGAAATCGGAATACTCAAAACAGGGGTCTGGCTTAGATATATAGGCATTTGCCATACTTCAGCACGTGTAGCTCGAGTCCCTGGGTTGAAATACGGAGAGCGCTGCAGTGCCAGGAGTGGAGGATACACAGTATCAGCGACGTTCTGCTCCGATGCATAGGGTAACTACCAATGGTTCAGGGTTACTTTACACGATGGTCCAGAGTGATCGCTAGCTCTCGTGCAATAAACCACCTAGGTAATTAGTCGAGCGTACCTGCGGGACGAGCCACGGCTTGACACACGCAGACCGGGTTTGTCCATCCGCCGCACACTGTTAGCGCCAATCGGCTGCAAGTCCTGGCACAGAAGATTCGCCCAAAGTTTGATTTCGAGCGTGTAACACCAACGCGTCGCGTCCATTTACAAGGTTTTCGAATTATTTTTTTCTTCTATTCCACGCAAACCTACACCGTTAGCAAGCATTCTTGCCCTCACTCCGCCATGGACACCGGTCATTGCTCAGATACCAAGTGGAAGAACACGCGAACAGATATTCCTAGACAAGGGAGCTGTTTTCCGACGGAACTGGGAGTAAACTGGAATAGTCCGGCTTTCGCAAAACAAGCCAATGCCACCAGCCATGCGTTCACTTCGGTCCCAAGCCCTCCCTTGGGCCCCCTGACATGCTATCTCTGACAAGCTCCGCGGTTCCCAGCTGGTCGTCACGCTCTTACGCCTGGCGCTGAGAATATCGATCCACACTGTCGGCTGAGGTTGCATCCTAGGCGGTCTGCACCAGAACTATTCGTGTGCCGAGGATTTCAAGTGAGTGCACTGCGCTTGGGAGTAAGACTTGCATGTCTGACTGGATTCGATTGCGTTCTTGCCATCATCATCTCGGGCGTTGGGATCAATGGCGGGTCCTCGGAATATACCTTATCCTCGACCAAACAAGGCACGCAAATTCAAAAAATATCTTATCTCGACGAACAAAGTTGGCCTGGTTGTTTTTTTTTTTGGAAACGATACTGGCGATTCGGGGCAATGCGCGCGAGACTGTGACGACTGTGATGTCGTAGTTGTGTGTATCTTATTTTTGAGTGGTATTTTCAGTTTTCTTTTTTTCTTTTTTTAATAAAAAATCCAGGTTATCAATCCCGTGATTTTGTTGATGTGTTTCGTTTGGCGCACGGGCCCGCGTGGCAAACGTTGCTGCATGTGGAAATAGCCGAGCAGAACCTCCGTGTGTTCCTCAACCATCCTTTTATCGGTTGCACAACTGCTCCGCAACTTCTCCTGTCCACTCGCCCAAGTGCACGATGAGCAAAAAGGCCACTAAGAATCAGGAACCAGAGGCTACATATACTGAGCGCGACATCGTGCTCGCCAAAGTACGCGGCTTTCCTCCGTGGCCGGGAATGGTACGTCGCGTCACCTATCCTTGCGCCCTCCAACCAGCTCATTCGCGTTCATTGTACTCCAGGTCGTGAATCCTGACAGCGTTCCCCCATCTGTCTCCAAAGAACGTCCCACGGGCAAGAAAGCTACATTTTATTGTGTCAGATTTTTCCCAGCTGGGGACTTGTATGCCAACTCGCCCCTTTTTTGTATTACGGATCACTCAGATTCCTTGAACAGCGCTTGGCTTGTGGCCAAAGATATCTCCAAGCTGAAGGAGCACGAAATCCAAGCGTATATCAGTGAACCACACAAGAAAAACACCGACCTCCTAGCAGGCTATCGCATTGCCCTGGAGCCCGAGAAGTGGGAAAAGGAAAGAGAGAATGCTGATCTCATTGCTGCGGAACAAGAAGACAATGCGTCTGTCGATCAACTTGACAGTGAGCAAGACGAAGACGAGAAGAAACTATCCAAGGCAAAGAAGCGCAAGCGAGATTCGGATGCTGCAGCGAAACCCAAGGCTAAAGCCAAGGCTAAGACAGACAAAAAGACTTCTGTGAAAGGTAGGAAGAACGGAACCAAGTCGAAGGAAATGGTCGAGTCTGAGGACGACGGTGACCAAGACGCTGAGGGTGAAGGCGGCGACGTGGCTTCGGGCGCTAAAGCAGCACCACCGCCTTCAAAGAAGTTGAGGCGGGACAAGGATGAAGACGTCGATGGTACGTATCATTTTTTCTTCAGTGAAATGACGATTTCTTTGACCGTCCGTGTTATCAGTCAAAATGGAGTCCGATCCTGAAGCAAGGAAAGTCAGGGAGTGGCGGCACAAACTTCAGAAGGCACTTTTAGGTAGCAAAGGCCTTCCATCACCCGATGTATGTCGCAATGTGGATCTGTCCCCTTTGATGTTACTCATTTTTGCCAGGAAATGCCAGGTCTTGATCAACTTTTCACAACTGTCGAGAAATACGACCATCCAAACCTCATTGACTACCTCTCCGTGCGTCTCCCATTTCTAGAGTCGACGGTGTTATGCGCCTAACCTCTACCTCCCCGAACATGCTGGCAGTTTTCCAAAATCGGCAAGGTCATGCGTCACATTGCTGCATTATCTGCGGAAAAAGTGCCCCGAGATGAGGAATTCCACTTCCGAACGCGCGCAAAGGCCTTGGTAGAGAAATGGCATACCATAGTTGACGCCAGAAAGGCAAATGAAGGTGGAGAGGCCGCACCAAATGGCACCTCAGCAGAAGCAGCAGGGGCTTCACCAACGCAGAATGCTACGTCGACAGCAGCAGCCGCAGAAGGGGAAAATGGCGACGCGGTAGGGGATATATCTATGCTGTCTGCTGTATGAATGCTCTGTTGCGAAGTTCCGTTTATGATCCTATGTCGTGAGTTTTTTGCAAGTCAATCACCCGCTTTAAAGTCACCCTGCAGCTGGAAAGTATAGCGTTGGTCGCTCATTAGCAGCGTCTGTCAAGATGTACGATGTACATAATTCATTATGATGACTGATCACGTCAAGTCTTTTCATACATATATGTAGGTTACTTTGTAGTGGGAGGTCGTCAATTCATTACTGTCAGACCCCGTCTATTAGTTAGCATTTCTTGAGCTTTCGGACGCGGTCGTTGCCATATTTGCGACTCAGTTCTCGAACGTCTGTAGTGACTTCATTTGTAGAGCTGTTCTGGTGACTGTAATTCAGGCTTTCTGACCATCCTCCCACCGGCGACGATGCAGACGTTGAAAGCGATACGTCCACTATGCCCTATCCTCTCCGGGAACGCCTCCTGGCTTGGGGTAGCGCGCTGTCTCAACAGGTCTTCCTCATCCACAGCAAATGTCCTGCATGGTGTCTACAAAGTTCCACCTCCGGAGGACCAGCACATCCCCAATACTCCACTGCCGTCAGAGATCCCTGAAGCTGGCCGTCCCCTCGATCTGAATGAAGGTACCGCAGGCGTGCACTTCTATCGCAGCAGAGGTAAACCACTTGCCGTATGTGAGCGTCCTACGTCGTCTGACCGTATTGTCCAGCCTCTCCCTCCAGGCAGTAAGCCACTTTTCTACACACCGTTCCGCAGACCCTGTCAACCAATGTCCTGAATTCCAGCCGAACCAGCGTCTGTCCAGAGCAGTTACGAATTCCTCCCGGAAGTCCCTCGCATCCCGCTCGGCAAGACCATGCACATCAACCACAGCGACATCGACACATACTTCCGCCCTCTCATCCAGTGCCATTGGCACGTAGGTCGTGTCAGGGCGGCCGCCCGAGACGTCGAAATATTGACTCTCGACAAACTCTTTCGGTTCAAAAACTTCGAGACGACGCTCAAATTCTTCAATGAATTAGCTGAGATTTCACTGAATGAGAACGTGCGTGCTTTCCTAGTGCTCAACAATGGCATGTGTGCTGACCGCCAACGCCTCGGGACCCGTCCTTTTCCCAGCATCATGCCCATTATGCTTGTGATTATGCGCGGATCTACGTCAGTATTTACACCCGTGCTGCATACTGTAACACGCCAGCAGAGTCCGGGCAGTGGATCTCTGAACTGAATTCCCGGTCTTACGTTGCGAGATGTCCGCTTCGCGATCAGGGCTGAGAGGCTGCATCAGAGGTATCTCGCAGACGACCTCGCCATCACGCTAATACCGTTTGAAAACGAGCGGTTGCAGGACTGGTCAATAGAACGCCTCAAACTACGATATCCTCCCCGTCAGTCTGGGGTCATGTACGGTGCCAGTCGAGCGTAAAAAGCCATTTGGGATTGCTAGAGCACACCCGCGTCTACGATTATGTTGGAATGGAAAGCCTTGCAGTACACATATCAATATCAACCCCAAATGAACTTGGTGACGATCCTGATTTCCTCTTCAACGCCCTCGAGCGCGATTCGCTCCGCTGCGAGATCTTGTTGCATATGTAACTCATTGCTTGTTCCAGTCAACGAAATGATGTCATGGAGTTGCACAAGCTTGAAAATGATCTGCGCAGGCGTAGCGTCAAGTTTAGCGGCGGCTGCGAGGATTGTTGGGTGAGCTAGCAGACTAGGCGACCCGGTCAGCGTCCAGAATGACCTAGGTTTGACTTCATCAGTACGCCAAAGCAACATGGAAGATGCGAGAAACCAACTGGTACTCGATGTCGTTGTCTCTACAATACTGCCAAACTTCGCGATCCCAGTTGTTGCCCTCGTACCACCGGTTTTGCACCACCTGCACCTTTCTCAGCTGTCCCAGCGTGATAAGCATACGAACGTCGTAGACATTGCTGATACCAATCTTGCGTACGGTCCCCGCATCCTGCGTAGCGATGAGTGCACTGCCATGCCTCCAGTGTCGCATCCACGATCTGCAGAGGCGAGTGCAAAAGATAGGAATCGAGATAAGACGTCCGCAGATTGCGCAGAGAAGTTGCGAGGGATGATTCAATCTGGTCTGTGACGCTGTCCCGCGGGTTGTAAGGGAGAGGCTTGTTAAGGTCCTGGCCACCTATCGGCGTGAACCTAGCCCACAAAAATGACCAGACGTGAGTGTCCGGACCGCATAATTCCACTTAGTGTACTCGCTTGGTCTGGATGTGGTACTCTTTGCGCAAAAGACCGTGTCTGTATTGCAGCCTCTCCAAAGCCTCTCCTACGAGGTCCTCCCTATTATGTGAGATCTATGTGTGGGGAAGGGAGTGCATCTCGAGAGCATCAGATACCTGTAATGCTTTGGCTGGCATGCTAAGAGGATGGTTTGTCCTGTAGTTCACATCTACTGTATTGGACGTGGACTGACCTGTGTCAAGAGCACGAAACCCCTGTAGAAAGGCGTTCATTACAAGCTGGGTTGTGCGTTCGCCTTTCCTTTGCAGTTTCTGAGATGACCTCTGTAGCGTGCTACTCAGTGTTCCCCGACTCACCATGCAGTCCCGTAGATAACTTTGGGTTTCAGCGCGTTCATGGTAGTCTTGCATAAACCAGCCTTAGCAGCACAACTCAGGTCCCAGCCAGTGTGTCGTCACATGTGAACCAATATGCCAGTGACTGCATAATCTGATAAGAGCAGCACGGCGCCTCCCAAGAAAGGGTCAGATCTTTTGGGCTGCGCTCGACGACCTCAAAAGTACACGACTTTTTTGAACCTTCGCTGGGGTTCCCGGTAGCCTCCTCTTAAGCCTGTCGACATGCACTCCAGCCTGTACCTCCGCTCGATTTCCCTGCTTGTTCTCATCTTTCTCGTCATTCGAAACCTCTGCGTTTTTCCGCTTGAAAACATGGAAGTCGTCCTCATCTGCACCTGCCTCCTTCCCAATCCCAAATATCTTGCTTACTGCTGTCCCAGACTGATCGCGTTTCCGTAGCTCGCAGTCCTTGGCCAGATGGGTCTTCTGACCGCACAGTTTGCAGCAACCACCATTCGGGTAGATACCCTTATCAGTGTTCTTGGGGCAGGACGAGGCAAGATGTCCTTTTAAAGAACACACAAAGCATGATGCAAAGGGTAGCGGGTTGAGAGGATCTTCCGGCTTCTTACATCGTGACAGGGTGTGCCGTGTAGATCCACACCTGACGGGTTCGTCAGGGTTCACAGGGAAAGAAGGAGTTCGGAAGCGTATGTGCATACCGGTAGCATATTCCGACAACCTTTTTACCACCTTTATCCTGCGCGTCCACAACCGCCTTAGTACAATCTTTCGCAGCGTGACCTTTCTCCCTGCATATGAAGCAAATTGTGTTCTCCTGCCGCTGAGCCACGCGTTTCAATCGACGGTGCTCCGAGCGATGCATAGGGTTATTGGAAGATATCTGAGATGCATCTGACATTACACCTGTTCAGCAGTGGTCCGAGCAGATAACCAAAATACTTCGCCCCGCTTTCTCCCGTTTTTAGTTGACCTGCGCTTAGGGATTTGGTGATCAGACTGAAGCGGGCCTCTCGTCGTTGTCTTCTTGCGGTCCGGTATGGGCTCTGTCATCACCGAAATCTTTCGCAGACTTCTTGGCCTTCCTTCGCTTCTTGGGAGAGCTTTCTGACGTGGCCGGAACTTCTGTTGGCGAGGGGTGGCCATCCCATGCCGTAGAAGGCTCGCCGGAGGAAAACCCTGCTTGCACATATGTGCGCTTGCGACCAAAGTTCGTGGTTCGCGTCATGGTCAAGCGTGTGTGTACAGAAGAAATTTTCAATTGCATTCAATAAGGCAAATAGCCCCTATTAGTGTTATCCTTGTCAGAGTCAGATCTACATCCTATAACGGCAAAGTTGTCCTCCCAATGACGTTCATCACCAGTTGCAAACCGCGAAACCCCATCCCTGACCACGAGTTCCATGGCCCGGAGCCATATAACGTCAATTTCGCGTTTGGAGTGCAGTATATTTGCCCACAATGCATAGCATAACGTTGGGCCAGTAGAAACTGGCGTTTAGTACTGCAAAAAATCTAATAATATAAAGACACAGTTATGCATTACGAGCAAGTGCACTGTACCACCAGACCTGTCCAGCGGCAAGCTGCGCCTTGTGCCTTCGTGCCTCGCGTTCATGCTACCGCATACCTTGACGGTGTGCAGGGACATGAGTTCCATGTATCGGTACATGCCTTACGCGCTGGAGCTTCCTCCGGACTTTTGCACCTGACGGAAAATTTCAGACGCAACGCGGGCAACATCCTCTCTGTAATGCATCGATACCACCCAGATTAGGGAGGTTCCATAGCGGGAATGATTGGGCTGCTGGACACCGTGTAGACCACCTCGTCACCGAGATCGGCCCTGTCATCGTCCTCCCTGCCTTCCAATGCATTCAAGTTGAGTCCCATGTTGTTGGTTTACTTCTCAGATGTAAGCTGGAGCTTCCTCCGGCTGGGTTGCATTTGCTTAGAGTAAAGTGGTGCGGTTCGCCTCTTAATATATCTTTCAATAATCTGGCGAAGCGGATGAGATTCAAGTTTGAAAGAGTATCGAGGTGGAAGTTCGCTCTACCCCAAATGGAGGGATATCCTAAAGTCAGGACTGATGGGAGAGAAGGAGATGCGGGGAACGAGCGACTGGGACGGGACAGTAACAAGTATATGGTATGTTAGGATGACTGGGAGAATGGGGGGAGCGCTATCGTGGAGAGTGCCCTTGCAAGGTGAAGGTCATACCATGCATCAGTGAATTGTGCGAGCGTGTGCTCAACCTACAAACTTTGTCGTGCTGTGCGGTTGACCTGCACGTCCTCAATTGTCGAGTTTCCAGTTGTTTTCTTTTACCATCTTCTCTCGTTCGAGGAGATATTTGCCTGTGACGTAGATGAAAGCCGAGGCGATTGCGAGTGATCGTGAACTGCGCACCTTCTTTGTATTTCTGAGACTGATCTGCAGCTTTGTGGTAATACCATCCTATGCGATCGTTGCAGCCGACGCAGAATACATCTGCGACTGTGTGAACGCCCGTACTATGCTATTCAATGAGTCCGAGAGCAGGTATGGGTCCAAACAATACTCGCAGGAGTGACCGATCCTCTTTCTCTCCGAGCTTCACGTTGACGGCGGAGTGCATCAAGCTAGCAGCGATGAGAATAGTCATCCCAGAGGGCTTCAGGACGTACTATCCTCGACCGTCCCTACCCGAGAAAGACTTGCTGATAAGTTCGTCCTGGAGGGCCTGGATGATAATTTAATAAAATGATGTTGGAAGTGGGCCTGGAGATGTACCAGGACAGCTGAACAGGTTGCACAAATAAATCTAGGGTGGTCCTGAAAGACAGAGACGACTTGATTCTTGGTGTCTGTGGAGGGGTTCATTAACGAGTCCCAATGTGGCAAGTTGGCAGTCCAAGAAAGGATACCCCATCGTTTCCACACAGCCGCTGGTCCGTGCGTGGTCACACACGTATATAAACAGCAAAGAGGGCAGTGTTTGTTCCCCTATCTCTTGTGCTCGGGCATGTACTGTCGCCAGTGAGGTCTTTACCGAGGCACAGTCTTTTGCTGATTGCAAATTACACATCCGAACCCGTCTGTTAGCTTCGGCTTTCAGCAATTTTTGGAAAATTCCCTTCGATTGGGATATTTTATGTAGAACATCTTAGTGCTAGTATCTGTTAATAAATGTTTTTGCTCTCGAATCTCAGACCTCGTGTGATTTGTTGAGAATAATAATGTTGAAGGCGGCTTACAGAGTAGTGTATGGGTCAGTGCTTTAGAGCCTTGAAATGTAGAGTAATCAGTACTGTCCAGCATGACACTCTCAGATTGTCTGGAGAAACAGGGACTGAAGTGCATGATGGATCACAGTGACCATGTTGACCTGTCTGAGCAGTTGATCCAGTCTGTTCACAAAGTCCTCCAGCTCGATCCTGACAGCATCAATGATCCTCTGGATGAGCTGTCCAATGAGTTTAACCCAGTTGATGTGCTCAATCAGCTCTTCCCTGATGGTGAGTCGCCTCGTTGTGTCTTCCTTAGGTGATGCTAACAAGCATCATGTTCAGAGGCCTCCCTTACCCAGCTGGAAGCGGTTCAGGGAAGACTTGCCGAAGATGAACGTCTCCTCCAACAAGAGATCGATACGCTCGAGGAGGAACTTAGACGTGACCAAGACCCCAACAGGATACAGCTTATTCAAGAGATGATCTCCGTGTGTCTCCCAGCTTTTTTCCGCCTTCTTATGGCTTATAGGTATGTCTACAAGGACATACTAGGTCAGATGTCTCGTATACGCGAAAAAGCTTCTGAGTCAGAAGCCGTCGTGCGGAACATCACAAAGGATATTCAGAACCTTGACTTGGCCAAGAGGAATCTTACGACAAGCATGACGACCCTCAAGAGGCTGCAAATGTTGGGTAGGGTGTCTCCCGCTCATTGCGTCACCTTGGACCCATTCGCGTTGCAGCAAATGCCCTTACTCAGTTAGAGGACCAAGTGAGAGAGAAGCGGTATAGCGAGGTCGCCCAAACACTAGCGGTCAGTGATTCGCTACTGTCAGTTTGCAATACGTTCAGGGCTTGAACGAGAGCGATACAGGCTGTAAAAGAAATATCTGCCGCCTTCAAGTCCTATACTTCAGTGCCCTATATCGCGCGATTGTGGAAGCGAATCCAACAAGTCACAGGGCAAGTTCGTAGCCAGGTGGACAGCGAATTCGAGGTGTTGTAGGTTCATTCCGCTTATTCTTTCGACATATTATCGAGGCCCACGCGCGTTTTAGCTACTTGCAGGATCCTGCTAAACAGACAAGAGCCTCTCAAATCACGGATGCTTGTGCAGTCGTTGACGTTCTCGGACTTGACGTTCGGACTCAGTTAATCGAACGCTACGTGGCAATAGAGCTCAAAGAGTATCGCCGTATCTTCCGTGCAAATGACGAGGCAGGCCACCTCGATAACATTTCTCGCAGATTCGCTTGGTTTAGGAGGCTGCTGACTTCGCATGAAACTGAAACGGGGAGGGTATTTCCAGTCGAGTGGCAGGTTGGCTGGTGGCTCTTCACCAAGTTCGTAGCAATTACGCGGTGGGTCTCTACTAATCGGCACACAGCATCTGTCTTATGTCTGGTTGGGATTTGCCAGAGATGACCTCTCTACGTTGCTATCCAAAGCCGGTCCGTTGCTGACACTTAGGCTATTGTTGGAAACGCTTCAGCAGACAACTGAGTTTGAATCTGCGATGTCGAAGAAGTGGGCTGCACCTGTTGGTATTCCATCTGTCGTGTTTTGAAAAGGCTTTTTTTTTCACAACTATTTGCACAGCTAGGTGAAATATTGAGCACGGCTTCGTCACCCGCAGCTCCAGTACAACCATTGTCATCCGCTTTCGAACCCCATCTGGGTATAGTCGTAGAAGCTCAGGACAAGCAAGTGGAATTATTCGTGCGCCGTTTGCTATTACTGATGCGCTCCTGAGGCAGGGCGCTTGCAGACATGCTTGCACCTCACCGAAATCCAAAGAGTCGTGGCTCTCTCGACACTGTCACTAGGCCGTCAACAGCTAGCTCGACGCCACGTGTTTCCCTTTCTGCCGACGATCGTGAAGAACCGACACATATTGTGATGCCCTCATCTACAGAACTCTTTTATTTCTATGCACAAAGTCTAGAACAGTGTGCAAAACTATCGACTGGTCAGGCTTTGTTCGATTTGTATGGAATTCAAAAGAAATGGCTCAAGATATATGCTGGTTCGTCCATATCCGCCATATCAGGGTGTACATTGATGCTTAATGATTACTTGCAGAGGATATCCTCTTACCAGCACTCAGAAGGTAACTTGGAATTGGCCTTCATTATCTGTGTTCTCATAATAGCCAAGGTCAAACATGCCCACGCGGAAATCGTTAGATACCCACTTTGATGCAGCGGAGCTCCGACGAACATGTTTGGTCGTCAATACAGCGGACTATTGTCAGAGAACGGCATTAGAGGTTCGTTCCCATTCCAAATGCGAGTGCTCGAACGGTTCTTAGCCGCGCCCTCAGCTCGAGGATAAGATAAAGGAGAAACTTGCCGAAAGATTCAAGGAGAGGGTTACGTTACAGACTGAACGCGATCTTTTCATGAGGTGCGCTATGCAAACGCCGCATTTGCTTTTTTTGTCTGAGCATTTGAAGCGTTATATCCGGGGCAATTAATTGCCAGTTGCGTGAACTTGAAACGGCTTGTGAGGGCGCTTTTGCTACCTTGTCGCGAGTCAATTGGAGTATGACAAGTCAGGTCTCTGGACACTCGGCTTACGTCGACGACCTTGTCAAAGTCATTGAACTAGTGGTCGATCAGATTAAACACCTTGTTGAACAGAAAAAGTTTGTGCGGAACTTCCTTGATAAAGCATGCAGGTCAGCGTGCTGTTTTGATGATACGAAAGCTCTTTTCTCTAATCGGGAGAATAGCCTCATCCTGACGCGTTTCACTAACGCACTGGTCAAGAGTCGGCCGCTCAGAGAGATTGGCGCAGAGCAGGTAACTTGTATCAACGATGGTTGCATGTATCATCCGATGCTTATATTCTCACAGCTTCTGATTGACCTCGGTGTCGTGAAGTCTTGCCTACTGAAATTGCCGAGTGAAGCTCTATCTACTTCCGGGTATGTTGTTTTCCGACCGGCGGTGGCACGGATGATCATGGTACCTCCCCTTGGACACAGCTACACAAGGAGCTTGACCAAAATTACCACTAGACTTGAGGCACTGCTAAAAGTCATTGTCACACCCGTAGTGCGTATTGGAGCGCTCTTGATTCAGGAACGACGATTGATGAAACAGCTTAGGATCCCCCAGAAGGCTTTATTCTCAATTACACGTTACTTATTGGCGATGCATCATTCTCAAACTTCCAAAAGGTACGGCGCATGTGCAAGAATCGGGAATCACTCGCTGATGGGCCATTTTGTCAATATTGTAGATTCTTGACCTGAAAGGCACGCCGAAGTTGGAGCAGAACAGCCTTCTTGACACTTTTGTCACGATTGCAAGCACCAAGACAGAACTGAACGGCACATCATTCTTGAGCTCGCTTGACATGGACCCGCCGCCCACCGTCACATTCGGCAGTCCAGCTGCGAGCCGTGTTGCGCTCCCACTTGTCATGACACCGTCTGGTGGATCGGATGGGGGCCTCGGGGTGCTTAATTCTTCACCTTCGAGTGGGCCGCCGACCGGGTTGAGCACCGAGGGTACTGCAGGGAGGGGAAGCGAACCCAGCCAGAAGCGTGAGGTGTTTTCGGATATCAGGCGGTTCGTGAGCTTTGGACTGCGTAGAGACACGCAGCCAACATAGACGCCTACACGTTTCGTTATTCTTCCTCTTTCACTTTTCTTGAAATGGGCACCTCGAGTGGGTGGTGGACAGAGGATAATCGGACAATCCCTCAGAACGCGTGCGGTACGAATGCCACCATGAATGGCTAGACCAGTGGGTAAATTGCCAGGGTAAAAGATGAGTAGCAAAGCGACATGACGACCACCTATAGAATCCACGGTGTCCAAGAAAATAATTTCGTAATTTACTAGTACGCTACCTCGGACCTCTCATGGCCGCCCGTCCGCCTTGCAAAGGCAGTTGAGGAACAGAGCTGGACCTGGTAGGCGCCCCTGATGTTGACGGTCTTGGCCTTGGGCCCTGGAGATTGCTTATACGGAAGGTTGGGCGAAGAGTAGTTGCTGATGAGGGTGCAGTCCCTGGGCGCCTTGGAGCGGTGTGGGCGTGCGACGCGGGGATCGTGGCTAAGGAAGGAGACTGTCGCCTTGCAAGCCGCACACTGGGGGGAACATTGACTGGCGTCATGCCAAGCACACGCTGAACTATATATGGGGGAGGTGGTGCGGGCAACGGTGGCACAGTGTCTGAATCTTCACGGTGAGGAAGAGGAGGATGAGGAGGAAGGCCAGAATTTGCACTGGTGCGCCGAGAGTCAAGCGGATTAGAATCTGAGAAACTGTGCCGGAAGTAGATATCAGACACAGAAAGCGGGAGACTCTCCGTAGGGGAATGAGGATCGCTACTCGGTGCACCCGACGAAACATCCGCATGTGTTCGTGGTTCATTAGCGACACCGGGAGATAAGGAGGTACTGGTGGGTGATGGACTCTGCTCCAGGGAAATGGCATTGAAGGGGTGGGGCATGTGAACCGACGGGGGAATTGCAACGGGAAACGGAAATGGTGCGGAGCCCTGGGTGTTCGTAGTCGGGAAAGAAGGACAAGAATGTCCATTGGAGTTGTCCGAAGGTGATGCAATATCAGAATTGTCCGGTGGGGTAGACGGTGCGTCGGGGGTGGGCTGGAGCGTGACGTCGGTCCTATTGTGTTCCACCCTCAATACGGGGATTGATCTACCACCATTCCTCCCAGCGATATCCCGTTCATGACCGTTTTCTGCAGGTGCCGAGCTTACTGTCCTAATGGTATTGCTCTTGGTTTGGCTACGAATGGAGGGATGGGATGACGTGAAGTCAAGGAATGAGTAAGTTCCAGATACAGGAGCAACGTCACTGGGAGGGGCCTCTGAACCCGATTTATGCATCACTACAGGCACGGATTCCGGTCCAGAGGAGCTCGTCGGCGACTCTGTTGGACAGGCATGAGGGCTTTGCTTGCCGTCGTCTTTGTGAGCTTTTCGGTAAAGTTTGGCGCGTACTTTCGACAAACTGCTGCCCATGCTTCCGGAGGTACTTCTGGAATCGCGCTTTCCCTTGAGTGAGGTGAAAATAGCACCAACGTCTAGCCTAAACGGGCTGGTTTCTCGCACCTGGAGAGGGTGACCATCTCTGCCAAGCATTCGAGTTTGCCTGTTGTCAACATCTTCGCTACCAAGCGGACGATGGAATGTGGCTGGGGCTTCTGAGGTTCTTGGACTCAAACAAAGTGTAGCCGCGATTGCCTCTCCTTGTGTCGATGTTAAAGTTTTGGCATCATCTTCACCACTGTCGTCCACTTCCTCCACGCGCAGTTCAGGAAGTAGGCTCCTGCGTTTGTGAGCGTCAATGGCGAAGGAAGTGCGTGTAGCGGGATTCGTCCACCCGGGGGCCAATTTTTCTGATTCAGGGACATAGGAAAGGACCGGTAATTCGGCAGCGAGGGTGCTTAGAGACAGTCGTTTGTCGTCGAGGTCGTATTGTACGGTCATAGGATGCATCTCGGGCCTTGACGGGCCACTTGACTTGCTGCTCGAATTGCTTTTCTGTTTTGCCTTGCGGAACATAAACGAGAACCCGCGTCGTAGACCAAGCCCAATACCGTAGCCTTTGCTGGCACTGAGACTATTTGACTCCAGATCTTCCTCGCCAGCTGATGGACTGACGTCAGAAACTGATCGAGGGTCCTGATATTTCTTTTCGTCCCGAGTGTTGTTCCGGCGGGTTACGGAGAGTAATCTGCCTGTACGACTGGATTTTCGACGTTTGATACAGAAGCGATAAAAGATTACAGAAAGGAGCACGACCAAGGCTCCAGCCAGTACAGCAGCAGCTATTGTCCCAGCTGGAGTAGAGGCGCTACTGGACGAGCTGAGAGTCATGCTGTGGTACGTCAACATCGTCCCCGCGCAAAAGAAAGGAGTAACACACCTTGTGTTGCCTCCGTACGTAGTGACATTGACACCGCCTACTCTGATCGCGAGCGTGGAGTTCTCCTCGTTGACGATGGTCAGCAGGTGAGCCTCCTGGGAAAGGTCCGTGGCAAAAAACAACAAGGTATTTGAATTGTTATATGAGGATTGAGCGGACATGGTGGTAGTGACGTTATCGACAATTACGGAGTATCGTCCTGAGAACGATGAGACTAAGCCATAGACTGTGAGCGCAGAACCTGTGGATTGGGGGCAGTGTTAGTTGGTACATACGCCACTAGGTCGAGACCTGCCTATAAAGGATGCCTGGGCGCGGTCACCGACAGTGGTTGAGACGTGCATCGGAGATCCCGTGTCATCCGTAACGTAGCTCCAGCGGCCCATGAAGGCGATATCCGTATCATTTACGGTATATGGGGTGGCTGTGGTGCTACCGGTTGGACATCCCATCGATGAGGCGGTGTCAGATTCATCACTGATGGAACTCACTTTGCAGCTGACGCGGGAGGAGCGTATGATATAGTGGCTTCGGTGAAAGTCAAGTACGCGTTAGCTGTATTTGAGTTCGTTATGGCAGTCGTAAGTAACAGTGTGTGGTTTGTGTATTCCAGGTCATTCAGGGAAGCAAGGAGGGTGTCCGTTGCATTGTAGGAGGCAGACGGAAGGGTATGTCCGTCCAAGGCGATCAAGTATGATGCATTACTGGCTGTTCCCATAAGATCAATACCTGTGCCTATTGACCGATCCGATGATGGATTGCATTGTACATTATGTGTCGAAGGGTGAGCACATACCGTTCCACAGAATCAAGAAGCTTGCACCATTGAGGTTGGTGTAGTGATAGCTGGTGCCTTCACCGACTTGATCAGGTGAGTTGGCGACCCCCGAGCCCGTATACTGCAGTTGCCATCCAGCAGTGATATTTTCGCTGGGTTCGAGGTTTACGGAGGGAAAGTATGCCACTTCGGGGGACTCATTGCCGATCGATAAGGTGGAGAGATTGCCTGCCATTCATCCAGCCCTGGAGAGATGCGGCTACGAGAGCAGGGAAGAGGAAAAAGGGCAAACGAGTGGAATGGCGCCGAGAACGAGACTACATGAGACGCCCGGGAACCCGGCTACAGAAGCCTCGAGGGTGTAAGCGGCGCCGAAACGGAGAATTTAGGAATGCTCAAAAATAAACAAAAAAAAGGGCAGGAAAGGCTAGATGCCTTCTGACTAGGCTGACCCATTAGCAAGACCAGGGAAGTTGCACAGGATCGTCGTTGGGGCCTTGGCAGCCGACTGCAGTTTTGCAAATGTGTATGACCTCGATTAGGTTATCTGACGTTCTTCCGAACCACGTATGCTTGCCACGCTTTAGTTACCATCAACCACCAACCGGTGCAGCGTTGTCAGGTTGGACCATGTAAACTAGACAACTAACCATACTTACCCGTGGTTCTAACTTCTCAGACAGGTGGACGGGTCTTTTACGTGGAATGGTTTCCCCAATTTTAACGGAATCCATCGACCCCTCACCCAAACCAGGGACACGGTTTTTCCTGCCCTCTCTATTGGCACATGTGCGTGCCGCGCTGCCAGGTCTTCCCCTGGAGCCTGTAATAATACAGGTCTTGCTACTTTGCATCACGTCCGGAGATAGAAATCTCATCCTCCGCACCCGTGACGAGGACATCGACCTCATCGCAAGGCTGACAACCCTAGTAAGTCTATAGTACATTTTCCTGAGACACTGGCATCCTGTTCTTGTTGTGCCTAAGCCTTCATCGCCCCTCCAGGCCCTTGGCTCAGTATTTGGCTACAACGTTCACAAAATTAAATATCGCGCCGATGCAGGCGACCAAATGCCATACCAGATTCTACAGTCCTTATTCCTTCCTTCGGCGGTCACTGCTGGCGCTGTTTCATCTCGCAAAAATCGAGAGAGACATCGACGTATGTCCAGTTCGCGCAATTCTAGTGGAAAGCAACCCATCGTGATGCAAGCTACAACCAACGTGTGTCATAGTAGGACCGATTCCTTCTCTCGCTCTGCGTCATACCCGGGTAACTCGCGACTATCAACTTCCGCTCCACGACAGAGGAATCCGGACCTTGAACCCCACAATGTATTGACAATACCCATTGCCAATCTCAAACGACCCTGTCTTCATTCTTTTAGCGTGAAAACTGAACCATCCATCCCAACTGTTGGTTCCGATGGGAGGCCGCATCCAGAAAAATCATTGCATGCTAGCACGGACAACTTCGGTGTACCCGCCGCAATCGTTGTATCTGGCCTTGAGCATGCGAGTCTCCAAGCCCAGAAAGCCATTCTTCGTACACTTGCAGTCGGACAGCTTGTTTTTCCAACGGACGGGAGTCCAGAGACCGATCAGACATTTGATCTGCCCGAGAATTTTATCTTAATATACGTATGTCGGCTCGATGCTCGAGAGAGACCGCCCATTTACAAGAGCCTGGTATGTTCCCTCTGATACGGACGGGGCGCATTTCAAAACATTTCTTTGGTCAGCTAGACAAATTTGCAATGAGCTCTCCAGTGAGCGTTGGCCAGCACACCCGTCTGGCTATGAGACAATTTCGTCTGTCTTCGACTCAGTCGCCAGCGCTACCATCACCGTCCACCTCTGGAGCATCCGCGGCCTTGTTCATGTCTCCGTCGGGTCCAATGTTACCTCCCACAGCCCTTCCTGGACCGCCACCAGTCTCTTCATCTTTTCTCCGTCGTTTGAAAGGCCTTTGTGCGAATCACACTTACGTGGGACCACCACTGGATACGTACCTGGCAGATCTTTTTACCGCAACTCGCCACTTCGGCTCTTTGGATGGGACGTTACTCACTGTACGTGCACGGCAGGATGCCGAAGCACTCATCCGTGCATCCCGTGTACTTGGCATTGATCCTACTGGTGCCGAGTTTATTGTGGAAGCAGCTCACGGTGCACCCCCAGCCAGTGAGACATGTTCGATTCGGCGAAGTTATCCTGCTTCTCAGTCCAGTGCGAGTGTGTCTTCTGATGCACTGCTGGATTCTGTCTACGTCCCACAGATTCGCCAGCCGTCCCCAGCTCCAAGCGTGGGACAGAGCTCACCAGGTGTTCTTATACAAGAAGACGCGTTGGAATTAGACGTCTCGGAGGCCAATATCGCGCGAATGTTTCCCAGAGTAGTGTCTCATCGTGTGAGGGTAAGGGACTCACCATTCGACGAGGTCCTCAGCAGCGTGGTTTGTGGTGATATGTCCCAGCCTGCTGGTGCCAAAGACGGAGACTTAGTGTGGAAGAGGGATACAGTGAAAGATATTTTAGTTCGCATCCTATCGGAAATTTGAAGACAATATGTTGCGTTTATGCTTTCGTTCACGAGGCCTAGGTTGACTACATAGCTGTGAACTACATACTATCATTGGACCACCCATGCATAATGGACAAGTCATGCATGATCCTGTCTAGTGCCTCATTTCCTTCAACTTCTTGACTCCGAAACAAGTATGTTAGAATCCACAGGTCGTTTTCGATGCTGCTGAACCCACTGCCCAGTAAAATACCGGATCTGAACAGAGTCGTAGATAAGGATAATCGGCACCATTCCCCAAAAGCTGAGGGCATAAAACTAACGGTCACGTGGCTACGCGCGTCTGTACTTGTAGGTTTGTTTGCGTTGCTTTGCACCTCAGCTGTTGTGTCTACAACACTGAGGTGAGTACAATAGCCCCTGAGGACCTGTCTACATACTCATTCTCGTAGTGTGTCTGGTCAGGTAGAGTTAATCATAGCTGTTGTGTCTACAATGCTGAGCATGTCTGGTCGGTTTCTCTACAGGTTATGAGCCCTCTTCAAACCAACTGAGAATGACATGATTGTACATTCTGCATACATGGTGCATATACTGCATATACCTATCTTTACTGCATATTCATGTTATCCCTGGTGCTCATCATGGGCAAACTTGATCATATCCCTGAGCTCACTGATGCCTTGACCTTCTTCACCTGGAAGACTCAGATACTCCTGGCTTTAGATCATGAGGGTGCATATAGTCATGTTAGTGACAGCACAGACCCTTTAGACCCTGTTGAGTTTGCTTCTGAGCAACCACAGGCTGAAAACCTGACCAAAATCACTGATGCTGAAAAAAAGGCCATTCTTGGGTGGTCCAAAGATGATGCTGTAGCTAAGGACATCCTATGCCATCATTTATTGCCAGCCATCTTATGTCTCATTCCCCAAGAGCAGTCCACTACTACTTGTGACATCTGGAAGGCTCTTCATGACAATTTTGACCACATTGTTGTTGGCTCCTGTCATCTTGTTCATGCAAAGATTCTGCACCTGCAAATGAAAGATGCTGGTGATGCAGCCTGGTACCTGTCAGAACATTCAGCTGCCCAACAGGACCTCATTTGCATGGGGGCATCCTACTCTGATGAGGAGGCCATTTTTCACCTTATAGAAGGTCTTCTGGACACCAGCACCTGGCTGTCTTTTCACCTCTTCCTACAGACCTCTTGCTCAACTAAGACCCCTGCTCCTACAGCATCCACAACTTCTGCTTCCCAAGCAGGCTCTTCTGTCTCTGCTGCACTGTCCACAGGTTCAACTACATTTGAGAGTGTATCTGTCAAGATTGCAGCAGAAGTGCACTGTCTTGTCCAACAACTTTCCTTGTCATCAGTTGGGTCTGAGTATGTCAACATGGCAACAGCCTCACCTCTGGTTGGTCCACCCAATGTAAACCCAGCCACAGGTCTTTGCAGGACATGCAACAATCCTTCTGGCACTTACTGTGACATGCCTCTTGGAGATGGTCTTGTATGCAGGGCCAGCAATCATGATCAGGTGCATTGTTTCAAGCCTGGAGGTGGAACGGCTAGTCAGCGACCTGCATGGTGAAAAGGTAAAGGTGACAATAAAGATTCCACCAAGCCTACCACAGTGGTGGCAGCAGTCCCTACACCCTCACCTGCTACTCAGCCCACTACTCAACCTGCTCAGACCACTCCCATGGCTGCTGCTGCAGTCAGCCCCCCTTCCCCCTGGGATGCTCACCCTGGAGACCTTACCTGTGCAGTTATCACTGAACTCACTGACAGTGATGACATGGCATACCCCTCTCCCACCCTACAGGCATGCCTTGCCATGTTGTCTGCCTCTAGCCTTCTCAACTCAGGCAATTCCTGCACCCTTGTCCATGACCATGCCTTCTTCTGCACCTATGTTGCAGACTCTACTGTGAATGTCCAGACTGCAAATCATGGATGCCTACCTACTGCCGGACATGGCAAGTGTCTTGCATTTCTGACCATCAGGAGTGACAGGTATTGAGTGCATCTCACCAACTGTCTGCATGCCCCTCAAGCAGTGCTACACCTTGTTTCTGTGGGCTGGATGCTTCATCAGGGGTTGGGCTGCAATTTCCAAGGCAATCCTGCTCACTGCAAGCTGTCCCACCATGGACATCCCTTGGGCAGTGTGCCCCTACAGTCAAACAACCTCCACTTCCTGGACCTTCAGTTTGTCTGCTTTGATGCACTGTTGCCACTCACCACAACTCCTGTCCTCAGTGCCTTCACTTGGGTACTGGTAACCTTCAACCTGTGGCATGCATGGATAGGTCATGTTGGAGGGAGGGCCATGAGGCAGCTTTCCTCCATAGCTGAAGGTGTCAGCATAGACTTCCCCAGTCCAGAGTCAGTCTGTGAGTCTTGTATTGTTGGGAAACATGCTTGCTCACCATTTAAACCCTTGTCAAAACACATGACTACTTTTCTCGAGCTTGTACACACTGACTTGGGGGGACCCATGCCCATCCAGACCATGCATGGAAAATGGTACTTCATGGTTGTTCTTGATGACTACACCCACGTTCTAGACATACACCTACTTGCCAGCAAGGATCAAGCCCTCAAGGCCTGGGAGTTGACTCAGACTCACTGGGAAAGGCAGTACAATGCCAAGGTCAAGGCAATACAGTCTGATAATGGAGGGGAGTTCCTTAGCAATGCCTTCATGAAGTCCCTCGACTTGCAGGGGATCACTCACTGTCTTTCCACTCCATATATGCACCAGCAAAATGGCATTGCTGAACAGGTCATCTGCATGCTGGAGGGACATGTCCTGGCCATGCTACACCTTGCTTGGCTCCTGCTTGTGTACTGGGGGGAGGCCATGCTTACTGCTTCCTATCTGCATAATTGCACAGGGTCATGTGTGCTGCCAAATGGGGTAACACCCTATGAAATGTTACATGGCACACATCCATATCTTGGCCATCTGAGGGTTTGGGGCTGCCAAGCCTTTGCTCATGTCCCTCTGGAGCTTCAATGGAAACTAGGACCCAAGTCCAGATTGGTGAGGTTCATGGGCTATCCACCCAGTGTTAAGGTGTACAGGGTATGTGATGAGACCACCAAACAGTTTTTTAATTCCGGGGATGTCATCTTTGATGAAAATGTTGCTACATTGCCCACCATGACTGAGTCAACTGATCTGTCATTACCTATGACTACCAACAGCTCAGATTCAGATAGTGATTCACAACCCCCGAGTCCCTCACTCTCATCACCCTTATCCTCCATCCCAACATCTCCTCCACAACCTCAACCAGTGCATCAGTCTACTAGGGTCAGGGTACAAACAGAGGCAGGAAGAGTGTTCACAGAGTCCCTTCAGGATGTGTGAGAGCACCTGGCTGTATGGCATGCTTGACCTATTTCTCCTGTCACTACCACTACCCTGTCTACTCTCAACTCGTGTTTAGACAGCCTGCTGTCCCCTCTCACAGAACTGCCAGACTCTGACTCTCCCAACTTGCCTCCTGATACCTTGGTTGGTCCACTCTCTTCTGCCATTGTTGACTTGGTCATCTCAGAGCATGCTCACCTTGCAATATGGAGCGGTACACATCATGATCCAGCTGACCCTTCTTATGATCTCTTGATTCCTCCTGCCACATATGATGAGGTGGTCCATCATAGTGATGCCCCCAGGTGGTGTGTGGCTATGGATAAAGAGATAGTGCAGCTGAAGAACATGAATGTCTATAGTCTTGTTCCTCTCCCTCCAGGATGTCATGCCATAGGAAGCCACTGGGTTCTGGAATATAAAGAAGGCAATGTCACACACCAAAGGTGTTTGGTGAGGTGGACATGGATGTAGCTGATGAATGGAGGTGAAGACCATAGCCCTCATGCGAAGAAGGACAGCCAGCAATGTCGGCAGTCATCCCTCGCACAAGAACAGGTTGTCAATGCCAAAGAAAAAGGAGGAGGCAGGTTAAGTGCCAATAAAATTCTTAAGCGCCTGTGTATGGCATTCCAGTTTTCAATGTATCTCCACCAATTCTGCAGACACTGAAACCATTCCCACACTTGCTTGTAGTGCTCAGCCATGCGATCCTACCTTCCAAGATTGGAAAGGATTTGCACACTCCACACGTTTCTACAGCACTCCCTCCAAAAGATGCTCATTTTGCTAATTCTTCTGATACGGCTGCCTCCACATCAGTCGTTTTGCTTGTCCCCTTTGCTAGGGACCATGGTTACATATATCTACCAGGAGTTCCTGCCAGCTTCCATCCTGAAGTGTCCTGGTACATCCCACCCTCATCTGCCCCCTCTCAGCCCATCCAGCTTGGACAGCATGTTCTTTTTGTCAGTATGACCTCCAGGAGGACGTTCTTTGGTCACCTCAGGTCTGTCATTCGCTTGGAAAGGTCTTATGTGGTTGTTTCAGTCTCTCCAGTCCAAGAAGCATATGGATCCTTCCTCCCTGCCCCCTGCAATGTCTTTGTACCAGTCTCGTCCATCATTCTTCCAAAATTGCGACAGCTACAGTATAATCTACTGTTCTCCACTCTCCCTGATCACATCCATGATGAGTATGATGCACATCTTGCCTCCTTGTTGCAAGATACAGCAGAAGACGCTCCCCCTTCATCTGTTATGCCCGAGCGTGGTGACTTCTTCAAATGGAATAGGCACGAAGCGCGCGAGGTGGGAGTCTACGGGCTGAACGTGTCGTAACCCCTATGGCTGAGTTATTGCGAAGATCTGACAGAGGTCTTGTCTGCTGGTGAGTCCCTAAGGTTGTTTGCGCGGAGAGAAGACAAGGATCGAAGCAAAGTAATTAGCTCAGTTGCAAGCTATCGAAAAACTGAGGATACATGGTAAAGTACGCGGGTATATATACCCCTAAGTATGAGTACCATACCAGTCGCAACAGACGTGTCGCGACGTGTATCCGCAGCAGTCAATGAACTAATCTTTGAAATAAGTATGAGTCCTCCGGTGTCAGAGATGGGGGTAGCGATGGAAACGAAGGCTATACCGACTGCACAATCAATGCGCAGTGAGGAGCCAGACACCAGAGCTATAGTACAACAGTCAGGCAATAAAGACGAGTCATAAAGAGTCAGCGGAGCAAGAAAGGAACATCTCGTCAACCCGAGAGAGTGGCGAGTCTCGACAGGCATTGGAAATACCTGGACAGTGGATGATCCAACGGGTTTGTGCAGTACATGCACTCCTAGCATGACGACGGTTATTAGGG